CCCCAACCCCAACCCCAACCCCAACCCCAACCCCAACCCCAACCCCAACCCCAACCCCAACCCCAACCCCAACCCCAACCCCAACCCCAACCCCAACCCCAACCCCAACCCCAACCCCAACCCCAACCCCAACCCCAACCCCAACCCCAACCCCAACCCCAACCCCAACCCCAACCCCAACCCCAACCCCAACCCCAACCCCAACCCCAACCCCAACCCCAACCCCAACCCCAACCCCAACCCCAACCCCAACCCCAACCCCAACCCCAACCCCAACCCCAACCCCAACCCCAACCCCAATAGAATCTTAGAAAAAGTTAATGTATGTAGCAATTAAAATTACTTTTTATTTATTTATTTATTTATTAGTTAGAAATAATAAAAATTCTTTTTAAATGGTAATCAATCCTGAAAGTTCAAGAAAATAAAAAAGAAAAATAATTAAAATGAAATATAAGTAGGATAAAACCTTACTTAAATAAATAAATAAAATATAGGAAAATCAATCATAATTAACTATTTAGTATTTTAAAATATTCTTGATTTATAAAATAAATAATAATTAACTATTTAGTATTTTATAATATTCTTGATTTATAAAATAAATAATTTTATTATTTCATTCTTTTTTACTTTGAATATCTTTACATGTTATTGAGAAAAAATTACTTTAAATTTTTTAATTATTTTATAAAAAATAAATTTACTTTCAGTTAACCAAAATTTAAATATTTATTATTACATTTGATATTTACTTTTTTATAAGAAAAAAAATGATTAATCTATTTTGAAATAGTTTTTGAAAGTCAAAATTAAAAGAAATACAAAAAATAAAGAAGTTAATTAGCAGCAAAGTAGATATTTATAATTTTTTAAATTTAATAAGCAAAGTCTAAAAAGCTTATGAATAAATTTACTGTGAAAAATAAAATAAGCTATTTACACTGAGTATTAAAAATAAATTAATTACCTTTTTTTTAAAAAGAAATAATAAATAAAATTATTTATTTTGATTTTGATTTTATAAAAAATAGTTTTTTATTGTTGATTACTTGTATAAATTAAATAAATAACCTAATTCATTATAAAAGTTATTAGTGTTCTTCTTATGTTTTTGGTTCATGCGATTAAGAATGAGCTTATTACTATATTCTTTATACAATATTTTAAAATTTTGTGGTTGATTTAGTTTTTGGAGTGTTTGATTTATGAGATAAGACGCTAACAAAAGAATTTGCTAATTTTTCTGCTTTTTCTTTTTAAATCTACGTTGGTTATTTTACACCATCATCTTCTATTTAATCAATATCCCTACCTAAAGTATCGTAGGGTAAAAGAGTTAGTAAAGCTGACATACTTAAAGAAAGTACAGAAAATAACAAGAAAGGTAATAGGATATCATACTCTTAAAGTTTTGCACAAATCCAGGGCATGAAAATACCACCAATTCTTCCTACCGAATTAGCCATACCTATACCAGTAGTTCTTACTTTAGTGGAGTAAACTTCAGTTATATACTAGTAAGAAAAGGCATAATTCATCATTTGATAAAATTTAGTAAGAGTTGTCCAAAAGATAAATCTGCTTAAATCATCATAGTAAACCATAAATAAAGTAATTCCTTAAATCAAAAAAAAATTTATCATTGAGTTTTTTCTTCCAAACCCTTTTATTTCTATCATTATAGAAGCCAAAATACCAGAAATCATTTCAATAGTCGTTGTTAAGATTAGCTTGGCCATATCTTCTGATTCTCCAAGTTCATCTGAAGAACTCTTTGATTTTGATGAATCAGATTAAATATTATTTATTTTATCAAGCAAAGAAGGGAGTAAAATTAGTATTCCAAAGTAAACAAAACTCAGACAGAACATATACAGCCATATTATTGGTGTGATAATTTTCAAGTCTCCCTTAAATAAACCTGATATACTTGCTTTATCTTTATCATCAAATTTTTCATTAAATTTTTTGGACCAATTTGTTAATCCTTATTTCATCCTATGATCAAGTTCTTAAAAGTTGACTTTCCCATTTACCTAATTCATTCTATCAAGTATTTTAAAACTTTTTTCATATTCTCCAGAGCACAATAAGAAACGTGCAGATTCGTCAAGCCAAAATACTATAATAAACCAAGAAATAGTTCCTGGAATAACGGTAACAACAATTAACAATCTCCAATTACCTTCCTAAAGGTTATCTAAGATAAAATAACCGCTAATAAGTGCAACTAACTGACCAATACTTACACTTATTGTAACCAAGCTCATATATCTACCTCTTTATTGTTGTGGAGTTGTTTCTGCTAGTAATGTCACACCCAGAGGACCGAAAAAGCCAACTTTTTTATTAAAAAATAGTCATTTAAAATGAATTTATACAAGATTTGTTTTTTTGAAAAGTATAAATAAAATCAGATAAAAAATCTATCATTTATAAAAATATCCATTTATAACTTATTTATCAATAACTTTGATTGAAAAAATTTAATTTATATTTGATGATTAATAACAACTGTCCGTTTTTGCAAAAAATACAAAAAGTAGAAAACGCATTGAATTTTGAAATAAAATGCTTTTTTAATTGTCTCATCAATCAAAAAAAAAATAAACATTTTATCCGAAATTATATATTACCAAGCATGCCCATGAGAAATCTAAGGATGACCATTTGATATATATTTGTTGAAAGGGCAGTGAGATATGTTACTACAAATGTCAAGCATGAAGATACTAAAAATGGCATTTATCTTCCTAATCTATCTGCTACTTAGCCACTAACCATCGCTCCAATCAGAAAACCTACAAATACCAAACTTGCCTACAGACTATTTAAATAATCCTCAACATCCCACTAATGCTTGAGAATAGGAATAGTTAAAGTAAAGATTGTAATTTGAGCACCTTCAGTCATACCAATCAAAGCCATTACAATATAAATTACGAGTTAGTATTTTCCTTATCCAATTTTTGTTAAGACTTCATCAAAAGTTATTATTTCTTAATTTTCACTTTCATCATATTAGCTTTAATGTTCTTACGATTAGTCAGTTTTCAAGTTGATGGACTTAACTTATTATTAATCATGTCCTATATGTACATCCATTTATTTTATATTTCTTTTTACTTGGACCTTCCTTGTTAAATAGTATGAAAATTTAATAACTAAAATAAATACAGTAAAACCAATTTGTTTTTTTATTGTTATTTGGTTATTTATTTTTGAATGAAAGAATGAACTTGATTTTTTTTAATAAATGTGAACATTTTTACTAATCTGCATATTGTTAGTAGATTTAATATATTTAATTAAACAAATTAGATTAAAAAAAGTAAAAATACTTGAAAGAGATAAAGATATGTTTACATATAAAAAATAAACAATCAAAGATAAAGAGTAAGTAGAATAAATCATAAAAAATTTTGATCTAAATTCAAAATGAAGAGTATTTATGATGACCCAATTACAATAAAAACAGTTGTCTATACAGCAGAAAATATTTTGAAAATAGTATTTCCTTTTATTTGTTTCTTTTAGAGAGACTTCTATGCCGATTTTTTAGCTTATTTAATTTGTATTTTAGTCATTATCAGATAGCTCAAACCAAGATTTACATCTGAATTCTTTGCTTTGTTGATTTATAATGAATATTTTCAAAATATAATCTTTACAATACCATATTGCTTCTTTGGCTAAAAAGGGATTGTATATTATTCTATATTTGCTATTCATTTTTCAGTAGGAATAGCAGATTATATTTACTTATCATAAAAATAGCCTTACAAATTATTTAAAAATGTTACTGATTATGTTCGCTAAAACAAATAATAAATCATGCTATTCAAAAATTTTGTAGAAATATTACTCTTAATGATAGAAATTCTATTTGTGGTTACAGATATAAGATAGTTAATTATAGTAGTTTTCTATTGCAATTTTCTAAGAATTAAGTATTATTTTAACGAAAATCTTTTAAAAGTTGTCTCTCAAATAGACACTTTCTTTATAGATAACTTTGAAAAGCCTGAATCACCAAGAATCTTAAAATATTTCTTAAAATTTATTAGAATGATAGTTCATAGATTAAGAATTAAATACTGATTAGCCTATTAGATAGATAATATTAAAAAATAAAATAATAATATTTAATAAAAAAATAACTATTTTTTATTTGAAGATTATCAAGTATTTATGTTAAAAATTGAATAAAATTTAAAAAATAAGATTAATTTAAATTTGATTATTTTTGTTTGATTTTTGAGGTCAGTATTTTTTATAAAATAAATTATTTATTTCATGAATTTGTAAAATTTAACTAAGGCATTTTTAATATTTTAAATTTATAAAATCTTTTAATTTGCTTGCTCTATATTTTGTATTTCTAAACTATGTCTTAAATTTATTATCTTAATGAATTTTCATACTATCCTTCCTCATTTATTAGCTCAAGAGAAATTTATTTCAAAATTTTAATTTCGGATGTTATGATAAAAATCTTGAGTTATAATATATTATTTGACTTCACTTCATTAATTAGGATTTAAAGTAGATTAAAGATAATATATTTTAGAAATATGCTTTCTCTCAAAATTATTTATTGACAATTATTTAATTTAAGTTTTGATTTATTTTGTAAAATTAAATTAATTATTTAATAAATTGATAAGATTTTCAGAACTTAATATTCTTTTTTGAAAAAGTAATTTCAGTATTTATTTATTAATTAGAATTTATATAAAACTAAACTAAAGCACCTTTAATATTTACAATTATTTTATTAATGCATTTAATTTATTTCAAATATTTTTTCATCTATTTGGTTAATCTATCTAAATTATTTATCAAATGAATTTTTTAGTTGATTTTTGTTTTGAATGTAAATTCATCACCTAATTTCTTTGATTTGCTTGTTGAGTTCCTATTCTTTTCTTTTTAAATAAGTTACTGTGTCTGTTTTTCTTTTTATTTTTTCTTTCACATTTTCTAACCTTAATTTTAACATATCAATATATATCTTTTCTCCATTAAATTCCTAATTAAAACATTTAAATAATTAAGTAAAAATATAATCATAAAAAATAAATTTACTGCAATTTCTTATTCAAGATCTTCTTTTTCAGCATTTAATTGCAAAAGTTCTTTTTCATATTGCAATATTTATTGTATTTGATCATCTAATTCTTCTATAATTTGCTGTTTTTGTCTCTCTTTTTCTTTCATTATTTTTTTATAGTGTTCTTCATAAACATTTTAGTCAGAATATCCATTAATAAAATCTTAGTAATTTCCTTTACTTTATCTTATCGTTGAGTCTATGCTACGATTTCTTTATAATGATTTGCTTAAAGGTTAATCCCTGAATTAATGCTGCTAAAATCCATCATAAGCAATATTATCCTTTTGTTATTAAAATTCTTGCTCTTTAAATCTTATTGTTTAATTTCTTAAGGGACTTTTCTCTGGTCTTTAATATTTGCCTGCTGTGTTATTTACAAAATTAGTAGAATAAGAATCCTCTTCTTCTAAAATTTATATTTTATTAATATTTTCAGTACTACTTATATTAGGCTACCTGCGATGAGAGGCACTTCTAGAAAGTGCTCTTTGAGAGTTTTAAAATCTATTCGCTGACAAAGATTAAGAAAACAGCTAATCTTATTGTAAAGTTTGTTAATTATTAGTCTAAATATTATTATTATTATAGTAGTTATCTTATTAGCTCAGATTTTTATATATAATACTACTTTTTAAAGGAGTGTTTGAACTGCTGTTTTTCCAATACTCTTCTGGAGTTTAATCTTCAAATGTTGGAGGAATTTTATTTTATCTTGTGGGATTTACTTAAGAAGATTATAAATCTGATAATCTAAGCTATGGTTGATATTAACTTGAGTTTTACAAGCTTTGTAAAAGCTGTTAATTAAATTTTCTTGATTAGTCTGCAAGATCTTGCAAAGCTTTTTATTCATTTTCTTGTTATCTACCTTTTTCTTAGTAAGAATGAATTTCTGAAAGTAACTTCTAAATTTCAACAATTTGTTCATTTTTTTCTAATGTTAAAACTTCCAACTGGTCTTAGCAAAGCTTTAAGTCAAAATACAGTCTATCATTGTCTTTGATTAAAACAGATATCCTATCTTAGTTATATATGAGATCTTTTTCAAGTTACTCTATCATATTTTTGTGCTATACCTAAAGCTCAATTCTTTCTCTTTCATGAAAATCTGCTTACTAAAATAGCTAATCCTACAACTACTTTATATACTGATCTTTTGTAGAGTCATTTCTTGCTAAAACAAGTTCTTTTTCATATTAGACAAATTATTTTTCTAAAAAATCAATCTTCTTTTTGAATCCTTCTTTTTCAGTTTCTAAATCTTTTACCATAGAAGTTAATTCATTTATTTTTTATTTAAGCTGCTATCTTTCAAATAGCTTTGACTCACCTTACATCTACAGCTAGCTCTTTAATTCTTCTATTTCATGATCTCTTTATTTAATTTCTTTGTGAAATATATCTTCTTTTTCTTTAATCTCTTTATTTTCTCTCTCTGTTTCTTTCAATTTTTCTTTTAAATTGCTCTCTAGCTGCTTAAAAACTCTTAATTATTTGTCTGAATCTTCTTTAATTTAGTTCATTTATTGATCAAGTTACCTGATTCTCTCTTCAAGTTCTATGGCCTTTGAACTAGACTAACTTAACACTTGCATTTTTTCTTATCTGAGAGATTCCAATTAGCTAGTATGTAATGATTAATTTTCTTAACATTTTTTCTCAAGCTATTTTACTTTTTCTTGTAGAGCTTTCATAGCAGAAATATATGCTTTACTTTAAGTAGCATCTTTATCTATTATACTACTCCCATTACCACCCCTTAGAGATACCATTGATTATTCTGCTATATTTACTTGCAATGGACTCATGTTGTTATGACTATTATTTAACATTTAAGCATAATTTGATTGAGGGGGAATATTTTCTATATTATTTCCTACTTTTTTTGTTTTAGTTCCACTGTTATAGATATTATTTGATGCAGCACTTAGTTCATTATAATAGTTATTACTATTGTTGCGTAATGTGAATCTTTTATCAGCAGGGCTCTCTTACCTTGCCTTAGATTATTCTGTTTGCGACAAATCTTGCAAATGAAATACTGGACTATTACTCCTTGAAGCATTTCTTGCATTTTTCTAAGAATAGTCTTCCAAGGCTTTTATATCTAAAGAGCTCCTAGAATTTTTCATTGGATTTATGAAATTATTACTATTTAATTGTATTTCTAGTTTTTAATCAAAGATATATAAAAAATTCAACGACTATAATTTAATTTATTAATTTTATAAAAAGAGTCAAGTTTAAAAATTCACTGATGGGAAGATTAATTAATTTTATTAACTAACTAACTGAATATTTATATATTTATGCTTATTAATATCTTTAAATGTTAAATTTTTTTTGGATTATTATTAATACTAAAATAAACTAAAAATTATAATATATTTTTTTTTTGTAAGTTTTAATTTTTAAAATAATAATTAAAATATTTATCTATTCAAAAAATTTATCAAAATAAGAAAAATTAAGTGTAAATATTGATTAACAAAAATATTTTTTAATTTATGAATGTATTTTTTTAAAAATTCTTAAAAAATTCAATTTTTATTAAAAAGAAGCTTAAAATAAATAAAATAAAAGGAAAACAATAAGTAAATAATAAAAATAAATAGATTTAATGATTAAAAGTTTAAAAGAAGTATGTTATAATTTTATTTTTTTATTTATTATTTAAAGTTTCTTTCATTTTTTTGTGAATTCTATTTAATCGAAAATGTTATTCCCTGCCACTAGCTGATTTTATTAAGACTAGTTAAATTTTTCTTGATATTTTTAAAGTATGCTTATTTCTTCATCTACTTTTTTTTAATAAACTATTTTTCTATTCAAAGCCATTAACCAAAATGATATTAGAGGTAAACCAAATAATAAATAATAAGAGCTACCCTTGCTGTATAAATAAACAGATGGTATATGCAATAGTGATGATAACAACACGTATTTTGTAGTGAAGTGTGTAAGCTAAGAGACTTAAATTACATTATTCTCTATATTAACTGATTTTTTTACAAGCTTATTGATACCTTCTTCTGACCAATTTTCATAATCTAGGACAGGACCTATTTATTCACACAACAGCTAATAGAAAATATATATAGCGAAAGCGTATAATAAAGCAATTGAAATCGAATTTTAGCTTGTTCTAAAGAATATTTTTTGAATCATTTCTTTATGTTCTATAATTCCTTTTTCTATAAAGCTTATTAATGATATGTTTTTATAGACATATTATCCTTCATGGTTCATAACTTTAACATAATTTTTATCTGTAAGTAATTCTTAGATTTTAAATTAAGTAAGAGTATTATTATCCTTAAAAGCAATCAATGAAACATTAGCAATATTTTAAATATCATAAAATGATATTCTTATAAAATCTTTTTTATCCATTCCACGAATATAAATGTAATTATTTTCATAGAAGATATCTTTATAGTTTTATATTCCATATGTAAAAGGGTGATTTTCATAGTTAGTATTCTTGTTTGCAAGATTTTCTTAAGAATATTATTTGTTTTTGAAAGCTAAAAATTGCTTATATATTTCTTCAAAATATTCATCAATATTAGAAGCGTTTATATCTATCTATGTAGAATTTTTTTCTGCTAGTTCAATGAGAAGTGGTTAGGCTAAAGTAAGATTTTCAACCTTGATATCTGAATTAGTTATAACACAGCTACTTAGTTTACTTATTTCGTTAGGTATTATATCACAAGTGTTTATATTTAACCATTCATATTATCTATCATTTATTTATTTTTTAATCTCTAATTTTCTATACAAACCCAAACTATTTATTTTAGATGAAACACCAAACATTGGGTCAGTCACAGCAGTACAAGCAGAATTTTATTATACTTATCCACTAACGTAAACTAAGCTTTTATCCTTTTTTTATAATGAAGAAAGCTATTTTAAATTAACTGAGTTTTTTAGATTTTATCTTAAGCATCCCAAACTGTGAATAAAGTAGCATTTTTTGCTAAATAATGCAGAAAAGGTTCCAATAGCCACAATTGTTGCAGGGATTGTGAAGTGAATAGGAATGGTCCATTTAAAATCCATCGAAAATCCAGTGTTTTTACTATTGTCCATAGATCTTTTTAATAACTACTTTTAGATAAATAAATTTTAATTAAGATATTTTTTATTAATTTAGTTTTTGATTAAGTATTCAATTCTGATGTTTTAAATTCCAAATTTATTGTACTTATTAGATTTGTTTTAACAAAAATTTAAGATTAGTTAACTTCAACATTTTAAATGCTGAACAGAAATATTATTTTTACAGAAAATACTAGAAAAAGTTTTGCAGAAGAAATTTCTAGATTATTTTGAAATAGAAAAAGAGCAAATAAATAGAACCTAAATTAGACATTTAACGAAAAGTGTACCCATTCACTTGATAGGATTTCATTTTTTCATAGGTTTTTTATAATATTAACCTAAAAACATCGTATCCATATCATTAATATCATTCAGTAGGACATTAAACTCATCATAAACTAATTTTATAAAATTAATCTTAATAAATTGCTAATCCAAAAATTTAAATATGATGAACTGGATATTTTAATTCCTGAACTATCTTTCAAAATATTAAAAAGGTAAAAAATATTTATTAAAACAATTGCTAAAAATTATAATCTATAAAATTCTTAAATTAGGAAAAATACATCTATGTTAATTTAATTACTAATAAACAAATTTTTTCTTTGAAGTTTTTAAAGCAAAATTTAATGCTTTTTTAAATAATTTAAATTGTAAAATAATTTATTTAATTCAAATATTAAATAATGTACTTTTCATAGTCATCAGTATAAAATTTTTTAGAAATTTTCATTGAGGGTGGTAAGATATTTTTACTTTAAATTATCTTTTTATAATTTTAATTTAAGTTAGTTTCAAAATAAATTACATTTAAATTATACTAATAGAGTTTATTAATTATTTAATATTGAAATCTAATATAACTAATCTTAAGTGATAAATAAATACTTACTCTAATTAAAAGAAAGTTTAATAGCTTTAGAGATACAAATTATCTATCTATCTATTTAATAGATTTAATTATTAATTTTTAAAATTATTTATTAAATAATTTAAATTTTTGAATACTATGTTTATCTCTTTTTATTTTAATAATTATATTTAAAAATATTTTAATTTATTTGAGTTCACAAGAAAAATTAAATAATTTAATGTATTTATTTATAAATTTGTTAGATTTAGAAGCTAGATAATAAAAAAATTAATACTAAATATTTTTTTTATTTTAAAATATTACTTTTATCTTTAATTATTTAACTAAAATTAGAAAACATATGATTTATTTAATCTTTTACCAAATATTTTTTAAATCTCTTTTACCAAAATTTTTTGATGATGATGATTAATATTTTTTTAATTAATAAAAACAATAGATTAGTCACCAAAAATGTATAATTTATATTAGCATTATAATAACAATCCTAAATTGAACAACTAGAATGATAATAGGAGAGCTTTAAAGGTTCAGTATTCCTTAGATTTTTAGAATAAACATAGTTAAGATTAGGAGTACGCGACATATTCATAAAGCTTGTAAAATGAAAAAGATTCAAAATTTAATTTTTAGAAAGTATAATTAAACTAAAATATGGATATAGAACTTAATATTAAACCAAATTAAATATCGCATCATTTAAAGAGACAATATTACGAAAGGTATAAACATCTATAGAATACCAAAAAAGAAATACAGTAAAAGCAAGAAATGGAAAATAATATATTATAAAAAACAGAACAAGCAATTTTAAGTTCTAAAGGACAACTCAATTTATCTTATATGCAAAATCATTAAAATGATTAAAATAAAATTTTTAGTAGAGGAAACTTAGTAAAATAAATTTATCAAAATTAAGTTAATTAGTCATTTAACTGTATTTAAAATGATTAAAATGAGATAAAAGAGAATAAAAGAAGATATATAAAAGATGCATAAAATAATATAAAGAAAGATAAAAACATTGAGAAAAATGCAAACAACATAGAAACTCCTCAAAATTTGTTAAAGATAGAAATATTAAATGAAAACAAAGAAATGAAAAAATAGCAATTAAAGATAGAATAACAAGATAAGCAAATTTATAAATAATTTGAATGTGATGCTCTTGAAAGAAAGTGTATGACAGAATTTGATGAACGAGTATGTAGAATTAAATATTATTTTTACTTATTATTTTTTTACTTTTCAGTTAAAAATATTAATTACGAAGATATTATTTGGAGATTTTTGATATTTATTTATTTATTTTTTTTGGTAGAAAAAATAAAAAGTGTTAACAGATTTAGGTGAAAAGAATGGCTAATATTACCAAAGAAATACTTTAAATTTGGATGAGTTCAAAGAAAATATTAAAGAAGCTAATTCTACTTATTTGCTAAATAATTCAAATAAATTTGTTTCTGGTAGAATGATAAATAATTTTTGTAATGATAGTGATAGTAAAAATTAGGGATCACAAATTAATAATAAAAATAAAAGTAGTGATAAACCAATTAAATTTGTTTAACAACATTATTAAAAATACAAAAGACCACCTGTAGTTTTTAAATAAAAAAGAAATGAATAAAATCAAAGTTTAGAAAGAAATAAATGTAATTTTTAACTAAATAACTCAGATTGTTAAATTGATAAATAAATAAAAAACTATTCTAAAAATTAAAGACTATTGAATTAGATAGATTTAAAAAAGATCACTCAATAAAAGCCAAACTTTGAATTGAAATCTCTTGATTTTTAGGTTGATTTATGTTAATAATCTTATAGAAGCATACCGACTTCTGATTTGTCAGCTAGAGAGTCAAAAATAAAGGATTAAATCTTAAATAAAACAAGAAGTAATAAATATGGTCTGAAAAAGGAATAAATAATATCTAATAATATTCAAAATTTTACTAAAGAAAACAGTAATGAATAAAATATTAATAACTTTTTATCAATATAATTCCCAAATAAAACTTTTTCAAATGCAACAAATGATTAAAATGAAGATAGTCTTCTTTTAGCTTGCAGAGATAAAAATTAATCAATTTAAAGTTAAAATATGCTATCTATGTATAATCAAGGTATTAGGAATTATTTAAATTTTGAGAGTATTTAAAACATGTATAACAATGGTTAAATAACTCCCATTTACGTTAAGCCTGGAAGTGCAAAATAAAAAAATGCAAGCAGTCGAAAGAGTAGTAAAGTCAGATTTGCTCAAGAATTTAAAGAAGGTAGAATTAGAAGCTTAACAGAGTAATCACAGAGTAAAGATGATAGAGTATCTATTAACAAAATTTTGATGGATTCTTTTTTTGGAAAGAAACCAGCAAACTTATTAGAAAATATTGTAATAAACACACAATAGAATTCTGCTCTGAGTAATTAATACATTCATGATGATATACAACTAGAAAATAGTGAAAATAAAAATAGAGAAGAAGAATAATTTAAATTTATTTAAAGAAATATTCTAGTTAAATCTTTTAACGAACTCTGAAAATAAAATATTAAAATTTTTAAATTTGTACTTTTTACTTTATTTTTATAAATAAAAAATATCCACAAAAAATTAAACCATTAAGTTTTATTTTTATTAGATTAACATAAAGCGCTTTCCTTTCTTTAAGTTAAATTTTGTTCCATAAAATTAGTTTGAATAATTATCAAATATTTATTTATTATTTAACTGAAAAAAAATAAAAGTCAAATATTTTTTTTAAATTAAGTTTATGTAAAATGTCTGAGCATCTCAAATAAATATTTTTTTAGAAAATAAAATAAATTATTTTGGTGTTATATTAAGAATTAAAATCCTCTTTTTTAAATTCTAGAAATCAGCTGTTTTTTCTTGCCTTTAAATTTCAGATAATTCTGGACTATTAAAAATCATTGAATTTTTATAAAACAAACGACTTTTAGAAGTGAAATAATTAAAATTTTATAAAAAGAGTAAAATTAACACTGATTATAAATTAAATTATTTGTAAATTTTAAGCGAAATAAGCTTTATTTTATTTTTTTAATGTGAAACGAAACACAGTAATATTGAAAATATTATGTTACTTACATACAAAAGAAATGGCATTTGACTCAAATAATTATTTGAGTAAGTTTAATTCACAGAAAAGATTGAGCGAATAAGGGAAATTTTAAACTTATTTTGATCAGCTTATTCAAAAATAATAAATTATTAATATTTTTATTACTTGTAGATTATTCACTGCAAAGAGTAGCTGGTTAAACTAAAAACCAATTAATTATATGCAAATTTGATAATAAATTATGATTAAATTTTTATATTTCATAAAATATTTATAACAAATAAATTAAAAGAGTGCAAATTATCAATAAGAAAAAACTAGAGTATTGATAAAAAGGCAGTTCCTCAAAAAAGAATCAATCTAAGCAGCAACAATTTTCCATAAGTGACATCAACGTAAAGAAAAAACTAAGGTTAAAAGGTAAAAAAAGAAGAGATTTCCAATCAATAGAAGCCTACGTGTTTTAAAATTTGTAAGACTGATAAAGGAGAGCCAAGACTTTTAAGAATTAACCATTAATTTAATACATATTTAGATGGGAAATTGCGCATAAACTTGCTGTGCAAATACAAAAGATAGTGAAATAAAATTAAATAATAACCCAAATGGTGAACAAGTATTTGAAAAGACTAATTCAAGTAGGGCGACTCAGTAAACTTAGCAGTTGATTGAATAGCAGCAGGAAGTAGTCGAAAAAAAAGAACCTAGTAACATATCTAAAAAAAAAAAAATTAAGATTATGAGCCAAATGATGGACAAGAGCAGGACGGTACGACATAACCAGCTGCTTCGGAGAAGAACATGAATGAAGCAGACGAGTCACTACCCAACAGCAAGAAAAATACTCAAACTCGCTAGAAGTTAGGAGTCATTAATCTTGAAGGAAACATAACCTACGAAGGAGAATGGCTCAACGGAATGAAAGACGGCAAAGGTGTTCAAAAGTGGCCAAATGGTTCAGTTTATGAAGGCGAATGGAAAGAAGATAAAAGCAACGGATTTGGTAAACTTACTCATGCTGACGGAGACATTTATGAAGGCTAATGGATAAACGACAAAGCCAATGGAAAAGGAACATACTACCATGTAAACGGTGCGAAATATGTTGGAGAGTGGAAGGATGATAAACAGGTATTATATTTTTAATATATTCCTAATTTTATTACTTTTTTTTCTTCAAAAATTTTTTATTACTTTCAGTTGGTTAAGTTTTTAATTTATTATTCCTTTGACTTTTGTTTCTAAATAATTCCTTTAAATAAGCAAATAAATAAATAAACAAGCAAACAAATAAACATATTCAAACTAAAAATTTTAAATTTCCATCCAAAAATTATAATCCGATTTTTATTCTACATAAATTATTAATTCTTTGTTTTAGGCTTATTTTATTTGCCACAGTTTTTATCTAAGACATAATTCTTTTAACGCTTAATTAAAAATCTGTTAACCATTGAATTGATGCTTGACTACAAGAATAAACGCAAATTGATTATTTTGAAATCAATTCTAATTATTCTACATTTATTTTATCATCCATATTATTTTTAGACATTAAATTTACTAACCAAATTTCTTTAATATTTAATAAGCATGGAAAAGGAGTAGAAATATGGACAGATGGAGCCCGCTACGAAGGTGATTATATCAATGGGCAGAAAGAAGGAAAAGGCTTCTTGAAATTTTCTGATAATTCCGAGTACGAAGGAGAATTTAAAGATAATAATATAGAAGGTAAAGGAATTTATAGATGGCCTGATGGTAGAGTCTATGAAGGAGAATGGAGATAGAATAAAATGCATGGATATGGAAAAATAAGGCTGCCAAATCAATAATCATATGAAGGAAATTACGAAAATGATAAAAAGCATGGAAAAGGCACTTTCGAATGGTAAGACGGAAGAAAGTATGTAGGAAACTGGAAATTCGGAAAATAGCATGGTGTAGGAGTAGAAATATTTAAAGGTGGAGAAAGGAAGTATGGTATTTGGGAAGAAGGCAAAAAAGTGAAGTAGCTTTAAGTAGAAGAAGTGTCTGAATTAAGAGATAATGGATAGCTTAGCTTTGAAGAGTAAATATCAATCGATGCCTAATGAATTTTCTCAAAAAAAGATAAAAAATAAACAAAAAAATAAATAAATAAAAAAAAAGATAGATATATTATTTTCTTTATATAATATTTTTGCATTTTCCTTATAAAAAATCTTTCATTTACTTAATTTACATAAAAATAAATTAAGTATGTAAGCAATAAGAAATAAGATATAGATAAATAGATAGATAGACTACTATAATAACTAGCTATCTTAATAACTTAATAATCAAGACATATAAATGGTTTTCTATTATTAAAATTGTAGGTATTTATTTAAACCTATTTATTTATCTGACGTTTATATAATATAATGTAAATTTTTATTTTTGTATATTATGTGTTACTTTAACTCTAATCATTCTTTCTTATATACTTTGCTTCATTTGATAGTATCCTTATATCTTTTATTAAAAAACATCAGCCATTTTCCTTTGTTAAAATATTTAGTTAATTTTTTTTAAAAGCTTTATTTTCAATACTCTTTAAAAACTATGTTTATCAAGCTATTTTCTTAATTATATTTTTCTAGCCATTATCTCTGTTTTTTTCTGTTATAATTAAATTTAGATTGCGTATTGATTGTTTGATCAAAAAATTATAGAAATTGAGTATCTTATTATTTATATATTCGTTATTGCTCAGAAATTAGAAATAAAGGAATTACATATTTATATATTTATTTAAAACACTAGCCTTGCTTTAAATGAGCGAAAAATCATCAAATTAAATCTAAAATTCAAGAGAAAAGTCATTTAATGAATTTAATTTAAATGAAGCTAACAAGAGTAAAGGGAGTAGCTAATTAAGCAGGAGAAGTAGAGAGGAATCTATCTCTAAATAGTCATAGCAAGAGAATAATAATTATTTACAATAAGGTAGATAGACATCATAGTCTAATAGATCACAAGATCTATCAAATTAAGCTATGATGCCTCCATTGAATTAAGATAAAAATGTAGACAGATAGTTTATGTAGGAGTTTCAGAAATTTAAAGCTGACATTAAGTATTTATAAGATGAAAATAATTAAATTAAAAGTATGATGGAGTCAAAAGATGAGAAATTAAAAAGGGTTGCTATGCTGGCCTTATAGCAAGGTGTCGCTTTAGAGAAAATGAAATCATTTATTGAATTTAAAAATTTTTAAGATCATGAGGATAACATTAATAATATTAGGTTTTTATTTGAGTAAGATTTATAATCTAAAGATCTTTATCCTGAAATTGAAGTGAATTTGGAGAGTCAAAATTTACTTGGTTTACTTTTAGAATCTTTTGAAAAGAAATTGGATGGAATATGGGATTTGAAAACAAAAGTTTTACAACTTTCAACAAAGAATGAGAATGTAAACAATAAGATGAGAGCTATAGAAAGTTAGATTTAATAAATTGCAAAAGATATCAGTGAAAGAATAAAGAGACAAGAGCATAATGAAGCTTTAGAAAATTTAACAGTTTAAAATAAATCCATAAATAATATGCTTAAACTGCTTGCTGACAAAGAAAGTGTTAGAGGTATTCTATCTAAGATTTCTAACATAGAGAAATAAGCTAACTTATGTGTGCTAAGAACAGAGTATGATAGCTAATTGTAAAAGTAAATTTAAGAAATGAGAGATCAAATCGAAGTGAACTTTGAGTCTCTTTATCTCAAAAAATAGGTTTTCCAAATTGAAATGAAAAAATAGCAATCTACATTTGAAGATTTTGTAAATATTTGTAATGAGAGGTATTAAAAAGCTTCGAAGAATGAAGAAAAAGTATCTGATAAAATAACAGATATTTATTCAAAGTTCACATAAAAAGTGGATTAAAAAGCTTTCAATAGTTTTAAAGAGTGGTGCAATTTCTTTGTCCATAAAGACGATATAGATGACATATATACAAAAATATTACCTGTAGTATCACAGATGGAAATTAAATCAAAAGAATGTGTAGAAAGTGTCTAGCAATTTTCTGAGTTTCTTAAAAAGACTGATGAAGCTATACTCTTCAGAGCTACAAGAATGGACCTTGAAATTTTATAAAAAGATGTTTAGACTAATTTTATAAGCAATAACACCCACAAAGAACAAATTCAAAGTGTTGTAGAATCAACAAATGCTCAAATATAAGAAATAAAGCACCTCATTCAAACAAACAGAAATGTTATAGAATAAAATCTAAGAGATAATATTCATAATGAAATTGTTGAAGATCTAAAAGTTGAAGTTTAGAAGTATTTCTAAAAATTAGAAATTAATAAGCTTGAGCTAACATTAGATTCTATCAAAGATACTCTCACTAAAAAAGCTGATCTTTCAGACTTAATTCGTAAGGATCTTTTTAAATTTCTATTTATTATTTGTTTTTTATAATTTTTTTTTTAAACATATGCAGAACTTGATGAATAGAAAACTCACAAGTAAAATACTGAAAAAATAGTTTAATATGTGAATATGCTACATAAATAATTTAAATAGTTGAATTATTCTTGCCTTTAATTTATGAGGACCTTTTTACCATCCTAAGAAATAGAATCTCAAAATTCTAAATTATTTGAAATGAATAAATCAGTCAATTAATTGGAATAGCTTTTCGCATAAGCTAATAGTTACAGCATTTAGAGATATTTCAGATAAAACGGCTAGAATAATTCTCCTTCGAGTAGAAACAATGGGTCAATAAAATTATATGATTCGAATAACAACGAAATATTCATATACAGCTCTGCAGCATCTTAACGAAATTTAAAAGATTCTTCCCAAAGTAATAATTTACCTGTCAATACCAACAAAGAGTACTAATAAAATAAATAACTATCATTCACTTAGAATAACTACTTTTAGAGCTAAGCTAGTCATTCTACTTCACCTTTCAATAAAACGTTTTAAAAAAATACTGAAGAAACAGGTTTTAGAAATTAAACTCCTTAGCCGATATCAAAGAGATATTCGGTTGGGAACTAATTTATAAAGCTTAAAATTTAGAACATGAAAACCCTTCAAAGCAATAAATAAAACCTATTTTTAAATGACGAAGACTAAAATAGTCAGCTTAAAAAGATAAATAAAAGTATAAATATTGATTATACAGGTTCAGCAACAATGAATAGCTTTTATGATCCTAAAAAGAGTAAAAAAACATCAAATAACTAAGAAGTAATCAATTTAAGTATATAAAAATAAAGATGTCACACAGAAAACTGAACACGTGCTTCAAAAAATTAATTAAAAATTTAGTACACTAATAAAGCATAATATTAAAACAAAAACAGCTTTTTAAACATTACGAAAATATATTTTTGGTAATATTTTTACTAATAATAAGACGTTTATTTATTCAAATTAAGAACAATTAGATATTTTAAAATTAAAATTTATCGATAAATTAGAGTAAATAAAAATATAAATTGTAATCAATTAACATTATTTATTTTATTTTAACTAAAATATTTATATTTTGTTTCAATATTTTTAAAAAAAGAAAAATAATAAATCAAATTTTATCTGGTAAATTATTTAAATGAAATAAACTCCTAATAAAAGGCTAATTTTATTTTATTAAATTGGCAATTCATGAATATTTGCTTTTTATTTTTATTTGTTTTTTTAAAAATTATTCAAATTTTTAAATTTTACGTTTATTTAAAAGAGTTATTATAATTCATGAAAAAACTCAATAAATATCTATCTGAAATTTACTAATTAATAATATAAATGTAATAGGGATTATTTAATACAATAAAAATATAATAGGGATTGTTGCTATAATAAAATATGTTTTTTCTTATTTAAGAGATTGTTAATGAATTAAATAATATTAATTTTAAAAAGAAAATCTAATATGTAGCACTTCAATAAAAGTGCGCACTAGAATGATTGGTATAATAGAATAAAATTTGAAAATTAAAATTTTTTGAGAATAACTTTCTATCTCAAGGCTATTATGTCGCTAATGACATCAACGGATAATTAATCATACGTACTTGTAGGAGCATAAGAAAATATAGAAAATTTTAATGAGCTTCTATTATATATACCTAACTAAATTAAATTTTTTTTCAGCTAAAATGTGAAAGACAAAAATGCATGACGAATTTGACAGTGTTAGTGAAATAGTGGCCAATAAAATAGAAAAGGATTAATTATTTCCTCTTTCACTAGTTAGTTGTATTGCTGGCACTATTAATTTAAATTTGATGATGAATATGCAAAAATATAGATTTTTACTTAGTTGCATCAATGAATGAATGAATGAATGAATGAATGTATGTATGCTTGTATCCATGCATCAATCATATCAGATGATTTTATATGCTTATCAATCAATACCTGCTTAGAAATATATAATTGTTAAAGAGTCTAAAAAATTATAAAAAATAATAAATCTATAAATTAAAACTCAAAAATACAGTCTACAAAATTCTTTAAAAAAACAAATGAGCTAAGTTGAAAATAACTAAAATAACGATAACAATAGAGTCATCCGTGTTTACGCAGATGGTGTTTATGATTGCTTCCATTTCGGACATGCCCTTTAAGTAAATATAATTTTCAACTTTCATTCTCTCTATTAGTTTTATAATAATAAATATTACTAATTTATGACCAATTAATGAAGCAAAAATACTAATCAATTTATCATTTAAACAGTTAGAATAATGCAAAAAATTATTCCCTAATGTCCACTTGATTGTTGGTGTCTCTGGTCAAGAAGAAACTGAAAAATTAAAAGGATAAACTCTTATGAATGGTTACGAACGTAGTGAAAGGTAATTGAAATTATTTGAATAGTATTTATTTGTTTGCTCTTCAAATTATTTTAGAAGAGCTAATAATTTTGTAAAGAAATTTTGTGAGAATAGAATTTTAGTTAGCTAAAATCTAATTCTTTTACATATTCCTTAAGACTTTTTACATATTTTACTTATTAATTACTCAACAAAAAATTTGCAATAATATGAAAACTAAATTTTACATTTCCTAAAAATAGTGTTAAGCACTGTAAGTGGGTAGATGAAGTTGTTTATCCCTGCCCTTGGATTATCACTTAAGAGTTTTTGGATGAACATAAAATTGATTATGTTGCTCACGATGTTGCTCCATACACTAGCGCTGGAAGCGACGATATTTATGCTTTTGTTAAAAAAGCTGGTAAATTCAAAGAAACTAAAAGAACTGATGGTATCAGCACTTCAGATGTAATTATGCGTATTTTAAAGGATAGAGATGGTTACACTATCAGAAATTTAAAGAGAGGTTACACTCGCGAATAACTTGGTATCAGCTATTTTGAAGAAATGCTTCTCAGAGCCAAGGAATTCATTTCTGAATTAGAAAAGAAAGTAGTTCCTTGCTAGAGAAGAAAGAAAAACAAAGCTTAATGAATGAATTAATAAAAAATTGAATAAAATTAATGATAAATAAATAAATAACAAATATAAACTCATTTATTTCAAGCTTGTTTAGGAATATTTCTAAACAGTCTATATAAATTTCATTAAAAAAGTTTAATCCTCCTATATTATAATTTATGATCAAATATAATTTTTTATTGTATAAACTAATACACAAGTAATATGTTGTATTTTTATTATTTTATTTCATCGACTTTACTACGTTATTTTTACCCTTTTATCTTAGCTTAAAAATTATGTTGCTTATCTATTCATGTATCAGATGCCTTTTAACCAATTAAAGTTGAAAACTTACAGATAAAAGCACAGATGTAAATTAATTGCAATAAATCGCATTGATATATTGATTAAATATTATTTATATTTTACTTTAATCTAAATAATACAAAATTTCTTTATTTTTAATTTCGTTGGTGGGTGGGTAAATTCAAATAAAAGGAAGTAAGAATATTAGAATACAAAATAGCAAATTAAAGATTTATTTTAAAATAGCTGCTTTCTAAGTGGATGATTAGCAAATATCTACAAATTTTATTGTTTTTTATTAAGATAACTTTCTTTAACAGGCATAATGGGAATTTAAAAAGTTTTTATCAAATTTATTTTTAATAGCATTTTTGCTCTATCTTTAATCTAATAAATATTAATTTTTTAATTAACAATTATTAATATTTCCGATGAATTAATTTTTAGCAAAATAATTAATTTTTATCAAAATAATAGTTCACATCTCAAGTCAAATTCACAAAACTAAAAATATAAATCATATTTTTACTTAAATTCAAACAAATTTGTGTAATTTTCATCAGAATATTGAAGTTAAATGTGAAGAAAATAAATTTTTTAACTTTAATTAAATTAATTTTAAAATAAAGAAACATTGATTTGAGGATTAAGTTGTAATTTTAGAAGATAGAAAAATTTTACTTGTTTTTATTTGAGAATCAAAAGAATATTTTAAGTGCGATCTACTTTTTATAATAAGACATATTAAAGTCGCTTCTAGAATTCTGTTAAAATTAATTTAATTATTTTACAGACAAACCTTAAATTAGTAGAAGGATACACAAGAAAAGCATGGAATTTTCTTTGAAAAAATAATAAGCATTTATAGTATGAATCAGATAAATTTAATTAGGCCCAATTGGATTTGTTAAAAATAATCAAAAATATTAATAAAAAAATAAATAATTCACAAAAATTTAATATCGAATTTAGCTTAAAACAAAGAATATTTTTAGATACCCAAAAATGTAATTAGCCAAATTGATAGCTCCTACAGTCAGAAGTTTATATAAAACTCCTGTTTACTAATTTAGATCAACACAATCTTTATTTAAGAATAAAGATTTTTATTGTAATTATTTTTTTTCTATTTTTAACGCTTATAAAATCTAACATGTTTCACACATTACTTATTGTATGTAAATCATCTTATTAAATCAAAATAGCAATCCTCGGAGTTAAAAGAGATGCAACTCAAGATGAAATCAAAAAGAGTTATTACAAACTTGTTTAAAAGCACCATCCTGATAGAAATCCAGATGATGCTGAAAAGGCAAAGGAAAAACTTGCTGAAATCAACTCGTATATAAATTTTTTTATGATTTAATTCTAGCTAGATTATTACTGGCTATGTAGAAATAAAACATTTATATAAAGCATAATAGTTAGCATTATTTTAGCCAAACAATAAAAAATCAATGATTATTTTAAGTTCGGGATATGATAAATATTTTAAAGTTTTAAAAGCTATTATATTATCGATAATAAAATGAAATAAGCATTTAAGAATCTAAGCATTTCTTAATTATAATTATAGAGCTTATGAAACACTCAAGGATGAAAGCAAAAGAAAAGTATATGATATGACTGGTATGACTGGTGATGAATAATCCTAGGCTGGTGGTAATCCATTCGGTGGTGGAAATCCTTTTGGAGGAGCTGGAGGATTCTGGGGAGGCCAATAAGGTGGTCCTTCAGCAGAAGAAATATTCGGTGATTTTGAAAGCTTCTTTAACATGGGTATGGGAGGCGAGAGAATTTAAAAGGGATAAGATATATTTATGAATTTAGATATCACTTTTATGGAATCTATTAATGGTTTAAATAAAAAAATTGGATTTGAAAAGAAAGGTGTCTGTCCTACTTGCCAAGGTTCCAAGTGTAAACCTGGTACTGCACCTTCTAGATGTACTGCATGCGGTGGCAGAGGTGCTATAAACTATAGATAAGGACCCATGACAATTTAAATGGCTTGCACTAAATGCGGTGGATCAGGCTCAAGTATTAAATATCCTTGTACTACTTGTAGAGGAACTGGTGTTGCAAGAGTTAAAGCAGAAGAAGAAGTTTAGATTCCTAAAGGTATTAGCAGTGGATAAAACTTAAGAATGCCAAGAAAGGTATTATTTTGGATTATAAATACTTAAAAAATATAGCCAAGGAAAATTTAAATAAAAATATCATAAATAATTAAAAAATTAGGGTAATGATAGCGAAAATGGTGGCTAACCTGGTGATCTTATTATTAAAGTTAATGTTAAACCTGATAATTATTTCTAAAGAGAAGGATATGATATTACAACTACTTAATTTATCACACTCTCAGAAGTAAGACAATATATTTATTTATTTTTTGAATGTTTAAATGAATATCTTTAAAAATAGGCTGTTTTGGGTACAAAAATTAAGGTAAAGACTTTGTCTGGAGATAAAGATATAGAAGTTAAGCCAGGCACTTCTCATGGAGAAAAAGTGAAAATTAGAGGATTAGTAATAATTAAATAAATTAATAAAATGAAAAATTAAAATATTTAATTTAAAATATTAGGGTATCAACCATTTACCTCCAAATTAGAATAGTGTAGGTGATCATGTTGTCACTCTTAAAATTCACATACCAAAGTCTTTGACATCAGAATAAAAAGAATTATATCAAAAATTATCATAAATTGAATAAAAAATAGATCCATAGATGAACATGAATTATAATTAATAGTAATCTACTTAATAGAATCAACAAAGAGGATCTAATTAGTAATCATAAAATGAAGAACATGATGAAAATATTTTCAATAAATTCAAAAACATGTGGGGTAAATAATGACGATGATGCTGTTTACAAAACTTTTAAAAAAGAATAACGCCATAAATGAATCTCTCTGGATTTATTATTGAGCTTGTTTCAATTTAAAATAATTAAAACTTTTAGCTTTTAAATTATCAGAAATTAGTTAATATGTCACAAATAAATAAATAAATAAATAAATAATTAAAATGTTAATTTACTTACTTTGTTTAGTTAAAACTTATCATTCATTCTGCGATTACGTTTTTACTTAATTAAATAAAATATTATTTTTGACCTAAAGTTTTCCATAATCTTTTTGAATATTTTTTATATTGTACTCATTTTAACTCAATTTTTAAAATCAAATAAATATTCTAAAACTCTTCTTCAAATATTTAAAGTTCTCTTTAATTAAACTAACTAGAATTTAAATAAATTTAGCATTTTTATTAGGTACTTAAATACATCTTTTGGCTTTATTTTTTAATTTAAAATATAATGTAACCAATTTTTTTTATAGGATTTTTAAAAATCAAAAAAAGTATTATTAAATTTGTAACAAACAAAGTGACTTATTTAAAATGAATGATATTATTTATTACTATATAAAATAATAAACAGATGAATTTTTGTCTTTATAAAAAATTACAATTCGCAGATGATAATAATTTGATTATTTTAAATATTTTTAAATCTTTAATTTTAAAAATAATGTTTGATTATAAATTATTTTTAATTCACTAAGAAAAGTAAATTCTGTAACATTTTTATTTCAAATATTAAAAATTGCACCATAAAAATCTTATTGAATCATAAAAAAAAGTAGAAATAATCAGTTTTTCAAAGATTATATTAATATAAATAATAATAAAAAATACATCAGTGATTGTTTTTATTAAATATATTTTCGACTTTAATACTTTGAATAACAAAGTTAATTTAATATTTTAATTTTAGATTAATTATATTTAAATTGTAAAAAACAATAAATTCTAGTTGCAATTAAGAATACTAGCTGATTGTCATCAAAATATTAAATAATTTATTTTAAAAATCAATAATATTTATACACTATACTTAGTTTATACTCAAATTATTGCGAATCAAAATTAGTTTAAGGATAAAAATTAAAAATATTTATTAAGAATTATTTATCTTATTTTCAGTTTTGTAAAACTATTTCTACTCCATGCTCTTCTATTTTAAAGGGGATTTTTGTATCAATTATTTTTTCTGAATATTCATTTAACTTAAGAGGTGCTATGTAATTGTAAATACTATTAGGTAATTTAAACAGATACAGCCTATTATCCACAAAATTATTGAAGACTGTGCCTAATTTATATTTTTTAGCTTTTATTTAGATAAACTTATAACTTAATATTTACTAAATTCGGAAGGAGGATTTTGTACTTAATTTTTTTAACTGTTGTGCTTTTATCTTTCAAAGCTTACAGTATTTGTTAAAATTAACTAAAAGATTTTTTTTATAATTTATTTTTAATAGAATAAAGTTTAATTTTATTTTTAATTTAATTTACTGCAATCTTCTTTTTTTTGATGAAATTTTTAAGATCTGCTAAAAGATTTGTAACATTCCCTTTTCTGTTAAAATCTGGGTTGCTAATATAAGATAGAATTTTTGGAATAAATCCATCTAATATCACAAAATTTATATCAGGGCACACACTAAGCATATCAGTCAATCTCTCCATGTAAACTCTAGCTTCATCTTCTTTGGATATATTCTTTAATATAATTTAACTTAGACTATCTTTTACTCTTACTTATGACTTCAAACTTAATATACATATTAATCTCTCTATCATCATACCATTCTCAAAATCCACATATAATACTTAATTTTTGCTATTAGCCATCTAGCTTTAATACTAGTGATTTTTTACATAATTTAAGCTATATTAAATAAATAAAAATAAATATTCCCTATAAATTAAAAAAACATATTTTACCATAAGGTAGTCTTTCCACATCCAGGAAGTCCATCTTTTTATTAAATTTTTACTTTAATTTTTATTCCAAATCAATTTAATATTATTTTACAAATTTCTGTTACTTGCCCATATTGTATAAAAGTGTTTATTTCATTTTACATCTAGCGCTCTTCTTTATCACTTGAAAGAGTTTAAAAATAATTGATAAACAACTAAGGTTAAAGCTCTTCCTGAGTGTTTAAGTTTATGTTAACCCCATCTTATTTACTTTTTTCTACACTAATTTTATTTTAATCTTCATCATCATCATCATCATCTGACGAATTATCAGAATCTTAATCTTGTAAATCTAATTTTAAAATTTAATCCTAAAAATTAAAAAACTATTTCTTTCAAATTTACGCATTTATAGTTTGTTTTCTTATTGCTAGAACTACTCAAGTAAATCTTGTAAAATTTTATCTATAAAGTTCAGCTCTTCAACTGAAATAATATTCTATAATATTTATTGCTTTTTAGCTTCTTGGTAATCCTTTAAAGTAGCAATACCTTTTTTTATTAGCACATCTAATATTTTCTTCTCTTAACCATTAAAGATATATGAAATAACACTAAGCTTTTTATATAAACTAATATTATTTTTCCTAATACTAAAATAATAAAAATCAATTTACTTAAAAGCATTCCATTTCTAACTTTTAATCTTTGATTTACTAGCTAAAATCTTTATAAATTAATATTTAATTACTGATAAAAACAAAATAATCCAATTTTGCGCAATTTTTAATTGAAGATATTTAATAAAAGATAATGAAATCTAATGTGTTTAATACAATTTGTAATATCTTTTAAAACAAACTTCTATTTTGAAATAAATAAATAATCTATCTATTTTGTTAACAAATAGTAGACAATATTTAGATTAAAAAATAGATATAAATTAGAAATTTTTACCATATTAATGAACTAGTATTATGAAAAGTTATCTCTCAAAACAAAATTTGAAGTACCATAGCAAGTGCATGCCGTCTTGAAAGGTCATAAAGGATGTATTTATTAGGTGAAATTCAACAAAAATGGTGAATACTGTATGTCTTGCTCTCAAGATAGATCTATTATTTTATGGAACCCAAATAAAGGCACCCTTATAAAATAATTCTCAGGATTGCATAATTATGAAATTTTAGATGTAGCAATTGGGGAAGATAACTCCAAATTTTGCTCAGTTGGAGGTACTATTTTAAATTTGAATTATAAAATGATTAAATAAATGAACTTTCATTTTTAATCAAATTGTAAATGAAAAAGGTGATAAATCTGCTTTCTTGTGGGATGTTAAATCTGATAAATTGTTAAGAAAATTCGAAGGGCATACTAATAGAATTAATACAGTGTCTTTTAATGATGATGAAAGCGTGGTCATAACTGGATCATTTGATACGACTATTCGCTTTTGGGATTTAAAATCAAACACATATAAGCCTTTAGATATTTTTAAAGATGCTTAAGACAGTGTTTCTAAAGTGGTTATTAATAAGTATGAAGTATTAGCTAGTTCAATAGATGGTAAAGTAAGAACATATGATTTAAGAATGGGATTAGTAACAAATGATGATATGAAACATCCTGTATTGAGTTTTAGCTTAAGTAACGATAAAAAAACATATGCTGCAAGTTGTATGGATGGCGGAATAAGACTTGTAGATAGAGAAAAGGGAGAGATACTTAATACGTATTCTGGTCACTAGGTAAAAGATATAACTATTGGTGTAATGCACTCTTTTGACGACGCTTATCTTATCACAGGAAGTGAAGATGGTTCTGTTTATTACTACGACTTGCTTCAATCTAAACCTATTAATTAATTTAAAAATCATGTTAGAACTGTATCAGCAGTAGATTTGTCACCATAGAGAAATTTTATTTTATCAGGTTCATTAGATAATACTATTACAGTTTGGAAATGAGTTTTTATTTTATGATCTTAATATTGCTGTGGCATCATATACCATTAAATTATTTTCAAATATCTAAAATATAATATTATTCAATACAACTTTTATGTTATTTCAAAAAAGTTAAACAATATTTAAGTTATTTTTAAATATTTAAATGTTAAAATAAGATCAATTTAAAACTCTGTTAAGTGGAAGGAGTGGAGGGAGTACAATATTTTTGTGGAACTTTCTATAACCTCCTACCATAATTCATAATTGATTATTTTCAAAACTAAAAATTAAAAAAATAAGTTGATCAAACAATTTAAAAGAAGAAATTTTTTGGTTTGCAACCCAATTAAAGTAGATAAAGTGCTTTCTATAGAAGTGAAATGTTAGATATTTATTTTATTTTAAAAATTTGGTGAAATATTTGACATAAATTTAATAAATATTTTATTTGTAATTTAACTAAACTAATTTTTTTCAATCATTTGAATTGTTTTTATAATAACTAATTTATAGTATTTATTTTTTTAAAATGTTAATGATATTTAACAAAGTAAGAATGAGTTTTTTAATGAGTAATTTAACTTGTTTTAAAATCTTATTAATTGACATAAGAATATATAATTTTAATAATATGTATTTATAAGATTTTCAAATACTAAATTTTGTAATTATCTTATTGATATTGGTTTTAAATGATAATAGTAAGAAAGTTAGTTAATTTTAAGTTGATGTTTATAAAAAATCAACTTACTTAGCTCTAACTTTAAATCTATTGCATACTTTAATAAATTAAATTTTTTTATTGTTTTTAATTTTCATAGTTGTTCAACTTCTTTTAATTTTTAGCCAATTTCTCTTAGTCTGTTTGCAGCATACTAAAAAACTTAATCTTCCTTTATATTATTTCCTACAATCTCATTAAATACAATTTCAAAAGCAGGCTTTATACCAGTGTTTTCCAAATAATTATAATATTCTTTTTGGACGTGCTTTTATTTTTTATCTAGCTACACAGGATTAGATTAATTTATATTTATATAGTGCGAGTTCTTTTAATCTATCTAACTATAATTCAGATCAAATTAGCTATGCAAATTACTTTTCTAGCCCGAATGATGATTCATTTTTTCTTCCTATTTTTCATTTAACATAATTAAAAGTTTATTTAATACTATTTCAATATTTCTTAAAAGGTTACCATCATGCTATCAAATATTAAGCTATTTTTATTTGCCATTTTGACTCGCTATAAATTTTATAAGTTTTACTTTTTTGATTATCTAATTTTGTTTATTAAAATAAAAATAATAAATCTATGAATTGATTAATTTATTTAATTATTTGAGGAATAACATTTAGTTAAATTTTTTGTTAATTATAAAAATATGTATTTTATAAAATAACAAATAACAAACAAATAAACACTTATACTTTTTAGAATATTATAATTATATTGTAAATTGAAATATTTAAACTTATATTTAGATAGATTTAACTATTATTAATAAAGCTGTTATTATTCAGCTTGAATTTATTTTTAAATTATCTAAATTTTCTTTTTCTTTATTTAGATTTGTTGAAATAAAAAATTATTCTTTTGATTATTTTATTCATTCATTCATTAAAAGCTGTCTTATTTTTTTGGACTTAAAGCTCCAAAATCTGATCCTTCGAAATTTATCTTGTTATTATAAATTTCGTCTTTATGCTTAACCATTTTGAGTTTAGACACAATCTGATAGCTATTTTCTTCTCCTTATATAAAAAGCTCAATTTAATCACTATCTAATTCTTGTTCTTAGTTTGTAGCATATTACTTAATATTTGAAAGTTCACTTTAGTAAAAATATTTTACTGTTATTTTATAAATATCTTCCTTAGTTAATTGTGAATGAAGTAAATACTCGTTTTTATTCATTTTAGTGCTTACTTTATCTTCTTAGAATTAAATTTAGTCATCACTACGTTTTAAGAAGTTTCTCTCTGTTTAAATTTCTCCTATCATTATAGGATCAATAATTCTGACTATTTTCAATTTTTTATTGTTATAAATGATAATTTTCTCTCTGGCTATTCCTAAATAATTATCTCCAGATATCTTTATACTATCTATTATATGAAGATCTCTTAGCTTAGGAAAGTTATAGCACAAAAGGCTAAATTGAGCATCACTCAAGCAGTATCTTTTGTAATACCCCATAAAATCGTAAAATGTTCTAGGAAGTCTATTTCTTTCGTCATTAGCTTTATCATCGAAATGAGTAACTGTATTAGATAAGCCCTCTGCGGTTTTTGAAGTTGCATCTAAAATACCAGTAATTGGTTTCACAATAGCTCCTGTTAACCCCTTTACTGTTCCTAACAAGAATCCTGTAACACCATCTTTTTCAGCACCTTCTAATGGTTATTCAACAATTCCAACTATACCTATTTATTTTTTAAAATTAATAACCTTAAAAATTTTATAAATTTACCTTCCTAAAATCCTCTGAATATTGAAATACCAGCTTATTCTATTCCATCTATTGCATTTTAAGGCTACTTCATCATAAATCTTCTTCGTTTTTCTTGATATTATTTGTCCTATTCAAAAAAATTATTAAATTTAAATCCAATAACAACATTTTATTCATTATTTTAAAAATAATTTAAAATACCATGGTCATTTTGGATACACCAGTGCTTATTGTTCCTGTCATTTTATTCAAAGATTAGAAAGTACCAGCAACTCCATTTTTTAGCAAAGAACTTGTACCTTCAGTAATACCAATTCCAAATTCAACGGGACCTTATTATATTCCTTCTATAGGTTTTTCTACTAACTCCTAAAATCCATCTACTATTTTATTGTAAAAGCCAACAGGATTTCCTATAAAAATAATATAATTTATTTCTCTTTATTTTTATAAAATATTTACCAATAATTTCAAAAGATCCTAAAATTCTAAATAATTATCTAAATGCTTATGATTTGTAGTTTTTAAGAATTTAATTCTTAATCCCGCTCTGGCTATCATAAACCTCTTTCATAATGTATTTCTTTATTTTCAAAGGTGCATCATCTACATTTCCAATTGCTGTTCCTAAAACGCTAGCAAATGTATTTAGCAGGAGATAAGAATCAGGCTCAGATATAAACGAAGGATGATATGAAAGTCCAACAAGAATTTTTCCTATTTAGAGATTCTTAATATAAATACCAGAAGATACCTCAGGCAGATCATGGAATCTCCAATCTTCAAAAAATGATGCATGCTAATCAAATTCTTCTTTCTTAAGTATATCTTTTTCCATCAAGCTCTATAAGTAAGATATTTCAAGTTAAATTAAAACTTTAGAAAATAAATCAAAGACTAAAAAATAATTACCCTCTTTTTTTACTGCTCAAACAAATATTTTGTAATTGTGTATTTGACATTAAACTCATCTTCCTCATCATCAATCATTTCTTCTATTATACGACTAATATTATTATTTACATCTATAATAGTTTGCAAATATTCCTAATCTATTTTAAACTTGAGTGGTGCTATATTCAATTCAAAATTTTGTATTATCGAAATCTTTTATTAAAAAAATTAATTTTTTATTTCTTAAAAAATAAAAGTGAAATTTATAAAAGCTGAATGAAATTTTTTATCAAATATTTTTTTTTTGATAATTTTTTATTTCAAAGAATTTTATAAATTTGAAATTAAAGAAGAATTTAAAAATTTTTAACAAAATTAAAAAGAAATTTATTTAAATTTATATTAAATATTAATCGTTTGAATTTAAATTTATCTAAAATATAAATAAATTGATTTTAAATTTAATTTTTCTTTGTTTTTTTTTTAAATGTTAAAAAGTTTTTTAATAATAATAAGCTACATTATTTTTTTTGTTTTTTAATAAATAAATTTTTTTTATTAAAATTTAATTAATTTAAAAGGAAATGTATTGAAAAGTTTACAGCTTAGGCTTAATGGTTTTGTTTCATTTTAAAGCAAAAAACTTTATTTTCATCGTTTTCCATGATAGACCTGTATAACTGGGGTGTGACATTAATTGGTGTAATAGAATCCTAGTCTGTATTGTTGTCTATTTGAAAATATTTGATATTTAAAGATATATCTCTAATGTCTTTGTTTTAGATAAAAGAAGTTTCTATGTTTTTGAAAAGGATATAATTTAATTCTTTGTTCTTTCCACCATGATTAGCTATAAAGGAAACTCCTATTTCCCTAATCTTGAGGTTCAAAGAGAAACCTCCCTCTCCTATTTAGTCCATAGAATTAATTTCATCTTATGAATTTAGCATGCTTTAATTTTAATCTATGCTTTAAATCACTGATTAAGTAAATGGCATTATATTAATAGATTTATTTTTTGGGTTTGTGAAGTTCCCAAAAAATTCTGAGAATGTAATAATTCTTGTCATTCCTTTAAAGCTTGTATTTTATTAAATCCTCATAATCCTATTTCCATACACTAGTTCACAAACTATGTGGTCTTCGAAGTTAATGCTCTGTAGATCTATTATGATAGGTTAAACTTTTAGCTTTTCGTCTTTGTTAAATAAATAAAACCTTTTTTATTAAAAATAAAATATTTATTAAGTTGATAGCAAATTAATCAACTATTTTACTTGACTTGTACTTTGCTCTCCTAGCAAGGATTTTACCATGCAAAATTTGTATTCTTATTTGGATAAATTATAAATTTATTAAATTAATTCTTTTTTTTATCAAAAGGTAAATATGTTGACTTTTTAATCTAACTATTAGAAAAATGTGACAACTTAGGTTGAGATAAATTTTATTTAGAGGTTTATGGAACTGCTTCTTTATTTAGCTATTTTATTTTTATCAAAATTTCAGAACAATTATTTATAAAAAGATAAGGTATATTATCTTCTTATACATCCCTTATCATAACATATGTTATTGGTCCTCCTTACTCAACTGAAGCATTCATAAATATATAATCATCATAGTTTTTTTCTGTTTCAGATTAAGAATCAATTTTTTTATGGCAGTAAAAGTGGTAAGTTTTTATAAATTCAACAGCTATTTCTCCTGACCATTCATATTTATCATTAGGCCTTATTTGCAAGGTTTGTTTTGCATTATGTTCCCATTTTTAAATTATTCTCTTTTTAGTAGGAAGTATATAAGTTGATTCTGTCCCAAACTATTTGATCTATTTAATAAAAAGGTAATTTTAATATTTAAGAAAAAATAAATATTTTCTTACTTAAAAGTTTATGGTAGATTTATTAACAATAACAATTTTTGGTATTATGGTAAGAATTTTTGTGTATAAGCTAGTGTTGTTGAGTTTGTGTTAATTAAACTTAAGAGCTAAATCATACTAGAAAACTTGCTTCTAATTTTAATTTAAATTTTATTAAGACTAATAATTTGCCTGATCTGGAGTCATTATTTTCAAATCGATGAAATCTTATTCCTTTATATTTATACTCTTAACAGAAAACTGAATAAACAAATTTTCGTCTATGTTTTTCTCTGTCTTTTTTTAAATGAATTCTATTTATTTGAAAGAAAGAGCAAGCTTCTCATCTGTTTCATTTAAAAGTATGACTCTATGGAAAAATTGATCATATTTTGAATGTTAATGAATCATACTATCTTCATTTACTTAGTCTTCCTAAATTGACTCTTATTCTATTTAATAGTTCTCAAATAATGATTTCTATTTTTTGAGCTTATTTGATAAAAATGATTATTCAGAATGCTGAGACGATTAGTCAACATTAGCGAAATAGTGATTTGAATTGTTAGATTCTTCAAGTTTCAGCATTTCATTCTATTGTCCCTAAATTATATCGTATTTTTATCCATCAACTCTATAAACAATCAGATCCAAACCTGTTGTGTTTATAATACACATTTTGCAATAAAATTTTATTCTCACACTTCCTCCATCAAACTCTCTCTCAATGTTGATTATTTATTCCTTTGATTAAAAATAATAAATAAATAAATAAATATCTCCAGAAAATAATGCTACTTTTTCTTTTGAATCTTTAATAATTAGCTATCTTGGATAAGTATTCTCTTTAGCTCCTCTTTAGTAAACAAGGAATGATTAGCTCTTAAAGAAACCAACAACCCAAGCCTTTATATCTATCTGAGAAGAATATGAAGCATAATTCTCTTAATACAATTATTAAGGAAGCAAGTTTATTTAATCTCCTGTTGAGTAACGGTGTTATTCCTAATCAAACATTCTTCTAGCATTTTCTATTTGCGTAATCCTAGATTATTCAGTTTTTAAATACTGAATACTTATATTTAAAGGCAGAGGTAATAAATTTTAGAAAGTTATAAGTGTATCGAAGACAAGTATAACTCTGTCTTTCATAACAGTATCATATTATTTTCTAACTAGACAAACCATTGGGTGATGATAAATTTCTTTCGACTAGTTAAAACCCAATTAGTATAATTCGATCAAGCTTTAAGGTCTGCTGTACTCTGAAATACTCTCTATATTAAAATAATTAATTCTTATTTTAAAAGTAAAATAAAAAAATCAAAATGCTTTACAATTATTTTTTGGGTTTCCTTAAATAGAAATATAAGTTAATTCATCCATAAACTCTAATGGGATGGCTCCAATTTTTTTAGGTTTTATTTCAAACGAGAAGCTTCCAACATTTTTATTTTCTAACTTGACCTAAAAGTAATAAATAAAATTTTTAATTATGATTTTACCAAAAAACAGAGAATAAAATAAATCAAATCAAAAAATAAATACCTTGACTTTGAATTGCAAAAAATTTTAAATAACATAACAAGAACTTAAAATAATAGTTTTTCTAACATCAACCAATTCAATTTAAGATAAAAAGAAGTGGTGCTGGTATTTCTTGAAGGTGTAATTGTCTATATATTGCTTGTTAAAATTTTATTAAATAATTTTATTGTTTTCGATTTCTTCTTTTTGCTTTTCTTCTAAATAGCTGATATCTCCAAAATTCTCATCCTGAATTCTTTTTTATTACCAGAGATACACATCTTGCCTTTCTCTATCAGATTTTATATCATAAATATAAAATGTTTAGTATCCTCTAGTTTCAAATTAAACCATAACAGAATAATGTGATTCAAATGTTTTAGCAAAGTTCTCTTGATCTGATTCTATCTAAAAATTTAGTGTTTATCCAGATTCGATTCTAATTGTTTAAGCTAAGTAATATTTTTAAATTATACTCTTTAATATAGATCCATAAATCCAATAAAATTAGTATGAAAAATTTTTGTGTATTTATTTCTTCCTTTAGTTAATTTTATTTTAAAATCAACTTAAATTGTTAAAAATTTTATATTAAATTTATTTTATTAATAACAAATATTTGCTAAATTATTCATTTTATTAATAATAAATTATTTTTGCAAAATTCATTTTACTAATAAATTTTTTGTTTAATTAATTATAAAAATAAATTATTTATAAATGTGAGTTTACCTTTTTAGTCTTGTTGTAATTTTTTGACTATGATTGTATAGCCTGTCATGTTATAGAATGAAAAAAGAGTAACATATTCTTTTTATTAATGATTTTCAGCACTTGAAGTGATAAATTTAGTTTATTGTCTGTGGAAGAAATTGCTTGGATTAATTGCTAAGCTATTTATCATAGACTGTTCAAAGTTAAATGGTATTTCAGCTTGATGGTTATCCATATTTATTTTCTACGAATTCTATTGAAATCTCTTTCTCCAATACTTAAAGCTTTTATATAAGACTGCAATCATTCTATCAGAAATATTCATGTTTATTAGTGGCTTTATTCCAAACTTATCATTCTAATTTTGCTCTATATCTAAGATTTTTTAGTTTTTTTCCTCATTAAATATATACATCATTTTAAAACTTGCTTCTTCTATTATAGGTTCCATTTTACCTACTGAGGGATTGAAATACTCTATCTCAAAAATACAAACGCCTTCTACCTTTCCAAGACCATTCTCTAAAGTGTACAATATTTCAGGAAAAAGCTAAAAATTTAAGTGCATCATTGGTATAAATGACTAATTTAAATCATTTATAATAAGGACTTCTACAGACTCTACAATTAATCTGAAGTTTTAGATGGGCTTATCATTTTTTTTACTTAGTTGTGACTTGGATAGCTGAGAATTCTCCTAAAATAAAATTGATAAATTTATTTGATTATTTTTAAAATAGAAAAAATTACTCCAGAAGTTTATTTTTTTGATTGGCCATTTTAGTTGAAAGTTCTGTTCACATTTACTATTGAAGCTCCACTAATGATATTATTAGAATTTATTTTTTGGCTCTTTATAATTTGAGAAGAATTCTAATTTATAGGCTGTAATTTATTATCATTTAACTTTTCCATGAAAATAGTTTGCTTTTTAGTGAAGTTTGTTCTTTTAGCAGCAGCAGCTAAGCTTAATTATGCATCATCTACTTAGTAGCTTCTGTTATTTGAATCAACCATTTCGGATGTGATTATTTAAGGTTGTGGTTAAAAGGTGTTATTCACTTTCTAAGCGATACTACCAATACTAATAATCTCAGATTCATTATCTTTATTATTAACTAAATTATCGAAATAACCAAGATACTACTTTGCATTTTCCTTAAGAGCTTTTTGAAACTTAAGTGTTGTGTAGAGAAGATCTAAATCCTATTTAAAAACAACAAAATTTTGTTATTATTTTAATTTAAAAGCTTGATAATTTACTTTGTAAGATAAATGACAGTTTGCTTTACCAATAAAAAACTTAGTGTTTTATATTAATTTAACTTCTTCTTAGCAATCGCAAGAAAATTGCGAATGAATCAATCTAAATTCAGTTGGTTTCATGATATTTCTCTTTTTAAGTTAGATTTAGCTGCTTTTTTCATATAAATCCTTAACTTGTATGTTTGATACTTCCAGTTTCTTAGCACTTATCTTAAGTGATGTATTCTGAAGTTATTCCATCTAATAGTTAGACAAATGAGCAATAGATTCATCTTCTTCTCTATCTTCTACACCTTCTTATTCGTTATGGTAATCAATGTGATTGGTATTTAGAGTGTCTTTTTCATAGAGCACTTTCACAGTACCTAATTGATTCATTCTTATTAATTAGTTAAAGTTAAAACGACAAAAATTTTACCTGAAAGTACGATGATTTATTTTTCTTTAGGATCACTCTACACACCAATTAAAATATTTTTAGTTTTCAGATCTATTGTAAATGGTGCTGGTTATTTGTTCTTTTTTTCTAAATTAAAAAAAGTTTTAAATATTAAATAAAATTTTATTTTATTTACTTTGTTTGCTTGCACTCTTGCTTTATTCTTAAATTTCATCTGTTTTTATAAAGTTGAGAATAGAAAATATAACATATGAGTTTATTAATAGCTTTGAGTTAGCAAGTGTTATTCTCATTTTTGTACTTCCTTCTTTGTAGAATATCATAGAAACTGAAGCTTTAACTTATTACAAATATTCTTGTATTGTTTATTCTTCTGAATAGTTTAAATCAACATTGTTAGAAATAGATTATCTAGAAACAAATGATGATTTCATCATATTTCTCATGCTTGAGGTAGTTCCTCTTCTAGTTTCTTCTCTTAAATTTTTCTTCTTCTTTTCATCTGTTGGCTTACCATTTTATTTAATAGGACCGAGATCACCTAAAAACCCTATTTAAGTGTCTTCCTAAACTGGATCTCCCAAGAAAATTTCATTTTTATTTAAAAAATATGACCCAAATAAATGCTTTCCATGAAATTCAATTTCAAAATAATCACTAACTTCTGAAATGTAAATAAATTTTGCATCTTAAATGCTAAGCTTAAAAGAGTTGCAATTCTCTTAATTACCTGTTTCTTAAAAATAGAATGAAATTAAGCCTTCGTTAACATCTTTTTTGGAATTCTAATCTTAAAGATACAAAGATATTTCTGAAAAATCTAGCTAAATGTAAGTTTGTACTTTACTACTCTACTATTTTCTTACTTCATAGTTGAAGATGAAATATTTATCGTACCCATCATCAAAATTTAAATTTTAATTTAAGATATTCATTATTGTTTAGTATTAATGCTTTGATATTTTTAGATTAATTAAAGTTGATCTTCCTAAAATCTCTATTTGGTTCGTTAGATCTATTTATTTTTTATAATTTAACTTATTAAATAAAAAGCAGAGTTTAAGTAATTTTTATTTTTAGAAAAAATAAATAAATTTTCATTATTTTAAGTGAAAATGGGGGTTTAAGATATTTTAAAAAATTTAACTGACAGATTTGTCCAATTTTTTTACAAATATGATTGAAAAAATTTTTAAAACTCGACATAAAAATTTCCCCTCAATAATACTTTTACAAATTAATTTACTAAATTTATATGAGCTTTTTTGATTATTTAATTTAAATAATTCTATCAATAAATCAAATGTTATTAAAAAATTTCTAATGCAACATTATCCATTTTTTTTTAGGTTTGTGATTACACTTTCTTTTAAACACAGTTAACCATTATTTTATTTTAGAATTTATCATTAAATAAATTTTTTTTTGGTAATAATAAGAAATCTACTAATATTTGTACTTATTTGATTAAAAAAAATACTTTGTTGCTTTTTAAAATCAAAAATATTTAAATAATTATGTTGAATAATTAAAATATATTTTTAAATTATTTACTAAATCAATTAAGAAAAAATTGTTTAATTTACCTGTTTTATTTTTAAAATATTAAGAGTAATAAGTGAAGAAAGGATATGTCTCGATCTCGAGATTAAAGTGAATGTTATCAGAAACTCTAATCTCTTGGGTAGAATATTTCATAAACACTGACATTTCGCTACATTCGATTTGAATTTTTTCACACCACATAAAATTAATCTTACGATCATTTTCTAACTCTTTTATCTTTTTCTAATAATTTGAGTTTTGAATTGTGATTGAACCTAAATTTAATTCTATCCATTCATTAGTTTAAGGAGTAGATTTTAGTACTATTTTTGGTTTATCAATTGTTATCATGTAATTAATAAATTTAGGGTTTCGAAGTTATGAAAGAAGATCTTTTGAATTATTTTTATTCTCTTCTAACTCTGAGTCAGTATTATATTTGTTAGTTAGCACAGCTATTAATTACTGCTACCAGTAGTTTACTAAACGTAGAAAGGGCTTTTAGAAGTAAACAAGGTACAACTAATTTATTTTAATATCTATTACACTATATATGTTTTCCAAAGTATATTTGTTTTCAATTCCGTTTTACCCATCATCATAACTAACAAATTAAATTTTAATCACATCACCAGCCACATTATCATCTCTACCAAATATTTTCAATCCTTCTATACTAAATTAATTGTATATTATTTATGTATCAGGATATCTTGTTAAGTCGATAACTTATAAATCACCCAGATTCGCATCTAAATACTTTTCTTGAGGGTAAAATCTTCCCTACAAATTCCCTTAGATTATATCAATCTTTAACACGAAAAAAATGTTTATTAAAACAATATTAATTAGAAACATAATAAATCTATACTCTTGCTAAAGCAGTAAACTGATGCAGCCCATCATTATTTTTGATATCTGATGTTCTATGAATAAGGATCACTTGCAATTCTTCAAATTATGTATTTATATTTATTTTCATTGATTGTTTATTCTTGTTTTCCTCAGGTAAAATAATTTAAGCTTTTGATCCACCTGCGTAGGAACCAGAAATAGTTTGTTCTTCTTCTTCAATAGTATTTGTGTTAAATTTACTTTTTACACTCTTTTGGGTACTAGCTAATCTTGAATTGGTGACAACGTTTTTAGGTTTATTCATCATCGATTATTTGTATTTACTTTCTTGAATATCATTATGATTATCAAAAGACTATATATCTTTATATGCATAAGATTGATGAGTTTTTTGCTAATTTTATTAGACACTCTATTCTTTGCGATCTTTCTAATAATTTTGCTCTTCTTACTGCTGCGAGTTAAAAAATTGTAGTATTCTTTTGAATGTATCAGGTTTCCAATTCAAAAATAGTGATCCTATTGAAGCTTTAATATCCATTTCTAATCAATAAAAATTGCATTCATTATTAAACTTTATAGAAAAATATTAAATAAAATAACCTATATTATTGAAGCTTGGGTGCTTAGAATTTCTTTGAGTGAATTCGAATTCCATTAGATTTTTTTAAAACTTTTTGTTTTTGCTAATTAGTATTAAAATGAATGAAAATCTGTTTTGAACAATTGTGAATTTTACTCTTCTATAAAAGGATAGCTTTAAATTAAGCTTTCTATAAATCCTTGAGGGTATAAATGAATAAAATCTATGGCTTTTAAACTTCCTAGTTTAATCTTCAAATTAGTTTCAGAAGTCTTACTCGTAAAATCTAAATTAATAAGATCAATATTAATATCCATCCATTAAGAAGTATCATTCTCTTAGTGATTTTTTGCTATTAATGATGATTGCTTTTTGAAATCTTGATGGATTTGAATATTGAACTTTTATATGTTTAATTTTATTTCAAGTTTATTTTAAATTTGGTTGCTGTTTTCTTGTTAATTTTGTGTGTTTTAATTATTTGGAAACTGGTCACTTTCGAAATCTAGCTTATCACGCTGAAGTTTCTTCTTTTTCTCTTTCTCTTAGTTGATAATTCCTTAGTATTTTGTAAGCACTCTCATCCATTTTCTATATTCTTAACTATTATTAGCTGCTAAATAAATTTCTTTATTTTTAACTATCAATTTTATGCAAAAAGGAACTCCGATATCCAAACTGGATTCAGCCTATTTGTTTATTTATTTATTTAAAATTAAAAATGTAATTTTAGAATAGATTTTTAATGTCTACTTTAATGATAGCATTTTTAAAATATATGTGGTAGGTGTAGTAATCATCATTCCTGTTATTAAAGAAATAAAGAAAATTTCCTGAAAATATAACATAGTAGTTTGCCCATGATTTAAAAGTGTCTCCTCTTTTCATCAAATAGCCCTTTTCTTAAGAAAATTTAATCAAAATCTCTTTATCAAGCTAGAGAAACTCCTAAACCTTTGTGATATCATCTTCCATTTTAAACAGATCTGATATTTTATTTAGAGTAAAGTAAAGGTATGAAGTAAGGTTAAGAGTGATATTTGATATTTCGCTCTTCATTGTCGTGTTTGGCATTTGAGGAAATAAGCCTTTGAAATATTGATTCAACAATCCTAATTCCATGGAATAATTAAATTTTTCAACAATATCATGAATTACCTATTAGAAATTTAAAAATTAGATTTTGAATTTATAAAAAGAAATAAAATTTTTACTCCTTTTTTTCTTATTGGATTGTTGACAATCTCATTATATTTAGTCGAATTTTTAAAGCGTAGGTGATTATTCAGATGATTTATTGATGAAAAGTAAGAAATGGTAATTCCTGTTGCTTCAACTTTATAGTATTCATAAAATATTTCTACGCCTGGATCTAGTTTATTAGATTTCTAACTGTTATTTATGGTATTTTTTTTAAGTGGATTGTCAATAATTGTTTTTGAATGCTATCTTTCTAACAAATTGTTAGGTCCTAAGGATGGGGAATGGATCAGAGGGTTCTAATTAGGAGAAGCTTTGGAGAATGCATAATTCTTAGAATTTGGACTATTAATTATGTTATTACCAGAATTATTATTTGCTACATTACTGTTGTTGGCAAAAATAGAATTTTTATTTCTAATTTATTCATCTATTGACTAGAATTTTAATTCTTGAAAGTTAATAACTAAGCACTCACTTTCGTTGCTGCTCTAAGAATTCAAGGGGATAACAATAATTGGTGCTCTCATAACAATATTTTGTTCTTTTTTAAGCATAGAAAGGTCATATTCTTCTTAGTTAGATTAAATTTCATGATGTTGCTAAGATTAACTAACAAATTAAGTTTAATAATCTAGCCAACTAATTATTCTTTACAACTTTTAAGGGTAATAAGTAAATATTATTTGTTAAATTTCAGAGTTCAAAACAAAAAAAGTGTTGGGTTTATTTATTGGCTATTTTTCAAACCTAAAATAAACAAGAGGTTTCTTATCTTGACTGATTGTTTCAACTTTTTTGAGAATAGGCACCAGCACTTGGTTACGAGAATCCTGCTATTAAGTAAAAAGGCACATTTACAAATCTCTTAGCTCTGTAGATATTTCAAAATTTATATCTCTTTTAAGCATTTCAAACCTAATATCATAATATTGAGTTAGCAAGCCCTCTTCTATTTACTTGATTTTGCTGTTTCTATCATGATATTTTGGATGTTTACCTTGCTCTATTTCAATTAACTCACTAATTTAAATAGTACAAGATTATATTTTCACTTCTATTTGCATCCAAACGTATTCTTTTGGTCTCACATTTGCATTTCTGATAGGAAAAGCCTAAAATTTTTAGATAAAAACAGTAAGAAAATTAAATATTTTATTTGTTTATTTAAATCATTAAAAATTAGTTAAATAAGTGAATTGTTTGTTCTTTTATTTTCATTTTAAAAATAAAAATATTTTTATGAATCTTACTTAATCTATTGCTTCTTAATACTTAGCTTTGTCAAATTTTCTAGCTAAATTAAAGTTTTTCTCCTCTTCTTCCTCACTTTCAACTTACTTTGAGAAACCAAATAAGCCTCTACTTGACTTTTATTTTTCTTTTTTTGATTTTTCTGTAGATTTTTATCCAATATTTTCTATTTTACTCCATCTAACCAAATCTTCTAAATCATTTTTTTAAATTGCCTTTTTGTACCTAAATTATATATAGTCAATAATAAATCTTAAAAATAATCCTAAACATCAAAAACAAAAATAATGTTCGCCATATACATTTCAAAAGTAAATTAAGTAAAAAAACATAAATTCTTAATTTACCATTTCACTTGCTTTTAATCTAAAATTTTGTATTGATAAATCTTTTGAAAATCCTTTTCTTTTACCAATTTCTGTACTGTTGGTATTTTAGAGGACATTATTTTTTTTAAGCTCTCTTTATAATATTTTTCCATGAGAAATTGTTGTACCTTGTCAAAACAGAATCTCCAATATTAATTCCTCAGCATATTGAGTTCTTATTTAAGCAATTGTAGTTTTTCTTATTTTTAGTCAAGTTAAGACTTTAACTGATTTCTATCCATCAACTTATATTACTCATTTTAGTTAATTTACTCAACTTAATTATTTACTAAATCTAAATTTAAAGTATATTAATTATTTAAATCTATCAAGTTAGCTCTGTTAAACCCATCCAGCAGTGAACTTATGCTACTAATTTCAGCTTTTATCTATCTGATGCTTGATGTAACCCTTTTGAAATGCTCAATATCTGGTTTTGATGTTTTTATCTTAACTTTATCTTTTTCTATTCTCATACAATACTAGTAATTGCTTAGAAGTGTGCTTAGCATTAACATATCCTTTATATCATAAATAAAAATGAATTGGTATAAATTTTTGTTTGTTTTTCTCAATAATTTTAAACAAACACATTAAATTGATATAAATTATTTTTTATAGTAATTAATATATTTATTTACCTTTAACTACTCATGACTAATTTTAATATCAATATTGTTGAAAGATATCTTCATATCGAATTCAGGTATATCCCATTTCTGCACTACAAAATTCATTATTAATCTCAAGTCAACTGAGAAACAAACAATGTATTGAGTTGAACTAAATCCTCTCTTATAATCAAAAGCACCTGCTTAAGCTTAATAAATAACATATTCATACATTTTTTCTACAATGACATCTTAATTTTAATTAGCAAACATTTCAGCCTAGCTGTTTTCCCAGTAAAATCCAAAGTTTTTAATTTAAACTAGCTTATTTATGGGCTTATCTCTGTCTTTAGCATTCATTCTATCAACGAACGTCTTTTCTTTCCATTCGTTATTTACAGTAAATGCTTCAATTTTACCTATAGTTATTCCCCAAGCATATACTGGATTTTGAGACTCAAATCTTAGGTGAACATTTTTAATGCAAATTTCTATATTATCCACTACTACAGCTGCCAGCCGCTCTATATAGCCACTCATTCCTGTTGCCTCTCCTTATTTAAGCTGCTTAGCCTGCTCCTATTTCGCTTATTCCTATATAAACTGCTGTATATAATATTCTAGCCAATTTTATTTATAAGCCAAGGTGTTAAATGTGTGCAAATTCCATTCGCTCTTTTCCTTTGGTTGAACCATCATAAATATGTTACTCATTTCAATTCTAAAAGGCTTAGAGCGAAAATTTGTAATTTAAAAATTAACTTCGAATGTTTCGACAAAAGAAAATTGAAGTTTAATAGGCCATTCAAGTAAGTCAATTAATTCCTGCTTGATACGAACATTTTCTACTTTAAATTTTCCTGAAAACATACCAACATGAATATACTTTCTCTCAATACCATCTAGATATTATCCAAGGTAGGATTTTAGAATTTTTTCAATAATGTTGCCAAGCATATTCCAAATAAAATATCAATTATATAAAAAAATAAATCTGGAGCTTTTAAAGCTTAAGAAAAGCCTTAGAATAATATTTGCCTTTATAAATATTTTTAAAACCCTATTTTTAATTCTAAAATTTAGTTGAAAATACAGCTTTTATAAAAATTTAGTGTTAATTGAAGGTATTCAAATTCTTATTGACTTTATATTTTTGAAAAAGATTGTTAGTATTTAATTAAGCAATTTAAAGAGACAATAATATTCTTTATTTAAAACTAATAAAAATTTAGGAGTTTATTAATGAGTAGAGATTTTAACATGAAAAATAATAATTAGTTATTTACTTACTTACTTAAAAAAGAAGAGTTTTTTTTAATTTTTTTAAACAAAAAAAACTTGTTAAATTTAGTTTTACGTTCAAAATAATATTCTAAAATAATTAAACAATCAGTAAAAATTTATAAATATTGAAATACTATCAAATACATTTTGAATTTAATTTTGTAAATATTTGATTTTTATTATGAAAATAACTAAGACAATTAGTTATTTAGTAATAAATATAAACTTTTATAAATGTTTTAAATAAATGAAAAAAATAATCAATATATTTAATAATTTATGCTTAAGTATTAACACAGTATGTTTAATTCTCTTCTGAGAAATGATATGATGTTAGGACTACAGTTTTTGATGCTTTTTAAGTTATTTATAGAATTTAAGTATTTATTTAATCTATTCAAATAGTTAATTTAATTTACTAATCTGCTGAAATTATTATTTGATTTATTTTGCTGTTTCTCTCCTAAAATAGTTTGAGCAAACTTTATAAAAGCCCATCATTTAACTCTGACTTATATTCATTGAAACTAAATTTAAATAATATGTTTTATATTCCTAAACTTTTAAATAAAATTTTATTACCCATCTAAAGTTAAACTAAAGTTTTATAATTTATTATTTTTTTATTTTATTAGGTCACCAATTAAATCATTAAAAAAATTCTCTTCGATGTTGTAGTTTGAATAGCTTTTGTTAAAATTAAATATAAAAATCATTTAAATTAGATAATAAACACAAATATTAATGAATTTACTATTTTAAATTAAGCCTAAAATATCTTAGCCTTGGTAACTACTTTAACATTTAACCAAAGTTTTTAACATTATTAACATTTAATTGATTGTCTCTCCACCTTTAATAAAAAAAATATTTTATTTAATAAAGAAATTAATACAAAAAGAAAATGTTTACTCTGAAAAATTGAAAGATAAGTTCTCTAACTGAATCAACTTTGAAATCGAAGAGCATAAAGAATCAAACTCCTGAGGACGAATACCATTTTGCTATGAACCTCTCCTTTAATTTATTTATTTAAGAAAATAAATTAAATAAAATTAAAAATTATCTAAAAACAAATAATTGTAAATAGTTTTAAATTTACTTAGATAAATCTAAGGATAATTCACCTAATCTTCTATGAACTGATAAACACTAACTCAAAGAATCCCAAATGTCTTGATTTAAATTTCCTAGGCTAATAAAATATTTTTATTTTTATTGCATAAATAAAATTAATTTTACCCTGAAAGATTTAAATGAAGTACTAGTAAATACTCACAAGCTACTATTTATGTAAATATTGAACAAAATCCATTTACTTTAACTTCTTCAGATGTAGTTTCCCAGCTAAAAATTATTTTTTTATAATAACTTAAATATATTTTTCAATTACTTTTATGTTTAAATCTTACTTTTCAAGATTAAGCTCTAAAACCTTTAATGAAGTGCAGTTTTTTATGATTTTAAAAATACTTTGGAAAGATTCTGATGTAACATTCACCCAACTAATTTAATTAAATGTCTATATGTCAAATATTCTCAATTAATCATATTTACTTAGATGCTAAAATAGACATCACCTTTAGTGCTTGAGGGTAATTTTTTGTAGCTAAAGTGCTAAATATAAATAATTCATTTTAATAATTTTATCCTGTGTTGAATAAACTTGATCTATTTATTTATTTAATAATTGATAAAATTTAAGATTTAATAATTAAGATGGAACAAAAAATATTTAAAAAATGAAAATTAAATTTAAAATCAAAATTAAATCAAAAATATTTCATTTATATTTACTTTTTAGAAAAGTTGAACTAAAAGTAGTAAGGAAACTTTACAGTTTGATTTATTTTTTCAATTAAATTCATGTTTATAAAATTATTAAAGACTATTCTGTTTGTATCTCTTTGACAAAGTTTGTAGTCTTCAAATTTGTTTATGGTAACAGAACCTGTTGCTAAATAGGTTAAACTTAGATTTTAGTGTTAATTCTGGGAGTATTCTTCTGGATTGTACTCTTTGAGTAGTTTCATTTCAATTTCTTGCTAATTAGTCAATTTCTCTTCTATTTGAAGTTTGTCATTTAAATTTTGGTTTATTTATTTTAACTTTTTCACTTCATCTCTCAGTTCTTTTATTTCGTTTTAACACACTACAAGTTAAGCTTCTTTTTCTCTTAATTTTTATGCTATAGCTTCGTTTTACTTTTTGAAAGAATGTGTAGCACTAGAATAACTATTAATTTCAATATCATGGTTTGCTTGCTTATAAAGTTGTTCTTTCAACTCATTTTCTCTTTTTTAATACATTTACTCTAGTTATTTCCATCTTTCTTCTGCTTCTCTATTTTATTTTTTTATTTAATCGAGCTGTTTTTGCATATTTTCTGCATAAAACGGAGGAATTTCCTACTCGTTTTGCAAATAGAAATTTATTCTTTTAAGTTCATCGTTTTGTTTCCTTTCCCTTAATAATTTATGTTAATAGCTTAAATTAAATAAATAATTTTATTTTCAAGTTACTCAGCCAAATGCTGTTAAAATATTGCTTTGTCTCCTCTCAAGTTTTCTGATGTTTTTTGTTCATTTTATAGGCTCTTTGTTAGCTCTTCTATCTTTTTATTTTGACTCTTAATATCTTCCTCTAATTACAACTTTATTTATAAAAGCTTAGCATTATGCTATTCTATTTCTTTTTTAGCACTCTCTTCTTATTTTAATTTTTCATCTAATTATTGCATCTATTTAACATAAATATAATAATAGAAATTATTTTTTTAAATTAATAAAAATAAACCTGCTATTAGAGTTCTTAAATCTGAGTGTTTAAATTTTCTTTCATCTGTGTATTTTCTTCATCTAATTTTAAAAGAGTTGCCTTGTTTTCTTCATCTTTCTACTGCTATGGAACAATATGCCTTATTTTAAGATTTAACTCTACTTTATCTTATTCTAAATTCTCAATCATTCTTTTATATGTTTTGATGATTTCACTCTCATCATCTTTTTTGTAAAGCAATCTATTTACGTTGTAAATAAAGTTTATTATAAACCCTATGACACAGACATAAAGCATAGCATAAAAAAAAACGGGTTCGTTGTTATTTGTGCTTAACTAATATATGACAAAGATGATAACAGCAAGCTAAACTCCGAATCTTTCAAACTCCTTTAAATTTACATAATTTCTGCTATCAAATTAGTTACCATAAAACAAGTAGCAATCATACATTCGAAAGCAAAACACATAATCGTAAAAAGGTACTAATTTATGATCAGATAACTTAAAACAAGAGGCAATTATTGCAAATAATAAATCAACTCCTATTATAGTCCAAACAAAAATCTAACCTCCATAATATGCAGCAAGACCCCAAGAACATACTCTAGCTGTATATTCTCCAAAATTAAAAACGGCAAACAAGGCTTTCATTTTTTAGCCTGCTCTATTAAATAATAAATTATCAATTTAATATGTTTTGAATTAAAAAAAAATCGAATGAAAATTTAATTTGCTTACTATTTGAAATCTTCATATCTTATATAAAAGTAGCAGTAATTAGAATAAAATAAGCACACTATGCTCAAAGAGAAAGATATAACTTGAGCTTATTAGTAAGTGTCATTACTAACATTCCATACTAATGGCTTATTTTCATAAAATATAGATAGAATATTTATCATAAAACTTGGAGCAGCCTCCATTATTCCCTAATATGTTTAAATCTGCATAGCATCAACCATATACCATGGCTAAAACCAATATCTTAGTAGCTATCCAAATCCTAAAAATTCAAAGAAAGCCTTTAAACCATAGAGTCTATGCTCATTAACATATATTTCATAAGTTTTGTAGATATGGCAAATAATCATAAACCCAGTTAAGACACCAAAGAAGTGCTTGCCTTGATTCCAATACTGTATACACAAGTAAATATCTGCAACAATACTTCCATAATATATGATCATTTTCAACAAAAAACCAATAAAATTTTTAAAGTATTCCCAAAAACAGGCACAATAACTAAATTTTTTGAATTCTTAGTGATTTCCTTATAGCTATTCCTTGTCATTCTATTTCATTTTAATGGTTAAAAGTTGCGTGTATTTTACTCTACTTAATCAATTACTTTTTATTTAAGTTATCTGCAAATAAATATCTTTATTTGAATTAGGTTTCAGTAAACAAATATCAAGTAATTTTTAATCTCTAAATAGTTATAATTTCAAAAATTTTTAAAAACTCATAAATAGATAGATAGATAGTTAATTTAGAACATACATATTCAATATAATAATTAAAACATAAAATTCTTTGATTTGATTCTTTTTTAAAACAAAAAATTGATTGATAGAATTATTAAAAATTTAGCATTTTGTTGTGATTTTTTTCATTCTACTTGTAAACTTAACAAATTCAAAATTAAAATACTAAAAATGTACGAAGATAGAATTGAATATAGGTAGTATCAGTAAAAATAAACTTAAAATTAAAACGAGCCTAAGCGGATTAACACATAGCATTTAGATTCACTGATTAACAGACAACCTTCTCATCAAATAAAAAATATAAAACCATTCGATAAAAACATAGAATTGAAATTTATAGTCCTTTCAAAGAGTCCTCCTATAAAAACAAAGCAAGGAACGATAATGACTCCAATGATAATAGCAGATTCTACAGGATGTATTTAAATGAATGTCTTTGACGATTGTAAATTTATTCGCATTCAAAATTTTAGTTTTGTATTTAATTGATTTTTATTATACTAGACGGTACTTTTATATAAGAAAGCAACACATGCTACACATAAAACGCATATGCAACCATGTACAAAGATAGACTTATTCTATATTAAGGTATTTTTTTACTCAATTTCTTAACTAATAAATGTAAGTATTTATTAATAATTATAAGGAAAATAAGGGATATTAAAGTAGCTTTCTGATTACTTTTTCGATTTTAAGACAAAACCAAATATTAGTGATCAAAATTGGTCTGAATATTTGGCTTCAAAATAGAATAATAATATGAATTGATTGATGATAAAATAAGCTAAAAACAAAAAAATAAATATTGTATTCAAAAATGTTTTTTTAAAATAAAATTATGAAAAAATAGGAGTTATTTCTACAATCTTTAGTTGAAAAAAAAGTATATCAAGCACAATTAATGGATTAAATATTTTATATGTCTATAAAAAGTATTTCTTTAATTTGCAATGTTAATTAATATTCTAACATTTTACTTCAAAATATGTAATTTATAAATTTGTTTTCTCAAAAAACTAAAGCAAACTACTCAAAAGTAGTAGGATGTTTATTTTTTTGTTTGCATTTTTAGGCTTGTTTCTTCAATATTGTGAAATGTTTTTCAAAAATTTATTATTTCAATATGTTTAAGAATATTTATTTTATTTGTACAACTAATATTCTTATAAAAATGTTTTATTTATATATAAATAAATACACAAAAAAAACAAACATAGTATTTTTAGTTATTCAAAATTCTGAAGCTGATTGCTTAATGTTTCTACAAATTGAGCATCCTAAGGGTGTTTCTTGCCCATTTGGATTATGCTCTCCTTAAAATGGACACCCTTTTTTCCCTTTGCAAATAGGATAATCTTTTGGTTTCATTCGTTGTAAATTACTTACATTATTATGACACGGTTCACAAAAATGAGTAGTTCCACTAATTAATTTATTGTAAAACTATAAATAATTTTTTTAATGAAAAAATTTATTACAAACAAAACCAGACAGCTATAGAACAGCAATATCTGCATTTAAATTCTATGAATTCAGTGCCATGCTACTTACATTTCTCTACAGGAATTTCACAACAGTTTGGGCATATTAAATCTTTAGGTTAAAAATCTTTTTTATCATCATTTAGAGCTCTTTCACAGTCTTTCAGACCTCCAAAATATGGTGCTTTACATTTATAGCACATATAATACGAATAAATAGCCATAGCATATTCAACTGGTTTTTCAAAATACGGACTATCTTTTTTTGCCAACTTTTCATCTTTCTCTCTTCCTTCGTGCTTAAGTCTTTTTATTGCCTTTCAAAAATGATAAATTAAATTTCATAATTAATTTTTTAATTATTTTACTTTATCTTTTATTGTATTGAATAGCTTTCTATTTTCCTCTAGCATATCATATAGATCTGAATCTGGTGCTAATTCCATCCACTGTTTGCATAAAGGACATAAACAAAAATTAAATACAATTCTAGGCGATAGCCATTTAACTTCAAGCCTTTTTTTCAGACAGCTATAATGGAAAATGTGTCCACACTTTGATCTCATAACAGGTGCATTAATCAACCCTTCAATAAAACATATATTGCAGTATTCCTCACCAGTGACCCCTTTTAAACTTTCATTATCTTAGGCACATTTTTCAAAGAGGCAAGGTGGACACTTCAGCTCATTCTTGATACCACAGCAAGGATGGCCACACTTTTATTTTAAAAATTAAATTTTCCAACATGAAATAAATAATCAATTTACGTTAAGGATTTAATTGCATGCATTTTTTTGTTTTAAGGAGCACTCTTTCGAATTGCAAATATCTTAAAATGCTTTTTCATTCCTTGGTTTACCTTATAACTGTTCGTTACAGTACCTGCATCTCCTATTAATAATTTATAATCAGTTTAGCTAAAATATATTTATTTTTTTTCTAAATAAATTAATACTTGGATTCTTAGAATTTTTAGAAGTCAGAGCATTCATAGCCTAAGTGATAAGGAACAGATTTACAGCTTCTACATTATTCAGTTTTACATGCTGCGTTTTAACAAACAAATCTGTTTTCTGAATAATGCTGTAGTAGTTTTTTATCCAATTGTTTTCCATCTTTATTGTTTACAAGAGAATTGGGATCTCCCTTTTGGAAGTCAAATTTTTAATTACACTTAATACAAACTACTATGTCACATCCTAACTCTAGTACTTGAGTATCTAGTTTATCGTATTTTTCTTTACCTAAAATATTTTCGAAATCCTCTTTTTCGAACTTTGATTTACAAAGTTTGCATTTAATCTGACCTTTATTTGGAATATATTCCTCATTTATTTACTTTAACAAGCATTTTTTACAAAATACATCCAAGCAATTATTTAAGAACCAAAATTTATCACAATCGAAATTACTATCAAATTTCTGTTTGCAGCCATTACAAGTTGTTTAATCAGTTGCATAAATAGTAGCTAAATCTAACTATTCTGGTTAGGAATTCTCATAGTAATCTGAAATATCTTTTTTTTTATTTTCAGGGTTACCATTTTTGTTTTGCTTTTGATTAGCTTTGCCATCATCTTCTAAATCAGATTCTTCGAAATAATCAAATTCTTATTTTTGCTTAAGAGGTTTTTTGATAGTTTTTTTAATTTCTTCACTCTCATTAATTACTTCCATCCTTCTTTAAACTATTATTTTTTCATTAGTCTTTTATGAATCTGATTACTACTACAGCTATTATTATTTATCTTATTTCTGATTGCTACCATTCATAGATAGTTAATATTTACCGTTAATTAATGCATCAATGCTTTACTTTAAATTTCCTTTTTCTTTTTTATATTTTATTAAATAAAATATGTGACTAAACAAATATTACTTTCCATTATAACTTATTCAAGTTTCACCAAATATCCCAATAGTTCACCCCTTAAGATATAAAGTGGTTCTAATTCAAGTTCGTTTATTGGAATATCATTAAATTCTTTAGCTAAAGGGCTCTCTTCTTGAAATTTCTTGCAGTTAGAAATATGAGTAATCAAATCCTTATCAGACTAGCTGCAGTTGATTTCTTTTTCACAAAAACAAGATAGCAACATATTAGTGGCTAACTTACTAATTTTATATAAAATTATTTGAATTTATTATCAAGAATAATATCTAATAATTTTTGATATTTACTTAAATGCGGGAATATTAATTTTATTAATTATCATAGACAAATTAATTAATTAATAAATTAAATTGTTTAGAATATTTTTTATTTATTTCTGATCATAAATTAATTACAATATAATTACATACATGCAAAGAAACATACCAATATATTATGAGTATTTGAAACTATATAATTTGGTGTAGAATTTTGATCAATCATAACTAATATCTAAATTTCAGCGTTGAATCAAAGCAATTGTTTCATAAAATCTAAATTTCAACTTTTTGAATCAAATTATTTCTAAAGCTGAAAAATAAATTAAAATTTTGAGATAAAAGTATTTCGTTAAGAATTGATTCTCTCAAGTTTAATAAAAAACCTTCAATTAATATTTGTATTTGTTTATGAACAAAATAAAATGATTGAATTAATTAAAAAAATTCATTAACCAATCGTTTTAAATATTTTGACATTTTCATATAAAATAAATCGAAAATAAATATTTTTTTAATTATTTTACTAAAAAATCTTAAATACTTTATTTATACCTGCTAAATATTAAGTATCGCCAAGTAAATTATGCTATATAAACAAACGAAGATAAGACATATTAAAAATCGATGTGGGTAAAAATGTAAATATAAACAATGAAAATAAAATAGAAATACATAAAATTTAAAATAAAATAAAATAAAATAAATCAACATTTTTTTTCTTCAAATGATTCTTATTTTGGTTATTACTTAGATTCGGTTTATATTACCTCAATATACTCTTATTCTTGGTAAAGGTCTTTATTACTCTTGTTGAGATTGCTGTTCTTTCCCTTTTGATACTTATTTCCTTTATACTTATTATACTTTTTATCATTACTTTATAATAGGTTATTAGTGCCTTTGTTGCTGTTATTATTATTTGTAGGCTTTTAATTCTAATAGGCAGGTTTCTGATTATCATCACAAGGAGTTTATTCTTGGTAAGATTTTGTTTTGCCTCTCTAAAATGTAGTATGCAACGATTTTTAGTTTTTATCAATATCAATTTCTGATAAGTTATCTAATCTATTTTTGGCTATTTTTTATGTGTCTTTAAAAATATCGTTTGGGTCTTCAACATATTATTTTTAAATTTTATTTTTCAAAGAAATTGTGTTATTGTTATTATTATTGTCATCATCTTAGATTGGTATTTCTCCTATTTCAGATTAAGACTTATTATTTTTTTTCTTTGGATGCCTTTTTCCATCATTTTTTTTATAGTTTTGCTTTTCTAGTTGCTAATCTTTTATTGGCTAACTTTCAAGTAATTAAGAAAATCCAGCTTTTTCATTTGATTCTTCTTTGATCTCTTATACACTTTCTTCTATGATTATTGAATTTAACTAAATATTTCTAGTTTTCTTCTTATATTTTGGTCTAGGTTTTGGAGCTTTTTCAGCTTATATTTCACCATTAGAAGAAGTTGGGGATTTTACTTTAGCAAAAGATTTAGTTTAATTTTTCTATTTTTTATCAATAGCTTTATTGATTATTATTGACTATGTTATTTCTATTGGGTAGGATTTAGTAAGCTAAATTTAATCTTAGGAAGTTAATTAAGACGAATCTAAGTTTGATTATCCTTTTTATTGCTTTTTTTAAGCAGATTTTCTTAATTTCTTGCTTTCAGCACTATTGTTTCCATTTTCTTCATCGCTAGCCTGTTAGTGTTAGCTAATAGGACTACTTACAACTATTTCTGTTTAGGAACTCATTTTTCTCCTTGATTAATTAATTGAATTTTGATATTCCTTTTGAATCTACATATTCTTTTTCACTTCTAGTATCTATAGTTTTGTTTAAATTCTAAGATTTTAATATTTTTTATAGTTTTCAATTTGATGAACTTGTTTATAATATTTTTCTAACATTTTAAGACTGTTCATTTTTGAGAATAAGTCATTGCTTTTATCAGCAAGTTCAAGAGCTTAAAGAAAGTAAGATTCTGATTTTTCATAATCTCCTTTTTTCAAATAAATAATACCAAAGTTTCTTAAACAAGAAATAATTTAATTATGAAAAGGATTGTTTTTTTGATAAAGTCTTAATCTCATTTAATAGCATTATTCTTAATTTTAAAGTGCTTATTCGTGGAAACCAATTTTACTTTCTAGAAGAGATATCGAGTTCAAACTATTTGAAATAAACCTGTGGTCAACTTGGTTATGTATTTTTAATCTAATCTCCAAACATTTGTTTTGAAGCTCTAAGGCCTACAAATCTTAGTTTTACTGTTTCAAAATATGAGACTTAATGTTCAAGCATGAAGCAAGCTGCTTATTCAGTCTTTCTCCATACATTTACTTACCTTTCTAAATAGCTGCATCTATATACTCTAGTGCTTTATTATTATGCCTTAAAAAGAGACTTGCTTGAGAAAGCTTAATGAGAGTTAGCTAAATCATATTATTTAAGTCTTCGAATTCTATTTCACTCTCATTTAGATTAGTTTAGCTATTCTAATTTAAATTTTCTTTTTTTAAGCATTCAAAAATTTGTAAAGCCTATTTTAAATATTTAAGACCATTGCTATAGGAATTAATTTCTACATAAAGTCTCCCAATGACTTAGCAAATATAGCCATACAGAGAGTCTCTTTGAAGCTAAATCTTAAAGGTTTCTTTATTTTATTGAACTTACTCAAAAACCATTTCTTTGTACTTATTTCTGGCATCTTTTGACATTTATAGAGATGACATCACATCACCCTTAGTATTTAATAAAATAGAATACTAAATAGTAGCTAAAATAGCCTCTCTATTGTTCCTCCATTTAGTAGAAGAAAATAAATTTAAAAGCTTTTTATTCCAAAAAATAGCTTTATCAAGTTCACCCTTTTCATTTAACAATATTATACTCTCTTTTATGACCCTTACTTTTGTATAAACATTTTCTTCTGAAAGTTGTTTATTATCTAATTTGCCTTTTTCTTCACCCAATAATACCTTAAATTATCTCTCGTATGAAGACTCCAATTTATGAAATATTTCAAGAGCTCTCTGATCTTATCCCAAACTGTATAAAATTTCAAAAAGTTCTTAAAGTTAGTCTTCACTTTACTCATTTATAAATTTTTCTTTCTTCATTTAAATAATATTCTAAATTAACTCCTTCATTTAGTCACTTAATTTTAAATAATTCTATGTAATATCAAAGTGGCAGTATTTTTGTTTATATTCATCTATCTTAAAAGGGTCAATCAAACACAAGCTATTCAATGGATTGATAATAGATTCATTTACTATTTATTTTTATAAAAACAATTAAATATTTTTATTCATAATAAATAAAAAATTGAATTATTTTTTCATCAAAATTGTTTATTTGTTCTTTTTTGTGAAATTATATAAAATTAAAAATTTTTTTAACAAATAATTTATTTATTTATTTGAGGAGCTTTCTAATATTGCTTACCCTCGTAATTTAAGTATGATTAAACTGATTTATTTATATATTTAAATATAAAAGAATAAATTTAATATTACACTAATCTTCGTTAATAGTTTTTTCAATCAAATCTAAATCTCCTTTGAAGTCAACTACTTTTTGCATAAGTGAAGCAAGTCTTGGATATTTTGATTTAATAAATTCTATTCCAAAATCAAGTTCAGGATATTATTTAAAGTTATTAACATCTTCTCTTTCGAAGCATATTATAATCCAAATTGAACGGATGATTGCGAATATTTCACAAATATTAACTTCTACTTCGCTGAGTACATACTCTTTCATTACAATCATATCCAAATATTCAGGGTGATAAAACTAATCAGAATAAAATTCATAGTACTCTTTTTCTTCGAATCCAGCAGCTCCCAAGTCAATATATTTAACCATATAGTGATTAAATACATTTTCTACTGAGAAGAGCATTAAATTATGAGGCTTTATATCACCATGAAAGAATTTGTTTCGTCTAAATGCTATAAGGCCATGAATTAGTTATCTAAATATTTTAATTAGGTGGTCTTGTTCCCAACATATCTAGTTTTTAGGAAACGAAGTATTATAGTTTTTCATATGAATGTACATCTCATAGAGATTACAGCAACCCATTTGCATTTTTATTTATCTCTAGCTCCTGTCTTCATCAAGCATCAAGTTGATATAGTCGTGAAGTCCAGTATGCTCTTATAAAAATTTATAAATCTTAGACTCTCTGTCAAACTCTTATATCCTTGCAAATTCTTTTAATGCTATAATATTGTTATTGTTTTTATCAAGAAATGTTGCCACTTTTCCTTATCCACCGTTTCCTAATATTTCCAATATTAAATAATCGTTTGCCAATCTTTTTTTCCAGCTTTTTTATTATAAATCGTTATCTATTTTTTAATAATTAAGTTTGCTGCTGTCATCTTCTTCATCTTCATATTCGACTTCTTCATCGTCTTCATCTTCTTCCACTTCATTTTCTTCATCTTCTTAGCTATCTTGTTTAGATTCTAACTTATTTAGCTGCAGATTTAAGGAGCACTTAGATTTCATTCTTTCAAGCTGCTTTGATAAAATTCTATGCTAAGAAACACTGCTGTTGAAGAAAAAAGATCTGTTTGTTTATCTGGAAGTGCTTACTTTTCCTATATTTTCAAATTCATCTTCTTTTGATATATTAGAATCAGTTACTTCACTGCTTTGTTGATAAAGAGAACCATCTTAATTATATTCAAAACTTATTTCATTTGATTTTGCTTGGATTTCCGATAGAGATTCACTCCCATTCACTTCGCTATTTTTCTTTTTAAGCCTTTTATTGTGTGTAATGTCTTATTCCATGCTTATCATGGTATATTCACTGCCATGGCCTTCTAAAATATTTTAGTTTAAATCACATTTTTCCTCATCCTATTTGCTTAAATTTTAAGAAGGGAATTCTTAAGCTTTATAGTTAAGCTTTTTCCTATTTCTTTTGTTTAAAGTGATATCAAATTTAGAGTTAAAAGGTTGGCTATCTAATTCATTTAAGCTAGCACTTTATTCGTTTTAAATTCGTTCCATAGTTTTTTCTTTGTTTTCATCTGGATTTTGATAAATCATACAAATAATTGTTAAAGTTTTACCTACTTAAATGTTTATTGATAAATATCAATTTATATTAAATTTTGATAAACTACAAGATTAACAAATATTCTTATTATTTTACCTTGTGATCATAAAAAAACTAGTTTTTTTTGCAATTGTTTTAGCATTTTTAAGAGATGAATAATGATTATTCATGTATATACAAATATATTCGACAAAATCTACATGATATTACATAATTATTTTTGAAATTTACCTTTAATTAGTATACAATTACAATAATAGTATTTTTTTAACAATTTGATATCAGGTTCTTTAAATTAATGATATTTAATTAGGTCTATTAATCTAATTATACATTTTCATATCTAAAATAAGATAATTTTATCAGATTTTATGATTATTTTATTCACTCTTTTACATTTATTCTACATTTTTAATTTTCATTAATCTAAAAAATTTTAATAATAAGCATAAAACCTTTTATGTAAAAACTATTCATGAAAAATATTTTAATTTGATATTGTATTATCACTTAATTATTTTTTGAAAATTAATTAAAAAACTAAGTTACAATATCTATGGGCAGTAAATAGCTTTTAAATATTTAAAATTTTACCAAAAAAATATAAATGTAAGCAATTCTAATTAATAGATGTATTTTAATTTGTTTAAACTTTATTTGCTTACTTTAAGTAATTTTTTATTTTTATAAAATGAATTATTAGTTTTTTTGTTAAAAAAGGCTTATAGACATATAGTTTTATAAGATATTTACTATTTATTATTCAATTCTAATAAAGATATATCTATCAGTCAATCAATCAAATATAATCAATTAATCTTAAAAACCTTTCTTCAATCTAAATTTGTTGAATTAGATAGCTAGCTATATATAAATAGGATTGATTAAAAATAAATGAGTTCAAGCAGAGAGAGAAAAAGATCAGAGTAAACTTATTTGCATGATCAAAAATAATTAAGCATGGAATTAAAAACCATTTTATAAAGTTCTAGATCTAAAAAGGACAAAAAAGACAAGAAAGATAAAAAGGAGAAAAAGGACAAGAAAGATAAGAAAGAGCATAAAGAACATAAAGAAAGAAGAGACTCAAGGGAAAAAAAGTCTAAAAAAGAATCAAAAGACCGTAGAGATAGAAAAGAAAGTAGGGATAGAGAAGAAAAGAAGGATAAAAAAGATAAAAAGGATAAAAAGAAAAGGTAAATTTTAAATTATTATGAAATAGTGCTCATGATTTTATATCAATAATAGAGATAAATCTGAAGATAGAAAAAGGAGAAGTAACTCTTATCATTAAAAAAGGTAATCACTTAGCAATAAATAAGCTTTGAGCAATTAGCAGTAAAATTTTATTTAAAGAAAAAGGTCTTCTACTAAGAGTAGCTCTAGAGGCAGAAAAAGATCTCAGCCTTAAAGAGGGTACTTATTAAAAAATAGTAAATTAGGTTTTATCATAAAATATTTTCAATATATTCAATAGGTAAAATTTTGGATTTGCGTTTGATAGTCCTCCAAAAGAAATCACATAGAAAGAAGAACCTGCATAAAGTTAAGAAGTCGTTAATGACTTTTCAAATGTCATAAACAATCCTAATTTTAATCCTAAGTTCAAAGAATTATTTATGAAGTTATAGAATAGCAAACTGCCTGATTTATAAAATTCAAAGTGCGATAGAAAACTTTATATAGGAAATATTCCTCCTGGTTTATAGCCAGTTAAAGTAATTTCTAAAAACAAAAATATTTTCAAATATTAAAATATTTAAAAAATTAGTGTTAATTGATGATCAACAGTGCTCTAAAGCAACTCAAAGTCAATTAAGAAGTAATTAATTAATTAATTTATATAAATTAATAGATTAAATTATATATTTTTATTTTAAAATACTTAGACGGTAAATTTAAGTTCTTCACACAGAATTCATAAGTTCTTTAAAATTAAGTTTATTAAATTTAATTTTTATATATTAGCCTGGTGATTCTTGCGTCAGTATATGGATAAGTCCAGAAGGTACCTTCTTTTCTTTTCTTTAATTATTAATATTAAAGATTTTCTTTAATTGAAGTTAATTTATTTAATTTAAGGGAATTATGGTTTTGCAGAGTTTAGAACACCTGACGAAGCAACAAAAGCTCTTAATGCATTAGTTAATGTAACATTATTGGGATAACCATTAAAGGTAGGGAGACCTGCACAATATACAAAATCTTCAACTGAAGTTTCATCAAGTGGAGGTGATTAAATTTTACATTTTCTATCTAGAATATTAATTCAATTTTTTATATTTTAGCCAATTCTGGTGCAACTGGTTTTTCTTCAAGTGGTCGTTTTGATATTCTTAGTTTGTTAGATCCTAATGGTAAAAACAATAAAAAATTTATTTTTATTTATGCTTAAGTATTTATTTATTTTTCTTTAGGCTAAAAAAAGGACTAAGAAGAAGCTGAAGGTGCATAATAAGCTGCAAATTTAACTTTGATCCCAGGATTAGAGGCTGCTCCACCTGTAACAAATAAAAATGTAAAATATTAATTAGATTGGAAATTATGATGGTATTAATTAAAAAAAAAATTAGATGATAAGTTTAAAAGTGTAAATACCAACTAGAATCCTTGTTTTACACAATATGATTGCAGATGGTGAATTAATTATTGATGAAGAATTCAGATAAATAGAAGAAGATGTAAAAGAAGAATGTTCAAAGCATGGTAAAGTAGTAAAAATAACTATTCCAAGACCTAGCGATTCAAATGAATAAGTAAAAGGCTAAGGCCGTATTTTTGTAGAATATGAAAATACTGATGCAGCAAGAGATGCAAGAAGAGTAAAAAAAACAATTTATATATTTAATCTATTTTTCAACTAATATTTTTTTAAAAAAGGATCTAAATGGTAGATTATTTAACAATAGAACTGTTCAAGTATAATACTTCAGCGAGCAAAAATATTTAGATGGGGAACTGGATTTTAGAATAAGATGAGAATGGAAATTGATTGAATTACATAGTTACTAATCTTAGTTAGTTAGTTAACATACATTCATATTATTTATATTAACTTTTATTAACTAGAATATAAAGTTATTCCATTATTTATTTTAATATCTTAAATTAAAAATTTTATTGTACAAAAAAGAAAGCTCTACCTTTTTGATATTTAATAACGATTTCTTCTTAGTATGGATTCCATTCATAGCTTCTCGATTATTACCATAGAACAACATTTAAATCAATTTATTAATTAATTAATGAATCAATCAGCAAATATGAATTCAATATTTTTAATTATTAGCATATTTTCAAAAAGAAGTCAATTATTTATTCATTCTATCAACCAATAAAACAGCAAATCAATAAATAAATAAATAATTAAATGAATTAATGAATTATCTACTTATCTCAAAAGATTCAAACAAACAAACTTAATATCTAACAGATTTATTAATTTTATTATTTTATAAATAGTAAATGAAATTGAAGATTATGAATTACTAATATTTATTAATTATAAATAATTTATTGATGGTTGTGGTAGATACTATTGTAAATGTAGTTTATTACTTTAAAATCAAATTAAAATTTAATCATATTTCAAGGCATTCATTCTATTTTTTATTTATTTTTGGGTGCAACGAAAACAGATCAAACAAACAAACAAAAAAACAAATAAAAAAATAAACAAATAAACAGCTCTAAACGAATATTTCTAAATTTCTAAATTCACAATTTAATTAAAAAAAATTAAAATATATTGTAAATCTTCTCTTTATTGTATTTTACAAGTATGAGTTCAGAGTGTGTTAAGGTTATGGTCCGTTGCAGACCTATGAATAAGGATGAAAAATCCAAAAACTGCTAATCATGTATCAGCATAGATTAGGATAACAACTAGGTTATTTTATCAAAGCCAGGAGAAAGTGACAAATAAAAAATCCATGCATATGATGATGTTTTTGCACCTGATTCTACTTAACAATAAATTTATGAATCAACAGCTTTTCCTTTAGTGGAAAGTGTATTTGAGGGTTATAATGGAACTATATTTGCTTATGGATAGACAGGTAACTATGATAATTTTTATTATTCCAGCTTTACATTAAATTATTTTAACAAATTTTATTGCTTTTTACATTTAATAATAAAAATAATCAATAGGATGTGGTAAAACTCATACAATGATGGGAGATCCATCTGATGAACAAAACAAAGGTATTATACCTAGGACTTTTTCTCACATAATTTAAGTTATAGAAAACGAAAGCAAGAAAGAGTTTTTAGTCCGCTGCTCATATATCGAAATTTATAATGAAGAAATACATGATTTGCTTTCTAAAGATATTAAAGCTAGATATGAGCTAAAAGAGTCTCCTGAAAAGGGGATCTTTATTAAAGATTTAAATAAAGTAATTGTTAAATCAGTCAAAGAAATGGAAAATTTAATGAATATTGGAAACAAAAATCGCTCTACAGGTAAATATAATTAAATAAATTGCTTTAATATTTAGAAATTATTGAGTCTGATTTCTGTTAGATTCTTGTAATTTGAATATAAAAAATAATAAGAATAATATGATTGATATTTTGCTTATGATTCTTATCATAAAGTTGAAATAAAATTATTTAATTGACTATTTGCTATTGTTTGAGATAAATTAATATTTTTAATATATTTATTAATTAGGAGAGACTGCAATGAATAAAGATTCTTCTAGATCTCATTCTATATTTACTATTTATATTGAAATTAGTGAAGATGATGGGAAAGGAGGCTAGAAGATAAAAGCAGGTAAACTTAATTTAGTAGATTTAGCTGGTAGTGAAAGATAAAGTAAGACATAAGCAACAGGAGATAGATTAAAAGAAGCTAATAAAATTAATTTATCTTTAAGTGCTTTGGGAAATGTTATTTAGGCTCTAGTTGACGGAAAGCATTAACATATTCCTTATAGAGATTCCAAATTAACGAGACTATTGTAAGATTCTCTTGGTGGTAATACTAAAACAGTAATGATTGCTGCTATTTCTCCTGCTGACTATAACTACGATGAAACTATGGGTACACTGAGATACGCTTCACGTGCCAAAAATATTCAAAATAAACCTAAAATTAACGAAGATCCAAAAGATGCACTCCTCAGAGAGTACGCAGAAGAAATCAACAGACTTAAGAATATGTTATAAAATAATAATGGGAAGTAAGGTGATTAAGATAATAATGACTAAACAAGAAATATGTCTGAAAGTCATAAAAAAATTCATATAGAAGAAATTGAGAAACTAAAAGAGGCTCATAACGCTCTGAACAAAGATAAATAGAAAATGGAACTGGAGCTAAAAGAGCAGTAAGAAAAAGTAAAAGAAGAAATGGAGCAAAGATTGAAAATGTAATAACTTTTAGAAGAATTCCAAAAAAATAAAATGGTTGGTGGTAATGGAGGAGATGAAAAAGAAAAGAAGGTTTATTAGGATTTAAAAAAGAAATTGAAAAAGCAATAAAAAGAACATGAAAAACTAATTTAAGATAATAAAAAAAAAGAAGAAGAAATGCTCGAGGCAGAAAAAAACTATTAAAATTTGTAGGAAGAAGTTGAAGCATAAAGAAAAATAATAAAAAAGCTAAAAAATAAATACAAACAATCTTCTTAAGAAATCGAAGATTTGGAAAGAGAACACAGAGAAGAGAAAGAAGAAATTTTAGAGTCAGTAAGAATACTTGAGAAAGAAAATAAATTGCTAAATGCTGTTATTGATATGGTTTTCAAAAAAGAAGAGTTTGAGAATATCAGAGTAATTTATTTTTAACAAATTAAAATAAAGAGCAAGTATTCTTCTTATTTCATTTATATTTTTTAAAATAATAGAGTTTATCCTAATGGAATGACACAAAAAATTGCTATGTTGTTCCTCCTTTCTATTTTAAAAATAAAGAATTAAGATTGCCTAAACTACCTGCTACATAAGGTAACATTTATTTATTATTTTGCTTGTTTTATTACTAAATTTACCTTGCTATTTTAAAAAAATTTTTTTCTTTGTTAACCAGCTATGGAATAAGTTGAAGTGGAAAAAGATTCAAGAATACTTCAAATAGAAAATAAAAATGAAGTGAAGAATGCCAAAAATAGAAAAGTGAGAGAAAAGTCTTCTATTATAGATGATCACTCTTTGGAAAACTCACCAACTTAAGCTAAAAAACCAAAAAAGAACACATCAAATATTGAATAAGACTTAAAAGGTAGATAACAACAACAACTATTACAATCTAAAAAATCTTTAATGGACATGACTAATAATTATTTACAAAGTAAACTAGATAATGTTTATACTTACGTTTTCTAATATTTAAATAAAAAAGGTAAAGAATAAAGATTTGGTACAGGAAATTATGGCGGTTACTCATTTAAAGAAGAATTATAACCTTTAGCTCCTCCTAAAGTAATTAAAAAAAACATAAATGGTATCTAGTTGAATCCTCTACAAACAAACCCAAATACAAATAATATTCTTGAAATTATAGAAAAATAGAATGCAACTCCTAACTAAAACGAAATTAAAAGAAATCCTAAAAGTAAATTATTTAAAAATAATTAACTAATTAAATTATTATAATTATCTTAAACATAGCATAACCACTACTACCATTAAATTTTACTTAACAAAGCAGCAAAAGTGTGGAATCGAGATACTGAATAATATAAATGAAAACTGAAGCACATATACAAGCAAGCACATACGCATGCACACATAATTATATGCAAAAACAAAGAATTTTAGAATAAATTAACATATTACTGATTTCAATAATATTATAAAAATTATACTTTACTAAATAATACTGGTAATTTTATATAGCTTTATCAAATTTAATCTATTCAAAATTTAATAAAAGTAAGCATCTTTTATTCATAATTCTTTCAACAAAATTTTTATCTATAAAATTAATAAAAAAATAATTGAATTTATTTTGTTTATTTTGTTTATTTAATAATTTAACTAGAATTCTTAGAAAATAGAATAAAATAATATTTTTTTAAGAGAATAAAAAGTTTATATATTTTGTTTTGTTTGAATTTTCATCTTTTATATTTTAAACAAAAATAAATTCATTAACACTGGATAAAAATTATACAATTAAAGAATACCACTCAATATATTCATAATAGTGGTAGTAATATTTGATTTACTAGTAATAGTAATATAACTATACTTTTTCTATTTTTTTTGAATTTATTTATTTATAATACAAAAGTCCTTTCAATATTTATCAAAAATAGGCAAATTTCATAGTCTAAAAGTCTATATTTAGCACTCTTTTGATATTTTCTCAAGTTGGATTAAATTACATAATTAAAGAAAAATATAAATTCATAAAAAATGGTAGTTATATCCTGACCTTTCAACCTTTTATAAAAAAGAAGCATATTTCACATTCTAAAAATCTATATTTAGCTCAGTTTGATTAAGAAAAATTAACTTAATAATTTGTGTAAATATTCTTAACTCTCATTTAAAAATTCATTAATTTGCAATACTGCTTTTTAATTTGGATTAATTTGTGTAAATCTAATTATTTATTACCAACTAGATTCAAACATTTCAAAATTTAATAAAAGAAAAAGTAATTATTTAGGTAGGAGTCATCATAAATAAATGAATTTCCTTGTTTCAAAGCTATCAGGGCTGAGAGTTTTGTGTGGCGAAACTATCAACAACTGCTTACCCATACATAAGTTATTTTAGCAGGATACTGAATAGAATTTAGATGAAGATGGGCAATAAAGACAAGCATAAGATGAGGGTTTTCAATAGTCATCAATTGAAAGATAAAATAACAAATAGGATGTTAAAGTGGAAGAGGATGAGGAAGAAGAGAGTAAGCACTTCAATGAATCTACTAAAAATTCATATACAAATTCAAAAAGCGAATATGAAATGTAACACAATAATTTTGTTGATAAAGACGAATACGATGTTCCATTTGATGCTGTGAATAATATGTCAAATTAAAATTAAAATATATTTGAAGCTCCTGTAAATGTAGTTAATACCCAACCAAAGGCATCAAAAAAACCAATGTTAGGCATGATAGATGAAGATAAAATATAGAAAGTTGAAGTAAATAAGAAAATTATATCAAAATGAGCTGTTTTAATCATTAAAATAAATTAAATTAGAAAAATGATCCTGTAGATGAAGTTGATTACTTTTCTTAGATGAACATGGGAACTGTAAGTGTTGATAACAACACTAAAGCAGCTGCCAAAACTGTTAAAAAAGCCTCTAAAAAGAAAGTTTAAGAAGTCAAACCTGATGACCTCTTCTAAGATTAGTAATAAGTATAAAGCTAATTTAATAAGTAATTAAAAAAATTTTTAATTTTGGGAAAAGATAAAATAGAAAAAATTAATAAAAAATAATTTTTAGAATAAATGACGATATAGCTGCTGAAGAAATTGAAGGAGCTGCTTGGGGTGCTAATGATGATGATATTGATTTATGAAAGAAAAAATTAAATTCTAAATTAATGTTAATATCAAGATTTTGAAAAAAAGATAATTGTAATGAAAAAGAAAGATTCAAATTGTTAAATAAATAAATATTAAATGTAATTTAACTCTCCTTTATATATTTGTAAAATTACAAAAATATTTCTAAAATATTAATCATATCAAAATATATTTTTTTATATGAGCTTACTTTAATAGTATGAGAAAAATGTAGCTGTTAATATCCGTAACTAACTTTTACATAAAATTTTATTTTCAATCTACAAAATGAACAAAATATTTTAATATTCACTTATTAACAATTTATTTACATATATTTATAACTAAAACAAATTATTATTAAAATTGGTTTGAAGTGATGAAACCTTTAATTTCAAATAATATTGTAATCTAAAAAATACCCAAAGCTAAATAATAAATGACTAAATTTCCAGTAGCAAGAAGCAGAATAAATTAGATACTAAAATTAAATTTTAGTTAGGTTAAACAATATTAATTAAGTATTCATAAATTTTAGATATTAGATTTTTTAACATTATTACTATTCAACGGTTAATTATTTTGTGAGTACATTTATTAGAATATTTATTTTTTCTATAAATTAATATAAAATAAAAGAAATTAAAAGAGGTTTAGAAAAAAGTTTTTAGAATAAAAAATTGAAAACTTTTTATTCAAAAATTAAATCTTGAAAAAACATTTTTATTTTTTGTTTTGTCATGTTCAAAAACTGCTTCAAAACTTTTTTTATTACTTTTAAATTCAAAAAAATATTTGTTATTCTACTAAAAATATATTTCCTGTTCACTAAATAATTATTCTATACAGCTTTAATTTTCCTTAAAAATTAATTATTTTAGCTAATAAAATTATTTTACTTCAATAAAAGAATATTTTTCTAAATTTTACTTATAATTTTTATTTTTAATATAAATATTGTTAATTACTTTTAACTAATTTTATAAGATAAACCACAGTTACTTTCACAATATCTTTATAAAATTAATTTTAGCTTTCATTTTTTTCAGGTAAAAAGTAAATTAATAATTGATTTAATTTAAGAGATTATTTTAATAAAAAGTGAGTCAAATAAAAAATGAAATAAATGAAATATTATAAATTCATTAAAATTAAATATGGAATACAAGTAAATTAAAAGAAACTTATTGACTAAATATATTTAAAATAACACAAGACTTTCAATTCTATATAATATAAATTATTTATTTGTATATGAGTATTAAGATATTAGTAGAAAGTATTATTTTTGTTTTAATTAGTTTTTTCTAAATAATAAATATATTTTTTAATTATTCTTATTTTTCAATTTAATTGAATAAATAGTGAACTATCAAGCTAGATCTTTATCTATATAGACAGTGTTTTACTATTATTTCATAATTAGTAATGTTTAAAGCAAGTGCAACCTCTTTTAAAACTTTCAAATCAAATTGGTCCAAAAAGATTTCTTACATCAAAGAAATAAGGCTGTTTTTTATATCAAAATTGTTTGTTTACTGCTTAATTACTTTAAAAATTTTTGAAAACTTACATGATTTAAAGCAGACTTTGCAGTTATTCTTTTAATAGGATCATAGCAAAGAAGTCTCTATAGCAAATCAACAGCAGCTATATCAACTTCTGAGTTTTAGTTATACTTTTTATATATGTTTTCAATCATTTCACTTAGCTTTTAAGGTCTGAATCTTGGGAATGTAGGTTTATAATCTGTCAAGTCCTTAATGCCAGGCCAGTCATTTTCTGTAGGTGTTCCTAATATCCTTTAATATAATAATAAAGATAATTAAGATAGAAGGTAAAGTAATTTAAAATGAATTCAATTTTACTGGAAAATTTTAAATATTTATCCAATCTCACAATCTCCTTAAAACAATGGCACTCTTGTAATTAATTCATACATTATGCAACCCACTGACCACATGTCTATGGGAGTACAGTAGTCCAATGCACCTAAAAGAATTTCAGGTGGTCTGTACCATAAAGTAACAACTTCTTTTGTGTAAGGTCTTATAGGCATGCAAAATGTTCTAGATAAACCAAAATCTGCGATTTTTACTACTTCTAATTTTTTTAAAAAAGTTTGTTGATATAAATTTTTTTAATTTAAAAGTCTAAATCGACGGTCTCCATTAATTCAATTTTAAATTAAAAATTAAATTAATCAAATTTATTTTCTAAAATTGCAGAAATTTATTTCAAAGCATAATTAACAATTTTACCATTTTTATCAATCAAAATATTTTATGGCTTGAGATCTCTATGCATAATTCTCCTTGTGTGACAAGCTGCAACACCTCTAATTATCTGATAAACTATTTTCTGAAATTAAGTTTAAATACTGATAAGATTTAGATTGTCAATAAAATAAGTACAATTTAAAATAACTTTTAATAAAAAGCAAAAACATTATCTATTAAAATTACTTTAATTGTAAGGGCATCAAGGAATTATCCTGCTACTTTAGTCTTTGAATCTAAAAATTTCTTTAAATCGCTTTCACAGAATTCGAAAACAAGGTAAAGCAAGTTGTTTTGTATAATTATATCTTTTAATCTATAAATAGAAAGTATTATTTTTTATTATTTTTAATGAATAATAGTTACACTACAACGTTTTCGTGATTAATTTCTTTTAGCAAAGATATTTCTCTCAAAGCAGAACTTGGAATTCCATCATTTTCAAGCTGTTTATATTTAAATCATTTAAGAATATTTTAGATAAATAGATAAAATTTTAGATAAAAAATTAATGACTTTTTACCTTAGTTATAGTTTTTTTCAAAGCAACTATTTCGTGTGTTTCTTGGTCCCTAGCTCTAAATACTTCACCATAAGTTCCCTTACCTATAACATTCAATACTTCATATTTTCCTATAAATTTCTCCACTTAATTCTACTCTTAATTATCCATTTACATTTTGTTAGATATTAAAATCAAATTTGTTATTTTGTTTTAAAATTTTAATTTATTCTTTTTTGGAAGCTTAAAAGTTTGAAATCAATTATTTTTTTACAATTCAAACATAGATTTAGGAGGTAAATTAAATCTATTCACTCATTCAATCAATAAATCAATTATCTGATACAAATGCTTTAAATAATATAAATACTCTCTTGGTCTTCTAAGCGTATCTTTTGTTTATATTTGCTTACTTTTTGCATAAGTCTTAATTACCAAAATAATTATTCTTCAATTACTGGTAATAATAATTACTCATTTAGCGAATATTTTAAATACAAGTAAATTGGTTATTCTACAATAAAATTTATTAGCACAACAACAATAAATAAATCTGCTTTAAAAAATAATAAAAGCTAGATTAATACTATCAATATTTCAGTAATAATAAAATATTATTTACAACAGTAGTTAGGGTATGAAATAAATTACAAAAATGATAAAAATTAGTATAAATCTATAAAAAGCAGCCAAATTAGCAAAAATGAGTAAATCATCATTATTGCTTCTCTTTAAACTCTTTAAGACATGCTTCTTATATTAATTCTACGTCAATATCTTCTTTTTCTAAATGAACATATCTAACAGAAGATCCTCTTATAAAGCAGTTTTTAAAATTTGCCTATTTTAATGATAAAAAAATTCAAAATTCAATGTCAAGGTATAATATTTTTGAACTAATTTGAATATTTACAAGTTAAACAGTTTCTTAATCTTGAATATCAACTAAATTGAAATTCATATTTCCATCTACATATGTAATTTTTCCTTTAATCTTCACATCATTCTTTAACTCTACAGTAATGACTGCGTTTTTATCAAGTAAAGTTCTAAAAAATGAAGCAAATAGCTATATTTTATTGAAAACAATGTAAATATTTCAACATAAACTCATATGCTAAATTCGAATTTGTATAATAAATATTATTACTTAACGCTCAGCCATTTAGATTTATATATTTAAAAAATGAATTTTAATTTTAAGCTTGTAATTTCTTGATATGATTAAAGATTTACAATAATAATATTAAGTGTCTCTTTAAAAAAATAATTAACTTTAGAAAGCTTAATTAATTGTTTAATTTATTACAAGATTTATTTGATTCTAATTAAAATACATGCATAAAATAATAAATAATAAAATTTATATTGCAAACATTTTCATGCAACATAACTAATTACTGATTAAAATATTTTATTTTTTTAATTAATAAATGAAAATAAATTTCTATCAAACTCAATTTTTTATTTAAAGATTTTTAAAACACCAAAATTAAATTATTTTTTAAATTTAAACTTAAAGTTTTTATTCATTCATTTATTAATACTTTTTTAAATTTAACTATTTAAATAAATTATTGACTCCTAATTTTGTTGAAAATCAAAAATGTATTTTATAAATAATTTTCTATTAACAGAACTAACTATTTTTACAAATAAAATTACTTTTTTTATCTTAAATTAAATGATCTTATCCTAATAAACCTTTAAAATTAAATTTCCTGTTTATGATGATTTGAATGAAATTAATCTTTTTGAAAACAAAAAAAATATTTTTTTAAATTAATAATTATAATTGAACAACAAATCTTATTTTTAAGGTATCCTTAATTATATTAACTAGTAGGAAAAATAGTTTAACCACCTTTAAATTTAAATAAATCTGTAAAGAATATATGTATTAAATAAATTATTGTATTATGAATAGGTTTTACTATTGAATTAATAGTAACTCAATAATAAAATTAACAATAAAAAATATTAGTTTTTTAATTGAATATCTAATTTAATAAATAACAATTAATCTTTTTTTATTGCTTTTTAAAATATATTTTATTTAATCTGAAAAAAAAAACAGATTGACAGATAAACGACTATGTTCATATCTGAATAAATATAATAAATAAACAAATTGATCATAATTTTATAAACAAGTTTTGTGTTTTATTTACCTAATTTGTAAATTATTTGAATTATAATATTTATTTGATAGAAAAAAATAAATACATTTATTATAAATATTAAAATAATATAATATATTTTTTATTATTATCTTCATCATTGATTTGTTTTAGGAATTTCTTGCTATTGTGGTGATTTTATTTATGAATTTTAAGGAGATTAACGTGATTAATATTATTATTGTTAATCTGATTACTGTGGAGAGTTTTACTATTATGGGTGATTATCGAACACTATTTACTCTTAACTCTATTTCTTAGGAGAACTATCTTGCTTTTATTGCTAATAAAATGATTAATTTTATGACTGTTAATTTGATTGTTGATTAGAAGGATTATTAGACTCTTATTTTGATTATTAAGGTAGACTACTTCTATTTGAAGTATACTATTACTAGGGATTCTGCTATTGTGGAAGCTTTGATGACTAACTTTAATTAAGAGAGTTGTTAAATGTCTATGCATTTGAATTATTTTTTGACCTATTTTAAGCATTAGATTCATAAAATTTATTTTAGCTTTAGCTCTATGAATTATTACTATTATTCTAATTTGACTATTTTTCTGAATTATACTTTTAGTTATTTTAGTATTAATTTTATTAATAAATTTCTTCTTAAATATTATTATTGTTATTATTAAAATGGCTTTAACTTGGAGTGCGATTGCTGTTTCTGTAAAAGTTAGATATTTAATTATTTTTTTAACCATAATTTTCTGTTTAATCATCTTCTTCCAATATTGCTGCATGAGTCAAATTTTATGAACCTCTTATTGAAGAAGGGTGAGAAGTAAAAGTATATTCTCTTTCTTTAGGGTTATGTATATTTGCACTGTGAGACGGTTAATAAGCAGGCATAGAATTACTATTATGAATATTACCAGTATCATATTAATTTATAATTATATCTGCTTCAGATTGATTTAAATAGTTTAAATTATCGTCTCTGTGCCTTTGAGCGTTGTGCCCATTATGATTTATATCGTAAGCACTTTTATTCAAGGTATGTGAATTATTAATTTTCTTAAGTTTTCTTCTATTTTAAGCATTGCTAGATGAGTTTTTAGAATGCTAAATGATAGGAGGGAGGTTAGATGTCTGCTGAGCACTTGCATTCCTTTTTCTTGAAACACTAGGTTTTACTTTTTGCATATGTGCTTTGAGCTTTTCATATTCCTCTATTTCTTTTTAAATTTAAGCTTTGTTTATAAACGATCTCTAATTCAACAATCTTTATGCCAATTATTAATTTTCAGTGTATATTTGCATGGCTGCTTATTTTCTCTTCTGAGACATTGCTCTTAGATTCTATTTATCAGATAAGGGAGCAGTTTGAATTTGCTACTTTATAGTACTTTATTTACCTTCTGAAATTTCAATTAGTTTGTCTAAAAGCATTTAATTCTATTTATTTATCTAGTTTAATCTTTGATTCTCGTTAAAATGCATGTTGAAGGACTTTGCATTATAAATACTTTACTATAACTTGACCATATTCTGATCTATTCCTAAATGTTTTTTTGGGTTCTTTACAATATCAGTCACTTTTTAAACATGCTTTTAATACTATGCTTCTCTCTATTTTTAGATAATGATATTATTATCTACCCACCTTGGTCCATTCATATCTAATCTGAATTCCTTTCAAAAATATAAAATTACAAAATAATAAATAAAGTTTTTCTTTTTATTAACTTTAAAGTCTAAATAATATCAGCTAAAAATTTCAGTTGATAACCTCTTTACTTGAAATTAAAAGTCAAACAAAAGCAAAATCAATAATTAAATTTCAATTTTTACAAAATTAAGAACAGATTATCCTCCACTAGTTTTATAAATACTTTGAAACTAAAAAATTTAATTATTTTTTCTTGCTTTTTTTATCATTGAAAGGTAAATAAGTATAATTCATTTATAAAAATATAAATAACAATTAACAATAAAATAATCAAACTAATTAGAAACATTTTTTTATCATCTTATCCCATTTTAAAAATAATTCACATGTTAAATAAATTAACAATATTTTAAATGACACTAAATTTTTATATTAATTTTTATCACCATTCAAACAAAACAAAACAAATTAAATTTTAATATTTATTAAAAATTATGATCAATTTAAAAGAATTTAAATAAGTATAAGAGAAAATATTTGAATTAAAAAATTATATCTCATATTTTTAAATACATTTATAAATTAATTTAATGATTAGCTTGAAATACTCTTATATCATCTTATTTCCTTTTAATAAAAAATATTTAGAATATTAAATAAATTAAAAATATTTGAAATATTACCAAAAATTTTTTAGCAATTTTTTCCACCATACAAATAAAATAAATTTTAATATTTATTAAAAATTAAGCAGTAATTAATTTCAAATAAAAATAATTTAATAAATAAAGAAAAATATATTTAAATTAAAAAATTTGATCAATTTTATTTTTTTAATTAGAAATAAAGTGAAAAATTAGTTAATATTTTACAAAATAAAATAATTATTAATTTATCATTGATAAAAGTTTTATATTATTTGTTCATATTTATTTATTTATTAAATTTATTTAATTAAAAAATATATAATTTTAGAATTTTAAATAAATTTTCACTCATTTTATAGTTATTCATCCATTTCTTTTGCAACTTATAAGAACTCATTTCCTAAATTGAACTTACCTATGTTAATGTAAGTTCTTCCAACGTTTTCTAGATATAAAGCTTTATCTAGGTGATTATTATCGTATAAAGCTTCTGCATTTGCTAGAGCTTTCAAAAAATATGCTAAAGCATTTTAATTATCTCCTTAATTGGAATAATAGGTTCCTAAATTATAATAAATCTAAGCTAAATCAGGATGATTATATAGATACAATGCTTAAAACATCTCTAAACTTTTTAGATAGTACTCTAGCTATTTTTTTTAATCTCCCAAGTTACGGTAAGTTATTCCAATGTTAAACAAGGTACAAGCCCTCGATCTATTATTGCCTTTAAATAATACTGAATCCATTTCTTGCGTTTTTAAATAATATTTAAGTGCTTCTTCATATTTATTTTATTTCTCATAACACAATCCCATATTATTTAGAGAGCTTGATATGCTTATGTGATTCCCTTGGTACAATTCAAGTCTCATGTCTAGAGCTCTCTTGTAAAAAGTTTACATTTTTTCAAAATCATTAAACACATCATAGCAATTTCCTAATGAATTTAAAAAATTTGATGTGTAAGGATGTTTTATTTGGAAATTTAATTCAAATATTTCAAGTCCCTTCTAAGAAATATCTAAGCATTTCTCGTACTGCCTGGTTTCGTAATAAAATAAATACAATTAGAAATAAGAAAATCCTATATCAATATTTTTGTCATTATTGTAATATTTGATTAAAAGTTCATGACTTTTACATAATTGTTACTCAGACTCTTTAAACATACATAATTTTTAAAGAGTAATACCATACATTTGTAAGAAAATAGATTCTTCTATTTATCCGTTCAAATTCTACTCTTTTATAATAGATACTGATTTTAGAATAGATTATTGCGCTTGTTTTGGTTCAAGTACTTATGATTAAAAGTAGTAAAGATATGCTAAGTATTTTAGATTCTTTTGCTTTGAATTTTCGGGCTGATATTTTTCAATTTATCTCTATAATCTTTCTATTTCTACTTAAAATTCAATCTCAGCCTCAAAAGTTTCAAAGAATATTTAACGTAACCTAATTGCAGAGAATCTTTTGTTAAATTTATGCTAAAGCATGAAATATTTAACAAAAGTGTAAATATTTTTAAACTCTATTCCTACTTTATCATCAATACTGTCTAATTAATCTTATTAAAGAGCATTAAAAGTTTTGAAATCAATTTTTACACCAATTACTTCAAGTATTGTAACTCCCATGCTAAAAATGTCTGTGTACATTCTCATTTATAGGTCTTTCATAGGAGATTCTCCAAGATTTGCTTAATATTATTCTGGTGAATTGTAAAATACAGATCCTCCTCCAAACGATTTCATGTGTGTCTGATTGCTCTATAAGTTTTTTGAGTGCCCAAAGTCTGCTAATTTATATTTCCCTTCTTTTGTAATCAAGATATTCTATGGTTTAATATCGAAGTGTATTATACCATTAGCATGTATTTCGCACAAAGCATTGATTGCAAAGAATAGAATAGAAATAGCCTGCTAATAAGAGTATTATTAATTTTTGCTTCTCAATTCTTAGATTTCTTAGAAAAGACTTTTAGAACATAGTTCGATGATTTGAATACATATTTTTTCTTCATCTAGGAAAAAATGCTGTTTAACTTCAACAATAAAATCGAAATTGATAATTTTTTGAATAGTATTTTATTCTCTAGTCATCTCATCAAAGACTTATTTGCTACTTTTTGAGAATTTGATGGCAACCTCTTATTTAGTCTATATCTACTACCCTAAGACTACAAAAGCCTAACCTCCAGAACCTAATAAATATTATTTAGAAAGGTTATCTTCACTCTAAATGCTAGAAATTTTTTTCAAGACATAGTTTTCCTTATACAATTTGTTCTAAATCTTAATGAAGTCATCTTCCCTGTATTCTATTTCGCTACAAAACTATTTTATTTATTATTAAGAGAGCATGATCTATTTATCTATTTTGATGATTTGGTTTCAATTTTCTTATTAAAAACTTTGTTAGAATATATCTTTTGAGAAGATACGAGTGTGATTTTAATTAGTAATTTATTACGATTAAAGCAAAAATAGATATTTATAACAAAATAGAATTAACAAAAAGAATACTTGTTAGATTTTTAAAGACAAATCAAAAAATTTTTAAAGGTTTTTTAGTTTTATTTAAAAATATCTTAATTCCTCAGTTTGTATTAAATTTTACATAAATACAGTAGTAAGGAATTTATTATAAAAAATTAAGTAACTCAATAAAATTCTAATCATGTCGAAAAGTTTATTCAATTAGACACTTTTGATAATCGCGTTTGTAAGGAAATAAAATTCTAAAAAAATTAATAATTAATACAATTTATTGTTAATTTTTAATAAATACATATTTTATTATCTTCTCTTTTCTATGTATTTGAATTAATTTTTAATTAACTTTACTGTAGAAAAAAATAAAATTGTTTTTTTTTGTCTGATAAAATTATTCATTCAAATTAACACATAAAAATAAAAATGAATTAAATTTTTCATTGTTATTTAAGTAAATTTTAAATATCTAAGACAAAAAAATTTTAATTAATAACTTCTTTTTATCAAACAAGTTTATTTTCAACTCAATCCAATAAAAACAGCTTTTAAATATTTATTACTTGAAATTTCAATTAAAATAAACTAATTTTCAGCATACCATAATCAAAACTAAATGTATTATTTAATATTTTGTTATTTTTGTAAACTAATTTTCTATAAATTTTAAATAAAATAAAATTTTTATAATTATTTTTGCAGCTACCAAAACAAAATAAACTAGATATTAATATTTATAAAATTTGATTAAAATAATAATAAAATTTAATTTAAAAGTGCTTAAATAAGTAAGGAAATAGTAATAAAATTAAATATAAATTTCAGAGAAATTGTTAAATTTATTTTAAATTTAGTTTTATTTAACTATAAGATAATTCTATTTAGATTAAACATTTAAATTTTAAGTTATTCTAAAACATGTGTGAGATTAATTGATAAAGTTATCTAAAATAACAAAAATAAATATTAGCTAAATTACTTAATAATTAATTTAACAAAAATAATTTATCATATTTTCAGTGTCTGTAGTATTCTTTCGTAGTCCCACACCAAATCTTGGGATTTTATGGATTTATTATTTTAAATTTGGAAATATTCTAATAAGTCTATAAATTTTTCAGATCTGTTTAAGCCATAATTTATTTTTTTATTCTTTAAGAGCTATATTAAATATAAAAAGTAACTTTTAAGTTTAAGGTACTAGTTTATAAATGCATAGTATGAATCTTCTTGAGAACTTTTAACTAATATTCTGACTAGAAAAGGTAAATCAGAACTCATTTTTTTTAGGAACAAATTAATTATGCTTCTATCTTTCGAATAATAATTACTATAGTTAAAATAAATAGACAAATGAATCAATAAATAGTTTTTTTTTAAATTGAATTTACGAAATAATGGCTTTTGTTGTATATTTAAATCCTTTAACAAACTAATAGAAGAGATCTACTATTTATTGTTTGCTGTATTAAGTTTTTGTTTAGAATTATTCAAAATATTAAAGAAAGAGATGCATAAATCTATTTTAATTATAATTAATTTCACAGGCTATCAAGTTCTTTTAAAATATTATAAGACTAAGCTTGTATTATTTTATATTTTTGTGAAATAAACAATTTTATAAAATATTAGCTATTTATTCATTTTCTTAAATAAAATATTTGTTTTCTACCTCTACATTTAATTATAAAATCAAACTATCGAGGTTTAGCTTGCTAACATATCCAATCAATTCTAGAAAACTATCTAATGATTACCTAAATATTTATTAAATAAAATATTTAATAATTGAATTTAAAAATTAAAGATATTATCTCAATAATTTAAATATTTTAATTGCTATAATTTTATTATATAATTTTTCTTTAAAAATTCTTTTTTACCAAGCTTAGAGTCTTAAACTTGTAATTTGGAGTGGCTTTATAAGAAAATAGCTTAATGGCTAATACATATTATTAAATATATCTCTACCAAAGTATTAGCTTTAGCTTTAGTCTAGTAGCTCAATTTTTTCAATTTAAGTGAATAAATCCTAATCTAGTGCTGTATTGCTCATCAAGAAGTACTAAATAACTTGCATAGAATTTGCCTCAACTTTAAGTTTTTTATTTTTTTTTTCCAAGAATATCTTAAAGTTTACTCCCTAAACCAAAAAATTCTCAAATTGAGAAGATCTAAATTAAATTTTAGAAACTATGTCTACTTCGTCAAATTTTTAAACATGAAGTATGAATTCTTTTAAATTTCTATTTTAGTTGATAAGAGCTAATATTTCTTCATTTGCTTTATCTGTGATATTATTCATTTTTAAATGTATTTTATTGAAGTGGCTAAAAGCTTATTTAAAGCATTCATTGTTGTTAAAAAAGTGAGTGATTATAGTCTTCTTATCTGAGTCGAATAGTAAAAATTATTATTTAAAATTGTATACAGTAAATTTAGGAATTACTTTAAGTAGAAACTAAAGTATAGACAGAACTTAAGAAATATCAAATTTATATAAAAGTGAATATAATTCTACTGATTTTATTTTTGATTAACTTTCTAAAAAGAAGTTTATCAAATTTTCTATTGTATTTTTTTTGGGTCGCAGAGAATTCTTTTATATAATAAGTGTTTCAACAATTTAAACTGATGGTAGATTTTAATTCAAGTAGCTCATAAGCTAAGTGTACTACTTTAGCGAGTGAAATTTTATAGTTTTATTTTAGACATCTATTTTAAATAAATTTTGAATACTTATATCAATAAGCTTATTATGAGAGAGTTCTTTTAGCTTATTAATTATTATTGTGTGTTATTAATGATCTTACAATTAGCTGCTGTAATTAACACTGCTGAATTGATTTGTTCTTATTTGAATTAAATTTTATAAAAATTAGATTGCAAACTCATGGTTTTTTATGCTTTTATCGATACTAATTAATAGGACTGATTGTTTCAAATTAAAATAAAATTAAGAACCTTATCCCACATCTTAAATATTTAAATGCTAAATTTATTAGAGATTTTGAATTTGAATATATTTTAGAAGTTAAAATTAATTAACAGAGTGCTCTTGTTTCTTATTAGAGTCGAAGGAGAAACTAGAATAGGAGTTCTAGTCTTTTGATGTCAGTACCTCTATAGAATATAATTCTAAATTTTCCTCCAGTAGCTTTTGAAAAAATTCAAAGATTTTTTGTAAATTATGTTCACTGGTATCAATTTTAATTTTTTATATTAAAGGTAAATTTAATAAACATAAATCTAGATTATCAATTTTGTTGCAAATTTCTATTTAACTTGGGAGTGTTTTAACGATAAAATTTTCATTTATTTTTAAATGGAATCCTTTTTAAAATTATTTGCTGAGCTTAACTAAATTATTAAGCATTTGCTAATTTTCAGAAGAAATATTTTTTTCATTAGAAAACATCCCTTCGTTTTTACATGTAAAAAAGATTTCAATGGCGATATTTGAATTTAGCTGAGCCAATATATTTGTTATTTCTTATAGAGTGCTTGATTCTACGAGCTGCGATTGTATTTTTAAATGATTTTATTTTTAATAGTCTAAGCAGCTAGAGAGATTTAATTCTTTCAATTTAGGGTGATTAATAGCTATTTGGAAATAATTTTTAATTTGTTCAAGAGAGAGAATGTTATGCTTATTGCTAACAATAGACTTAAAACTATATAAGCTTTATTACTGTAACAAAAACTAATAATCAAATATTTTCTTGATATTTGAGTACAAACTAATTATTTTAAATTCTTTGAATAGTTTTTGAACTAATTATTATGAAATATCTTCTTTTAGAACTAAATGGTATCCAATGTTATATGTTTAGTTTTATTTTTCAAGAGTAAGCAGCTTGTAGAAAATTACTCTTTAAAGCTTAAAACAAATTATTGTGTCAATAAGATTTAATATTTCTTGGTCTTCTAAATCTTATTAAAAAGTAAAATTGACCTCCTTTTATTGTCTATTAGAAGCTATTTCCTTTAGTTTTTATTGTGTCAGTACAGAGTTAATAAATGATCTCTTAGTTAATTACAAATATATGCCAACTTGATTGATATATATTGTTAGAGAGTTTGATAAAAATGTAATATCAGACCATTATTTATAAAGATTTAAGGCACTAATTTACTAAAACCACTCATCGTCTTAGAACCTAATTTAAATTTTTTTCATATACTTTCAATACAAATCTGATATTTTATTAATTAAATAATAACAAAATCAACCAAAATTATATAAAAACACTATAATCTTAAACTTTTAACAAAAATATCTACTTTATCTATAAAGAAGCTTTGCAATCACTTGTATTTAAGATAAATGATTATAGCTCATTGTTCCACTCACTTTTATATGAAAAATATTTGAATGTTATATGTATTTGTTTTAAAATAAGTTTACCAATATTAAATTTCAAAGTGTTGTATTTCATTTTAAGCTTAAATGAGTCTCATCATCTACTCTATCAATCTAAAATATAGATTTAATTACAATAAAACCAAATTATTCTTACTTAAATTCATATTCTTTTGGAAGTTCATCGCATTTAAAATCAATTTATTTGATTTTTTTTCCTTTTATTTACTTAATTTTCTCTAAAGTTAAGGAGTCACTAGATTTTAAAATATTATTTAACCATTCAATACCTCATTATTTTAGAAAAATCTAAGTTTACATTTCATGGCTAGAAAGTTTTTAAATTCTAACATGTATTTAACCGTGTTGAAGTAACATCTATACTCTTGAAATGTTTAAAAAATGATAATTGTAAATATTTGAATTGCTAAATGATAAAAATCAATACGGAATGTCTTGTTCAAACTCAAATAAAGCTTCTTACTCCATTTTATATTGAATAGAAATTTCTTTAAAAAATTATATGAATATATTATTTTATTAGTATATAGAAAAATACATTAAAAACAAAAAATATTTGATAAAATAGGATTAAATTATATAGAAAAAAGCACATAAGAATATTTATAAAGTGTTCCTACCTACCTAACGTAAAATATTTGAATTATAAAAATTTAAATGATTTTTTTTAAGGTGGCAAAAAATATGAGTGTTGATTAAAAATAAATTTCTTTAAATAAATTACTGTAAGAAACTCTTTAGAGTACTATCTCAATTTTAAAGAAATTTAGATTTTAATAATAAGATTATTTTTTGGTAATTATTCTAACTGTGTTACACAAATAAATGTATCAATCAAAGTAATAATTTTTTCTGCAAAAATCAATGAATATTTTTTAAATATTAATATTTATCTTAAAAGTGGCCAAATAAATTTTAAATTACCTCTCATAAATTTTTAACAAAAGAAATTATTTAATTTATTCATCATTTTCTAATTTTTGAATATTTAAAACAAATAATAATAAGTAGGATTTTAATCTTTTCTATTATTCATTCAAATTAAATTTTCTTCTATTTTATTGTTGCTTTTTAGCCCAGACATTTTTGTTTTTGATTATTATCTATCTTTTCTAATTGTGTTGCTGATGCTAAAAAGATATAGATTAATTTAGAAAAAGAAAATTGTAACAAAAAAATTGATAGAAAGATATAAATGTTTCTAATCAAAACATGAAATTTCGCTGAATTATTTAAGTTAAATGAGTCAATGAAGAAATTAATTATTTTTTTTCACGTTCACGTTTGAATTTACAACATAATAATTTACACTTTTATATTAAAGATAATAATCAAGCCAGTTTTGATTTCTTTTACTATTAAATAAAAAATTATCTGCTGGATTCTCCTGTTTTAATTTGAACAACTTTTATTGATTGAATGATTGATTGATCTATATATCTATTAATCTTTTTATCAAGCAAGTTACTATCAGACAAAATTTTTTGATAATAATTATCTTACTAATATAACCAAATATTTTTTAATGTTAAATGAATTTCCTCATTATTTATTTCACTAGGAATAAAATTTATTTTGTGTTTAATATTAAATTTTATTTTGCTAAATATTTAATTGTAGCTGTTTACTGTAATTTTTGTAAATAAAAATTAATGTAATCTGTAATAATATGAGAAATATTTGAGTCTTTTTCTTTATCAAACAAATAAAGAAATAAAGAAATAATTACTTACTTAAATAGCTTATACAAAGGGGAATTTGTTTGTTATTTAGATTTATATGAGAAATGATTAATATGAAGACAAAAACATCTAATATAAATATTTTAATGTAATGAAAGGTACTAATAAAAAGAAGGATTAAGACTTTTAGAATTTATTTAGTGAGAAGATAAATAATTTTTATTTTGTAATGTGTGTTCGTTTTTATTTTAAGAAAATATTTCAATAGTAGCTGCTGTAAGGAATGTTATTTACACTGCTAGAAATATATGAACCAGAGAGAGTATTATTGGTTTCAACGTAGGATCTATATTGTGTGTCATCTAATAAGTTAATAGATTATTTTGGTAAATAGTTGGAGTATTTAACAGCTTCTTGTTATTATACTGTCTATTGATTAGCAACTAATTGTTAGCTTTGTTCAACTTCTGAGAGCTCAGAGCGATTCTTTTATAAATTGATGATATTTTAAATAAACTCAGGAGCTTGGTAGATAGTTTGCCAGTTTGAAGTGTAGGGATATTTAATCTTTTTGTAGTTATTTGAAGGATTTTCAAAATCTTCGTATTCTTCGTATTCAAGGTCATCATGCTTAACATAATATCTTCTGGTTGCATTTTCTTCTTCCTCCTTTTATCTGGGAGTTTAAGTAGTTGACTTGTAGTTGGCTCTGGTATCAGCTATTTCTTCATCTTGATTGTCTTTGGAATAGCTCAAGAAAGGGAAATTAATTACTGTTTAGTTTCCATCATGGAAAGTAGAAACACGAAGAGGATTGGTTTCTGGGGCAACAGATTATTTTAAATTGTTAGTTGATTTTCTTAAATTTTCTATGTATTGAGATGATCTAAGAGGGGCATTCAAGTTTTAAGAGACTGAAAAAGGAATTTCTGCATGATAGTTGGCATGAGAGGTATAAGATCTTGAAGTCTTTTAAACAGGAGAAGGGAATGAGCAGTCAATGTTAGTGGCATTCATGTTGCCATTAGAGATAGGAGAAACGGAATTTTAATATAAAGAGTAAGTAGACTTTCTAGTGTCTTCTAAGCCAGTTCTCTTACGGATAGAATCGTTGAAATTTCTTAAATCGTTAGTCATTTAGCATACAGATTAGTTAGCTCTTTGAATTTAGCTGATCAATTCTTAGGTAGAACAAGCGTTCAAAGATTAGGCTGGATTATAATTAGAAGTAGAGGTTATAATATTTTGGACTTGATCTTCTTCCATAAATTAAGATTATTGCATAGGATTTATGGCACTGTATCTAGTAGAAATCTCATAGGTATTTTTTCTAGAGATATTTGGTGAGAGATAGAAATTATTTTAGTAGTTGGATTGATTCATTCTGGATAACTTATAAAAATAATTAATTGTTTGTTTTTTTGTTTGAGTTTTTCAAATATGAGTTTTTCTTATTTGGAGTGTTATTGATTTATTATTGGATTAATTGATTATTGATTTTTGGCTTATCCAGCTCACTATTTAAGTAAAAAAATTATAATTTAATTTTCTTATTTATTTTATCCAATCAAAAAATTGAATAAGCCATAATTGCTGACGAAATTAATTAATTAATTAATAAGTTAATAAGAAGAAAAAGAAGAATTAATAAATTTTCTTAATATTTATTAAATTTTATTGATTATCTATTTAAATGTTATTTCTTCTATTTTCATATTACCCTTCTTTATTTTTTTCCACCATTTTTCCATTTTTGGTTTATCTTAAGAATTAAAACAATAAACAACAATTTTTGAAGTATGATCCATTTTGTAAATCTGGTTCATACGATTTCAAAGATTATCAATTCAGGTATTTCAAATAATCAATAATATATATAAATTCATCCACAATATTTTGCTTTGTTCGCTCGAATGATTTAGTCTTCCGAGGTAGGAATTTTATTGTTAGATATAAAAAGAACCAAAAATTTAATTTTCCAGTGACCTTACCATGATTTAATTTAACATGAATACAGCCCCCACTATTAAATTAAAAAATATTTGCTTTATCAAAACAATTTGCATTTAAGCTAGTCTATTTTGCTTCAGGTTAATAAATTCTTTGTACATTTAAATTATTCTGCCCAATAACAAATTATTAAAACTCATTTTTACTGGAGAGGAACAAATTTGTTTGGAATAAGAATATTTGAAATTCATATTAATAATAAATATTAAATTTTATTTGCTCCCTTTATACATACAAAATCCTTACTAATTTGCAATAAATAAACTCAAATTTTCTACTAAACGGTATTACTATTTCTTCAACTTATTCAATAAACTAGTAAAATAGACAGAATTTAATGTTTCATTTATTTAGATATAGTGATAGATAAAAGTTACTAATTTTAAACTTATGTCAATTCTAATTTAATAATTTAAGTCTATAATTAGCATCAAGTTTGTCTGTTCTTAATTCAGAGACATTTTTTACAGCAATTCTTCACCGTTCCAATTTTTTAGAATATTTTAATGAAAAATCCTGTATTTGCTAATAAGTCTTATATAACAGAGAAATCTTATTCAGTAATTGAATTAAAAAAAATATTAATTTCTTGTATTTGGATTGATTTGAAAATTTTTATCAGTGAAAAAAAAACAATGAAAAATAATTACATAGACAAATTATATTTAATCTAATTTGTTTTTTCTCAATTTATAATTATGCTACAAATTTGTAGAAAATATATTTCTCAACTTTAAAAAAAAATATTTAACAAATTACTATTTACCATTAAAACACTTGATGTAACTTCCTTCGCAATTTATGTTTAGATAATAATTTTTGATTGAGTAACAATCTTGAAGTACATTGATTCAAGCAAGTTACTAATTCTTATCTTAGTTTAATAGTAATTAATGTTCTATTGAATCTAATAAATTTTATCAATGTTTTCAATGTAATTTTTAAAGAAAGTAATAGAAAGTCAAATTAAAGATTTTCAGATAATTAACTATTTGACTTAAGATATTTTATCAAATTTTCTTTTATTGTTTTTAAATTAATAAATTTTAGCAATTATTACTAGATTAAAACTGCATTCAAGTATTTTCACTCCTTAATTTTGTTGACTTTATATATTAAAGTAAGCTTTATTTATTAGCATCAATAATTTATATTCAAATTTGAAGACTTATATAAAACCACTGAAAAAAATTCTTTTATCATTAAAATGCTCTGATCGCTAATATCATATTTTAAGCAAAGATCCCTATTTAACTGAAAATAAAATAACTCATCCCCATTATCAAGAATTTAATGAAAAATCAAAATAAAATTTATTCTTTTAAATATTATGAGATTAATAAATATTTATTTATTCATTCATTTTTAATATGATATTTATATGCGCTTTTAATAAAAAACCTATGAAAAAATACAAATAAAAAATTCATATTGATAAGTGTTCCCAAATAGATTTTATATAAATTATATGATAAAAAAAATACTTCAAATCTTTCTTAATTATAGACAAAATAAATAAAAATTAAGTCTGCTTAAATCTAAAATTTAAAATAATACTGATTTTATAACAAAATTGAACAATTTTTTAAAAGTTTATAAAATTCGCTTTATAGAATAACACTTGGAGACATTAAACTATATTTATCTCAACTTATTTATAATAATTTTAAAAATTTAAATGAAAATATATTTATAAATTCAAATCACACTAAGTATTCAAGCTATTCTGAATATTTTTAAGAAATAAGAATTATATGAAAAATATATTTGCATTAATTTATTTTGAAGATTGTATTTTTCTATGATTTACAATAATCTCCTTAAAATAATACAAGATTTATTAAATAAAAATGTTAGAAAGTAAGTAATAATTAAATTAAATAGAAATTAATAAAACACAATTTTATCATTTGTAAATATTTCTTACAAATTTATAAAGAGATTTAAATATTTTAAATTTTTTTTTCAAAAAAATAAATAAAATTTTAATTTACTTAATTTAGTAATTTAATAAATATAAAATTATTAATTTTTATTAAAATCAAATAAAAATTATTAAAAAATAAAATTATAAATTTTTATTAAAATAATTAAAAAATAAAATAATTATTTTTTATTAAAAAAAAATTGCTTTAAAAAAAATTAACAATGATAATTACCAGCTAAATTTTAAAATGTGTTTATATCTTTTTTTGTATAATTTTTACAAAATTTAACAGATAACGAGTGAATAATTTGATAATTAAGATTAGCTGATTTTAGAAGCAAATAATCAAAAATATATGAATTTGAGTTTTTAACGTTAAAATTAATTTAAGAAAGTTAAGAATGATAGAATAAAAGCAAAAGTATTTAGTAAATTAATCTTTAAAGTTATAAAATAATAATTAAACATTTTAATATTATTAGGATTTTTGTACTGAAAATAACATCAGTATTTGGTAACAACACATTTCAATTATTGATAAGAATTCCTCTTTGGTTTTAATTCAGTCAAATGAAGATTCTGTAAAATATCAAATTGCTAAATATGTCTTTCTTTTATAACTTTAATTTAATTATTTCCAAAAAAGGAAAAATTGGATCACCTGATACTTGGAACTAGTTTCATACTTAGCTGTAATTTGAAAAATTTTCTCTAGTTACAAATAAGGAATTAGAATTTGTCTACAGATCATATTTCTACACTAATTTGGGGATTAGGTCAAAATAATTTCTTTTAGGAACTTATACTCACTAACTGCATGATTGATGACTAAGGGGCAATAGCGCTTTCACTATGGTTAAAAGAAAATTAATCCTTAAACGAGTTAGACATTTCTTATAACAAGTAAAATATCAAATTAGCTTAACTCAATGATTAACTAAAATGAATATAAATAAAATATAAGGATCACTGATTTTGGAGCAGAATTGCTCTTTAAAAGCATTTAAAATCATAAAGGAATACAAACTATAAACATAAAAAATAATCAAATAGAAAAAGATTTTATAGCTAATGAACTTCTAACACAGTAATTTTACTTTTTAATAAATATTTTAATTTCTTAAAACAAAATTATTCATTTGAAATAATTTATAAATATTGTCTTAAACATAAAATATGTCTGTTTTAATATTTTCTCATTAAAAGCTATACTGAACTGTTAAATAATAAATAAGAATATAATTTAATTTAATCTTTTGTTTAATTAGTAACAATTAAATTGAAGTTATTGATATTTCTGAAAACCCTTACACTTTACAGTCTGTTGAGTCTTTGCTTAGAGGATTGATTCAAAGTGATAAAATAAAAAGACTAAGAATGTCTGGTATAAAAATTGGATAAATTCATAAACTGTTTATCTTAGAAGTCTTAGAAAAGTGTAGAGCTCTTTAAGAATTAGCTATTGATATAGAAATACAAAATGATGAATTAAGTACTGTAATAAAATTAAAAGATATTTATGCTTTTTAATAGATAAATAATTAAATAAATTATTAATTTAAAACAGGTTTAAAAATTTGAAGAAGCTCTTATCTTTAATTGTGACATTTTAAATTTGGAATCTAGCAAATTAGATATTAGTGAAAATGAGCTACTTACAAAAAAAATGTTTTACTGTCTAAGAGCAAATTAACTTTTAGCAGTTAATAGCTAATTAGGATTAAATAATGTGCAATAAGAAATTGAGCACTCATAAAATGTGAGTGGCCTACTAAAGGAAATTATAGCCTAGAAAATAGAAATAATAAAGTAAAATCGAAATGTTGTTTAATATACAGAAGATATTATTTAAGAAAGCAGATTTTATAAAATTAGTGAAAACGATCAGCTTAATTTTAATGATATCAAATCTAATTCTATGGAAAACTTTTGCAAAAAAAGTCTTGCCTCAAAACCCACAAACATCAGTACTTGTCCACAAACTTAAACAAATGGAAATTTTTTGTTATCTTAATCAAACTACAGTCCTACTAATATAAATTCTGAATCTTTCATTTACGGAATCTAATAGTAGCAGACAATAGAGAATGACACAAATAAATTCTCTGTAAATAACTTTTCAAATACAATGATGGAAGATAATAGAACTTATCCAACTTTTCAAACTATGAAATCTAATGAAAAAATAAGCAACGAAATGTATCAAGTTAATTAGATTTTAAATAATCGAGGTTTCTCACAGTAACAGCTTAATTAATGTACAAATAAATTTAAAATATATTACTTTGAAAAATAATTTAATTTATTTTATATTTATTTTAATTCAATTATAAATTATTATTAGGTTAGGGTAACATCAGATAAAGTGAATTAAGCTTGATAGAAAATGAAATTATTTAAAAAATAGAAAATGCTGTTTACTAAAAAATAAAATCTAACATTGAATTAGAATACAACAATTAGTTTAATTATATATTCTAGGAGATGTAACGATAAGATTAATAAATTAAATCACTCTATGAAGACTTTAACAGTTTGAAAAAAGTAATAAATTACATTTTTATTAAAAATATGTTGTCTAAATTTATTTTTTATTTTCTTGGTTATTCTAATAGGATTTTATAGATAGCAAATCAAGCATAAGACACAGTAAAAACGTTTTGAAAACAGGAGACAATTTGATACCAACAAGAGGTTTTAGTGAGATTGAAAGCTATTAAAATATAGAAAATGTCGATGCCTCTAATATATACAAAATAGAAGATCCGTTTGCTTATTAGTCAGAGATTGATGACATAAAAGTTCTCTAAAAAATACAAGACTTTCAGAAAAAAATGTAATAAACAAAATAATCAATTTAGAAATCGAGGAGAAGCTTTAGTCGAGAAAAACTTAGAGAAAGGGGATCCATCTAAGATCTTTCAACTTCCATAAATAACTCTATTAACTTAAATAACAATTCTTCTTAAAATAAGAGCTTTTTGTATGATAATTCAAATATAATAACATAAAACAATAAATCTAGCTAGAGATACTAAAATAGCAATAATAATTTAAATCACTCAATTTCTAGAAGAGATTCTAATAGTGCAATTCTGATAGATTATCAAGGCTCTGGTAGCACTTCTCTCAAGTCAAGCCATCTAGCAAGCTAATAAGAATAAAATATTTATCAAGATAATTCTTAATTAACTGCTAAAGATGGAGTCTTAAAGATTAAAGATTTAAATTGCTCTCATAATAGTTAAATGAATTTAAATTAAAAATAACCATAGTTTAATAAAATATCTTAAAGTAGATCTTAAAGCAATAAAGAGAACTCAATAAGCGGTTACTCTTGTCTAAATACATCAGCAAGGTAAATAAATAAATATTTATTTAAAAAATGATTAAAGATAATTAATTTAATATTAAAAGCTATAGAAAAAATTCTAGTATATCTAATTCTAGGAATAATTTATATTAGAAGAGTTTTCATAATTAGCATCCATCAGATGAGCTGATTGAAGAACTAAGAAGAAGGGGAATTTACATCAATTGATAAAAATTCAACTAACGAATAGAAAAAATTATCCATAGTTAATTATAAACTTAGTTAATAATTAATTAAAAGGAAATAATTAATTAATTAATTTAAAAACTAATTAAAAATATAATAAAATTTTATAAAACAAACTGTAAATAATAAATAAATAAATGAATTTCATGTCTTTTAGGTTTTGAGTATTTTATGCAAAAGATTTTAAATAATTGCATCTAATTATTAGATACCTATCCTATTTCTATATTTACTTACATCATTTTCATAACTGGGCTAGAATTCTTATCTAAAATAACTTAGAAATTATACTTATTTCTTTTATGTCTATGAGTAAAAATACTTTCAGGAGTTTAAATTAGTTAAACTTAAAAAAAATTTTGTTTTAGTATAATTACAAGTTGTTTAAGTTAATATTTCAGATTTATTTTTACTCTGTTTTTGGAAGCATTTAAGAATTGCCAATAGTTTTTATGATAAAATATAATTATTTATCTTTTCAAAATGGTTTCAAAATACTTTAATTTCTTTTAACTGATTTCATTTTTAATTTTTAATTTAGTAATCCTCTTATGAACTTTTTTAAAAAAAATTAGGATATGAAATAATTATTGTAAATTTTTATATGCATTAAAAAATATACTGTTATTTTTTTCATATATTAAGTAAGACCAATTTACTAAGACTAAGCTATAAAATTATGAAAAAAGTTATTACCCTCTCTCTTAAAATTTTGGGTTTTAATATGAAATTAGGGTAATTAAGGGGAACTTACTTTATACATTATAAAAAAGTAAGTTATATTACTGATATTCTATTTTAAATAAACTTATTGAAATTAATTTCCCTTACATTTACTAAGCAAATCATTTCAAAACCTGGATTATAAATATTTAGATTATTTTCGTTGTTAGATAAAATTATTTGAATAATAACTATCTTAATTTTTCATCATAATTTTATTTTTATTTAAAGAATAAATATATTTACAAAAACTATCAAACATTTAACTAATTTTTTAAAAAGCATTAATTTTATTTATTTATTTAATTAATTTAATTTCAGTTATTGTAAATAATAATATCATGTAAAATTTCAATAAAGTAATGAATACTTTTTCAGGTAAGAAATTTATTAATTCAGAGTTTCCCGTGTTGTTAAAGATGAATCATTTTTAATTTAATCCATCCATTAATCGAATATATTAGTATTAATTTAATAAAAGTTTTTAGCTGCTTGGATATCTATGGCAGAAAAAATATCAAAAAATGAAAAAGCAAAATCATAAATATATTTCAAAAAGCATAAGCTATTAGATTAACTGTGGGATGTATTTAATTTTATTAATTATTATTTTACATTAAATACATCTGTTTCTTGTTCAAAAGCATCCTTACTTAACTTAGAAGGTTTCACTTCCTCTTAGTTTGTTATATTTTAATTTTATGCTTATTTTTGGAGTTAATTATTGTTAATATCCACACTCCTCTTTTATTAAAATTATGTATAATCATTAGAAATTTAATTTTATTCTTTGATATTTGAAAGCGTACTGTTTAAAGAAGTTCCTTTAATCTTTTTAAACATTTCTTTCCATATTTTTTCTTTTTGTTCAAAAGGCCATAGTTATGAAGGAGGTATCTAAGAGCAGTTTTCATCTTAAATAAATTATATTTTTCTTTTAAATTGCTACTATAAAGGATGAGGCTAATTATTATCTTAGTATTATTTCAAACCTGCTGGAAAAATATGTGTTTTTGCAAAGTGAAATATTTTTGATAATAGTCCGTTTTAAAGGCTCTCAGGCTAAAATTTTTTTTATATAAAATATGTAAATTGCTAACATTTTATCTTGTTATTAATAAAATCTATTATAGTTTCAAGCAAGATAAAGCTATTCGAAATGTTCTTTTATTCCTCGTTTAAAATACTGTAATTCATAAAATCTTAATGAAGAAGCTCGCTAGCTAGTTACCTTTTTTGTGCAAAATCATTGATATTGATTAAGCTCTAATCAGAATTACATAAATTGTCTCTGTTTTATTCAATTTTTTCAAGTAGATAAAATGTCTATTTTTAGGTTAATCCTTGTCGTAGACAGATGCTTTATATTGATAGCTTGAAAAAAAAGAAATGCAAATTAGAAAATTAAATAATGTTTTTTTCACTATCAAAAGATCGTATTTCATTATTAATTAGAGATATTATGTAATCTAAAATTAGATTTTCTCCTGTTTTGTAAAGATTTAAATCATTTTCATCTTTATTGCTATGATTATCATTTAAGTAACTTTGCTTATTCACAAAATAGACTTCTTCTAAATGTTCAAATGCTTGTGTAAAGATCCTTTTTGCATTTAGCTTACCACCTATTTCTTGAATGATCTGCTTTGGCATTAAAATAGTCTATATGCTCCTCTTTAGATGTTCTTAAAATATTGATAGGGCATTATTATCTGAAACTCTTTACTTAAATATTTCAATAATATCATCAATGAGCATTTATTAAAACTAAAATGGGATAGCTAAATCGCTGAAAATGTTTTTTAAAGTTTATTAAGAAGAAGTTGAAAGTCTAAAAGCTCCATTAGATTTTATTTTAGCTCTTGTTTATTAACTGCTTTGATAGACTTATTGTTGTAATTTATTTTCTTAACTTTTATATTGTAAATGTTGGCTTTGAATTTAAGTCTCAGCTGCTATAATTAAAGACTTAGGTTATAACTGCTTATGCGATTTAGAAACATTTAAAGAGCTATTTACTAAATTTTAATTTAAGCAGTAAGAAATAAATATTAGAAGCCTTTCAATAAATTATTCCTAATTGAGTTCTGTTTCACTAATCATTAGCTTGTATTAGTAATCATGTTATATTTTTTGAGTCATTTATTTTTAAATTTCATCAAAGCAAACTTATATTTGTGTTTTAGTAAATAGCTTTTATCCTCTGTGATCATAACTGTGACTTTGTTTCCTAAATGTATCTATTTTCATTTTTTGAGGCATACACTTCTTTAAATCAATTCCTATCTGTTTTGAAATCTATTTTTACAGAGATTACTAGTAGCTAGATTTTGATCTTCTCTTTGATAGAATGAGCTCATTATATCTACTAGTAAATTTAGAATTTTAATCGTTTAGAATATTTTCATTTTCTTCTGATATTTTAGTAAATTTCATTTAATTTTACTATTCAAATGAAATATCATGGTCGTTATGTGAATTCTCTAAAACGATGGATGTATTTTTTTAAGATCTTTATTATTGTTTATCCAATTTGGAATCGCTTGGTGCTTTGATTGAGATTCTATGTTAACTGCTTTTCAAATGATTGGTATCATCTCCATCGATTTAGTGTATTTACAATAGCAAATTATGCGAAGATCTTGGAGATATAATCTTCTAGCATGAAAGTAATGACGAAGAAAGCTTTTAACCTAGATTTTATGAGAGTTATTTTTGACTGGTAAAGTTATTTTGGAGAAATATTTAATTTGATGAGTGATTATTTATTGTTTCATTGAAGTTAGAATTTTTAGGTTATCCTGTCTAAGCTATATTTTTATCTTGTATGTTTTATTTGTATTTCCATTTATTCGTTAAACTTTAATCACTCTTTTAATTGTAAAATCTATGAGTAGTAGTAGAAAATCCTCCAATGTTAATTGCAGCTTAATTTTCGGATTATCTCTCATTTGAACTAAACTTAGCTGTGTAAGAACCACTGTTTTTAAAAAATGCTTCCGAGTACGATGGAGAATTTGCAGATTAGCTTGAATTGTAAGGAGAATCTTTTTAGCCTGGAAAGACTTGACCAAAAATTTTCTTGGTGATTTAATTAATTTAACTTGGCTACTATTCTTAAAGGAAGTTTTTACTATTATTATTGCTGCTGCTGTTATTAAATATTAAATTTTATAGTCTTTAGTTTCTATAATTTTTAGAATATTGTTAGTATTAATCTTCATTTTTGGTTTCATTTGAATTATTTGAAGTCACTAACAATTTTTTGAGGCATGTTTTATTATTGAGTGCAAGTTATATACCTAAGAAGTTTTTGTTAAAAAGAGGGACATTCTTTTTAAGAAATTATTCTTCATCTTTTTTATTTTCAAATTAAATATCATTTATATTAGCTTAATCCAAAGAGACGAATCTTTATTTTTATTCTGTTATTGGCCTACCCCAATTTTGTTTAGAAACATCTGCCTTCTTCTCTTTTGGTGCGTTTTTATTTAATACTTAAGTTGTGGAATTTTCAGCCAGAAATTTCAAATCGATATGCAAATCTTAAGGATGATTAAATTATTAGGTATTCAGCTTAAATGAATCTGATTGATCTTTAAAAGACTATTAATAAAATCTAGAACTTTGTGGCGATTAAAATAGACTAAAATTTTGATTCATGCCAGTCTTTACTTTTGGAGTTAATACTATTTTTTTATGATATTAATCTTAGCTATTCTAAGAGCTATCTCTGTTTAATTAATTTTGAGCAGAATAAGTCAAATTATTTTTTTATTATAAGGTATTCTAAATTGAGTTCTTAGAAGATCTAGCGCTTCCACTTTGAGGAGTACTCACATTTCCATGATACTGCAGTTTAAGCCTTTGCCCTATTTCATTTAAAGATTCGAAATTTCCAATATTTCTTTTAGTATTTAAGCTAAACTAATTATAAAGAGTTTTATCATTTAATGGCGAATGATGCTAACTTCTAAAGCTAGATATTTATGAGAGCAAATACCTCTCTGAAGAGTCTAAATTTGTAGATTTTCGTTACATACTTTACTTGAATTCTCCATTATTAATTTTAAATTATGATCTTTCTGAATTTAGTTCTAAAATCTGAGTCGTTTACATATTAGATTTATCACAATCAAAATGTGATTATTGCTTTAAAACAGGCATAGAATGTTTCCTTTACTATGAATTTTACTTTGATTAAAAAAGAGTACTACCATCTCCATTGAATGAATCATTAATCTATATTTGTAATTTATTTTATTATAGTGGCTAATTCCCTTGTCCAAATACTTTTAAGTTTTCTGACATATTTATAAAAATTAATGTTTATTATTTTTAATAATCAAAACTTAATACAAAATAACTGCATAAAAAATATTATAGAACAACAATTTTATAAACTTTTTGAGAAGCATACATACTATCATTTCAAAATATGTTATATATTTGATTTTAAACCTGATTTTTTTAAATACTTGTGAATTTTATAAAATAGAAATCACCATATGAATTTACAATCAATCTATTCGTTTTTTTTTTTTTTGAGTCATCTAATATGTTTCTCATAATGAATATAAATAAATTTGTTGTTTAGTTAATCAATAATTTCTTATAATTTTAAAATCAATTCTAATATTTGTAAAATTTAAATATTTTCGATTGAGCCTAATAGACTATATCTAACATACATATTAAACAAAATTAATACCTCTCAAAAAATTCTTTTAATTTTAAATAAAATCCTTTAATAAGAAGGTAATTTTAAAAAATTTTTATTTTTTTAGATTTAAAATATAAAAGTTTAAAAAATCTAAGAGAAAATAATTTTAAATCAAGAGCTGCTTTTTAGTTTTTAAACCATTTTTGGAGGTTTATTTAATCATTATAAATTTGGTTTAGAATATATAAAAGAAACAATTATCTTGATTTTTGTTCATGTAAGAAAGCTATTTATAGTTTAAATGATTTATTAAATAATTGTTAAAATGGCTTTCTAAATTCAATTAAACAAAAATTAGAATTTTAACTTTTACATTCTTTAAGACAAAAAAAAACAAATTTTAAATATCACCAGATAATTTATGTAAAATTTATTTGGTTTTATTTAATATTTTACAAACAAATTATTTTGATTAAAAAATAAAAGAAATCTTTAAGAAATATATTTTAAATATAATATAAAAATAGAAAAAAATTTATAAACTGCAAAAAAGTAAATTAAAACCTTCAATTCAAACAACTTTAAATTTAAAATAAACTGAGTAAATCATTTAAAAAAAATTCTAGACAAACTAATTAAACCTTAGAAATTTCAAAAAAAGATTAAAAAGATTTTTATATTTTCAATTTACTTAGATTTGTAGAAATGACAACATAAAATAAAAATTATTCACATTTTTTAATGTAGATAAATTTTTCTTCATTTCATTTACAAAATTTAAAAAAAAAGTAATTACTCCTTTTTAATTATTAAAGAAACATAAATGAATATCAATAGATATTTATAATAAGAAAATTCCAAGCTTGATAGATTAAGACAGCTTCAAATACTGAAAAAATGAATCAAGAATTTTGTAACAAAGAATTCATACGAAGATATGATATCAATTCTTTGATATTTTCTTTCGGATAAGTATCATTTTTTAAGAGTACATCCTAAATACCTGAAAGCCACATATTAAAACAATAATCAAAGTTAATTATATTGTGGTATGTGACAGAGTAATCAAGGTCATAAATAGAGAATAACTGGTCATCTTCTGATAGGACTAAGAATAAATATTCCTGTAAGAATTCTGGTTTTATTATTGAGTCTTCTTGCATTCCATCTGGAAGGTTGATATTTATTAAAGCATACTCACACCATTCAATTAGCTATTCAACTAACTCGCTTTCTGACATTCCTATGTTTAAAAACTAGTAAGATATTAAATCGGCTTTCTATTTTATTCTTTCAATTTTTATAGAAATATCTCTCATTGCAAGATTGTTGGCATCTGCTTAGGTAGATTTATAGGCTTCGATTATTGCCTTATGGATTTCTTCTATCATTATTAATGGTATTTAATTCGTTTTTAACTTGTGCTCGAAATAGTCTATTAAATCTACAAATCTATTATAACCAAACAATGTTTAAAATAATTCATCATAGAAATTTTATATAATATTCGATGAAGGATCTAGAAAGTATCCAACGATTTTTTTATTCTTGGAAATAGATTGAATGAATGCATTTCTAAATGAAGAGTCTTTACTAAAGTTATTTAAGGAAGTAAAATACCCTCTTTGTTTATTAACTCGTTACACTATTTAAAATATAAGATTTTATGGGTATTGCATTTCTTGCATGACCATGCCTAAACCTATTTTTATGTGATAAAATTCAGCATTTGAAATTTGCATTGGTGAGTTTTTTAGTCTTGCTAGATAAGTTTAAAGGACATTATTGTCTGATCTCAATAAGCTAACTACTCCTTCACTAACTAGATTAACTAGTTAGCCATCAAATGCTGGTATGATACCATTTTCATAGCAGAGGTGCTCAAGCAATTTTTAAATTATGACTTTGATTTTTTCTAAGCCACCAAAGTCATCAATTAGTGTTTGAGGCATAAAACTCTTTATGGCGCCTAGAAATTTTTCTTAAAATTCTCTAATAAGATGAGGCGGTAAGCATAGTTCTTTCATCTTGTTAACAAAAATTTCTAAGACTGAAATAAATGTCTGCTCATTTACCTTTAGTGTAGGGAACTCCTATACATATTAGTTATTGCGATTAGCTTAGTGAGAACTTAAATTTTATGAGTAATTATTAGATCTGGAATCATTTTAATCGTTGCTTTCATAGCTGCTATTTTGAATATCTTTTTTTTGATAAGTGCTATAAATACAAAAGTTATATAGCTTTATCATGTAAAAAGCGAACATTTCAATAGAATAACCACTTTATTAAATATATTAAGATAGTACCTCATTTTAGTTTAGCTCTTGTATTAATGTTGAATTCATTATATTATAGTTATCTTCATGGATTTATTGTTAAAATAATTTTCTCTTTATTGGAGAATTAGTAGATTAAGGTGATTTAATTGATGGATTTTTATTTTTTTATAGGCTTACCTATTGTAAATTAGAAGTTTGAATTCCTAATGTTTATGCTCCTTTTATTTAATTTGATGCTCCATTTTTTATTTCTTTTGAGCTTTAAATGCTATTTGGTTAATATTATTGTTAAAATTAATCTAAAAAGTCATATTAATTATTGTTGTTATTAATCTATTTATGATCTAAATATGGCTTTGCTTTCTTTTCTTTATGATTGGACTCTCCATATTATATCAATTAGGATGTCTAGTATTTTTTTAAACTTTAATTCTTTTAGTTGTTGCTTTCAAAAAATTGAATATTTTTTGATGATTTTATATTCTTTGAACTTCCTTATTATGAGTTTTTATTAGATAATTAATCTTATTTTTAAATATCAAATTTATAGATAAATGTCTTAGCTTTTTGTTTATTTTGTTTATCTCTTTTGAAATGTTCATCTTAAGCCATATCTCTTTGTTCTTTTTAATTAAATTAGCCAATTTAATTTACTCCATTTTGTTAATTTTCAAATTTGTTATTTATTTTGTTATTTAAAAACTACCCAACATTAAATTATTGACCTAAGCTTTTCTATGCTTACATCAATTAATTATTATTATTGTTAGTTTTATTTTCGTTTTAGTTAAATTATTCACTAAGTATTGGCTGAATTGGATGTTTCAGAACCCATCTATTCACTTCTAAATTATTTATTTTATTATCCTGCTTTTATTAATTATTTTCATTGATTTCATTTGAAATATTTAATTCTGAATCATTTGTGATTTTGTTACTTTACTGTCTATCAAATATTTCTTTTAAGCTTAAATTGTTATTTTCCAACAAAAACTCTTGGTTTTCCTTAATGCCTTCTAAAGTTTTATTTTTGTTGTCTTAGATATTCAAATTTTACTTAAAATTTAAAGGTTTAAGAAGGTAAGCAGTAGAGCTTTGCTAATTATTTTTATTATTTGTTTAATTTTATAATATCGAATAGACTTTAGATTTTTTTCTCATGTTAGAAGATGTAAAAGAAGCCAAAGAAAATCTATTTTCAGACAGTTATTAAGCACTCAACATTTTAGCTCTTGATAGCGAATTTGATATTTCTTAGACATTTAATTTAAAATCTTTAAAAACTGTTTTTTTAGCTCTATTAGTTTCTGAAGAAATTTTCTGAGGAACATCGCTTCCAATTAAGTTATTTACCTTACTATGCTACTGAGTAAAAGAGTTTTAAGTGAGCTAAGTGAGCAAAAATTTACGAGACTTAAAAAATTTTGTCACTTGCTAAGCTAACTAAGGAGTTGGGATGCGCTACTTTAATTGTTAATTTATAAATATTTCCTAAATGATCTACTCAGAGTTAGATATACTTTATGAGTTTTACTAATCTTCGCTTGTATATTTTTTATTGTTACCAAGTCTAGAAGAGTGATAAAATATATCAGAATTAGATTGTTTAGGAGTTTAAAAGCTGTTGAATATTTTCTCATCTGAACTTTTAATTAAAGGTAGCTCCTTTTAGAATTGCTCATCTTTTAAAAATTCGTTTTTTGGCGTCTGTAAGTGACTCTAAAAATATTATTTTAAATTTTTTGATTTTTCTTGATTGTCTTTCCCCCTCACTGTATCATATGGCATGTTTTTATTATGAGAAGTAATCTTCAAATACTTTTCAGACAGTTGCCTTTTTTACTTCAGTCTATTTTATTGCTATTAATTTGTAGTAATCTTATTTAAACCATTTTATGTAGATAAATTTGAAGCTTGACTATCTTATTTCTACTATTCATGAATGAATTTCACATAGCCAAGCATCGAAAGAAGACTCTCTTCTCTCTCCTTCATTTACCTTGAAATCATTTGCTAAAGTGTATTATTTAGATTTAAATTTTTTTAATCTACTTCTCTGCTTGATCAATAAATATATTTTTAAATTTTACAATTTCTTTCTATTTTTCTATTTGTTGATTTTATTAATTAATTAATTAACTATATTTTTGACATCAAAATCACTTTTTATTTTTCAAGATCTTTTATGTTTTTAATGTGACTTTAGCATAAACACAAATTATGGTTTGTTTTTTCATTAAACTTTACAGTAATAATTTGTCTATTCCACTCATTATATTATTATTCAACAGTTAACTCTTAAATTTGCCTTAAAAATTGTGAAAAAACGGTAATTTATTGTAAGTATTCATACATATTATAAAAAATACTTGTAATTTACATTTTAAATTTTATATAAAATGAGATCATTAATCCATTAGTACTGGTAAATTTTTGAATTATCTTTTTAAAGCCTTGATTTATTTCCTCATTATAAAAATGTAAGTTGGTAATTATATCCATTAAAAAACAATTCAAGAATTGTTTCAAAAATTAGTTTTTCTTGTTTTAATTAATATTCGATTTTTTTTAAAACACAAACTAGTTAAAATAAGTGTAATACGAATCTAATTAAAATATACTTGAGTGAATAAAATTAAATATATAAATTATTATTACTTATTTTAAAATTAATTCCTTTTAAATCAACTTTAAACAGCATAGAAATCCATTATTTGTTAATAAACAAATTTGATAAAATTCATTAATTTTTTTCATTTAACTTTAAAAAAAAATTTATTTTAATGTAAAAACAGTCAAGCATTTTAAATTAAGAGCTATTGAATTAAATTTTTGTCTAATTATAATTAGATGTTACTCAGTGTATAAATAAATAAAAAAATAATCACTTATTTATAAGGAATATTTTTTAATCCAATTTATAGATTAGTAACACTTATTGATCTCATATTATTATAGTTAACATAATTGTGATTAAATTATATTACAAATTTCTTATTGAATTATAACCAAAAATTAAATTAGATATAAAAAATATTTATCTAAAAGTTTTTGATTTTTTATTTCCAAAAAATATTTTAAAACGAAAATAAAAAAAATGAATATTTGACTATTATAAATGTAAAAAAAGCTATAAATTATTTATTAAATAATCAACTAATAAGTTTGTTTATTCTCAAAAAACCCCTTGAAGTCATGAAATAACAAGAAACATAAAGTAAGTTCTAACTAAATAAATCATATTAATTAAGATGATTTGATTTGTCAAAATATTATAAATTTAAAACCTTATGAATTAAAGCTTTATCAATTGATCATAATTTTAGATAAGAATTAATTTATTGTCAGTATGTATGCTCATTTATTCATTCTTCATTCAATTTAAAAATTTTTTGTTTTACTTATTAAATATTAATGAACATCAGGTCTTAATGTATAGACTCCTCCATTAACATTGTAATAATTAGTTAGTTTACTATCGTAATTGTATCTGTTTCCATAAATATCAGTAATTTATCCTCCATAGATTTGAAGCAGTGCTTCGCATGCTATTGTATCCCATCTACTAGCTTTACTACTCAAGTGTGTGCAAAAATCAACTTCATTCTCTAGAACTTGTAATGATTTTTTACCTGAACCTCCATTTTAAAGCAAAACAGCAGGCTTCAAATCGTTCTTAATAAAATTTAAAACATGTTCTTTTACTCTATGCTTAGATGTTGCACCAATCAACTAATCTAAAGGTCTATTAGTATGTTACAATCTGAATTCGTAGGGTAAATAACTCTTTCTACCTTCTTCATCTAATTCTTCACCATATGCATAATACACTTAAGAACTATCTACATGACCAAAATAGATCTTGGGTTTAAATGTAAATGTGCCATTCTTTTCCAAATGATAAGGCTAGGAAATAATTCCCATCAAAGGTCTATTATGAATAGAAACACCTATAAGAGTAGTAACTGCATCGTACTCTTCCTTTACATAAGAAAGGGTTCCATCCAAGGGATCAATCCAAACAACTACATCATCAATATTAAACTAATTTTATATCTTGGGTGTGTTGAAATATTATTCAGGAATCAAATTAGGATTCAAGTTATTAACATCATAGCCAAGATCTCCTTCGAATCTGAAATATTAATTGAATAAATAAAAATTTAGATTAGCTATTCCAAAATAGGATTCTGATTTCATAAATTTGTAATGATTATAAAAAGGACTTAAATGAAAATTTATCTTCAAATTTTTTGTGAATGAAAGTAAAATGATTAGTCTAAAAATAGTGCAGCTATCGCTTAATATTAAGAAGTATTTTTATATGTTTTTACTCAATTTGTTCTTCGCCAACAATAGTGATGTTAGGGTAATATTTTCTAATACCTCTTATGATAAGAGTTTATGCTTTAATATCAGCAATAGTCATAGGATCGTCCTTTCCTTTCCACTATTCAGCTTTCAATCCACCAGTTTATATGCTATGAATAATCTTTGCTGCTTCATTTGCTAATTGTAAGCAAATAGAAAATAAATGGTTAACTTTACCTACCTAATTCATAATTTTTAATATTTACAACAGATTAATCGTATCTTTTATAATTTAATTATTTATTTGGATTTAAGTAAGTCACTAGCTTTTAAAATAAAAAAGAATTTATTCATAGATTATATCAAAAAATAATCTAAAATGTTTGTTTTTTTTCTATATCAACTATAAAATATCATATTACGTATTTGACTAGAAACAACATAGATCTTATTAGCTACTTTCATAGTTATAAAAAATCTAAAAAAATAAAAAAATATTAATTCTTTTCAAACAATATTACAATTTATGACTGCAATTTTAAATAGTTTAATTTTTTAAAAATAGATTTAATTTTGTAAAATTCTAAAAATAGTACTTCAAAAATTGTAGTGTTTTAATTTAATTTAAAAAAAAAAAGAATTAAATATGAATTTATTACATTAGCAATTGACTTGACAGATAATAAATTCATTAAAAATGTATTAAAAATTATAAAATAAATATCATTTATACATTTTTAAGCACTTAGATTTAAATATAATTAATTAATAAATTAGATTAAATTAGAGTTGAAAAATAGGCTGATATTTTTTGATAGTTTACAAAAAGGGTAGAAATTATTAGAATAAACAAATAAATAAATATCTTAATTCTTTTGAAGTTAGAATAAATTTTGAAGCTATAGATGATGCTTACAAATTACTTTTTCAATTAGTTTACTCTGTATTTTATTTTGTAGATTTAATCTTTTCTTCTAGCATTTATTTGAAATAAATATCTAGCTTCTTTTCTTATTTATTTTTTTATTGATAATTATAAATGGCCATAGCTTTTTTCTCTTGTTAACTAATAACTTTAGCTTCTTTCATTTTACGAACAGCATTCATTCTTTTGTGTCTTGAACCACTCATTACATAACCAAGATCTTCATACTTTTAAATTTAGTCAGATGTTAAACCGACTTCACCTCTACGAGGGATACGCTTACCTTCATCATAATACTATGCAATAGCCTCACCTTCACCTGGTAATAAACCATTGTAGTTATCTTTTTTACCTTCATTCAAGACTAATGGCTGTTTTATAAATGTTTAATTAGTTAATAAAAAAATACAATAATAAAAACAAGTTACCTAAGGGCCTATTGGAAGATAAGACATAATAGGTTTATTTTAATCGTCAAGTTTTATTTCTTCATCCATATCATCACTATCATCTGAATTTGATTCTTCTTTTTCTACTTCTGCTTTATCTTGCTAAGTTTCTTCTGTTTTTTTCGCTTTTTCTGGTTATTTGCTTGTATTCTTCAATTTATTTTACATCTTCTTTTTTTTATCTGGCCCATTTACTTTTTCTCTACAAAGTCTAGCAAATGAGTTGTCTGATTCGAACTCAGACTCATCTTCTTCACTTTTCTAATTGATTACTTTTGATCCTTTCTTAGATTTATCTTTTTATTTTTTATCTTTTTTGTCTTTTTTATTGCTTTTGCTTGATTTTTTTGAAGCTTTTTTCCTTGATGATCTTTTCTTATCATCATTAGAACTATCTGAATTTAAGCTTTCATCGCTATCAGAATCTGAATTAGATGATATACTTGAATCTGAAAAATCAGATCCTAAATTACTAGATTTACTGCTAATTGAATCTTCATTATCACTGTCATCATCTCTTTCGTCTAAGTAGTCTCCATTTTAAGATTTTTGCAATCTTCTTAGCTTTTTTAATCTTTTGGTTTCCTCTTTCATCTTATTTTCTTCTTCAATCTTTAATTTATCATTTTCCATTCTTTGGTAAAATTATTGAATTTCTTTCTAGTAATCTTCTTCATCCGTGCTATAATCCCATATACTCTTTCTTAATTATAAATTTTATCTTTATTAGATTCTTTTTGCCAATAATTCTTCTCTGCTTAGTTTCTATTTGCCTCCTTGATTTTATCCATAACCTTTTCTCCTATCATTTTCCCTGCTACTTGATCTTTCTCTTCTAGAATAATGTCTTAAAGGTTTCTCTTTGCTGCTACCTCTGCTACTACTTCTACTTTGACTTGAATATTTTCTTTCTTTATGGTTTTTTTAATTTTATTTATCTCTTCTATCATTTCTTTCTCTACTTTTACTTCTACTCTAACTTTTTCTTCTATAATGCTATTCATATTACTTTTTAGAGTTATTTGTATAAGAATTGGCATCTTTTTTGCTTTTGCCTTTTGAGCTCGACCTGCTTCTAGATGAACTATATTTACCCATAAAAGTTGATTCTGTAAAAAAAATATTTATAAAAATCAACGAATATTAATTAATTATTTATAAATTTTAGTAAAAAATTAATATCAAACAAAGATTGATTTTGCATTCTTAATTTATAGATAAATAATTAACTAGACAAGATGATATAATTGGTTTCAAATTTTCTAAGTTTAATTTAATGTTTTATTTTTATAAAATATAAATAAACATTTTATAAAATACAATTAAACATTTTAATCTATATAAATACTATTAATTAATTATTTGATTTGATTTGTCAAAATTTGAAGATATTTTTGATTGATTTTAAATTTAATTGTTTTAAGTAAAATAAAAATTGCAAAAAATAGATTAGAAAATTTATGATAAATAATTGAATTTAATAATCAAAATAAATATTTAATAAAATTAATTGAAAATAATATTTATATAAATATTTTATCAATTACATACAAGCATTTATAAAATACAGTTAATCATTTTACAGTGTTAAAATTTATTTAATTTGTCAAAATAAAATTTGAAGATATTTTGACTGTTTTGAAAATATAGTTAATTATTTTAAGAAAAATTAAAATTCCAAAAAATAGATTAGAAAATTCATAATAAATAATTGCAATAATTGAAAAAATATTTAATAAAATTAATTTAAAGTTATATTCATTTTAATATTTATGAATCACAAATAATCATTTATAAAATACAGTTAATCATTTTACAGTGTTAAAATTTATTTAATTTGTCAAAATTAGAAGATATTCTTGATTGCTTTGAAAAAAAATTAATTATTTTATGTTTAATAAAAATCGCAAAAAATAGTAATAAATATTCATAATAAATAATTGAAAAAAAATTTAATAAAATTAATTTAAAGTTAATTTGTCATAATTTGAAGATATTTTTGGGAACTTTAAAATTTAATTGTTTTAAGTAAAATTATAATTGTAAAAAAAATATATATTAGGAAGAATCAAATTTAATAATGAAAATAACATTTAGTAAATTATCTTATTACTTATAAGCTCCTGATCAGTGATTTACAATATTCAAACAAAAATTGAAAAAAATAATTAATAATGTTTTTATCTAAATGATAAATTTAGTATTATCATTCATTAGAATACAATTAATAAAGTTGTTTTTATTTTAGATCAAATAAATTAGTAGAAAATAAGCAAAGAGTTTACAAAATATTAAATATGAAGATTGAACAGCTTTTTTTATCAAAAAAAATCTTTTATCTCTTATACCTTTTAAAAGCAATATATTCAACTCTTTACACTATTAATATCTCGGAGAAAGGTTTTAATCCTGATTTTTATTTATGCTAGTAATATGCTATTGCCTCTTACGCAAATAGCAATACATTTGTCTTGTTGGAGTTTTTTTAATTTCCAGAATTTAGAATAGTAAAAACTGCTAATTTTAATATCCCTTTCCCGAATAATAATGCTAATATTTAAACTGATGGTGAAGCTTAATGCTTATTATATTTTGTTATTTAAGATAGCAAGAATAATTTGTAAGCTCATTCTATTAGCTTTAAAGACCTAAGTCATATTTAATCTGATCCACAGTAATGTAATTAAAATAAAGAAAACAATTATCATCTTACTAATTTATTTTAAATTTTTTTGTAGATAGAAGATAGCTCAGAAGTGTTTAGATATTGAAATAGGATGATCAAGACCCAAATGATAGAGTGAAAGAAAAGATAGTGTTTTTTTTAAAAGATACAAATCTATATTTTATTGATGTAATTATTTAGATGCAAAGACGTCTAGTTTGGTACACTATTTAAGATTTTAGTATCCAATCTGTTAGTAGGGGAGTCATAGCTGGTGTTTCTAGTTCTTTAGAACAAAAAATATATTTATTTAAAAAAAATCAAGAAAATTCTGACATTTAACTTTTTAATTTAGATCTCACTTTACCTGAAATTTATTAGAGCATTAACGCTGTAAAGGAAATTAATATTCTAGAATGGTATAATTTTTTAACTGACTAAGCTTTTGCCTTATCTGTCTACGATTTTACTAAGTAATAGAATTACATTTATTGGGTTTTGGTGATATAAGACTATAAAATTTAAAAGGTAAAATACAAGCTACCTAATTATTATTCTTTGATGCTTTTCTAGACTATTTAGTCAGATAATAAAAAGTGCATAAACTTTTCAAACAAAATTTCATATGATAATGAAGAATAATATAGTATTCTTTGTCCAAAATATATCCTTTTTAATAATGGTTATCAATCAGATCTTAATGACAGATATTCTATTTTTATATAAAGCAAATCTTCAATAATTTTTATTCAATATAGCAATACTGATAAAAGTATAGTGAATATATTTAAATAATAAAACAACACAAATAGTTTGTCTCTGAGCTAATATTTAAGCAATAATATTACTTGTATATCAAATCCTAATTATGTTTCATATAGGATAAACATAAAAGAAAATAAAAATGAAAAAATCTTTGAAGTATTTTGCAAAATGGATTAAAGCTCATATTATGTGGTTTAAGCTGGCTTGCTTTAAAATGAAATTCCAACAAGTGATTTGATGAAAATTTTTGGGTATTCTAGCTTAGGAGTATTTATAGCTATTTTAATAGGATTCATAATCTTATTATTGAAAAAAAGAAGAATTCAATAGCAAATCATATAAGATCTCTTCGTATGCTAACAAGAAAAAAAGAAATATGTTTTAAATCAAGACCAGTTTAATGAAAAATATGAGATTTTAGAAGATAAAAGTTTAGGAAGAGGAACATTTGGTTCTGTGTTTGAATGTATAGAAAAACCCAGTAAAATTGCATTAATGTATAATAAGAAATTAAAAGAGCAAAAAAGGGCAGTAAAAAAAATTATTATCAGGAAAGATATAGCCTAAGAATAACTGTAAGAAGTTTATCTTCTAGATAGACTTCAAGTATATCCAAATGTTATTAGATTAATCAACTATTTTTACCTACCTGACAAGTAGCTATTCATTATTTTAGAATTAGCTTAATCAAGTCTTGAACAAGAAATACAGGAAAGGATTAAAGAAGTAAATAATTTTTATTTTAAACAAGAAATAAATATTTTTTCATTTAATGTAAAGAAAAAGCACTACACCAAGGATGAAATATTAGACTTTTGCAAACAAATAGGCTTTTTGATAAGAGACTTGCATAACAAGCAAGCTATAACTCATAGAGATTTAAAACCTTAGAATATCTTGATAGCGAATGATACCTATAAGCTTTCAGATTTTGGAGCAGCAAGATAGTTAAGTTTAGAAGATTTCTATAGACAAAATACACATGTAGGTTCTCTGAAATGGATGTCTCCTGAAATGCGAGAAGGAGTTGAATAGAATAACATAATCTAAAAATATAAATTGAACTACTATTAATGCGATGTTTTTAGCTTAGGATTAATATTGATGAGAATGGTAACTCTTGAACACATAGATGGAGTTAATACTGATGAAGAAATGAAAAATTTTAAAGTGAAAAGAATGATGGAAAAAAGAAAAGATTTGGGAGCGGAATTTTTAAAAGTTATTGAAGACATGCTTATCTTTGATTTAAAAACTAGAATAGATATGTCAGCTTTTAAGGTCAGAATCGAAGCTATAATTAAAGATATGCTTAATGAAACGCAAGATATAAATTGTTTAATTGAAGAATAAGATGATTAAAATGTAATTGTTTAAGGAGGAAGTGGTGTGAGAAACGTCTCTAAAGGAGCAGAGGAAGCTTCAATAAATACCATCAATATTTTTCAAAAAAAATAAAATTGAAAACCATTGAATTTTATTTAAAATAAAATAAAATTAATAAGAAAAAAATGAACAACAATATTTTTTTCATATTTTTAAAAGTTTTATTATTTTATTTTATTATTATTATTATTAGTTTAATTTCAATTTTTTTGTTAATTTTGTATCAATTTTTGTAAATTTATTTAGTTTCTAATAATACTTGTTTATTAAATTTAGCTCTTATTTAAAAAAAATCTTCAATGCAAATCATATCTATCAGATAAGTTTATTTTATTTCAAAATTAACAAACAGATGGAAAATTACTAATATGGTAGAACATAAATATTCTGTTTCCTAATGATTTATTTAGTTTTTCCTTTATAATCAATTTAAAAATTGGTCTTTTTCATCAAATATTAAATTTAGCAATTATTTATTCTCAAGATCGACCGACTCAATTTCATTAAATATTAATTCTTTTTTTAAATAGTTTTTTTTTTGATTTAACAGTATAAACTATTCAAGCACACTTAATTAAGTAATTTTTATTTTTTTGTAAGTAAGTGAGTGATTTAACTTTATATTTGCACTAAATTAATACCATTAACAGAAATTTTGTTACAAATTTAAATATCTTCGACATAAATCTTTAATTTTTAAAATGTTTAATGGGGTAAGTGAAATAGATATAATTCAAATAAATTATACCACAAAAAATTGAATACTTTTTATATTTTAGTTATAGTTGAATTACTTTTGATATTTTCGAGCGATTAAGGAATATTGTTTACATATAAAAGTATTTAGCATTCAAATTACAAACAAAATAGCAATATATTATCTAAGACTTTATCTTTTCTATTCAAAAAAAAATATAAATCTAAATTAAAACTTTAGATTTTATTAGGTCTTTGTTTATTCATGTTTATACAAGTTGATTAAAATTTTGAGGTAAGTTGATGATAAAAATATAATTCAAACAGCGTTTAAACAATTTAAAATAGAAGCAAGCATACAACCTATAAAAGAAAAGCAAGAATTTAGTTATAAAAATTATCATTAAAAATTTTATTAGAGAAATAAAATTTAATACATAATAAAGTAGTTAGAATTAAAATAAATATAAACAAACACATACATAGTAAATAGCTAAAATATTCTAACTAAATATACTAACATATAAAGAACATCTTTAAAGTGCTAATTTTAAATATACTTCATAGAGCTTTTAAAAAGGGATATAAGATAAACAACAGATATTTTTTATTTGAAATGCTTCTCCTATCTTTTTTTGTGTCTTGCTTGAATTACTTATCCGATAAAAAATCATTGAAATTTAATTATAGAACACAATTAAAAAGGTATTTCTTAAATACTTTCTATATGATTCCTCAACTTAGGTTGAAATGGTTCTAACCTTTTTTTGGAATTATATCTCACTTCTTGATTTTACTGTTAATAGTTATTTTCTTATCTTACATATACTTTACTGCTTTCATACTAATAGAAATTAGCAGCTACTTTTACGGATATTATATTCATTCCCTGCTGAGGATGTAAATTTTTGTTAATGTCTAGCTAGCCTCACTGATAACTCACTATTTTTTAGATATATTTTTTGTTATGGCATTTATTTATTCTGATTAAAGCATCTATTGTTTGTGGGCTTTTGCTTTGTTCCATTTGATTTTATTCTTATATGAAATTGTAAATTTAATATAAGCTATAAGTTAAAGATCAAGCATGCCTTATTTATCAGAATTTCAAAATATATTTTACTTAGGAAATTACAACAAAGAAACATATATAGCTACACAAAAAAAAAATTAAATTTAAATAATTAGAGTAAGTAAAAATAATCTATTTGGCAAGATTGAATACTCCTAAAAGAAAACAATGAACATTGATGCATTTACTGTAATAGAAAGTATCGATTTGAAAAGAAATATATTAATTACCCAAACTGATAATTAATATCTTTCATTCTATTCTTTGCCTAATTTAGAATTCAAGTTCACAACTCCTCTCTATAAAAAAAGCTGTAATTTTTTCTATTTTATTTTTGAAGATTTGAATAAAAAACTAAATATCCTTTAACATCTAACAATATAATTTTTTAAAAATATTTTTATATTTTACAGTAAAAATTATTTTTACTTTAAGTTAGCAATTTTAACTTCAGAAAATATTAATTTATCAATATTCTAAGAACTATTTTTCTTTTATGCTTACACAAAAGCCATTTACTTTTCCCAACTTAAAAAATTAAAAATTTTTTGACTATTTTATCTGTTGCGTTGATGTAAAATAAAATTTTTTTTTAGCACTTATTTGCCTTTTAGATTTTTATAAAAATAAAAAGTTAACTTCAAAGCTCTCAAAATACTTGCTTGAAAATATCAAATAATAGTTTTTTTGATTCCTTTTACTACAATACTTTATAATATAAATATTTATCATTAAAAAAAAAATTTTAAGGTTATCACCTATTTTAAAAAATTAATCTTACCCGTAAAAATAATTAACAAAACTTTTTCATAATGAATTAAATTAATTAATTATAGATAGATGAAGGATTTTGATAAATTTTACAATTATATTTTTTCAACTTATATAACAAATACTAATTTTGAATTTCATTAAATAATTTTAAGGTATAAGAGTGTGGGATGAAAAAGGAGAAGTTATTTATGTTGATTATAATAAGACTAGAAAGACGACTGATTTAGATTTTCTTAGCATACAAGATGTGTTTTAAAAAGGGTTTTCGCTTGAATTAACTGCTAATTTTCAGCATAAATAATAGCTGATTTACTATGGAAACATTAAAATAGATAATGATAAATATTAAAGGTATGTTGTGGCCTGCAATTACCCTTCCCATGACATAATTGCAATAAATATAGAAAAATCAGAAATTGATACTTTATATAAAAATACTGAATAAAATTCTATTAAATTCAAAATAAGTCCACAATAAATATTAATATTTAGCAATAATCACTTTCCTTCACTAATAATTTTAGATGTGCCTTCTTATTTAATAGGAAGAGTAAACTGCCTTTAGTTATTATCAGGATTTTATCCAATTCAAGTTAAAAATATTGATTACCATATAATTCTCTACCCAAACGATAGCAATAAAATTGATTATTTCTTTTTGGCGAGAATTCAAAATAACTCTCTCAAAATTATTTAGAGATGTAAAACTTTTAATACTCAAATACAAGAAATTCATTATGACCCAATCTTAAACATTTTTATTATCTTAACTAAAAATAAAATATTCTTTATGAATGTTAATTGCGAAATTATAACATATAATCAAAATAATGAAATTTAATTAAACATATCAATCGATGATTGAAAGCCTCTTTAAAAAAAATATTCAATTTTAATACTAAAAATAATAGTAATAATTTGCATTCATTATTTAAGGGAAATACTTAATGTTTTTTAGCAAACTTTATAAATTATAACAAATTTATGTTTTTGTAAAATATTATTTAATTGTGTTCTTTTTTCTTATTATTCTATTTAAATATCATTCGTTTATTCAAGTAATATTTCAATTATCATTATCCATTTTTTATTATATTTTTTAGGTTACTTGATAGAGCATTGGAATTTCCTAAATTTCTTCCAACAATTTAATTAATAAATACTTAAGATAAGAAAATAAATCAATAATTTTCAAAAAAAAATTTTTATTTCTTTACAATTAATCCATTTAACTTGTAATCAATATCAGACTTTTTTAAAAAATATACATACTCAGTTATCAACTATATTATTCTTGAAAGTTCATAAATTTTTTCTTAAAATATCTATTTTTTCAAGGATTCAGCAAAGATTCTTTTTCAAAACTAATATTTATGATTATTTTATAGCATTGTAACATAAAAATTTTATGATGATAATCTAATTTAAATATTATTCATTTATTAATAAATTCTTAAACAATTTACAAATATTGAATTCAAACAAACTGTATTACTATTTTTATATTATTTACAAATTACACAAATCAAAAATACTGTTCGAGTTTTATTTATCAATTTATTTTCATAATATAAATTTCATCTCCCTCCAACTTTGCTTACTACTGTTTTTTAAGAATATCATAATAGTAAATAATATTTATTAATTTATTTAAAACGTTAATTTAATATACTTTTAAATCCACCCAAAAAAATATTTATTCTATTTCTATTTATTTTTTCCCTATTATTTCCACAATTTTCAGATATTTAGTTATTGTTTTTATACATTTATTTTCTTATCTTAAGTATAAATTCTATCTTTACAGATTTACTTTTAAATATATAGTTTTTAATCAAATTTACTGATACTCAATTAATTGCAAATACGATAAATGGAACAAAATTATAAAGAATTTCTAATTTAAATTTGATAAAACTCTTTATAAAATTAAAAAGCACTATAATTTTTTATTCACACTATCCTTTATAAAAATATCCTTCACATTTTATTTTAAATATAAATTAAATATAAAAAGATAATTTAGAACTTCACTGATATGATTTTTAAATTAAATTTTCAAATTTGATAATTTAAAAATAGATAATGTTCCTTTTAAGGTTATTGACTATTTTAGCTTACATTAGCTGCTAGAAGATAAAAAATTCACTTAATTTACATTTACACAAAATACGATATAAATTAACAAATAATTTTTTATTGTCACCTTTGTTGTGAAAAAAAGTAAGAAAATTGATAAAATAGATTAACAATAAATCTTCCTGTTCTTTAAGATTCAACTGCAGGGTTATATTCTGATAAGTCCATCATAATTAATTTTTTACACTTTGCTGCCACTTAAACTATTTCAACAACCTCTAAATCAGACAAACCACCTGTTACAGATGGACTTGAAACGCCTGGACAAAATTTGGCATTTATTGATTCAACATCTAACGAAATAAATATTTTATCACATTCTTGTTGTAATTTATTTAATATATCTTCAAATAATTGACCAGCTTAGGTGGTTAGAGAATCTTCTTAATTTTTATTTTTATTTAATAAATATCTCCTTATATCTTTTTCTAACCAATATATTTAAGCTCCTTTTTACTTCAAGTACTCATAATCTTCTTAACAACAATTAGATCCTTTTGCACCAAATTGAATGAATTTTGATTCATTTTTTTTAAAGACAGGATTTTCTAGCATGAGTCTGAATGGGCTACCATTGTGGACTACATTTCCTTTCAATTAGCTAACACCAAATTAAGAATCAATGTTTATCACACCTATTTTTTTATCTGGAAAGCAGTCAAAAATACTTTAAACATTGCAATAACTTTAGTCATTAGAACCCCCTATTGCAAAAATAACAACTCTATTTTCAAATTATAAATTATAATCTAGAATCTATCCTAGTTTTTAGCGCTAACTTAAATGGGCTTCTTCTAAAGTTAGTTATCTAGCCCTAATATGTTCATGCTCTTCATCATCTTCGTCAGGATACTTTTATTTAGGAATATCGCCCAAATCATAAATTTTTAAGCGCTATTCAAAAAGAACATCTGTGTATATTTTTTCTTTTTGTAGCAAATCTCTAAATGATTTAGGTGCTTATTCTGCCCCAATTCTTCCTCCATTTCTATATGTACCTTCATCAAAAGGAAACCCTGTTATAAATATACGATTTTCTTTCATATCTGGCCTAAAAGATGAAACCAATGATTGCAAATCTTCAACATATTGTATGTATTAACCAAAATATTTTTCATCGTGAAGCACAAACTCATCAATGATGTTTTAATTATTTTGATATTTTTTTAAATCCTATTAATCAAAAATGATAAAAAAACTTAAAATAAGTATTTAAATATTAAAAAAAATGATATCTATTCAAAAATCTCTAAAGCTAAAATAATCTGTGAAAAAAATTCAAACTATTACCTCTTAATAGCAGTTATCCATTTACTATAATATAAATTTAAAAATTTACTTTTTGCTAAATAAGAAATTAAAAATATAAAGTATTTGAAATATTAGTTAGCATTAAAAACTGATCTACTCTTTTCTATATTTTTTTGACTAGACATAATCTTTAAATTTATTCTACTTAATAGAATAAACATATGTAAAAAATTCCAAATGAAAATTATCCATAACCATATCAACAAAAAGAATGATATATTTTTAAAAAATATTAAATACCTAATATTATCAGTTATCTACACTATTTTCTCAAAATTAAAAGGTAAATTAACTCATAAACTAAATACTAAAAAAATATTCAAAGTTATTGGTAAATTTTCATATTTTATTTTGTAGTCATATTATTTAAATATTATATTTTAAAATAAATAAATATAAAAATGAAAAGCTTAAAAGTTATCTAACAATTTGCAGTACAAATATAAATTAAATAGTATTTTATTAGTTTTTTAAAATAATTACAATTTAAATGTCAAGAGATATTTAAATTTTTTTATTTTTTTAGCTATTATTTTAATTAAAAAAAACTATTTATCTTTTTATAAAAAAGTATTATTCATACTTATTTGAATAGTAGATTTGTATTTTAAAAAATAAAAATTAAATGATGCTTAGTATGGAAAGATGATATTTAACATTGATAAATTAGAAATGGATTTTAGATGATATATAGGAGGAAAGAAATAAAGTTATCAAGAAATACACTTTTATAGAATAAATAACTTTGATATTTAAAAAGATATTCCTTAAAATATTATCTTAAAATTAAATCATTAGTCGTCTTTTTCTTATTTTGGTATTTTATTTTAGAATAAATTGTTATAATAGGCTAAATCTGCAGATTCTGGTCTTTCGATAGGTAAACCAAAAGCTCTGCACCAGACAAGATTTGTTAAACATCCAATAGATCTGGAAATAGCAAAAAGTACTGTGTAGAATTAATATTCTTAAATACCTAATTGATATAATAAAGCACCTGAATGACAATCAACGTTGGGATAAGGACTTGAAATGTTCTTAAATGTTCTCAATCTTCTAGGAATGACATCAGTCATTTAGTGGAGTAATCTAATCATTTCGTTATCTCTCAAGTATTTATTACCGAAATCATACAAATGCAAGAATCTTGGATCTGGACGTCTCAATACAGCATGACCATAACCTGTTTTGATGTTAAAATAAAATTATTCAAATAATTTGTAGCAAAAAACATTTTTTATTTTATTTTATTTGAAAGTTGGATGATGTCTTTTTAATATATTTTAGAGTTATTCATTTCTTGTAAAGAAATTATTTAAAATTAATTAATTTCTAATTTGCCAATCAACCAACAACTTTGGATTGAAAACAACAATTAAATATCTTTCTAATCTCAACTCAGGCAGTAATTATCATTAGAAATCCCTAAAATATCTACTTTTATTAAATTTATTGCAGACAATATCTTATTGACATTAAAAACTATCAAAAATGCCTAAGTTACTGTATAATTTATCCTATTTGTCCATTTTATTTTACATTTTCTTGATTAGTAGCTATTAAAAATTATAATAAAGTAAGTTATTTACCTGGAACAAGTCTTCCTGATAGGACTGTGGTGTTAACATAATCTTCAATTTATCTATTTGTTACATCATATCCGTGGACTTCTACGAAGTTAAGAATCCACTTCAAGACTTCTTAGTTAGCTAAACCGTGCAAAGGTCCAGCAAGCCCTGTGTAAGCTGTAGTCATACAAAGGTAAGGATCACCAAGAGCTGATCCGACTAAGTGAGAAGCGTGTGTAGATACCTCACCACCTTCGTGATCAGCATGGATTGTTAAAAAGGCTCTAAGAAGCTCGTTCAAGGTTTCCTAACCTTCGAATCCCATCATATGAGCAAGCTGGGCAGACCAATCTAAACCATCTTTATGAGCAATAGGCTTTCCATCCTTGAATTTTTTACGATAAATTGTAGCTGCTATTCTGGGAAGTTTAGCAATTAAATCTACAGAGTCTTCATAGGTGTATTCCCAGTAGTTAGACTTATTTAACTTGGATTCGTTGTAAAGCTAAGCAAACTTTGAGGTTTTTTATTCATATAAAATGGCTAAAGAAAGCATGGTCATAGGATGCATCTTATTATCTAAACGGTTAATGAAGTTAATTAACTCATCACTGACTTTACCTCTTACATCCCATTCGTGACGAATAAGCTCTACTTGATGGTAGCTAGGTAACTCTCCAGTTAATAAAAGGAAGAAGAGACCTTCTGGCAAGGGTTACTAATCAGATTAGAAATCTTCAGCAGAGGGTTTTCTCAATTTGGGAAGAAGTTCATGTAATTCAGGAATAGAATATCCTCTAAACATTACACCATCGATAGGATCTACTGTAGATTAATCATAAAAGAGAGCTCTAATTCCTCTCATACCACCCAATGCTTGATTTACAGTGATTTCACCCATGACTCTGTCTCCATACTTCTTCTTCATTTCGTTGAAACCCTAAATCTTAATAGGAATTTGCTCTCTCAAGACTGTCTTGAGATCAGCCTTTGGATTAAAGAAATATTAGTTCTGATGATAGAGTCTCTTGCAATTGATAATTTGTTTTCTCATCTATTTTTTATTATTAGTAGATTAGAAATAAATGACTTTTAACTATTGATTTATTTGCTTTTTTGTTCGTTTTTATTTTATTAATTTGAAATTAAAATTTTAATAAAGATTCACTATGAGCTTTTTAAATAAAGCATCCAATCGATTACTTCAATAAAATATAATTAATGAATAAAATGATCATCTTTTTATAATATTAGCAGTAAAAGTGATGCGATTATTGCATTCCAAACCTTTCATAAGTTCTATTCCATCAGCTTTATTAATTAAGTGAATTCTATTGGATTTTCAAGAGAATTAAAAAGAGTCTCTTCTGTAAATTCTGCTGTTTAAACTAATAGATATTATAAATTATTAAGTAGAGGTTCCATCAAAGGCTTATACTTACTTATATAAACTTCTTTAATTCATAACAGCAAAGCTAGTCTAAAATTTAGAATAAAAAAAATTATTTTATAGCTTTTTCAGAAAATTGAAACTATTTTAAGTTAATTTATCAAAGAAGTAGGAAATTTAAATACTTATTTTTATAATTCTTTTAAATCTTAATATAAAAGATTGTTTTACTTTAAAAATCAAATATGCGCAGTTAAAGCAAACACTCAACTTTTAAATAATATGAAAAAGGTACTCCACGTGATTTAATTTCAGAATAATAAGATGAAGAAAGTAGCAATGCAAAAGTCTTAAATATCTATAATTAAATAGATGAAGAATTTTAAGAAAAAAAAGTAGTCATTTTGAGTAATCAATACCAAAATGATCAAATTATCCCTCTCGTTAATGATGAATAATCTGAAATAGAATCAAGTTAAAACAGAGATTTACTTGGAGATGATTATGAATAAATGACTGAAAAAGATAAAATTTACTACAATTACAGAATTATTAATTAAATGATAAACAAAGTGTAAAAAGATCAGCAATCTTTAGAGAAAAAGCTGAAAAGCATAACTTACAACTAATATGATTCTGTAATTAATTGGAACATAGATGAAAAACTGCACAAAGAAGCCAATCTTTTAGTAATAGAAAATCAAAGAGATTTAATTATTTTAAAAACTAAAAAGTTGAATCGTGTAAGAAAAGAAATATTGAATATTAAAGATTTGTCTGACGAAGAGGATCCCGAAATGTTTTTGGCAATCAAATAAATTGACTTTTCTCATGAGGAATATGCCATAATTAAGGATTTATTTGCTACACTTGATCTAATAATTAATAAAAACTCTTTGATTGGATTTAATTGGGAAAAATTTACTGAAAGAGTTTTTAGAAATAAAGATTCAGTAGATTCATTTATTTACAAGTTGAGGTATTTTTCATTTAATGAAATGACTGATTATTATTACAGGTTATGCAAAGAATACTCAGAAAATAAAAAGATCCTTGAACTATTTGCATAAAAAGGAAACTAAAAAGTACCCTTTGAAATATTCATAATAAAATTATTTATAGAATGGATGAAAATAATGATTGTTGGTTATGACCTTAATCTTTAACTAATTGATATTATTAAAACTATAAATACAGAAAAATAAGAAATAGAAAAACTATAATAAAATTGTGATATCCTTAAAATGAGATAATAGTGTTTAAGTGAATAATAAACAAATCTAGGAGATTAAATTAAAAAAATATCCTAACTACTAAATCAGCTGTAAGAAATAAAAACGTAATACAAAAACAAGTATAATTTATAAGAAATATGAAATATTAAGCCATTTCTACTAAATATGTAAATTTAGATATCTTAATTTCTACTATTAAATCAGATGCTACTTTTTGTTTTTATAAGTAATTATTTTCATTTATAATGTAAACAATTGATTTCCTCCAAGAATGTTTATAACCAAGTTAAATTAATTATAAAATTCTTTCAATAAGAAATAAGATTGAATCACAAAGATAAACTAATTTTAATTATCACTAATACTATATAAACATTATGCTCAAAATAAAAACAACAAACAAGTAACGTAAATCATTAAAGATTAGCTCTTTTTAATTTATCAAATTTTGTTTCTTCCTATTTACCTTTATGTAGAAATTTAATTTAAATTTAGTTTATCCTAAGTAATAATGGAGGTAAAAAAATAGAAATTTAATAAAGTCTTAAATTAAAATGAATACATAAATAAAAAAGGAGATTGAATATTTTTAATTGAATAAAAGTTTTAATTCATTTTAAGTTAGATCAATCCTAAAAGTTATCCAATATAAATTTCTAATCCTTGATTTGTTTATAATTCTTATAGGATTAGTAAACAATAAGTTGAGTTAGTTATTATGATATTGTAGCTAAAGAATAAATGGATGAGTACATATATTTATATTTATAAATAAAAATATACATTATTAATTTAATTAAAGTAAGTGTAATATTTTATCAATAAATTATATGATTTTAATTTATTTAAGTGATTTTTTATTGAATTAATAACTTATTATTTTATAAATTTTATTCATTTTTTATATAAGGGCTTGGAGATTTAATTTGTTTTTGATACTGTTGGTTTTGTAGAACCTACATTTGTTACACCAGGTTTAGTTAGAGGTTTTGATTAAGCAGTAAAAGCTGGCTTTCCTGTGCTTTAAACTCTCATATTACTTTTCTATATAGTTGTATTTGATTATGGTGGCTTTACGATTTGGTTTTATCCTGTATTATTTTATCCGACAGGGATATCATCATAAACAGGATTAAATGAAAATGTTGATGAAGGAGGCTAAAATGTTGCCTTACCATCAGGTCCAGTAACCATCTAAGCTGGCTTAAAACGAATCATTGGCATGAATGGAACTCTATCGACTTGCTCACCTGGTTTAGGACGAGGTCTAACTAAATTAGGATCTACAGATCTATTTTTATTTTCAAAAACTTCATATTAAATAGCAGAATTTGTTGAAAGAGGTTTATAATCGTCTCTTATTTTCTTTCCTAATTGCTTTCTTTCCATTTCAGTTTCATAAAGAACTTCATGATCCTTTTAATTTATTATAAACAATAATTATTCATTAAATCTTAATATAGAAAAGTCAAAAATATAAAAATAGAATCTTGAAATTTATCAGTATCTCTAAATCATTAAAAACATTTGAAAATTATAAATAAAACAATGAAAATAATAATAATCTTACCTCCCATGCTCCATCACAAGAAATGCATCTAATTTTATTTAAAAAAATCATTAATACATATTATGAATCTATCTATAATAATGCTATTAAAATAAACAAAACTTTGAGTTTCTTTTAAAAAGTAAAAAAAAGTTTCATTTAAGAATAAAAAACAAAATTTTACGCAAAATATGCCCTAAAATTGTCACAATTTCCGCATTTGGTACATCTTAAAGGATAATTAGGCATATGATCTTCATGAGTGTGATTGCATCTTTTTTAGTTTTTCATGATATACTTTAGAAAATAAAAATGAATGTTTTTTATTTTACTTGCATGGAGCTCTCCATTTATGTACATTAAAATCTTTTCTTCTCACTAACCAATACATTCCACACTCTTCGGGACGAGTGGGAACAAACTTGAAAACTTTACAGGGACAGTTTTTGCAAGAAACATCAAACTTTTTGCCAAAGTATTTATCATTATGGCAACTAAATAGATGTCCGCAGAAACATTTAGAATTGCTACCTATTCTACCACATTCTATTTTCTTTTTCTCATACCAATATGTGACCTGTTTAATAATTTTTAATCCATTAACTTAAATTATTTTAATTATATTTGCATACATATGTTCCTGATTCAATAGATTCCATAGCATGAAGCATTTCATTGTCCATCATTTTTCTAGCACCAGGAGCAGGTCCAAACCTATTTTTTTGATAAAGCTAGGTCCATGAATTTTCTTTAATTTTTTAATATGAATATTAATTGCTATTTTAAATTACTTTTTAACTCCTTCAAGTACAGCGTTTTCATCTAAGGCGTTGTACATTTTTGCTTATGTTTATATCTTTTTATTTAATTACTGACTCTTTAAATTTATAAATTATTTGTTATTTTAATTAATTTAATTGTTTGCAAATTTCTAATTTGCTATTCAAGAATATAATATAAAGGCTTCAGTAAAAATTAAAAAAGAACTATTATCATCAAAAATTATTAAAATATTTATGGATTAAAATTCAACTAAATGAATTCCAGTCAACCACTAAAAGAAGATGCATAAAATACTACAAATACACACCACTAAATAATTCATTATAAATCAATACCAATACAATTCAAGTCAAAAGTATTAATCAATAAGTAAAAGAAATTTATAAATGGTCCTTATTTTTCCAAATATCATATGAATATTTTTTAATTAATGGGATAATATATTCTATTTATTATCTATTATTATAATTTACTGATTTAACTATCATCATAAAATTTTTTAAATCTATTCATTTTATATTTAATTCAAAATATTAAATTTTCAAAAAATAATAAAATCAAAAGAAATATAGATCAAATAAATTTATTTTTTTTCTTAAAATCTTTTTTGGTCATTTCAGTTTTAAATATTTTCATAATTAAAATGCCATATAAATTCTTCTTCATCAAAAAACTAAATATTTTATTTGACAAATAAAGCAAAATAGGTTCTTAAATAGTTTATGCATTTTATTGAAAATAGGGATTTAACTTAAAAATTAAAGTAAGAATAATTAAAATTTTTAATTGTCATTTACAATAAGTTTCAGTGGATAATAATTAAAAATTTTAAATAATAATGTTTGATAGAAATAGTACAAAAAAGTATATTAATATGAATTTAAAATAACTAATAAAATATTCTTATACTGACAAAAAAATTACTTAAATGAATAATTAAAAAATTTAATTAAGTAAAAGTATAAAAATCTAAGTTAGAAATCTATTTCTAAAAATATTTTTTTATTTTTATAAAATTTTATTTAATTATGTTAAATTTTTTAAATGTCAAATAAATATTTATTTAAAAAAATAAAATTCCTCAAACAATAATATATTGAAATATATTTACCTCTAATCATTTTGAAATGACAATGAAGAGGAGTAAGAAAGGTAAAAACAATAAATTTTTAATTCAATTTTGCATCTTGAGGGTTTTCAAATTAGTATATGTGGATATTCAGTATATATTTAATTTATAAATCAGTAATTATATTAAATCAAATATGATTAATTATATTAGATCATTTCATATTATCAAAGTATTAAAGAATGTTTTTTACTATAGATAAATAATAATTTAGGTTTATACTTAATTTATTATAAATATAATTATTTAAAAGTTATTAGGATCAACAAAATTAATTAAAGTAACATCTCAAATTAGTTTCATTCAGTTGTAATTTTGTTTAGAGCAATTTTTTATTCTTCAAAGGCTTATTTTGCATATTCGGTAGATAATTTTTCAAATTCTTTATATTAAACTGGGTTACAATAATTTTTTAAGATTTCATAACGATCCTTTCCTTTAGTTTCTTTAATTGCAAAAATAAAGTAGATGTACATAACTAAAGTGAAACCTCCAAAAACTAAGAAGGAACCAAACAAATTTATGTCTTCTTTCATATAAGGGAATACTAAACCAACAACCATAGCAAATGTCCATCTGATAAAAGATGAAACTGAAATTCCTAATCTGTCAAGAATTTCGCTATTCAAAATCCAAGTTACAGCACCTAAACTAATCTACCATCCAAGTTAGAACTATATTTTAATTAAAAGTTAATTAAAAAAAATAATCAAAATTATATTTATGTTTTACCAAGAATATTAGGAAGATACCAAAGTTATTTACTGAAGTATTACTTTTATCAACTTTTTGAATTCCTGCAAATACAAAAAGAGCAATATTTACTATACCAACACCTGTAATCATGAGAGTACGACGACCTAATTTACCTAGAAGATAAAACGAAAGACAGTTAAAAACAACCATAGAAGCACCTAAACCGATAGTTGCCTAACGAGCTACTAATTCAGCATCAGCTCCTTTTTTACCAGAGGTATCTTTAAATATACTATTAGAGTAAAAAAGAATGGCATTTACTCCACTACATTGAGTACAAAACTAAATTGCGCAACCCAAAATAAAACGCTTCACATAACTTGCTTTATTAGACAATTAAAATATTTTTTCATGGTAAAAATCTTCATAAGTTTTAACATGAGGCTTTTAAATAGTTACGATATTTGCCTATGTTTCAGGAACATTAGTAGCTAGTTATATATTGAATTCATTATTTTGTGCAGTAGATGGAACTCTTGCTTAATCTTCAACTCTGACATTAGTTTCTTCGTGGTGATTGTTAACTACTTCATTCATGTGCATGCCTTTATTACCACCATTGCTCGAAAGATCATCAGAGTGCATTTTATGTTTAAGCTTTTCTTTTTCAGCCTATTCTTCAAATACTTTTTCTTCATATCCGTGAAAAACCTCTTCAGCATCCTTTTCAGATGAATATATTTGCTTGAAAAATTCCTTTACTTCCTAATAACGGTGCTCCTTGATCATAATAGTTGGTGTTTCCAATCTAAAAATGAAAAGTAGAATAATTAGACGAATAACAGGGGCAATCATAGGAAGACCTAAAACTATTCTCCAAGGACCACCATCACTGTAGCCATCTTTAGTATCAGCAGGAAGAGGAAGTACTAGTGCTATCAAGTAACTGCAGAAGACTCCAAAGGTTAAAATAATTTAATTAACAGCACCAGCTCTTCCACTTATTTCTATAGGTGAAAAGTCCTTAATGTAAATAGGAATGATGGCTGTATTTGTACCTTTTATTTTAATTAAAGTAAGTTAAGTTTTAAGATTACATTTAATAGAAAATTTATTAAACTTTTTTATGAAAATTAAAATTATTTTAATAAAAAAAATTGTTATAATTAAATAAAAATTTGAATTTGTTTACCTATGCAAAAACCACAAATAAATCTTCCTATCAAAAGATTTGGGACAGTGTGGTCAAGGATAATAATAATAGTTCCAATAATTCCTATTATGTCAAATATAAGCATAGACTTTCTAATACCCTTGATAGCTTCAAGGATTTATCTGCTAAAGAGAGCTCCCAACAAAGCACCTAAAGGCATAAAAGCAGTAATTAAAGCTGTGTATAATTCAAATTCTTCCTTATCCCACCCATTTAATTTCTCCATTATTTTCTAAGCTGAGTTGTAAACACCTAAGTTGTAACCAAAGAACCAAGATCCTAAGCATGCATTAACTGCCATAGAATAAATACGCCATTCTTGTCTCAGTTAGTGATGATGATGCTCTACATCATCAATAAAATGAGGATCCACCCTTTTCATGTGGTTTTGAGAAGTGCTTTTATCTCTTGATTGCTATTATTTTAAAGTAGACATTTAAAAATGTGAAAGTGTTATAATGATTTTTTCGCTTTTATTAATATTTATTTCACTTTTTATTGTTTTTTTTTTGTTATAAATGATGTATTTAAAAAATTAATTGCTTGTTTTTATAGAAGTAATTCGGCCTTTTAAATAATACAGCTAGAGGGTTACCCCCTTAATTAAAACTTGAAGCTAATAAGTTGCTCCTCAAGTTTAATTCAACTGTTTTTTTATAAATTTGTAATTATAATAAAGAATTAAAAATGGATTTAAACATTAATAAAATGTATAATCTAAGAAACTCTGAAAATCTATTTTTGCTACCTAGCCCAGTTTACCAAACAAGGTTATATCTTCTATTTACCATGAATACTAAAGTATCATAAGAACTAATTTAGCAATAAATTTCAGTAAAAATAATATTATCAACCTTAAAAGTATGATGTCACTAAATTTATTCCATTTATCAAATAATACATAATATGAAAGCATTTCTTCTGCATTTAATTGCAAAAAATTTTTAATAAAATTAAAAATTAGTAACTTAAACTTTATAGTTCTGTGTTAGCTAATTAATGGAGTCTTTTTAAAAAGACTATGATCTCAAACATTAAATTAATCTATTTTCAAATAACCACTTTAAAAACATGCTACCTAAGACTTTTAAATATGAGAGATATTCAAATCCTAAAAAATATTTGTGCAATTTAGTTGTTTTAAGATTTTTTTATTATGTTATTTAAATGAAATTAAAAATTTATAAATAAAGTATGGAAGAAAATTTTGTTTAGCAAATTTATCAAGTAAAGTAGTATGAATCATCTAAATGAATCCAAATAATTTTATTCCACTAAATGAATAGAATAAAAGAAATTTATAAGTATTTTACAAAGTTTTTTTTATAAAAAAGCATGTCATGATAAAAGAATAAATACTACAAAAATGAAATCATAAAATATAAAAATAGAAAAAATTATTGATTCTATTTTTCTTCTTTCTACACGCGAAATGATGTAATTATGAGGGTTTGTATTGTTTTAAAGGGAGACTTTAATTAAATTTCGATTGTAATCTTAGATATTTAAATATTTAATTGATTTGTTTACAATTGATTTTTTTTAGTGGTTTTTGTAAATTTTTAAAGTTATAACCTAAAAAATAGAAATCAAAAACTTAATAAAGAAATTAGAAGATTTACTTAAAATATGAAAGAAATTTAGCAAACAAATTAATTTCTGTAAATTTATAAATTCTTATGATTTTTTTAGTGTATTTTTAACATATTTTATATTAATTTAAAATGTTTTTCGAGTTTTAAAAAACCAAATCTTTTGAATAAACACTTAAAACTTTCTAAAATTTATATGTTAAAGTTTATGAATATAGGATAACAATTTTTGAAGTTTATCAGATTTTTTTAAAATGTTTTACATTTAAACAGCTTACAACATATTTTAGAGATCATTTATATTTGGATAAACTAAGAGGATTTAAGTTAATTTATGCATTTACCTACTATTTATTTTTATTTTATATTATTTTTAACATTTTCATTTAAAAAGGAGATTAAATCCTTATACTGCCTGTCAGAAATCATAGATTTGACTTTACTAATTTACCCACCTTAGAAGATCTATTCAATCGAATTTCATAAAATCGTTGCGATATTTGAAACTTAGCTTAAAATTAACATAAATTACAATTAAAATATTATATATAAAGTTACATATGAAATAATTTCATTCAGTCTATTCATCTTATAGCATCATATTCTACCATTATTCCACATACAATAAGCGTTTATATTATTTTAAAATAAGGATTTTTGTATATTATTATTTGCTAATTTAAATACTATCAAACTTTTCTTTACTGAATTAAAATGACTCAAATTATATTTTTCGTCATTTAATTTTAATTGATGTCAGCTTTTTTTTCTAAAAAATACAAAAAGTAAATTTTTCTCTCAAAATATTTCCAAATTTATTTTTTTTAAATTTTAAATTTTATCAATTTTAAAATTTAAAGTAGAATTTACATAAAGTTAGTGAGTTTTTAGTTAATCTTTTTTAGTGTTTAATAGACAATATTCAATATTAATTATTTTATTTGAAAATATCATTTGTGTTTAAATTTTTATCGTTCAAATTCACAATAAAGTTATAATACTAAATTTAAGCCTCATTGATAAAAAAGTTAAAATGGATGAATATTTAGAAAATACAAATCTTGAAGAGTTGGAATAAGAATGTTTCATGGAAGACTACTAACATGAAGATGTAGTTGAGCAGGAAAATCATTAAGTTGATGCAAATGATATATATGAAAATTAGCAAATGAATGATGAAAGTTAACTAAATTAAGATGTAAAAATAAGTTAGCAAAAAGAACAGGCTGTTGAAATGATTGAAGAGTAATAATAAAATAATCAAGATAAATTTAAACAATTTTAAGACTGTATGGCACATATAACAGAGTTAAATTTTAAAAGAAACTACTAAAATTTAACTGAATAAAGCTCATCTAATAATGTAGTAGCAGAAGAATTGGACATTAAAGAGTCTTTGAAATTGTAAATGGAGTATTATTTTTGCGATACAAATTTGACACATGATTCGTATTTAAGAGGAATAATTTCCAAAAGCCCAAAAAATTGTGTTGATATTAAGGTATTTCTAAAATTCAATAAAATATAATAGATTTTAAAGCAGATTCAAGATAAACAAATAGTCTCTACTTATGGCATCGAAAATCAATCATAAAAGAAAAATCATAAAAACTATAAAAATTAGAATGCTACCTTTTCAAAGAAAGATCTTATTCATTTAATAAGAGACTCCTTAAAGGAGAGTAAAATTTTAAAGGTAAAAATGGACAGTTTGAAGGTTAAAAGAAGGTTTCCTTTTAACTTAGAGCAAGCTCTAAAAAATTCTAAATAGCGTACACTATATATAGACTTTTTACCTCCTAAATGTTCTAAATAGACATTAGTTTCTATTTTTGGAAATTTTAGAATAATTAATATTAATTTGCCACTCTAAAAGAATTCTTAGTTATGTTAGGGATTTGCTTTTATTGAGTTTTTTTCGGAAGAAGAAGCTAATTAAGCTCTTATTACAAAGAATAGTTCTATTCCAAAAGAGCTCATTCTACTTACAGAGAAAAAAATAGGACAAGGTTCAATAAGAATCATCACATATAAGAAATGGTAAGAAGAAAAGTAATCATTTAAGGAGCTAAGCAAAAACCAGAATGAATAAAAAAATAAAAATATGAACTAAAGCAGAAAAGCAAGTGATGAATTTGTATCTATTGATGTTGAAATTAAACAAAACTGCTTAATTAAAATTATAAATATACCTTAGGGTACATTAAAAGCAGAAGTCGTTTTAGCAGTTAGACATCTTGGATATGAATTTTACTGTGACTATATAGACGAAAATAGTAATTAAATAAATAGCAATAAAATTAGTTTAAGCACTTAGCAGCAAAACACAGCATAGTGCAGTAATATCCAGATAGAAAATAATTTAATTTAATAAGATTAACATCCATAATTAAATGATTTATTAAAAGAAGGCCAAGCTATGATTAGATTCTAAAATAGTGATGAATAAAGATTAGCAATATAAAAGTTACTAAACCATAATAATAATAAATTATAGATAGAGATAAGAGGATAAATTTGTGATGTTATTAGTACAATACCTGAAGATGAAGAGAAAAATTATTGGAATTACATAAAATTTAAAAAAAATGAATTTAGAAAATTCTTCTTCATGAAAAAATAGTAAAAGAAATAAAATATTACTCAAAATTATAACAAATGATGTAGCCTAAAAGATTTATTTTTTTCAAATGATTTCTTTTAACAAAAATATCTTTAAATTAAAAAAAATAAATCTATATTCTAAAATTATTTCAATTCAAAGTATTCAAAATAATTTCTTAATAATATTTGTTTTAAATAAATAATTAAAATGTTTGCTTAAATTTAAAATTTAGTTAAAATGATGATTGATTTTTAGCTAAATTAAGAATTTAAATATACAAAAGATTCTCTTTAATTATTTTAACTTATATTAAGTACATTTTTAGAAAATTTAAAAATAAGACCAATTTTTAAAAAAAATATATTTTTTATCAGCTGATATGAATTAATGAGAGTGAACAGTATTTTATAAAAACTGTATCATTATTAGTATTTATTATACTCTTTTTTATCTTTTTGTTTTGTAAATATTAATTAAAATAATTGAATTTCGAAATTTAATTAAAAATAAATGATGATTTTTAGCTTAATTTATTACAATATTTTATAAAAATTGTATCAGACATAGATTAGTATTTTGTATTCAAAATTAAATTCTTTTCTAACTTTTTGTTTTGTAAATTTTACATTACAGTGAGTGCCTGCCTTATTTGCGATTATTAAAGATCGAATAACTATAAAACCAATTTTTAATCTATTAGGGTATACTTCTTAAGATTAATGATAATAAATATATTACAGTCTTATTTTTATATAGTGGTAAATTAAGATTAAAAAATAGTATAAAAAAATAGTACAAATAAATTATGATAGTAATTGTCTTTATAATCTTATTTTGTAAATTTTATCTAGTGCAATTTTTCATTAATAACAATATTTTATCATCAATTAATAGATCAGGTTGTTGAAATTGTATGTCTTTAGCTACCTTAAAATAAGATTTTTCTTTAACTTTTTGATTCTTGCAAAATAGATTTCCAATTTTTCGAAAATGAATACATTATGATTAGCAATTTAAGAGAAGGCTTCCTTTTGAATGTTGAGAAAAGCGCTTTATAAAATCTAAAATAAGAAGATAAATATCTACTTCATTGCTAATTGAAGTAAAAATTATATTATTGAGTTTTAAAATAATTAAGCTACTAAAAATGTAAGTAAAAAAATTCATAATCTCTTTGTTTAATAGAATTTAGGCAAAATTTTCTTATTCAGAAGATTTATCTTATCAAGATAGAATCTAGTAAAAGACTTAAATGATTTTATATAAGAATATGAGTATTTCTTTCATACTATAATCTTAAGGAAGCGAAATACGACATGTATATTTTAAATTATAAATTGGAAATAAATTGGATATTTAAAATATCAGCTAGGTATTTCTAATTGATGTGTAATTTTTTTTATTTCATATAAAATAACCTTTTTATTTGATGTTCAATCATTTTATTAAAAAGTATCAAGAAACCAAAGTTCAGTAGGAGAAAAATAAATTCTTTCATTTTAGATTTTGAATAAAGATAATTTAAAAAATGCAACTAATATATAAATTAATCTGAATATATATGCTCTAAAAAATTTCAAATTTAGATTTATGCAAATTAATTGATAAACAATTAAAAGTAAGATTTATAAAGTCTTTCAAAAAGTTTTTTAATCATTTTTTTAATTAGGAAATCTCGTTTACTTGGATCATGCCTAGTTGGATAATATTTAGATAGTAATTCAATTTGTTAAAATTGTGATTCATCATGCTATTCATGTGATTAATCACCTACAAAATGTACAGGATGTTAAATTGGTTATTATCTTTAAAACAATAATTGCTTTTAATGCTAACCCTCATGCTAAACATGTGATTAATAATTTATTTGCTCCTCATGTAAAGATGGATATTTCCTTGATCCCACTTATTTAATATGTATGTCCTGCAGTCATACTTGCAAAACATGCAGTGGAAATTCTTAAAAATGCTTATCTTGTAATGATGGATTCTACATGGATAATACTTAAGCTACTCCCACTTGTTTGGGATGTTAAAATGATTGTAAGACTTGCAATAGCTCCCCAACTAGCTGTACAAGTTGTTTTGATGGTTATTTTCTTAATGCAGCAAACAATTTATGTTAACCATGCGATTAGAAATGCCTTTTATGTTCTAATACTTCTACAAATTGTAATTCTTGTATAGATGGATATTATGTATTAAATAACACTTGCTAAATATGTGATAAACCTTGTAAAACATGTTAAAATTTATCAACAAAGTGTACAAGCTGTTATAATAATTATTCTCTTGACAGCACCTAATTTAAATGCAATTTATGCTCAAATTTATGCAAAACATGCGATGGCTTAACCGGACTATGCACTAGCTGTTTAGATGGCTACTCACTTATATCTGGTCAATGCTAATTATGCTAATTTCCATGCTCAACATGTGCATCTGGAAATGTAAATCTATGTTTATCTTGCTCTGGCAATTATTATTTAGACACAATTTTAAATATATGTAGTATTTGCAGCAATAATTGTGTAAGCTGTGTAAGTTAATCAAATTGTTCTAAATGTCAAAATGGATATATACTTGATGCTAATAATTAATGTATTGCATGCAGCTAAACTTGCAAAACTTGCAGCAACCAATTTAACCAATGCTTAAGCTGCTTTGATGGATATTATTTTGATAATTTGAACAAAGTATGCTCGCCTTGCATACCCGGATGCAAATAATGCAATAATTTGACTTCTTGTAATGTAGGATAATGTTTTGATCCTTATTTCTATGATACTACTTCGTAAACTTGCTTATAATGCAGTCCTTAATGTTTGAGTTGTACTGGAAATAATAATTGTACAACTTGTGAAGATGGTTATGTTCTAATCTCAGGATCATGTGTATAATGTGATTAGGATTGTCGAAAATGTTCATAATCGACTGATAATTGCACAGATTGCTATTAAAATTTTAAATTAGTATAATTTTTTAGGAGCTATTGTTATTAAAAATATAGTTGCTCTTGTTCTCTTACAAAAGGAGTTTGTAATAGTTATAGTTATAATGATTGTGTATGTATGTAAGGATACTATAAAGTCTCATCAAATGCATGTAATAAATGCATATAGCATTGTTAAGATTGTACAGACGGATCTACCTGCACAAATTGCTTCCCCCCGTATGTAAAAACTAATTTAAATACTTGTGTTTTGAATAAGTGCGATTCAACTTAATATTTTGATGGAAGCTAATGTTAATTTTGTCCTCCTGGATGTTTAACATGTACTTCTAATTAAATATGCACTAGTTGTATTAAAAGCTATTATTTGTAAACATAAGCTAATGGGAATATATAATGCTTACCTTGCAAATATCCATGTGATACATGTGATAATGAAACAAGCTGTATTAGTTGTTTACCTAATTTTATTTTGTCTAATTCAAAATCATGCTAAAATTTATAAAATTGTAAATCGACTGACTCTAACTCAAAATGTTCTACTTGTATTGATAAGTTTTATCTAGACTCAACATGCTAGCCATGTGGAATACTTTGCTAAACTTGCAATAATTCGAATTCTTGTTTAACTTGTATTCCAGGATATTATTTAGATTCATAAAATTAATGCCAGCCTTGTAATTTCAATTGCTTAACCTGCTTAGATTAAAATGCTTGCACTTCATGCTTTGATTAAGGAATTTCTAGAGATGTTCCACCTTAATGTTTATGCAAAAGTGGCTATTTTTAATTAGGTAAAATACAAATCTTTCTTCTTAATTAAATTATAAAAAATATTTTCAATAAATTAGTATTTACTTTATTCACATATTTACTTATTTATTAATTATTTTTTGGTGCTTAGGGAGTTAGAATAAATGTTCACAATGTGACCCAACATGTTAACAATGTTCAAATTTATCAACTAATTGCTCTGCTTGTGATGCAAGTAAATTTAGGATTTTAATACCAGGAGGATAATGTATATGTTAGCAAGGTTATTATGAAATATTTCAACCTTATAGATAATGCTTAGCATGTGATCCTACTTGTTTAGAATGTTATGGATCTGGTCCTTAAAGATGCTTAAGTTGCAAATCAGGCTTCTATTTAAATCCTCTCTATACTTCGTGCTAATGCTAATAAGGATAATTTTTAAATTCGAACGGAGTATGTTAAAGTTGTTAAGTAGGTTGCATTTTATGCTAAAATTAAAGTTAATGTTTATAATGTGGTTTAAACATGTAAATTTCATAAGATAAAACAACATGCTCTTGCTTAAAAGGATATTATCAAAATCAAGGTGTTTGCTAATAGTGTGATGTTGCTTTTTGTGAAGATTGTTCTGCAAATAAATCTCAGTGCTTAAAATGCTTTTCTGGAACACTTTAATCTTCTATTATATCAAAGTGTGAATGCTCTAGCAGTTCAAGCAATTAGTTTATTTCAAATTTAATGAGCTGCTCTTTATGTCATTTTTCTTGTGCTACATGTGATGGATTTGAAGCTCATAACTGTATTACTTGTCTTTCAAGCAGAAAATATAATTCTGTAACTTCAACTTGTGAATGCAAGGATGGTACTTACGAAGATGACGCTTCTTAAAATTGCTTTAAATGTCATTATTCATGTTTCAAATGCAATGGCCCTTTTGAATCTGATTGCATAGAGTGTCCATAAAGCTCTACTACATTTAGGTAAATATCAGCAAATAGATAGCCATAAGATATTTCTTTTAGGTGCACTTGTGCTCCAGGATATTTTGATGTTACTTAATAGCAAATATGTTAAAAATGTAGTTATTAATGTTTAACTTGTATAGGGTTTGCTTCAAATTGTTAAAGTTGTTAGGTTACAATGAATAGAGTTTTGAGCTCAATTAATACGTGCATTTGTAGTAGCGGATACTTTGATGATGGTTTTAATTTTTAATGCCAAAAATGTCATTATACTTGTAAAAAGTGTATTAATGGTACTAAATCTGGTTGTATAGAGTGTCCTGATAACTCATTTAGATATAGCTCATATAAAACTTTAACTGTTGATAATTCTTTTGAGTGCTTGTGCAACGAAAGATATTATGACGATGGTATTAATCCTGTATGTTAGAAATGCCACTACAGCTGTAAAAATTGTATTGGACCAAAAAATACTGATTGCATACAATGTGATCAAGTTATAGTATATTAAAGAATGTTTATTGCAAATATATCTTCACCAATTTCTTCAACTGGAATTTGCTAATGCGTTGATGGGTATTTTGATGATCTGACAAATATTTTGTGTTAGAAATGCCCCTATCAATGCAAAACTTGTGATATTCAAAAATGCTTGACCTGTGATATAACTAGGTAATAAATTTCTTTTAGTTTTTTATTTATTTGTTTGTTTGTTTATTAATAAATTAATTTTTTAATATGTATTTTATTTTATTACAGAGATTTGGTTGGAATGACGTGCTAGTGTAAGAAAGGATACCTAGAAGTAGGAAACTAGGCATGTGATTCTTGTAGTCCTTTGTGTTCAGAATGCAGTTAAACAAGATACAAATGTACAGCTTGTAATACTGCAATTACTTTTAGATAATTAAATTAACAGAACTCTTGTCTTTGCTAAGAAGGTTATTTTGATGCCAGTAAATATGATTCAAAGACTAGAATACCTATATTAGAAATACCAAATTGCCTGAAATGCAAAAAAAACTGTAAGAGTTGTGGTCCTGAAAATCCTAACATATGTTTATCTTGTTATTCTAATTACAACTATGTGTTGAATCCAGAAGTAATTAATCAGTTTTTAACAGAAATAATTTTAAAAAATATTTTTTGATTCGCTAAAAAATAGGATTTATGCGTTTGCATGTTTGGATTTGAAGAAAACAATAGTATTTGTGAGGAAAAATTTTTAGTAAACAATTCATACATAGATGAGAGTAAATTAGATGCAATCAAAAGCATCATTTAAACTTTACTCAGGATTATCAAAGTACTATCATGGATTCATTTATTAATGAATTAACCTTTCTAAAGTTTGTTAGGGTTTAGACTTAATCTCATGTTAATTTATCTGAACTTTTGTAGTGTTAAAGTAAGCAAAATAATACAAAATGTCACAGAGTTGCAAGAAATTGAAGATCCTTTTTCTATCTTTAATTTTATGAACTTCATTAGCCCAAGCTATGAAGAAGTTAATAAAAGGAATCTACTGAATAAAAGAATTTTCTTACAAAATAAACCTACAAGCTTTTTATAAAATGGGCAGGGATACTTTTTTTTATTTATATTGGTCCTCTTCATATATTTGATATTAAAATTAACGGTTTTGAGAAAATCTGTTTTGATCTCATCTAAAATTTATCGAAAGCAAAAGTGGAGATATTAAATATATTAGATTGATCATAATATCATTTTTCCATTATTTATGACTCTTTTGCAGGTTTTAATGATAAAGATATTTTTCTTCAGCTTGGTAGATATATTGACAACTTAGAGTTTTTCATATCCAGGTTCAGCTATATCTTTGATTGCCTTAATTATTTATGGAATAGCTTACATATCTTGCATAGTATTTTTATATTTAATTAATAAAAATGAGGAGAACAAGTTAAAAAAATTTTTTGAATATGACCTAAACCCGAACTCTGCAAACTTCTTCTTTTTACAATTTTCTATTGATATATTGATTTGTGCTTATTATGTAGTTTAATCGACAGATTTTAAATAGCAAACTATAATTATAATTCTTGGATATTTCGCACTTGGGTTTTTCGCCTTAATCTAAAAACCTTTTAAGCATTATTGGGAAAATTACCTTGAATTTATTTATTATGCAGGTCTCTCAACTGTAGTTATCCTTTTTTAGTAAGTAGGATAGCTAACATTGACATAATTGATGAATGATAATCAATAGAAGCAATTTAATACCTCCTCTTTTTATCTTGATTATTCTTTGATTGTGGCACTAATTATTAGTATAGCATGCATAACAATAAAGTTATCCAAAGGAATAATTAGAATTATGATTTTTATCAAAAAAATAAGAGAGTTTAATTAGAGTGATACTGCTCTATGGGAAGTAGAAATTTTAGAAACTGAAAAAATTATTACCTAGCACAGAAAATCACTCCTAATAACTGATTAATAGTAAATAAACAAAAATATTTTAAAAGAAATTATGAATTCAGATCTTAACAGAAAAGAAACAAATTCTACTCAACATATGTAAACGATCACTCTAACTCCTCGAACTCCTGGTAAAAGATATCACCTATGAACTGATAAATTAATAAATAATAAAATATTAAAAAAATAAAAATTAATAACAAAATAATTTGAAAGTATTCTTGATTCTTTGTATATTATTATTATAAAAAATAAAATCTAATTTTATTAAATTTTATAAAAAATAATTTAAATTACATATTTTTTTAAGATAAAATCAATATATTTTAAATATATGATGAGCTAAAATAGTAAAAAAATTTTTAAATATATAAAATGAATTAATCTTAACAATCAAAATTTCATGAATTTAATACCATTTCGATTTTAAATAGAAAAAAACAAAACTATTTTTGATTTTTTTTAATATCACGTTTAATTATCATTTTTTGATAATCATATATTTTAAGTGAGTGCTTAAGTTATTTGGGAGTCTTAGAATTTTAGGTGGGAAAAATCTATTAGATAGTTTTCAAGAAATTTTATTCACTTTAAAATAGAAATCTTTTATTTATATACTATAAATTCTAATAATTCTTTTACCCCTCTTAATATAATTTAAATTCTTGTAAATATAGCAAAAAGTTTCCTTTGTCCAATCATTTGTTTTTAATGGATCAGTACTCAAAAAAGATAAAATGAATTATTTTTTTTTTAATATTTAAAATTTCATTAACTAATTCTTTAAATTTTCTTTTTTGTATTTAATATTTAGATAATTATTTAAATATTTTAATAATCAATAATAAAATTAGGAGAATTTGATTTTTTATTTTTTAATTTTTGGAAAATAATCAACATAAAATATAAAGATACAAAATATTAATTTTTATTTAAATTTGTTTTTTAATAGTTAGTTTTATGTATATTAATTATAATTTTTTTAAGTTTTTAATTCGTTTGGATAGTTAATTATTTTAATAATCAAATAGGAAGAGTTTATGTTTGAATCTTTAATTAAGGTTGTTAATTATTGATTAAATAATTGTTTTAAGTCATGAGATATTGTTATTAATAATATTTTTTAATAAACTAATTTTTTTACCATTTTTATAGCATTCTATTTAGAAGTTAATTAGAATTCAATTTGATCAGATTTTAAGATTTTAAAGGAATTATACGTTATTTTAGAGCATATGGTTTAGTAGCTTTACATTAATTTTGTTTTACTTTTTTTATGAAATGGAACTAGTTTGATAAAGAATATCTTTTTGTTTTTAAATATGTTCCTTTAATATTTTCATAGTTTCAGGAGATAATTTTTCCTAAATAATTTCAACAATTTTATGTATTTTTTCTTTTTTGTTTTCTATTAATTTCAAATTTTCATTTATTTTATTTTTTAACTCTAATTATTCAGATCTTTTCCTTTATTTTTTCATCTCTCTTATGATCATTTCTTGAGAATTAGAAATGGTCTCTGGAGAGCCTAATAATTTCTAAGAATCATCTGATAAATCGCTTGCTTTTCTACTTATTTCTGCTGATGTTTCTTATTCCTATTTTTGTTATGTATTTTAATTGTTGTAATTGTTTAAAACTACAGTAGCATTAGAGCAAATAGAAGAAGTAGAATCATCGTGAGAATCCTCTTCAACTTCCATTTCTTTAATAATATCTTATTTTAGTTCTTAATAGCATGTATTATCAGTATTTGGTTTGACTTTTTTTTCAGTTGCTTCTTTATCATTTTCAAGAGTATGATTCAAGCTTGATGCTGATCTCTTACCTAACAATCCTTATTCTTCAGTTTAGATTTTAGGCTTTTAAGATATTTCATTAGCTTATTAACTCACTTAGGGTTTTTATTATAAATGCTATTCATTTATAATGTTAGAAAATACACTTGAAGTTGAATTTAAGAGAGGATTTTTAAGTTAGATTAATTATTTACAGACTTGAGCGTTGCTTAAATTGTCTACAGTCTATGATTTTTGAGTCTCTACTTAATCTACTAATTTATTCTAAGAAATTTTATTTTACTATTCTCTTTTTTATGCTTCTTCAGGAGGACTTTAAAGCTTAATTTATTGTTACTTCTATAAACATGCTTTTACGTTCAAAGTTGGTTTAAATGTATGGTCAAGAAGAGTTTTGTTTTCGGGTAATTTTGCTTCGGTCTAAGGTTTCTAAGGAGAGTTTAAATTGAGTTTAATTTCTGGCATTTTAGCTTGAATTCCAGGAGCTGCTAATAATCCATTTTTATTTGCAGTTAATGTTGGAGTTTATGCTTCAGATCTTTGTTTTTCGTCAATTGAGCTTGAAGTTCTTCTGATTAATGACTTGGATTGATTTTATTACTTCTAAATGAGGCTTCTGTTAGTAAGGTCTATTTTAGGCATTTAGTGTTCTTTTTGGTCCTTCGGGATTGAGTTCTGTACTTCTTATTATCTTTTTTCAGGAGCAGCATGTATATTAATAGCAGTTGAATTTTATTCAATATCATTCTAAGGTTCATTTCTATATTATTAGTTAACACATAGATGAGTTTAATATATAAAAGAGTATCTAGATTGATAGATGATAGTAATGACGACGATGCCATAGTTAATTTTATACTTGTGGCATTTTCTCATTTATTAATTTTTGGACAGTCAATAAAATATCAATCTTAATAACAAATCGAAAGCTAGTTCTTAGTTATTAATTCTTAATTTTTATTGTAATTTATTTATTTTTTTTTTAAATTTATAATAAAAAATTTTGTATTTTCTTTACAAAATTTTACAAATTAATTTTAATTTTTTCTTCATTTTTAATCTTTTTTTTTTTAATTTTAGAAATCTGATTAATCCAATAATGATGCGTTGCTTTTTTTTGCTTGCTTATATGATTGGTAAATTAGAAAGATAGGAAACTAAAGTGTCCTTTACTAATTTGAATTTCAATACCACTAATTTATTAATATCACAGAGTGATATTAAAAGAAAATAGACTTAACAGCACTAATGAATTACTTGCTAGAAACTTTCATTTTTATTTTCCTTTAAAATATTTATAGCAGAGTTATGGCGATTTCTGTTTTTAATCTTCTCCTATCTTTCCGTTTGGCTAAGCTGAAGTGTACTAAAATAAAGAACTTAATTTTGCTTTTAGACTTTGTTGCTTTAGGTAATGTTCTCAAATTTTTGTTAAACTATTAATTTTATAAAAAAAACTTTAGTTAATTTGTTTGAATAAATTAAATTACAAAATTAATTTTTTGCTGGCTAATCAATTAAATTTTTCTTAGCAATAGATAGATAGATTGATAATTGATAGATAGATAGCAGACTCGTTTAACTTTACACTAAAATTGAATACAGAGTCTTTAATTAATAATTTTCTGACTTCAGATACTAATCCAATTAATTTTCTAGACATTCTTTATAAGAAAATCAAAATAAATTGGAAGAAATAAATGAAATAGAAAATCATTTTTGTTTTTCAGAGGAGATATTTAGTTTTCTAACTTAGCTGGATTTGATTCAAAAAGGAAAGAGGATTTTTCAAGAATTTGTGTGTTTTAGGAAAATGCCATATTTCTGTCTATTTTATACTTAGCAAGAATAGTAGTGCGTCAATCTGGTTTTCTTTTTCTTTCCCAAAAGTGGAAATTAAATAGTAGTGGTAGGTTTCATTTAAAATTAACAATTTTATAAGTATTTAGTTCATGTCAAATTTAGCTTGAATGAATTAAATACCCACATCGTTTCTTATTGGCAATTTTTTTGTTTAAGGATAGAAAGTTGTTGCTTCATCCTTAAATTCAGCAAAATAAACATCATTATATTTGAAAGAAGATCAGAAATCTATTAGAAGTTTAGCTTTTACAAAAGTAGATGGTAGCAATAGCATTAAATTAATGGGGTTTTTAAATGGTTTCTTAAATAAGATTTGTATCAAACTTTGGTGTATTTATTTGAGATAGAAAGTATTGGTTGTAAGGTATGGATGCATGCATATTTAAGAATTTATGTATGTATTAATTAATGAATGAGATTGATTTGTGGAATTTGAATTTAGATTTCTTTTTGAAATCTACTAAGATTGAGAATCACTTGAGAAAAATGCAATTAAAATTTAAGAATCGCAATTAACTCAAATAATTTCCATTCTTCAAGCTGTCCTTTAATATAAATAGAAATTTAGTATAAATAAATTTAAATGTTACCTTTTTGGTATTATTTTTGATAGCAATCCCAACCCTAAAGTATTCTTTTTTTGTTCATTATTAGAAGCACCAGTGTTAGCTTGGTTAGGAATAAATTCTTTACCATTCTTTTTCAAATTTAATGATCTTACTCCTGTTGTTTCATTCTTAACTTAGTTGTTATTATTGTTGTTAGAGTTTTAAATTAAGTCGCTAGATTTTTTGTTACTAGAGTTAATTATTTTGTTCATTTTCAGTAACTATTTAAAGAGAGAAGAGTTTCTGATTAAGTTTTTCTTGCTTTTTTCTTTAACTTTTTGTTTGTTTTTTGTTTATAATTATTATCAATAATTTAATATCAATCAAGGCATTTAGTTAAACATTAAACTAATAAGAAAAAAATCAAACAATATTTTTTTATTCACCTTTTTTACATAAAAAACATGAATGATCTAATTATAATCATACTAACTTTTTACATTAAGCTAAGCTTCTCATTCATTAACTATGTCATTCATAAATCACAAATATTGTATAAATTTTCAACTAGCTTCAAGTTAATTTAACTCATCCATGAATTATTGTTGAAAAATAAATTAATTTATCATATACTTTAAGACTATATTTAAGATTATGAAGGATATTATAGAATAAATTTATATAAAAAAATTTACTTAAAAATTACTTAATATTTTTTGTAGAAAATAATTCAAAATAAGAAAAGCACAAATACTTTCAAAGCTTTTATGCTTTTTTAATTTTATAGATAAAGTTAAATGATGAATTTATTGTCTAGAATACATTATGATATTAAAATTACACTCTAATAATTCGTTTAATTTATAAAATAGACACATTTGTTTTTTCTTTATAATTGAAAAATTGAAAAATTATAAAATTTAATATAAAAATGAGCAATGCGCATAAAATAATTTAAACAGGTAGCAGTGCTTTATTGAAAAAAATCAATAGTGCAAGCTTAAAATAAACATTTTTTAGAATTTATCTTAGAACTAGCACCTAAAAATAAGAAAGTAGCTAGTTAAAAATAAAAATGTTTTGATGATGTACGGAAATGAGAAACAAGCTAAATATGAATTCTTAACTTGTAATCCTATTCTGAATTAATTTAGCAATTTTAGGCGGTACATTAAACATGAAGGTATTAATGTATGAATAAAAACTGCATTTATAATTTTTTTTAAAGTGTTTTTGCTAATATTTTTATGGATTAGAAAGATTGGTTTTTTGCCAATTTTATTTAATTTTGAATGAATCAAATTGTTTTTATTTTAATTAAATTATTAATTAGAAATGAAAAGCTTGATGAAGGAATAAATATAAATGATAAATAAACAATTAATTTTATATCTTAATTTTGTATTCCTTATAAAAAATAATTTATCTTTTAGCAAACAAAATATGAACTAAAACAACAATTACAACAATAATATAAATATTAAATTAAAGGTCTCTATGGATGGATAGAAGGAGGCATTTGTTAATTTAAAACGACTTAATTTACAATTTATATAAAAAATTTAAACTAAAATTAGATAGATAGATTCATTTAAGAAACTAACTAAATGTATTTCTTCAGTAGTGGCCTATTTAAATTAAATAAATTAGTCAACAATCTTTTAAATAAATTTCAATCTTACTTGTTACTTTCATTGTATCTGGAAAAGATTAAACACCAGGTGCATATTAATTAAATTCAGGGTTATTTAGATTACCCAATATTTGGTTATTTAAATAGTTATTTTGAGGATATTAAAGATTGTTGCTTTGATTCATAAAATTATTACCTCCTTAAAACTATTATTATTACTGAAGCTGCTATTAAGTTAGCATATTCAAGCTAGCTTTATTATTTATTTAAGACTATACTTACTCATAGTAGTTCCAATTAAGGATATATACAACCATCAATAAAAGCTTTAGAATTAAAAGTAATGTTTGTTTTTATTAATATATTTTATGGTATTTTTTTTAATTTACTTTGTACAAAAATAGAAGTATCGTTAGTAAATCGACAAAGTATTTCATACCATTATCTGGGAAATCTCCACTAAACCAATCCTTAACATTTAACAAATAATTATTTAATAGAATTTATAAGCATCAAAATAATAAAGTAATAAATTACCTTAGTGAAATTAATTATCCATCCTAAATCAAATACCACAAAGGAAATAAAAACAGCAATAGTAAAATATTTATACACCTATCCTGTAAACTCTTCTTTTATCTGGTAATCGCAGTAGTAAAATATAATAAGAAGCTAAAAATCATTAAAAATATTTAATTTGTAGTTCCACTCAAATTTAATTTTTACATCAAAAAACATTGGTCTTGCAAAAGAAATCAATAAAACCATAATTAAATAACCTATTGTTGCGTTATATGCTATCTTCTTATAGTCTTAGCTTGCAGGATTAAGTAATCCATTTGAAGCATAATCTTTTTTTTAAATATTAAATTAATCATTAAAACATTTAAATAACTTAAAAAATTCAAATTAAATTTTCCTTAAATCCTAAAAACTAAATTTAATATTAAAATAAAATCTATTTAATTAGGAATTAAATGATTGATTGATTGATTGATTCTATTTATTTTATAAAAAATAAATTTTAAGAAATATTAAATTAATCATTAAAACATTTAAATAACTTAAAAAATTCAAATTAAATTTTCCTTAAATCCTAAAAACTAAATTTAATATTAAAATAAAATCTATTTAATTCTATTTAATTAGGAATTAAATGATTGATTGATTCTATTTATTTTATTATTTAGTTAGTATAAAAAATTCAAAGATTAGGAATTAAATTTTACTATTTTTTAATTAATTTACCAATAAAAAAATATTTTTTCTTTTAATTGCTTAATTATTTATTATAATTTTAACTAAAAAAAAATATTTTATTTATTTTTATAGTTTTTAAAGGCAGTTGCTTTGTTTTCAAATAAACCTGTTTTTAGTTGTTCATTTATTTTTGAATATTATTACAGCTAAACTTTGAAAAATATTATTATGTTAGACATTTTCAAATAAAAGATGTTGGAACTAAATGAGTTCTTAAAATAACTTAAAATCTATTAATTGAAAAATTAACTATTTAATAGTCTGCTCACGGTTTTTCTAACTCTTTAAAATTAGTCTTATTAGAAATATTTCAAACTAAGTATGATTATTATAATTAGTAGTTATATAAAAATTGAATTTACTTCTATCAGGATTTAGTTGATTCATTTCTGGTAAACTAGCTTTATATGAAGTATTGCGTTGTGCACCTTAATATTAATTGACTTACATTTAACCTTCATCAAATGGATTTGTATTAGATGGAATACCTTAGTATGTATTTTAATTTAATTAATTTCTATTATAAGCTTGCAATTGTTAAAAAGGTTCATATAATGTCAATAAATCTCTTTAGTAATCTTCTAAATCTTGGCTTTAAGCAGCTGCATACTCTTCCCATTAGTTTACAACTCCTTCTAAGTATTTAACTTTTGAGTGAATCCATTGCATTTTTACTTTTAAGAATCCTATATTAATACCATTTTCCTTTTAAAGTTGCAGCTCAATATCAAACATCTACTAATTCTTTAAGTCTGATATATTTAATTATGCAAACCCTATCACATTATTGCTTATATTGTCTATAAGACTAAACACTATATTTTCATCTCCGGTCTCAATTTAGCTTTTAATTTAAAGAATATCTTCAGTTTAATAATAATAATAATAATAGTAATAATAAACTGTGTAAATTTTCTAAAATCATAAAAAAAACGAATTTGTTTATTTTTTATTCACTAACTGAATTTAGTGGTTGAAAAAAAAGATTTATTTATTCAAGGTATTTTATTTCAAACTTAACATTGAATAATTCATATTTTTTTATAAATGCTTAAATAAAGTAATAAAAAATATGCCCAATTATAATTATTTTTTTGCTAATTAAAAAAACTTTTTTTCATATTAGTCTGTTTGTTTTGTGATTGAAAGGTTTTAATTTATTATTTTTAATTTCTAGAGTGCATATTAGTTATTTTATGATGGCTTGAATAAAAATTGGGTAATGATTTATTGTATATAATCAGATCAATTTTATCATTTCTGAAAGATTTAAAATTTTGTTGCAATTTTAATAGTATTACAAGCTATTTGAGTAATTGAATTGAGGGAAGAGTGAAGTAGCTGGATCAGTTTTCCTTTCATTTTAGCCGCAATTAATCAAAACAAATGTCTAACAATCTGAATTTAATTCTTAGCTTTGTATTATAGCACTAATGACATTAAAGTTAAATACTGAATCTTCTGAAATACCATGATCATTAATTTTTTCCTTTGTCTTGATAATTTAAATTTTATTCTTAGTTTCTCTTGCTTATCTCTAATAATTTTGAAGGTACTCCTTTGATTATTCTATCTTTTATATTAAAACTCTCTCTGCATTAAGATATACTCTAATAAATTCATCTATTGTAATTGGATGGTCTTTTTTATAAGTAATTTGATCAAAGAGCTATTCTAAGATGTATCTATCAAATGTTTAGTCATTCTATTAATAAAAATAATTAAATATTTACATTATTAATATAACACTTTTTTAATGTTCAACCAAATTAGCTATTTAATAACAGACAATATTAGTTTAAAAATGTTTTATTTATTACTAATTTTTTATCCATCGCAAATTCTATATCTGTTCGAGACAGAGGCTTATTATGGGCAATATCTATCTATGCAAATTCATTTCTCAAAATTAATTGCTTTTGAGTATCAACGGGATTTAAATCCATATTCCTATAATATTTCTAAAATCAGAATTTATTTCCTTTCAAAATTTGAATTAATAATAAATAATTGTTTGATTGTTTATTTATTTATTTCTTAACTTTTTTATTTTACTTAGTCATTACAAAATCAAATAAATACATACCTAAATAAAGCTAATTAATTATTTTGTTTTACTATTTATGATGCATACAGAAATTTTATTTAGATATTCATAATTAATCTTGTTTTCAATAACAAAAGTAAATATCTTTTCCAATCAGTGCGTTTCTACTTGATTTTACAAATACATATATAGATTTCCAATCAAACTTTCATAAATGAAATTTAAAATAATATTTATTTACTTAAAAATTATTCGTTTATTCTCAAAAATCGCTATTAGTTAATACATTTTTAAAAAATATTTTCCATCCACAAAATTTTAAAACCTATTTTGAATTTTCAAGCCAAAATAATAAACAAACATCTTCAAAAATTAAACTCAGAATTAAACCACTAATTTGAAAATTAAAAAAATTTGATTTTTTATCTGTTAAAAGTAATTTTTTTTTTTCAAAAGAAAATAATTATCTAAAATATTTTTAAATCCTATCTTATTTCATAATTTTGAAATTTATTTTTTGATATTTAAATTAATTCGTTAATTATTATTAAATTGTAAAATTTAAGAAAACTAACTTTTTTTTGAAAGTTTAATTAAACAAAATATTATTAAGACTTTACTAATTTGAATTTTAATCATAAAAATACTATTTAAACAACATTAAAAGTTCAAAATTAATTTTAATATAAATTTAAGCTAATTAATAAAAAAAAATTGCATATTTTAATACCTTAGAATTTATACTTGCATTTAAATTTGTAATTATTTTTTCAAGACAAATCATTTTTTGATTTTATTAAAATGTTAAAAAAATTTCATTGCAATATATTTCATAAATTTTAATTTTAATGAGTTAAATAATAATAAAAATATTTAAAAAATTATAATAAATATTTAAATACTTATAAAAAATAACAGATAAATGTAAGATATAAATAAATATATGATTTAATTTATCAACCACAAGTTAAAGTGTATGAGCAGCCTTCTTCGGGAAATAAAGGATTTATGATGCAATTATAGATGCAGATTGTGCTTGGGCACAAATCACAAGGAACAAATCCTGGAAGTTAGAGTATAGTCTTTTCTGATTTAAGATTATTACTTCCTTTTTAAGAGATAAAGAAAGTACCAGAAAGCAAACCAATAATGATAAAAGAAACAATTACAATAGCTTTAGTTTAGCTCATTTTATTTTCTCTGTTTGTTATTTATTTATTATTATATAATTATTTATAATTTATATCAAAAGCAGCTTTTAAAAGAGCTTGGCTGCTTTAAAGTATTGCTAAAATATATTTAATTAATTCTGTTAATTTTTCATGAAAGAATTAAAAATAATTATTTATTTTTTAATTTCTTTTATAAAATCAATCTCAATACTTTTACAAACATAATTGATAAAAAATAAAATAATATACTTTTCATCATATAATTTAGTTTTAATTCTCAACTATTTTTCTAAAATATTATTCAAAATATTAAGCTTTATAAAATCAATACAAAAGAATAATTATCAACACATTTATAAATCATTCATTTTAAACTTTAGCATTGAATTATTTATAAATAAAATTTATTATTGAAATAAATTTGGCTTTATTATTAAGCACTGTGGTAAGAGTCTTTCTTAATTAAAAATTTAGTAATCTAAAACGGAATTTGAAAATATTTAAATTAAAATTATGGTAAAAAACACTTTTTGCAAATAGTAACTCAAAAATTAATCTATTGACATCATATTCATTTCACTTTTTATTTATCATAAATTCTTAATATTTTTATTATAAAATAAATTTATTATTATATTTTTTAATAATAGTAATTATTTTAGAGCATTACTATTTTCCATTTGGGCTTTAAAATTATTAATAAAAAAAATTAGATAGATTTTTTACTTGGTTTCAATCTTTTTTTTGATATTTATGTATACAAAACTTATAAATGAAATTAAAATGAAATGGGATTTAGTTTGATATTTATAACATTTTAAACTTTATTATTAAATATTTTATAAATAGCATTTTCAGAATTGGTTTGACACAGAAATCATTATTAAAGACTTTCTGAATAACCATTATTTTAAGCACCAATAATTTTATACTATCCTTCTCCTATCTCATATCCACTCTGAATTCCAAACAAATTATTTTCTTCTTGCTTTATTTGTGGGTTGGTAAATGAATAGATATTCATAGGCTTATATAATTATGGCTTAAAAGAACACTCATCTAATTCTCTTTATACTAATTATTCCTTTATTTTGTGTAGTTTATCTTGCTTTTACTAATAATAAACAATCACTTTAATAAATATCTAAAGGATTTTCAATTTAAATTATTTACTTGTTGTAGAGTCATACCATGATTGTAAACTCCTTCAAATTTTTCATAACTTCTCTTGCGAGCTAACTTCTATGACTTTGAATTAATTATTGGCTTGTAATCGTGAATTTCGTATTTAGATTTCTTTTCATCCCATTTTTCTTTATAATTGTAGAAGAAATCATCCTTTTAAGCTATTGTCAAGTTCTGTAAAATAAAATAACATAATACATTTTTATTTGTTTATTTAAATATTAATTTAAATTTACTGAAATCAGCTTCATTGAACACTCATAGAATTATTCAAAGTTTAATGTGAAGCCACACTACTCCATTTCAACAAAAAGTGGTTCAATAACTCTAAATACTTTATCAGGAAGATTCTAGATATCTATACTTTACTGAGAAATTAATCCATCACCATCACTGTCAAGCTATTAGAATATCTAAAATAAGGTATTCTTTTTGAGGTTCTCTACTATTTAATTCGACTTTTCTGATGACAATGTTTACATTCTTATTTATTTTTCTTATTCTGCTTTTATTAAATTTTCTTATTTGATCTTTTTTTCTTCTTTCTTGCTGTACAAGTATTCATGAACTGGTAAGTTGTTGATATTACGCTGAGACATAAATTTAAAATTAATGTTTAATTAAGTTTATTTTTTGAATTTGCTTACATGAGCAGGAGGACGCCCTATTTAAGGTTAAAATGTTGAAATGTCTTCTTGCTATTATTCTAATTGCTATTTAATTTTTAATCTTATATTTTTAAAAATTATTAATTTCATTCCTTCTTTTTTAATTATTTACTCTTAAATCTTCTTTTCCTTTTCGGTTGCTGACTTCATCATTCTATCAACAAAAGGAATTTGTTCCTAAACTTTAGGAGGACGAGTAATTTATGGATGGAATGTGCATTCACTGTAGGCTCTATATTAAATGTAAAATTAAGAATTTATGAATAAGCTTGTTAAATTACTATCTCTCTTCTTATCTCTGATTTCTTTTGATATACTCTTTATGCAACTTATCAAATTTTCCTTCATATGGATAATCTTTTTATTCTCTCTTTTTCATTTCATAGAGGTATGTGCTCCTAATTAATAGAAATCGAAAGATTAATTTTAATAACTACAAATTAGAATTTTACATAGGCTCAACTTCTGGCTTGAAAGTACATTCTTGCAATTGCTAACTTTCTCTTTCACTCTTTTTGATATCTTTCTTTTCCTTATACAACTAGCCTTGTTTGATTAGAGCATCTTCAGTTTTATCATATTACTCTGAGCGTTTATTTAGCTTTATAAAAATTCATTATTTAAAATCATAATTTATAAACATTAATTACAGCAATTCTCACAGAATTTGGATTTAACTCAGGCTTAAAGGAAAGCTCTTTTAATTATTCTTCCCTTTTTTGCAAATACTCCTAATTACTCTTATTTTTATTTCTTTTTAATTCTTCTCCTTTAAGATAAAGATAAACACCTATTTCTACTTCGTTATCTCCAATGACTCTTTTAGTTGAGCGATATGTGCTATTCAAATGTTAACTTTATTCTAATTGCTTTTTTTACTCTATTCTTTATTTCTTTTTGCTTGCCTTTTTATTTTTATAAGATGAGAATTTAATCATTGAATATTCTTTCTATAGTTACCTCTCCGTATAATCTATCAAATATCGATTCTTTTTGGTTTGGATGGATGACTTTATTATCTTCATTCTAATCATCATTTGCAGAATGTCTATTAATTTATTTTTTTATTAATTAAAATGTATCACTCAAGATTTTTATATGAATTAATTATAAAAAAAGTTATTGAATATATATCTATTAAATAGTGTTGCGTCAGTAAAATAAGGTTGTGATTAATAGAATACATTTCGTGATTAAATCCACTAAATAAGATATTATACTTGATTCTTAAATTTAAAAATTTTATTTAAAACAAAAACAAATTATTTTTCTTACTGATTCATTAATTGCTAGTTATGATAGATATTGTTATTTTGAATATCTTCGCCATTTGAAGCTATTCCAGGATATGATTGAGCTTCTTGCATGAGTTTTTATTATATGGGTGTTTAATCATCATTACTGATTTCTACGTTAGGGTTGCTGCTTTAGCTTTTATAGTAGTTTTAGCGAATAGATTGTTACTGAGGACTTTAAATCTAAACTGAAGCATAATTATCTTATGCAGAATAGTATTAAGGCGATTAACCTCTAAGATATTAAGTAGAATGATAAAGTTAATGCTATCTTTCAGTAATTACTATTTGCTTGTTTACTTCAATATTTTTTGCTAGGATCTCCATAGCTTCTTTAGTTAAACCATGCTTTTGACAAAAAGCCTCTGCCTTACGAACTGGATCATCGTACTCGTAAACATGCAAAATATCACAGTTCCCTTCACCTAAATCAATAGTCATAACTAGTAAATGGTCTTTAGCTGGGGATTCTCCATTCATACTCTAATTCTAGCTATTTGTATTATTGAATGTGCTATTTTTGCTATTTGCTAAACCTGACATTAACTTTTAATGAGACTAAGTCTATTATATCAAGTTTTTAGATTCGCTTAAAGTTCTTTAAGATTGCTATTTAATGTCTTACGACTTAATAAATTGGCCAGAAGCAGGCATCAAATCTTATGACACAACAGGCTCAGTTAAATAAAGTTTTTCTTGTTAAGCTTACATTTTTTAAGCAACACGATTTTATTGTTGTTGTTTTAATTTCTCTAAAATTTTCTAGTGGATGGAATTCAGTGGAGCACCTGACTATCCGCTATACCCTTCAGAAATTTATTCTGGATTATGCTATGGGTTTAAAACTTTCATGATATTTAAATAAAAGCTGCTAAATATTTTTTATTTTGTAAATTACAAATTTTATATAGATTTTATTATTTTCAATATTATTTATTTATTTATATTTTGATAGCTAAAAAGCATCGTAAATTTATTAATTTATTATTTCATTAAGATTATTTAGCTGACTGAATCAATAAACTCTATGGATGGAAAATTTACAATGTATGTAATACATACATACTTTCATAAATACAATCAATTCAAAACATAAATTTTTAATGCTTTTATTTTCATAGGTTTTATTTTTTATTTTTATTAACAAGGATTTAAATAAAAAATTTATTGAATACCAAAAATTTTTTGAATATATTTTTTTAGTTATACATTTTGTCAAATAATAAATAGCAAGTAGATAACTTCTATAACAAAACTAAAAATCTTAAATAACATATTTGCTCCATAAAAGATGATAATTTGCATATAAATTGTAAAAATTAATTTATAAAATTGTTTAGTTTTTTAACTTTTAAACCTAGTAAATAAAAATATAAATATATAAATGAACTGACTATACATAATCTAGAGACTTTTATAAAATTAAATAAATTTGGTTTAAAAATAAAAATTCTAACTAAGGTATTTATATAGATATCACAAGCAAGGATTAATTACAGAAAATTGATCTTAATTAATAACTTTCATTTAAAATTTACATTTTTAATCAAAATTTTACAGTTTTTCTTACAATTTTTGATTGAAAAATTACACTCAAATATATTAGTCAACTTTTTCGTTATTTTCAATAGCGAGACGCATCCTGCTCATACCGCACTCTTCTATTAATTTTTATCCCAGTTGGATATTTTCTTGGACTTCGTCAGAGAGACTGTTAAGTAAAAGGAGGACAAGATCACTTTCAAAATTTCTCAAATTAGGAACGGAAAATGAATTTAGAAGCTAAGCAACAGATTCATATGCAGTTTTACGTACTTCATTAATTTTATCATTAATGACCTTATTGTAGCTAGCATTTACATGCTCATACAAACAACCAGCACCTTCACACAATAAGAAAGTAGTTAAAGCCTTTATAATAAAAAAATTATTAATTCTATTTCCTGATTTAATATGTAATTTTACTTAAATTGTCACTTTACGAACTTTTGAGTGCTAATGTTCAAAGTTTTTAGCTAAGGATTTAGCTATTTAAAGACCATGATGTCCTATATATTATTTTAATTGCTTGGAACACTCTTCGACTAAAGTTGCACCTGTTTTTTTAACTTCTGGATATTAGTCTTATAATAAACGAGAAACAGCTACTGCAAAATCTCCTACAATAGGTACGAAATGCTATGAAAATAATTTGACTAATTCTATCATATTTTGAGTTATTAAAAGTCTGATTTCTTCACCTTTTTTATTGCAAAACTTAAATTAGATATTTGATTCATTCATTAATATAATTTTACTTTATTCTGCATATGGAATAGTGTTTACTCTTGAGCAAAGCTTCTATAAAATCTATTAAGTAACTTCTTTATCAACTAAATCTACGCTTTCCTTTGATCTAATGCAAAATCTATTAATTTTAATAAAAGATTTCAACTTTTTTCATTTTCATGAATGATTTAAAAGCAAAAACTTTTGAAAATTAGATATTACTATTAAATTATGTTTTATGCAAGTTCTCTATTCTTTTCAATCTAGTCATCGATTGTTCTAAGTAAATTTTTTAAAACATTTATCTAAAAGAATTAAAGTAATTCTCTTGTTGGAGTAGAAGCTGCAAATGTCTATTTAAGAATAGTTGTTAAACCTTTCTTACGAAGATTTCTATCCTTTTTTCATAATAAAATAAATAAATGATCAAATATTCTCTTTCGTTCATCATCAAAGATCTTTAACTTACATCATCAACAAGACAATTAATGTCTCTTTAATAATTCTTAACTAATTCTTCGTAAGCTGCTGATTGTTCGATTTCCATGATTTGAAGCTGAAGCTAATACTTTAATTTTTACTACAATATACTTTCTTAAATTTACAAATAGAAAATTTGCTAATTATTAAATTTTTGCTCTACTTAAGATATTAATTAAATCTTAAATCTATAAATCTTTAAAATTTTAAATTCTCATTTATTAAAAATTGCAATTTTTTTTTTATAAAATTAAAATATCTGATAAATTACAAAAAAAAATATTTGTTTTTTATTAAAAATAATTAGTTATTAATTTTATGATTTAAATTAAAAATGTTTAATAAATAAAAAAAGTAACTGATGTTCTTTAAAAATTATATTTTATTAAATTTTAATTTATTCTACTTTTAATTTTTATTTTAAAAACATAAAATCTATAAAAATATTTTTTAAAAAGGATAAAAACAAAAAAAAATAAAATTAATCCAAATGATTAAAATTAGGTTAAAGCAAAGCAATTTAAAATGTTATTTTACATAATAAATAAATAATTGATTCATAAAATTTGTAAACTATTATCATAGTGAGTGAGTTAATATTATAATTTCAATTGTTGTTTTAAGAATACTTTGAAATTTTTTCAAAATAATAGTTTCTTGAAAGCAATTAAAAAAGAATGAAAAAAATTTAAATTAAATATAAAGAAAATTAAAATATTTATACTTAATAACAGAGAGAAGTATACATCCAATAAAGAAATCAATCTTAAGATTTCAAATTTTATAATTAAATGAGAATTATAAATATTTTAATATTGTAAATAGTCCTTTATAAAACTTTATGAAAATATAAACTCAATTATTTATTAAAAATGTTAATCTGTTTATAATTATTTTTAATAGGTTAGATGTATCTTTAAATTTATAAGCTTTTAGGTAAAATGAATAGGTAGAAAATCAGGTTAAATTATATTTAATTTATCGATGTGAAAAAAGATAGATAAATATATACTTAATGTGCTAAAATATTTTAAAGTAGATAAATTACAATTAAAAAAATATAAATATATAAATTATAATAGTTAGATATTATCTTTTCTTACTAGAGTTTAAATAGAATTTAGAAAAGAAAAAAAAATAATTTTTAGTTCAAAAATCTCCTGCATTTTCATGTTCTTATTACTGTTCATTTTCCATTTCATTTTAGTTTTAAGGTTCTTCAAATTCTACATTCTCGTCAGTTTGATCGTCATCCTTTTCTTAGATTATGATTTAATATGCATCATCACCATAATCACTGTAATCTTCTTCGTCGTCGTCAAAAATATCTTATATTTGATCTATAACGTATTGAAGAACGGTTTTATTTTATCTATATTTATGACGAGTAGCACTATTCTGTTTGGTAAGCACCAATTAATTATTTTCATTCATAGTAAAGAAATCAACTTCATCATTTGACTTTCCTTTCATTTTCTTTTGCTAAATTGTTGGCTACTTAGAGTAAATTAACTAAATTATCTGCTCGTTCTTCTTGTTAAATTCTTTGAGAAGAACATGGAGAGCCCAAAACTGATCTTTGTTTGAAGGAGAATTTTTTCCATAACAATTCTTGTAATTTCCATAATATTCAAGCTAGCTTTTTTTCTTTAGCTCTATAATGTGAATGAAATATTCTTTAATTGATAAATTTTGCTTTTTACCCTCTCCAATCAAACACTTTTGGTTAATATTGTATTACTTGCTTAAAATTTAATTGCGCATTTTTTTATACTTAGTCTAATAAAATATTTCTTGATTGACTTGCTCCTTTTGCAATAACTCTATTTCATCACTGGTGAGCTCGTATAGATTAAGTCCTGATATTTTTTTAAGTGGTACAATGAGTAGGGTAACTTCCTTTTAGAAATTAAAGAATTTCTTCACTTCTTATATTTAGTCAATGAAGTGATTAGAGTCATTCATATAAACTTAGTCATTAATTGAAAAGGGAGAAAACTTCCAATCAATGATTACAGCTTTGTGCTCGTTATAGAAAATAACGTCTACTTTTTTTGCATTTTAATTCTAATGTTATTAATTGCTAGCTATGTTAGTCTGTGAAGTTGATATGCCAGTAATACTGCAGTCATGACTTTTGTGTGAAGTAGAATTTCCCAAGCAAATTTTAGGTAAAAACGAAGAAATGTGTTTTTCTGTCTTCATCTCTTCAAGATGAAGGTAATCTTTGCAATACTCCTTAACTGTATTTACAAGAAATTGAATCCATTGCCCTTGTTCATTTGTTAAAAATTCGTTTTCTAAAAGAATCTTTTCGTTTTTCTTAGGATCATTCAAGTAACGCTCAATAAGTAAATGAATTTAAGAGCCTTGCACAATCTTTGTATTTTAAGATTGATTATTTGTTTGATCAAACATATTGGTATTTAAATTGAGTGGTGGCTGTTGAAGTTAAAGCACATACTTGTTAAATTTATCTTGGTAGACCCAATCAAATTATTTAAAGTGGTAAGTAGGTTTTTCTTGTCTACCAGCTGAAGGAGAAGGTCTTAAAGATGAGTGTCTTTCTAAAGATTCCTCTCCTTCCCACAAATCGTAGTCAGCTATAAAAGAATCTTCACGTTACATGTTTAATTCATTTTCTCTCTCAGCCTTTCTATAGTGCTCCATTCTCTTAATATCTTCTTTCTATGCTTCTAAGATGGAATAAAATTATTTAATTATAAACAAATTAATATTCAAGCTATCTATCACTCCATCAATTTAAATCATTTTAACTCAGAAAAATCTGCTTAAAAATGTTTTATTAACCATTATTCTATGAATTTTATTCTTGAAATTTTATTCTTTAAGTAAAATAGTATCTTTGATTGTGTATACAATTAATGCAATTTTGATTTTTATTTTTTAAGTATGAAGTAGAAATGAAGAATTTAGTCTAGCTAAGCAAAATAGTAGCTTAAAATTTATTAATACTACCCAAATTGCATAGTGAAAATAATATCTCATGAAAATAGTTGCATTCCAAGAGATGGTTACAAAAATTTCAGTGATAGAGAGTAATTTTTATAAAAAATAAATGATTTTAAATGTTTACATTTAGAAGAAGAAGGAATTCTTCTCATAGAGCCATATTAATTCCCGACCATCTACAATTTATTTGTAACTTTTTCTAAAATTTCTTACAAAGCTTCATAGTCGTCTACCATATCAATCTACCTAAAGATCAATTCAAGGAATTGATCTCTGTTTATGATGCTATCTTATTTTTTCATTTTATAATATTTCCTATTCCTTTTATTTAGATGTATTTATTATCTTTCTTTCTTGGCTTATCCTCTTTTGTGGGGTCTTGAAATCAAGTTTTTATTAAATTATTATTATCGATTGATTTTGATAACAAGAAACACAATAAATATTTATACAAATCATATATCAAATCTAATCAATTTTAATAAAATTTTGATCAATCTGACCATATTTTATTTATTTCTAAATAAATAAATTAATTAATTAAAAACACTTCAATTCATTGATTAATTAAAAAGCATTATTATTTATTGATTAATTAAATAATCAAAAAAATATTGTAATAAAATATGTATTCTTAATTCTTTAGAAGATAATTATGATGATATCTTTGATAAAGATATCTAAAACTGCAAATTATTACTTTTTAAATAATTTTTTTATTTTAACATATTTTTTAACTCTCATTTACTTTATTAAATTTACACAAATATTGAATAGCAATCCATTTATCTATTAATTCTCAAAGTTTTGTTTTATGTTCGCTCAATTTAATAATTCATCTCATTCATATGTTTAATACTTTATTAATTTTTCCTCAATAAATAAACTCTATAGTTGAATTTTTTATTAGCAAAAATGTAAATAAATAATAAATACATAATATAATACAAATAGAATAATATATTACATTCTAATAAAAATTACCTTTTTTCGTATATTTTAATATAAATATATATCATAAAAATCAAAAATTACAAAATTTATCATAAAATATCAAATAAACAGCTTTAAAGACATATTTAGAAACTTAATTTAATAAGATAAAATTAATATAAATTAATAAAATTAAATTATTTTTATTGCTTTAACATTAGAATAATTAATTACAAATTTCTCTAAAGTAGAATTTAATTCTAATCAAATATATTTTAATATTAATTCACAATTTTTTTGTGCAGTTACTGTTTAAAAACGCATATTTTCTTTAATATTTATAGAATAAATAGATATTAGATACATTTAAGTCTTTTAACTTATAAAAATACATTGTTTAAATTAAAAAAATGTTTTTAAGTCAATAGCAAGAGATTAAAATCAATACATTATTTTTTTTTTTTAAATTTATCTGTAAACTAAATAAAATTAAATAATCTCTTTTTTTTATTGATATATTACTACATCTTTTTGGAATTAGATTTTGATTGTAATTAATTAATATCTTTTTATAAAAAATTATAAATTATGAATATAAATTAAAAAGAAATTTTGTAAAAATATTATTATTTTTATTACATTCATTTTCTCCTTATATTCTGATATCAGTACTTAATTAATTAAAAAACTTAGATAGACTAATCAGAAAATTAGTACAAAATTTGAATTGATAAAAATTTTTGAAAAACTCCTATTTTTAAAATTATTAATTAAATATTAAAAAGTACAACTAAATAAACTATTTATTTTTAAATGAAACTAAATAAAAAATTTTAACAAGCATCTTTACAGAATTTTTGATTAGAATATGATTTTAAATTAAGCTATTTTGATATTTTTGTAATTACTAGTCATATTTCAAAGTGTAAATAATCATATTTATCAAAACGAAAAATACTATATCCTCTTTCTTGTGTGAGCGATAAGCATTCAATTTAATTTTTCAATTAATTGATGTCAGATTTGCTAATGGTCTCACTATTGTTTTGAATTTATTAATATTAACTCTAAATTAAAAAAATAAATAATTAAATAAACCTTTCTGGGGTGACCTGATTTTAGTTGAAAGACTATTTTTAAGCTAAATTATTTAGAATATTTTAAAAATATTCATTTTTTTTAACCAAGATTTCACTTAAAAATATATGTATTATCCAAAATTAGTCTTTGTTTTTAGGTTGAATATCATTGTTTAGGTTTTCTAAGTTTAGATAGTAATGAATTTATTGCTAAGAGTTTATTTTAAGGATGTTACTAATATTTTCAAAAAGAAGTTCATTTTTTCTTTTACTAATTCCAATTTCCGATGGTTTTAACAAAATATCTTCTTATTTCTCCTTGATTTAATTATAGTATTACTAATACTTAATACTTAATGTGTTTAAGTCTGAGGAAATTTATTTTACAGTTTTAAACAAATCTTCACAAGTAATTTCTTAGATCGTAAAATTATGTATTTACTTTAAAGGAACTATTATTAAAGTTACATTACTAGTATTGAATTGCTTCATAGCTTCAAAAAGCTAATCTTTGAAATGCTACTAAAAAAGCTTTAAAATGTTTTCAAATTACCACTCTGAATATTTCCAGTCGATAATACAAAACTTTTCTAAATTATCATCATGAAAAATCACATCAAATCTTTTAGTTAAACTACTATTAGTAGTCACATATTCCACTTTGTAATTTATTAGTCCTCTTTATTTCATATAAAAAATTACTTTTTCAATAACAATAAAGATCCATTAGCTTCCGAATTTCTCAATCCACTTTCTTGATTGTATTTACTAAGTTAAACTTCTCTACTTAAGATATTCCTCAATAACTCTATGAATATATATTCCTTCTTCTTTTTTGTTAGAAAACTATTTTAAACTTGATTAGAAAGGTTTATAACTGTTCCTTTACAGTAACTAATATCCAGGAAGTATAAAGTTTGGATTTTAAATTTATCTAAAATTTGGAACTTCAATATGCTTAAAAGCTTCATCATTATAATATTCTTAATTTACTGACGATAACTGCTCTTCCATTTTTTTATAATTTCAAATTTATTTTTGATAAAAATAAATATTATTTTTTATCAAAATTTGTAAAATAAAAAATTCATAACCCCTTTTTGAAATAAATTTAAATTCTGATATCTTTTTTATTTAATTTTAAGCAGATATTTTAAATAAATTAACTATATTAAATCATTAATAAACAATAAATATTTATTATTAAAATTTCAATAATCGCTTTTGATTAAATTTTTCAACAATAAATAATAAAATTTTAAATTTAAACTAAAAAATATTACATTTTATTTTTAGCAAATTCTTAAAAATTATTAGGACAGATTTAAATAAAAATTAGAAATTTGACTTAAATTTGCAAAGACCATCATTTATATTTATGATTGAATTTTTAATTAGTTAAATCTAACTATTTTGGAATAGTTAAACATTTCTTAATTTAAGTATTTCAACACAAATATATATATTGATTGAAACTAATTTAATAAAAATATCAAATTTATCTTTTTTTGCTTGATTATAAAAATTAATTGATAATATTGATTTTCAAAACGTATATAAATTGATTTAATCAGAAAAGAAAATTTTAGATTTTTACTTTCTTTCTTTTTTTGAGACTACAAATTTAAGTAATAGATTGTCTCTTTATTATTTTCTTTGATTACAATATCAAATTTTTAATTTATTATTTCAATAATGAAAAGTGTATATTTAGAAATGTTTATGGATTGAAATTGAGTTAATTAATAATATGTGATATAAAAAATTCTATATATTTTTACATAAATACAATATATTGTGTAACTAACTATCTATCTATGTAGGTATGCATGTATTATAAATAATAAATATGTTTAAGTCAAAATTTTTTTAGTTGATTGTTTTAAATATAAAAAGTTTATGTGTTTTTTGTTCTATTACATTCTTATTGAAATTTTGTTTTTGCTGTCTAGGGTTGATTGAAATAAATAGAAATATTTTTAAATATTAATTTGAATATATCAATTTTTAAAATTATTTATTAAGTTTTGATGTTTTAACAAAATTATTTCATTCAGAGTTTTTTTAATTTTTATCTATGTTCTTTGAAATCATTTATAAAAAAACACCATGAGGTGTGACACTGTTTTTTGTATTTTTTTTTACTAGTTTGTAAATTTTTCCTTCTATTCTTTCAAGGTAATGCAGCATTTTCGAAGTTTCTTCTCCTGTATAAATTGATAATTTGTCCACTACAAATTTAAGTTCGTTTGGAAGAGTCATTGAATTAGTTTCATAGCTCTTTTCAATTTCATAATCATAACAAGGTGGTGCAGAAGTATTACCTTATTTTATAGCTTTATTAGTTATGTATTCTAGATCTGAATTCAATAAAGAAGAAAATTTATACTCCTTAGTGCTTTTTTAGCTGAATTCAAAATTTTTGTTCACACTAAAAGTTGGTTCTAGTTAATCTTCTTTGTTTTACGATGCTAACTAGGAATGCTATTTTTAACTATTTTCAGATTGAGTGAAAACAGACTAAAAGAAAGGTAGCTCTTCTAAATTTTCTTTGCTTTGTTTCTGCTTGCCATCTTCTAAAGTATTTTGTTTGTTTAGTTTAGGTAAATGAGATCTCATTTACTTGATATATTGAATTTCATCTTCTAGCTCATCATATTACAATTGAGCTGCTTACTGAGTCATCTTTTGAGATTTTATTGCAGATTTATTTCCTTGCATTAGCTAATAGGATAGTTAAGATTATTGGTTTTAAGTTAAAGCATTATTTTTCATCTTTTAATGCACTTTTAAAAGTTTGTGTCTATCAACGAACGACTAAAGAAGGATTATTAGATTATTATAAGATAAATTGATTATCTATTTATAACTTGTTAAATCCAACACTTACTCTTATTTTTGCTCTACAATGCATTATTGTATGTTAAATGCTACCTATTTAAAAGGAGGCACTTTGCTATAAAAATCATTTGTCCTCTTAAATTTCGTGTTTTCAAAGCTTTTAATTATTGATTTCAAAAAAGAATATTGTCTTTCATTTAAATATTCTTTAGCTTCTTCAAGAATTTCATTATTTAACAAAACGCCAAACATTTCATCATTTAGTCCGTAAATCATTTTAAGGAGAATAATTAGAGATGTCGAGACAACAATATCGCAGTCAAATTCGTCACTAGCCGACAGCTCTTTGTCTTGCTTATCTTTGTACAATCTAACGCAAATTTAGTAAATCATGCAAGCCCATTCAAGAGGCAGTCCGAAGTCACTTATGAGTTTTAGACTTTATCTTAATATTCTCTTCTTAGATACATTTAAGCTGTGATTTGTCATTGCAACGAATTTCTTAGCTGTCTAACGAATGAATGTTGAGCTAGGGATTGATTGAGGATAAAGCCAGTAAACTTTGCTGTCTTAAATTTTTATAAATGGAGCTATACCAAGATTATAAGCAAATAAACCGTTTTTAATCCAAATATTAATATCTCTCGGAGTGTAAGTTTCTCCTATAGAATACAAAGATATGTATATAATTGTTGGAATTAAGTAATACTCTAGAGAGATAATAGCATCAGATTTTCTCAACTTTTTACTCTTTTTTGGTTCGCTGGGATCTTCAAAGAGAGGATTGACAGGCTTCTACAATTAGTTGCAGAGAATATCTCTTTCCTTTAAAATTTCTTCTAGTATAATAGAAAGAGTTTGTAATTGCTCTTCATCTAAATTAATAACCCTTCTTTATTAAAATCTGTCAAATTGAAATTCCAATTCCTCAATTTCCTTTTCCTAGTCAACGTGTTCATCTGATTTTTTCAGATTTTAATTGACTGGGTTATTTGAACCTTTCCTTGGTGGGTTAAGATTTTATTAATCATCAGGCACTGTTGTTTGGTTTAGATCTAAGGGTTCCAAGGCTAATTCAGCTGCTAAATTCGGTTTTGGCTATTTTAATTTTGGAGTATTTTCATATTTAAATTTGCTGAGAACTTCGTTTATTCCTCCCTGATCATCTTCTTCGTCTCCAGAAAGATATCCTTTCTTGTTATTTTCTTTAATCTCTTTCGATTTGTTAATAAGCTTTTACTTTATTTCGTTCAACTTCTTAGTACGCTAGAATTGTTATTTGCTTTTATTGAGTTCACTTTCTATATTTTGATGCTCTTTAAGCTGCTTGCAAATAATCTAAAACATTCTGTCTAAATAATCGTAAAGCAATTAAATGTCATCTTTCAGATTAAACTAAATCGTACTTTATTAACTCACAAATTCTGCCCAGTCCCATGCCCAAATCAAATGAAAAATATCAATTTTGTCATACTTTTTAGCAAAAGGTATTTTTCTTTTTTCAATTAATTTTAGAATAAAAGATTTTGAAATCTGAAACCCTTTTGAATTCCCTTTGAGCTTTCTAATTCTTTTTAAAGGATTAAATTCCTTTTCCTAAAGATAAAGCATATGCAAGTATGCACTTCTAAACCCATTATAGAGACTTTACACGTAATCTTCACTTCTTTCTAACACAAGCATGAAATAGTTCTTTCCACACTCCTCCATATTTTCTATGTAATTCAATCTTCCTTTCATACGACGTCTTTTTTTCTTTTTCTGTTCTAATTGCTGCTGCTATTGCTATTAAAGCTAATATTATTTCATCTCATTATTCATGACTCCCTGTAACTCCTACTTAAACTTCTATTATTTTTCTGCCTATGCACTTCTTAATTTTTTTTAGTTAGTAAATGTTGCAGTTGCAAGATAGTTAGCATCATTCTAGCTACCGGTGGGTTTCTATTTACCCAACATCTCAAGAAGAGGGTCATTAAATATATTACTTCCTTCTGCTTTTCCTGTTTAACCTTGACCTTATTGATCAATATCTAAAATTTGCTATTACTATTCCAACTCAAAATTGGCACGCTAAGAATCTTCAAAAAAGCGAAATATCTCGTTAATATCATCATTTTCTTCCAATATTTTTTTCTACTATTCCTATGTTGACTTTTATTTGAGAATTTTCTCAATAAAATTTTAATCATTTTAGTCAAAGCTATCTTCTTAAGAATATTCCTCTTCTATATCTTCTTTCTAAATTTTTGCTAAAGAGCTCTTTTTTTGTTAATATTTTGACTCATAAAGTTTTTTCTTAAATCCTTTTTATTAACTATCATGTTCTGCTTCTTATATCTGCAATTTATCACTATCCTGTTTAGTTTTTTTATCATCCTTCATCTAATAATTTCCTTACCTTAAGGTTGTAAAGAATGAAACAAGAGGAATATCATTTTCATGAAATACCTTCAAATACTCCAACCAATAATATTTAGCCTTTTCTTCAAAATCATCTCCAAGGTTCAATTTCATTTTTATAGTTCTTACACTTTCTCTCAGAGCTCTTTAAAAAGCCTCTAAATAAATACCCCAATTATCTTCAATATGCTTAATCACTGACTTGTCTTCAGCAACCTTTTTTTCACGCTTTTCACTAATATAATGCTTCTAAATTTTAATACCCTTAAAATCTTCAGTTTATAGCTTAGCTATAGTAGTTGTAGCACCACATCTACCACAGATCTGCTATGCATCCTTCACAGTGAAGTGAGAATTTTGCTTGCATTTGCTACAAATTGCCATTAAACAATATTAAAATTTTACGAATAAAAATAAATGCCAGCTACCCCTTTTTTTATATTTTTTTAAATATTTCTGGCCTTTTATTCTTTAAAATTTAATTTAATTTCTTCAGTTAACTAACTCTTAGTCTTAATAGTCAATACTCTATTTGCTAATATTTTATTAAGTTTTTATTTTAATTGATATTAATATTAATATTTATACTCACATTAATAACAAAGAAAAGGATATGTATTTATGAAGGCAAATGTGTATTTATTAAACAAAAAAATTAAACCCATCTCTTGTATATTTCAATGCAATTTTTCTTTTTTGATTAATCTTTTTTATATTTGACTTAGCTAAATTCTACCTTTTTTCTTTTTTTATTTCTTTCGACATTTTTAAATTGCTATTTATGAACTTCTTAGATAATCTTTTTTAAATTATTTTGAAATCCGCTCAATTTTTTGGATTTTTACAGAATCAAATCTTAAAAAAATCTTATGTTTGATAAAAAATCTTCTACTTAGCATAATTCATCATGATTTAATATTTTTAATTATAGCTACTATTATAAATTTAACTTTTGATTTACTTAATTTACTATTGATTTTTTAAAATATTGCAGTAGTCTTTAAATATTTTTTACATAATTTTTAGATCATTTTGTTAAGTATTTTAGAAATATTTTTATTTACAAAATAGTTTTACTCATTTAAAATCAAAAAAAAATTTTTAATTGTCTCAATTAAATTTATAAATTAAATAAAAGAAACCCAAAATTATAATTTATTTGAAATCATATTGAATTAGAATATATTTTTTATTGAAAAAACTATTTATTAATCAATCTTTAAATTTTTCAAAAATTTTTTATGAGAAAAACAGGAAAACAATGAATGATAAATTTAATATCAAAAGAAAATATGTATTTATTTTAAATTTTTTTTTAGATAAAGCATTTGATGATCAAATGTATCTTAATTTAAATTTAGTTTTAAGTTAGAATTTTACAACAAAATAAACTTATTTAAGAGATATGATAAATTCTAATTTAAAAATTACGCCAAATGCATTTAGAAAAAACAAAATATAATTTTAAAAATCAAAAAAGTTTGAAAATAAAGTAATAATTGAAAAAAATTTAAATATATTTTTTACAAAAAGAAAAAGCCAAATAATAAATCAAAGACATAATTAAAATTAAAATGAAGCTTTTAATAATTTTATTTTATTTTACCTGTTTTAAAGTATAAAAATAATTATTTATTTATTTATTTTCAATTTATTTAATATATTTTAATGAATAAATTAAATAATATTTAGTAAAATTGAATAAAAACATCTATTTATTTAACTATGCGCTTTATTTAGCATATGATTTTAAAAAGAATACTTATTTAAAAGATATATTTTTAGTGATCAATTATTTTATCTTTTTAAAGTAAATGAAAAAATTTGTTAAATAATCCACTAGTTTAATATATCAATAAATAAATTTAAAGACGTATAAAAATATAATCGAGTTTATAAAAATTACAATTAAACATTAAATATTTAATTTATTTATATTAAAATCATAACGCGAATCTGTTTTTTAAGAGTTTTTAGATTTAATATTTTAAATGTTTTATAGAATATTAAATTAATTCAGATAATTTAATTTATTTTCATCTATTAATTATGCTAATAAATAATAAATAAATTGAATAAATTATATTTTTTATGGGGATAAAAATTTTTATATAATTATAAAATAATTATTTGATTTATAAAATTCAAATAGGAAATTTCTATCTTTAAAAAGACTGCTTTGATCAAATCAATAAAAAACAATAAATACTTACTTTACTTTTTGGTTTTAAATGATAATTTAATAAATGACGCAGTTTTTTACGTCATTATTAACAAAAGAGCATTTAGTAATTGAATTTATAAAATCTTTTTGAAAATCAAACTTTAAGCAGTAAATAAATGTATGAATGAGAATGTGTATTTTTATATTGGCTACTCATTTTTTATATAATAATATTATTATTATGGATGATATAAAGATTTATAAAATTAAAATATTAAATTTTTTTTTGAAGTTTTATTAAATTAGAGTAATAAAAATTGTTTTGTTGAATAAATGGCTTAATATGCTTTTGTAATTTTTAATATTAAAAAAATAAATATAAGTTTAGTTGTAACTCTATCAAGTAAATCAATATTTTTAATTCTGATCATTTAAAAATTGCAGAAATGAATGAATTTCAATTAAATTTATTTTGCATTTGTTACAGATCATAAAAACAAAAGTTGATTCTTGATGATTATGAAAAATTTAATTTCCAAGTTGTTAAATATGGTTCGGTATGTAAAAGATTCAATTTGAATATTTAATATTAAGAAAGTTTTTGTAACATCTGCTTTATGAAGTTGATTTAATAAAAATGATTTGATGAATTTGATTTTCATTTATTTTTAACTAATTAGAAGAATAGAATGTGTTAGACTATGTGAAAGTGTTGATTTCGGGAAAAAAAATTATAATATTATAAATAATGAAAAGAAACTGCGGTAAATTGTGATGAACTAAAAAAAATTGTTTGATAAAATCACGTCACTTCTATTAAAATATTTGATTATAATTTGGATTCATCAAAATTTTTACGGAGATATTACTATTTTTCTTAATTTCTAGAAAAAAATTTTTTGGATACAAAAAAAAAGATATTTTTACATATCTTAAATTTAAATACATTTTTTTTAGAGTTTAAATAGGCCATAAAGCAAACTAAATCCATTTTATGATGTTCTTTTGGCTCAGTTATTATTTATCAGTAAAGTAAAACAATAAGTTTGATTTTGGTAACATAGCTTTAGACACAACAATGATTTTACAAGATTAGCTTGCTAGTCTAAAAATACAGAATAGATAAGAAACACAAATAATTAATACATCAATCCACCAAAAAATCAATATAAAATGGAATTTTGGTTTCACTTAAAAAATAGTGTAAGTATTTCTTTTTAAAAATTAAAGTTGAAATTCTCAAATAATTTGTTGTTAGTTATCAAAAAATACACTGAAAAAAAAGCTGTTATTATGTAGAATTGCGCAGTTCGTGATACCAATACTGACGTAAGTGCTGATTTTGCTTCTCTGACGTAAAAAATGTCAATGCACTTTTTATTTTACAAAATCAAACAAACTAATCTATTTTCAGAATTCTTTAATTAGTCAATATTTATATATTAATCTGAATGAAGTTTCTCTCTCTCTTTCTTTCTTTTTTTTTTACTTTAAAAACGATTCAATCTTCTTTTTTTTGATAAAAAATATTTAATTATAATATCCCAATTAAAAATTTACTTCATCTCCAAAGTAAAAAACAAAAAAATAGATTAATAAAGAGAAATGTCTTAAATTAGATTCGATAACAGAGTTGTCATCGTTACTGGTGCTGGTAATGGTTTAGGTCGTGAATACGCTCTTTACTTCGCCTCCAAGGGTGCTAAGGTTGTTGTTAACGACTTAGGTGTCACTCACTCTGGTGAAGGTACCAAGACCAACCCCGCTTAAAAGGTCGTTGATGAAATCAAGGCTGCTGGTGGTGTTGCTGTTGCTAACACTGACTCCGTCGAATTCGGTGACAAGATCGTTAAGACTGCCATCGATGCCTTCGGTAAGGTTGATGTCATCATTAACAATGCTGGTATCCTCAGAGATATCACTTTCTAAAAGATGACCGATCTTGACTGGAACCTCATCATGAAGGTCCACGTTAACGGTACCTACTCAGTTACTCGTGCTGCTTGGGATATTATGAGGTAATTAATTTCAACATTTATATAATTCTCATAGTACATTCCCTGACTTTGTTTGACTAGTTAGTTAAGGATTTCAAATTAATTTCACAAAGCACTCAATTGATTGCTGTTTAATTGTAGTAAATCAATCTACATCATACAAGAATCCAATTAAAATAAAATTTTAAATAGCAAAAATAGTTAGATGGACAAAACAAAAACAAAATTCTAACTGAATTATTTAAAAATGAGCCTAATATTTAATAATTATTTTAAATTTAAATTAGACAACAAGGATACGGTAGAATCATCAACACTGGTTCTGGTTCTGGTATCTATGGTTCTTTCGGTCAAGCTAACTACTCTACCGCTAAGTTGGGTATCCATGGTTTAACTCTTACTTTGGCCAAGGAAGGTGAAAAGAGAAACATTAGAGTCAACACTATTGCTCCCATCGCTGCCTCCAGAATGACTGAAACTGTCCTCCCCAAGGAAGCTTTAGCTAATTTGGACCCCAAGCACATTGTTCCTCTCGTTGGTTACCTTGCTCACGAATCATGCGAAGAAACTGGTTCCCTCTTCGAAATTGCCGCTGGTTTCATTGCTAAGCTCAGATGGTAGAGAGCTGCTGGTGCTTTATTCGATCTCCCCTACACTGCTGAAGAAGTCAGAGACAGAGTAATTCATTATTTTCATATATATTAAATAGCAAATCATTCAAACTATATACAAGCCGATAATCGTTAATCCCCTTAACTCTCTTCTACTTTTAATTAACAAATAAAAATAAATTTCTTAAATTCTTGCAAATCTTCTAGAAGATTTAATTGAAAAACTAACCAAATAAGATGACATCATTCATTCATATATGTATAGTATAAAAGATAAGTTTTCACATTGCAAATAATTTTATGAAATATAAAAGCATTCCATAAAAAAAATTATAAAAGCAAATAATATTTTAAAAAAAAGTGAATGAGAATTGATTAAATAGATTGAAAATAGTTTGGAATAGATTTTAATAAAATGATATTATTATTAAATTGTATTTCTTAAATTAAATTAGTGGAACACTATCTGCGATTTCGAAAAGAACCCCGAATACCCCACTGCTACCAGTGATACTTTCGCTAAGGTCAATGAAAACGTTGAAAGAATCCAACTCAAGAGGGAAGAAGCTGCTAAGAAAGCTGCCACCACTGCCCCCGCTGCTGTTGATAGTCCCTACAAATCCGATTAAATCTTCACCATGATGAAGGTTTTCCTCGAACGTGGAGAAGGTACCAAGTTAGTCAAGGACCTCCAAGCTGTCTACGGTTTCAACATTGTTGAAAAGAAGAATGGTCCCGTCAAGAGAGCTTACACTATTGACTTGAAGAACGGTCAAGGTGCAGTTGTCTTCTAAGAAGCCAAGACTGCTGATGCCACCTTCACCATGATTGATGGTGACTTCGAATAAGTCTGCTTAGGTAAACTCAACCCCAACAATGCCTTCATGACTGGTAAGATGAAAATCAAGGGTCACATGGGTAAGGCTACCAAGTTCACCCCTGCTCTTTTCCCTCCCCCCACCCCTGAAAATATTGCTAAGTACACTCCTGCTAAGCTTTGATCTGAATATCTTCAGTAGATTAGTATAGCATGATAATTAATAAATATATTATTGATTTGATTTATATCAATTTATTTTTGTAAGGTGCTTCATTATTTTTTTTAATATTAAAATTTAATTTGCATGTTTTTAAAAATTTATCAAACTAATTTAATAAATGAGTGAATAATGTTTGCAAATATTATTTATGAACTTAAAAATATTTCGTCATTCTTGTATATTAATACAAATATTTTCATTAAAGATTAAGAAAAGCCAATTTTTTTTTGTTGAAAATTCAACTATAGTTAGAATTAAAAATTAATTTTAATTAAAAAAAATAAATAATTTCGATTTATATGATTGGTTTGAAAATATTAATATTTCAATCGAATTTTTATCTCTTTTTTTGTTGGCAACTTTAAATCAAAATCACCACAAAATTAAAAAAATTATAGATATCTTTTGAGTAAATAAAGAAATTAATTTTAATCGTTTGTTTTGATTGACATTATTGATTTGTAATTAACTTGAAAATATGAATTAATTTATTTAAGCAGATATTTTTCAGTTAATATACTTATCTAATATTTATCCCATATATGGTCTAACTAACTCTCCAAATGTAATGAGCTGGCCAAGGTTGAATTACTCGCCATTTGAATTTCCTGTTATTCTCATATATCCTAGGATTTATTAAACATAAGGTTTTGCATCGTTCCATATATTCTTGTTTATTGAGATAAGGAAAGTGCTAATTTCATCGACTGTTACATATTGGTCATTATTTTTATTTAGAATTTTAAATGCTGTATAAAGACAATTATCCCATATCCTTCTTTCTGAGGATAGATAAAGTATAAGTCCTTTAATGTCTTCTTCTATTATAAAATTAAAATTTTAGATTTATTTTTGATAGTTTTATTTACTCTCAAAGGGTGGTGTGTTTTCAAAGGGTTTTGTACTGCTAGTTAATAAAGATGCCAAAAATGAAATAAAATACTACTAAAACTGCTGAAAATTAAAACTTTATCCTTTATTAATTTTTTAAAATAATTCTTTTGAAAAATCATCTACTAATTTTTTATCTTAAAGGTGTCTATATACACCATGAATAGTCCTGTTCAATTCTTTCTAGCTAATTTATTTGTCATTATTTTTATCTATTATTTCAAAAATTAGTTGTTAAACCTACGGTAAATTTTATAATAAGGATATTATGCTTGAGTCTATCATAAGATTCATTCCTTAAAGTTTATTTCTGGTAATAATACTATCATAATGATTAATTTGTTTTTTAAAAACTTGCTTATTTTTAGAACTTAAAGCTTATTTTGCTATTTAAATTACTCCTTCTACTACTTAATTTGCTTAATTAAAGGATAATTCCTTTATTTATGCCAGGTTTAAATGATCATAGTTTTCAGTCACTTAAGCATTTTACAGCCTAGAGTTTTCCCACTGTTCAACAGCAAAAAGCGATATACAAAAAAGGACAATAATAAATCCTGTGCATGCAAAGTAGTTTTTTATACCTTTATTTTATTAATTCATTTCAATTATCAGAAAAGTTTTATTTATATTGTAAAAGTAATAATTATAATAATAATTAAATTGGATTTATTAACTAAAAGTAAGATATTTACTGGAATTATAATAGTCATAAATTAAAAACAGTAGAATGAAATTAATTGTTTAAAGCATATCTTATAGATTATTTTATGCATTCTCTTTATCGTATAAAAACATTTTCAATTTAATGAATAAATAATTTACTTACAAAATAATTATTATAAACAGAGTGGCATTAATTGAGTTATCAAATCCATCTCCTTAAATATTTTTGAGGAAACTTTTATCAGAATTTTAAGATTTTGATGATAGAAAATTATCAAAAAATAATTTCCCTTTTCTTTTTTCTCTTTTGAAGAGAGCATTTTGTCAATTTGAATATTCAATGATAATCCTTCACAATTTTCAATTTACCTTAAATTGCCAAAAAAATATTTTTTTTTCAATTATTTAATGAATTAAACAAATAATAATTAATTTGGATTAATACTTTAATAAAATCATTTAACCTATCGAAATTAATAGAAATACAATTTTTATAATTTTTATAGAGTTGAATATTTTGATAGAAATCTTTAATTTATTTAATAAAATGACAGAATAAGGTGTTGATTAGTTGATTGCAGATTTTTAAAAGGATAAAATCAGCGTAAGATCTTAATTTCTTCAAGATTATTACAATTAGTAAAAAATTGGAAAAAGATCAGAGTTCGATCCAAGAGATCCTCTTGGACCTCGTCTCTCTACTTATTGGGAGTAATAAAATTCTATTATTACAAAAAATTTATGAGTTTTATTTGTATTAATCAAAAAAGTCAAGGTGATAATGTATTTTCTGTGACATATAAAAAATTAAGCAATTTCACATATAAACTATTCAATCCTGATACTTATACATAGTTATAGCTAGACGAATTGAAGTAATTTTAATAGTTAAAAATTATATATTTACTAGATTAATCTCAATAAAGATATTAGGTAAAGCTGAATGATGCATACTTATTTTTAGGAGCTGCAGTCGTAAATAAAAAAAGAATTAATATTTTTGAAAATAAAATTTATTTTAAACAAAAGCTGTCAGTACCGATGATAGTATTTATTCCTTTTATATTACCTAGAATGAAAAGGGCAAAAAGAGAATATTTCATGCATTAATTTATAAAGAAATCGTAAAAATTAGAAAGATTTAACATTATTTAAACATCTACTTATTAATAAATAGATTCTTTGAAAAAGAATTAGGAATAGAAAAAGCTAATTAAAAAAAATTAAGACTTCACTAAATGAAACAAATACTAAAAAAGAGAAATGAGATAAACGAGTGAATTTTTAGTATTTATAAATAATATTTTATTCAAACAAACTATTTAAAGTATCTAAAACAATTAAATGCTAAATTAGATGTTATGTTTTTTTTATTATAAATTTAAAAAAAGCCAAAAAAATTAAGAGTTTAAATTATTTTTAAATAAATTATTTAAGCTTACAATAATAGCAAATGCTATACAATGAAATACTTTATTTTTAAGATTATATAATACATATTAACTAATTAATTTACATTAGAGAATATTAAAACTATTCTTAGTGATTAATTAGATAAGTATTTAATTTATTGAAAATGAATAGAAAAACTAGAAACAATACAAATTTTTTTAAAAATAAATCTCAAACAATAAAAAATAATACAATTATTTTAAATAATTAAAAATTAAAAACTAAATAAATAACAATAATTTATTCATCAACTAGAATTTATGTTTTAATATTTTAGATATAATTTTACTTTTGTCAAAAATCATATAAATCAAACAGGATTTGCTAAGGAAAGAAGTTGCATTAAGGAGCTATTATTTTGTAAAATAAATCTACTTTTATTATGGAGTAAATAAATGAATTTATTAGAATTTTAGAATCTGAACACAATAAAACAAAGTATTCTTCCATATTTTATGAATAGCCGTACTAAAATAATCTATTTATTAAGGCCTTCTTTAATTTCTTTTACTCGATTACATTTAATGGTTCTTTAAATGATATAGCCCTGTTAGGAATCTATGACTAATCGCTATAAAAATTGCAAAAAATATCCAAAAATATATTTTTTGATAGCTAAACAGATGAATTATTCAAAGTAAATAAGCCTCCATAATTTATTTTACGAAAACCAACTTATGGATTAGGAGTAAAGGATAAATCAAGCAATTAATACCAGAATTTTTCGCTAGTTTGAGTAACGTTTGTTACCAAATTAAATTCTATTAAAACAAATTTTTTTGAATTTATTACAATTTTTTCTGCTATCTCTCTATCAATGCTCAATTATGCAATATACTCATAATTTTTAGTGAGATACTAATAAAGGCAAATACTAAAATAGTATAAGGTTATCATAGTATTAATCCAGAAAGCAAATACTATCACTTGAGAAAATTAACTTAGAAGACTATTTTGCTAAAAACAAGGAGATTAGCTATCATAAAGTGCATAATAAATCAGACATTCAATAAATTAAACTATTCTCATAAAGACGAGAGTCCTCTATGAGCTCATTTTAGAATCTTTATAATTATCTGGTTTCTTTATTTTGCCATAAGAAAAAAATGGGCTTGTATCAGAAATGAATGAAAAAGATATTAAAAGAGTAGAAAGAAACGTCTTAGTTTGATTATCACTTACGTTGTAGAATTCAAATTTATCACCATATATCGCAAGACAGAAAACAACAATTATGGCCAATTTAATTGCCACTACTATCCAAAATTCAAAGTTAGAATAGGATATTATAAAGAGGGTCATCATACCTGTTAAAGAGAGACATTGCATTAGCACTGATAAAAACGCTAAGAACTCAAACATATTCAGAAAGTGGACTTTAAATGTGTTACTTAAGTACATTACATTAGCAGATTAAATAATAATAAAAATAAATGATATTATTATCAAATATTGCAAATAGGGCTTTTAGTAGGAAAAGTATTCGCTTCTTAGTAGGTAAATATAGAAGACCCAGGGTAGAAAGAAAAATCTAATAAATAATTTAATCATAAAATGGATATCATTTGACCAAATTTATTCTGATTTTTTTTTGAGGAGAAAATAGAGATCAAGTATGTCAAAAAAGAGAAAGATTTCTTCATCTCTGTTTTAAGATAGCTTTTTATGCATATAAAGTTTCTCTATTATGAATAAGCTAACATAGTACGCAAAGAAAAGGTGGTGCCCTTCGAATAGGAGGCTGAAATTTAATATATTTAGTGTTTAAATGCTAATAGTGTAAAATATTCCTTAAATAGTAAAGTAAGTTTGATTGAATTCCATCAGCTTTCTTTATTTCTTTCTTCAATACTATAACATCAATTTTGTTTTATTACTTTTTCTTTTTAAAAGATTTCAATTAAATGTATTTAGTTGAAGTTAAATAATCTAAAGTCTAAAAAAATTGTCAAATATAAACTTTTTATTCATTAAAATAGTTAAAAAACTCTTTTTACAAATAATTAGCAAATATTCATTTTTTCGTTGATTAAAAATTTTAATTAAAATTAATAATATTATTAAATAAATTCACTCATTTTATTAGTCTTCCCTAAGTAAACTACATATGCAAAGTTACTCACTCAATAATTTTATTTTTTTGATGGTGGACTAACTAAACTTTTAAATATTTCTTAGTTTTCAATAATAAATTTAGATATTATGATCTATCAAATTAATAATAAAAATAAATTGGACAATAATTCAATAAATTATTAAATCTCTTTAGTTTTTTTGACATATCAATAAAAATAAACATGCTTATCTGGATTAAAATTAATTATTAATCTTGAAAATGTAAATAATTATTTTATTCTCTAAAGCTCATAAAAGCATTTAGAAAAATGTTTATAATTGGATTTAATAAGAACAAAAGCTGAACTCTTAATATACCTCATTTTAATATTTGCTCTCATTTAAAATGTCTAATCTAAACTAATTGCTAACTTGATTATGATACTTACTAAACATTAAGTAGATATCATTTTTTTATTGCTGTAATATTCAGTACTAAAATCTAGTTTTGGATATGACTAGATTAGTTTGTGGTAACTAATCAAAAATATTTGGGTTTAATTAATTTTTTTTACTTTATTACTTAGAAATTGAAAATAAATGTGATTATATTAATTTAATAATATATATTATAGAAAATCATAAATAATCTTAAAATTTTTATTCAAAAATATTTATGGCAGACCCAAATTGAATTTGCTATTGACAAAATAACACTTTTTTTGCATAATTTTTCATTAAAATTTAATTATGTAACCATACATGAGATTTTTCCAACCAATAGATTACCATTTAGGGTAGTCTACAAAAGAAAAATATATACATTTATTTGTTTTACCAAAAACAAAAACACATATTTTAAAATTTACTTAATTTATATGAATTGCTAGTAAAATATAGTATTTATGAATATTATATTTTATTATTTCTACAAAGATTTTCTAAACATTCTTTATTCTGTAAACCCTACCTATTACTTAAGAAAATCAATTTTTTTACACTTTCTTTACTTACTGAAATTTATATTATAAAAACAGTCATAAATTGCCAATGTTTTAAATATTTTCTCAATATTTAATATCTACTAATCTTCATAAAAAATTACTAAAGTGTATGGAGCTTTAAATAAGTGAATTTATTTCATATAAATTTTGATTTATTTTATTAAGCATATTTAAACATAATATTTGTTTCTTTAGTTTTGATTTATTTTCATTTTTTCAGTAAAATTATGATTCTCCCAAAAGTAATTAACACAAAATTGATAAAATTCAAAATAATTAAATTTCAATGTATTATTTTTAAAGAATAATAGCATTATTTAAAACCAAGGCATCAAAAAATAAATTTTCTTTATTATTAAATATTTTCATTTATATAGTTAATTTTTTTTTTTATTAAAGTATTTTTTTTTCTGGTTATATGATAAAGCAGATTTTTTATCTATTTTTATTAAAGTACTGATATTTGTTAATTATATTTGTGCAAATTCCTTACAATATTTAGCTGTTATATACATACATACATAGATACATACATACAAACAAACATAAAATTTAATTTAAGGTTATATTGTTTGTAGAATAAATATTAATTTTTATTTAGTTTACTAGTAATTTAATTAAGGGATTTAAAGTAACTAAATTTATTTATTTACTTTAGCTGTTTAATTCTAAAAATATTAGCTTTTCAATCAAATAGTTTTCATAATGAATAGCTAATTGCTTGTTTGGATATCATATATAAATTTAGGTAGTTTATTCATAGTACTTTATTCTATATTAAATGGATTATTATTTAAAGAGACAAATATGATAAGAATGAACTAGATATTTAACATATATAAATATCTATTCTTAAATACTTTTGAGTTTCCGATCAGATATAGATAAAATAGGTCATTTTATATGAAATTATTATTCAAAAAAGTTGATTTTTATATGTCTATATTAATTATTAAGAATTAATTCTTCTCATTTATTTAATTTAATATGTCTATCATGATTTAACTTTAAAGAAAGATTAATCAACCAAATTTTATCAGGCCATAATAGAGTATAAAAAATTGATATTAATTTAATCTTTAGATTGATATTTTTTTAATTAAAAAAACAAACGAACTAATTTACTCAAGAATATGGATACAAAGGATAACTCTGAGTAGGCACAGTAATCTTCTTAGTCTACAAATGGTAAGAAGATCTACAAAGACTCAGAATAGTAGCAAGGTTAAAAACCTAATTTTAATTCCAACTTCCGTAATAATAACAACGGATAGTAAAATAATTTAGAATCCTCTGATATCGGAGTTGATAAAAAATAAAAGAAACCCTTGAAATTAACTTCAAGTAATTTCAATGAAGTTAATAATAACAACAACAACAACAATAAAAATAAGGGTTAGGTAGTTTATGTTAGAGCTAATAATAATGCTCAACAAGAAGGCTAAAATGCTGAAGAACAAAAAAACAATTAACAAAGAAATTTAGAAAATCCTAAAAAGGAATATGGATAGAATGTAAATAATAATAATAGCAATGGTAAAAGAAACTTTGATAGACCAAGAAAAGACAACTAATAAAATTAGGGTGAATAATAGTAAGGAAATAACAGAAGATAAGGTAACAGAAATAATGGATAAAGACAAGGAGATTAGGAAAAGTAGGTTAAATAATAAGGAAATCCAAATCAATAAAAAAATGAATTTAATAGAGGCTAAGAATATTAAAATGAAATTAAAAGTGAAAGATAGAATATAAAGGAAGGTTAAAGCAGTGATCCTGACTAAAACGAGTAAAATCATGAAAAAAATGTTAATAGATTTAAGAAGCCAAACCAAAGAGGTGAAAATTTTGGCTAAAATCAAAATAATAGAGAATAAGGTTTAGATTCATAGCAATCATAAAATAGAGGATAGAATAAGCCTTAAAGCAGATAAGGAGGATACAATCAATAATAATAAAATAGAACTTATGAGAGGAAAGAAAAAAAACCTTTTAATAAAAAGGAAAATGCCGATGCTGATAAATAAAGCTAACTATAAAATAGAAAGATTAGAGAAGAAGAAAAATTGAGAAGAGAAGAATAAGAAGGAATTGATCCTGATGAGTAAGATATTATAGATGATGGCGGTGCTGCAGATGAAGGGGAAGATTAAGTTTTTGATATTTTAAAAGAAAACAAAAATACATTAAGAGATACATTGATAAAAAGATTAAAGAGAAAGAAAATTGATTGTCCTATATGCTATGAAAAAATAGGACTTCGCTCATCTATGTGGTCTTGTGTATAATGCTATCACCCTTTCCATTTAGAGTGCTTGAAAAAGTGGATTTATAATTCAAATAAAGACAGAAAGAATTTCACACTATATAATTGGAGCTGTCCCAATTGCCAATACATTTACAGCGACAAGATGCCAACTTATGCTTGCTTCTGTGGAAAATATAAAAACCCTGAATTTGATCCTTATATTGTAAGCAGCAATTTATTCATAATAATAATAATAATATAAATCATTTATTTATTTAAAAATTTAGAATCCTCATAGTTGTGGAGATACATGTGGAAAAAAAAGAGGAAACAATTGCACTCATCCTTGTGATGTTCCATGCCACCCAGGACCTTGTCCTCCTTGTACTTTAAAGGGAGAACCTATTAGATGCTACTGCAAGAAGTAAAAGAAAGATGTTTTTTGTTCAGACAATCAAACTTCTTACGAATGTGGCCAATAATGTTAAAAAGTTCTTAACTGTGGAAAGCATTTTTGTGAAAAAAATTGTGTAAATAAAATAAATTTTTAAAATAAAATAAATAAATTTTTCATTTTATTCTAATTATATTTTTACATAAAAAGCATGCTGGAGAATGCAACAAATGTACTTAATAAGTAGAAGCTGTTTGTTTTTGTGGTGAAGAGAAAAAAAGTGCTATCTGTGGTTAAAATTTGTTTGCTTGTAATAGAAAATGCAACAAAACATTAGATTGTGGAAATCATAAATGCTAATAATAATGTCATCCAGGGTATTGTTTATTTGTGTTAATTTAATATTTTTAAATGTTTAATTATTATACAAAGACCTTGTGCTAAATGTGAATTGAACCCCGAAGATGTCGATACTTGTCCTTGCGGAAAAAACACTCTGCTTACATTGGCAGGTGGTAATTTCAGAGAGGAATGCACAGACCCTATTCCTGTATGTGGAAATCCATGCAAAAAAGTATTATCTTGTGGAGTACATTTTTGTAAGAAGTCTTGTCATGAAGTAAGCAATTATTTAATATGAGTTTCAAATTTAATCAAATTTTTTTTATTTTGAAGGGCTCTTGTCCACCATGTAAGGAATCTGTAGAGGAACTTTGCAGATGTAAATTTAATAGCAGAATTGTTTAATGCTATGAATTAAGAGAAGCTGATCACTAGTAATTTATTTGTGATAGAGTTTGCAAAAAGCTCAAATCATGCAATGTCCATCCATGTAACACACCATGCTGCCCTGCAAGAAAAGGATAAGATGTAGATGGAGTTCATCTTTGCTTGAAGGTATGTGAAAAGCCATTAAATTGTGGAAAACATAATTGTGAACTCTTTTGTCACTTAGGTATTTGTCCAAAATGCCCAATAAAAATAAATGAGCCTATAACCTGTGTTTGTGGAAAAACTTCCCTAGCTCCTCCTTAACCATGTGGAACAAAACCTCCTGAGTGTCACGAGCCTTGCTCCAGACAAAAGCCCTGCGGACATCCTTGCCACTTAGATTGTCATCAAGACGAATGTCCTCCTTGTGAGTACAAAGTCGATAAAGTCTGTCACTGTGGTAGATAAGTTGTGAAGGATGTCAGTTGCTCTAAAGATGCCCTATGCACAGTCGCTTGCAATAAAGTAAATTAAAATCTTTTGGAAATTTTAATGTTAATATTTTTAAATATTTATTAAGATAATGTCTTGTGGCCATAAATGTGAAACTGTATGCCATGTTGGAGAATGTCCAAAAGACAATCCTTAGTAAGGTTGTGGAAGAAAATGTGGTAGAAAGAGAAAATTCTGCGAGCATATCTGTGTCTCTATTTGCCATGGAAGTAAACAAAAATATTTTTAAAATTATAATTAATTAATCATAAATATTTAAATGATAAAGTGTCTGAGTGTCCATAGGATCCTTGTAAAGTCGAAATAGTAATTAAATGTAAGTGTGGAGAAAGAGAAGCTTTTGTTGAATGTGGATCATCAGACAGTGCTTTAGATAGAACTCTTGCTTGCAACGAACTATGCAAAAATATTAAAAGATTTGCCTTCTTCCATGATAAAAACAAAATTTATTATCCTGCACTTCTCATTCGTTTTGCTAAGTTCTATATGGTTTACCTTCTTAAGATAGAAAAGAAGATTGAAACATTTATCAAATCAAATGATAAAGAGCTCACCATTCCTTTCTAGAATGATGATTATTCTAAGAAATTCGGTCTCTAATCCTTGCTTGGTAAGCATTACCACTTGAATGTTTAATACTACAATCATTTCAAGTAGCCCTACTTTGTGATAGAAAAGAGTTCAGATATGGTTATTCCAAAAATGACTCTTTCAGAATACTACAGAAAGGTTGAAAAGGGTGAAATAAAACCAGAAGTTCTTCCTTTTGAGGCATCCATTAAATTTATCAATAGCATAAGAGATGACCCTAATCATTAAGTACTTGAAAATATCCTTAGAGACTTCGCAAAAGAGTACTATGTTGAAAAAGAAGACCGTTAATTGGTTATCCATTTCTGGGAAAAGGTAATTAATATTAAAATTTATTATTTTTAGAAAATGAAACTCATATTATTTGAATGAATATTAGAGTAAGGCTGAAATGGCTTCTAAAAAATTGAAGAAGAGTACAACCGGTTACAGTAACTTTACTTTAGAAATTAATGAAAGACTTGTCAAAGAAGAAGAGAGCTAAATGACAGCACCTAACGAAGTTACTAGAGTCAAAAAACGTATCATAACAAAGACTGAATAAGAGGCTCCCTAGCACAGTGACGATGAAGAAGAAAAGCAACTTAAATTAAATAAAGAATAGTCATAAATAATTTAATAAAGGGAGTACTTTAAAGACAAAGCTTGTCTTTATGAAATGTGCTCTCAAACTGAAATCGATGAAAGAACTTCACGTATGCTAATAGATATTTTTGAATAGGATCCTAGAACTGGATAAATGTCACCATATAATAAGTGGATGGTTAAAGCATATCTTAGAACCAGCTAAACTAATACTCAGCCTGAGAATATCCGTCCTCCTGATGTCCTTCTCCTGACAACAAAATACTTAGTGAATAAAATTCTAGATGCTAATTTCTATGTAAATGTACCTTTCAAGTACCCCAGAGACAAGCAAGGCAAGAGACGCAGCCATACATTCGATGATATATATAATTTTGTTAGTGATAGATTCAAAGCAATCAGATAAGACATCACCATATTAAATTACACAACTGAAGAGACTATTTATGTTATGGAAATCATTTGTAGATTCTATGCTATCTGCTTGTATGAATGCCAAAATATCGAATAAGGATATGACAGGAAAATTTTAATTGACGATCTTTAAACATCTTTATCTCAACTATTGAATATGTATCAAGATATTAATGATTATGCTTATGTTGATAACAAATATGAAATGTACTTCTACACTCTTATTCTCAACGCTAGAGACGACATATTTATAAATAAATTCTTAGCTACTATTCCTGACCCAGACCACTAAAAAGTAATCATTTATTTTATATTTTAATCGAATATATTCTCATTTTTTTTAATTTTAATTAAAGGTAAAAACTGCTTTATAGATTATTGACTGTGTTAAGAATTTAGATTACTTCAACTTCTTTTAGATTGTGAAATAACTTGACTATATTGAAACCTGTGTTGTCTTCAATCTTTTCCCTTACATAAGAAACCAAGCAGTTAGTATTATGAGAAAATCAAAATTAGCTAAGACTGTTGCAGAAATTTAAGAGTTATTCTTCTTTGATTCTTCAGAATAAACAGTAGAATTTTTGAAAACAATTGGATTAGATACTTCCAAATTGAGTCTTCCTCCTCAATATGAGACAGGTAATGAAGATGAACTTAAGCAAGCCAAAAAGGAAAATGAATAAGTAAAGAGTGAGGGTAATGATGATACTAAAACCTCAGATTAATAACAAGGCCAAGACTAAGATAATTTAAATATAAATTCTAATACCGAAATATAAAAGAATAAAAATCTCAACTTAGAAGAAAATGGTGAAAAATTAAATTAAACTGAAGCAGAAGATATTAAAAACTCATCTAAACCTGATTAAAAAGAAGAAGAAGGAAAAGCAGAAGAAGAAGGAGAATAAGAAGAAGAAGAAAAATAAATCGAAGAAGAAAAACCCAAAAAGTATAAGCTTAAAAAAGTGTTTATTGATTGGAAAATAATATATGAAAATACTGAATACTCATTCAAAGAAATAAACTTGAGAATTAGTGATAAAAAATCAATAGATTATTATCCTAATTATAAGTAAATAAAAGCTACAAACAACGATAATATCGTTACAAGAGCTTTCTTAGTTATGGGATTTAAATCTAAAATCCAAAGTTAATCAGAAGAAGCAAGCGAATAAGATTAATAATAACAAGTTTAAGAACAAGAAAAAAATGAATGATTTTGAATGAAACATTGAAAAGAGTATAATGAAATAAAATAAAAGACAAACAACACTTCGTTAATTTAAAACTTATTTTAATAAGCATTTAGCTTTATTTAAAAATTGTTTATTTTCTTATGTTACTTTATACTACATATTAAATCTAATTTAATTAAAATTTACTAATCTTCTCTTCATTATCCTACTTTTAGTATTTTCATCGCCAGCATTATTAATTAATCAACTATTTAAATTATTTGAGTTTATTTGGATAATTTTTTGTATTGATTATTTAAAAAGAATAAAGCGGTTAATTTAAATAATTTTATTTAATTAATTGGTTTTAATTAAGATCAAGAATTTCAAATAGAATAAATGTAAATTGATAAAATGTTTATATTTAAATAGAGTTAACAAAATAAATGTAATTAGATATATTTAAAAATAGAATAACTTCTAATTTTAAAAAGGAACAAATTTAGAAAATAGAAATAGTACGTTTTTGTTGGAAGATGATAATCTTGTTATTAAAATCAACCAATTTTTAATTAAATACCTTTAACTATTGATCAAAAACGCTTAGATTTAAGTAAAATAATAATAACAATACATATTAAATAAGTAAATATATATTTTTGGAAGATAAAATAATGAAATAAGCTTTTTAGTTTCTGATAATAGGGATTAGCTTATTTTTAGTAGCTTGCAGCAAGCTAAGAAAATAGGATAGCATTTAAGAATCAAATATCGCAGATGAAATAAAGCATTATTCTAACATCCATATGAATTCTTTGAAAATAATTGGAAATGATAAAGAAGATGCAGTAATAGAATTATTAAATTCAGAATAGAGCAAATACTAAATAATTTTTAAAGCAGAGACTGGTGTTTTAACAATTTAAAATAATTACGTAGAAATACTTGAAGTGTCAGAAAATCAATTCATAATAAAGGCCTAACATACTCGTTTCCGTAACTTGGTATTTGAGAGAGATGTATATGTAGGAGATGTGAAATAATGGAATTAGATAGTAGCAGAAAATTTTTGGAATGAACCATTCGGTTGGAGCATTAATCAAATAACAAAATGCGGTGGAATTTATATGTTGGGAGGATATGGAATAACTGCAAAAAAAGAATTACAAAAAACTTTTGAAGATATCCCCTCTCATACAACTATAAGAGTTACTGGCTCTTTCCACTTTATAGATGCTTGGAGTGGCGAGGCAGCTTTTATTAAAATTCTTTTCCTGGAAAAAGATACATTTGAATATTTGTGGACTTAAACATATGATTTCTCAAAAACAAAGAATGGAATAAATATTTGTGGGTCTGACTATGTCGAAGGTTAATTGACAAGCAATTTCGATTTTACTATTCCCCACAGTTCAAAATCACTAACTTTGGTTTTTGGAACTAATTTGTAAGATGATCCTTATGAAAATTCTTACGGAATTTCTAATTTAAAAATTTATATTCGTTGACCTACTTTTTATTATTTGTTTCAAAAAAAAAAATGTAGTGAATGCTATTCAATAAGTTAAAATAAAGAAGATTATGGTTTATTTAAATAATTTAGCATGATATTAAATATTTATACTATCTTTTGTATTAACTTAATTTCTTCTATTTGGTGGTCATTTACTTAAAAGTGTATCTACTATTTATGACAAAATTTGCAGATCTTAATTCAAGTTTATTTCTTATTATCTGTTAGTATGTTTAATTGTTCTTTTTTAAATAAATATTTTATAAAAAAAAAATTAGAATTTATGTAAAATGTAGATTATTTGCTCTATTTAATATAATATTTAATATTTTGTACTTATAGAATTATTAAAAAATGAATTAAAAAATTTTTTAAATGAAATTTCAAGTAAGAAGCAAGGGCTGCCAGTAATATTGGCAAATTACTAATCAATAATTTTTATAAAAATAAATTAACCATTTATTTTTTAATATGATTTAATGATTATAAATATATTATTGATATTTATTTTACTATTTTGTTAATTTTTCAAGTATAAAAAATTGTGATTAAAAATCTATTAATAATTTAACTTTGTAGAAGCAAAAATAATTAAATATACTGTTAATTATAAATAAATAATTTATAATACTTAAGTTCTATTAATAAAACAAATAATTAATTGAAGTACAATAAATTACGCTTATACACTATAGAAGAAAAAAATAAAATCTACATATATGGGTTGTGTAAATAGGCTATCTAACTTTTTAGTAAAGACTGATTTTTTAGGAAAGTAATTTGAGCTTAAACCGAACGCAAACGAGAAAAATGGAACTCCATTAGTAAATTAAAATTTTTTATTTAGAATATGTTCAGATAGGAAACAATATATATTTATATGTATATCTTAATAGGGAGGACTTTTGACTTGGCTAATACTTATATTTATATTTCTATTTACTGTTGGAAAATATTTAGAAGAGACATTTTAAAGTCTAAATTAATATTCAGGTATATTTTTTAAGTTTGCTAAAACCATTTATGAGTTTTTTATATTCGATTTATGTGTATTAAATTTCTACTTAAAATAATTACATTATTTATTGCATATTATAAAGGGGAAGTATAATAAATTGACAGTAGTGATATTTAAATTAATGGGTCTAATAGTATCTTGGCTTTCTATTTTATGAAAGAAACTGAAAATGGAGCTAATTATGTTGGATTATAAAATATAACGCAAGAGTTTAGCATCGAAGTAGAATTAGTTACTAAAATAAAATTTCAGACAGGTTTTTAAATATCTAAGTAGAATTATTAGTTAATTGAATGTAATGATTTTCAGAAAAATATAAAACAGTCCAATCTAGATATAACACCAACTTAACTATATTGTTTTTAAGGCAACTACAATTTAAGTTCAACTTATAATAAATAGTTAGAATCTAATTTGTAAATTTCATTTTCTAAAATTAACCCATTAGAAAAAAACATTACTAAATATTTTTTGAGACTTATAATTTTGTAATCTTAACTATCTTAAGACTCAACTAAATCTGTAAGTAGTATAGATAAGTTAACATTGATACCTTACGTTTACGAATACTAATTTGATATGAGTACATTTAAAAATGTGGATGTCGAATTATCTGTAATAATTTTTGAAAATATAAGTATAATTTGTTAACCTTATAAATTAAATTAAAAGCAAGTTTTAATTAAACAACGAGAGGAAGGAATGCTCAGTAACCTTTATGGAAACAACGACTATATGATTTAACATCAAGGCTTACAAGTAAATTTCTAAAATATAGAAACGAAAACCTAATTGGAAAATTAAAGTGATTCAGCTAATTTTGTTTTGAAATTTAAAAATGATGGGTCTTAAAAGATAATGCTATTAAATTCTTAAAGTTTAGTAATTACTATATGCTTGAATTTGGCAAATTTTGGAGGATTATTGGGTATTTTAATTTAATTATAAATTCCTAAATCAAAAAAAATTTTATTATTTTTTGGCAGAAAGAAAAGCAAAATCTATGAATGCTTATTTAATTAAGACAGTTTTTTTTGTTCAAAACCATGTGCTTTAAAATAAATAATGTTAAATCGTTTAAAACCTTATTTTTTTTTTCATAAGCAGCCATGCTTTATTTAAAAAATAATATTTGATAAGCATTTAAAATAAATTTAAAATCATAAAAGTAATTTAAAAAAAATATTTTTAAATAAAAATTTTGCTTTTTAAAAATTTTTTAAAATCCAAAAGGTTTATTCAATATGAATGTTTTATTGTTATAATCCTTAGTCTTTATTTTTCTATACTTCCTGCTCAAAAATATAAAAGTGTTTTTAGTTATTTATTTATTTCAATGAGAATTATTTATTAAATAATTAATAATAATAAATATTTAGTCAGCCTTCTTGGAATAATTGGTATTTTTTATGGCGTTTATCAAAAACATAAAATAATCGTTAGTTTAATGAAGAACACGTTCTATTTTGATTTTTAAGAGCATAATTCTAATTAAAATAATATTAAAAATAAAGAGCTAGAAAAGCATATTATTTCTATTAATGGCTCCCAACTAATAAATTTAGGAAGTAATATGGGAAAGTAAATAGACTATTCTTTTTACTAGTTTCTTTGGATGAAAACTTAAGAATCTTGTCAAGCAGTTGCGGATTTGTTTGGATTAGATTATAAAATCGAAGATAAAAATGAAAAAATGAGAATTTACAGGATGGCTGAACAAAAAATTGAATAAGATTTAGATATCACACACATCCTTAAAAGATTATATGATATAGATAAACTTAAATTATTGCTTCTTGATGAGTAACAAATATAATTATTTAATACTCTTGCTAAACCAGTAATTAAGATACAAAAGAAAAAAAGTTTAAGACTGCACAGATAATCAAGATAAGGTACTGTAAATACATAAATGCTTCGAGTTAGTTAATTTTTTTAAAGTGGTGCTATTATTCATGACCCTAAGCAGCTTTTTTATATCTATCAAAGTATCAAAGAAAACTAAAATAGAAATATAGCAATGAACCAAAATATTTTATAATTAGTTAAAGAACATGATTTGGTTTAAAATATATTAAATAAAGAGGAAACTATGCAGAAAATTAAATAACAACTTTATCATCCAGATAAAATTGAGAATAAAAACTAGAATAGCGATAAATCATGTGAAAGTGAAGTAAATAAAAAATATCTAAAAGATAGAGCTGAAAAAATATAGAAACCTTAGAATTCACATAAAAGTATTTCTCAATGCAATATCAATAACCCTAAAAACCAAAAATCAAAATAGGATTTTAGAGAAAGTATTGTACTGCATCCAAATTAAAAAAATATTTTAAATATTAATGATTTATAATAAATAAAAATGCATGACCCTTTAAAAATTTAGTCTCTAAATAGTATATAGAGTCCTTTGTATTAGAAAAAATAAAAAATTTTATCTCAGTTTTCTATAAATTAGTAAAGTTTTGGGTAAGTTTAGCTATCTTTTGAGGAATTCAATTAAAGTAAACAAGAAAAAAAAAATGGATCAATTTATCCAAATAAGTTGAAGCTATGGAGTCACAGATAAAGTCCATTTTTAGCCTATAAAAATAAATAAAGTTAATTAGAATAGAGTCCAAACTAAAACTCCCAAACAAGTAATGAAGACAATTAATAGAATGAATATGCCAATGTTTTATAATTAAATTAAGATAAAAGTTGTTAATTTGATATAACTCCAAATAAGAATAGCTAAATTTTATTTTTATTAGACCAAAATTCTAATCAAAGCAAGCTTGAAAAACAATCATTCAGTGAACTTTAATTTTCTAATAATAATATTCATCCTAAAATATAATCAAATCAAAAATAAAGCACATATACCAATTAAGTTATTGAAAAATGCCAATCTAAAGACTCACCTTGCAGCAGTAATTTAGAAACTTCAAATATTTCTGAATCAATACCAAATTAATAAAAGTGAATATAAATAAATAAACAAATAAATAATTAATTTATATTTGGTAATTTAAAATGATTAGTAAGAAATGAATTAACAAAATTCAAAATTACCTTGTTAAAATTACATTTTAAATATTTTTTTAAATTTCGTAAATTATATTTAAAGTAAAACTATTCATAATTTTATTAATTTTTATCCTTAAATAGACTTTTATATTTTATTTTAAAATAAAAAATGCAACATTTAAAGAATATTAAAAATCAAATAAGATTTAAAATTTTTCAATTTTTTTAAGAAAATCAAATTTATTATTACATAATACCTACCATATTTCTTCGATATTATTTTACGAATTAAATCTTTGATAGAAATTTAGAAAAAATGCTTAATTTTTTATGAAGAATTCCTAATTGCTATGTTTGATTTTTTACGAATGGAGAAATTACCGTATTTGTAAAATAATTATATTATTTGTAGAAAATTAGATATATTTTATTACATTTTAAGATTATTAAATTATTGATTTTAAGTTTTTTTTTAATTAGTTTAATATATTAAAATTGTAATAAAACTTTTATTTATTGCATGAAGTTAATTATTTTCACCTAATATGTTAATAAATTTTTAATTAATTTATAAATATAAAATAAAAATTAACTTATATAAGATTCAAAGTAAAGTAGTTTTATTTTTATTTTTAATTTATTCAATTTAAATAATATTTTATTAAGGGCAATTAATAAATAATTTTAAAAAATTCATTAAATGATTATGTATTAAAGATTTTTCTTATGTTTTAAGAAATAAAATTCACTTTTAGTATTAAAATTAATAATTTTTTTTTGAGAAATTTTTTCAAAATAGTTAAATGTTATTTATTGACTAACAAGATTGAAAATACTCTTTTCTATTCTTAGATGTCTTTTAGGTAAATTGGATATAATATATAGTTCTTTAGAAATAATTAACAATTTTTAGAAAGATTATTAAATATTTATTAATTAAAATAAATTTATTTCAAGTTTTACTCTTTATTGCATCTCAAATTTCACAATAAGCAAATAAATACTTTTAATAAATAAATCTTCAAGTTGTTTAATTTAATTTGCAATTATTACTATAATTTAAGAATGAGCTATATTTTGATGTAATAAATAAATATTTATTTTGTTTTTAGCAAATATTCCTCGAAAAGATTAAAGTAAGTCAAAATAAACTGTATAATTAATCAAAGTTACTGTTAGTTTTTGTTTCCCATCCTCCATTATTATTGATTTCATTACTATTTTCATTTACATTTTCTTAACCTACTGTTTTTTAATTAAAATTCCATTTTTTATTTTTATTTTTATATTTTGACTTTGTAGAACTTGGCATAATAGCACAGATTTTTTATGAATTTAAATCTTTTTTTAAACCCTCTTAAATTTAAATTTCTAATTTTTCTTAATCTTAATCTACTAAAGTTTCTGGTTAAATAGGATTAATAATTAAACATTATCTATGATCTGACTTTAAAGGAGATTGCTATTAAGAACTTTAATATTCTATTGTTTTTACCTACTTTTTCTTTATGCTTTTGAGAAAATTATCTAATATATCTTTTTCTTCTTTGTATTATTCGCTGTTGTTAGTTTCTTAAACTTATTAAGCTTATTTTGTACTCTTGTGAGTCAAAATACTAAAGTCTTAATTAGGATTATATATTTATTAATTTGTTGCTATATCTAATGAATTACTGCCTCTTTTGATGTATGCATTTAAACTTTGTTAATTATTTTTTAAATTATAATTTTGATTACCAAATTAACTAATTCCATAATCACTAAAAGCATTATTTTTTATGTTTTTAGATAACTAATTTTAGATTGTATTTTATTATTAAATTGCATAACCCTATACAACTGACTAAGAATCTACCTTAAACTCTTATTAAAGCATTTCACATTATCCTCTGATAAGGCTACTCTTTGTTCTCTCTCTAAAATACTTTAGGTCTAATTCTAATTTATTTGTTAGAGCACTCTTACTTAGTTACCCTTATATATTTTACAATAATTTTTGTTCATGTTCTTTGTTATTTTTTAGTATATCACTTTTACCACTTTTATTTTAGGGGTTTTAAGATACTAGCTTTTATTCTTTTTACTTTTTTTCTTCTAGAGCACTATAGATTTCTTACTTATTCTTCTTTGATGAAACAGGTATTTACATATCAAAAATACTCTTTATACTTCTTTTTTCATATTCTTTTATTAAACTTTCAATCTTTAAGTTTTTAAAATACTTTTTACCATATATTTCTTTTGACTGTTTTATTTATTCTTCAATCAGAGAAGACTAGTTATTTTAGCATCCATTTATAGTCATGCTTTATCCATCTCCATTCTAAAAATTAGTTGGTGAATTAATTTATGGTAAGAATCTTGTTGTTTAACTATTTTATTTTGACTAACTTGTTCTGCTTTTGCTAGATCTATCTCTGTTTTGTTTGATAATATAGCTATCTAAATACTCTTCAGCTTGTTTTCTAGGAGAAGGTATAGCTTAACTATTAAAAATAGAGTTGTTACCACAAAGATTTATAAAATTAAAATTGCTTGGATCTTATTAATTTGCAAGTGACTACTAAAAGGAATTTATCTCATCTTTGCTATTTTCATCAGAATTTTCCTATTGATTATTTGAGTTTTTCTTCGATGAGTAGGATTTAAATTTAATTTTTGGAACAATAAATTGCTAGCAAACCTTAGTGTTTTGTTTTAAAAGGTTTGAATAACCTTGCTAATTGGAATTGTCTTTAAAGTGCTATTTAGGGCTATTGGCTGGCGATGAATTGCTCATTTTAGTTGTATCCTCCTATTCAATAAACAAATCATCTTGTAGCTTTATTTTTCTTTTATAAGCTATTGTATTCTACTAATTTCTTGTAGTATTTGGTTACTCTCTTTTAATAATTTTTAAGCTTTATGAAGAATCTTAATCATTATCATAATTTTATGATATTTATTTATTGTAATCTCTTTTTGTGAGGCTTTTAAGTTTACTTTTTGGACTTAGATAGCAATGTTTTACTCGAGGAGAATTGATCACAGGTAACTTACTTACGTTTGTAATTTATTTATTTTCATTATTAATTGTATCTATTCTGTTATTTGAAAGCTGTTAAATCATGTTCATATCAGCTAAATTATTCTATTCTAAATTTGTAAAAGAGCCATTTGCTTCATTTGCATTTTAATTAGCAAAAATCTAATATATTTTATTTGCATTAATTCTATTAATCATTTCTAAATCGAAATTATTGCTTCGATTTTTATGGCCTACATCTTAACGAAATTAATAATTTTATGATGGCTGATGATTTGAGTTACTTCTAAATTTTTTTCTGTGATTATTTTAAAGTGAAGTTTAATTTAGGTTTGATTAAATTGCTGAGTGCTGATTTGTAAGAGGGCTGATCATATTCTCAAATACTCTCTTAATTGGTAGCTGTAGATTATTCTTAGAAGATTGCTGAGTAGACTTTAGTTTTGATGTTTGTAGATTTAAATATTAACCATAATCATCAAGTAATTTACTTATTTATGTAACACTTGCTAAACTAGTCCCTTTCTATTAGTTTGATAATAGTAGACTTTTTGTAGGTGCTTCTTATTTATGAATTTATTATTAATTGCTACTCATTAAATTGCTAGCCATTTATTCCTCTAATTCCTTCGAAGAAGCTTCATCTTTTTGCACTTATTGAATGTAAATCTATTTTTAAGATGAACTCTACATTATTTGAAGTCTAATTATTTTCAGATTATAACTGTGTTAATCACAGCTGTATTTATCTTTTACTTTAAGTTTATATTAATCACTAAAAAAAGTAATTAAAAAATATATGAATTCAATTTTTGCGGCTTTGTTATTGATTTAAGGATATATTAATTTTTATTGAGTTTTTGTGATGGATTCAATTTGAAACAAAATTTATTTAATCAATTTATCATATTAATTTTTCATTATATTTTCTTTTTACGAATATTCCTAGTTAAACTTATCAAGAAATTGCAAAACACAATAAACCTTCATTATATTCCTTTTCATGTGTAAAATAATATTTACACTTGATGATTAGAAAAATTTTTATTTATCATTTATTTATTTATCTATCATTTATATATAAAATATTGATTGGTAAATTAATTATCTAAGCTTACTTAATTTATCACCTTAAAAAAATTTGAAAAATAAACAAATAAATTTAAAACTTAAAGATGCAAAAATAAAGTAAATGAAATATGATTCATCCATACAAAAATATTTTTTTTTCATATAATTTTGATTAAATTATTTAAAATGAATGCTTAATTCAAAGTTCTTGGTTATCCTTTTTATTTTGTTAGTTTTTATAAACTAAATCAAATACATGCTTTTTATTTTGCATGAAATTTTTAAAACCAGATTTCATTTCAATAAAAACAAAATCTTCATGCATCTTTAGTTAATCATCATAGTAAGGTGAGAATAAATTTTCTGATGAGCCAGTATCAACAAGGTAATAATTTTTTTCATAGGGATTGCTCATATCAAAAATAGCTCTAAAATTGGCTCCTTGATTTGCATGAAATGAGTCATATAAATAATTAGGAATTGCTACTGCCACAGTTCTTGCATTACCAAAACCAGGGAAGCTTCTGTGGAATATTTTCTTCAATATAGTCTTACTAAAGGGGAAGTGGGCAAAGTTATTTACATGTAAATTACCCCAAGTTCTAGCTGGATTCTATTTTTAAATATAAAATAAATTTATTGTTTTTTTGAATAAGATATTTATTTATTTACTCCAGATTCTGAATACTTTTTATCTAGTAATTATTATGTTTCAGCTAGAGCCATAAAAACGTTGTGTAGACAGGCATGACCTGTTTTTTTATTTTTTTCACTATGGCACCACTTTTCATTAAAGTTAGTGTTAACACCACTCGACCAATCATAGATTTTAGAAAATTAGAAGTGCCAGAATTATCTACCTTTAGTTAAAATAGCTCTATTTTCAGCACTTGTATTGAATGAGTGCATAGATTTGTCAGAGTATAAAAATTCCCATGCAGCAAAATAAGGAGCTTGTTTACTATTTGCATCAAAGCGATAGTCCCAATTTTAAAGTTATTTCAAAGTATCTTTTGCTTATTGAATAAGAGTGTTGTTGTTGTTTAAAACCTTTTCTCCATGCTTTGCAAAGAGTATATTGAGACTTGGTACTACATCTCTAGCATAAATATCTAAAGTATCAAACATAATTCTTTTCATATCTTCAATATTAAATTTCTTGCCTGATTTTATTTACTACTGTATCAACTCATCAATTCTAGATGCTCTAGGAGTGCATGAAATACTGATCGAATAATGGTGCTTTAAGTTATTTGTTGCGAATTTATTATTAGCAGCAACAATGTAGCCTTTAAATATTTGTATAAACTCATTAAAAATATATTTAATATTATAATTAATTGATTACCTTTTTTTGGATTTATGATTTAAGGATTTTCATCTCTATTTGTTATTCCAGCCCAGTCATATTTAGAAGTTGTTCCATCTTTTAAAAATGGTCCCATCTCAGGATAATTTGTATAAGGTATTCTACTAATTCCATAGTAACCTATATCACCACTTTCTGTGCAATAAAGTAAAGATAAGGCTGGACCAGATAAGCTAGCAAAGCTATCCCTGATTTCTTTAGTGGATTTTGAGTTTATTATTGCTTTTAGAAAGTAAGATAATATAAATAAGTCCTCATTTATTAAAATATATATTTTTGTTTACTTTTAAAAGCATCAAAGGTGTTATCAAATTCAAATGATGCTGCAAAAGCTAATGAAGTTACTAATCCATGCTTCAAAAAGGGATTTTCAAAGTGGAAGTCAGTTGTATAATCAATTAAAGGACCTCTGTGAGTATATTTGACTTCTAATTCATAAGGTTTTTTCCCCTTTACATTAATGGTTTCTTTCACTATTTTAAGATCTTTCCACTCTCCATCAAGTAAGTATTTATTTCCTTCTACCTTTTCAACATACAAATCAGTATTATCAGCGTATAAAACTGTTATGCCCCAAGAAGCAAAATCTGTCCTACCAATCATAACTAATGGAATACCAGGCATTGAAGCACCGTGAACAGTCTTATTCGATTCAGCTTTGAATATAAAATATTTCAATAAAATAAAAAGATTATTTTCAATAAATTTATTTTACTCATAAGAATTTCTATTTAATACCAAGTACAAGGGATACTATTTTAAAGATGAGGGTCGTTTGAGAGTATAGGTTTTCCTGATTCAGTCAAATTTCCATGAATAACCCAAGAATTTGATCCATAAGAAGCTTTATTTATATTTATTTTTTCAATTAAACATATGATAAAATATTAATAAATAAATATACTTGAGTAGAGATCATATAAAATATTGCTTAAGGTTGTATTCATAAGTTTTTATTTTGTTTCTTCTGAGAATTTAACTTCTTTATTTAAATCTACAGTTCTGTTTCTTTAATACTATTCATAAATACCGCTTTGCTTCAACTCATCATCATTCATTACAGTGACCTAATATTATTACTTTTCATGATGAATACCAGTCATAAATAATGAATCTTCTGCTCCAAATTATTCTGCTAATTAACTCCTTAATGGTTCAAACATGTAATCCATACTTAACAAGAAATACCTATGTTTTTTAAGCATTATAAAAATATAAAGACTTATTTATCTTAAAATGTTACATAAATTTGACGTAGCATACAGAGTCGTAAGGAGTCCAATCTCTCCAAACAGCTTAAGACAAAACAAATTCTAAAGGTTTTATAGAGAGCGAATGGTAATAATCATTAACACCATCTGAATATGCTTGTAAGCAGTTCATTCCCTCTTTTGATATAGTTTTCATAGTCTTTTCTGCTATACGATTTATGCCTATCGTCCTATTTTAAATAAAAAATAAACAATTAAACAAATTATTGTAACAACTTTATTATTTAAATGATATTATACCTAAAGAATACATCAGTGTTAATGCCTTTTGGATCTAATTCTGATAATCTACCCTGTATAAGAGCTCTTTTTACGAACATATTGAACAATCTGTCCTGAGCTGTTGCAAACCCTTATCCATAACATGCGCTATCATAATCTTTAGCCTTAACATGAGGAATACCATGATCATCTCTTCTTATTTAAATATTTCCATATTTTTAATGATTGTGTTCTAGCACTCCTGATAGCTTAGGAGAAAAGACAATGTACAAGCCACCAATTAGAATTCCTGCTAAAACTAGGAAAAAGAAGATTGCTTTTATAACAAATGAAACAATTTTATTCATTTAACAAATTAAAATATGTTTTTTGAGTTTAATTATTATATTAGTAAATTAAAAATCTTAATTACTATTTATACATTTTGTCAATAAAATCTGATCGTACCAAAAGCAATACTTAAAACCTGAAATTCAGCTTTTACATTTTTTGTTTGCAATTTATTTTTAAATAAATGAAAACACATTCATATTTATAAGAAATTAATATTACATATAATTAAGGAGATACTGTAAATTATAAATTATTATGAGTCAAATAAAAGCATTAACTTAAATTTACATATTTCTAGCCAGAACTAATAAATTTACTCAATAAAATTACAAAAATTAATAATTAAAGAATCACCAGTTATAAAGGTTTTACTCTTCAAAGTACAATTATTTATTATTAATATTATTAACTAAATATTTATTCATTAAATGGATTTATAAATTAATTATTCATTAAAATTTTAAATGCTGTAAATAATTAGAAATAAATTAGTAATTTAAATTATATGAGAGACAGTTTGATTAGTCTCTATAAAATTTGAATTTGACTAAATTTATTTTTTGTGAAACAATTTAAAATTTATTTTTTTAGAAAAAGATTAAAATTATGCACTTACAAAATAATAATAGGGATAAAATAATAAATAAAATCAAATTAAAACATTTTATTATCATAAAACAAAATAAATAGATTTTGCTTCTAACTAATCAATTAATATTTTTATCTCAAAAATAAATAAATTATCATAATTTTCAAAATTTACTTTGAAAAAAATAAAAAATAATAATATTTTTATAAATATTTCAAATATTATAGGATGAAACGTCAAGCTTTGTTATGTTACCAAAATGCAGAAAAATATAAAAATAATTAATTTTATTCTCTTTGTTAAATTGATGTACAATTAATTATTTTAAAAAATTTATTAAACCTATATTCTTCTTTATATTTAATAGTCATAATTTGTTTCAAATTAAAATCAAGTTAGCATAAAGAGGTAGATATATATTAAAAAAACTCAATTTTACTTAATAAAATTTTGAAATATTAAAAATAAAATTTTTTATTAAATTCAAATAAAAGCTTTTAATATAAATTAGACATTAAGTAATCCAAACTTTTATTTTATTATTAAATTATTAATCCTTGAAAATAATTTTTATTTTTTAAATCAAGGCTATATTTTTTTGAAATTATTGAATTATTTTCCTAATTTTTTTTCCTTCTAATAACTCAACAATCCATTTAAAATTAATTTATTTATAATTTTTACTATTTTATTTTAAAACAAATTTTTATAATATAAATAATTATCAAATGTAATAGTAATTAATTTAAATTGAAAAGCTAATTTAAAACTATTAAAATTTAAATTAAGTTAAATTTTTTTATTTAGAATTCAAATACTGTATGTACATAATCGTATATTTAAGAATTCTCTTAATTTCTTATAAAAAAATAAGTCAAAATATATTTATTATATGGAAATTTTTTTGATTCAAATTCTGTTTTTGCTTTATATATTCATTATTTACTTCTTAATTCATCTAATTTTTATTCCAGATTAATTTTTGTTACAAAATTAATGAAAAGAAATTAATAGTACTTATTTTATTTACTTCAAAAATTAAAAGAAATAAACAGAATTGAATTTTTAGTTAACTTAAAATTGTTCTACACACTGAAAGTCAAAATTTGAAATATAGAATTAAATTTTATATTAAAATAATTAGGAATTATCAATTAAAATTGCCATCAATTTCTTAATACTAATAAATAAACCAAAAATAAATCATATCTTCAAAGTGTTAGATTTGATGCTTCACTTTCATATTGATTTTCAATATTTTTATTTTCTGAAATTAAATTTTTTTTTCTAGAAAAAATCTAATTCTAAATAGAAAAATTCATTTGAATTTAAAAACTGTAATTAAAAAAGTTAATTAATTTAAGAATATTCTTTTTATAAAATAATATGAAATAGTTACTCAAAAAGTAACAGAATTCAGCAAAATATTGTTATATTTAAAAATAAAATTAGTATTAATGTGCTTAAAATCACAATTTTCTAATCTATCTTTAAATATAATATTTAATTGGAATTAAATAATCAATATATTAAACAAAAATAAAATAGAAATGAATCATAAGTAAATGTAGTGCCTCATTTTAGAATAGTATGGCAAACCTCTTGTTTTGAAATCAGTTGATATTCCTTAACCAACTGAAGGTGAAGTTCTAATTTAAGTAGAAGCTGCCCCAATTAATCCTTCTGATTTACTTTTCATTGAAGGTTAACATTCAAATCCTTCAAAGTAGCCTCCTTGCATTCCTGGTTTTGAAGGCTCTGGTATCATAGTTAAAAGTGGTGGTAATATCAATTGATTTTTAAAAATAATATTAATGAAAAGTTAAAATATGAATAAAATACCCTTTATTAATTACTTTTTCAACTGTAAAATTTGTTGAAAATTAACATAAAAGCTATTTATTTGGTCTCATTTTAATGCTGATTTGTTAGTTATTCATTAAATTGAAATCTTAAAATAATATTAAATCTTTTAATTAAAGGAGGAGAATTAGCTGATAGCTTAATTAATAAAAGAGTCGCTTTCTATCGTTCAAAAGGATCATTTGCTTAATATACTGTTAGTAAGGCTGAATGGTGTTTAGTCTTTGATAAATAAATAACCTTTAACTAAGCTGCTTCTTCATTTATTAATCCTTTGACAGTAATTAATATGCTTGAAATAGTAAAAGAAGCAAAAGTAAAAGCTATTGTTAACTCTGCTGCTTCTTCTGCTCTCGGAAGAATGATAGTGAGATATTTTAAAAAGAATGGAATTGATGTAATAAATATTGTGAGAAGACCAGAATAAATAGATATTTTGAAATAAGAAGGAGCTACTTATATTTTAAACTAAAACGATAAAGATTTTTTAAATTAATTAAATAAAATTACCAACTAGCTGAATGCTACGATTTTTTTTGATGCAGTAGCAGGAAGTTTTACTGGAGAAGTCCTCACTTAAATGCCTATTTATTCTACTGCTTATGTTTATGGCTTCCTTTCAGGAAAAAATTTTTCTATTCCTACATATGAATTCATTTATAATAAGCAGAATATTTAAGGATTTTCAATTACTAGCAGATTATTAACATTAAGCCCAGAAAAGAGAAAAAAATAATTAGAAATAGTTTAGGAATTTATTTAAACTGACTTTAAAACAGATATTGCTAATGAGTTTCCAATAAAAAATATTGAAAAGGCTATAAATTATTATTCTTAAAATATGTCTGAAGGAAAAGTTTTGCTTAAACCTCAATTATGAATATTATGAATTTATTTTGAAGCAATCATATATATATATGTATGTATAGTTTTTAATTTTAATATGAAATGAATATTAATTATATAAATAAATAAGATAAGTATTTAATTAATTTATTTAGTAAAATACAAGCTTGTTTGTTTAAATAGAAATCTTAAAATTAAAATAATTTATAAAAAAAATTTTATTTCTTTATTAAAAATAAGTTAAAATTTGGTGTTTGACATTAAGAAAATTTATTAAAAAGGTAATATATTTCAAATTAATAATTTATAACACTAATTTATTCATTTTCTTTACATATTTATATATCCAGCTTTTAGCAGATTCTATTTTTAAATAACAAACTCATTTTATAAATTTTTTTTTTTTATGTATAACTATAAAGGGCTTAAAATGAGAATAAATAAATTATTTTTAAAATTTTAAAAGTTTAGAAAACTTTTTTATTTTTTAGTTAAAGTAACAAAAAGGCGTTTAGTTAGTAAGTTAGTTTTTAATGATACCCTCCCTTCACATTTAATTTAAACAACAGAAAACTAATTACAAAATTTTAGATATTTGATTATGCAAATAATAAATAAAATAGTTATAATATTGCCAATTTTTTATGGAAATCAAACATTTAAAAAAAAGTAATAATTGTTTTATAAAGATGGATTTAAATTGTTTTTTTAAAATTTATTGGATTGATGAGGTAAATAATTTTCAAATTTTTATTGCTTTCTATTGAATAAAAAAATTAAATTATGTAATTAATATTCTTCAATTAAATATTAATTCTTTTATAAAATTACTAAGTTGGTGAATTTATTTTCTTTGATTCTACTTTGTTTTTCTGTTTGAAAAGCAATCAAACAATTCTCACATGTATAAAAGTTAGCTTTTTCAAGCTTCGTTTAAATTATTTTTAATAGAATTATAATTTGGATTTTTGTGAGAAAATATTTTTTATGAAATCTAAATAGATTTCTAATTTTAAATATTATATGATATATTTTGTTTGCAATTAATTGTGTTGAGTTTATTCCATTTATAATTATGTAAACATAATTTAAAAAAATTTATTTAATTTTCAACAAATTCACCCAAAAGGAAAAAATGTAAACTTCCATATTAAAAATAATATCAAATCTTTCGTAAATTAAGTATCCAATAGTGACTATTAAAAATGAAATAAACTATTTAAAAATGAAACAAAAAATAAAAATTTAATATAAATTTTACTTAAAAATATTATTTTCATTTCAAATATATTTTTAAATTAATATATTTTAGCAATTTATGAATGTAAACTAAATTAAAAGATAAAAAGGATATTGATAAATTTAATTTTTTTAAAAAAATTTATTCTGGATTTAGATGACGTAGACAAATCTAATTATTGATCACTTTTCAATTTCAATAACTTTTTTAATTAATTGTATTCCAAAGGCTTTTCGTTTTTGTTTTCACTATGATATAATTTCAGCCATAGGAGCTTTAATTGATATATTTTTTGATTTTTCATTGAATTTTGTATTTTTCTAAAATGAGATATTTTGCTGTAAAGTAAATTTAGAAAGTAGGCTTTTAGTTTACATTAGAAAAAATGAATGTGTAAAAGATTTAATATTTTTTAGGAAACGTATTCAAAGGTGTTTATTCATAGTTTTTCAGTAAATTTGTTATGATTTATAAAAAAACTTTTTACTAAGCGTTAGAGTGAGTGGTAATAGAAATAGAAATATTACTTAGAAACATGAATGTAAATTCTTTTATCTGACAGTTTGTTGCAATTGATAAGAAAGAAACGAATGATTTTAATTAAGTGTTAGGATTGGGGATTTGTTTGATGTGTGTTTATTATTAAACAACTATAAGAGTTATTAAAATATCTGACGTAAGATTTAATCTTTTTAAATTAATCTGAAATATCGAATTTTATTCTTGATTAAGGTTTTAAAAGCAGTAATTAAAATTGGAGGAATAAAAGAATTTATAAAGCAGTTTCTGTAAATTTTAATTGAAAAATCTAATAATTAAATAAAGAGAATACTTTGAAATGAAAAAGCAACTTCTTCTTATACTTTTGGTGTGCTCACTTACTTTTGCTGCTTATTAGGATTGCTCTGGTTAGGTAAACAATAAGCCTTTGTTAGATATACCGCCTAAGCTTCTTAAGACTGTCAAGAACGGAGAAAAATATTTAGTCTAAGATGGAAATAACACAGTTTATATCCTGAATGTATTTGGCTCTCCTTACCAAATGGGTTATGCCTCTGGTCTTCTCATGGCCGAAGAGATGAAGGAAAATATATCAAACATGTTTTAATATATTGAAAATGAATTAAAAGATGAGATTCTCAGTAATTTTAAATTGCCAACATTTGTTATCAAGCTCATATAAAAGGCTAACGCCATGCCATTAATAAGAGCAGCTTTACAATGGAACTACCTTGTCACTCTTCCTTACACAAACATAAGATGGTAAGAAGAGTTTTAAGGTATTTCAGATGCTTCAGGAATCAAATTAATGGATCTTATCCATTTAAATTTATTCCCAGAACTCACTTAGGCTGCTTGCACTATTGTTGGTAAATAATTTTTTCAAATGAATAATTTAATGTTTGTAATTGTGACGAAGTAAAAAGCATTTCAATTTTTATTTGCTTGAGGTATTAAAAATGAATAATGATTGGAAAGGAATTAAAATATTATTCATTTTATTCTTTAAAAATATCTGCCTTACATTCTTTGTTTTAATTATTATTTTTGGGAGATCTTTTTAGGAATGTGGTAAAAATTTCAAACTCTTTTACTTGAAATAAAAACATTAATTAAAAACTAAGTCTTACTAACCATAAATTCTCATGAAGATGATAACAATTTTTAATTAATTTTTGATACTTCCCATATAATATGAATCTTTCGATTAATCTTTACTCTCTTTTATTCTGAATTATATTTTTTTAATATTCTTAGGTGCTTGGAGTACAGCATCAGTTGACAATGTAATTAGATAACTCAGAGCCCTTGATTGGAGTCCTGATGCTCCTGTTAATAGATATCCCTTGATTACTGTTTACCATTCTACTGAAAAGGGAAGTAATGTGTTTGCAAATATTGGATTTGCTGGATTAATTGGATCCATCACTGCTTTCAGTGCAAATGGAATAGCTATGTCAGAAAAAGTGTGGCTACCTGGTAGCTCTGTTCCATATACCTACTATGGATATCCATGGATGTATGTATTCAGAGATACTGCACAATTCTCTGATAACTTGTAAGACGCAGTAAAGAGAATTTACGATGCCAAGCGTACCTAGAGAATTCACATAGGTAAAACTATTTAACAAATATAACAATAATGATCACAGTTAGTTAATTAATCTGATTAATTAAAAGTTTTGCTTAGAAAATCTAAGTAAACCATAATAAAAGATACCCTTTGATTCTTAAATTAATCTTTTATAAATTTGAAACAAGTATTATTAGTATTCTGGTATAAAGTGTAAAGTCAAAACAAACTGGGAAAAGTTGATATTTTTATTAAATTGAGGCATTTGTTTCGATTTAATTAACTATTAAATAGATTGAATGTTATTTTTAACTTAAGGTTGATAATTTCACTAATTTGAGGGAAATAATTAATTTCTATGAATTTTATTTTTATCAATCAGTCTGTCTTTTGATCATACTTTGCATTCATTTTTCAAAATTTTTATTTTTTTTAAAAAAATGCATTTTAAATAAAGGTATTGGCTCTTTGTCTGACAACAGTTTCTTCGGTATCGAATATTCTGAAAAAATTATTAATATTTATAATGACAAGAACTATACTTACACTCCAGCTCATCCTCAAATGGACGGAATTATGTTTTGGGACAAGCATGTTTAACCCTCTTAAAATTATTGCCTAGGTAGCATCTTAGAAGATGGATATGGTAAAATTGATACTGAATTTTTATTCAGAGTTGTTAGTGGAGTTCATGAAACAGGAAATGCTTAAGTTTGTGTTTTCGATTTTGTAAACTAAGAAATTTGGGTTTCATACTCTTTTGGAGACAATGAAAATGCTTACGATAGAAGCCCTATCAGAATATAATTCGGTGCTTTGTTTAAAGCTAAGTCTGCTTCTGAATAAGGAGTTTATTGAGGAAAAAGACATATTAGTGAAATTTAATACTAAAATATTTTAAAATAATTTAAAAAATAAATCGCTATAATAAAATATTTACATATCAAGTTATTAATTACTTTAAAATTTAATAAATTCTTCACTAAATTTTTTGCTTAAATCTCAATTATCCTAAAATTATTTTATTATAAAACTATTTAAGTTTCTATCTATTAAAGATTTTCTAATCAGCTTATCTTATATTTCTAAATTATATATTTCCTATTCTATTTGTAGGTTTATGGAATTATAATGGAACTAATATGAAGCCAACTAATTATTGTTATTGTGATAAATTTAGTTTAATAATTTTAAATATTTTAAGCAGGTGCTTTATATTTTTGATAGTTTATCATTAGAAAATTGGAATATGAATTACACTTTTTCTATTTTTATTATTGATGAAATGATTGAATCAATTATATTTATCTATATCTTTCTCTAAAATTAAATAGAATTTTGTATGCTTAGTTACATTTAATTAAAGGGGAAAATCATATACTAAAATAAGTAATTATCATGAAAGTAAAAAAATTAATAGAAATTTAAATTTAAATATTTATTCAACAAGGAATTTTATTTTTTTATCATTTATAAAAGTTTGACTGATCCATCTTCAATTTTTAGATTTTAGAGGAAGAAAAAATTTTAATGTAAGATGAGCTTATTTTTTAAAATATTGTTAAATCTTTTTGGATGTGGACTTTTTTCAAAATTTATTTATTATCTACTCAAATTGAATCCTGGATTTTTAGTAAATTTGTTAAAAATTCAAATTAGTTTTTGAGAAAATAAATTTTTTTTTTTTTGATGAAGATATTTATAAATAGCTCAAATTTTGTTTGCTTTATTTAGATTTAGATATGTTTTAAAAATTTTAAGTTTATTAAAATATAAATATTATGTAAGAAAGGTAAAAATTATTTCTTTTTAACTCTCCAAGTATGATTATCTAATAAATTAGGAAATAAAAATTTGTATAATCTAATTTTTTTTATCTTTATTAATAATGAAAATTAAAACAAAACAATCAATTTAAAAAATTTAAAGAATAATTTTTTGAACAATTAATTAAAACTATTTCTAATTATTTTCTTAAAATAAATTGTTTCTTTAGAAGACTACAGTAATCACCTATTAATTATTATTTATTTTGTTTGAAGTAAAATTTTATTAACATAATAGTGAATAGTTAGTTAATCTTTATAATTAATTTTTTAAAATCTATAAAAAATTTAAAATAATTTATTTTAGAAAAAATAATATATTTTTTTAAAAATTAAAAATTAAATTTGAAATATTGCAAACAAAATTTGAATTTAAAAAGAGATTGACAATAAAATTTATAAAAGTAAAATATGAGATAAATAATAAAAAGATTTCTCACTCCTTTATTGCTCAACAAAATAGGAGATTGAAAAATCAGGTCCCTTAATTATCACGTACAATACTGATTTCACATAAAACGAACGAGTTTTTAATAGTATTAAAATAGCCATCTCTTAGTGGGACAACACGATAACCTTAACGTATGTTATTGAAAGCTATTGAATACCAGCCAAGCAGACTTTAGTGACAGTTATTTACCACTTAAAATAATATGTAAGAACACGAGGGATTGTTTATAGTAAATTTAAATTCTTAATCCCATTTTGGATTGACATTGTTGTTTTCTACTAAATTAGTCTTGAAACTCATTATTTAATCTCCGTCATATACATACATTTCTACGAAGGGATCGACTTTTTCCGAATGATGAGTTGGAATGTTGTACCCACTTATAATTCTGATCTGAGTGTAATAACGTCTTTATTTATTAGCTGTTAACATCTTAAGTTCCTCAGCTTCCTCATCATTTTCATAAATAAGTTCTTCCATTTCGTCTATTTTAGAATTAAAAAATAGTTAATTACCCACATCATCTACAGCTTAAGATTTTTGTCTAACTCTCTTCGCTGCCGTTACCATGTGATTTCTATATTAAAAGGGCTTTAGAATATAACCACATGTTTAGCCTCCATTTTCATAAAATTTTGATTAATAAATCAAACTATTTTTATCAAAAGTGTGGAAAAAACATAAAACAAATTGGATTCCTTTATTAAAATAATAAATCGGGTTTTCATTTAATGAATCTGAGGGCTTGCAGGTAGGTTTAGTAATTGATAAATAATATTTTGTAAACTATTCTATAGAAGCGTATGAGGATAAAACAGAATAACCTAATCTGTTGTCATTCAGCATGTTTAATTCTCTGTTTGAAAGTTCATATATTTCCCATAGAGCTGGTTTTTTCTTTAAAATCTTCGAGACATACATGCTAAACAAACTCTCAATACTGTTAGAAGCTAAAATTGGTGCATAATCTCTAATGCAGTGAACTTAAAATGTGGTACTACTTAAGTGTGCTAAACTTTGATTTCCACCCGGATTTCCTGTAGGGACTTATAATTAACTACTTTTTTTGTTTTTAGGAGGAGTACTTGGTATTAAATTTTGATCTTGATTACCTTACAAGTCAATAGATTTATTTTTCTCCTTTTAACTATTTTATTTTGGAGATTAATTGCTTCCTACGCTAGATTTTCTTTCTGTTGTCATTTACATTCGTTAAGAAGCAGGATTATAATGCATATTGTAAACTCCTCGCTAAGCCTCAATAATTTCATCTGATTGAAATTCCTGATTACGGTAATCCGAGCTGCTATCATCACTTGATTTAGAATATTATTTTGCTTAATTAAGTGGAGTAGAATCATCGTATTTAGATTATAAAAATTTTTTAAATTTAGGTGCTTCAAGATTCTTGGCAAAAAAATTGTCTATTGCTTTTACTGTAGAAGGATTACCTCTTCTGAAAGGTCCATCTTAAATAGCTGAATCTTTGCTAGAAAGGTGAGTGCCAATCTAATCTGCTATATTGTAATTACTTTTTTCTTTGGTGGAAATTAATTTATTTTGAGTAAGCAAGACGTTGATATTTTCTTCCATTTCTTCTTGCAATATTAATTAGTTCATTTCTTATTCAATAGAATAGTCTTAAATATTATTATATGAAAAGTTACGAACAGGAGTAAGCAAAGTACCATCCACTTGATTATTAGACTAAATTGATTTCATTTAATTTTAAGTTTATTGAGGGATCAAAGCTGTTTACGAGCTGTTTGTGTTTAGTGTAGGATAATTATTAGTTAGCTACTAAGGTTGTAACAAGTTTTAAGAATGAGGAATTTATTCTAAACTCTTATTGTTAAGATTTATGTTAGAATGTGGCGGTTAGCTTTCTTAGTTATTTACTTATTCTGGAGTAAGATTATTATTTGTAACAATATTTTATGGTTAAGGAGATATTGTAACATTCTATGCAGGTGTATGCTAAGTTTATTAGAGTTTCATAATATCTTAGGTTGTGTATTATTCTTAAATCAAACCATCATACTAATGAGGTAGCTTTCCTATCAAGATAAATTTATACTTTAAGTCATTAGGAGAAGGTAAATTTGATTTTTCCTTGTAGTCGTGAGGCAGCACATAAATTCTATCTCCTAAAATTTTCTCAATTAGATATTTGAGTTTAAATTATTATTTTATGCTACAGTGAGGGACAATATTTAAAAACAAAGGGAATGGATTTATCACAAAAGCTTATTTGCTCAACTGAGTTAGGAACTCATTTACATTTAGCTTAGAATTCATGATAGGTCCGTAAATAATAATAGGCTCTCCATCTCCATCCTTTTATTAAAATATTTTTCTTAAAAAAGCATTAAAACAATTTAAATAAAAAAATAAATTGTCAAAAATATAATTTTTAATAAAAAACACAAAATTTCATCTTCGATTCTAATCAAAACCATCTAAATTTTAGTTAAATAATTAAAAATAAATTAACAAATATCACACCCAAACTTCGATTTCAATGTAACGTGCTCCTCTGCTAAGGACGTAAAGCAAGGGGAAATACTTTTCATGATCATTGTAGTTAAATCCAGCAATTTATCTCATGGTAATGATATCAAAGTTAGCATGGAAAATATTTTTAGCTGATGATATATAATACTCATTGATAGGTTTGTTCATATTCTTTTGGTTAATAAAAACTAAAATAAATTAAGTTTAAATTAATAATTTAACTTACCATGTAGAGATGTTCTTTTTTCGGATTAAAAATAGAATTATTCTTGGAATAAATATAACGGATAAATCCTTAAAAGGATATAGTGTTTTTCTTTTTAGATTTATCATCATCTAGTTCATTAATATTTTCTGCTTATTCATCATTCTTACTTTGTTTCTTTTCGTGCTCACCTTACTAGTTTAACTCATCTAATTCCTTTTTTTCTGTAGATTATATTTTTGAGAATATTTTTTGTATTTCGTTTATGCTCACTATTTCCTTTTAATGATAAAGAATAAATTATCTGAACCCTTCGATTGTAAGCTAGTTTTAAGCTTTATTTTTAATTTTAGAATCTGATTGTATTGCTTTTTCAAATATTGGAACTAGTTCTTTCCTATCAATCATAAAGTCTATAATCTCTAAAAACTGAGTATTATTTATTGGGCTCAAAAAGCAAGAGTTATCACTCAATATTTTACGATAGTAAATGTAAGTTATTTTTTAAGATGCTAATTGCATGTCTAATTCTCTTTTAACGATATCAAAGTAAATTTTTTTTAAGTAACTCCTTGAAATATTCATTTAAACTTTTGTTTCAAAAATATCTTGTATTTCATTCATGTCGTATGTTTGTTAATCAGGCTTATTTTAATCCTCTAATATCTGATTTTCTATCTGTTATCTCAACTTGAATATGTTGCCACTATTTTTATATTAAAAGAATCATTAAAAATTTAAAATTATAATTTTATTTATAAGAATTTTAAAATAAAATATATTTATTTTTATATGATAATTTATAAACTTAATTGCTCAAGTCCAAAAAAATTAAGATAGATATTTATTTATTTAGCAATATTTTTGAAAGCTCATTTATTGTTTAATTTAAGAATAAAAAACTTAGAAAAAAATGAAATACCTGTTGATCATAGTTTTATGGGACTGCTTAACAAAGTACTAAAATCCTTAGAAAAATATATCACGAGTTAATGTATCGTCAAATTGTAATAGGCATTCAGTTTCTTCACGATCATTTATTACAAAAGACACTACTTTATTAATATCAATACCTCTAATGTTTGAATGATTAGTATTTTGAATACCATATTCTATGTCACATATTTTAGTTATATCAATCTACTTTTCAGTCATTTTCTTGAGGTTCAGGATTTTAAGCTTATCTGCACTTGTAGTAGACATTACAATAAGTACCCTACAAGAGTACTTATTTGTTGGAATACAAAGAGTAGCACTTGTGCCATAAATAAGAGCATTTATTCCTTGATTAATAGTGACATGTGGTATGATTCTCATTTAGAAATTCACAAACACTACCTTTTGATTATTTTAATTAATAGCCATTTTTTAATTGTCAAATCCTTGTATCTCCTTTCTTGGAACATATTCGAATTGAATATTGCTTTGTAACCTCATTAATGCAGTTTAATCATCTTTTTTTTAATGTGGTGAATTGCCCCTCATTATTTTTGATAACTGAGAGTTAGTTGGAGAATCAGTGCATTAATTTACTTTCTAAGTCTAATTTTTTATTAATGTACTAAAATTAAAAGCACTCTAATTCTACTATTAATTTTTTTTTGTAAATTATTAATTCATTGTATTTTCTCCAGACATAATTTTATGAAGCGCCTTCTAATAATTCATTATGTTATAATTAGACTCTAATTTTTATTCATTCTTATTCCCAAATCCTTCGTTCTAACTCATAACTGCTGAATCTAGATTTTGCTTTGGCTTTTCTAAATCTTTGATTTGCTAACTTGCCATTTTACGCTTTAACTGGTTATTTATTTATCGTTTTATATTAAAAAAGACTTTTAAAATAATAAATCAAAATTGCTTCTAAATTTAATAAATTATTCAGCTTTTCTTTTAATAAATGTTAACTCATAATAAGGGATAGCTGATAATTTTATTTATTATTCCAGCACTAGCTATGTTTCTACCAATCATCTATCCATAATTTTTAATTAATAAATTATTTTTTTAATTCCATAAACTATCATAACAATTAGTAATTTAAGTTGAATTCTTTATTTTACAATTCAGTTTTAATCTAAAAATAGAGTTCATACATAACACAAAACTAAAGCTAAAAATTTTATCATTGTCATTTGATTTATTTTTGCAAAAAATTTTTATTTTTACATGTTTAACAAATAAATTTACTGGATATTTTAACTTTTAAAATAAAAGTTTAATTTAAATTAAAAGTAGATTTTTTGTTAGTTTCGTGGTTTTTTGGCTAATCTGACTTTTTTCAAATAATATCAGTTTGTTTATTCTTAAATATAGAAATTTATCTAAATAATTTTCAAATTAATTTTAATTTAATATGAAATTAAGTATGTATGCAATTATAAAAAATATATTTTTTGATATAATTTTGATAAAATTGTTAAATTAACGAATTGGACTATAAAGGTATTAACAAAGAAAAAACTTAAGTAAGTTGAGTGAGTACTTCATTTATTTAAGCAAGTTGGTGATAATTTATAAGTTTATTTGCATAATAAAATTATGAATATTTGTTGTTTATTTAAGTAAATTTAATTATACGATTTATTTTTAAATAGATTATTATTGGTTAGTTGTAAGATTATTTTTTTTTGGATCAGGGAATTTAGTTTTAATTGATTGATTGATAATTTGTTTATTTGTTTATTGAATTGTTACTGATTTGTTAATAAAATATTATTCATTATTTTTAGTATTTGAGTTTTATTTAGTTGAGTTTAAAATGTCTAGAAATCGTTTAAAGGAAGCAGAAGCAGGAATATACTTGCTTTAATTTTGAAATTTAATTATTCTTCATTCAAATTTCTCATAAAAGTCGTCTATGTACAATTCTAGGTGTGAGATAGTTTTAATGTAGATTAAATAATCCATGATATGCTTTTTGTAAGCAGTCAAGAATAAAAATGCTTATCTTAGATCTGGATTAATTTAATTCACGAATTAGTTACATAACTTTTGCTCTTCTTAGGTAGACCTAGATTTAAAATTAATTTAACTTTTTCAGTAAATTAAATTAAAAATTAATTTTTTACCAATCAAAATCTATTGAGTAAATAAATGGGTTCTCTGCTACATGAATTAACATATTTGTACCAATGTACCACTGTCTTCTGTTTTTAAAAAGAATTTTTATTTAGTAAAATTTAAAAGAAAAATTTTAATTGTTTTACGTAAGCCTTAGCTTCAGCATACTAAGATTCTAAAATTTGCTTAAAGTTCTCATCAGTTTACTAGTAGGATAGCAAGTACAAGAATTCTAGAGCTTCTTATTTTTGTACTGGTCTGCAATTCTTTACAATCAATATTAAGAATAAATTAGTTAAAAAAATAGCTAATTGAATCATTTTTACATTATTTATATATTTAACTACTTCATTGTGCTAAAGCTTTTACCCATTTCATCTAAGGATTGCTATAATTAGTGAATATCTATGATTGAAGAGCTTAGTCTATTTAAAGGTTAAATTAAATAGGTTATAGCGATTAAATTAATAAATTACTCTAATTATATTTAAAGCTAGGAAACTTGTTAGGTTTTTTATAAAAACACAGGTGCAAATGAAAGTATATAATCACCAAATGTTGTTTTGTTATGAGAATTGATGTTTATCTTTCTAACACTTAGCAATTACTCTTCAAAGAGCTCAGAGTTTTGAATAAAGTAAAGCAATATCAGCTCTTGAGATTCTTCATTTCTAAAATTTTATAAAATAAATTTTTAAATCTAAAATTGATTTGTTATGTCTTTACGTGTATTCAATATCTAATATTTCATCATTTTATTTGAAGAGTCTGGCTCTCACTTCTTCCCATGTGACACTCTAAATTAAGTTGCTCTAATTTTATTTTTAAATATTGTTTAGTAAATATTTTTTTGAAACTACCTTAAAATCTCATTTTTAATTGTGTAAAAAATAAGCGATTGTGAGTATTATTTTTTTTTTAATCTCACTCTCGTTTATTCGCTTGTTTATCTAAAACTAGGGTAAAGGAAATAAAGTTTTATGGTAATTAATAACTAATTTATTCTTGTTAATATTAAATTGTTTTTATTTGTTTTTTATATGAAATTTCAATAATAATTTAATTATGAAATTACGATTCTGTTATAGTTGTGAGGAAATTCAATATTATAAATACCGAGGTTGATTTATAGATTTAAGATAAATATAGAATCTATCTCTCCAATCTTTTTTTCACCTACTTCGAAATTATACATGTTATATCTAAATATCATGTTAGAAGTATCTACAAAAAGCACTTCAGGACATGTAGCGATCACATTTTTTTTGATCTCCTTTATAATGTTTTAAGATCTTTTGTACATATAGAGCTAGTACTTACGATTTTCAAAATTTATAAATATCTTGTTAAGTCTCATGATGAACTTATTTTCCTTTATTGTAGCGAAATTAGCCTCATTTACTTCAAAAGAAATGCAGTTATACTTATTCGTGGACTTTGTTTCATCAAAGACATATATTTCTACATCTTAAGATTTTAGTTAATGTATGTAATCTTGCTGGAATGATAATGCATTATAAGCCATTTCTCTCATTTGAACAAAAGAACTCTGCTTTTAATACAAAAAAAAGTCCTTTCCAATGAGAAATTAAATTGAGTTGTCCTCCATAAAAATAGAAAAGTTAAAATCTTTAATTTCGCTTATTCGCTTTTGAGGATTATTATTCATTAATGTGTCCAATCGCTTGCTCCTTTTGTAGTCGAAGAGCTAATAGTATCCTTTACTGCATCCAAATTGCTAAAATATAATTTTTTCTATACTCAATTTTAGATTTTCTAAGGTTTCATCTTGTTCATAACTAAGCACAAAGTGATCATAAATTTCATTTTCATTAGTACCATTGTAAACAATAATCGAATTTAGTTTAAGATCAAGATCTAGAGTTAAAAAGAAGTTGTATGGACTGCAATTAAATATTTTTTAGATAGAATTAAACAACTCGTTGTTTGATTTACAAATATGATTCATTATCAGATGGGAGGCATCAGCCTTTATTTCTATTTCGAGTACCATGTCTTAAACATTTTTGTAAACAGATTCCATTTGCTAATTGAAGAGGTATCTTATCAATTGTTTGTTATAAGAATAAATAACTTTTTTATTCTTATCTAATTCTGTTTAAGTGTTTACATTGTCTTATATGAAACTATCTAATTCATATGATAAAAAATATTAAAAAAAACAAATTTTTTTCATTCATTTACTTAATTATTTACTAGTAAATAAATTGTTTTATATCATCATACTTCTTCTTAGCTGAGAAGCACCTCCATGAAGCAAGGTATCAAATTCAGTTGCACTTCCAGGAATGTGATCAAAAGAGTTTTAAACTATGTTGCTTGTTTCTACGTTCGTCTAAAACTCCTACTCAAGAATACTTTAAGAGCAATTAGTGTCAAGGAAAATTATATATAAATATCCATCTATTTAAATTTGAAAGATAGAATTGATGACGTAAAGCTCAAATATTTCTGAAAGATGAGGTACTCTATCTAGAAGAGAGTAAGTTGCTATTTGCTATAAATCACCAGTATCATCATTCCCATTTTGATGTAGAGTAACTTATTTTGCAATTAAAGTCAGATTATCTGCATTGACAATTTTTATATCTTAGTTTGGAACTGTAATTACCTTTGAAAGAGCTGTAATCTTTAGCTAAATATTCATTTTTTCCAAAATTTTCTCAACAATATATTTATTAACATTCTCCTTGAAATTTGCAAATTCTGATTTTTCAGTTTCACTCAATTGCTTGACTTAATCGTTTTGCTAATTAGTTTAATTTTCTTAGTTACAATTTATGGCAGCAGTTGTAATATAGCGACCTGTTTCATCTATTTTCTTTTAGACGGCAAATAATAAATTTAATAATTATTTATAATAAAATAAATTTACTTTTTTTTTTGTTAACTTTTCTTCAGAGTCTAATGAACCATCAGAATCACAAGATTCATCGCTTTCTGATTCATAAACTTCTTATTCTGGTTTATTTAAACCAAAAATTAATTTTTTTCCATGCATATTTTTACTGCTATTTAAAATTACGGTTTTTTCACCAGCATAATACTCTTTACATTAATTTACTAAACCTATTTATTTTAAACAGTTATTTTACTACTAATTCTCTTTTTTATAATCCTTTATTTTTTTTGATGAATATTTGAATAAAAGAAATAATTGCAAGCTAATTTTTTTAATTTTAAAATTAATTTAATTTATTACTAGACATGTAATTTGGAATATTTTAGTAGACTCTTCTTGGATTCATAAAAAAAGGAGAGTTTTAGAAATGCACTTTATAAGTGTCATTTTATAAGCACAATATTCTTAATTCTACACTTCTACCATTAGAAAGATTCAAAGGTACTCTATATTCTAACATCATCATAGTATTTATATTTTCTTTTTAAAAAGAAATAGAATTAATTATTATTTATATATATATATATTTTTTTTTTGAAATGAGTGAAAGAGAAGTTTCTATAGACTATCTTTGAGAAAAATAACAAACACTTTCTTTGATATGATAATTATTCATACTAAATCTTAAAGTATTTAGTAATAAATATATTTAAATTTTTGAAATTAAAATTTAAATATGAAGGTGGTGAAAATCTAAAGGGAAAAAAATTGAAGAATGGATGTATTTAAAAGCGTTTTAATTGATTGATGATTTAGTTAAGAATAATTGAATGGCCAAAATTCTATTAAAAATTTATCTAGAGATTGAAAGAGTTTGTAGATTCGAAAAAAAGGTATTTAAATAAATTAAAGTATTAAGCTAATAATTTGAAGGATATTATGTGCGGATATGAGGATTCGAAATATTATTTAGCAAATTGAGCAAATTTATTTGAATTTTGCTGACTTTTTATTTGAATAATTTTGGTGAATGTAATTAATTTCAAAGTAGAAATTGTATTAAAAATTATCATTATTTATTATCTACAAATTGTATTCTTTCAATCAATTAAGAGCTGAAGCTTTATTTATTTATTTAAGCATTTTTCTTAGAATTTTGAATTGGTAGTAGTATTAAATATTCCTATTTTATGTGAAAAATTTAAGCATAGTAGTCATTCCTTTTAGGATTTTTGCTATGAATTTTAATGTACTCATATGCGGTTATTTCATTGTTTCAAAATAGCAAAATCCTTATTTGGTTTTTATCAATAAATTAACTCTATATGAAAGTGAAATAACTATAAATATTTATCTTTTGTTTCTAAAATAAGTCTATGTGATAGAGGGTATTTTAATTTTACCTGGTGAGTAATATTTTTGGTAAACATAAACAATTAATTGCAGGGGGAGTTGTTATGTGTAGACTATTTAGAAGGTTAAATAATTTATTGCTTGCACTACATATAACTCTTTTAATTTGTAATCTTTATCCACTAAAATTTTTTCTATTTATTTTAAATCTGATGCATAATAAACCTGTGATGGATTGTAAGACATATTATTGCTATTAAACTGCTTGGGCAGATACTCATAGAAGCTATCTCGAGTAGTTGTGGAGTTTTGAATTTAAGGTAACCAGTTGCTTGCAGTATTTCTATCAATTGTTAATCTATTCAATTAATCTGGATGCTGCTGAATGCTAGTCCTTAATGATTGTTGTGAGAAATTTGTATATGCACCTATATAAGGATTCTAATTAAGGACTATAGCTGAATCACTAAATAACGAAACAATAGACTGTCTCTATCCTAAACCTAAAAGTGTGCCCATCAGAGCATCAACTTTATCTTTATCGCTTTAATCATTTAATTAGGATTCATTCATGATATTCATAAAATGGTTTTAATTTTCTTCTTAAGTTTTTGCTATTTATTTATCTATCTCCTTACAACTATTTACTACTATCCCTTTACTTTGCTTTTTTTTTTCTTTTATTTCGCTTATAAGTCTCTATTATTCTTTATCTTTTAGTGTGTCTTTTTATCAAGATGCAATTTATTTATTTATTTGTAATTATTTGATTGATTGATTAAATAATTAATTAATTATCTTTTTTTCGAGATTAAGATTAAATGATAGAGATTAACAAGAAACTTATTTGTTTATGTGTTTGTTTGTTTTTTGTTTGTTTGTTTGTTTTTTTGTTTGCTTTTTTTATTGATTTATTTAGTTAAGTATTGATTTAGATAAATAATTGTTTGTTTCTTAATTCCTTAACTTTGTTTTATATTAAATAAAATAAATAGTTTATAACTTTCACAGATAATTTTTCTTTGATTTATTTTTCCACAGATAACATACATACATACATATTGAAAGGCAATAAAGCAAGTCTTAGAAAATAATAAAAAATATGTAATTAAGTGCCTTTTTATTATTTTTTTCATAGTGCATTTCAACCTATTTTAATAAACTGCTCTATTATTCAAAAATAATAGATCACTTTTAATTCTTTATCTTTTATACCTCAGGCTTGTTTCTTTGAAAATTTACACAATTACCATTAAATTTGTGTTTTAAACTTGATTTCCTTTCATTAAAATATTATAAATCAGAAACATAGAGGTTGATGTATCTATATAAGCTGTTTTATTTATCTGCAATTACTATCTTTAGAATACTGTTTTTTTTTTCTTTCTCATAAAACTCTACCCTTTCAATTACTTTTTGATCAAAAATTTGATTTTAGCTTTCTTTCGAATGCTCAAAAATATTTAAAATCTTCTGTTTTCCAGTTTTTGTGAAGAAAAATACCTAATTAAAAAATTTTTTATTTATAATCTATTTTTCATTCGTTTACAATTCAGCGATGTTGGTAAAACGAATCTGTAAAAATTAAATGTGTAATCCAAATTAAAAAAACTCTTTCATTTAAATTAACATTTTTTTCATATCTCGCCTTTTAAAATGATTTAGCTTTTAATAAATTTATATTTAAATTATCTTTGAGAGAAAAGAGAGAAAAAATAGATGTGCATTTATTTTGCTTTATAATATCTTTAATGCAAGGATAAAAGTGTGAACCTTCATACGAAGATACTTAGCCTTATTACAGAATATTTCATTAAAATAAGAGAATGAATATTTCTTAAAAAATTATTTAGATTACTATTTTATTGATGGAATTTATTTATTCATCAATCTAAAAAGTGATTTTTAGATTATAATAGGCTCTTTAGGTTTTTAGTTACTACTTTTCCATGTAACATTAAATCAAGGGAAAAAATATTTGTCTGGTTAAAAAAACCAATATTCCTCAAAAGAAAAATAATTAATGAAGCATAATTAGCAAATTATAAAGATATTAAATTACCAAATATAAAAATATAAAATACCATTTGAGCTATTCAATTATACAGTTTGATTTTTCTTACTTCAAAAAGATTTTCTATTTGTAAATTTATTTAGCAGATTTATGTTTTATGGCGAAATAAACTTTATAAAGGCTAATAATTTTAGATTCAAGAGAATTATTTAGTTTTAGATAAAAATATTGAACCATGATATTACGTTGATTAGAATTAATCTATCAATCAATTAATTATTCATAAATAAGAGATTGTCTCAAACTAATTTAAATATTTTATAAAATAAGGCATGGCTGAATGTTCGTTCATCTAAGTTAGGGCTAATGATTTTTATAAGACTATTCTATCACAAATAAGCAATATTAAATATATTTATATACCAATTATTTCAATTTGAATTTTTTAATAAATCCTGTAAGGTTACTTGCTTTTCATATCAATTATTAAATAATAAATTGACAATTTGTTCAAAATACCATAAATTCTTTTAGTCGAATTCGTTAATCTTAAATAATTTAATTGTAAAGTGAGTCACTTTAGTCATAAATATAAAAAATATTTGACAATCAAGCGGAATTTCATAATTTGAAATATTTTGTCTTTTCTGAGATACTTTCAACCGAAGTAATTTAATGACTAAACAATTTAAAAGAAATACCATTTCAATTTTTTAATTTAGAAATTACTAATAACCACAAGTAGTTGTCTAGAAAATTTTTAATGAAAAAATATTGAAGTTACTTACTCTCTTTCAAATGGAAATAAGAAATATAATGATAAATATAAGTAATTTAAATTAAATATCCCTTAAATAAATCTAAGTTTACATTTATTTTAAATTAAATAATTTGAAATAAGCTTTCCATTTAAAAATAGTCTACTAGATAAAAAAAGGATGACTTCATCTTTTTGCTCAGCAATCCAACATTAAAGTTTAAATTAAAAAAATATTTTATAATTGTAAGAATTATTTTGGTTTATTGTTTAATTTATTCTTAAGTTAAACTAAATATTTAAATTTAAATTTTAAAAATTATTTCTAAGAAAAACAAAAATTTGCTATTTATTATAATTTGATAAAACCTTCTTTAAAATAGACTACATTATAAATTAAAAATATTTTTATTGAAAGAAAACACCATCAAATTTATATGATTCTATTAAAAAATTTAATAGCTATTTACTTAACTTAAAGATAAACTTTATCATTTTAAATACAAAAATTATTAATGATTTCGTTGAATGAATAAGCTGTTTTTTTAATAAGATTAAACTGAAGAATTCAAAACTATTTATGAAATAAAATTTAAGCAATAAAATTGGCCAGATGTAGAAAAATCATTTATTATCAGCAGCGAGAGGCTAAAATATGTATTTATTTCACGCATTTGTTATAAATTGCCACCAAAAAAATTTCAGATTAGTAATATTTTTGTAAATATTAAAATTAGATTGAAGAATCCATTCTTTGGAAAAATTAACAAGCAATGAAGAACTTAAATAAAGGTAATCGATAGATAGATATTAAAGCATTTTTATATTGAAAAAGAAATGCTTAAGATTAATTTATTTGTTTATCTTTTAGGAAATAAATAAGACGCTATCACTCTCTTGAAAGAAGCAGAACGCTAGCTTTTTGATGAGTATATTAAAGATAAATATAATATAAGAATAAACAGATTAATAGGTATAACCTTAAATAACCTAGGATGTTATTTTTAAAAGTACAATTTATTTCTTTCTATTTGTAATTTAAACATATTTAAATACTTCTCTCTTGAATAATGTTAATTCATTTTTATTATTATAGAGATGAAAAGCCTTAAGTAGCTCTTAAGTATTTATAAAAAGCTCTTGAAATAGAGACTATTTCTTAAAATGATTTTTCAACACTATCTGGAACACATTTAAATATTTGTGCTATACTATCATCTCTGGGAAAGTAAAAATATTAATTAGAATTTTTATTAAATTATATTTAATATGATATGTCAGACATCAAGATGCCATTAAACATGCAAAAGCTGCCTTGTATTTTGTTCAAAAGGCTAAGTAAGAGATTTTATAAGACTAAGAAACTTAAGAAAATTTTAATTCCTAAAATGAATCTACGATTCTACTTCAAAAGTTGAAAACTTAGATAGTTGATTTAGCAGTTAGCTTGCAAAAATCTTCTTACAATATTTACACAACAGAAATTATAAGCTACTATAACTTAGGTATTGAATATTAACATTTAAGAGATTATAAAAAGAGCTTACATATGCTCAAAGCAGGTAAAAAAAATATATATCTATTAAAAATTATCTTTAAAGAGTATTCAAAAAATGTTAGATAACGTAAATATCTATTATCAAAAAGGCTACAATATTGCCTACAATTAATTTGGTATTCAAAATCCTCTATGCATCAAAATGGAAGAAGCAGTAAGAATGGTAGAGTAACTCTTAAGCAAAGTGATGGCTAAAGTTCATAAAAAAATGTATAGAAACTCCTTTATTGGCTTAATTGCATCTAATCAACCAGATTTAAAATCCAGTAATAACTCCTTTATAAATATTAAAGCTGATATTTTAGGTAATTAACTAATGAATTTTAGTTCAATAAAATTATATAAAACTAACGATAAAATATATTTAACTAATTTTAATAATTAAATAAATTTAAGTAGATAATTCAAACCAAAACAATAACAATGATGCAATTTATATGAACAGCAATTTTAAATCTATTGACAACATACAATTATCTGAAAATAATAATATTCCTTCAAGCAGATAAAGAAGCCATTCTAATAACTTAACTTACAGATCAAGACCAAAATTTAATTTAAAGCTTCCTAATCTAAATAGCTCAACGATAGAAGATTAATCTAGAAATGAATCTCCATACTTTAACTAAACAAAAAAACCTTTAATACAAAAATAAGAGAATATTTAACCTTCCCCATATGATAAAAAAGTCTATTCAAAATAAGATTTAGAAACTGGTATTAAGCAAGCAAATTAGAAAACTATTAATACTAATAAAAATACATTAGATACTAAAAACGACCACCAAGTAGTTCTATTTTATTAAGGAATAAAAAATTAAAAATATTTTTAAATAAAATAAAATTAGGAAACTATTTTTGCTTAATTTATCAGAAAAAAATAATAGATAGGCACTCCAGTACTTTAAAAACAATAATATTGCATAATTAATAATATTTTTATTTTTAAATTAGACACAAAATGAATCTAGTAATTATTTGAGAGCAAGTTCTTTTGAAAATATTAACTCAGAAAAAAGCTAGTAGTTTATTTCGTTGATACTTAACAATATGGAAACAAGAAATAATTAGAATTTAAATGAGTAGACTCAAGAAGACTGGTAAGAAAATCTAAAAAGGCTATAATTTTTAAAAGTAGATTCTAGTACTTAGACAAATCAATTTAATAAACTAAATAACAAATACTAAAGGTCTCTATCAACAAACCCTCGAAGCAAGTAATAAAATATTAATTAGACCTCAACTTTAGAACCTTTAAATATAAATTATAACAAAGAAATCACATACAATCAAAATTAATATTCAAAAACTCCAAATAACTAACATAAAAATTAATAAAATATGTTAAAACAATTAGAAGAACTCTATGAAAAAAAAAATATTTAGCATATAAGAACTAAATTAAATAGTTACTCAACAAATTCTTAAATATAAAATCCTAATCTAGAAAACTTCACAATTTAATCTCCAAAAGGGATAAAGACAAAACCAGTTACCTCTAAAAGAATAAGATTCTAAAAAATAATGCCATCAAACAATATTTCAAGGAGAATCAAAACAGATTATTAAGATGATAATTGTATTTAAGAAGAAAATGATTATATTTCAGAATACAAAAGCATTAAAAAATGAATGAAAACTTAAATTATTTTAAATTTATTTGTTGCTAATAGCTATTAATATATTATATTGCATTCATAATTTATCTTAAATAATTCTTATTTTAATTCAAAATTAACTAAAATCTACATAATTTTTAATAAAAAGTATTGATATATTTTTTATTGAACTGAATTAAATATTTGTTTATCAGAATAATCTTACAAATAAGATCTACTAAAAAAATAAATTAAATTATTTTAAATGCTTTATTTTTATTATTGAGATAATTGTGAAAAATTATTTTATTCAAAAAGACTTTGTAATAATTTACAAATATTTATTGTAAAATTGATAAAAAGTCTGATAAATAAATTATAAAAAACAAGAAAAAAAGGAGTAAACATAAACCATACATTGAACCATAAAATAAAGATTATCAAATAATAAAATATTCAATATTTCGAAATTTAATTGATTGGCTTTAAATAAATATTTTAAAGAATTGTAATAAATAATGTGATAAGAAAGTTGTAATAAATGCATTCAATTTTATTTCAGGTTTTATTTACAATTTCCAAAGAAAAATATAATCCACAAAATAAATAAATGAATTAATAAGTGTTTGTTTTCAATCAATTGATATTGAATTTGGATTAAATTAAATGAATCTTTTATCTATCACTTTTATTTATTTATATATTTATTTCTTATAGACTATTTGAACTCTAAAATCAAAAATTAAAAATAAGAGTAAATACATTGATTGATTCATACATAAATACAAATACACATTCATTCTCATATATACTCAAACAAACAAACAAAATTTGTGTTTAATAATCAATCAACCAATAATAAGAATCAAAATAAAAGATACAGTCTTTTCTAATTAATATTATAATCTAAGATTAAAAATTTGTTAAATAGTAAGATAATTCTAACTTTAGGTAGCTCAACAATTTTAAAGAAATATAATTAAAATCGCATAATACTAAGAGGATATTTTATAATATTTACTTATTTATTAAATAAGTTACTATAAACTAATTTGAAGTCCATATTTGCATTTAAAGTACGAGAGTTAAATGAAGATTTAATCAATTCTTAGTATTTTTGCATATTTAATTTGCTTTATTCAATAGAGCTATTAGGTGGGATAAGTTACTCCTACTCGTGAAATAAGAGTAGCTGCATTAGATTAAACAAGTAAATCGCTTTTCACAATTTATTTTTCTCTTGATACCTATTGCCCTGCTAATTATTACTTAAGAGTAGTATTCCCTTAATATAACACAGTAACTCCTATATCTTGTTGGATTAAGATATCAACAAGTTCAACATGGGTAAGCACTACATGCACCAGTTCGGGTGTAGCAAGTGAAAATAATGTAACATATCTCTAATTCCCATCACAAGTTGTTGCAGGTGGAGAGAATATTGTTTAGATCTAGCTCAATGAGAGCTCGCAACTAACTTATGCAAGCTCTAGCTTTATCATATCAACAGTTAATTCAAATATACTTACCAATTAGTTTAGTTTAGATGTTAATAATAATTTCGGTTAGATTCCTTGGGTCAGCTACACACCTTAACCTTTAAGTATTTCTGTAAGCACAGTATCACCCTCAACAGGATTCAATTTACCCTCTTAATTTATCACCCTTCAAATCTAAATAAGCAACGAATAAGCTCCTGTAGGAAGTGCATTATCTCCAGCTGCTAGAGTTAAAGTCGTTTTAGATACACCATGGACCTTCACTCAAACATCGTATGATTTTAACAATAAAAATAAAATAATAGATATAAAAATTTGCAACACTAACTAATGTATTTCTTGCTATATAAAGAAGCAAATATGTTAATAGTTTATTTTGAAGACTTTAATAAATTTAGTTTTTAATTTCTTTTTAACATTTTGATAGATAATAAATAAATAGGAATTTATTGGTTTGATAAATTAAAAGATGAAAATTTTATAAAATAATATTTAAACTTATTATTTATTTTATTTAAATATTTTTAATAATTTTTTAGTACTGTTACTTCTGTAGCAGCTATGGGATAAACAAGACCAGTCATTTCTTCATATGAAATGGAAAGTCCAAACTAAATGAGTGTTGTGTTTTAAGAATATTTTAGTGGCAGCTCAAGATCATTTTCAATCCAAATATCAAATATTCAAAATCCCTATCAAGCAAGCATTAATGGAAATGTTTACGTTTATGTAATGGACTTTAACTCCAATTATGTACTTTAAAGCAATTCAATAGCAAGTCTTAGTAATACTAATTTCCCTCTAACTGTTAACTTTTAATCACCTGGTGGAGTTCCATTCTAATAAGTATTTTACTTTCCATCTAGTTCTGGATTTAATGGAGGGGTCTTTAATAATGTTGAATAACATGTTGAATTTGCAGTATCTTCTTAGACAGCTATACCTGCTGGCTATAGTCTTGTTATAAACTTTTTGGATCCAAACATACTGATTATTAAAGGAAGTGCTTTTATGGATAAAAGTATACTTCCAAATGACCCCACAAAGCCTATTTTGTATAGTTATCCCTAAAACTAAATTCTTATAATTCAAAATTTAGGATCAATTCCTCAAACAACAACATTCTTTGTAACATGCCGTATTTACCCTACCACTACAAATTCTTAAATATAGGTTTAGGTAAATAAATAACTATTTTTATATAAAATAAACTTAAAACAATGTAAAAAAATAAATCAATAATCAATGCATTTTATAAATAATTTTTAATCAAATTAAATAAATTATCAAAATATCAATTTCATATAAATTATTTTATCCAATTACAGCTTTAAAAATGCATAGCAGAATTTTTAAAATTGAATTTTTTTTTAATGAAATTAAAAGCTCTATATTGACCAAAACCCTAACATAACTCCTAATTAAGCTCTCTTTTAAAGCTAAACGATGACTTAGAATTTACTTCCTGCTACTCCATTTTTAGAGTTACCTACTGATACAAAAATTATTCCTACAAATTCTAACTAGCTATAGCTTTAATTTAATGGTAATGTTCCAAGCTTAAGTACTAGCAATTAGTCATAAATCATTATTAGTTTCAAGAACATGATTTCAAAGGCTGCAACAGGATCAGTTACATGCTCTAATGGCTTAACTTGCACTTTTTCCAGTAATTTTATTGAAACAAAATTTTTTATTTGTGATTTGATTTTTTAATTTTATTTTGAAAAATCGGAAATAGATAATTTTTTAATGAGCGCATGTCACTTTTTAAAAATTAATAATTATTTTATCATATTTAGGCATAAGTTAGTAAGTTAACTAGATAATTATTACTTCTCCTGCTAATTAAAATGTTTTCCCTTTAAATGCTCTCACTAAATTTACAATAAGTGGCTTAAATATTTAAGGAACCTCAAATGCATAAGATTAAATATTTTAAATATATGCTTGTTTATAAGCAACAGCAAGCGCTTCATCTCCATGTATGTATCATGTTCTTTCAGTTATGATAACTTATCCTATTCCTAACACTAATTTAATCATATTATCTATTGCTAGCAATTCTTATTTCTCAAATATAAATTATTATTTCCCTTCAATAATATCTGCCTAATTCACTGATCCTACCATTTTTAACACTATAACTCCAAGCTAAAATTAGGTAAGATTTGCCACCGTTTTTGCAAGACTAGGATTAAAGAGATTGACTACTTTACAGAAATCTTAATAGCCTTGTGCGTGTGGTGCAAATGTACCAGTTACCTGTATATTCATGGAAGGTAATACCTAAGCTAATGCTGAAAAATTCAATTTCTAAGACTGGGATAGAGTTATTTTTTACTTGGATGACTGTAAATTCCAATTTTTTATTGCAAAATGTAAATAAAAAATATTTATTTAATATAGCTGTTGTTGGAAATACATTCAGATTATCCATACCTGATATATATATCAATAATATTGATGTGTATGAATATGTATGGGCTATAGGAATTTATGATAAAGGGTTGAGAACTTATTCTTATTTATAAGCCTCTAACAATAATTTTGTGAGATCTATTCCAACTTCTTCAGGTTCCACTACAGTTCAAGAATATATTAGAAGTAAAGTTTTTAGACAATTAAATTTATTTTAAATTTATTTTTGTTAGCTCTTGTAACAAGTACTAGTCTATAACCTTCTCTCTAGTTAACTTTAACAGGTAGTGCAGGTTAACAAGTATCAGGAATACCTCTTTAACTTCAAACATCTTCAAGCTTCATAGGTCAACAAATAGCTAATTTAAATGGATTTGGTGGAGCAGTTGTAATCAATACAGAATGGTATTTTTGGGTTTAATTCTCTTCGTAGTACACTTCAATAAATTTATGGCCTTTTGGTTAAGGATCTGATGGTCCAATTTCTTTAAATTATACAGACCCAAACAATATATAGCACTTTGTTACTCTTCTACCTCTGACAAATACTCAAGTACATTTCTAAATTAAACAAACAAACTCTCAAAAATAAATTAAATTTAAAAATAATCATTAATTAATATATAACTATATTGATTGCTCAGTTTACTTTTACCAGCAATTAAATTTAAAATTATGTAAATTTTAAATTTTTTTTTAATTTAAATAGACAAATAATTTGAACCTGGTCACTCAGTATTATTTAGATAAAGTACTAATGCCTTTTGGGTATGATTTACCAAATTACACAATTTATGTATCTAACAGCTAAGGTGTAGTTGATGGTTATAATACTTTTTACAACTCTGGGTCAAATGTGTTTTATGGAACATCACTAACTTTTTTGAATTTCTCATGTCTTAATTTAGCATAAGGTGTAGCTAATACTTACTGCACTATCACGTTTCAGCCTGCTAATTTGATTCAACCTTTTGCTACTATTTTTGCTAAATTTACAGGCTTAACAGTAGCTACAAATTCATGCACTGCATCTTAATCCTATGGAATCACTTGGATTCCAATTTCAAATGTTTCATGCTAAAGTAGTTTGGATTCTTCATAATTACTTTTCTAGTTCCTAGATAATTAAGTGTTTTCAAATTCCCTCTAATATTAAGTATGAATTAATTATTAATAAAATTAATTAATATAAATTAAAATAATTAAAATTAGATTTCTTTCTATGGTGTTTCAATTTAGACAGGAATTACTCAATACTTAAATTTTGAAATACATGATTCATCACAGAAATTTGTTATTGAAAGCAAAACTTTCTTAATAACAACTACAAATTATAATCCAGAAACAATAATTGTTTCCTAATTGCAATATGCTAATTTAAATCCTTATGTTTACACAAGTCTTCTTATCAAATTCTAGATACCCAGACAATTATACCCTAACGAAGATGTCTTCATTAACCTTGGAAAAGATTTAAATGATGTCAATATTTACTCTAATAGATTTCATGCTATCCTGACCCAGTAAATAAAAATAAATTTTCCATTCAATGAAATTTTATTTAAATTTTAATTAAAATCAATTAGGCTTCCAAGCAATACTAATATTTAAATTGCAACTACTTATGTTAACTCAAGACTGCAGTTACTTTTTATCAATCCTTCGCAATTTGTAGCAGGAGTTTACTAGCTTAATTTTACTAGCTTAAGATCTCCAGCATCTAACTTAAATGACATGTTTTAAATTCTTTTTATAAGAAGAATCGATTAGCAAGTCGTAGTTCAAAACCTAGCAAACTAAACAGTACCTTTCCCTGTCCTTAATATTAATTAAAATTCTGTTATCAGCTTGGCAGCAGCTAATTATGTTTTAGAGGGTGGTTTAGAATAACTTGACTTTTCGATTAAAACCAGCACTGTAAACTTAGACTCTTAATCAGTTATTGAATTCCACTATCCTGTCTATTATTCTCCTGGAGCTGCAGATTTTAACTTTAATCTTTTCTGCAGGATCAATTAAACTCCAGTTGCTTGCAGCAGAGTTGTTGGTTATCCATATAAAATAAGAGTAACAAATTCACCTATTAATGTTTAAGCAGGAACCCCTTTTAAATTATCAGTTTTTGGATTGAAAGCTCCTAGCTATACTATGAGATAGTAAAATTGCTTTTAAATGTGCGTTTTTAAATAAATTTTAAATATTACAGCGATTCAAGATACTAAGATGAAACACTATTTATATGTGTGGATGGAAAAGGAACAGGAAACTATGATGAATATATGGTATTAAATGCTCCTGATATTCAACCAATCAACAACAGTGGCACTCCATAAAATTACATCAGAATTGTATACGTGTTAGTTGATATACAATTTATCAGATCTTTAGCCTACCATACAGTGAGGTTAATCACCCAACAAGCTATTCCTTTGGGATCAATTATTCAAGTCTTATTCCCTAAAGAGTATACTGGAGTACCCACTATTTCATAGATATACACTATCTTCAAGCAAGTAGCTAATAGTAAGTCTTTTTTTAATTCTTTTTAACTAATCAAGAAAGAAAATTTTTGTACATTAGCAAATAAAATCTGAAAAGATCTTAATTTTATTTTGTTTTTGTCAAAATAAAATGGAAATCAAAACAATTAATTTTTTTTTTAATTTCATTAAATTTTGTAAAATTTATTTAGACAATCTTGTTGAAATCTACAGAGGAAACTCACCTGTTATAGGAAGAACAATTGAAGTATCTGTTAATTAACAAATTAATGCTCTAACTATTATCTAAATAGAATTTTAAAATGTACCAACTCCCCCATAACAAGCAACAGTAGATTATAATTAAATGTAAATTTAAGTTTTTGGTGTAGATAGAAAGAACTTGATCGTAAGAAGCTACTATCTTTTAAATACTAGCTTGAAAATAGCTTTTAATATTCAATCTAACTACCTTTAATTCAATAACACCTAGCAGATTGTGGTCACAAAAGGTACATATTCTTAAATTATTCCCATAACAACTTCAGATGGATCTGCCTTCCAATCAAATGTATACTTCTAATGCACAGCTGTAGGATTTGGATTCTTACCTAGCAGTATTTATGCTCTTTTGGGAACAACATAAGGCACTCTTCAAGTAGGGGCAGATAAAAATCTTTTTAATTAAGCTTACTCCTTTTAGGTGCAAAAATCTGAAAAGATTTATCAGTAAAATTTTTTGTATAAGATATAAAATGAATTATTTACTTAATTATATAAATAGACCATTATACAGTTCAGATTCTAGTATAGTAGTGATTGTGAATTCAAATTAAGTTCAAATTAAAGTTCCTTCCACAATAATTGTTCCTTTAGGAGGATGCAGCACTCCTTAATTGCTAACAATACCAAATGCTCCTTTTGATGAATTGACTATATCTCTTGATTATCCATATGATTAATATCCTGAAGAAATATTCAAAACCGATCTTGAAATAACTTCAAATATACTAAGATACAGTAAATTTTAAAAATAAATAATTGTAATTATATTTAATTAATTATATTTTAATGATTTAAGGTCCAAGTATCACAAGCAGATACATTAGTTTCTGCATAACATAAAACTTTCCTTCAAATTAATCATCTATGTAATTTAATTTTGTTCTTGGAGGAATCAACGCACCATCCTATGCTTTATCTTAAAGTACTGTCACTGTAAATGTAATTTAAAAGCAATCTTAACTGTTACCAACTCTCTCGATAAGCATCTCATAAGTAACTCTCAACTCTATTTCAATTAATTTAGGTAATTTTTATTAATAATTTAATTAAATCCATTTTTTGGATTTAGATAAAGTGATTTTAAAAATTTCATTTGTTTTGAATGAAATTAACAAAGACTAAAATTTCTTCATTTTAAAATTGAATTAAATACCTTTAAAATGTAATTAAAAGCAACTAATAGTGATGGTTCTGTGTATTGGAATCTGTTTGTTTCATCTCCCTATACAACAAATTTATCCTTAACAGATATTAAATAAAATTTGAGGTAGTAAATCTAAAATGTTCAACAGTAAAGTGATAATTTATCTCAACTATATAATTACATGAGGTATATGAAGGTAGGTGTTTAATAGGTTCAAACTATAATAAAAAATAATTAAGTTACAGTGAATAATTTAATAGCTGGTCTCACTTATACTTTTTGTTCTTATTTTGAGACAGAATTTAAAATAAACAGTGGAAAGCCTAATTGTTTAACATTCAGCACACCTAGTAAATAAATAAATCTTTTATTTTTAGAAATATTAAAAAAATAAATAATTTTCTTTTAAAATAAAAGCCAATGGAAATTTAATTAAAGCTCAGGTTTCTCTAAATAGAGTTATTACTTTGGCAGAACTTAATAATTTGATATGCTTTTTTGTTTAATATGGTTCTGTTAGATTGTTTAAGTAAATAAATTTTAAGATTATTTTTTTGTGTATTTATTTATTAAAATTAAATTATAGCTTAGTAGATTAGATGGCTAATTCGTGTTCTTTCCAAACAAATCCCTAATAGCTCTACTTAACTTACTCAGGATAATAAACATATAATTAGTAAGTAGTAAACTTGTATGTTTTCCCTACTCAAGACTCGGATGCAGATGCAGGAATATCAGGCTTCAAAAAAATGTTCTCATCAGATAGTGGTCAAATTACAGCTTAAGTTATAACTGATGCATAGACAAATTATTAGCTTAATTTTATATAATCAGCTTAGCTTACAACTAATTTTAGCTATAGTGATGCTTTAACTCCCACATCGAATTTGCCAATACCAACACTAAAATCAATGCAAACAACACCTTTAATTGGTACTGATTCAGCTACCCTTTAAATAAATTAAGTTTCTTTGACATCTGATGGTATGATCTATTTCATAGTAGAATCATAAAAGCTTATTGTGTAGAATACAGACACTAATGTAAACATTTAAATTCGTGAATCCATAATACCTACTGGATAGCAAATACTAAATTGTAAGAACTACTACGGCGAGACCGTTTAATATTGTGGAAGAATTATCTACACTTCTTCTTCATCTAGTTTAGGTTTATCATTCGCAAATGCAAGAATTAACTCAATATACAAAGTATATTATGTCATTTCAAATGACTATCCTATAACACCTACGATAAATTCATAAGTTTACACTCAATATATTAGTACCTACACTTATAGCTCAATAATATCTTCTCTATTTGGTTTAGTAGCTTTAATTATTCTTTTGATTTGAAAAGAAGATATTTTTTGATCTAATAAAGCTTAAAATGATTGCTTAAAATACACACTCTTTTCCTAAATTATTAGATATTTATAAGTTAAGAGTTTGTGTTGTCAAAACAAAGTGATTCAAATGAAAAATAAATTAGAATAAACTAATTAATATATAATTTAAGACATATAATAATAAAAAATATATTTTTTTAGATTGAATTTTATAAATAAAATGTATTAAAAAAAAAAAAATTAACTAGAATATCTATATATCAAATATTACATTTTTAGAAAAATTTAATTTGAATACTCAAAAAATTAAATACCATAGAATAATAAGTAAGTAAGCATCATTAAATTAAGAAGTTTATTTTTGGTTACTGGTATTACAGTTTAAATTTTTAAGTATAAATGTAGATCATTCATAAATAATTAATTTAAATGCAATAAATATTGATATGAAATTAATTTTATTGTTGAATTAAGTTGGTTAAATATTTTTAATTTATTTTAATAAAAAAATCAAAATTTAAATTATGAAAAAATTTTCAATAAAATAATAAATAATTTAAAGTTTATTTTTATAAATAATAAATTTTCATAGATTTCATAATTTGTTATTATTAAATTCAGATATGATTTGTCATTTTTATAAATATTTTAATTTTTTTATCACTTTTTAAATTTTTGTTATTTTAAAGTAAAATAAAATTTTAAAAAAGTAATGATTAAGTTAAATTTAATGTACTAACTAATAAATTATTATTTATTTATTTCTGATATTCTTAATTTAATTATGAATTAATCTTAGTTTAATTTATTTAACTGACTGCATCTTTGTATATTTGTGTAATATGATTTATGAACAAAAATAATTTGTTTATTAATAATATAAATAGAGAAGTATAAATTACAAAGACAAATTAAGATTTAATATTATTAAAACAAGATATTTATTTATTTATTATGGCAATAATTTATTTATTTTTTAGTAGTTAATTTTAATTATTTTGATTTATTGATTTATTTTATTTTTTTGTTTATTGATTAAAGAAAATTTGTGGGATTAAAAGAAATTCAACTAAGTGTATGTATGTATCTATCTATCTATTTATATACTGACTTTTTTACTTTTTTTCTTCTATTTTTATTCAACTTTCCATAGGCTAAAAAACTTAGAAAAGTTATCAACTTAAATTTAGTTCTGATATGGATTTCATTTGAAAACAATATTTATTTTCTTCAGAGTTTTCAAGCTGTGATTATAGAAGGTTTAAAATACTATTTCAGCATGACAAATTTATTTTTAAGGTCTGAAAATTTTTGTGTGTAGTCACGATTATCTTAGTCATCTTTCTCATTTTTTTATTAAGGCTTTTTAGATTCAGAATTTTCGCTTTCTATCTTGGTTAGTGGTTCACTTTACTTTTCTTCAATTAGAGTGTTTGATTTAATTTATTATTGAGAGCTATTAGTGTTTTCCACTTCTAAATTTTAATCAGAGTTACTATTTTCAGTTTGTTTTTTCTCGCTATTCAGCTGCTTTTATTGATTATCATCAGATTTTTCAATTTATATACTATTTTATTGATGATTTTCAGAAGAATCAGTTTGAATTTTGATTTGATATTTTATTTCAGAATCATCTTAATCTTTAACTTATTAACCATGAATGTAGAATTATTCAGATTTATTGATATTCTTTTGTCCTAATATTTTATGTTGTTAGTATCTTTCAAAGCTTGACAACTGATATAATTCTAATTTTCTTTTATAAATTTATTATTTTTCCCAAAGGATATTAAAAACTTTTGAATTTTTAAGTTGTTCTTCTTCTGCCTTTTTATCTTCTGGGTTTAATTTCTTCTTTACCTCCTTCGTAAAACTGAATTCTTCAACTATTATTAATATTTTAATAAAAAATTACTTTATATCTAATGTAAATATTTAAGTTACTTTATTTTTCTATTTCATTTTATTCGGTGTCTACAGATGTTTGTGCAAGCTGCACTAATAAAGATTTGTCTGTTTTAGTGACTTGAAGTATTTGAGAATTTTTAAATGTTTAAGATTCTGGAGTTTATTATTCTTTTTATTTTTTTTCTTTTCTGGTTTTTTTAGCAGAACTTGATATAATCTACTAAGGTGTTTATTGAAGGCTTGAATCTCCTAAATCTTCTTGGCTAACTTTCAATTTTTTTCGAGGTTTTTCTTCAGATTTTTCTTTTAGATCATTATTATTATGTATTTTTTATTTTTTAGAAGATGATGAAGTTGCTGTGGTAGCTGTGCCCTAAAGTGCTTAATTTTCATTTTAATAATTGACAAATATTTCGCTACCTAAATTTTCTATCTCCATATTTATTCTACCATTAATAGACTAAGGTTCTTGATACAGAAAATTGTTACCTTTTGCAGGTGTTGTCAAGTCTTTTTATTTTTGTTTTGGCTCATTTTAATCATTTAATGCTCCTTCATTTTAATTATTCTTTGATTTTGAGGTATCTTTTTGCTTTCTTTTAGTTGATTTAGTATTATTTGGAGTGGAAGTAATTGGATTTTCATGATTTGTAGATGATTATAAAAGTCCTAAATTTTGATTGATTTCATTTGACTACTAATTCTAATTTTCATCACTTTAAAAACCTTACTGAATTATTTAAAAAAATTGTAATTATAAGCTAAAAATTCTTATAAAATAATAAATTTACTTAAACTTAAAGGAAAAGGTTAATTAGTCCTTCTTAATCCTATTTTATTAATAAAATATAAATTAAATAATTTTATTTCGCCTTTAAGTTAGCTTACGATAAGACTATTGCCTTCGTTGTAATTAGATATGGATTTTGTTTCTTTTGTATATTGTCTAAAACCTTTTTTTGTAGAACTTGAACCACCAGCGGTAGCGCAATTAGATACAGTATGTTAATTCATATTATTTGAGTTATTTTAATTCTCATTGGTCACACTCTAATTGCCTTCATGCTAGGTGAATTGCAGATTACTACTTTTGTAGTTTTGTATTATAATATTTTTACTAATATGATTTTTAGGAGTAGTGCCATTAGAATTAGATGAAGGTGCATTTTATACAATAGAAGTTTAAAGGCTTTATGTGTTTAATTAATTATCTCCCATTTTTAAATCGTCTCCTTAAGACTTAACATTTTGATTCTTCATTGCATCCTAATCTGAAGTATCAACTTTTTTCTTAATAAAAATATCTAAATAAATAAATTATCACAGTTTATGTTTTTTATTATTTCAATTGAAAATAGATTGTATCTCTATATTTTAAATTATCAAAAGAGAAACACTGGTGATTGATTGATTGACTGATTGATTAATTAATTAATTGATTAATATATCAATAAATCTATCTATTGATTAACTATACATAATAAATATTTCAGTAAAAAATAAGTTATATGCCTTTGGAAAAAATATTATTTAATACTACTTACACTTCTCTTTTTGTACTCTCTTTTAGGCTTCACCTCAGCTGTTTGAGTATTTCCATCTGCATTAAATTTACTAATCTTCTAAGATGAATTCAGATTTTCATTAGATTTAATCTCAGAAGCATTTTCCTTTTTTGATTTTCTCCTTTTGCCATTTTACTTTTTTTGCTATTACTGTTCATCTGTATCTTGATTTCCTATATAAAATTTTTGTTTATTATAATTAATTAAAACATGAAATTTAGTATGATTTTGCATCTATGTTTGTCTGTCTGTTTTTATGTATGTATGTACGTATTGATTTATTTAATTATGTTTCTAAGTTCTAATCTAGCTAGATTATAAGAATAATTAATTAATTAATTTTTACCTTCGTTCTTGTTAAATATTAGATTAATGAACTTTTGAGTATCTATAGCTCCTCCCAAAATTGTGAACTACTGACCAAATTCTTGATTTTTTTATGGCATGAAACCTCTCATAAAATGGTCATCATCTTCATCTTAGTTTCTGTCTGATCCACTACATTCAATTTAGTTCGAGTTAAAATCAGAGTGCTCTTCGTTCTCTTAATGCATATTATTTTTTTGATATTAAATACTCTCTTTTTATTCAGGATTTAACTCGTCTTACATTAATTCTTATTCGCTTTCGATTTGAGGAGGAACTCCATTTACATTAGAGTTTTTTCCTCCTTTTTTCTTGCTTGATTCCGCATTCTGAATTTATAAAAATATTTTATTTAAGATAAAAATTATGAGATGAGTGCAGTATTAAATAATTGAGTTGTGAAAATTAATTAGCTTAAATAAGTACCTTTGTTTTATATGAGTTTTCTTGTTGTTGAGAAAAATTATTTTAAGAATTCTTTTTTTCTTAAGCCTTCCCCTTGCGTTAATGGCTTTGAACAAATATTTCGTCCTTTGCTTTTTTAATGCGCTAAGCTAAATCTTATCCAAATGAATCTCTAATAATTGTGTTTGACAACTACGGCTTATTGGTTTATTCGTTTTCTTTATGAATTAAATTTGGTGACTAAGAAAGAGTGCTTTTTTTCATTTATATTTGAAAACCTAAATCTTTGAAAATATTTTATTTTGCTAATTGCTGCTAATGGACACTTTCGTTCGAGTATAAGAATTGGCTATATTTTATTTTGACTGATTCTAATACTAAAAAAGAGAAGTAGGCGCTACTTTGAGATATTTAATAATTATATTAATGTTGAGTGTTAGAATTCCTTCTGAAATTTTATTCTTTTTGATTTGTTTTAATTTTCTATTTGCTCTTTAGAGATTGTTAATTTATGGGAATCAAAAAAAAAAAAAAAGAAAGATATAATTCATATCAAAACAGCTTATTCTATCAATTTTCGATTATATTGTTAATAACAAATTTTGAATAATTGCGGAAATTAATTATCAAGCTGCCTGCTATCTGATTTTTTCCAAACACAATCTAAAAAAATAAATAAATCCTCTACCTTTAATTATTTTTTATTTCTTTTTAAAAGTGTGTTTTTACCCAACACAAACAAAATCTCATTTTTTGATTTTAATTTTCAAAAAATTTAGATGAAGGCAAAAATTAGCGTATCTTAACCAAATAATATTTTTACTAATTATTGGAAAGTTTAAAAAAAATTAAAAAAATATAAATTTAAAATTGAGTTAACAAAAAAGAAAAATAAGCAGCAAATATTAACAAATATATTTATCAAATTATTTATTTCTTCTCTCCCATCTCTAACTCTGCTTTCTCGTCATGTTTTTATTAAATTAATACTTGCTTTTTAGATTAAGGTAAAATAACACTCTATTTTATTTAGTATTCTAAAATAAATTCCCTTCGTCTTAATTAATATAAAATAAATAATAAATCTAATTTAAAAAATTTAAATTTGGGAAAAATTAGTCACCTCCTTTAATACGCAAATCTCATATTAAAAGCTGCTTAAATTAATACCTAAATAAAAGTTTTTCTGAGTATGCTAATAATAATTATTATATAAAATAATCTATTCCAATCAGTTGTGATGATAAACAAATTTTAGAGGTTAATTAAAAGTTTTTGAAGTAAATATCAATAGATTCCTTTGGATTGGGGAATATATCAAATAGCAGTATACTATTTCTTTAAGATTACTAAGCTCTTATTCCTATAGGATCTAATATTGGATTATGGGATCTTATCTCATCTAAAAGAAAAAAACTAATCAAAATGTCTAGTGATCCTATTTATGTATTACTTTAAACAAATCAATATGTTATTTCAGTGACTATTAGTGGATAAATCAGCATTTTTTAAAAGACCTCGCTTAAATAAATTCTGAGTTTTTAAATTAAAAAAGGCACAGTTTTACACGCTTGCTCAAGTGAAAAATATATAGCAGTAGCTATTAAATGCAATGAAATAAATTTTATTGAAATTTTTTAAATTAATCAAAATGTGAATATTGAAAAATAATATTAAGTAACTTTACATGAATAAGTTAAACATATTTTGATAAACCAAAATGATTAGCTAATAATTATCAGCAAATGTTAAAATCATGTTTAAGAAAAAAAGTAAAAATACCAATATTAAATGAATCTATTTAGCTTGATAGACAAAGCTATTTTAAAGCAGTAAAAAATAGAGTTAGAAAATAAAATTATTTACATTTAAAATAATTAAAATTTAGGAATTATTTTAACATAAAACAACTATATAGTAGTGTATTGTTTAGAAGATCTAACAATTATTTCTAAATTTAAAATTATATCTGAACCATTTTAAAGTATTTAAATAACAGATTAAAATGAGATATATTTGTGTCCTTAAAGTAATTAAATTCTCAAAATAAATTGTTCATCATTAATAGAAAACCCTTTACCAGATAAAATTGATATATTTCAAAGCATAAATGATACTCGTATTCATTTACAAACTATTTTATCAGATGCATTAAGGCCAAACTCGAACTTTCTTAAAGTTATAAATAACTATATATTCTCATATTTTGATAATGAATTTATTTTTTAGAATTACTATAACATTTCTCAAAAAAATAAATATTCAGGCATTGGCTTAAGTGCTACTTGCATTTCGGTGAATTAAAATGGCGATTTATTTGCTGTAGGTGATTTTCTTGGATAAGTTTAGATTTTCCGTTGTAAATCAGAAGAAACATCTGATAATGAAAATCATCCTATAAGATAAATTTAATTGTAATCTGGAATACGTTGTCTAGATTGGCTTCCTAGTGGAGAAGGAATAGTAATTGGTACTTTAGATGGCTCTATTATAATAAAACAATTTAGTAATGGATAAGATTTCAGCAATATTTTATAAATTTAATCTAATTGTTCTATCACTTCATTAAAATTTAGAACAATAAAAGATAAGACTTTTTTGCTAGCAACAAACTCTTTAGGTTAAGTAATTATTTTTGAAGAAAATCAATGTAATGGCATGTTTTCAGTAAAACATTAAAAATAAGCTCATTTACCATAAGCATCATCTAGTTAATTTGGAACACTAGACAAATATGCAGAAATTTGGAGCTCTGTTTGGGGTTTAAATGGAATTAATTTAATAGCAACCTCAAGTGAAGATACCACCGTTAAAATTTATAAAATTTCCAATGATCATATAAACTTAAAATAAACTTTAAATGCCCATAAACTAGCTGTAACATCTATTGATTGGAAAAAAATGAGTGGTGATCTAAAAGAAATTTTTGCATCTTGCTCTGATGATTAAACAATAGTGATATATGATCCTTAAAGAAATTTTGAAATAGTAAGTATTTTCTCTACTTCTTTCATAAAAGATTGGCATACTTTAACTTACATATCATTAGAAGAAAATGGAACTAGAGTTGCTGTTGGTTCTTAAAATGGTTATCTATTTATCATAGATTTAGTTTAGAACAAGTTTATTTTTGCTGAAAGAGTTCATTTAGGTGGAATAGAGGGTGTTATATGGAAAAAAAATAAAATATTTACTTGCTCAAATGACTGCAATATAAATGTAATAAATCTCAAAACATGAAAATTATTATCATAATATTGAATGAATATGAACAATGATAAAGCTCTTCTACTGACTAATTATTGGTTAATATATTTAATAATGATATAATTTATCTAAATATTATTTTTTTTTTTGCTAAAATAATAAATTGATGTTTCTTCGAATTTTTATTGGTAAAAATACTTTATTTTAATTAATAAGTAATTAAGGTTAATCAATCACTAACTAACTTACTTAGTTAATACTTATTATTTTTAAAATTTTAGTTAAATTATTGATGTAAAATTGAATAAAACATTAAATTATTATTATTATTTTATATGAAAGATAAAATAAATATATTTTCCAATCAGTCCTAAATAGATTTGATCTAATTTTTAATAATAAAAAAATAAAATTAATCAATAAAATTCATTTAATTTAGAAATAATTGATAAAGGTTAATTAATTTTAAATATTTTATAAATCTAATTGGATTATTGATTTATAAATATTTTGAATAAATCATTTAAATATAATTTAAAAGATAAAATAATATATAGTAATATTTAAAATAAGTCTTGAAATAGATTTAACAAATTTTTTCATGATAAAAAGAATAAAATAATTTAGAATACATTAGTGATAACTTAATTAATTTTATTATAGTAGTATAATTGAATTATTGATATTTATAAATAAAATTATTCTTGTAAATACTATTATATTACTTAGCTGTAAGAATAATTTCACAGAAAATTAATTTCGTTTTTATATTTTTTTTTTGGAAAATATAAAAAATACTTAATTTAGAAATGATTAGTGAATGAAAGTTTCTATTAATATTTATCATTATCAATCTGAAAATAAAACTTTTAATTTTTAATAAATATAGTTAAAATAATTAATAAATTTATCTTCAAATATTTGTAAGTTTATCTTCAAAAATATAATAAAAATAAATTTTTTAAATTAATAATTATTTATGTAAGATAAGATAATATAATTTACATTTATAAATTAAAAATGTATGGAAGTATTTTAGTTTTTTGATAAAATATAATTTATAGATAAATTTAACAAGTATTTGGTTAGTTGATAAGCTAGAAATTATGTAAAAATACAAAAGTGAATTACATCTTATGAAAATACTTATTTACCATTGTGAATAAAAAAAATAATTAATGGTTGAAAAAAATAGCTATGAAATTAATGGTTGTTTTTGTAATAAATTGATTAATATTTAACAATAAATATAAAAAATTTGTATTGCTAATTAATTTAGTAATTATTAATTGCTTTTTACTTTATAATCAAATAAAAAATTTACAAATAAATTAGACTTTAGATTTTCAAGATAGGTCTTGATTTACATAACATATACCATTTATTTTTAAAGTTGCTTACATAACAAAAGCTAATATAAAATTTTATATAAGAAATTTAACTTAACGATTTTATAGAATAACATATTTTTTTAAGAGGGAAACATATAGCTATTTGGCGATTATAATAATTATTCTTTTAAGCATGAGCTAATAGTAAGTTTTACAATAAAAAAATCAACAAACAAAAGGATATTTAGAGAATGGAAGGATAAGTTAAATAAGTAACACATCAAAATAGAGCCAGAACAAGGCTGAGGGATTTTAACAAAATTAATTGATTCACAAAAAAAGTATACATGATATTTAGCAGAAGCTGTCAGAATCACCTACAAAGAATTCAAGAATTAGTAAAAGACTTGAAGATGACGCCTCTTAGTCTGATTGTATATATCGCTCTTATAAGTAAATTAAAAACGAGGATATCCAATTTGGTGATCTTGCTATAAATGGATTTAAATTTGATAATTAGCTTACTGAATAATCTTCTATCAGATACCTTAATGAATAAGATGGTATAAAAGAGTTGCTAACTTTAGAAGGAGAATATGATGATGCTATGAGCATAAAATATATAAAAAATAATGATCAATCGATTTAAAGGTTAAACCAAGATTAACCTCATGAAATTTAAAATATCAAACTAAAAGCTAAAGATCGCTATCTACAAAATATTTAGTAGAAAGATTTAAAAGATGAAGAAACTAAAGAGTGAATCCTTTTAGTTTAAGATAAAATTCTTCAAAACAAAATAAACTTTTAAAAAGAAAAAGAAAATGAAAGAGTAAAGCTTAATAAGTTAGCTCAAGCTCAAGTAAATGAAAAAAAATATAAATTTAAGGTAATTTTTGTTATTTATTTGGTAATAGTATTAATTAAAATTATTTTTTTGAAGTTGAATAAGAGACCTGAGCATCCCAATTATTTTTCATCATTTAAAAAGTCAAAAGAAGAATTTGATGAAAGAAAGTTCTTACCAACAGAAGTAAAGACCTTAAAATATTTTTCAATTATTTTATAATTTATTATTATTTATTATTTTAAAAAAGCCTGAGTAAATAAAGAAAAAAGATGACATTACTTAAGAAAAAATTTATGAAATGTAAAAAAGAGTTAATTTTTAAGATGCTCAACTAAGTACTTTCAAATGGGTTGAAGAAATAAACAAAAATAGAGCTTAAAGTGTTTCTTATGGAACAAACAGAAAGAAAATTCAATTAAAAAATGATTAAATTATTAATAATTTGTAAAAGAGCTGCAATTGGAATGTAATAAATGCATAAAATAGCTAGACATTTTAATAAATGCAAGCAAATTCAACACCTTTGCCTGCAACAAATCATTCACAAAGATATAAAAAAATTTAGAGCACGCTATCTTCTTATATAGCAGATAGTTAGCTTGAATAGTAAACAACAAGACCAAATACAGGTAATGCTTCGAGATCGTTTAAATTAAATCTTTCTCAGTTAGGATCAACGATAAGATCTTCTTCACTTGGAGCAGGTGGAGGGTTCTCTTCCAGATATAAAGATTGGAATTGTCTTACAAAAGCTATACCAACAGCGGATTTCACAAATGATTTTACAGACCAAAATAAGAATATTTTTGATAATTAAATAAATTTGTATGACCCAACAATAAAAGTTAAAGAATTTGTTTAAGTAAACAGATTAGTCACTTAGTCTCCTCGCTCTTCTCCAAGAATCACCGAAACAGAATGTTATTCTAAAGACAGGGGTTACACCTAAATTTCAAGATACAGCGATAATTTATCAAACAACTAAATATCTAAGTACACTGAAGAGGTTTAAAATATGAAAAATAATTTAATTCAAAAGCTAAAAACTAATTGTGATAGAAGTTTCGAAGCCGAATAATAGTATCATTACACAGCAGAAAAAGTATACAGACCAAAAACTTAATAAAATTATAGCCCAAATAGCTCCTATAGTTTAGCAAAGCAATCAATAGGATTTGCTTTATAAAAATAATACAATTAAAAATTACAATAGTCTTAATAATATGATATAGAAAATATAAATTCTTCTTACACAGTTTCATTTAGAAACTCCAGAAACTTTGAAATTGATAAGCAAAATAAAGCTAAAACATCAAGTAGTCCTCAAAATAAAGTTTATAATAATTTCCTCATCAAAAAAAGAAGTACTTCGACAGTAAGAGGAAGCTTAAATAGTTGAAAATCAGAATACTTTTTCAAGTTTAAAATTTCATGAAAATTAATTTTAGAAATACTTTTTGTAAAAAGAGAATAAATAAATATATTCATGAGAGAAAACTAAAATAGCAGTAAACAGAAATATATATTAGAATTTAAAACAATTTGAAAATTAATTAAATTAATTTAATTTGTAAATTATAATTTTAAATTTTATCATGTTTTAAATCAATTTATTTTTGTAAAAACATTTTTACTTTTATTTTATTGAAAGAATAAAATAAATTAGGATGAATTTTAGATATTCAAGATTATTAATAATAGCTTTTTTGAAATTTATTTTTGTCTAAAAAATACAATATCTATCTTTCTATTATTTTGTTAAAACAAAAAAAAAATTTTAATTTTATATTGTATTTAATTTTTTAAAATACTTTTAAAAAAAACACACTTTGAAAATAGTTTTGGAAAAAATACGCATATCTCTAGCAAGTCTATTAAATTTATTAAAAAAGATATTGAATAAATAACATTTCATCGATTATATAAGACGATTTGTCTCGTTTAATTGAAGATATATTGTTAAGAAAGAAAATTTAAACAATTTCTGAATAACTCATTCGTGCAAGAATAATTTTTAAAAATAATTCGCATAAAGAATTGATTTTAAAAAGGGAAGAAAATACTTGCTTGTAAGGCGTATGAAAATAATTTTTACAAAGAAAGATATATTTGCGTAATACATGAAATTTAACATAATCTATTAGTCCTTCATTTATTATAAGAGATTTTTATGCAGCCCATGCATGCATGTGGACTTGCTTGAATGATCAATCAAAGATAGAAACTAATAAATATAAAAAACTATACAAAGAAATATTGAATTCTTTTAAATTTTCAATAACTAATTAATAAGGGGATATAGGGATTGGTTAAGATAACATATTAATCGTTCTCAAATCTTAGGTGTGAAAGTAACAGTAACATCAACTCCATAAGAAGTGCCAGTTGTTTAATCAGTAGTGCTCTTAATAGTTAAAACTTCATTAAATTATAAATCTGCTAAAGCTTATATTAACATGTAAGAAGCAGTAGTTTTAGAGGAAAAAGTGACATCAATCTATTAAATGCTAGTGTCCTTGTCTTTATTGTGCTTGAAGATTTCTGATAAACAGTTGTAGATTAACTATTTTCCTTAATTGATCTTAAATAATTTGCACTTCTTCTATCCATTTTTATCTTAGGCCTCGGTTCTAAGGACAGGCTCTAAGGTTACTTTTTTGTTATCAAGATCAGTGCTAATGTGGACAAAGGACAAGTCGAATTTTTGATCTTTACTAGAATTTTATTAAACAACGTCAGATTACTTCTATTCTTCTTGTTGAGACATTTTATTAATATTAAAACCTTAAGTTAATTTCTTTTTTATTTTTTTTTATTAAAATTTGATTTATTTAAATAATATTTTTTATCAAAGATTTCTCAGCAAACATAACATGCATGCATGCAAATTATATGTATATATAATTTTTTATAATTACTAAATAAATTAAAATTTTGATATTAAATATTTTTTCCCTCACTCTTTCCTCCTATTCATACATAGATAATCTCTTTCCACAACTATTCTCTATAATTAATCACTTCAAAAATATCTTTTTTCAAATTTAATAAAATATAATACCATCAAATAAATTGTTTCTTTATTTGAAGACTAACTCAATTCAAATCAAAAAGTAATGTGTCTCTCAATTTTTCTTTTCATAAATTGTCTCAAAGCCAAAACAAACAAAAGTTAAAAAAATTAAAATAATTTTAATATTTCTGATCAAAAAAATTGAGTTTTTGAGATACAAATTTAATTATTCTTATTCTCAAGATAATTTCTTTTACACATCCACAAAAAGTATTTACAACGATTGACAAAAATAGTTTTTCAATTATATTTCATATTAAACAAAAACAAAGAAATACATAAATTAAGGTTATCTTTTTATGCAGATACTGATTGATTCAGCAGATATTTTGATATGAAGATATTTAAATAGCATTTTATTGAATTTTTATTGTGTTTTAATTTTAAATTACAAAACGATTTTCTTGACTTCAACTAATTTCTATCTTATTGTTTTGTGATATTTCATTTACCAATTCTATCATATCACTCTATCTTTTTCTTCTCACTAACCTTAGAATCAAAAACATCAAAATTAAGGCTAGTAAAAGAATCAATGTGTAGTAATATATACTATCAGTTTATTCACTTGACTCATTGATATCATCTATGTCTTCTTGCCCAGCTTCTGCTTCTAATCCAGTTTAGTCTATAAAAATAGGAGGCTGTTGCATATTAAATAGTTTTAGATTTTAAGCACTTCCTATTCCTGCTAAAATTCTGATATTAAAAGCCATGCTATCTTAGGCTTTTAATGGAGTAGAAAACACAATATAGTACTTTCTATAACTACGACCAGAGAAAGTGTAATTAAAAGAAATTTGATAAGTAGAAAATCTATTTTTAAATCTCAAATCAATCAAAGGTTGTGTTGGGACAGTTTTTTAGAACTAGGGTTCATTCATTTAAAAATCTATAAGATTTTAGTTAAATTCATCGATTCCTTACTCTTGTATTTTTTAGAATCTGTAATCTTCACTGTAATCGACAAAGAAGACATTCTAAACATGAAAATAATGGAACTTGGTACCAGCTTATTATGAAGTATCATTTTGATCTTAGTTTGTCATATTCACAAAGCTACTGTTGTTTATTTATTGTTTTGTAAAATCACGTTAAAAACCCAACTCAATAAAAGCACTTTCTTAATGTTCTTGCAAGATATCGCCAATACCAGAATTAAAAATCTCAAATGTTATCACTTTTAGCTTTGAGTTCTTAATTATTGTCTTTAAATTATACTTACTTATAAATCTATTTCTTTGACTCTAATTTAAAAACTAAGTACCTTGAAGTCTATTTTTTTAAAAATGCAAATATTTAAACATTTGAATGCACAATATCCTAAATAAAATATATTTGTAAATATTACTTTGGATAGAAGAGAATTTTTTGCATCATATAATTAACAGGAGGATAATTGTCTTATAAATTTTTTAATATAATTTATTATGGAGGGAAAAAAGTGGTTGATTCATCTCCTATTTCAGGGCTCATTGCAATAATTTCTAATTTATTTTTTAAATTTTAACAATTTACATATTTAATCAATTTGTAATTACTTTTTTTGAGTAGCATCCAATCAGTGGCTTCTCCATTTGCTAAATAATCTCCTTATAAAACCATGATTGCATTTCCTTTCCTAAAAAAAATAATTTAAATAAATATTAATTTTTTAGGGCGATTCATTACTTTGCATCTTCAGAGAACTTTGCTTCCTCATCAAATTCTTAGTAAATGTGATATTCTCTAATCATTTTCTACAATTCTTTGTTTTCTCTGTCAGCCAAGTAATTTATAGGGCGAATCCACATATTTCCATAGCTATTTTTTTTAATAAGCTAATAAAAAATATTTTATCTTAGAGTTTAATTTATACCTATGAAAATTAAAAGCTATCTTTAAATTTGGTCTATCTTCTACAAATTTTTTCATAGCTTAGGTTTCTTTTTCAGAAAATGCATGAGGACCTCTATAATCTTCTGAGCATTCATAAGAACTACTTCCTTTAGAATCAAGTGCAAAATGTTCATCATAATTTCTGTTTAAATCAACTCCTCCAAAGTTAAATTGGCAAGCACTAGTTCTATTAAAATTTTTTCTGACAGAATCTCTTTCTGCTCTATTTATTATATCCTTAACTTTAATAAGACCATCTACATTAACAGCAGGTATGAACCTTGATAATAAAAAAAATATATCTTGCCTTTTCTAGTTATATAGTTATTAACAACTTACCATACAACAGAAGCTGTTAACAAATTTAAAGTATCTTGATATCTTGATGAATAGTCAGAAATCAATTTAGCAAAAGTATAAATTTGCATTGATAAAGACAACATTTCTCTCCCATGATGGAGACTATCAATCAATATGCTTTATTATTCATTTAAATCATCAGTTTTTACTAGAATACATAAAATAAATTTAAAATTATTTCGATTTAATAATACTCAATTTATTTGTTTACAAGTTAATGCAATTGCCCACATAGAATTATTTAAAAATGATTTTCCAATCTCAATTGGTTACTTTACTAATTCAGGAAAAGCCTATGAAGCCTTGAAGTAAATCTCCATAGTTGTGTTATAATCAAAATACCCGTTCTATTAAAAAATAAATTTTCAAAATTATAATTACTTTAAATTTAATTATACCATAGGCCCATTATCTAAATATCCTTCCACCTTTCCCCAGTTGTTTGGAGTTTTTAGATCTCGAATGAACTCTTCAAGTTTGAATTAATTTTATTCCTAAGAAAAACTAACTGAAAAAATGCACAAAATAACCAAAAATCTTGCTAACTTTATCATATTTTTTAGTATTTTTTTTAGTAATATTTAGATTTAAAATTTTTTGATTTATTAATTTCTAAAAACACTGCTTGTTAGAAACAATAAACATCTCTTTTTATTATAAAATAGTAAATTACTATTACTGAATCTAATTTAATTAAGATTAAGATTCAAAAATCTATCTATATTTGTATGTAATAGTAAATTTAAGTATTATTTTAAAAAATAAATATTACTATTTAATTGTAAATCTTATTTATTTATTGATATGATTTTAAATTTATTTTTAGTGTTATATATAAAGTTCAAATAAGCTTAAGTGTTATTTTTCAATCAATCAAATAAAAATGATTTAGTATTGATATTAAAGACATTAAAAATTATTCTAGAATTTATAAGGAATGCCATTATCAGATGTAAAAAATTGTAAAGAAATTAATTAACTGCATTAAAATTGCATATCCAAAATTCCGTGATATGTTTATAAAATTCATTAGAAAACTATTTAATTTAAAAGATACGATTTTACAAAAAATAGATAGCTATTTTAGGAGAAATAACTATAAGTCATTTATAAATATAAGCATATAACAGTTAAAAATGGATTTAAAGGATTAAAGTTTAGATCAATAGTTGATTGATTCTTTAAAGAATAGAAAATTTAAAATTGCATCTCGTAGTTCTTAGCTTGCGCTATCATAAACTTATGAAGTAAGCAAGATATTAAACATTGTTTTTTAACTCCATTAAACAAATAAAATTAATTATTTTTCAATTCTTAAAGGAATCATATATTGAAATAATTTTATTCAAAAATTAAAAAAAAATCAAAATAAATTTATTAGGTAATTGACTTGCTAGTAGGTGTAAAGGAATTAGGTTTGACTAAGGAAAATTTTGAAGTTGTTCCAATTTCTAATGCTCCTGGTAAAAATTGCACATTAAAATTTAAAATAAATATTACTAATAAATAATTTACTAATAAAGGAGATTAAAACTTAAAAGATCCTCTGTACGTTATGGGAGGAGTAGGAGTTTTCACTAAAATTGTTGAAGTAGAATTGTAAAAATTTACATAATAAAAATGCGTTTTTTTAGAATTTATTATTTCAATTAAAAATATTTAGATTAAATAAAAATGGAGATATCGCTGTCCACTCTTTAAAAGACTTACCTACTATTATTGATGAGAGATTATTCATAGGAGCTGTACCACCATTGTAAAATTACCTTCCATTTATACTGATTTTCATTTTTTATTTAACTATAAAGAAAGCCTAGAGGAGATGTAGTAATTTTTAATGAAAAGCATAAAGGAAAAGAATTGAAGGATTTGCCAGAAGGAAGCGTAATAGGTACTTCCTCACTTAGAAGAATTACTAATTTAAAAAATAGATACCCTCACTTAAAGTATGAAAATATTAGAGGAAATTTAAACACTCGTTTAACTAAATTAGAAAATGGTATGTATAAAAGAAGTAGCTTAATCATTTTATATCATATTAATTTATTTATTATAAAGGATAATATGATGCAATTATTTTAGCTGAAGCAGGAGTATTTAGACTTGGATGGATAGAAAAAGTAGGACAGTTTTTGAAATAAGAAGATTTCTTATATGCTCCTGGTTAAGGAGCTCTTGGAGTTTAGTGTAGAGCAGATGATAAAGAAGCCATAGCATTGTTGTCATATATAAATCAAAAAGAACCTAGAATTAGAGTTGATGCTGAGAGATAGTTTTTAAATAAGCTTGAAGGAGTAATTTTAGTATAATTAAAAAGACAATTTTTTATATAAAAATAAAAAATTTTAGGGTTGCAAATTACCTATTGCAGTTCACAGTGAAATTATAGACTAGACTTTAAGATTAACTGGTTAAGTTTGGAGTCTTGAAGCAGATAAAACTATTAGAGAAGGTAGAGAGAGATAAATTAGTTTAATTTAATGAATCTAAGTTTAAAAATATTTTTTTTAAAAACATAGTCATAGAAGGTCATATTTCTGATTAAGATTTGGGATTAAAGCTTAGTGAAAAAATGAAATAAGCAGGAGCTGGTGAAATATTAGAGAAAATACGTTCATAAATTGATAAAAAAGAAAATGAAGAGTGATTATTAACAAAAAATAAAAAAGTTTATTTAAAAAATTTTATATTTTAAAAATGTACAAATAAAAGTAAGACTTAAGACACAAAATGAATTAATTTTTAAAATTGAAAGAAAATTTCTATTAAAATTATTTAATTTATTTTTATAATTATATTATCCAATTCAACACTCTTATTTTTAATATTCGAAAATGATTCAAAAATAATTATCTTAAAAGGATAATAAATTGTTTAAATTAATATTAAAATATTTTTTATAAACTATGAATGTATTTAATTTATTAAATATTAAGTTAGTTAAATTTATTTCAAAATTAAACTGCTTTTAAAAAAAAATAGATAATTTAAATACTATTTTCTAAAACAAGACCAAGTTTTCATTTCAAATTATGATGAATTTGCTTATAAAATAAAGCAATAGCTATCAATAAATAAAATAATATTTAAACATTTTTAAAATTTTAATTATTCAAAATTTCATATATGAATTAGAATAACTTTTTTGAGAACCTATAAATTAAAAGAATCATCAATTATATTTTAGTTTGTTTCATTCATTCTTAATAAAAAATTATTTATGCTTCTCACTTCAAACATATTTATTTTTATTAGATACGTTTATCCTTAAAAAGATAAAAATAATATTTTAAATTAATAAAAAATTTCTTTTTTAAAAGTGAATGATAAATACTTGAATAGTAAAATATAGATTATGTTTAACTGAACTTTAAAATTATAAAAAATTAGTTATTTACACTTCTTGGTCTTAATTAAAGTAGTCAACGAACAAATTTTATTTATACAAGAGTATATTAAACTGCTATTATATCAATTTTAAGAGATTTTCATACAGTCATAATTATACTATTTATGTCAAATCATATTAGTTTGAAGTAAAAATTTTTGAGGAGTCATACAATTTTATATGGAAAATAAAGCAATAAAACAAACAATTAAACTTAAATTTATAAATTTAATTCAATAAAGTTAATTTCTTTCATATCTTTAATTCATACTTTTATTTTTACTATTTATTATTTTATTATTTATTTATTTATGGTTTTATCAATTATCTTCTTCCTCTTCTTCTTATTGCTCAACTTTTTCTTGTTATTCTTCAGGGAATTCTTCTTCAGGTAAAATTAATTTGGGCTCTTCTGGAACTATATGTTTATATTATTCACGTGGAGGCTCTACTTCATTTTCTTCGTGCTCAGGAACTTCGTCATATCTCAATTAAACAAACAGATTAACCTTTCTGTATTCTTATTCAGCCTTATTTTCTGGATTTTCTTCGTTAATAAGTCTCAAATACTCTAAAAGCTTATCATAAGTATTTAAACTTCCATTATACTTAATTGAATAGTGTTTCTATTTTATTTATATTTAAGATAAACTTGATAAAAATTTGATTAAAATAAAGACTCTTACCTTTTATGTCTTTTTAAGTTTATTGTACCATTAGGGGATGGTTTTAGGAAGACCGTTTGTTGTTGTCCATTCATAGTCAAAGATGTTAAATTTGGGCTTGCCTTCTTCCTCTTCTTCAGCAGGAGGTTCTTCTTCTTAACCTTCTTCATCTGCAGCTTTTTTTGGCTTCTCAGGTGGGGGATCCAACTTACGGGCTTCATCACTAATCTACCAAGTAAGTCTGTTGTCTGTAAGAACTAAAACCATTCTAACAGGTCCAACTTCTTTTTCAATATTGTAAATTTCATCAGATGCTCTGGGGTAGAATCTTTCATTGGAGGATCTTTCAGCAGGAGTATCACCAGAAGGATAACCATATAACAAAATATCTCTATTATTAAATTTAAGAATTAATTATGTTATTTTTAGTATGAAGTATGTACCTTGAAGGAATTTTCAATGTCTTTAAGTAGTTACTGATAGCTTGTATTATGAGCTTTGGGGAATAATTAGAGGGGAAAGTAGGTTATTGATCAGTCCATCTCATAGCATATTCGCTTTATACTTAATCATGAAGATTATATGTCTTTTGCCAGTAATTAAGCTTAATAATTTCTTGAACATCTACAAAGGTAGTGTTAGTCTTGGCACAGAAGTTCAAGAAAACAAGTTTCTATTCTTCTTTGACTTCTTGTTAATGGTGAGTAGTATAATCATTAACTACATACACTCTCTTAAAGAAGATGTTGTTAAGGTATCTTGTAGTTGATTCAAGTGAATGATTAACATCAAGCTTGTATAAGGTGAATCCGAAATTACTTTCAGCAGTTTAACTTATTAATTGAGTGTATTAGCTTGCTTTTTTATTTTAATTAATTTTTGTTGATAAATATTTTTAATTAAAAATGAATATATATTTTACCATTTGCAAGGAGATCGTCAATCTTTTGTTAGTCTTCTTCAGACATTTCAGCTTCAGGATCCATTTCATTCTTAATTTTATAACGTCTAACGTAGATATCTTTGTTAATTTAGAGGTCAATACCTAAAGATGGAAGTCCTAATTTTTTTATGAATTGCTAGAACTAAGCAAAGTTATAAACAGATGGCCAACTTTTTTATGTTAATTAAAAAATAAATTTGTAATCTAAATAAAATATTAACTAATTTATTTACCCATCGAAGAGAGTTTTAGAGGGATTTTTAGCAGGATTGAGAGTTTCAGCAAAGTATTTTTCAACTTGTTCATATGTAAGCTCATCAAGGGGACCTTCTTCTCCACCGAGTTTGGTCTTCAAAAATTCAAAAGTTTATTCCCAGTCAATAAGAGTGTATCCAAACTTACTTGCAACATACTTAGCAATAGAGGATTTACCAGATGCTTAAGGTCCTAATACAAAACCGTAGTTAGAACGCTCGTTAATGTAAGCATCAACAATATCTAATGCAAGTCTATCGATGTGGATGTATTTACCCTTTGCAAAGAATTAAAGGAGGGGAGAATTATCGTGGTAATATTTAACCTGCTATTGAGGCATATAAAAAGTAATTAAGTAGTCGATAGGGAATAATTCTCTTTCAAAGTGCTCAAATCTTTATTTTTAAATGATAATTTTGACATAAAATTAAATATTTTTTTTGAATTTTACTAGTTATTTCTTTCAGGGAACTTTGTAATTATGAAACGACGTTGTTTAGGATTTGCGAATAGAATTTTTTATAAGAGTTCAACTTAAAATTTAGGAGGAATTTCTTTACCTGATTGCTCAAAGGCATTCATTTTGGCACCAAGATTAGTACCTCTTTCAATTTCGCTTTAACATTGTTCGGAGACGTCGAGATAAATGAAATCACGCTATTTTTCTAACTAATCGCAATAATCCAAAGCAAGATCAGTATTATTGTATGTAAAAGCAGAAATAACTAAAGGACGAATGTTATTTAATATGAATTTGATAATATTTGGAATTGTGTCAACAGAATTGACTTTAACAAAATATGGTTGGTTCTAAATCAAACTAAGAATTCCCCCACGACACTTAATGAACTACTCATAAAGATCTTTTTGTCTTTTTCTTTCTTTTTCATCCAAAATATACTTCTAGATGTTGTTCATTACTTCATCCTTTGGAGAATCATAATAAAAGATTCTAAATGGTAAACTGTTAATTTAATTTTATAAAAATATTTATTTAAACATTTTACAAAATAATTTTTTATTAATCAACTCAATTAAATTTTACCTGAAATGTTTAAGGAAAACTTCAGCATCATTTTTACTATTAAAGAAAGAATCAATAATAAAGTTATTGTGTGGAGCATCTTATAAATAGTTTATAAGCTTGTTAATTCTATCAGTTTCACTCTTAACTTAATGTTGTTTATCGAAAGCTTCCAGATTTACAAAGTGGTATTTAATTTTTTCACTTAAACGCCTTGCAGTTTCAGTTTTACCTACACAGGGAGGTCCATACATGAAAATAAGATTTGGTTTAATTTATTCTTGAACTTATTTGTAAACTTCATCAACTGATTTTGAGCCATCCATTGTTTTTACTTTACCAAAATGATTATAAAAATCAAGCACAGGTTATGTTTCATTATGGAAAACTCTAAGTCTTGTAGCAATAGCTTCAGGGTTATCATCAGCTCTTCCACTGCTTGCACCTATTAAAATAATTTTAAATACATAATTAAACAATGAGCTAATTAAATTAAATTAATAAATAAATAAATAATTATGTAAATTTTATTTGATTTATAATAAATCAAATAATCTATAACTTCTTAAAGCAATATTAATATCTTTTTTATGCCAAAATATCTTATTCAATAACTTTTGAATAATATATTTTTTTAAAAGTATTTTTATTCTCAACAAATTTAATATCATTTAGCTTACCTCTTCCCATAAGACGTGATGTAAGAATTTCATCAGGAACCTCAAAATTCAAAATGTAATCTATTTCCTTGAACTTCATTTCAAACATCTTTGCTTATTCAACATTTCTAGGGAAACCATCAATAAGAAATCTCTATTAAGAGTTAAAATGAATATAATGAATATATTATAAATGGCAAGTCTATTATTTTATTTTCAATCATGCTTAAAACTAATAAATAAATCAATTTTTTTAGCCTAAAAAAAAGAGTTTGTTATATATCATTTTCATAAAATCTTGAATTTTAAAACAAATTATTGCTAATTACAAAAGATTTTCTGCTCTTTATTGCTTTTATGATTAAAGCTACAACTAAATGATCTGGAACCAATTCACCCTTTGCTGAAGCGTCCTTGAATTTTTGTCCTTCTGGTGTACCTCTTTAAAATAAATAATATATTTTTAATTAAATTAATTATAATTGCTTTATTATTATTCGTTTTATTTAAAAGAATTGTCATAAAAATTGTAAATCATCAACTAAATGGCGAAAAAAAAAAAACAATTTTTAGTTTAGAAAGCACATTGAGGCCATTTGAATACTCTCTAAAATATAACATTCTGTAATTTTATTTCTTTTCTCTAATTGGTAAATTGAAAGAGAACTGTTAGTACCTTTTAATTTCGTCTCTGACTAAATCACCTACAGAAATATGTTCAAAATGATAATCTCTAACTAATCTTTCACATTGAGTACCCTTACCAGAGCCAGGACCACCTTTTTATATGAATTTAGATTAAATAAACTACTTTTTAGGTTAAATTTAGAATATAAATAAAAATATTTTTATATTTTAGCAATACCGCTAACAAATACGATCTTAGGATTCAAGTAGCTAATTTCGTAGTTTAATGTAACGCTCATATTTATCTTTTTTTCTTTATTATTATTAACTAATATTATTATCAAATTATGATTATTCTTTTTGAAATTTATTTTTTTATTTTTATAGATTGACACTGTATTTTAATCATTTAACTAATTAATAAAAAAATAAATGAATATTATTGTCATTTTATTCATCTAAGTCATCCATCTTAAAACTGATTAATTAATAATTATCATTCATATCAATCTTTTATTTTTTAAATTAATTATTCATATCCTTTTTAAAACTACCAACTCTTTCTTCATTATTTGTTTTGCATTAAAATCTATTTTAATTATTAAAAATTAAAAATAATATTAATTTTTATCACAGTCAATATCGCAAATAATCTAATTTTATGTTTAAAATATAGTATTAAAAAATATTTAACATCAATTAAAAAAAATGTTATATTTAAATCAATTTTAGTTTCTAATTTTGTTAGTAAAATTATTATTTTCTACATTCAAATTTATTTAAAATTGATTTTAAAGATTTTACACTTAATTTTTAATATTTAAGTATTGGTGGTTTTAAAAAAATTTATTTATTAAAATGAAATAAAAACAAAGTATTATTATGAAAGACACAAATTATTTGACTATTTATGTTATTAACTGATTTGTTTTAATTAAATTTTTTGAAATTTGATTGAATTAATTGAGAAACAAGATTTTTCTTATTATTAATTCTAACAGAAAAATTAATTAAAAAAAGAAAGAGAGGGTGAAAACTAATTATCACCTGAGGAAAGCCTCAAGATTTGAGTAACAGAACGAAGAAGGAATTCTATTATACTTTTTTGTGAAGAAGTATATAAAGAAGCTTTTAATTGAAGATGCTAGAGAAAGGGATGTCCTATTGAGTATTTGATTGCTTGCTTGCTTGCTCTTTGCTAGATTAAACAAAGATTTTACTGTACTTAAAGATATTATCATGCTAGACCTTGAAATAAATGAAGAATTACTATATTTTAAAGTAATTAGATTAGAAACTATGTAGTTAAATGAAAGCTGAAAACAAAAAGAAGTAGAAAGTTTTGAGAATATAAGTGAAAGAAAGTGTATTGATATGAAATGAAAATTTGTTTAGAATGATTTAATCTGATCTACATCGAGTGATTCAGTTTGAGAGATTTTTTTAGTTTTTTGCAAGCTAGATTAGATTCTCAAATAACTTTTTCAGGAAGAACAAGATTGGACGATGCATTGCAAATCACAATATTGATTTCATCATCGAACCCAAGTTTTTAATCCACTTGAATCAGAAATAATAATTTCTCGATTTATATATGAAATGTGGTTATCTTTTTAATGTCTTGTAGATAGCTTAACACATTTCCCAATCTTGAGAATCCAGCTGAGTTAATCTAATCAAATGTGTGAAAATCTTTAATATTGATCAATAATTGATGTGAAGGTGTATTGATTTTTATTGAAAGCTTTGCATTTCTCGATTTTCTATTAATACATGCTATTGATCTTATATAATCTGATTCTGACTAACCTTATTGTTGAATACTAGATTTTAATGAAAGGAATCTAATCTAATGAAATAAAAGCTTAATTGATAATTAAAATCTGGCTAACTAAATTTATTTAAAACACTTAAAGACTTCGAGATATTCTCTGTAAGAATAATCCTTGGACTCTGCTGAATAGCAAGCATACATCCCAATTAAAGATTAGAGCCTAATACCTAATCACTTCAAAGAAAAAAGCAGAATTATATACAACTAAGCTAAAAGTAGACTTAGAATTTCCTGAAGCTAGTACGCTCACTGCAAATCAACAAGGTTGACTGAATGGACTTTATCTCTTTCTTTTTAGATGGAGTGTTAATGATGCTGGAAATGAGAAATAGCTAACTATATTATTTTTTTTTACAATTTTTAGGAGTATATTTTTAATTCAAGAGCAAATAGAAAATAGCACAAAAAATACAAACACAAAAATTAGAGCACAAATCAGAAAAAAAATCAACATCAAGCAAAATGAGCAAAAATAATTTTAGAGCATAAATAAATTTTAAAGAACTAGATGAGATAAGAATATAGTTATGTTATCAAGACTAGAATACTTGTGAAACTGATAAGTTTTTATCAATAGATATCATATTTTAGAGGCCGTTGAAAAGAAGATTCTTAATGATTATTTTGCATCAAGTAAATATACCAACGTCATAAAAGTTTTTAATCAGATGCATCAAAATCTAAATAAAATAGTGTGTTTAGCGGGAATCTCCTTGAGGCTTATAATCTTGCGATTTTCTCATAAAGTACATTCCTACCCTCATAGAATGGAAATATTGAGCTAAAATATGATAATTTTAGGACTCAGACCTTCAATTAGTTTTCTAGATCCTCAAATCCAGTCAATCGTTAGCTCCTAAACCCATCTCATAAATTGAGAAAAATATTTTTTTAATTTAATTTTAACATTTTAGATTTTTAATTTTAACAGGTCTTTAGCAAATATTTCAAAATTTAATAAAAAAAATAAAATTAATTAAAAAAATAAATAAATAAATAAAAAATATAAATTAATATTAAAATAAAATAAAATAAATTGATTTAAAAATAAATAAATAAAATTATAAAAATTAAATAAAATAAATTAAAAATAAATGATGAAAAATAATAAATTAATAAAATAAATAAAAATACAAAACAAATTAAATTAATATCGAGAATAGACAAAAAATAAATAATTAATTAACATTCAAACTATAATTAATATCGCATAATCTTCATTATGTTTTTATTGTGATTTTCTTTTATTTGAAAAATGAATGTTTCATAGTTTGATTATTTAAAATAAAGCTATTTTTTTAAAAAAATGTACTATATTTATTTAATGAGAAAGAAAAAGTAGATATAATTTATTGATTATTTTTGAAATAAATAAATAAATTTAAATTTTAATTATTTGAAAGTATCTGAAACGGTGTAGAAAAATTTGAATATCATAAGTGATGTGGAAGATTTTAATTAAATTTCTTTTAGAAAATTAATTTTCTTTTTTGATAGCGTCATTGTAATGACGAAAAAAAGCTTATTCTATCTTTAGATATAAAAAATAATAATAAACTATATTTAAAATTCTCTATACTAAAATAAAATAAGGGTCTATAACAAAATTTAAATTTAAAATAGAAAACTGGATAATTTATAAGTTAATGCGCATGTTTTTTATAATCGTTTTTTTATTTTTATGTAAATTTAGAAATCTTTACATTTAATTTCATTCATTTATTTTTTACATTTCGAAGTAAATTTGGTAAGAAATAAATAGAGAAAATTATTGATTTGATTTTTTGTGGTGTAAAACAACACTTTTGATTACTTTCACTCTACTTAATGTAAAGGGATTTATCAAATACTTTATTTAATTGATGCTTGTTTGATTAATACAAAATCTAATTATTATACTTCAAAATTTCTAAGTGCGCATCAGAAAAATAGGTATTTATCTATTTAATAAATAGTAAGAAGAAAGGATTTTAATTTTATTTATTTATTTTACATTCTCATTCATCATTAGGCCAAAACTAATTTATTCTTGATAAAAAGTAGATTTGAGTTTGCCAAATTTGAATTTTAGAAATAAATCTAGACAGCATTCTTCATCGTGATATTTAAGAATGTAGATAAAAAAATATAAATTTAAATGTAAATTATAAATATTCGATTTATTTAATTTTTATAAATGAATTAAAGTTTATACAAAATAGATTCGCATGTAATTTTATATAGAATTTACAATTATAATTGAAATTTTTTAATGGAATTTTGTTAATTTGATAAGTAAAATTTATTTTAGTGTTTTTAGTCATTATTATTTTATATTTATTTATTTATTTTAGTTATTTTGTTAATTTTTTTCATTTAGCTCTTTCAAATGTTTTTTGTTTTTTTATGAAATTTGCATCTTTATATTTTTACATTTGTTAGGTTCTTCTTTTGATTTGCTTTACTTTCATGTGCTTTGTTTTTTCTTCATTCTTTTTTTTTCAGATGCTAGCTTATTTCTAAGTGAATTCAGAAAGTTAAGTCTTAAGATCCTTGAAAATTTAATGTCTGGCAGCACCATAGTGAATATGATTAAAAAGCATACCAGGAGCCTTTGCGGTAATAACTGACCAGACAACCCAATACCAGTTGGAGAGAATTTAGCAGCATAAGACTTCATAAACAAGCTAGTTGCAGAGCTCAACAAAAGACTCTTGGCTCATATATTTTAAAGCATATTTAAGAGGGATTCTGCGAGCAGCAGATTCGTCATTAGCTGCAGCTGCTATTTCATCTTCGAATTGAGATAAGATTGTCTCATCTTCGATGTGCTTGGCAGCAATATAATGTTCAACGAAATCATTAATATCGTCAATTTTGAATATGTTTTCTTTTACAATGTCATAATAAGGATCTTCAGGGAAATTGTAATTGAAATGAGATTCGTTCATATAGTTAGCAATATCATAAGCGCAATAATTGTATGAGCAATATTCAAAGTCAATGAATTTGAGACGATTTCCAGATGAGGTGTTAACATTGTAGAAAATATTTAAGTTGTTCAAATCATTGTGACAAAGTCTAGTCTCAGATTTAGGAAGGATAGAATATAAGAATTCAACTTCCTTTTCACTAACGATTTCTTCAAATTCCTTAAGCTTTTCCTTCTCTTCTGAACTGAAGAGTTCTCCCTATTTCATTTTATCAAAGAAAGGTTTGAAAGACTCAGTTCTAGTATCCAAGTATTTCTTAATAGAAGGTTCTTCACGAGGGATGTTAGAAAGTTAGATTTTATGGAATTAAGATAAATACTTGGCTATTAAGCGTCTGTAAGTTTTACTGCGCATAGTGGTTAAATCAGGGTGAACACCTTGATCAATATATTCCTCAATACGCCATGAACCTCCGTAAGCAAGACACTTAGGACCAGCACCATTCTTTCCCAATTCATTGAAGATAGTGTGCTCTTTAGCCTTATCAACCAAACCCTCGACAGTACCAAAAATACGAATAACTGCGATTTTATTGGAAGTGGTCAAGTTAGGGTCATTGTTTTTTGCGCGATAAGTAGCATTTGTCAAACCAGTAAGCTTTTTCAATTCGATATAACGTAAATCAGTTGTATCCTTCCATTCAGGCAAGTTATCAACCAAAATTTCCTTATATTCAATCAAAGTATCCAAATCCATTTTAATTCAATCTGTTTAGTAAAGTACTATTTTAAGTGTTTCTTTTATTAGTGTTAGAACTATTTGTTTGTTTGTTTGTTTTTTTATTACAAAAACTTGACTTTAATTAAAGCTATTTTTTTGTTATTTTAATTAATTTTAATTTTTTTTAATTTAATTGATTATCTAAAGAAATTACCCTCACCATTCCGCATGTAAAGGAAGCAAGCATATCTATACCAAACAACAAAAGGATGGTCAGGCAATTAATTTTTACACAAGTTTATAATAGATGAATAATCTCATTTTTATTTGATTCTATTAATACTAGCTCTTATTCACGTCATTGTCATCAATCAGCAAAAAATTTTGAAAGAAATCTTTAATAATTATTTGAACACTTTTAATTTCACCTATATTTTTAATAAAATGATAGCTAAAACATTACCAATAATAATAAGCCAATAATTATTCTATTATTAAAAATAAATTTTATTCATAAATTAGAATTTAATAGGCATTTGATTATATTTCAAACTTGATTTAATTTACTTTAATTATGTAAGTTAGTTTATTCATTAACTTTTAAAAAAACATAAAATTTATGTTATTTTCAAAAGCTTTTCAAAATTAATTCAGTAAAAAAATTAATCAACAGATAATAAATTTTGTTCTGTTAATTCAAGTTGATAAAATTCAAGTGAAAAACTATTTATTGCTTGAACAGTTGTTAGAAAATCTTCAAATTAGAAATAATAAAAGTATTAGAAAGAAAGAAATAAATAAATATCTATTTACTTTTAAACGCTTTGAAGTAATCAGTTTAATATCTAATATTCTATTGACATTTTTCATAAATAAAAATCTTAAATTATTTATTATAAATCAAATTTTATCTTGATCCTTTTATAAAAAGTAATATATTTATTTCATCTTTATTTATTTTTTATAAATCAACATTATTTATTTTATTTTTAATAAATAAATAAACTTAATTTTCTTTTTTTATATTTTAAATAATAATATTTTTTATATTTAAAATAATGTCATTTTTCATATTTATTTTTAGATATTTTTATTTTATTTTTAATAACTTATAAGATATTTTGAGATATCATTTTTCAAGCTATCAATAATTTAATTCAAAAAATTCAAAAAATATATTTGAAATAGATATTTTTATTTCATTAGTATTTAATTCATTAACTTTATGTACTATCCTATATGAGCATTTATATATTTTTAAATTATTAAACCTACTATTTTTAATAAAACTTCTTATTTTCTTATTTCTTTATAAAATTTAAATAAATTTAAAAATTTTATTTCTAAAAATAACTCCTAATTAATTTAAATAGTTAGTAATATTCATGCTTAACTTTTCTGTTAAGCGTTATAGTGTTATAGAATATTAATTAATTTTTTTCTTCTTCTTTTCTAAATTTAAAAATATTCACCTGAATTCAACTTGTTTTTCAGGATTTTTCTTTTATCAACGTTTTTTATGTTAAAAATATATTTAATTCTATTTACAAATAAAAGATGAAGAAATATTTCTTAAATTAGAGTACTATTTAATATAGAAAATAATAAATAATTAGTCATATTTTTCAAAATTGATTCAGCATAAATTGAAAAATAAAATAAGTAAAAAGATTAGCAAAATAAATTTAACAATTATTATGAATTATACCTTTTTTATTTTATATTTTATTTTTAGGAATTTATAAATTGTGTATCAAACTGAAATACTATAAAATAGAAAGATTTTATTAAAAAATAATTCAATTTTACCTAATTTTTTTCATTTTTCATAATATGTTAATTTAATCAGCTTTATCCTCAATTTGGCAAACTTATTTTCATTTCTAATCTTGTTTTTAAATCTTTATATTTTTTTTTTTGCTTAAAAAAAGTAAAGAATGATAATATTTAGTCACATTTTTAAATTATAATTTAGAGAGTAGGAAATATATTTTAGTAGAATATCTTTTTATAAATTAATAGAAAATTTAAAAACAGTAAAATAAGCTTTGTACATGAAAAGGCAAAAAAAAATATTTAATGAGTGATTTAGCTTTTTGAAAGAAATCTAAAATTTTATATCAAACATTTAATGTAAATCATTATTTTTTTCATTCAATTTATATATATAAATATATAAAATTTAATTCAAGATTATTTGTTTATGAAAAAATTTAGATTTCTATTTCAAACAATTAAATTTTGATGAAATATTTTTTATTTTTTTTCTATTAGGTTTGAGACATATATCAAAACCATTTTTAAATTTTTTTAAATTTTCATTTATTTTTTAAAATAATATTTATTTTCTTTCATAATATATATCTATTTCCTATTAACTCTATTTTTTAATCAAAAAAGATTTTTTAAAATGAATAAAAATTGAATTTATAAAAAATAATTCTACTAATAAGTTAAGAAAATTCGCTTATGCAATATTTTATATTATTTTTGTATAATATTCATAAAGATTTATTTTATCAAGCAACTACCATGTTGCTATCCTCTTTTAAATCCTCAATTAGATTAGAATTAAGGATAAAGATGAATGAATTTTTATTAGTAAGTTTCTGATTAATCTGAACTGTTAGATCTACTTGTATAATTTTGATGCGAAGTAAATTAAGATTGTTTTAAGTACTAAAGTATTGTATTTACTTCAAAATAATAATAATAATAATAATATTTTTAATCATAAATTAAAATTGTTTGAATAAAGTAATTAATGGATATAGTTTAATAGAATTAAGATATGTAAAACACTAATAAGCTTCCTAAAGGTTATTTATTGTTGCATAACATTGGTAAAAAAAATAACATGGGAATTATTATTAGAAGTGCTTCAGCATTTAACTTCGAAAAAGTATTTTTGATTAGCAAAAATGAAGATATCTTTAATGAGGAAGTAGAAGGTGATGAAAGAAAGAGAAAAAGGGTATTACATAGAGTTGTTAAGGAGTTTTAAATGTTTGGAAATCATGGTACCCAAGCTTAAATGCAGTTTGACGTTTTTAAGAACTTGAAAGAAGCAAAGCAATATTTTGTATAAAATAACATTAAGGTTTGTGGTGTTGAAATAACACCTGATAGCAAAAGTGTAGTTACTCACCCATTTTAAGGAGATACTGTTTTTCTTATGGGTAATGAGGGAGCAGGTTTAATCGAAGCTCATAAGAAAATATGCGATCATTTTGTTTATATTCCTTAATACACAAATAAGACAGCTAGTCTTAATGTTTCTTGTGCAGCATCTATTATTTTCCACCACTTTGCTCTTTGGGCAGGATATTAAGAATCATAAATATTTGGTGAAAAATTCTAAGACTAAGCAGCTATTGAAGGAGAACAGCAAGAAAAAGATTCTCAAAGTGATGAAGAAAAAGAGTCATCTTAAAATTAGGATTAAAACGAAGAATAAATTAGTAAAGTACCTTAAGGATAAGATGATTAAAGCAATTTAAAAGAAGAAAGCAAACAATAGTGAATTAAAATTTAATAAATTCAAATTTATGGTATAAAAATAGCTAAATATATAGAAATTAATAAAAAAATCAGTATTCATTTATTTATTTATTAATAGTTATTCTAATAATACTTATTAAATTGTATTAATATCTTCATTCTTTTATAAGAATTTTTATTGTTTTAAATAAAATATTTTGTCAATTCATAATTTATAAAGCCATATTTAGTGAAATAATTTATTATAAAAAATAAAAAGGATTCTAAACTATTCTTTTTTTTAGAAATTTAGAAAAATAGTAGTTTCTCTTAAAGCTTAATTAGTAACTGAATAAAAATATTTTGCTATTCATTATATTTAAGTTAAATAATTACTAAATCATCTACCTACATATTTTCGATAATCAATTTATAAATATAAAAATTATGTTTTATGCAAATTTTCTTAGTTAAGGTGTAAAAATTCTACAAAATTATTTTTTCCTATAACTTAATTAAAGAACGTTGGTATATAAAGATTAAAATATTTTTCTATTTATAAAAATTAAAATAAAATAAAATCAACTTTTAAAAAAATTTTTTAGTTTTTTTGAATTAAGTAGTATTTTTTAATAAATTAATTAATGCATTTATTAATTTATTTAGAAATTAGAATATTTTTTTAATATTTTAAGCTTGTTTAAATTATAAAAATAATCATTTTCTTAAGTTATTTGAAACATAATTAATTAAAAAGTATTACTAATTATTTTGATTTAAATATTATTTTTATTTCATTTTAATTCTCTCTTATTTTCATTTTAGAAGTAAAATGGCCTCTGATGATGGTTTTATTTAATTTTTTTATTTAAAATATTTAATTATTAATTTTTAACAATTTCTTATAAATAAATGTATGAATATTTTTATTGAATTTTGAAAAATCTTTGAATAGAAATCGTTAAAAAAATTCTATATTTTCACTTTTATAAAATAAACATTAAATAGTTAAAAGAATGACCAAAAAATCAAGATTGAAGTTAAATTAATTTGTAGATAGTTTTTAAGAATTCTCAATTTTATCTAATAGCTAGCTAACAATAAATTGTTATATTAGAGAGTTTTTTGTGTCTATTATAAATAAATTTATGTTAGAATAAATTTAAAATAAGTAAATTTTTCATCTGTTTTAAAACTAATAATTATTATTTATCCACAAACTTAATTTTCATTTTAAATTGAAGAAAGTTTTCACTAAAATTAGATAAAAAATAAAAAAACTTAAATTGAAATCTGTATTTTTAGAGAGCCTTTATGAAGATTTATTTGTTAATATTAATTATTAAATTTATTCTTAATTTAATTCATTTTTGAAAAAGAAAACATAAAATTATTTCAATGTTTAAAAAATTGAATTATAATTAATTATAATAAATACTCAATGTTATTAATTATTTTTTCTTAGAATTTTTAAATATATCATAAATATTTAATTAATTTAGGTCATTTGATATATTCTACAAATGAAAAATAACAATATAGATTACTTACAATAATTTTGATATTATAAAAAATTAAATAGATAATTTTAGTATTGAATTTATGTAATTATTATACAATTGTATCATCTTTAGAGGAGGAGAAAAAATTTAATTTATTATTATAGTCTATTTTATAGTGGTAGTACATATTTTTAAACATAGACCCTACTTTGATAAGAACACTTTATCTTTATTTATTTAATCTTTATAATTTATTTTACTAATCTCTAATTATTACAAATTAGTTTAATCAATTAAAGCTATCAATTAACTTTATTAGGATTATTAAAATAATTGAAATTTATTTTCATCAATTACTTTTATATTTCATTAAAATTTGATGATGTAATATTATTCAATTTAATAATTTAAATACGTAATAGTCTTTCTCAGTTTATATAAATCTTTTTATCAAAAATATCAAAATAAAAAAATATTAGATTAAATAAAATAATGGTTATCTTAAAATTAATTTTATTTTCAGTTTTAGTCAATTTTGTATTTACCATCTAAGGTGCTGACGTTACTTGTTCAGGCACTGCATGCACAACTTCTGGTAATTGTCCTTAAGTTCCTACAACTCCATCTGGCTTAGCTTGGTAAAATGGTGCTAGTACTGGAAAATGTGCTATAAATAATTGCCCTACTAATACATCATCTGGACTTGTTGGTGCATCTGACCTCTTCTGCTTATCTTGCCAAGGTACTACTAGTAGCTCAGTAAAGGCAGTATATTCTAACACTTAAATGACAGGATGCGTTGCAGCATCTGCAACGTGTGGAAGTTCTAGAACCAAAAATACATGGAGTGACTCTGATTGTCTTGCTTGTAATGGATCTTCCTTACAGTATGCTAAGTCAGATTAATCTGGTTGTGCTGCTACATAAAAATCAAATATTCTATTATTTAGTTCTCTCATTTTATTATGTTTATTATTAATATGATATAAATAAATTTATATTTAAGTAATTGTTAAAATTAAATAATCTAATTGCTAAAAATTCAATTAAATCTCTATTATCTATTAACGTTTTTTAATATGTATTTCTATATTTTGTTTTTTTAGAAAAATGGTTTTTATAAATCGAATTAAATTTTCATTAAATAAATCATTAACATAATTTTAAAAGTGTTATTTGTTTATTAAGATTAAATTTTTTATTTATTCAAATTATAATATAATAATAATTTACAAATTGATAGTTATCAGTAAATAAATAAAATAATATGCTCATAACTGAGCTAAGTAAAATCTAAACACATATTTAAATAGCTTATTGTTAAAAAAAGAGATGGTTTTATATAAATATTTTTCATAAAAATTGTAATAAATTTACAAAAATTAAAAAATTAAAGTTATTAAATATTTCTAATTTATAAAATTAACAAAACGATAGTTAGTAATTCATAATAAAATTTTTTAATTTTTAGTTTTATTAAAATGGTTTTTTTTAAATTAATATCAAGGTACAAAAGATATTGAAAAATGGTTTGGATTTCTAACTTAAATATGAATAAGCTATATAAATAGTTTATATTTTAAGGTATATTTTTTATTACTGCTGATTTAAAATATGAGTTTACTCATAAATATTAAATAAGAAAGTAAACCTTTTGAAAGACTATCATATTAGTTTGACTTTGAAAAATAATATATTTTACGTTTTTAAAATAGATTATTTTTTCTTAAAATAGATTATTTTATATAAAATGATAAAGTAGAATCTAAAAAATGAAATCAAATAGACAGACACTCTTATTCTTTTATACCATAAATTTGATTATGGAAACATTATTCTGTTTTGTGTAAAATTCTATTTAAATTGGTTTAATTTTTGTCCATATTTATCATATATGTAGTATTAGGACTTGTCAGAAGAAGAATTGAATCATTTAGGAATTAAGCATTTTAGTTTTATAGTAGATTTAGATTAGGAATTTAACAATAAAAATTGAAAAGTAGTAAGAAATAAATAGAAATTTCGATATTTCTAATTAGATATAGATAATAAATTTCAAATAAAATTTCTTGAAATTTAAAAAAGTGTGAACCCAAATGAAAATAAATAAATAAAGAAGTAATATTAAAAATGTTAAAAGAATATTTCTGGAATGTAAAATCGTCATAGTTGTTTTCAAAAGTCATAGTTTGTGATTTGAGTAAAAATTATTTATAATATTTATAGCCTTTTCTAGAAAATAATATCACAAATTTCTATATACTACGAAATTTTCTATCAAAAAATTAATTTTTATGAGGAGTTATTAACTAGCTAACTAACTAACTAACCTTCTTAAAAAAAATTTTTATAAAAAAAATAAAAATAAATAAGGTTCTCTAGCAATTTAAATAGAAATTAAATTGGAATATTTTCATAGAATTTAAATAAATTTTATAAAATCTGAAAGATTTAAAATATTTCATTAGAAGCTATAAAATTAAGATTATATTGTAGTTGATAAGTAAAATTTTTAAGATATTAAGGCTTTTAACAATAAGTCTTTATTTTATTTCAGAGAGACCAGGCCATTCGTTGTCTGCTAAATTCAATTGAATAATCATCGTATCAAACGCTACAAAATTTATTTCTAAAGTAAATTATTATTAAATATCTATCTATCAATCTATCTCTTTTAATCTCATAAAGTAAAAAAAAAGAGTGGAAGCAAAATAATTTAATTTCAACATAAATTTATAACTAAGATAGCTCGGAATGTCTTCTTCTAAAGGCACATAGGCATATAAGATTATTGATCATTTAACTTAGAGTTTTTTATATGGCATAGGAAGTTTTCTATGTATTAGTATTAGTAGTATTTTTAGTTTCTTCATTTATAAGCAAAAAAAAAAAATGTTGGAGCTTGAAGATACAGATCCTCTACTTCCTTAAGAGTTGTTTGATTTGATCAGTAGCAGTTATAGAAAGAATTTAATAGAATTATAGCAATAAGATTAGGGCAGAGTAAAAGTACCAGGTAAATTTCTGGTGAGAGGAGAAGTAGATTCAAACCACATGATTCCATGTTTAGATCCTAAAAAGATGGGATTGGTTTATTAGAGGATGAAGATAGATAAAATTTACATGATGAATTATTACAATTAAAATAAACTAGAAAAACGTAATGAACTAAGTGATAATAAAGCCATAAAATTTTTTGAAGTAGTTAACCCGAATCAACAAATAAAAGAAGCTAAAAATTGGTTGCTTAAAAAAAATCAAAATAAATAGTTGACAGAATTTGAATCAGGCTCGATAAAATGCTTAATTACTAACTTTGGTACAAAAAAGACGAATGTAGAGAGAGCTTTGAAGCCAGTAGCTTACCTAGAGAAATTTAATGAAACAATTAAAGCAAATTTAAAACTTCAACCAGGAACAATCTTGCTCATTGGATTTACTTAAAATTAAATAGGCATAAAGATTGGTGATTAAATCATGGTTTATGGATCAGTAATATTAGATTTAAAAAATCGTATCATAAATTTTGATATTCCAGAAGTGATTGCAAAAAGAAAATATGAAATTCAAGAAATAGTTAGCCATCACTTTAGTATTAAATCTATAGCAAGCTTTTTCCTTTTCTCTTTAGGAGTGTTTTATGCTTATAAAGCAGCTACATCTTTCCTTAAGCATAGAAAGGATATGTAAAAGTATTACTCGAGGAGAATACTTGCATCTGACTTAAAAGACTCCTCCTCGTTTTGAAGGACATAAAGGTTTAAACTTACTGAAGCTATTTAAAATGCATACATAAATAAATAATAAATAAATAAACGGCAATAGAATGAATTGATTGAGTTTAGATAAATTAAATAATTAATTACGTTTTTAATTGTTATAAATTAATTTAGTTATTAAATTTTATAATTTAATTTAAGATGATCCATTCATCCATCCAACCATCCTTAATCACAAAAATGTAAATCAACTAATACTTATAATAAAAAATTAATATTTATTGGTAAATTTTGTATTATTTATCAAAGTTTAATAAAATACTAGCAAATATTTTTTTTTAATTTACTTTTTACAAAAAATAATTCAATTAATTTTCTTAAAATTAAACAATTTTTGAAAAATTAATTAATTAAAATAGATAATATTCAATATTAACTAGAATGTCTACTAAATATGAATTTTATCTTAATGCTTACTTAATACTTAATTACTTATCTTTCATTTAACTTGAAGTGCTTTTTTCAATTTTTAAATTGAATTAAAGTTATGTTAAATTTAAAGAATTAAAAAATAAATTCAAAGCTGAAAATGTGAAATAACAATTTGTATTTTAAAAAAGATAGATAGATACATATATGGATTGATGCTAATATATGGATTTTATTAATTAATATATTTTCTAATTTATTTGATAATTTAATAACAATTAAAAAAATTTTTAACGTATATTTTTGTTTACTTTAAATTTTCAATCAAAAATGAATGCAAATGAATTTATTTATAAATTGCTAATATTTATTTTTGTTTGTTATTTATAATGCAAAAAGGAGTTTAGATAATGAATTAATTTGACTTCATAACTATATTAAATTCAAAAATCAATCTTAATTAATTATTTTTGCGAATTAACTTTTTAGAAAAAAAATATTATTACTAGAACTTCAAATATTTTCATACTTTATAACATGAGTTAGTTTAATCAGAAAAAAGATTACAACCTTCCTTTTTAGTCATCTGGATCATTAAATAATTTAAACAAGTTTAGCTTTACTCCATAACAAGCAGCTAGCCACCAGAATGTAACTTTAAATATTAAATTTTTGTAATAATTGTATTAAAATGTATAATTATAAACAGACTGGAAATAATTATTAAAAGTTATAAAAAATGAATTCTTGTTATTTTGAAGAAAACTCAGAGAAAGAAAATAAACCTCACCTTGCTTCTTCTGCTACTGCTAATTATTAAGAATTTAAAAAGGGTTATAGTAGAATTCCTTGCTAAGTTTAAGCCATAGATTGCAATCAAAGTTAAATTAAATTTAACTAGTAATCTTAAAATAAAATAGAGTCACCAGCATCTTACTACTTACCTCCTTAGTCTTCAATAATAGTAGGGAGCGATAGTAAAGAATCTCATAAAAGATATATTGATTTTTCTTAAAATTCAATGTAAGTAAACAATCCTTGCTCTTCTACTACAAATAGCAGCTAAACAAATAACATTTCTCTAAAACAAAATAATTAAAATGACTCATTGTAATAAAACTAAGCAGAAACAGTTAATGTAAAACAGTATCTCATTTCTAAGTAAAATAGCTTTAAGAAAGATAATTCTTAAGGTAGTTTATTTATTCAAAAAGAGCCAAGCTTTTAGAGTATCAAGAGAAACATTTTAGGTGATATTTTAAACAATTAAAATATAAGCCATGAAATAACATCTAAGAAAATAACTTCTTCTGTTTTAACCACTCCAAAAAATGAAAATCTAACTCCTAAAAATAGTAATAACTTCAGATGTGATCAATTTAACGAGTCTCTAAATAGAATTTAGAAGCTTAAAGACAAGTATTCTTATATAGATAAAAAATTCACTTAAAAAGACTATGAAACAATATTAGAAGATCAATAAAAAAGAACAGCTGAATAAGCAAGCATTAAATAATAAAATGAAGGACTGCTTTTTAAGTACTAAAATTGTTAAATGGGAGGTATGTTAAATAATTTAGTAACACCTCTTGAAAGTAAATCTAATTTCTAAACAAGCTCTCATACAATCAGTAGAGCTAGCTTTTTAGATTAAGAATAAAATTGTAATAAAAAGCTAGAGAGAGTTAACTCTGTTAAGCATTATTCTGATAATTAGTCTAATAATTCTTTTTTATAGAAACAAGAAGCCCCTCTTTCTTCAAGGGGATAGTCACCATTCTCAATAAGATAGAATGATCAGTAAGGTTTTGGCGATCAGTATAGATCTTAGGTCTAAAAATACAAGCAATATTTTATAGAAAGCGCAATTGAAAGTGAAAGATTAAATAGGGAGTAGGAAAATTTAAAAGATGAAAATGAAAAACTGAGGTTTAGATTAAAAGAACTATTAAGAATAAGTTAAATATAGACAGGAAATCTTTAAGAGCGACATAATAATCTTACCCCAACTTCAATAAAATATAAAAATTCTAAATTTTAAGAAGATTGTTCGTAAGATTAAATAGCCTCCAACAATTCTCTACAAAATCAGCAACAAAACTAAAATATTGAAAAGAAAAGAGGAAAAAGCAACTATATTGAAAGTGAGAATATAAACATGAAAAAAGAATTAGAAGAGTGTGTTTTATTGCTTGAATCTGGAAGGTAAAAAATAGACTCTCTTAAAGTTAGCATACATGAAAAGGAATAACTCATTAAATAATCCAAAAATTATACAACTTCTTTAGAAGTAAATTCTCTATTTAAATAAATTAAAAGCCAAATAATAATTTTTTATTTCTAAGAAAAAAATTTAAGAGCTTGAAAAAGAAAACTGTGAAATAAAAAGTTAAATGGAAGCTATGAAGAGATAAAAGTGTCAGAATTCTAATTTGATTGAACAAATAAGTTAAGATGGATATTAAGAGCATTTAAAAGAATAAATTATTAAGTGTTTTGATTACAAATTTGTCAACTTTCTTGAGAACTAAAAGGTTTTTTTATTATTTATTTGAAACATTAGTCATTTTATAATTTAATTTTTAGAAATAAATGTTAGACTTAACTTAATAGAGTCAATAAAACTTAGAAGAAATAGGAGTTACTGTATTCTAATTAACCTAAAATATTTAGAATGCATTTTAAAGAAAGAATAATATTAATACGAGCTATTTTTATGAAAATATTTTGAAATATGCCTAAGATGAGTTGTAGAACATTAAAAAATAGTTCATGAATAAATTAAACTTATCTTATGATATGATTGATATAAAGTTTGATAAAAATTTTGAAAATTTCTTAAATGAAATTCTCTCAAAAGACCTTTCTTAAGAGTCCTTAAGTAAAAAATAAAAATTTTTTATTTTCTTAAATTATTTTTTTAATTTTATTTAGAAAAAAGTATTTTGTGTCCAAAGTGTTTGAAATCTGATAGCGAAGTAGATTGTAAAAGCACTTAGAATTAAGATTTGCTATAGTAATATCTAATTAAAAATACTGGAAGAGGTAAAATAATTAAAAAAAATTTTATATAATTTTTCATTAATTACTTTTAAAATCAGATTCTCTCAACAATAGCTAAGCCAGTTTTAAATTTTCAGAAACGAAAGAGAACAAAAATAATAAGTAAATAGTAAATTGTATAGTTAATAATAATTAAATTAATCAAAAGACATAGAGCCTGCTTTTAGAATAGGATTTACTTTAGATGCTTCTAATACAAGCTCAATCACTTGAGCATGTTATTAATTAATAATAATGAAAAAATTAAATTTAATTAATAAAAAAGCTATAAATATGTAATAAAAATGTGTGTGTTTGTTTTATTTTGTCAAATTAAAATCTAAATTTTTGCAAAACTCTTTTCAAGTTGGTTAAAGCTGTAACAAAAAATATATAAAATAAACAGATATCTTATACAGATTGCAAAGATATTACTTTGTAATAGCATAAAAATAAAAAAAATATAAAATTAATCAGTAGCAATTAGATAGTGATTTAAGCATATGGAGGGTTGCTTCTTCAGTCATTTTTTCATGGGGTATGAAGGTTAGTAAAAAGTTTATTTCTTAGGTTTAATTTTTCAATTTACTCATTAGTCTAAAAGTGGAGTATACTGATACAATAACTATAAATAAACCTACCACAATTACATAGAGTTCTATGAAGATGATCAGGCTATTTATAGTATTTTTATTTCCATCTGTAAAATATTAGATTAGCTACTGCATTGCTTATAAAGGTATATTAAACGCTTATAATAAATTATTTATTTATTCTTACAGCAAAAGAAATTTGAGAATTTAGTCATTATCAGTTGGGGTGGTTGGACTTTAAGTAATGTCATTAAAAGAAGCAACTATATTTATTTACTACTAAATAATGCCTACAATACCATTTGTATATGAGCTGTTTTAGCTTTACTAGCAAGTTAAAACCTAGCAAATATCCTATTTCACCAACGAATTCACATTATTAAGAGTCTAACTATCAAATACATTAAATTTTGATAATGTATTTTAAAGGTTTGATGTAAATATACTCATTTGTTGCTAACCTTATTTCTGCAAAGTTAAAAAGCCATTTCTATCAAGTTAATTAAAATCAGGAAATTAGGCTCTAATAACACCTTCAAATACTAAAATTTCAGAAGAATACGTAAAGGAATTCATAGCTAAATTTGTTTGTTAACATATTTTATCAACTGCCAAAGAATCCTTGATATTATTTTGTTCTACTGAAATATATATTATGCTAGCACCAAAGTAAATTTAAGCCAAAACGAATAAAATCATAATCTAAGTCAATGACTATAGATACTTTACCTTTTAGTCAAATATCTAAGAAGATAAAACAACTTATTTACCAGTTTTTTTCATATTTGCATTTAGATGAATTTCTTTTGTAGATAACTTTGCGAAATCTGTTTTCATCCATATTTATTAAGGGTGTTATAATATTTCAAGGAAGATATTTAGTTTATTTATTTCTTTAAGAGTTTCTAAATCGTAAATTCTTGTAACAAGCATGAATACTTTTTCTTGATATCTATGTAATTCTATGATTTGAGGAATTTGCAAAACTCTTTTTTATTACAAAAATAAAATAAAATTTTACTAAAAAAATAAAATTAAATCCAAATTTAATTACAAAAAAGAAAGGGTTGTAACCAGCTAAACCAAGAAAATTGTTATATACAAAGTTTAAATTGTCTATAGATGGTCATTAAGAAGACTGTATTACTTATCTATAAGCTATTAGTGTAAGTTAATATTTAAAGCAAAATTATCACTCATGAATTAGAAAGAGTTTATTGGTGCCATTGCAATTGAAGTGTTATTAACGAATTGATTCATAGAATTATAAGAATAGTCTATAAATTAAGGATAGCTTAATTAATTATAGTAAGTTTTCGAGACTTAAGAGATTGATACATTATATGTACTATTATTTCCAATTATTACTTCCTCATTAAGAACTTAAATTTCGTTATAATAACTTTAGAGATATTTATAAAATTCTTATTCAGAATCAGACAAATCCTAAGTGTAATATGCCTTTTTATTTGATTATAATTAAGAATAATAAATTAAAACCAATCAAAATAAATACATATTAAATAAAAAATACAAATTTATTTAAATCAGTAAAATTTAAAAGCTAGCATAACAAACTATAATAGGATGAAGAATAAATAATTGATGAACATATATAAATTGGTTAAAAGATTATTTTAAAAAAACAAATAAAAAAGAATGTTTTAAAAGAAATTTTACCAAATATTAATTTGTAAATGAAGATGGAGTAAATTACTAGTTTTACATGAGGAGGAATACCATTTAATTTAAGGTAGATCTAGCATAATTTGTAGAAAGGTATTGATAATTTTAAATATTTTGCATATTACTTATTGTAGTTTAATAATTTTGAGTCATAGTAATTATATAAATAAAGCTCATTATTAGAAGCACCATAGGGAATAGAAAACTTAGCAATACAAACTTCTAATAAGCAGTAGGCATCATTTTGGTATTAATCATATCTTTTATTATATCATTATCGAATCTTGTACTCTGTATAGAAGATGCTACTGAGTTTTTATTTTCATCTTTAGTTTTAATTTTAGATTTAGTTGATTATTTACTATTTGTATTAAATCGCTAAGGCTGATATCTAAACTCTTAAGCATCTGATTCTGTAGCTGATTTTACACTATTTCTTTGTTTTTCAGACTCATCTTTCTTTTACTCAAGCTTTTGCTGATTTGAATCAAATATTTCATCTATTTCATTACCATCTTAATTTTCCTTTAAAAGTTATTTTGGATCCTCATGATTATCAGCATCTTCTTTTTTTTCCCAAATCGAAAATTATTTTTCAATAATTTATGCTGTATTTAACTTGTCAAAATATTGTTACTATCTTTAATGGTTTTCTATGTCGTGCTCATGCTCGTTAGTATTTTTTCTTTCTTTGACATTTTCTTCATAATATTCTTTTGTATTTTTTAAGTCATTTTAATTCGCTTGTTAAATATATCCCATACTGACGTTATTTAATTCTGTTTATATTTTTTTAAAAGGGATTTCTCTTTCCGAGTTTTAAGTTGGAGAGACTATTTCTATTTCAGAAGCATTTGCATTCTATTATTTAGGATATAGGTATTAGTCTTTAATTGGCTTTTATTAAAAAGGTCTTTCTGATTCTTAGATTGAAGACATTTAAAAACCCTGGTTATTATTTCTATCTATCGTAGTCATCTAATAATCTTACTCATGTCTATTTGTAGATTATATTTGAATAAGATGATCATCTTATTAAATAAATTATATCTACTAGGCATCACGCTTAGTTTCGCTTTCAAACATGAAAAGATTAGAATTATCTGCATTATGAGTTCTATCTAAATCTACTTATTGATTTTAAATATGACCAACATTAAAGCTTGCAGATTATAATAAATCCCCATTACTTTGAAGCAAGTCTTCTTATTATGGTTGCTAATTTATTTTATTAAATAAAGACATAGGAAACCCAACTTGAGAACCATTTAGAATATTTTCATTATTTGGAGAGACAACGTTTCCTCCTTTTTCATTAACCCAATGAGGAATAGAATTTGAATTATATTAGACGCTTGCAAATTAAGATTTTGGATATAAAGTATTCATATGAAGAGTAGTAGATCTTTATTTGATTCTATTTATTTCTGAGATTTATAATTAAAAATACGAAGTGTTCTCTTAGAAATTTTCACCATGAACTAGCTAAATATATTAAAGTTGAGTCTTCATATCAAAGTCATTTAAGCAATTTTCTCCTAAATAATATTCTTTATTTTCTTAAATAAATTCTTTGTATGTAGAAACATTTTCACCTTTTAACAAATCCACCTTCTTTAAATACATTTTAAAATGATTTAAAATCTTATAATGAAATAACAAACTTACAGCTGAAGGTGGTTCTTGAATTTAAGTATTCACACTAGATTTGACACTTCTTAAGCTTCTTGAAAGATTATTTTATCTTCTCCTATAAATTTAGACAACTTCAAATAAATTTTGAGGGATTTTTAGTCTGATATGATAGCTATTCACCATGACTTACGATCTCATTCGAGATTGTTTACTCTAAAATATTTAAATGGTAAAATAAAAATAAATTTAATGTGAGAAAAAATTTCATTTTACACTCTCATCTAACTAATCTGCATATGTTGAAATTAATTTTGATATTTGTGGTAGTATAAATTATACATTAACTCTTTCTTAAAACTATTTAACTTTTTGCTACATTTAAGTTTTTTTAATAGAATCTAAATTAAATAAATCGTAGTTGTAGTCATCACTCTTCTATTCGTCATCAAACATTTTCATAAATAATTAAAATGTAATGCCTAAAATATTTCCAGAGTTATCAAATAAAATATATTAATTTGGAGTGTTGATTTTCAATAAAGTTCCATGCATCTAAAAGTCTTCTCGATTTTCATATAAATGATTTATATATATATTCATAGGAAAGATGAAACCCTTTTAATTTTAAAAAAGGTTAATTTATTAGAAAATTAAGTAAATTTCTTTACATATTTGGATAAGCCAAATGAATTAATCACAGAAGAAACACAGCTTGAGTAACCTCTAAAAAGCATATTTTCGACTAAATTATTATGAATATTTCCTATGAATGATGGCATTAATAATTTTATATATTTTATTAGTTAAAAATCTTATAAGTTATAGTCAAAGAATCTTGCTAGCTTTTCAGTTGATTTTTAGAGCATCTTTCCTCTATCTTTAGAGACAGATATAATGATGTAATCTATATTACCAAAAAGAAGATTCATATTAGAGAGTGTATCAGATCTATTAGTGTCATCTCTCTTTAGCAAATCTTTAATGTATGATTGGTCTTTGTAAGCTATATTTATTTCATTAACAACTATTACAGACATTAGAGATTTTATCTTGTAAAAAAGAGTATTATTTCTTATTTATGTTCCCTCTAATCTGTTAAATAAAATATTCATTTTTTTATTTAAATTTAAATAAGAATAAGACACATTTTACTAAGATTAAATGTAAAATAATTTATTTCTTTCTTGTGTAAAATGTGAATAATTATTATCAATTAAATAATTAAAAATATTTTGATGGATGATAGATCAGAAATATATTTTGAAAATTATTTATCAGAATTTTTCTAGAAAATAAAAAAATAATTTTAGAAAAATTGAAATTTAATTTGAATACTAAAAACTTTAATATTTTTTTTAATCAATTATTAATAGTGTTTGTATTTCATTTACTATTAAGATATAAATCAAATTATTATGTCTTGAATTTTCTTTTATAAATATCCTTTTAGCTAAAAGCTACTAAATAAAACAAATATTAGCTATATTAAATTAATTTTGCAATCATTTTTCCAATCAAATAAAATTAAAATTAGCTTTTAAAGTTGAAAGATAAAAAATTTACTTGCTAATTTCTTATTTAAATTTTTAGCTGAGCTCAATTCCAAATTAAGAAATAGGCTATGTATACTACTTGAGTTATTCGAAATTAGAAAAACCTGCTCTTAATTTCTACCAAAAATTAATCTTTAGCTGACAATACTCTTTTATTGGGTTTAAAAGCTAGTTTTTGAATTCTTCCACCTAAATCAAATCCTTAATTTAGAGTTCTTCATTAAGTTTCATTTTTTAGTTCATTTCTGACTGGACTCTTACATATTTCTTTTTTAATTGAATGAGATGGTAAAATAAAACAAAAATATTATTATAAATTGATTAAGTACCTAATTCATAATAAACTCTATATTTTTAGAAAGGATGTTAGAAAGGGTCTTAAAATAAATTGATATATTTTTCCTTTTAGATTGCAGAGTCTTTAATTCATTATAAGCTTTTGGAGAATTATTTTTATATTTTGTTAAAAAACTAATATATTTTAAACTTAAATGCTCAAACTCTGCTGTATCCTTTTAAACTGTTTAGTTACTTATCGCCCAAGTAAATCGTTAGATTATAAATGTAATTATAACATCTACATTTATGTCATTTTTAAAATCAACAATAGACTTTTCATGGCAAACACATTCTGGATCATTGCATTTCTACCTGTGATTATGAATTATTTACAGTACTTAAAATTTTTCAGATTCTTCTTTTGTAGAATTAATTGTTAGCCTCATCAATTCTTCTAAAAAGTAATCATATTTTTTGTAGTATTTTTCAAAGTTATCGTTTTCAATTTTCTTTAAAGCATCTGTCTTTTGGCAAATATTAAAAAAATAATTCAAATTTAATCTTGCTTACATTAAAATATATAAGTTAAAAAAATATTTTTGAATTTAGTTTTTTAATGATAATTTAAAATATTCTACTTAGTAGTTATATGCAGTTATTATTGCTGCTCCACTCACGCATCCTAAGATAAAAAATAAGTAGAACTGTTCTTATGAAGGCATCAAATCACTCAATTACCACAGATTAGTGATCCATACCATAACATAAAAGAAGCAATAGGTAATACCATAATAATATGCTATACTTCTGTTTTTGAATGGTAAATATACTAGAAAATCATATATTCCTAATATACCGATTGATTACGCAATATACTGTTTAATTACAGCTACTATTGGAAAATTTAAATAATAAAAGAAAGTCAAAGAGAATCTCGATGCAACTAGTATAAATAGAACTACACTTGAACGTCTTTTTAATAAATTTGTTTCATGAAACTCATAATTTCTAAAGAAAAAGAGAACAATCACAGCAGTTAAGTTAGTAAGAATCAGGCCAATAGTACTTTAAACAAGTATAACCTTAGGCTTATCTGCATAGTTTGTATCATTTCCTAATCCAGTACGACTGTTTGTTAAAAATGAGTTACCTCCAGTCACCATGACACCGCTATTGATTTCTATGAATGGAATAAAAAAGATCCACCAAAAGACTGTAAAAAAGGTATTTAAAATTCTATTTATAGAAGTAAAAAGCTTCTTATTTTAGTCTATCTTCTCATGATGATGTCTCTTTAACCAAGTAAGTATCAAAATGTATGAAAAGTAAAAGTACAGAATAAAATTAAGCATGCAATACACAAATATTGTTATTACATCGTTTGCCTTATAATAACAGAGAAACGTGCCAGGAGCTATTTCATTTAAGTGAGCTACAAATCCCATTTTAGGGTCAGTCATTGGTTTTAATTCATAATTAGACATAAAATACCCTGCATTTTAGTGGTGGTATATTTAAATCAATATGCAATAAACTCCAATAGGGATTGTGTATAATGGTTTATCCTCTATAATTTCTAAGATTGTTGAAAACAAATCGTCAATAAACCCTTACTTTTTTTAATTTTTCATTTTCTATTTACTATGAAAACAAGCTGCTTATTCTTCTACTTAAATATATATATTAAAGTATTGTTTAATCGTTTTTTTTAAATCAGTTTAAAACTTTTAGCAGATTATTTATTTAGTTAATAGATTTAATATTCATCAAATAATAAACATGATCAACTCCCTTAAAGTTTTGTATATTATTTTGATAATTTAAAGTTATATTTGGTATTTTTTTACTTCCTGTCTTGTATATTTTAGATTTAAATATTTATTGTTCAATTTAAAATATTCCAAAATTATTATTTTATTAGTTAGATCCTTTATTTTTTTGTAAATATTTTGCAATCATTTTTAAAGCAAAAAGAATTATTAAAATATTTATTTCTTAAAAATGCAATAAAATGCCTAAATAACTAGAAATATAATTCCTTATAATTTAAATGAATTGAATTTATAAATATAAAAATCCTTTGAGTTCTACAAACAACTAACTTCTAGCTTTTTAAATAAAAATAATTAATTAATTTTTTCAGTTGAATTATGAAATTTTTTCATTTAAATTACGATAGAGTTAATTCACATCAGAAATAATTAATTTGAAGTAATTATATATAAATTTTTATTAAATATTAAAAAAATTTGAAATGTAATTAATGTAAAAAATATGCAAAATAAATTAAATTAAAAAGACAAATTTTGTTATCTTCAAATTAAACATTCAAAAGAATTTTTTTTTTTAAATTTTCATAAATTAGAAGAGTAATTTAAATAACTTCTGAATTTTGAAATTACAAATAAATCTATAAAATAATTTTAGACTAAAAATCATTCATTTAAAACTTAAAAAATAAATTTAATTATTTGTTTTGAGTTAAATAAAAACAAAATGTAATTTCAATTTACTAATTTTGCTAGTTAAGATAAGTGCAATTATTTAAATTAGTAGCTTTACTTTTTTAGTTAATTACAGTTTTATTAATTCAATTAATTCCTTTAAGAATAGTTTTTTCTTTGTTTTTTTTTAAGGATGTTGTTAAAAAACTGAAAACAATTTTTAATTTCTTAAAATATTATTTGTAGAGTTTAAATAAAATTAATTAATATTTAATATATTGTTCCCTTATGCAAATAATGAGATTTCACTTATTGCGTTAAAGAAATAGTTTTTGCAAATATTAAATGTTAAGAAATAAAGCAATTCTAATAGAATTCATTGAGTATTCATATAGTAAATTTTTATTTTGAATAAAATAAAGCAATTTTATAATATTCAATATTTGCATCTGAAAATTTTATCAAAAGATTTAATAAATTCCAAATTATTACTGATAACTATTATTTAGTTGCAAATTATATACCTTTTATACAAATTTTAACAAGGAAGTTTAAAAAAAATTAAATTTAATGATTTATAATTATTCTCAAATAATTCATAAATATAATATTTATTAGGTTATTTCATACTACATTCAGTTAAATTTCATATATTTTTACATTTTTTGTGTTGTGTATGATAGATTATTTTTGATATTTTAAGAAAATTTAATTTATCCCAAACAACATATTTTACAAATCTACTCAAAAGTAATATCTCAATCTAAAATAAATTTGTAGAAATTTTAATTTATTTTTCTTGCTTCAATAATAAATTAGTTTATATATTTTTATTAATGATTTAATGAATGTTATAAAATAGATTTATCTAAATAGTTAGCATTTCATTTTTTTTTAATTAATTAAAATAAATCAATATCCTAATTAAATTATTAAATATTTAATACACTTAAACTTATCAAAAAATCTTATTGTCTTTAAATTAAAAATATGGATTCTAATAATTCTAGTAATTAACGCTAGCTATAAGAGAAGATAGAATAAAAAAGTGATGCATCATAGTTAAAAAAGGGATTTTCTTTTAAACCAAGTAGAATTAAAGAACAAGAAGACAAGATAAAATAAGAAGAAGAAAGAAAAAGAATTGAAAAAGAGAAGAAATTATTATAAAAATAATAGGAGGAAGAAAGGAAGAAATAATTAGAGCTAGAAAAGTAGAAATAACCTATTTACTTTTAGTCTTATTAAGTTAAAAGAAGAGCTGCTGATTTCTTCTCTTCTAGTTCTTCTGATTCTTCATCAAATTCAAGATCATCGTCTATTGATCATGAAAAAAATAAAGTAAAAAAATAATAAAAAGCGTCATCATCTACAGAAAGGAAGTCTAAAAACTAAGATAAAAAAAAGGAGAAAAAGGTTAAAAAAAAAGACTCAGACCATGAGGAATCTCCATCAATTAAAAATTAAAAGAAAGAAAGAAAATACAGTGATGTAACTAACATTTATAATTTGATATGTGATTCTTTTAAATAATGTAATTAGTGTCTACATGTTCTGCTTACAATAAATGTAATTAAATAAAAAAAAGGATGAAATGAAAGAAAGCAAGAAGAAGAAAAAATAGAAAGATAAGAAGAAAAAAGATAAATAAGAGAAGAAGAAAAAGAAGAGAGAAAAAGAGCTTAAAAATTAAATTATGAACACTATAAATAATGAAGAGCTTGACCTGTTTTATGATTTGAAGAATTAAGAAATCTAAAGAGCTCCAGAAGCTAGCTAGAAATTTTTATATAAGCATGTTTTCAACAGAAATTGCTTGCCAGTATCTATAATAAGCTTTGGAGATAAGACAATACCAAAATACATGAATTATGGCATGAGTGGAGATGTACCAAAATTCAAATTTGTTAATTAGTAAATTAATTACTAATTGAGTTAGAATATTATTTAAATATTTTTAAAAATAAAGCCCTATGATTGTAGGATTTATGAGAGATTAAGAATCAATTGGATTGTTTGATGATTTAAACTAAGATTTAGGCATTAAAACTAAATATTCTAGACTTAACTAAGAGAAAAGTAATCAAAAGAATAATGTAAGATATTTCGAAAGAAGGTTTTGGGAAAAAAATGAAGATTTAGAATCGTCAGATTTTTAAATTCAAAAAAGAGTAAAACAAAATGAAAGAGAAAATGCTTTAATAGGAAGTGAAGATTTTGTGAGTTTTAATGAAGATAAAAATATATTGAATAAATTAAGTATAACATTCAGAAGTGAGTAATAAATGATAACTCAAAGTGGTTAAAATTCTTTAAACAATTTAAACAACCTAAGTATTAAGGATTACTCAGACTTGAAAGATCTTAAAATAGATGTAGAAGATCTCACATCAGAAGAGATTAAACTCTTCTAATAAAATAAAGAATTTAACCAGAAAATAAAGGATAACCCAAACGACCCATATCTCTGGATTGATTATATTAAGCTCTAAGATCAGGGTATCAAATATTCTTCAGACTAGTTTAGCATATCTTCTGTATTAATTTTATTATAAATTTTTTAACTTCAGACATTGCCATAATAATTCATTAAATTATTTTAAATTTTAATTTGTTTTATTTAAAAATATTAAATATTTGCAGCTAAAAAAATTTTTTTTATTAAATAGATACAGCAAAAAAAGATAGGAATAATAGAAAAAGCTCTTCAAAATGAATAACTAAGTAATAACATCATTCTTATTTTGTATCACATGAGAATTTTACAAGATTCGAATTAAGGAGATGATTTTTATAAAGTTATGAATGAGAAGTGGATGGAATATATTCAAAAAAATATCTATAACATGCTTTTATGGAATAATTTTTTGGATTACAGATACTCAAATTTAATGAAATTCTCAGTAATATCATATTAATATTTTAGTAATTTTTATTAAAAAAATTCAATCATTCATTAAAATAGGCTACATATTTTAGAGAGTCCACTGCATAGCTTTTAGCTTAGTTAAGCAAGTTAATCTAGTAAAGCAAGTCAGTATCAGAAATTATTACATTAAGGAAGATAATTTTACTTATCATCAGAAAAATTAGTTTTATTGAAGAGCAGGTAAAGAGATTTCTTTTAATCTTATCATAAAATAAAAAAAATTTTTCACATAAATTTCTCAATTATTTAATATGTTTTTTATGTCTTGCTAATTTTAGAATAAACTAAAAATTATTTGTTTATTCAATGTTTAAATATTTTTTTAATTAATTTATTTTAGATGGGATTTAAGGAAAGGAGTTTTGGTATTCTTTAAGCTTTAATCGAACTCAATGTTTTCTGCCCTAATCATATTAGGAGATGTTTAGATCATTAGAAAAGGTTATAAGAGTTTAAGAATTATTGGGAAGACTATTATTGTTGCAAAACAGGAGAGATTATTGGTGGAGGATGGGAAAAGCAGTAATTAAAATTTTATTTAAAAATAACCAATTTAATTTAATTTTTTAATAGAGAAGATATTCAGAAATTGACAAAAGAATAAAAGGAGCTATAGTTAAATAAATCTTTCATAGGAAAATACAACGATCATAAGGAAGTGTTGCTAGAAATGGATGAAGAAAATTGGATTTATGTGGAGTAATAATTTAGTGAAGCAGTTTGGAGACCAGCCAATCCTCACTACGATAAAGACTTGATAAAATATAACTCAGATACTATTGTTTTTTCTGAGGATGTTTAACAATTTTTAATAGTGCTTAACGATCCTGAGTCTTAAATTACTCTAATTAATATCATTTTTGAAAATCTTGGACTGCCTCCAGTTAATGATAATATTTTTTTGAGTACAGAAAACAAGGCATTTTCTACATTTTACTTTGATAAATCTAAAAACTTACTTTTCTAAATGAATTAAAGGATTTAAAATTAAAGCTGTAAGATTAATTTTGGCTCAGATTATAAACAATACTGCGGACTAGATAGGTTGGATTTCTTAAATAAATTCTTTAGTTTTTCCGATGAGAGTTTTATTACAGGAGGTACATAATCTAGGAAAAACAAAATAATAGCATAATTAGAATATGTGAGAAGACTACTTTACGAGCTTTATAAAAAGCTAGAAAGAGAGAGTATACTTATTTATATAATGTGGATAGAAGGTATTTTCTTTATTAGGAAATCAATTTCCTAGAATGAGCCAATAATGACTGAAAAATAAGCTAGAATAAATATAAAAAATCTTCTTAAAAATAACGAAAAAACAATAAGTTTATGGTTTATTTATGCAGAAATTCTATTCGAAAAATCAATATAAAACTTAAATTAAACAGAAGAAGAGTAAAGAAAAATTTACAAAGAAATTGATGATATTTTTAATAAAGTTCTCAAAGCAAGCGAAAGTAAAGAAAAAGATAGACTTTCAGTACTTTATTTTTGGAGTTCTTTTTACTTAAGATTAGTTGGAAAAGTAGACATCTCATTTATACATTCAAATTTGCTCATAATTTTACAAAAATTGAAAGCTTTTACTAACATAAAAAACCTTATACTTTAACTTCACAATTAAATGAGAGAGTAAATAGCCAGAGAAAAGCAAAAGCTAAAACCTGAGCTTATTCCAATAATAAAAACAAAATCCTAGAAAGTATTCCCTCTTTCTAAAAAGTCAATTTATGCTTATTTTTTGCTACTTGCACATAGTATTGGAGATACCGAGTTTACAGATAGAGAAATAGTAAATTACTAGTAGTACTTTGATTTAATTGAAGAGACTAATAATGAAAAAATAAAAATATGGGATGATGAAGAATTGTATTCTAGATTATAGAGGAAATTCTAAAATGAGATGCAGCTGCTCTTATTAAATGTGCTTCGAATCTAAAAATTAACGAAATTTTCATCTTAAGAAAATAATTTGTTAACAAACTTTGATTAAAGTAGAAGGTTGTAAGAAATTAAAAATTAACAAACTGAATTATATCAAAATATCATCAATAAATACCCATTCTTTAGCGTTGCCATAGTCGAGTTGGTCTAATTCAATATGAATGAGACAACTAGGATAGATAGATTAGTAACTTTAAAGCAAATTTTGAAATAAAATAACTTTTTCTATTCCACTTGGATGCTTATCATTTTTAATGAGATAGCCTCTGCAGCATAGGCAGAAGAAACGGAAATTATATTATCTAAGCTTAGGTATTACTTTTATGAGGCCTAAAAAGATTACTAATTACTTGATAAACAAATAGCTCTTCTTGATAAATTCAGAAATTAATAGATAGGAATTGATTCAACAACAGATTATTTTAATTAGATTCAATTTTAATCACTGTTTAATACATTCACTCTATATTTTGAACCATAAAAATTAGCAAATAGATCTCTATAATCCTTACAGCAAGCTCCTTTCTCTAAAGTAAATTTTTAAAAATATAAACAATAAATATATTAAATTTTAATTACATAACAAAAAGGAAGCATATTTATATAGGCTGATGGGCTCTCAAGGTGATTAAAGACAAAAAATTAGAGAAGTTATCGTCGAAAAAGAAATTAGAATCGTATACAACGAAATTATTTGAGAAAATTGTTATTTATATTGTCGTACTTACATGTTAAATTTAGTTAGTATAAAACTTTTTTTGAAAAATTTGTTAATTAGTTTAATAAATAAATTATACTTTATTTTTTTATCTATTAAAATATATTAAAAAAATAAATAAAGGAATTTAAATAGCTATATTTAATAATTATTGAATAAAAGAATATTTAGATCAAATATTTTATTGTGAGGCAATTCCTATACATTGATACTATTATTTGTTTACTCATAATTATGTCTGAAAAAAAAAATTTGCATTTTAAATTAATAATTTTGAATTAATTTATTTTAAAAAAGTTATTTTAATTTAAATTGAAACAAACATATTTACTTGGTGTAAATTGATTTTTGAATAAGATTGATACATTTGAAACATGTGAAAAACTTAAAACATAAATATTTATTCAAAATTGCTATTTTGAGTTATTTGATATATGGTTGGTTAAATTTGGTAAATTATTATGAATTATTATTTATTAAAATTAAAAGTTTAATAATTATTTTTTTTTATTAATTTTAAATTTTAGTAAAATTTTTATGCTGTTTTTTTTAAATATTTTAATTTGCTTTTGGGAGTATATTAAATAAATATTCACTATAATTAGAAATCTATTTCATCTATTTTTTAGTCACATTCTTCATCCTCTTAAAATGCTTTGGTAATTATGTCTTTATCTTGTAGAGCTTGTAGATAACCTTTTAAAAACATTTCATCAGCCCAGTATTCACTCCAAACCCAATAATCTAAAGGAAAAGAGACATCGCTATTTTCTGTTAGATCAATTATTGATAAATTTTTAATATTTTCTCTGGTATACCTAAGAGCTTTAGGCATTACATTTAAAAATACTTTTTTTGAGTCTTTATATCTGTATGGAATAGGTTTTGTAAATCCTCCATCTAAGACTTTTTATCCATTAAATTTTTTATAAAATCCAAATCTGGTTATTATTGGCAATGTGCAACTTGCTTCTACTGAGTGGGAAAAATGAAGCTAATCTGTAAATTAGTGTACAATATTTTCCTTTAAACTTAGAATTCCTTCTATTGATGTATAATAGACATGATACCTTTCATTTAGAGAAGGTAAATTAAGCTTTTGATGATCCTCCCAAAAGTCCATAGCCATTTAAAAGATGAGTTATCCATTTGAAATTAATCCAAGATATTTGCGATTTTCCTTTTAAAATAGTTTCCTTATCTAATTTTAGTAACTTTATTTTAAGTCCACATCAGAATATAATGCCATCAGAGTAAAAGCAGCCACAGCAGTTCCTAAATTAAAAAAAATATAAATGGATGAAATTTATTCATTGTAATATCAAATTAATTTAAAGACAAATTATAAAAAAGCTTTTAAAAATTATTCTTTTCTATTGGTAAACTCTCTAGATGGTAAATTTCTTGAATAAGAAATATAACGTTTAAGTATTTTTATATTTAACCATCAATTAAAAGAAATATTAGATTATTACCTGCAGAAACACCTCCAAAACAATACTCTTTAAGCTTGTCTTTTCCAACAATTTCCATAATTCCATGAGTATATCCCATTTAAAAACCTACGGCACCTGCACCACCGCTAAAAAGTAGCTCTTTTCTACCCTTTCCATTCGTTTAATTTTAATTTTAAGCATAATCTACCATTATATTTAATTTTATGTAAATATGTGAATGAGTGTATTTATTTACTTTCTTTGTATTTAGTTTTAAATTGAAAAATTAACTCCTAAATTAACTAATAAAATTTCTAAAATATGTTTTTAAATATATCTATTAAACAGTTTGTAGAGTTAAAAATAGCATTTAAAAATGATTATATTAAATGACGAAATAAAGACTTTTCACTCTAAAAACTAAAGAAAATTTACCATTTTATGCCGTCATTTACTTCTATCAAATACATAAAGACATTTATGAAATTAACCAAAATCTTAAGATTTACCTCTTAGAACTAAATAATTACAATATTATGAGAATATTAAATAATATTTAGATATAGTAGAAGTTTTTATTTATCAAAAAAATAAAATAAGAAAAAAGGGAAGTAGAAAATTCTACAATAAATTAAGTTTCTAAAATTTTAGATATTTCAATTGATAATAAATAATAATAATAAAATTATTTGAAACTAACTTTTTGTCAAAAAAATTATAATAATTTTTTAAATATTTATTGAAATAGTTTTTATATTCAAAACAAATAAATAAATAAATAAATAAATAAATAAACAAATAAATAAATAAAATTTTAGTTGAATATTTTAAATTACCTAAAAAAAATAAAATAATAAATTTTTCTTTTAAGATATATTTTGCTTTAAATTAAATTAATAAAAAAAATATTTAGAAAAAGCTTTTATAAATCTACTCTATCTAGATACAACTCTAATCAATTATTCTTATCAATTTTTATTAAAACAAAAATAAATCTTACATCCACTCAAATAAAAGAAATATTTCTAAATATTTTAAAGAAAAATTTTAATAATTACATTTAGTTAAAACTAAAAAGATAATTTTTTTTTAAAGTAGCTTAATTGATAGATTTTGAATCTATTTAGCTAAGAAGAAGTTGGATTGAATTTTGATTCATAATACAATTTAACCATCTTATTTTTTCAAACATAGCTAGATTGTTTATATTGATCTTTCTTAATTCATACTAAAAGATTTAAAGCAGGAGATATCTTATTGAAAAAAAAACAAAAATGATTAATGATTATTTGAATTAAGATATTACTATTAAAAAAAATCTTAAAATCAAGTATTAATGTTTTGATACAAAATAAGAAAATAATGATTAAGCTTCATAAAAAGTAGCTCAAAATACACAAATTTAAGATTTAGGTGAAGAAAAAAGGCTTTCAAATACTTTGAATTCTACTTTTATAAATAATGGTTTAGATTCATTTGATCAAGAAGGATAAGCACAACTTGCAATACCTACTGATATTGCTAATTATTAATAAATGAATTAATAAGACTCTGTTTAAGTTATTAAACAAGGAGATCTAAGCTATGAGCTTAGAATTTGGGAGAGAGATGTTATTAAGAAGGATTTAGCTAGTACTTTAGATTTAAAATATAAAAATTAAGTAGATTTAATTTTGGATAAGTTATTATAAAAATAATATTACTTGGGGAAGTTTATAGCAAAAGGTGGCTAAGGTGTAATATACGAGGGAAGTAAATTAGAAATAAATAGAAGATATAGAGATTTAGTTTTTAAGATTTACTTTGAAGCTAATAAAAATGAAATAGATGAGGAAATAAGCATTATGAAATTATTTTAAAAAAATATAAATGTTGTAGAATTAGTTGATTATATTGAAATTTAATAAGATATTTAAGTTTTAATTTTAGAAAAATGTTAGTTCAGTCTAAAAAATGAGCTTGAGCAGCTTGAAAAAATGATGATAGAGTTTAATAAAAAAAAATTATATCAAATGATTTTTGATTTATTTGACGGGTTAATCTAATTTAGAATGTATAATATTTTGCATTTAGATATCAAACCTGATAATATACTTTTATCTTCTTCTGGAAATTATTTATTCACTGACTTTGGAATTTCTTCTATTAAAAAAAGTGATGATGCTCAAATCAAGATTAAAGGATTTACTAAAAGGTTTGCTCCTAAGGAATAACTTGATCTTGACTCTAGAATTAATTTCAAAGCAGATGTTTATTCTCTCGGATTAACTTTAAAATAAATCATTTAAGTTTATAAAACAGTCAACCCTGAAGATAAGTTTGTTGAATCTTTTTAAGAGATTGTCGATAATAAAATGATTTAAAATTTACAATCTGATAGGCAAAATTGCTTATAACTGCATTAGTAATTTTTTAAATTATTTCTTGAATCAGATTTTGTTGAATTTGCTCAGTTATATCACAAAAAAATACAACAAATTTTTGAACTAATTCCATTTGATAGTAAAAAAGATATTCCATATTTCTAGGAGTCACTATTATATTATAATTAATTAAATTTAGAATTAATAAATTACTTGAATTAAAAGAAATGCTACATTAATTCTCAAATTTACCTTCAAGAAAAGGCTTAAGCTCTCAATAACGTTGGCTTATGCTACCAAGATGTCGCATAATTCTAAAAAGCGATGATTTATTTAAAGGATTCTTTAAAGATAAAAAAATAATTGACTTAAGCAAACCATGATAAAATTTCAATTGCAAGTACTCTCAGTAATATTGGTCTTTGCTATAAAGATTTAGGATAATATACAAAAGCCTTAAAATATATTGAAAAATACTATGAAGTATCTAAAGAATTTTTAAAAGGGGATAATATTATTTTAGCTAAATCACTGAATAATTTAGGCTTGTGCTATTTAGCAACAGGTAATAGCTAAAAAGCTTTAAGTAAATTATTAGAGTCTTTAAATATTTTTCAGAATATTTTTAAAGGGACTAACTCTTAAGTAGCAAGCTCTTTAAATAATATTGGAACGTGTTATAAAGAGTTAGGAGATTTTTAAAATGCTTAAATTTATCTAGAGAAATCATTAAAAATGTTTAGACAGATCTTTTAAGATACCAACCCTGATGTTGCAACATCCCTTAACAATATTGGCTTACTATATAAAGATATAGGTAATTACTAAATGGCTATAAAATACCTTTAAGAGTCTTATGAATTAAAAAAAATGATCTTTTCACCTAACCATCCAGAAATATCAGTTTGTTTAAACAATTTAGGAACTTGCTATTAAAATATTTTTGAAAAATAGAAATCTTATAAATGTTTTAAAGAGTCATATAGAATCATTACTAGCAATTTTGACGGAAATCATCCTTTGATTGCTACATCTCTTAACAATTTAGGAATGTATTTTAAGAATATGGGTAATTATTAGCTTTCTTTAAAGTATCTTTTAGATTCTTTACAAATGAGAAAGTAAATTTATTAAGAAAATAATTAAGATATTGCAAGTTCTTTAAATAATGTTGGCCTTTGCTACCTAAATATTGGCAATAATAAATAGGCATTAAAATATTAATTTGAATCACTCGTTATGAGAAGAAAGCTGTTTCATCAAAACCACCCTGATACTGCCAGTTCTCTCTATAATATTGGTTATTGTTTCTAAATTATTGGTGAAAATTAGAAATCTCTGAAATATTTCTAAAAGTCTCTAATTATGAGAAAGCTTCTCTTTGGAAAAAACCATCCAGCAGTCGCTAGCTCACTAAATAGCTTGGGTTTATTTTATTTAAGATAAGGTGATCTTTAAAACTCATTCAAATATTTATAAAAATCTTTGAAAATTTACAGAAAAATTTATAATGAAAATCATCCAGATTTGTCAAATGTTCTAAATAATATTGGAATTTACTTTAAAATCAAAGGTGATTACTAAAGTGCATTAAAATATTTGAATGAATCAATTAATATGTTAAAATAAATTTTCAACAATAGCCATCCTAACATATCAAATGTATATAATAATATTGGAATATGCTATTTCGAACTTGGAGACTATTAAATTGCCTAAGAAATGTTTCAATTATCTTATAAAATAAAACAATTAAATTTACAAGATAGTGATCTAGATCCTACTGTAGCCAATTACTTTAATAACATAGGTGTTTGCTAATTAAATCTTGGAAATTTCGAATTGGCAATAGATCAATTATAAAAGTCTCTTAAAATTTAGAAGATTTTATCTTTAAAAAATGATATCAATATTTCAAATACACTTAACAATATTGGACTCTCATTTTAAAATATTGGGAATTATGAAAAAGCCTTAGTTTACTTCTTAGAATCTCTTGAAATGAAAAAATAAATTTACAAAAAGCCTCACATTGAAATAGTTAACAATTTAAACAATATTGGTTTATGTTACAAAGATCTTCACAATAAGAAAATGGCTTTAAAATATTTTTTGAAAAGTAAAGAAATTTGTAAAAAATATTTCTAAAATGAAAAAAATCTTTATAGTGCTATATGTCTAAATAATTTAGGTTTATATTATAAAGATTAAGGAGATAAAAGTGCAATTAAATACTTTGAAGAAGCCTTAGAATAGTTCATTTCTATATTCAAGGGAAAAAATCACCCAATGATTGCTAATTGTATGAATAATATTGGGATGGTTTATCATGATTTAGATGACAACCAAAAAGCATAGGACTATTTGCAATAATCTATAAAAATTTACAAACTAAGTTTAGTTGGAAATTAAATAGATATTTCTATTTCACTAAGAAATTATGGACTGCACTTTTAAAAAAATGAAAATAAAATAAAAGCTTTAAGGTATTTACTTGAATCGTATGAAATACTAAGAAATATTTTTAAAGATAAAAATCACCCATTGATAGCAAGTTAACTTAATGATTTGGGAATGTGTTATTTAGATTTAGAAGATTATTAAAAAGCAGAGAAATATTTGCTTGAATCAATTAATATTAGTAAAAAATTATTTAAATAAAATAATCCATCATTGATTAAATATCTTTAAAATATTGGTGTATATTATAACATTATGGGTAATTATTAGTTAGCACTTACCTATCTCCAAGAATCAAATGAAATGGCAAAAGAGTTTTATAACGAAATACACCCTATTCTAGCTGATTCATATAATCAATTGGGCATATGCTTTAGAGATCTTGGTGACATCCAATCAGCCTTAGAGAAATTTTAGGAATCTCTATAAATTAGATAAAAAATATATCATAAGGATAATTCTTTGATTGCAGACTCTCTAAATTTTATTGGATAATGCTATTGTGATCTTAATGATGAGTAAAATTCTATAATATTTTTACAAAAATCTCTTGAGATAAGGAAAATAATTTATAAAGATAATCACCCTGATATTGCTAGCTCTCTTAATAATTTAGGCCTTTGCTATGCTGATATGGGTAAAGATGAAAAGGCTTTAAAATACCTCTAAGAATCACTGAAAATGAGAAGGAAAATATTTAAAGGCAATCATGAAAAAATTGCTAATTCACTTAATTATATTGGTCTAAGCTATTAGAATATGGATGAGCATGAAAAAGCACTTTAATATTTTGAAGAATCGCTTTAGATGAAAAGGAAAATCCCAAATAAAAATCCAGTGTAAATATCAGAAATACTAGATAATATAGGAACTTGCTTTTTAAGTTTAGAAGACTATGAAAATGCAATAATGAACTTTTAAGAATCTATTGAGTTAAGAAAAAAGTTAAACAAAGATTATAATAAAGAAATTGGTAGTTGCTTTAATAATATTGGTATTTGTTATTAAAATTAAGGTGAATACTAAATAGCCATCAAAAATTTTGAAGATTCACTATAATATTTTAATAAGACAACAAATGATATTTAATCTGAATATATTTCAGATTGTCTAAATAATATAGGTTTGTGCTATTAAGATCTTGGTAATTTTCAAAAGGCTCTAGATTTTCATTTAAAATCACTTTAAATGTCAAAATAAATTAACAATGAAAGCTAGGAAGATATAATTGTCTACCTAAGTAATATTGGATTATGCTATGTGGAACTTGCTGATTATGAAAATGCTCTAAATTATCTAGAACAGGCTCTTCTATTGTAAAAATAAAACTTGGAAGAAGATGATCCAGAAATAGCAGAAACTCTAAAAAATATAGGTTATTGCTTTGAAAATAAAAGAGAATATGAACAAGCACTAAATTATTATTAGCAGACTTTAGCATTGCAAAAAAAAATATTTGGAGAAAATCACTTGGATGTTGCTTCTACATTAAATAATATTGGAATTATATACAAAGAGATGAATAATAATAAATAAGCTTTAGACTATTTTTAAAAATCACTAAAAGTAAGAAGATAGCTATTAAAAAAAAATCATAAAGATATTGCAGCTTCATTAAACAATATTGGAATGTCCTATAAAGATGATGGTGATTATTAGTAGGCATTAAAGTTTCTTTTAGATTCATTGGAAATGAGGTAAAAAGTTTTTTAAGGAAATAACAGTGAGATTGCTACTTCTCTTAATAACATCGGAATGTGTTACAAAGACATTAGAGATTAAAGTAATTCATAAAAATACTTGTAAGAATCTTTAGAAATGAGGAAAAAGCTTTATTCAGGAAATCACTCTGATATAGCAATTTCTCTTAATAATTTAGGACAATGTTTTTTAGAATTTGGAGAAAGTAGAATTGCTTTAAGATATTTCTAAGATTCCCTTGAAATGAAAAAATAAATCTTCAAAAATAATCACCCATCAGTTGCAAAATCTCTTAATTGTTTAGGACTGTGCTATTAAAGTCTTAATGATTATGAATAAGCCCTGAAGTTTTTGCTAGATTCTTTGAGAATGAAGGAATAAATTTATAAAAATGACCATCCAGAAATTTAAGAATCTCTGAAAAATATAATAGCATTATATAATTGCCTAGGAGATAGTGTAAATTCTTAAAAGTATTAAAAGCTACTTGAAACAAAAAAATGATTTAATAAAATTCAACATTCTTTCAAGCAATTAATTGTTATCCATACCCTAAAATTTCTATCATTTTATTTTAGATTATTTAGAGTTTTATAAAAATTATACTGTAATTCAATCAATTTTGTAAAATTTATAAATAATTTTTAATCTAAAATATATTATTTTTATAAATGTTTTTAAATGTGATTTAATTTCATACAGGCCAATTTTAATTTATGAATTAGTTAATTTAAATCTTAGAATATCTCAATTTTTAAAAGCTAAAATTATTTTTATTTTATAATAAAATTTTAGAAAATTTCTTTAATAAAAAATTTGAGCTAGCATCTTTTTATAAGAAAGTAATAATTTATTTTTTTTTTTATTAATATTAATTATTTTTTTTTATTAAGTTAACTTTCTGATAATAAAACTTTAAAAAAATTATTATTTAATAAAATTTATGAACGAATGAATACCAAAAAAATATAAATCGTTTTTAATGTATTTTTAAATACATAAAAACCGAAATTTAAAATTCAACAAAACAAATATTCAATTAAGCCCTATTTTATTAAACAACTTTTTAATTTTAACAGAAACGAGCTTATTATGTAATTACATAAAAATTTTAAATTAATCAATAAAAAATTTCAATAGAAAAACAATCTAATATTGGACAAAGAATTGAAATTAATTATTTTATATTTTTATTTTGCAAAACGTACAATTTAATATTTATATATTTATACAGAGAGAAAGATATTTTAATATTTGAGAAATAGAATTTATAAATAGTTTAATTTGTTAAGAAGGATTTTGATATTTTAAATTTAGTAATTGTTTGTTGTTTTGTACCTCAAATTAATTAATTAATAATTGATTTGTGGAGGTTATATATTCAATTAAAAGAGGTCACTATTGTTCGTTAATTTTAAAAGCTTATTTAATTGCATCAACATCATTTAGAGCTGCCAAGTAACCTTTTAAGTACATTTCGTCACTCCAATATTCACTCCAAAGCCAGTAATCACGAGGGAATAGTACATCGCTTTTAGATGTTATATTCAAAATGCTGATATTTTTAGGCATTTTTTGTATTAGATTGCAGAAATCAGGAAGAACGTTTAAGAATACTTTCTCGCTGTCTTCATCAATGTATGGGATAGGGCGTGTGAATCCCCCGTCTACAACTCTATTTCCTCTAAATTTACGGCATGGTCCAAAAGTAGTAATCAAAGGAAGAGCACAACTTGCGGAAACAGCTTCACCAAAATCCTCTCTACTTAGAAATTCGTTAACTATAAGAGGCTTAATAGAAAATATGCCTTATAAATGAGTCATACATAAATGAAAATTATCCTTAAGAGAAGGTAAATTAGGATTGTTAATTACTAAATCCCAATACATATAAGCCAAGTCTCTAACAGTATCACAACTAGTGAATAATCCAAAATATTTTTTATTGCTTTTCTCAAACATTTTACGAGCATATTTATAATAAGAATCTTTCATGGAGTGTTCTTAGTCGTAGACAGCTAAAAGGAAGTATCCGGCAACAGCACTTCCTGCAGAAACTCCTCCTACTCTATATTCTTTCAATTTTTCCTTTCCAACAATTTCAATTAAACCTTAGCAGTAGCCCATTTAATAGCCTACAGCACCAGCTCCTCCACTAAAGAGAAGTTCTTTTTTACGAGGTTACTGATCTTAGCCAATGTTAATTTATTATTAATCAATAGTTTCCATGGTGGTTTTGTGTATATTTATAAAATTTTCAAAGTAGATATATTAGTAAATATATATATATGATCTTATATTTTAGAATTAGTAATTTACTTTTTTTATTAAAATTAATTTAACTAATAAATAAATATCAACTAATCTTTTCGGAATTTACTTCTATCTTAAAGCATATAAATGACGCCAAATGTTTTTTAAGAAATTTGGTTTATATTAATAAATTTTATGTAAATAGCGTCATAAATGATCTCTATTTAATTTAGCATAGAAGTAGACTGATTTTGCATCTTAAGAAATTAGTTTTTTTCACTATTAAAAGGTTTATAATTAATTTAAAGGTACTTTTTGTGTTAATTTTAATTTAGCTTTGCTTTTAAATGTAAATAAGGTGAGTACTAACAAATTAAGAAATAGAAATTCATAATAATTTCTATTTTATTCTTAAAACTAAATAAATTCAATTTCAAAGAAATGAATGAATATATAATATATTTTTAGTTCTGCAATTATAAAAGTATTATCTATGAATGTTAGCTAGCTATATAAATTAGATAAATACCGTAATAAATATATTTAAACAAATATAAAAGAATTATTTAGTTATTAAGAAGAGGAGATTAATAATGAAAGGATCAAGCATTACTCAAAAAAGAAATTCAAAGAATTTTAGTTCTTTTTCATATTTTTATAAAGATAATTAAGAGTTAACTTTATATTTAAAACCAAAATTTAAAAGTTGAGTAATTATTTTGTAAAATAACCACTTAATATTATCTATTTTATAAATTTTTTATTTCTTTCTTTCTTTTTTGTTTATTTATTAAGTAATTGAGAAAACTAATTCAATACTCTATTCATAAGAAAATCAAATTTATCAATAAATTAATAAATAAATGCAAGAGCTCTATTTTATTTCTTATGAATGAATGAGAAAATCATGAAGACAAACTTATTAGTTTTTTAGTATATTAAAAAAATTCATTTAGATATATTATGATAGACACATTAATAAACTAATTTTTATTTATTATCTTAAATTTTGTTTAGCAATCCAAACTCCTTTTTTAGAATAATTAAAAATCTAATTTAATTACTATTTTTCATTTATTGTTTCTTAGAAATTTAAAATAAAAAAACGATTTAATATTTAAAATTTTTAAGTTTTTTTAAATGTTTAATCATGTCTTGAATCTACATTTTGCAGATTTGATAATTCTATGAAATGTTAGAAATATTTCTAAGCGCTTTTTAAATTTTTAGTGTATCTATTTTTTTTAATTGTGATTATGATGATTTGAACTATTTTGAAAAAATATGAATTTTATTGTTAGCTTTAACTAAAAATAATTTTTTTAGATTTATTTGCTGAACAAAAGATTTAAAATATATTCTAAACATAAATATTGAAAAAGCTACATCAAGAAAAAACTATCTTCTTCTCAAAATAACTAACTCATTGAGGAATTTTTAATGACTTTTAATGATTGATTGATAGATGGATCGGATCAATGAATGAATGAATAAGTGAATGGCTTAATTCTTAAGGAAGAAAGTAAAATGAAGAAAAAATCAAATAGTTATTTACATTAAATTTGGAATGAATGAATTAGATAAGATAAAATAGATGGGGGCAGAGAAACAGAGATGAAGTTGATGATTTAAATTAATAAATGGGAAGAAATTTTAATTAAAAAATAAGCAAAAAAAGATTAGTCAGCAAATAAAAATGTTACCCCAATCAATAAAGCGATTGGTGGCATTACTGTTAGCTATGGGTAGGAAGAAGAGAGAGTGTGAAGGAAGGAAGGAGATGATTTGTCATAGAAAAAAAACAAACCTATTTAATACTCAAGTTGTGATAGACGGCGGAAGATAAATTATGTCTGAATAATAATTTGTAATATCAATAAAATTGAAATGCAAAAAAATGCTTTCGCATTAAAATTATTATAAATAACATGAGCTCATTCTACATACATTGTTTATTTTATAGTAGATTTAATTATTGAAATACACTTTTAAGTATTAGGCATGATATTTCATTTTAAAACCAAACAATATGATATATGTATATATATTTATATATAATATCATTCAGTGTTATATGTCAATGATTACTTGCTTGGAATCAATGACAAACTATACCCAAAAGATTAATACAATTTAAAGTAAATTTTGAGGCGAATTTATATGCCGCTTGCTTTTAAGTGGGAGAGATGATTGAATTAACTGCGTGCAAGAAGAAGGTAGGGAAGGAGGGAGGAGAGAAAGAAGGGAAGTTTGTTTTATTAGATTTAAAATTTGCTTGATATGGGATAAGATTAATTAATTAATTTGGGAAATGAATGAAATAATTAGAATTATCTATTTACTATTAGGGTTGGGGAGGGAAATTAATTAAATTAACAGAGGATGATGGATTATAAAAAATAACAAAAGTAATGCCAGAAGGAAGGTACTATCAAAAAATATAATTTTAATTAGTATAAAGGTACTGTTTAAAAAGAAGTAGGAACCGCGTAACTAAATTATTAATTAATTTAATAATTGCATTCAAATTAAGAGGACATTCATTTACCAATTAAAGAAGGTCAAAAAGGTTTAATTAATAAAAAAGGTGTCACAGGGTCCAACGGAGCAAGAAAATTTATAAATAATAATTAGGGAGAAAAATACATCTTTAAAAAAAAAAAAGATAAATAAATTAATTTTGATAAAAATGTCTTGCTCTGCACGTTCCTCAATCCAATAAAATATGGAAGATTCCTAAATAAATAGCTGTAAATACTTGATTCTTTTATTCTACTAGCATAAATACTTCAATAATAAATACTCGAATATCACATATCATTCAATAAAGGCCAGCTTTTTTGGCAACTTATTTCCAACAAAATTCAATCAAATATGAAATTAATTTTTTAAATTTGAAATGACTTAAATAAATAAATAAATTGCTTTGTTTATTCAGATTCAAATTAAAATGCCACTCATTCCTCCCTTCCTATTAGCTTTTTATAATTTCATCATCATCATCTAAAAATATGTTAACTTAAAAATTAACTAACTAAATAGCTTACTTATTTACTAACTAAATAACTGCTTAATCATTCTTTATAATATAAAATTTTTACTATTACAAATTATTTTTGAAATTTCCATTTTGAAACAAAATGCCCATTAAACCTTTTAATTCCCCCCTCCTTTCTTGATTTATTTGAATAAATTACTGACTCAAGCATTTTTAAATATAATCATCATAAATACCTCAATTTTACACATTTTTAAAAGGGTTTTCTATTTTATTTGCACACCCAATATAGAAATTTATTTTAAATCCTATTAACGCAATTAAGTTGTTTGTTTGGCATTTATCTTGAGCAGTTTTTCATTTACTGCTTCTCATAAATAATCTAATTATTCTTATTCTTTTTTCCTTTCCATTCAAAAGAAAGTTCATCCCAATAATCAATCATTCATTTATTTCACCCAGTAATATTTCTAAATCACTCCCCATCATAACTCAATCATACGCGTATCATCTGTATTATAGAGACTTAAACATTTTTCTTCATAAGTCTATGCAAATGAGAAGAAAATAGCATACAATATCTTAATGAAGATATTATTTTGTCTCAGCATACAGTGAGTATTAAATTGATAATTTTATAATGAGAGCATACATATTTGATGCATACAACAAACTATAGTTTTATTTTTTATCAAAATTGATCAGGAAGATAAATAAACACTGCTAATCATTAGAGAATTCGAATTCCATTTTATAGATTAAATTTAATTTGAATGATTAAAAGACTTATTCATTCATTTTTATTTATTATTTACTTACCTTCTTTTTTAATTAATAAAAGTTGCTAAAAAGTACACTTTCGAAGAGTAAAATCAAATTCACACTTCTGAAACTTGCTCATCTAACAATTCACCTAATGACTCTTGCTCTTCACGTAGAGATTAAGCTAAAAGCGTATTTAATATTGAAGATTATCTTGTGAGTACTAATAAAAATCAATCCTCTAAGGATGATTTCTCATCTGCTCTTGCCGCAACAATTGCTTCAGAATCAAATGCTACTTTAGAGTAACTAAGTTTCTCTTAATTCCCACTTACCGCTTCTAGCTCTATCTTTTACAACTCATTTTATGAGTAAAATAGTCTTGCAAACCTTCCTTTGACACCTGCTACTAAAAGATCTTCTCTTAAAAAGCCTCTTGCTCGTAAATCTGTATTTCTTGAAGACCAATTTTGCGAAAAAATTGAAAAAAAAGTTAAAGGGAATGATGTCTAAGACTCTCAGCCTATCCATGAAGTTGTAGAATTCTGCACAAACGACGGATCAAAGACATTTAAATTTAATTGTTTCCCTGAACGTTTACTGAGCATCCCCGCAGAATTTTAAGATAAAAATATTAATCATGTAAATAAATATATAAATTTTTAAATTCTCCATATCTTAAAATAGACCTTGCGCAAACTTCTATATAATGCGCATAGATGTTTGATGCCTTTAAGATATCAATTTAACACTTAATTTATGCTTAAAATGTACTCCATCTACCATTTTTATTCTCAAATATTTTTAGTTGAGTACTTAAATTTTATAAATCCCGCCAAACTGATCTGTAAGAATTTAACAAGCAGAAAAAAAAAGATTTATTATAAATCATATTCAAAACATAAAATAAAAAAAATAAATGAGGCATGAACAAAAATATTAAATTGGCAATAAGTTTCCTTTCATTTGTTTTTGAGGCTTGAGCTTAAAATTCACCAATAAATAATAGAAGAGAAAAAGCAATTAATTCTTCCACTCTATATAATTTATTATTTTTGAGAAGCTTCTATTACTATGATGCAAAAATCTTTACAAAGGCATATTTACTTATAATTTTTTTATTTTATAAAGAATTCTGACAATGACGCTGAATCTAGTGATGAAACTATATAAAGCGCCTGTCGTTATAACTTGCGCAAATTAAAGCTTGAATTAATGGAATTAAGTACCACTTTTAGATACTCTCACTATCATGTTGATTTTGACAAAGTTTCATCTTAATACATAGAAAAAAAATAAAAGAAAGAATAAGAAATTCAATCAGGAGACACCTCATAGCCTGAAATAATGACGTAGTAACAGTTCATCTAATGTTAATAGGACGAGTAAAAATAATAAAGTGAAAATACAGTCTTATAATAAAATAATGAAAACTCATAAAGCCTATTAATTCAATAGTGAGTGAAACCAATGACTATTATCCTTACTTTTATAATTAATTGCTTTGATAAAATGAGCTGATATCTTTCTATTTATCTATCTATCTTTCATTCTTTCTTAAAATAAATAAATAAATTATGTACAGGCTAAATCAAATCTACTTTAACATTACTAACAATAAAATAAAAACTAATAACTTTCCTTATTCATCTTCTTCATTATTCTCAATGATGCTTGATTTAGATTCCTTATCTTGAAATAAATTAATAATATGCATGCACTTAAGCTATTCTAATAGTATTAAAATCAATAACAATCAAAACATAAATGAACATATCTAACCGTAGTATTTTATAAGTCAAAGAGTTGATATATTTAAAAAAATAATGATTTCATCACCTTGTGACATAAAAACATTCTAAACCACTTCTAATTAAAATTATTTATTGCGAACATTAACAACCAAATAAAATATTAATAATGCCCTTACTCTTCTTTTCATTTATATATTATTTATTACTGATAATTCAGTATAAATTAAATATCTTTAATTTTTGACTTCAAAAAACTAATTCTTAATAAATCAAATGTATGAATTGCCACCTGCTTGCCTTTTTATTTATTAGCTCTCTTTAAATTAAAAATTTTGAAGCTAATATTAATAGAGAAGCAATACTCCAGCAATACGCAGAGCTCCCAGAAAATAATAAAAAATAATTTTCTAATCTAAAAAGCTATCTATAATGTGATAAGACGAAATGAATGAATAAATAAATGAACGAATCCTTTAAATTAGTTAATAATTAAACAAGATTTGAAAGAATAGATCAATAAAAGAGAAGAGTTTGATAATTTTTGGACTGTACAAATTTAACAATTCAATCAACCAATTAGCATTAATAACAAACAATAAAATTATGATTAACCAAACAAAGCTAATATTGAATAAAATAATAATAAAACTAGAATATTTATCCATGTATTTTATGTTTATACTTTTACTCCTTATCTTAATTTCCTTACTATAATCATTCAAATACTTCAACAATCTTTTTTATAACATTTCTTTTCATTTAATTATTTTCATATTTTTATAAAACTAGCTTTTTTAATTATATTTTCCTCTTTATTTTACTAGCCAAATTTATTAATTTGTTTCATTGATCAGAAAAATTAATCAATATGGAAATTTTCTAAATTCAGTTCACTAGCAGATTATAAATTATATTAATTTTATCAATTTATATTTTATAAATTATTTTAATTATTTCCTCATTTATTTGTTTTATTTTTTTAATTTTTTGATAATTTTGTAAATTTTAATGAAATATTTTTATAATTAAAAAATCTGAAAAAAATATTTATAAAAAAGAATTAATTTATTTTAGAACATTCAAAAATTTAATTAAAAAGAGTTATTGTAAACATTTAAAATATCAAAAGTATTTACTTCAGTTAAAAAGTTCATAAATAATACTATAAAAATAAAATAGATTAATTATTCTTTGTTTTAATTATTGCAGTGCAAATAATAAACTAAAATTAAAATTTTTATAATTTCAAGTAGAAAATTTATATAATATAGCAATATTTATTAAGCTATTTCTTTATAAAGCTTTTTTTGTCAAAAATTAATAAAAAAGATTGAAGAATTTTGATTTTAATTATAAATATAATAGTTAGTAAGCTGGTCTGAAACAAATATTCTGAAGTAAAAAAGAATTGTAGAATCAGTCTAATATAAAGAGAATTTAGTAGTTAAAAGTAAAAATTAAAATTAATTGTTGAAGAAAAAATAAATTATTCTTTGATAAAATGGCTTCAAGTAAAATATTTTTTTCATTAAAAGCTTAAATAATTAATTTAATTGCAATTTCAATATCTCGATTTCTATTAAAATATGAATTTTTAATATAGCTAACTACGTTTCATCAGATGAATACAAATAGCAAAAAGCCTTAGAAGAAGCAAGAAAGGCAGGTAAAATTCCTGCCTAACTAGACGAAGAAGGAAAAGAAATTAATCCGCATATGCCTCAATATATTACTAAAGCTCCTTGTACGAATTTAATTTTATATAAAATTCTGCGTCTAAACAATTATTTAACATAATAAAGGGTATTTGAATTAAAATGCACCATCCATGAAGCATCAGTATTTTTTCAAGCAAACTAATGATGCCTCAGAAGAGTTTTATGCTAGAGGATAGAAAGGTTACTAAGCAACAAAATATAGGAAGGGAGCTTGCACTAATTGTGGAGCAATTACTCATCAAGCAAAAGGTAATTTAATCTTTATATTTTTCAAAAATATGAAATAAGTCTAAAGTAAAAGAGATCTATTCATAAATTAAATTCTACAAATGTTACTCAAATTTAATATTTTTTACAACATTTAAATGCAAAAATGATTATTAAAATATAAATGGCGCTTTTTTAAATAAAAAATGCATACATCCAAAGAGTTTTTGATTAATTTCAATAAATTAAAGAATGAAATTTAAACTACACACTTTAAATTAAAAGATTTTTTAATTCTTATTTAAAATAAATATTTTAATAAAATAGATTGTTGTGAAAGACCAAGAAAGTTAGGTGCAAAATATACAAATTAGAATATAGCTGCAGATGATATTATTAAAGATATAAAGTTTACTTATGATTCAAAAAGACATAATTGGAATGGTTTCGTAAGGAATTTTTATAATTTATATATAAAAAATGAAAACAAGCTTTATAATTAAAAAAGTTTGCCTAACTTTTATATTTAAAAAATAGGATCCAGATGATTATATGGAAATAGTAAAAGAGAAAGAAAAAATAGAGGAAATTAGAAAAAGAGAGTAAGAGAAATAATTAGAAAAAGCTGATGCAGAGTCAAATTATGACGATGGTACAAGAGAAAAGGATGAAAAGGCTGGATAAGTGAAGATTTCTAGTGAATAGTCTAGATAATAGCCAACTCCACATTTAAGAATCAGAGAAGATAAAGCAAAATATCTTCGTAACTTAAGTGAAGACTCTGCTACATTTATTTCTAAAAATAGATCTATGAGAGAAAATCCTACTCCTAATGATCCAAATTCAGATTTTAAAGGTGAAAATGCTTTGAGAATGACTGGAGGTGCAGTAGAATTTATTAAATAAGAATATTTTGCTTGGTAAGCAGCTGAAAAATAAGGTTTAGATTTAAGTAGTATCGCTAATCCAACCTTAACTGAAAAAGTGTACAGGGAAATGAAAAATAAAGAATCAACTCTTAGAGATAAAAATATGCAGAAGGTATTTGTTTAGTATGGTGGCGAGGAGCATTTTGAAGGCGATATGGATTTAATTTTAGGATAAACAGAAAAATATGCAGAATATGCTCCAGATGGAACACAACTTGATATATACAATCATAAGAGGTCAAAATATGCTGAAGATATATACATTAATAATCACACTTCTGTATGGGGTTCTTGGTTTAATGATTATCTTGGTTGGGGTTACGCTTGCTGTCACTCTAATACCAAATCTTCTACCTGTTAAGGAGAAAAAGGCATCAAAGAAGCAGTTACAAGAGAAGTAAGATTATTAATCAATTAAAATATATTCTATATGAAAATAAATTATCATAAATAATCTAAAAAATAGTATGAAATCTTTTTTTAAATATTAATTTTATTAATAGTTTTTGGCAAAGAAACAATTAGAAGAAGACTTGAAAAAAGCTAAAGAATCAGGTGAATTAGAGAAAAAGGAGCAATAAAAGAAGGCTTAAGAAAAACCTCAATTTGCAGTTCCTGCAGCTAAAAGTAAGAAATAATTAAATTTATTAATTATAGTAATTAGAAATAAAGAAAATTATATAAGTAAACAATCAGATAAAATATTTAAATTAAAATGAAACAAAGGATTGAAAATTTTATTCTACTTTTTAAGCCAAAATTTATTTAGAACAAAAATAAAAATATTAACTTACTCGTAAAGTTAAAAAATATGAATTTTATTTAAAATAAAAATTATAACATGGAAATTAATAAATAATATTGAATTATTAATAGAAAAAACTGAAGATGTAAACTAAAAAGGAATTGGAAAAAAAGAAGAAAAAATTAACGATAAAAAACAATAAAAAGAAGAAGTCCTGAAAGCATAGAATCCTTTCCAATGGGGATTACCAGAGGATGAAGAGAACGAATAGGAGTTAGACCAAGAAAAAGTTAAGTATTATATGGAAAGGATGAAAGAAAATAAAACAGAAGAAAGAGATGATAGAAAAAGAAAATACAACTCTTTTGCTGCAGATGAAGGGTACGAAATTTCAAGAGAAGAGCTTGAAGCCTATAGGTTAACAAAGAAAAACTTTGATGATCCAATGGCTAACTATCAAGATAATGATAAATATTGATAATAAATTACTTTTTTAATAAATAAATATATAAATAATAATTGTTTAGAAAGTATTTATGATAATTCATTTTAAACTTGTATATTTACTTTTAAATAAAAATTTTGCTTAAAACTAATTAAAAAATTAAATGAATTATACTTTATTAATTAGGATTAATCATTATGAGCATTTTTTTATATTTAGTTGCATAATAAAATATATTTTATTTTACACAATTAAGATATATTTTTCAATAATTATATTGGACTTCTTGCAAAATTATTATTTTAATCAAAAGATTATTAAATAAAAATAATTAACAAAAATATTTAGAATTTCATAAAAAATTATGAATAAACAACTTTATATTACGCTGGAATCTTTTGAGCTTTCTCTTTTAAAGTTATTTTTCACTTACTTTTATGTTTAATAGTTTTATTGTGTAACTTTAAACATAAAGAATGTTCTATTATAGATTATAAATGGTAAAATTAATAAGAAAATACTTTTCAATAAATGTAATTTAAGCCAGGACTATAAATGTAAGTCTTAAAAAAAGATTTTGAACATCAAATAATATTTTTAAAGAAGTAGATATTTTTAGCTTTAGCTTGTAAATTCTCCTCTTAGTTTTAATTAAAATGCGCAAAAAAAAAATTGTTATAAAATGAAAAGAGATGAAGGTACTATTATCACACAATAAATCTTATATGAGTGATTATTAATTTAATTAATTTATTTGTTAATAAAAATAAAATTTTGGGTGTAATCTAGGTTAGTATTTTATGATAAGTAAGCTAGTACTTTAGAAAATTATGTAAATTGTAATTAAAAGAATTTATTCCCTCAATTTTCCACATTATTTTATGCATTTATTTGCTTTTTAAATTCAATCGAGTAGATAATTTCTTGATTAATTTAAAAAGCGATTTTTTATAATATGGGAAATTTCGATTCTCCTCTATATATTAGCAAAGCGATATATGTAGTTGAATAGAATTTTTCTAGTAAAATTTCAATTATTATTCTTATATAGTGAGTTAAAATCAGTTTTACAACTATTTGTATTTTTTAAAGATCTCTTCAACAGAAATTAAAATACACAAAATCTAGTCAATTAGTAGTAATTCTATCTGAAACCTCAATTTTAAAAATCAAAAAAAATATTAACTTTTTTATTTAAATGACTAAGTAAATAAGAATGTTTTAGTGATATTTAAAACTAGTATTAAATATATTATATATAATATTTGAATCGTCATTTATTGGTTTATTGGAGAATATTTTAAACGAGTTTTTAATTAAATTTGGTGAATATTTTTGCTTATAGTTTAACATGTGATGATAAATTAGATTAGCAAAATTTTTTAATTTTTATCAAATATAAAATTTTTTCTAACCACGAACTAATTATATAGTCATCTTTCACTTACATTAAACAGCCTTCTTACTTATAATGTGCATATATCTTTCTTAACTTACAATTAAATAAATAGATGTAAGTAAGGTTTTAAGTATATTTTGAAATCTTTTTATGATTAAAATAGATATATTTTTATTCTTTAATTCTCTCCCTTTTTTATTTTTTTTGTCTATTTTTTCAATATTTTTATGGGAAAAAGATTGATTATACTAATTCTATTTTTTACTTAAGTTAATACGTTATCTGATATGTGATATGAGGTAATCAGTATTTACTACCTAATCTTGAATATCTGTGTTTTTATATGTTATTTATCATATATATATTTTATCTCTTTTTTAATGCTTTGAAGCGCTTTCTATGACTTATTTTCTCAAATTATGTCTTACTACAAAATTAATGTAATTACATATGTATAAAATTTACTTTTTTAATGATTTAGTTTAACAAGTGGTTATCAAAAACATTTCAAAGTTAAGTATTTAACTTGATTAATCAAATGCTTTTATATTTCTTGTATAGAACAAATTTTATAAATTACTTTTTCAAAAGCATTTGTTTGAAAGTTTAAGCCTGAATTCAATTGGAAATATGAATAAAGTTTTTGTGTGTTAATATTTGAATTTGTTTGCATTATGAAATCAAATTTAATATTTATTATATATTTTTCTTCTATGTAGACTTGCTTAATAGTTGGATTCTACAAAGAAGGGGCAAACAATAAAATAAACAAACTTTTTTTGCTATTTATCAAAAAGCAATAATTAATAATTTAAAAATTGGCAAATGATTTACAAATATAAATATGTATATATGTATGCTTGTTTGCTTTGTCAATAGCTAAGCTTAAAAAAGAAAGAAAAAAAAAAGAAGAAAGAGAGTAGCCACAGAATATACTCTATCCCAAAAAGATAGTTAGTTAATTATCATATATAAAATTGATTAATTAAAAAAAATCAAGAAAGTATATATTAAAAAAAAGCATTATTAAAGTAGGATATATAAAACAAGAAAACAAGTTTTTTAATCCATTTTATAGAATTCCAAAACAACAACTTACGAAGATAACAAATTTAGGTCTAACTCATAATAACATAAAATTTTATTTTAGAAATTATTTGAAAAATAAGCATTTTTACTTTGGTAGTTTGATATTTTTATACTGTTATCTGTATCTTGTTAACTGCTGCCTAAGACATAAATATTTTGAAACAAAATAGTCAGTGAAATAATTTTTTGAAGAAAAAGAAGAAGAAGAGGAAATTCTCTCTCTAATTCCTAAAAATAATTAGTTTTCAAACAAATATTCAGTTAGAAATCTGATAGCATATTAACATTAAAAAGAGGTTTTAATAGTATATTAGAATAATAGTCAATAAAAAGCAATAATAATTAAAGATAAATTTGTTTGCTTACTTACCTAATGAATGATGTAGTAGATGCTTCCTAAGAAACAGCAGTAAATAGCTAATACTTATGCTTGCAATAATCTGAAAACTTGATTAAAAGTATATAAAAAAAGCTGCTTTAGTTTAAATAGTCCTCAGAAAATTTGTATTCTTGTCAGAAAAGTCTACATGAAGACTTAATAGCTCTCTAAGATAAATACTTAGAGAAGGAAATTAAAGTTGAAATTAACGCATTTTTTGATGGATTTAGCCAAGCCTTGCTGTGTATGTAGCAATGCTTAAGCTCTGTACCACAAAAGATAAACGATTTTATATAAAATATAGATAAAATTACAAAAAATTAATGGAAAAAAAGATAATTTTTAAAAGAAAAGTATGAACACTACCTTAACAAAGTATAGGATCTTGTTTTGAAACAAGAAGAACAAGCTGCTAAACAAAATCCAAATAGTTTCATCCTTAGTGCAGGTACTGGAGTTGGAACTATCTCCTTACAATAAAGGAAAAATAACCCAAAAGTTACAAGAAATAACGATAAATTAAAAAATTCAGCTATAAAATATTAAGATATCAATAATAGAGTTGCTGATGAGCTTTCTAATTTGCTTAAATTGAGAAATGGAATTATAAGTACAATAGGAAAGCAACTAACTGATTCCCTTATAGAAAATATTACACCTTTATAAGCAACAATTGATTCAGTTAAAAAAAAAAGTGACTCTGTTGCAATGAGTTAAAATAGCAACAGAAGCAACAATGGAGTTGCAGGAGGAACCATATTAAATTGCAATGCAAAGACAAAATTTTCTTCAATAAATTCTATTGAGCAAGAATAGCTTGAAAGAGAAATTACCATTAGAGGCATATTTAAAATACCTGCTACTATGGATCTCCCAGTGATTCGTAGAAGGAGCATTAAAATAACATAAGATGGGTAAGTTGTAAACGATCATGGTGGTAACAACAAAAAAGAATATAATCCTGTTCCTTTTGAATCTAGCAATCCAAATGTAATTATTTATCTAAGTCGTTTAGTCTAATAAGATAAAAACATATTTGACTTCGAAGATTTTAACAATAAAGATGCCAATTAGAATGAAGAAAATAGTGATAATTCTAACAACAACCAAGTTCAAGATCACTCTGGTTTAGAAGGTAGTATCGAGAGAGTTTACACCAACGAAAGTCACTCTAACGATTTCGAAGAAAATTCTTAAGATGAAGAGGAAGAAGATTAGTAAAACAACGTAATTTGCTATGACAGCGATGACTCTAAAAGCAAAGAAAATTCATAAGATTAATAAGATGATCAAAAAAAAAACAATAATACTTCAAAATATCAAATCAACCTTAAAAATTTATCTATTTCTAAAGATCCTAAAAATATCCAAAAAACATAATCAAAGAAGAAAAAGTCTTTAAAGAAGCAATAATAACAAATCTTATCTGATAGTATTTTTAGGTACGAATAGGAAAGGAAAAAGCAACTTATTAATTAAATATTAATAAAAGAAGGAGGAGGAATAATATCAGCTGTCAATCAACCAATTAATTGTAACTAGAATCCTTAATCATAGAATTCGTTTAACAATTTCTTTTAAAACCAGCAAGTTTCTAATTATCAACCTCAAAATAAGCAATAAATATCTCCATAAAGCTCTCTACCAGAAAAATCAAATAAATCAAATTTAAGTCAAGGAAGTGCTAATTGCAATAAACAAATAACAATAAACTCGCTTTAAGACCAGTAAGTATAGTAAAAAAATTATCAGCACAAATAAAATAACAATAATTTGAATCCAAATTAATTTCATTCAGCTTCTTACTAAGTTCCAAGCAGTAGCAGCATAAAAACTCCTAATTTTAATAATAACTAGCAGTAATAATAATAATAGCCAGTAAATTTTAATGCTTAAAATTTCAATAATAATTTTAGTAATTAAACTAGTACAAACACTCCTAATAATAATAATCTTTCCATTAACAAATAAAATAATGTATCTATTTAAATATAGTAATAAAGTCGATCTAATTAAAGCTGGAGTAATTTACCATCTCCAAAGCATTTTAATAACATAAATAATACTGTTAATTAGTAAGTCTCAACTCCATAAAACGTGAATAGTAATAATCATTAAGCAGGTTATAGCTAATCAAGAAATCAACTCTCCTAGTAGTAATACTTATCTCCAAATCAATAAAACTCTTAATAAAATTTTTCTAGCTACCTTTCACCTTAAAAAGAAGGAAAAACATTTTCAAATAATATCTACTAATAAGGAAACTCTAATTTTAATTACTAAAATCAACCCTAATAAAATTATTAGTAGTCTTTACAAGACAGCTAATTAGTTTAGCAATTAAATAGAAACTCATTATCAAGCAACATTAATAATAATTATGGTTTTTAAAATACAAACACTTAAATGCCTGCTTACACAATTTAAAAGAAACCCTCATAAAATAGTCTCAACGACATGAATTAAATGTAGAGAATGCCTTAGCAACCACCTCAGTAGTAATAATAGAATTTTCAAAAAATACAATAGTAAAATTAATTTAATGGATTTGTTAACATGCAACAAAATACCTAATCTAATTAACCCTCTATCAGAAAAAATAGTGACAACAGCTTTAACTACCGTGAGAATTAAACAAAAAATGTGTAAAATTAACAATTAAATTTTAATATGAGCGAATCTTAACCATAATAAAACCAAATCAATAATACTATCAACCAGTAATAACAATAATAAAAATCCTCAGATCAAATTGTAACTTTTAATAATTTATCTGAAAAGCTAATAAATAATTAAATTTCTAATGGATTATAATAATAATAAAAGTAATAACAGACTTACTAAAATGGGAATTAAATAAATGGATAAATGCTCAATAACAATAATACCCAAATGATGCAACATCAATAACTAAATGGTATTAACAAAATTAGCAAAGTAAATTCTCTATAACTTGAAGAAAATAAGGCTTAAAATCAAGCTTATTAAGGTTCTTCAACAACCAAAAACTAATAATAAATTTAGATCAGAAACTTCTATTAGCAACAAAATAACACTCAATAATCTACCTTTAAATAATTTGTAAATAGAGAGAATGGTAACGAAAAAATGAATTTAAAGCCAAGCAATTCAATATCAGGAGAGTAAAAATAAAATGACGATAACGAAAGTGATGAAAGTAGTATTTTATCACTTACTTTAATAGATGATTGATATTAAATTACAGTAAGAGCCTTCATTATTTTAGATGAATGTGTTTAAAATTTTAAAACCAAAATGCTTTCATTGATAAACTATTAAATTATTCTATTTGATTATCTTTTAATAACATAAAAATAGCAATAATCATAATAACACACACTATAATAAAAATGTAAATTTTGAACTTTTAAGATTATTTAAAATAAATAATTCCTAAAAAATATTTTTAATCTTTAATAAATATCTATCTTTTAATTAGTTATTACTAAAATATATGTATTAATAATACAGCTTAGCCAATTTATATCTTTACTTAATCTATATTTATTAATACTCTAATAATTAATACAAAACTCTTTTTAAAATTCTATAATAATTATTTATTTTTTTAATAAATATCTTTTAGTAATTACTAAAGAAAATGTATTCATAATAAAACCAATTTATATATATTTGCTAAATCTATATTTATTAATACTCAAATAATAGATACTATTTTAAATTTAATAAATATCTCTTAATATTAATCAATGATAATAATACTTAATCAATTTTTTCATTACTTAATCTATATGTATTGATACACAAATATATAATTCAAAGTTATTTTTATTAAAATTCTAAAAATGATATTTAATTTTTAATGATTATCTTTTAAGTAATAATAAAAAATAAATATTAATAAAAAAATCAATATATATATATATATATATATATCAATTAATCAATTACATACAAGCTTAATCCATATTTATAGTTATTCAAATTTTTGTTTCTAAATTATTTTTATTAAAATTCAAAAAATATTATTTAATTTTTAATGATTATCTTTTAATATTAATGAGTAAAAATTAAAATATTTATATTAATAATAGAACCAATTTATTATATATTGCTTTTTCTATTTTTATTTATACTCAAATAATACATAATATTTTATCTTTAATAAATATCTTTTAGTATTAATTATCTCTCCAATATTAATCAAAAATAACTCTTAAATAATATATTTACTTTATTTAATCTATCTATATTTATTTATACTCAAATATTTAATTCAAAAATTTTTATTTAAGTTCTAAAAATAATATTTAATTTTTAATAAAAATTTTTTCATATTTGTTATTACTAAAATATATATTATTTAAACTACTTAATCATTTGATAATTTTCAAAACTCTTTACAAAAGGATTAAAACTCTCTAAATAAGACTTAAGGTAATCCACTAACAAATTTTAAATATTGTTATCCTATTAAAAAACACAAAATTAAAGTGCAATAATTTTACTATTTTAGAATAGAAATTTATAATCTTGAATATTTATTTACTCAGAATTAAAATGTAAACATTTTGATCAAAAATTTAATTGGTAAATTAATTAATTAAATTTGTTTATTCTACATATAAATTTTTTGCAATTATATATATCTGATTTTTATATAGCTTAATTTGGTATCTTTGATAAAAAAAAATGAATAAAGATTAAAATGGGTTACAATTTGCCTATCCAGAAAACACTAGCATGTTTATAAAAGATTTTTCTTAAAAGCTATTAATTAATTATAAATAGATAGAGAGCTGTGTTAGCGATTATAAATAGCAACTTCCCGATTCATATTATGAGTAATTCTATTTTGGATTCTTAATTTAAATTTAATCATTTACAATAATATTTTAAAAGCTGCTCTGATTTACAAATAAATCATGGTGAAGACATGATGGAAAGGTATGTTGAATTAGAAATACCAGTAAGATTATTAATTAAATGTTTTAAGAGGTAGATTTTAATAATATTTTAATTTTTAAATCAGGATAATGAAGATTTAAAAGAACATCTTAAAGCTTGCGGAGATGAAGCAAGCAAAAAAAATATTATTTTGAATTCTTAAAGTCCATACTAGCTAGTTTAAGATGCCAAAGAAAATATAAAAGACATGAAAAAAGAATCAATAAATTTATCAGTACTTGTTGATAAATTGAAGGTTCCTATTTTTACTCAAGATATTTCTTAGCAAATATCAGTTTTGGAGTCTTTTAAAGTATTAGAGTAACTTTTTTACAAATATATATTATTATTTTTTGAGCAATTTTTAAATGGGTCATAAAGGAAGAAAGAAGTTAAGATTAAAGCTTTGTGTAAAAACATGATGGATAGACCTATTGTAATAAATTTTAGTTAGATTAAATAATATTTTGCATATAATTTATTTATTTATTACAGTAAAAAGCAATAGAAGAAGAAAAGAAAAGATTCATTCCTATTGAGAAAAAACTAGACACAAATCACACAATAATAAAAGTTTCTGTTTATAACAGCATCAATGGATTAAAGCAAAACGAATATTTAGTATACGATATTTAATTTTTGTAAGATTTAGTTTTTAAAATTGAATGTCTTTCAGAAAAACTCTCTGAAAGAATTCCGAGTGGACAACAATCCCAGCCTGACTCAAAGTTTATGTAGCTTTATTCAATAACTTTTTTTCAATTTATATAAATTTCTCTAAAATTTTCATATGAAATTAATGAATAATTTTAAAACTATTTAGGAAACCCTCATTCTTATTTATAGAAAATACTTTTTACAACAACCAATACAAGATAGATGTTAAAAACCTATACCAGTAAATCATTTTTTCTAATTAAAAATTTAATTTATTATATACATTTTTTTAAAGTGAATGGCAGCAAGAAGCAAAAATAAACTCTCAAAATAGTGGAATGCAGTTTGAAGAAGAATTTGAAGAAAAAACCTTAAATGAAATGTTTGAGTAAATTAAAATACAAATAGGTAAGCCATATGTATTTAGACATTAAAATAAATGTGATCACATGATTGTTTTTAATGAAATACGTCTATGGAATACAGATCTGCCAGCTGATAAAGATCTGTACCCCTTCAATGTTTTTCTGCCTAAAGTAAAAAGAAGAAAATGTGATGGATGCAACTTATTCTTTACAGAGTATTTTTTTTTTTTTTGAAAACTTTTTTTATTTACCATTCTAAATTTAATCAAAATAGGATCGTTTGCTTCAATGATAAAGTTTCATCTAAAAATCCTATTTTTCTATGTGAAAAGTGTTTTAATCAAACCCATATCAAGTAAATTTAATTAATAAACAATATTAAAATCTAATCTTTTTTTTAAGTTGGAAAAAAGAATTAAGATATAACGATTTCTCATATTATCCATACATTTATGAATGAGCTGTTTTTTTTTAAAACTAATTCTAAATACTACATAAAACAATAACTAAACTAAAATATTGTATTTTTAATTGTTTATTTAATTTACAAAGAAGTAATAATACCCTTAATTTATTGATAAAACAATCAACCACAATTTGATTTATATTGTATTTTTTACACCACAAATCCTAAGAAAATTTTTTGTTATTTTATTGTTACTCTATGTATTTTTTAAATATTTATTACTGGTAGTTATTTCAATTAGCTATCAACAATTTAATGATCATTTTTTACATTAAAAATTATCATTTTAAGATTTTTAAAAGTATTTACTTTTTTTTGGTAAGAATAGATTTTAAAACAATTAAGTAAAAGCTTTAAGATAATTTTTTATTCAAAAAATATAATATAAAAGGAGAATGAATGCATTATATTAGTAGATTTTAATATATGTTAAAATAGAAAATAATCTATGGGCATACAGTAGAAATACAAAATAAGGATTATAGATTAAATACAAATTTTATGAATGAAATTAAAATTTACTACTTTAGAAAATAATAAATATAGTTTATATGTTAGTTAATCTTCAGAAAAGTACCTTTCTTTCAATAAGGATAGGACCATGTTCATCATAATCTCTCTTAGTCATTAGCAAATTGTCAAAAGTGCTCATAGAAGCTACAATTGAACCTCCAACCCAAGATGAATGAGCTCTTTCATTAATTGTTTATGTTGTATAAATTTTAACTCTTCCTGAAGTGTTAATTTCTAGCTATGTAATTTCTCTTTGTAATCTTTCTATTAAATTTGGAATCATTGAGTTACCTCCTACAACCATAATATTATTTAGTAATTCTCTTCTGTTTTCTGAATCTACTCTCTCTATACTTTGCTTGATCAAATCCTACAATCCCATAAAATTCTCTTCTGGCTGTTTAATTTAAAATAAAAAATATTTAATTTAATAAGTTTTGAAGTTTTTAAAGAAATAGTTTTTTTTACTATAGGATTAAATAATAGTTCTGGAACTTCAAACATTTCGTTGAGAACTTCTAATTTTTATTTATCAGGCAATTCAAATATTTGAGTATCTACAGCATGGTTAAATTTACTAAATAAAAAATTTGTTTATTTGAGACTCTTGACAAATTTGAAATAAATGAATCTTACATTATATCTTGTCTTGTTTCTTTTAATTTTATGTTTCTTGATTTTATTTCTCTTATTAAATCGTTAGCTCCCCAATTTTTCATCGATTAAGTTATTTTTGCATAATTTGTGAATCTGTTTAAAGATTCAGGTTCAATCTTAGATTTCCAAACATTTCCTAAAGACTTTGTCAAATATTCTCCTGCAATATCGCTTCTAATAACACCTAATAGTTTAAATAAATAACTAAACAAAAATACCAAAAAAATTTGTTTGTTCTATTAATTGTTTTTTTACTATTAATAAAAATTCTTACCTTTTTAATTAACGTAACCTTCAACAATAGGAACTACGTAAGTACTATATGCACCAGAATCTACTAGCAAGATGGTTTCTTTGGCCAATACGTATCTAATTTAAAAAATAGTATTTAATTAATTGAAACAAAAATAGTATTTTTTAAGTAATAAATATTATTTGCTAAATTTGATTGTAATTAATTACGAAGAAAGTACTGGAGCTTTGTGAATAAATAAAGCAGCGAAGTTCATTGATTCAAAAACAGCTTCTACACATTTTTATCTTACATCTTTGGTAGAGAGAGCTTATTCAATCAAAAACAAAGGTGTTTCAGATGGATTTATTTGCATAAGCTTTTTATTTATCTGCTCTATGAAGTTTGAAGCTTATTCCCAATTGTTAACTATTTTAAATAATAATTTATTCATTTATTAATCTGTTAAAGAAATGCTACTAAATAAATTTTTTAACTAATTCAATAAAAATCTCAATGATTATTTTAGTATTCAATTTAAATTAGCATTTACCCATTCCTTATGATAGGAAACTATTAACTTCGCTATTTTCTGGAGCTCTAGGAGAATAAAATTCAAGTAATTCTATTTCATTATTACCTTTGGTAGCATAATCCTAGTTTTATAATTTAAGCATTAATTTTTCGAAGTAATAAATTTCTAATAATGCCATTAAATTGACTAATTTTATGCTGCTTTTTTCAATATATTGTTGATTACTGTTGGGATTTAAATTGTTGGTGTTTCATAACCAGCATAACCTATTTATTTTTTTATTATTAAGGCAAATGTTATAAAATTTTTATAAATTTAAGATAATTATTAGTTACCTGCTCTTGTTGTCAAACCTCCGAATTCTAGAACAAAAGGTATGTTTTTGCAATAATCGGTTGCACCATCTTTAAAGTTATCTTTTCTTCTTCCTGGTAAATACATTTCTTTTGTAATTAGCTTGCTAAATTTAGGTTAATCTATTTATTTAATATTAAATTTATGTATCTTTCTTGAAGCCAAGCGCGCAAAAAGATTTTTATTTTAATTTGTTTAAATTGATTTGCTTTATCACTAAACAATTATTTATAAGCAATAGTTTCTAGTTAAGTTGAATTTTTTTACAAAAAAAATATTGCTTTTTACATATAAATTTCAGTTTGTTAGATTAGGATGACATTTTCATAATTAAAAAAATCATTTAAAAAGCAAACAAATATTGCTTTCATATTTTACATGATAATATTTTAATTTGCATTTTAGATTATTTCAGTGGTGATTTTCTAAATTTAATTTTGAAAATTAATTTAATCTTGAGCAAATAGAGTAACTAAGGTATAAATAAACAATTGAGGTTAATTAAAATCTTAAAAAACTAACAAGTTGTAAAAGAATATACATACATTCAACTCTTATCTAACATTTATTGAAGCAAAGCAGTGCAAGCTAATTTAAAATGATAATTAGATTTTAAAATACCTGCTATGTATGTCATGTATGGGAACTACTTTTTAATCACTTATTTATTATTTAAGCTTTTGTAAAAATTAGATGAAAGAATATTGATTGATTTAGCAAAATCTAATTTTTTTTTAATTAAAACAAAGTTAATAACAAAAGATAAATACCGTTCATTAGCTTTGAAAAGAAGACAAAAAATTAGAAGAAAAGATTACAGAAAGCAAAATTAAAAATATTTTTATAAATTGTTGAGCTTTACTTTTAAACAAAGTCGGCGCAAAATTTGCCTTTGCGCATGCATATACTTATTAATATTTATTTTTGCAATTTCATCTGTAGAATGTGCTTCTTACAAGCCATCTGATTTCGTAAATAGTATTTTTAACTTCTCTGGTTTGAAGGAAGGTAATTAATCTATCATTTAATTGATTGTGCTTGTAAAAACAGGATAAAGTTACAGCTATTAAAAAATACTCAAAAATTTCTTATTACCTCGCTATGTATGCATGATAAAAATTATTTTTTGTTTGATATATTAGGTTTGTATCAGATAAATATTCTCTAAAATCAAGAGAGCGATGGCTTTTAAGGAGAGACTATTATGGGATTTGGGCATTACAACAAAAATGATTAATAGTAATAAACTTTATAAACTTTGCAAATGATAAACAAAACAAAAAAATACAGATTTATTTTTGAAAGATAACTTGAAATCATATTTTCATATTATTTATTATCTTTAACTAAAGCGCAGGCATAATTACGAGAGATCAGACTTTAAAAAAATTAAACTTGTATTTATGGAATTCATCATAAAAATTTTACAATAAAATAAATACTTTCTGCAGCCCTGCTGATGAAACATGCAGTAAGGACATAAAAAATATCATACCAAGTAACACTTTTTGATTGAAAATATGGACTCACTAGCTCATAAATAATTTAATATATGTGATTGATAATTAATTTGTTATTTTTATAAAAAATAAGTTGATTGGGATTATAATGGGTATTTAGACCTGATAATTATATCTGATAATTCTGATGGGATTCAAAATACAGATTATACAGCACATTTTCTATTTTAATATGTACAAAATATTTAATCTTCTGAATGCACTTCAAGTTCCTGTACACTTGTTAATGTTGTGAGTTATTATGTAGATTCCAACACATAACCATTTATCATACCTTACTATAAGGATACTTAGCATTTACATGGATTATTTTATTACAAGAAAACAGAAGGCTTCTAAAAAAGAGTTGTTATCATAGGTGATCCTAACGATCCTACATATTAAAAATTATCTACAATAGATTTTTCAAGCTTAGTAGAATAAGACAACAAATAATGCATAAATGGAGATGAGTTAGATGAAATTTTATCTAGAAGGTTGCCTGATATACATTTCAGCTCTGTATTAGATTTAAACGGGGATTGCAGAAATGATTTATTTATACACTCTGTCGTTAACAATCCTGATACTACTTAATCTCACTCATTTGAATTTTACATCAGATTAGAAAATGGACTTTACTGCTTAACATAAGTGTACAAAGTTCCACCTGAATAAATAGTTCAAGCAATCGGTTTCACAGATATCAGTAAAATATATTGATAAATTTCTTTTGATAATTGCTATAAAAATAATAATTAATAGATTTTGATGGAGGTATTGATATGGTAATTGTTTACAATGATTAGGATCACACGTAATATAAAAGCAAAATGCAAATAGCTTTCAATCATATAACTCCTTCAGCTAAGAATCTTTGCTCAGAAAATGATATTTTTACCAAAATTTATGGCGATTTATCAAACATATTTGAAACTTAATCAGTACACATTTAATTCATAAATGCTTTAAATAATATATTAAATTTATTTTTCATTAAGGATATTCTTATCATAGATTTTGAATTTAGAATATTCAAATCTGATGATCAAATAAACTATCCTAGTCTTAGGTTTGGTGATTTTAACTTAGATGGATATAATGATCTATTGATGACAATCACTAAAGATTCCATAGATTCTTACAGCTATTTCTTCGAAAATACTTACTGTGACCTTCCTTAGTGCGAAAAACTTTTGAGTAACCATAAAAGATACTTTGAACTATAAGGATAAAATACTAAGTATGGTTTAATAAGTAGCCAAAAATCAATATCAGCATCGTTTTTCGATTTTAATGAAAATGGATAACTTGATATAATTCTAAATACTTACACAATTGACCCTGAAACATTGGAAAAGCAAATCTCTGTTACTGCAATTTATAATTTTTTAAAGACAGATTCTTATTTTGTTAAAGCCTTTGGTAATAATTTGAATTCTTTTGTGGATTAAAAAATAAATAAAAAATTAAATTATAAATGTTATTTAGTTATGAATGGATCTTTAGATGGAACTGTAAATAACGATTATACAAGCAGCAACATTTATGGAGCAACAGTTGTTTGTAAAGTAATTAGCATAGAAGAATAAGTTAAGCCTATTAAAGGTAATAAATTCCCTTAATAAAAATTTTTTAATTCAATCATTTAATCCATATAAAATAGGAATTTAACTCTATTAGAGTGCTTTTATTCCATTATAAATACCATATGTTATTATGGGAATAGCAAGAACTAACTCTTATATAGAAAATCTTAGTGTTGGATTGGGACTGCAAGTAAATAAATAAATAAATAAAAATTTAAAGATCAAATCTTAATATTTTTTTAAATATTAATAGAGCAGTAACTCAGTGAATGTATGGAATCCTATCATCCCTAACAGCTAAATTAACATTTACCCATCAAAAAATAATCCAGATAAGTAAATTATCCTTCATTAATAACTTCTAAGTATAAAGAATACATTTTTTTTAATTAGTTGGAAAGCTGTATCTTTTATGGTAAATGTTACAGAATCTCTGTTGGCAATTTTAATTATTGCAGCATGTATTTTAGTAGTCCTTGGTATTGTAATATATTATTTATTTCTAAGGGAGAAGGTAATTTAAAAAAAATAGTTTTATAATAAATTTTAAATTTTTTTAATATAAAAGAATTAAGATAAAAGGGAAATAGAAGTGGCTAATTTATTAATTTGAACTTAATTGATTGCATAATTTAACATACAGACAAATAATAATTAATTAAATAAATAAATTGTAAAAAATAGAAAGAAAGTAAAAAGTAAATAAATGCATTCATTAAATTTATTTTGAATTATTTTTTCTGTATTTATTTTTTTAAAAATTCTATTTACATAATCTTTTCTTATTATTATTTTTTACTAAATTTTTCAAAAATTTAAATTATTAATAAAACATTTAATTTCTGATTTTAAAAAATAATTCTTTTTAATTGTTGTTAAATTTAAATAGATTATTCTTAATTTTATATCCTATTTATTTTATTTTAGACTTATTTTTAATATAATATAACAAGATATTTAAAATTTATTTTAAACTATTTCATTTTATTATTATTTTGGAAACTAATATTTATATTTTATTAAACTTAAATAATTGCATAATCATTCACTCAAAAATTAATGAAATAGATTATATTTAATAAATACAGGAAATAAATAAATACACTAATTAAATATCTTGTGAATTATATTTTCTGTGATATTTTTTAAAATATAACTTTAATAAATACCATCTATAAATTTATACTAAAATTTACAATAATCATTATTTTTTATGAATAGATTTTATTTTTATGTTTGAAAATATTTTTTTTTTTAATTTTTATTAAATTTAAATAGATAATACTGTACTACATTATCCTATATTAATTAATGGTGATTTATATTAATACACAAAATTTTTTTAAAAAAATTCCTAAATTTTTTGGAAAAGTTTTAAAAACCTTGGGTCTTAATTAAGGAGTATGTATAGTACTTAATTTTGTAATTTACTTGTTTAATTTTAAGTTTATTTTTAAAAATTATTTTAAAAATAATTCTATCAGATATTTTAATACTGATTATTTCTGCTATTTTCAGAAATTAAAAATTTTTTTAAATTTCAAAAGATATTTACTGCGTTAGGAAAAGAACTCATATTTACTACAGCAGGCTCTAACGCTTAAATGTTCTATTAATCAATTTCGATAAAATAAAATTAGTAAATTATAGAAATAAAAAAATTGATTATTCTTTCATAAAATAAAATAGAAAATATAATGAAAAAAAAAACATAAAGCTATTTTATTGAAATATTCTTATAAAATGCTTTGATTAATAAAGAAAATAAATTGTTTCAAAATTATTTTTTACTTTTAGTTTAATTTACTTTTATTTAAAAACTTTTATCAAATTAATTTACAACATTAAAATCTATCAAACGTATTGCGTTTATATCTAAAATTTGCTTTTTTGTAGAACTTTTTTAGCAGTTAATTTATTTTTTAAAAGATATCTATTTTTAATAGTTATAAAATATTTTTTTAAACAAATATTATTAATTAAAATATTATTTTATGGAATAATCTGTGTTTCAATTCTAATTTATACTTAATTTTAAAATAATTATATTTTATATTTCCATTCAATTTTTTATTACAGATTAAGTTATAACCTAACTCATAATATAGCTTGAATTTAATTAATCTGTTCAAAACTAACTTGAATTTTAAAAAATTTTAAACCTGAACTCTATTAATCTATAAATGCGTTTGATTTAAATTCAAGATATTTTTGGTTAAAAATGAAATCAAAATAATTAAAAAATATTCTCTATCCATAAAAATTAATAGGCAAAATAAAAAAATGAATAAATAGCTAATTATCTTATCTCTCCTCTTAATAGCAAGTTTCACTACTGCATAAGGTTAGCAATAATAATAACAATAACCTCCTCCTAATTGTGTTTAAAATGCATCACCATAATAAGGAAATTGCGTTTGTAATCCTGGCTACTGGGGAACTAATGCTAATCATGGAGGTTCTTGCACTCAATGTACCTCAAATACCTGGTCTGCTCCTGGTGCTACTAACACTGGTCCTAGTGTAACTGCTGTTTCTGCTTGCTCAGCTTGTGCTCCTGGCTATTATGTTACCGTTTAAGGTTCTTCTTCAACTTCTCCTACTTGCACTCCTTGTGGGACCAACTCTTCTCCCGCATAACCTTAAGCAGGTTCATCAGTTCAAAAGGTTTCTTCTTGCAATTCATGTATGCCAGGTTATTACATGACATAAACTGCAAATACTGCTACAGGAAGTGAAGCTGCAGCTTAATGTTCAGCATGTGACAAAAGTGCAGGAGCAACTCCTTCTGCTCCTCCTCAAGCAGTAGGTGACCTTTCATAATGTGATGCTTGTTAACCAGGATATTTCATGACTACTGCTGCAAATGTTAGTAGTAAGGCAGCTGCTATATGTTCTAAATGTCCTTCAAACTCTGGCTCCTAATAATAAACTAAAGTAGGTGATGTCTCTGTTTGTAAGTGTTTTGATCCTTTCGCCTTACCTCTAGGAGCTGGCTAATAAACTTGTGCTTGTAAATCTAGCAGTGAAACTCCTATGTAAGCTCCTGGAGGTGCAGCTGGATGCTCAGCGCCAAGTTTTGGATAGTTGATTTCACTTTCTCTTGCAATAATTAGCTTCATAGTTCTCATTTGAATTTTTTAAAAATTTGTTATAAATCTATTTTATATTGTATATATGGATTAAAAATGTGTCTTAAATTATAGTATAAATTAGATTTTTAGATAATTTTAACAACTTTTCTCCTATTTCAAATTAAAAAATAAATTATTTTATTTTATTTTAAAAAGAGTATTGGAATTTATGATAAAATATTTATTTATTATTTAAAATAAAACTTTTCAGAGTGAAGTTTATTAAAAAAATTAATTTTTTTATTAAAGTAAATGAATAATTTCTTAAAGTTTATAATCTAAAATTTTTAATTTATAGGTTAACTAAAATTTTCATAAAATTTAATCTTTCTTACACTATATATTGTATGAGATCAGCTAATAATCATATTTTTTATAAAAGATATAGCAAAATGCCATTCAATACTTGCATTTAATTTCAACCCTTCATAAAAATAATTAAAGTTATATTACTAGATTTATCTCAGTACATATAATAAAAAAACCTTCAAAACAGGAAATTGAAATAAATTATTTTCAAATAAAAATCAATTTAACATTTTTTATAAATAATTAACTAAAGTTATTACTAAGATTTATAAACCTGCTTATACTTTAAGCATTTTATATATTTAATTGATAATTCTCAGCTATTTTATTTAGAAAAAAAGTTTAAACTTTGTTAAAATTCAGGTAAATTAAATACATATTTGTAAAATAGATATTAAAGTATTCAATATTTTTAAATTAAATCTTAATTTGCATCTAATAAATTATGTAAGAGTTAGTTTTTAAATTTTAAATTTTAAAATTGTCAATTATTTGAAAGGATAGAAAATATACTTTTGTTTACAATAACTCTATAACAATCTGCTAACTTGCTTACTGATTAATTAATTGATTTCAGTTAATAGTAAAACTGTTTATTTTGGCAAAGAAAGCATTAAAATATAGAATTTCAATAATTAAAAGATTAGAATGATATTTTTCTAAAAATACAACAAAAAGCGAGAATAAATAATTAAAATTACTCAATTTGTTATCTAATTTTATTTGAATAAATATTATTATAGATTTTTTTTAAATAAGTGCCTAGTTATAGGATTATTTGTATTATTTATTTTGATACTTTTTTTAATCTTATTCTTAAATCACTTTCCTTAACTTCAATCTTAGAATTTATTTTTTTAATTAATTTCAACGCCTTTTTTAAAAATTATTCGAAACTCAATTTATTAATTAATTTACTGTTCCTGATTTAATTGCTTGAATTTCTTTATCTTGTTCATAACTGATTTTGATAGCATAACCAAAAATTTAAACTCAAAAGAGTATCGATTTTTTTGGATTTATATACTTTTGTTTTTCTTTCAAAAACTTTAAAATAAATAAATCAATCAAAACAACTTATTAAAACTTAAAAAATTTATCATTTAAAAGTAGAAGTAAAAAGAAATGAATAAATAATTAGTAATCTTATCTCTCCTCTTAATAGCAAGCTTCACAACTGCATAAGGTTAGTAATAATAACCTCCTCCTAAATGTGCTTAGAATGCATCACCATAATAAGGAAATTGCATTTGTAATCCTGGCTACTGGGGAACTAATGCTAATCAAGGAGGTTCTTGCACTCAATGTGCCTCAAATACATGGTCTGCTCCTGGTACCACTAACACTGGTCCTAGTGTAACTGCTGTTTCTGCTTGCTAAGCTTGTGCTCTTGGTTACTATGTTACTGTTTAAGGTTCTTCTTCTTCTTCATCTCCTACTTGCACTCCTTGTGGTACCAACTCTTCTCCCGCTTAACCTTAAGTAGGTTCATCAGTTCAAAAGGTTTCTTCTTGTAATTCATGTATGCCAGGTTATTACATGACATCAGTTGCAAATGCTGCCGTAGGAAGTGAAGCTGCTGCTTAATGTTCTGCCTGTGACGCAAGCGCAGGAGCAACTCCTTCTGCTCCTCCTCAAGCAGTAGGTGACCTTTCATCATGTAATGCTTGTTAACCTGGATATTTCATGACTACTGCTGCAAATGTAAGTAGTAAAGCAGCTGCTGTATGTTCTAAATGTCCTTCAAACTCTATGTCTTAACAATAAACTTAAGTAGGTGATGTTTCTGCTTGTAAATGTTTTGATCCTTTCGCCTTACCTCTAGGAACTAGCTAAAAAACATGTGCTTGTAAATCTAGCAGTGAAACTCCTATGTAAGCTCCTGGAGGTGCAACTGGATGTTCAGCACCAAGTTTCGGAAAGATTATTTCAATTTCTTTAGGAATAATTATTTCTCTAATACTTTATATTTGAGTAACGCAGTTAAATTATTAAAAATAAATTAAATCTATTTTTATTTTGTTTTAAAATATATATTATAATATATTTTTGTTAGCGATGTGAAAATAGATTTAATTATCAACCTAATTTGTTTAACTTGAATATAAAATTTGAAAGAACAATCATAAAAAAGAATAGCAATATCAAGCATTTATTTTGCTTAAAAAGATGAATTAAAATAGAGTTATTTTTTCTTTTTAATTTTCTTAAAAGCAGCACTTATGAAAATATACTTAATATTTAAATAATTAGAATATATGTTTCTGGTCATTGTTTAAATGTGCATTTTCTCTTAAACTATGTGAATTTATCTTTTTTACACTTTTATAAAGTGTATAAAAAAAAATAATAATTTCATTCAAATACAAAACAGTTTTGATAAAATTTAAATAAAATAAATAAAGCTAAGATCCAAATACAAATAATGGTTTTTAAAAGTACTTTTCACGTATAAATATTTATATAAATAAAATGGTAGGGGATTAGCATACAATAATATATTAAAAAATTATTTGATTTATGCTTAAATAAATAAAATAGTGAAGGTATTTATGGAAAATTAAAAACTCCTAAATAAGTTATCCTATATGTATATTATATTTAATTAATATCTTTCAGCTACATTATTTTGAAATAAGAATTTAGATTTTGTAAAAATTAGCTAAATTGAAATATATATTTAAAAATTAAATACGTAAGTAATAAATTATTTTAAATTAAATCTTTAACTTAGATTACATTAATTATTTAAGATTTAGTTTTTAAATTTTAAATTTTAAAATTTCAAGCTTCGTAAAGCAAAAGAAATGACATTTTAGTTCACTCTAACGCTCTAACTATCTACTAATTAATTTATTTACTACTTTCAGTTAATAGTGAAAACTGATTATTTTTGGCAAAACATTTAAATTTTGAAATTGAATAACTAAATATTAAAATTATTTTTAAATAAAAATATATCAAAAGCTAAAATAATAAATTATCCCAATTTTATTCTCTTTAATACAATTAAAAGAAGTAGAATTCTAATAGATCAGATTTTATTTTTTTTTGAATCTGATTCTTAAATCACTTTCATTCACTTAAATCAATCATAGAATTTATTTTTTTTTTCACGCTATTTTTTAAACCTCAAAATTAATCAATATAATACCATCTTAATTAAATTCAACGCCTTTTTTAAAAATTATTCGAAACTCAATTTATTAATTAATTTACTGTTCATGATTTAGTTGCTTGAATTTCTTTATCTTGTTCATAACTGATTTAGATATCATAACCAAAAATTTAAACTCAAAAGAGTATCGATTTTTTTGGATTTATATACTTTTGCTTTTCTTTCAAAAACTTTAAAATAAATAAATCAATCAAAACAACTTATTAAAACTTAAAAAATTTATCATTTAAAAGTAGAAGTAAAAAGAAATGAATAAATAATTAGTAATCTTATCTCTCCTCTTAATAGCAAGCTTCACAACCGCCTAAGGTTAGTAATAATAACCTCCTCCTAAATGTGCTTAGAATGCATCACCATAATAAGGAAATTGCATTTGTAATCCTGGCTACTGGGGAACTAATGCTAATCAAGGAGGTTCTTGTACTCAATGTGCCTCAAATACATGGTCTGCTCCTGGTACCACTAACACTGGTCCTAGTGTAACTGCTGTTTCTGCTTGCTAAGCTTGTGCTCTTGGTTACTATGTTACTGTTTAAGGTTCTTCTTCTTCTTCATCTCCTACTTGCACTCCTTGTGGTACCAACTCTTCTCCCGCCTAACCTTAAGCAGGTTCATCAGTTCAAAAGGTTTCTTCTTGTAATTCATGTATGCCAGGTTATTATATGACATCAGTTGCAAATGCTGCCGTAGGAAGTGAAGCTGCTGCTTAATGTTCTGCCTGTGATGCAAGCGCAGGAGCAACTCCTTCTGCTCCTCCTCAAGCAGTAGGTGACCTTTCATCATGTAATGCTTGTCAACCTGGATATTTCATGACTACTGCTGCAAATGTAAGTAGTAAGGCAGCTGCTGTATGTTCTAAATGTCCTTCAAACTCTATGTCTTAACAATAAACTTAAGTAGGTGATGTTTCTGCTTGTAAATGTTTTGATCCTTTCGCCTTACCTCTAGGAACTAGCTAAAAAACATGTGCTTGTAAATCTAGCAGTGAAACTCCTATGTAAGCTCCTGGAGGTGCAACTGGATGTTCAGCACCAAGTTTCGGAAAGTTGATTTCATTTTCTCTTGCAATAATTAGCTTCATATTACTCATTTGAATAAAAATAATTGTGATATAAATCTATTTTTTGTAAATTTTCATTTAAAAATGCATTTTTGGTATTATTTTAAAATGTAAATTTTAAATATATTTTTGTAGGGATGTGAAAATAGATTGTTTGTTTAATTTGAGTAGAAAATTTAAAATATCTAAAAAAACATTAAAAAATTTCAATTTTACCTAAAAAATATTAATTGAAGTAAATAGAAATAAATAACTACTTTTCAAACCTTGAATAAAAAGCTATTTGTTGAAAAAAGAAAAAATTTTTCTTTTTAACTTTCTTAAAAAAATTTTTAATAAGTGTTAAATGCATTTTATCATTCAAGCGTATTTAATATTTAAATAATCAAAATTTTGAATCTTTAAATTCTTTTTTTTTAAATTTTTGTAATGAATTATAAGTTTATGGATAAAATCTTAAATTTAAATATCTTATTTATTTCTATCAAATAGGACAGAAGACATGAAAAGAAGAAATAGGTATATATTTTAGAACTATGTGAAATAAATTTTTTTAAATATTATAAATATATAAATGCAATAATAGTTTTACTTATATTTAAATTCTTTTTTTAGGAACAGTATTTAATAAAGTTTTAGTCAAATTTCAATCAAATTTATAAAGTAAAATGGTAAAATATATATGATTAAGGATTTTAATAAATAGTTACGATAAATATCTATAAAAATAAAAGTGATCAATAAAATTTAATTGAATTTTGAAAGAAGATACTTAATTAAAATTTGTTGGTTTAGAACAATCATTAATTAATTATTTTCACTTAAATAAAAATATATGATAAATTTTTAATTCTTATAATTTTTTAATGCTAATTTTGATTTATTTGTTTATATTCATTCTCAATTGTATTAAATATAGAATTTATTGGCATCATGAGTTTTAGGACTCCATTAAAAACAAACATTATTAACTAATCTTAGTCTCCTTACACTAATAATTCAAACAGCTCAACAAGACTGTCATCAATCAAAAAAGTGCTAAATTCAGACTAATAAGTAGAAACATATAAAAAGAATAGAAGTGTCACATTTTAAAATAGTCTGAATAATATTAATATTGTGAATTTTAATAATGAAAGTCTTGTTGGTACCAAAAGTCAACCTAAATTTTTAATGAACAATTTAAATGATAAATAAAATGAAAACATAAGTGTAAACTCTGCTATAAAAGAAATTGTTTAATATGCGAGTGATTCAAAATACCTTATTTATTAAAATTAGATAGATAGGTAGAAGTAGTCTTCTTAAAATTTATTTCATACACAAAATAGATTCTTAAAGAAGAAACCGCATTGCCCTAATGATTTAGCCTGTTCTCATAAGCATATAGAATAAAATTAAATTTAGGTAAATCAAAAGCCTAACAAAAGATCATTAGGAGAATATAATTATGAATAATCATAAAAAATGATACTTCAAGATTAATAAAGCAATTAAAAACTGAATTATTAAATAGTGAAAAATTCTTAAAATACTATAAGTAAATGTTTAGAGGATCAAAAAGTATAAAATATCAGCGAAGAGGAAATATTGTAAAACTTATTGAATTCTGCAAGAGCAATAAGTAGTAAGACATTCTTAAAAATTCAAGCAAGTATGAAACCTCACCCTGTTTTGATTAGCTATTGCCTTTCCTTTATTTATATATATAAAGACTACTTACAAATAAGTGACTGTAAGTTAAAGGTATATTTTTTATTTTAATTTAAGGTAAAAAGTAATAAATAATTAACACAAGAAATTAGAAAATAACTGGAGAGAAATTTAGGATATATTTCAGCACCATGCACCTTTAATATAAGCGCTTGACTCTATTGATACTCAGATTCAATAATAAAGGATCAACACAGATAATATTAATAAGTCTAAAGAGTAGATTTAAAAAACAGAATTTATAATAGACACAATAAAAAATACTCAAATATTTACAGACATAGTCTAACCAATTTAAAACTTCATAAAATAATGTGAATATGCTATTAATTTTTATAATAGAAAATACGATACAAAAAATAGGAATAATTAAAGTGATAGCAATAAAAATATTTAATTTAATAGATTAGACTAAATAGTTCAAATTTAATAAAAAATGCCTAAATTCTCATAGAATTTTTAAAACGATCAAATGAGGAGAAATACATATGCACATATAAATTAAAGCTAAGAAAGTGGAGAGAATTAAATAGACGATGAATTAAGAGAATTTACAATTGACTTATCTCCAATATAATATAAGAACAGTAAAAACTAAATAAATCAATTTTCCTTGTAGAAGTAGTTAGCATAGCAACCCATAAATTCAAATGTAAAAAAATCAATAAAATTTAAATATTAAATTAATTTTAATAAATTTAGAAAACACATAAAAGAAGATAAAGTGAAAATATATTCAATATAAATAGTTAGAATAATTATTAAAATGATAATCACAAACTTAATTAAAATTTTATTCCTTAGTTAAGTTAAAATTTTAATCCTTAGTTGAGTTAAAATTTTGATAATTTGGAAAGCTAAAATCTCAGTAAATTATAGAACTAAAATTAAAAAAATAAAATGAATTACAATTAAAAACATTAATTGAATGATAGCGATGCTGAATAGGTCACTTATCCATTAGACTAATTGCAGATGGATTATTATAAAAAAATAAAAAAATATATTAAAAGAGTAAAACAATGTTAATATATTATATTAATGCAATGTTTAATTTTATTAAAAATAGATGGAAGAGATTGAAAAAATAAAAGAAGAGCTATGGAATATTTGAATCAAACTTTTAATAAAAATAATAATATTATAAATAAATCAAATGAATTTTAAAGAGTAACTCAATAGTTTTTGTAGTTAGATAATAAATAGACTTTGTTAAATTTATTAAATAAATTCATAAATATATTTATAATATTTTTATAGAATTTTATGTGTTATGTTTATGCATGGAGGGATATAAAGAATGGAAAAAATAACTAAATAACAAATTTATACAGTATCATATCAAATCTGATTTAGTTATCGATAAATTATTTGTTGCATTAAACATTTATAAATATCAGTTTTAACTAAAATTATAATAACAAGTTATATTTATGAAATTATGGATTGATTACTAAATAATTTCCTTTAAAAATAAATTTAATTTATTCAATTGCGTTTTTAATACGAAATAATATCTTTGATGATAACTTTATTGTAGTTAGCCTTGATTAATACAGATTAGTTTTACCAATTTGTTAAAGCAAACACAAAGAAAAAGACAACAGAAGAAACAGAAGCTGACGTAAGCCAACCTGTCCATATTCCGTATTCTCCCTTTCCTAGATAGAATCCTTGATATATACTTGTTGATATTCCTATGAGATAATAACTAACTGAGTAAATTATGGTTATATGATTAAAACGATCTAAGGCTTTAAGAATAGCACAGAATGTTAGTTGAATTCCATCCAAGACAACAATCTTGGCATAAATTTTTATGGAATTTTAAAGATTCTACTGCACAACAGAGTTAGAGCTAAACCACTCACTCCATTATGTCTTGTTATTAAGTAGTATGAACATTACAAATCCAATCCAAAAAAATAAAGTTATAACACACATGAAGGCTTTTCTTTTTGCTCTGTCAACAAACCCTCTTGACAAAGAAGAGTTGATATAATTGTTAACAACAAAGTGAAAACCTAAGTAAAAACTAAAATGTAAAAGACCACTATTTTATAAAGCGATATGAGTAGCAGTATTTGCAGGATCTGATAAATACATTGACATCATAGTTAACAAAAGGAAAGCTACTTCTTCGACATACTAGCCAATTCCATTTCTAAGGGATTATTTTAAGTAGTCTTAAATTCCATCAAAAGCCCTACTATTCCATTCAATCCATGTCTTTCTAGTTGGATTCTTTAAGGTAATAAAGGCATAAATCAAACCAGCAGAAATAGTATCGCTAAAATTTTTAGCCCAAGCAGCACCTAAAACTCCCATATTTTAGTTTATTATCATAGTATGAGCAATAAAATAATGTACAATTGCTTAGATAAACTGTATTCCAAACTATGGCCAAAGAATATTTTATGATTGCAGATAATTATTTGTAGTATCATAATAACCATAACAAAATACTGAGGGTAAGCATACCCACATATAGTCTCCAGCTTTAGTTGCTATAGCTTTTTCAATACCAAAGAGAATAAGAGCTTTCCACCAAAAGCATAGGAAAGGAGCACTAAAAATGCAAATTAATCTATTTTAAATTAATTTAATTTAAAAATTATTCATTTAAACTAAATAAAATGCTTAAAGGCTTCAATTTTTATTTGTTAAAAATTTAATAAAAAATAAAAATGTTTCAGTTAGAAGATAAAAAAAGCTAATTAATTTTATAAAAATAATTTATTCTAAAAGAAAAAAAGCTCATTTTCATTATTGTAAACATGTTTTTTCTAAAAAACTTGTTCATATTTATAAATGTATCAATTTACAATGCTAATGTTTTGCTTTAAATTTTATTCAATTAGTTATTATGGAAAAATATTCAAGCTGTTTAAGTATAATTTATATTTGTTAAGAAATAATATTTTAGTACATTAGAAGCTTTACTTTTTGTAAAAATAATACTTTTTTAATGCATTTTAATTCTTAAATTTCAATCAAGTATTGTTTTTTATCTTATTTTTATTAGTTTTTTTAGGAATCCATCTTGTAAATCTACATTAAAAAATTAAGCCAAGTATTTAGTTAAGAATTATTTACCCTACAATGAAAAGACTTCTCTAGTAAGAAATACCAACGAAAAAATAATTTTTAGCACTTAATGCGATGGTGCACTCTTACTATAATGTCATGTTTTTATATTTAATTAGAGAATATGCAAAAATTCTAGCCCAAATATCGCCCAAACCAAATATTTTTATATCATGTAAATTTCCCTTTTATCCTTTTTATTACAATAAATTGCTAAGCTATGAAAAATAGGATTGACATAGATGAATTTAAAAATGAATAAATTATTATTAAGGCCATTTAAATAATTTTACCTAATAAATAAATGTTAATTAAAGACATCGTCAATAAATTAAACTCATAATTAAGCAAACGAGGAATAGATTTGTATGTGACTTCTATGAAAACTTCTGTAAAATATTTAGGACTAAAGTAGCTTTCATGGCTTTTAAGCTCTGCAGTCTCAACTGGCTTTTATTTTTTCTTTTCTTTTTTTTAAACAACTAAAGGCTAGTTATCAGTAGCTTAAAGTTCCATAATCGATTGTTATTTTAATTTTTATCAAATAAGAACTAAATATTTTAGTTTTAATTTTTAATTTATGTATTATTTATGAATTTAGATAATTATTGTTTATATTTTAATGTTTTTTCTTAAATAAAATATCATCTCCTCCAAAGATATTGAACAAGCTTTTGTTTACTTAGTTTGTGCTTATTAAACTGAATAAAATAGATTCTACTTTAATTATCTATATATTTACATTTATTACACTATAAAATAATAAACAAAACAATCAATCAATTAGAAAACTCTATAAAAAACATTTTATGAAATTTAAAAACTAAATTGATAAATTAAGTTGAAATTAACTTAATATTAAAAAAGTAAAATTCTAATTAATATTTTCAAACAAATTTTAAATTATAAACAGCTGATTAAGCTAGCTTTAATGACAAAAATTTTTTTTATTATTTAAATATGATACATTTAATTTAAATTTCTCCTTTTCTAAATTAAATAAAATATTTTAAATTCAATTAAAATTGATAATTTTTTGATATAATTTAAATATTTATTAGCAATATTTTATTTGTTTTTTTGCTGGTTTGATAGATTGAAAAATTGGCCTTTTTACCATAAAAATCAAAAAATAATTTTTTGAATTCTATATACTTAGTAGGATTAATTTACAATCTTGATATAACACATAAAGTGGTGCATCTGTTAATTATCTATTTTTGAAAATATAGCTAATCATCTTTTACTGTTTGTATATGCTTATGTACTGACTAATATTTCGTAAGGGATCTTCTGAAATCTAGCAGCTTCTGGATTGAATTCTGGAGTTTCAATAAACTATAAAAATAAGTTACAGAGTCTTTACCTTAGACCTAAATTTATTTTTAAATGATATTTTTTTTATTTATTAAATAAATTAACATAAAATTCAAAATGCTTTTAGGAAGTAAATTATTTTAAATTTATTTTTTACCTTCGAGGGAAGCCTCTGGGCGACCACGATTTAACATATCGGCTTCTCTATCAATAAGCTCGACTATTTCTCTAGTTAAATTGCAATCCCATTCTTTAACTGTCCATTTAGTATTTAGTAATATATCTAATCTCTCATCTATAGTTAAGTTCTTTAATCTCAAACCATTATATATGTCCATGAGTTCTTTTGAACGAACTGTGAAGGGAGTATGTACTTCGGTGTAGCGACCATCACTACGTAGCCATTTCTTTGGATCACTCATTTACTTTAAGAACTTATTAATTTTTTCTTCTTTATTTTCTTTTGAAGCTATAATTTTTAATCTATCAATAGTCTATAACAAATCAGTTTCCTTATCAAGAATTTATTTCAACAAAGTCTTTCTTTCTTGCTCAGACAAACTTGTATTTTCCTTGATCTTTTGAATTTCATTAGTTCTCCATAACTATAATTAAAAAAATATTTTTTTTATATTTTTACTTAAAATCTAATTTAATCATTATAACAAAAGTTTGAAACTCAAAACAGTTTCATCAAAACTACTATTTTTAAAAATAATTTTAAAGCTTATTTACTTCTAATTCGTCGTATAAAATGTTAAAATCTTCTTTAGTTCTTGGGTGAGTACGCCTTTCAATTTCTCTTTTATGCTTTGCTTCTTCATTACGACGATACTCTTCTTCCTTCTCAAGTTATTCTCTTCTTTTTTCTTCCTTTTACTTTTTGAGCTTTTCGGTAATCCTACGAGCCCTCCATCCTCTTACTTTTCTTTGTATATATAGGGCAGCCTCTTCTCTTCTTTCTTCCCACATATTTGAATGGAAATAAGGTTATGCTTCAACCTCTACATCAGTTAATTTGCTTATAAAAATGCCTTCACGTTCCATTTATGTGCCTAGTTCTCTCATAACTTTAGAAGATTTAGTAGAGTACTCATATGTTTATGACTAATTAATTATATTGAAACATTAAAATTAAATACTTAACTAAATTAATGCTTCAATAAAATTGCATGCTTTGCTTTCTTCATTTAAGGCTAGATGCATTGAATATTGCATCTAAAAGGGTAACATCAAAAAATTAAATGATATTATATTTCTTTATTGAAGAAAAACAAATATCAACATCTAGATTTTCAATAAAAAGAAGACATTATATTACTTCTCTGTGGAATTTAAGTTTATGTTCGCGATATTTTTAATCAGTTTATGCAAAGGCGTGATGATAGACTAAACCGTTTTTATTACTCTTATATCCTCCTAAATATGGTTTTTATCTGATAGGAAGATATACTTCTATATTCATTTCATATTATTTAATAATTTCTCCCTTTTCATCTCTTTATATAACATTCGATTTTACAATCCTCACTTCTGCATTATCAGGAATATGCTTGACAGTTAGCTTTTGTTGATTAGTAAAATGTATTCATTTAATGTAACCATGATATTTTTTAATGAAACACATAAATAGATAATATTTTCAAGATGAAATTTGTCTAAATATGTAGAATTTAATATTATAATCTCAATAATTATACATCTTCTCCCTCCATTTTCAACGATATATATTCACTAAGTCAACGTATAAAATTCTATTTTCGCAAATATTCTCTCTAAGCTTAATAATTCTATTTTAAGGTCTTACTTATAATTATATTTGTATATATATATTCCTTAATTTCTGTTGCCTTTCCTTGATTTTATTTATAACTAATTCCAAAATATAAAATTCTTTATACTTAGATTATCAACTCTTCATGCAAAATTGCAATCAATCACATCAAACTCATTAGTATTGATAATCAATCAATTCATTAATTAATAACTCACTCAATCCTTTTAATTTATAATTCTGAAACTAACACAGTGCTATTATATTATTAGTTTTGATATTTGTTTTATTTAATCAACTATTTAAGATCGAAACATGCATATTATTTTAATTAATTTCCAATCATTTTTCAAAGCAAAACATTTAATTTGCTCTTCGCTCAAATTATAAAATTGAAAAATTATTTAACACAGCATCTCAAAAATTTGTATATTTGAAATCGCAGATATATCTTTGGATTTTGAATATTTTATTCGTTAACAATCTTTACCAAATGAGTTATTTATTTAAATAATTTTAAAATAATTATCATTAAATTATTTTATTTCTATAAATTCATCAAATCAACCAGAAATTAAACAAATTAAATTAAATATTAGAGGAGAATAATCAAATTTAATTAAATTTACTTTTTTAAATTAAATTAAACAAAAAACTTTTTTTAAAAATGTTGTATTAAACAAAATTAAAACAAACATTGTATTAAAACATAAAAAATTTAGAAAGACAATTTTAGTTTAAATTATTTACAATGTTTTTCTTTATTATCATAAAATTATGATCATTTAATTTTATTAAATTCATAGAAAAAGATAAATTTTTCTTTTTCATAATCCTAAAATTATTATTTCATTACTTTGTAACAATTTTTATTCAATTTTATATATTATTAGACTGAACTAAAATCATATCCTTAAAGATTAATTCAATATTTATTTTCATTTTAAAAATATCACTAATTATTTTTACTAAATTTTTTTGATAAATTTGAACAGCAAAAGAGATTATTGTAAATTATATTATTTAATTGAAAGAAATGATTTCAATGTTTCAGATTCATTATGTGAATTCATAGAATATTTTATAGAAATATTAAATAAAAATATGAAAGTATTTTTTTTTTAAAATTAGAGAAAACAATTTAATTTTAATTATTAAGAAAGACCCAACAAGTAAAACATTTTTGAATTAATAAATATATTTTTAGTTTACATTTATAATTTATATACATAATATTTTTAATTACAATTTTTTAGTTAATGATTATTTATATAAGTGTTTGTAGAAATTATAATTTATTCATTTTTTTTCTCTGTTAAATCTCAAAAATTAATAAAATTATTTAGTTTTATACTCTATTTTTATATTAAAAAATATGTTAATTAATTGAATTATTTTAAATAGGAATTTACTGAAGTTTTTGATGTATTCATATTAGAATGAAGTTTGTATTTTAATAATTTGTCACTTTTGTTTTTGCTTTCATTTGATGACTCTTCATCGCTTTCTTCGTTGTCATTTATGTTAGAAAAGTCAAATTTTATTCTAGGTAATTCGTCATTGCATTCTAGGAATCTGCTTCTTTTTATGTTTGCACCATTTCCTGAGGATGAAGTTGCTTACTACCTCTACAGCTGCTTTGAGGAAGATGTCCTTTGAGTGTTTAATCCTTGGTTTATATTTTTGATTGATGAGCGGAGCTAATTAGATCTTGCAGTGCTTAGACATCCAATAGGAGGTTTTTCATTAGACTAAAGCTAACCTATTGTGAGATCTATGTCTTTGTTACTAGAAAAACCACTCAAGTACTTGCAAGTATTTAAGCTCTTATTAGTTATGTTAAATGAGTTATTTTAATTTTAGCTAAATAATCTGCTATCAATAGATTTGTTTCCTGTTGCAGTTGTGGCCTGTGAATTAGCACTGTATAAATTTCTTTAATTCTTTGTAAATGAAGAAACTTAGCAATTATCACTAACCTTTTCTATACTATTCTTGATAATTGAGTTCACACTTGGTGATTCAATCTAAGATTTGTTGATTCTTGATACAAATTTGCTACCACCCTTTGAGCTATTTGTATTTCCCGATGCCAATGATCCTCCAGAACCGACTCCAGAAATACTATTTGTACTATAAACAGACTTACTTGATCTTTTCTTTACAGTAGAGTACTCACTGTTACCACTATTCCCATTTTCTAATACTCGAGGTGAATATTTATCCTTTGATTTAGAGTATTGCAGTTCTTTCTATTTAAAAAAATTTTTTTTAATATTACTTAAATTTTAAATATTAAAATACCTTTAATTGTTAAATTTGTTTTTCTAATTCTTCTATTTTTGAGTTTTATTCAAATAAAGTTTAATGTTATTTTAAGGTGTTGTGTTAGAATTAAGTCAAATCTTTTTGATTGGTTGGACAGCTTTAGTTGTAATTGTTAGATTTATAGAATAATTGCTTCTCTTTTTCATCTTAAATTATTCCATCTTTTTTATTTAATTTTCGTTCTTCTAGAATCTTTTTCGATTCCATAATTTATTTTTAAGAATCTAAAAGCTACAATTGAGAATTAGGATATTTTTCAGAGTTAGCTGCTAAATTATTTTGAATTTGTTGGCTCTGTTTAGAATTGTATAAAGACTGAGATCTCACTTTAGTTTATTCTTTGACATCCAATTATTATTCATCAACCCCCTTGCTTTGCACTTATTTACTTTGATTTAAACTTATGTTTAAATCTCTTGTTGACAGTTTTAAGTTGTCATTTTTATAGCTCTCGCTTAAGGGGGATTTATCTTTTTATCCAGCATTGTGACTCTATAAATTATAATCTTTAATAGGAAAAAAATCCTCAGAGGTATTGGTAAGTGAAGATTTTAATTTAAAATCATCATCTTTAAATGTTTTCTGTTTGTTTGATACAATTTGAGTATTTTCTTTTTAAAATTTATTTTAGCTTTCAAGCAACTCAATTCCTTATTTTTGAGAAAATTGCTTAAAAATATTCTAATCTTTTCCATTTTAATATTTGGAAAATTCTTTATTTTCTGTTAATTTAATATCTTCACTTTTCATTGAATTGGTAATTATCTATTGCTATTTAATAGGCTTATTTACTTAATCTTAAGCCTCAAAAGTGTGATTCAATCCATTTTCAATTATATTTACAGGCTTGAATTTTGAGTACCTGTAATCAAATTTAATTACTGAGGAGCTCGAGGAAAGCTGAGCTTTTTGAAAGCACTTATTCAAACTAGATTAAGTGATTTAAATTTAAAAATATAATGGACTAGTGACATCGCTTGACTAAAACCATACGAATAAGAAAGATATATCAGAGTAGTTTGGAACAGTTGAAAATAAAGTAGAACTCGTTTTTTAATTATTTTAAGCAGAAGGAGAAGAATTTGAAAGATTACATTTTTTCATAGCACCATTTTTTGCATATTCAATAAAGAGAGTCCAAAGGAAAATATCATTAACATTCTCATCGCTTTAAATCCAAATACCTATAAGAGGTACTTTGTAAACTCCTTCATCCTATGCCAAAAGAGGAACTATCCTTTGTTTACTATCCATGCTTAAATAACCTGTTCTAATAGTGCTATTAGTTTAATCTCTTTCGTTTTTTCCATTTAGAGTTTTCTAGTTTTAAGGATTAAGTTTTGCTTTCGTTTTAGAAGCTAGAAGCTACATGACTGGGTTTGGTAGTATTTACAGGTTATTTGAAGATTAATCAATTTTATTTATAACAAAAGTGACATTATTAAAAATAAGCTTTGATATGAGCTAATTGTTTTCTTTCATTAAAGCAAATTCAATCCAAAAGTTATTTAAAAAGAGCTACATGATTTCAGAAATATTGCTGAAATCATAAATTGTAATATTCTCTTCATTGTGCTCGTATGAATTTTTAGTAAGAATAACATTGTTCACTAATTGATCTTGAGTCAAGAACTTTATTTTATCTTATTCATTCTCCAGATTGTTAAACTGAACTGGCATAGTTTTTTCAAACTTACTCTTTTTGCTTAGATTCTCAATTAGATAAAGATATTCCTGAGAAAACTAGCATTTACACACCTTTGAAAGATCTAAATATGCTTTTCCTTGAGGTTATTGCCCAATTAATTGGCATGTTTTCTGTTCTACTACCAATTATGGTAAATTCTCTTCTATAGATAAACAAATAGAATCTTCTTCCTCTGACTTTTTCAAATTTAAATTAAGTTGGAGGCTGAATCCCTTCACCACCTTAATGCTCATTTTATATAAATTAGCTAAACGTAATCTAAATACTGTAAAATAATTTTGATTCCTAACAAAAATCAATAAAAAATTTACTTGTGTTTAATTAATTAAAGTTATTAATTTTGTATATTAATCATATATCTTCAAATTAATTAGTAATAAAATCCTTTCAAATTACAAATCATTTGAATTTCAACTTAAATCTTTAATGATTTTTAAATGAAATTAATTTGATTAATATTTGTTCAGAAACTCATTTATTCGTTTAATTTCCACCATCATTTAAAATATTTATCACAATTTTTCAAATTCAAATAAAAAACTTATAATTTTTTTTAATTTCGCTCATACTTTGTTTGTCAATCTTAAAATTTTCTTTTAAATTTAATTACCATAGTAATCATTTATGTTTTAAATATTTAAAACAATAAAATAAATATACAAATTTAATTTAGAAATAATTTTATTAAAGCAAAAATATAAAAATATAATCTTGTTAAATTAATAAATAAAACATTAGACAATAATTTAGAAATAAAAATATATTTTATGAAAATTAAAAAAAATACAAAAGCTACTTTTGATAATAAAAATTTATAAGATAATTTGATAAAATTAAAATAAATCATACACATAATATTAATAAATTAACCCTACTTAAACTATTTCTTTATAAAAATCTATTTCTAAATTCGTTCACAATATGATATCAATAATTTCATATAAAATTAAAACACACAAACATTTCATTTTTACCTCTGATTCATTTTAATAACCAAAATTTAATAAATTTATTTTTAAAATATTTATTTAATTGTAAATTTAATAAAATTATTTTGAAGAATAATGTGAATTTATTAATACATTTATTCTTTCATTCATTAAAAACTTGAATTAATGTTATGAATCAACTAATTATAATAAGCAAAAGTTTTTTAGAGAAAAATTTAATTATTATAAAAAGAATACAAAATAAAATAAATTAATTTTGTCTATTAATTATAAATTATTTTTATAATAGAAAATTAAGTACAATCTAATCTTATTTTTTATAAAGAGATCAATCCTACCCAACAATCTAGCCACACAATTTAATGGATAATATGTAAAATTAATGGCTGAGTTTAAATAATTATTATAAAGCTTGTTAAGCACAAATAGTAGTTATTAAATATTATTTAATATTTAAAATTTTAATGAATATTATGAACCACTTTTTATTTGATTTCGTAATTAGAAAAAGCTTTTTAGTAGAAAATTTAATTTTGTTAAAAATAGCTTAGCTGTAAAGAATAAGTAGGTAGTTAAAATATATTATTATATAAATCAGCCAATTCATTATTTTAACAAATATTAGATTGACATAAACGTAAAGGCAATCAAATTAAATATTTGTTTAATTAGATAAAATTTAAAGTTGTAAATTAATTTTATTTTATGATTAAGAATATAGTTTAGTTCAAGCTATCCTAAATAAAAATAATTTAATGTTTAAAATTCATTTTTTAATATTCCAAACAAATTATATTCTGGATAGTATTATCATATCAAAAACAACTTTTTTAGTGGAAAAATATACTTTTTAAAAAATTATTTGACTTTAAGATGTAGGTAAATAGTAAATAAAATAAAATAAATAAATAATATTATTTAGCCATTTAATTATTTTAATAAATATTAATTAAATCTGCTTAGAGATTTAAATTAAATTAAATCATATTCTTTATAAATAAAATCAATCCTCTTCAACCATCTAGTCATCTTCTTATCTATCTTATTCCTCTGTTTCTTGATTATTATCTTCTTCCTTTTGCAAAGTATCATCTCTCTCGAAATCCTCATCTTCTTCCAAATCACTTTCTAAGTCATCTCTTAGCTCTTCTTCACCATTTTCAACTTTTGACCCAACTTTCTTTTTGGAAGCCTTTGATCCCTTAGTAGATTTTTCTAATAAAAATAAATTAATAAATAAATTTGAGATCATATTAATATCTTAATCAATCTAGTACTATCTTGTGTTTTAGATTATTCTATCTCATTTTAAGAAGTAGGTTTAGATTTTTTTCTTGGTTCCTTTTATTTATTATGTGTGTTTAAATTTATGTCTATATCATATACTTTTTACTTTATCGGTATGCATATTCTCATCTGCTCTTTCTTTGATCAGATCCAGCTACTCTTTACTATTAATAGCATGATTTTTTGTTGGGGTTCCCTAATTTTATGTTACAATTTTTTTAATTTAAATTCAAACTTCATAAATATTTATAGAAATCATAAAATTTATTTACTCCTTGCTTTGATTATTTGTCAAATATTTCACTCCAATTTTCCTCTTTGTTATTTTCATCATACTATCCAATTTATTCTGGTTTTTTATGAATCTCACTTGGAAGCTCATTATAGTTAGCTGTTTGAAATAATTAAACAAATTAAATTATTTAAAAATGAGAAAACTAAAATATTAAAATTTTGTAATTAGAAAATGTAATTTGCAGATTTATTTTATAAATCCCTCTGTAATATGAACTAATTTTAGCTGAAATATTTAATAACATTGAAATATGCAAAATAAATTAATTTGTCATAAAAATGACTTACCCTATAAATCTTCTGATTATTGTAGTTACTATTTTTAGTTCTAAAAACCAATACGATTATTTGAATTTTATATTTAGTTTAGCTTAGGTAGATGACCAGATGATGAATTTTTGACAGATTATTTAGCTACTAAAATTCTTCTGTTGGGAGAATTAAATTGCTAGTTTGAGTAGACTCGCATTCCTTATTAATTATTTCTAGGAAGCTACTATTAATCTTAGAAAAATTAGCTCTCTCCTATCATCTAATTTTTCTCATTTTCTGATGCTTGAAGTTTAATTTTGTATCTAACTATGTCCTAGTCTTTGACTCTTACCATTGTTTTAGCTGAAGTAATCATTTCTTTAAGTAGTTTTATTTCAAGAATCCTATCATCAATTTGCTTTTTTAAGTCTACACACAATAGAAATTAAATTTACCCATATAAAAAGAAAATTTATAAATTTACCAGGAATAATATTCTTTTCTAAATCATTTACTTTGCTGATATACATTTTCATTTAATTTCGTACATTTTCTGCCTTTTTTCATATCAAAAAATATTTTACAAACCAATCTACAACATAAAATCTAAATCAAATAGTAAAAAACCAAAATATTTTATAAAGTTTCGAATTGGAGCAGTAAATTCAAATTTAAATTAAACAACTTAAATTATTTTAAAGATATTTTGTTTTTAGTATCTAGTAAAATTTAAGATTTAATTTTGACTTAATATGTTCTTATCAGCAATTTTAATGAAATTTAAATATAATTTTAGTTAATAACTTAGGTAGTGTATGAGTGAGTTAAAAATATGAAATATTTAGGTATTCCTCTATTTACACCTTTACTCTTAAATTTAATGCAAAATTAATCTTTGCTTTTATAATAAATTTAATCATTTAATTTATTGTTTAAGAGTTTAATTCATCTTTTATTTAAAATAAATATTTAAACTTTCTCTTTTCTTTTAAATTCAGATATTTCAATCATAAAAACTCAAATTCTAATTTAAATTTGAATACCTCTGCCTATGCTCTTAGTTTTGCAATATCACTTTTACCTAACTCATCTTCAAGTTGTTTTATCTTCTCCTATTATGACTTTATCTTTCCCAAGATTTTTTTATTCTATATATAAGATGTTGAGAAATATGAGCAAATGCATAAAATATTATTTATTTTACATCAGATTATTGCTTTTGAGCTTCTTCTTTATAAAGCTAAACATTTTTCTTTATCTCCTCTATAAAATTCTTTTATTCTTCAATTTTTTTTTCATATGATTCCTACTTTTACCTTTGCTCAGCTATAGTTTTTCTCTATGAATTAATAACCGACTCAGACTTTTCTTTAAATCTATTTAAATTAACAAAATAAAATTAAATTTAGATAATTTAAAATTTACTTTTCAAGAGTTTCAACAGTCTCTTCATAATTTTATAAAATTCTTTTATTTTCTTTTTCAACTTCTTTTTTTTATTATTTTAACTGATCTAATTCTTCTACTCTCTATTGCTGCATTCTCTGGAATTCCTTTTCTAAGTTGTTACTTCTTTCTATGAATTACCTTTCTTACTCTTTTTTTTATTGATCAACTAAGCTTTTGAGTTTATCATATTCTTACTTTGCTTTTACTCTCTCATCTCTAAGTTTTTCTTCAAATTCCTACTGAGCTTTAAGTAAATTATTTTATGCCTTTTTTTTAGTGTCTTCAATTTAAAACTTTGCTTCTTTGAGATCTAAGATAGATTTTTCTATGTCTTGCCTCAAAAGTTTTTGTTATAAATTAGCTTAATCTAAGTCTTACTACAAATTTTTATTTTTAAATGTAAGTGTTTAGTTAAGAGTTTAAGCATTTTAAACTTCTGATTGTAAATTAAAGCATTATTCTTCCTTTTCATCAAATTATTTTTATAAATTTTTAAATTATTCCTTTTGAGATTCCAGTTATTGCTACGATTATTAAAGAATTTGCTGTAGATTTTAATTATTAACTTAATTCACTTCATTTTATTGCTTTAATAGTATGAGTTCTTACTTTATTTGCATATTTTCTGTTTTTAGCTCTTTGCTCATTGTTTTCTACTGATTTAATTCATATTCAACATTTTATAAAGCTTATTTTTTATTAGACACTTCCTACTCTAAGTTTAAAAGCTAAATATTTTGCTAGCTAACTTTTTCTTCTGTCTGAAGAATTTAATCTTTTTTTCTTTAAAGTTCACCCATTAATTCCTAATAAATCACAAAAATATAAAAATTAAATTAGATATTTTTATTCTATTGTTAAACTAAATTAAAGATTTACTTCTTTTTGCTTGTTAAAGAAATCTTCTCTCTATTTCAGTGATTCTTCTAGCTGCTTGCTAAGATTTTCTTCTTTTTGTTTAAATGCCTCTTGCAACTCTTTTCTTTGTTATTCAGATTTTCTTTTTAAATTAAAAAAAAAATTAATATAAAAAACATTTTATAAAAATCTACTGCTTTTCCTATGATAATTCTTCATTTAAATATGTAATTTAACTCTCAAGATTAACATTTTAGTCTTATTTTTTATTTAGTTGATCTTGGAATTCTTAAGCTTAAGCTTTTATTTCATGCAACTCAACTTAGAGGTTATTATATTCACTTAAAATTTTAGTATGCTCATTTTTTACTTGTTCATGGTCCTATTTTAACTATTTTTTCTTTAATTTTTTCTAATCCATTTTTTCCTTCATCTATGCAAGCTCATTGGCTTACTCTTCATTGTTGCTATATTTAATAAACTTTTTGAAAAATAAATAGACTATAATAAAATTAGCTTACTTCTAATTTTAGTTCATTCCTTGCTGCTTTAATCTTTCAATTTCTTATTATAGTTCTTCATTTTAACTTTATTCATTTGCAAGCTTCTCAGCATAGTCTTTTATCTGTTCTTAAAGCTGTTCAAGTTATTTCTTTTTTATTATATCATTATATTGTCAATCAAAATATAGATGGAAAAAGAGCGGGATTTAATGCATAAAGGATGCTTTACCTCATATTAAGACCTTACTCTTTTTACTTCAATTAAGTCATCTTAGTTCTTCTCAAGAAGTTTTTTGTTAGTTTATTCAAGCATTTTGATCTTTTAATTGATATAAATTAGATTTCAGTCATTTATTTTTACACCATAAAATTATGTTTCTACTATAGTTAATTTGAAAGAAAAAATTATTAAATCATAATTATAACCTTATCATCCTTTTCCTTTAATTACTACTTAGCTTCTTCATCCTCTCCCTTTTAGATTCTAATAAAATTCAATTACTTTATGCACTAATTAAATAATTGAAATAAATAATTAGGATAATTTCTACCTGGCGTTTAAGACAGAAACCTGCTTCTAAAGAAGATTAATCTCTTCTGTTTATGCCTTAACTTTTTCCATAATAGCTTCATCATCTATTTTGCTCTGTTGTAATATTTTATAAATTTAAAATTTCGCTCATTATGAAGATCAATAAAATCTTCAATCATTAAATCTAATTTTATTTAATACATTTATTTTGCCTAATGTTTCAAGCAGTTTTTAACGGGAACGTATATCGTTTTTAAGCTTTTCAAGCTCTTACTCTTTTTCTTGAATTTCCTTGTCAAGCTCTTTTGAAAAGAGAAAATGTCAATAATTTGCAATCACAGTAAAGATAAAATAATTAATTTTAAAAATAAAATTACAGCTTGCTTTATTGCTCATTTATGAATAATTAAAAAAGTTGATTATTTTAAAAACTGATGATAAAAATTAAGATAGAGTTATATTTTAGTAATATAGATTAAGTTATAATATTTTTTTTCAAAGCACGTTTAAGATAAGTAGTACAACAAATTTAATTATTAATTTATAATTAAATCAATTCTAATTGTTATAAATATAAAATATTAATTGATTTATTAAAATAAAATTAATTTTAAATGCTTTTAATTAAATAAAATTATTAATTATTGTTATTAACTTAATTAAAGCAAGAAATTTTATAATCAGAAAATCTGACTGAACCTTCTTATAGAAACAAAAATAAAATTATTATCAAATGCAAATAAATTAATTTACGGAATGATTTTTTTATTATTTTTACTGGATAAAAATATTTAGAATTAAATTATCTGCTTTTTTATTTAATTGTGAGAATAAATTAAATAAATTATAAACAAATTTTATTAAGAAATTAGCTTAGATTAATCATTAGATTGAGTATTTATTTTTAGAATTATTTGATCTCTCTGAAAAATTTATCTAAAATAAAATTTGCTTGGATAATGAATTGATTTTATCAGTACAAAAAGGAATATTTTTTATAATATTCTAATTATGAGATAAATTTAGTTGAAGCCAAAAAAGTTTTAAAAAAAAATTTTTTATTCAAATTTTATTAATTAAGAGTTTGCTGTTGTAAGTTAGATTAAAATTATTAAAAGATTTGTATCAGTAAGAATAATTACATGAAAATCAAGGAAATACATACTAATATCTGTATTCAATTATGATACTGTATTATATAAAATTTTGATTTTTAGATTAAAGTAATATTGATTGTTTGAGGCTAAGAATTGATTCTAAGCTTTGTAAGCAATATAATATTGTTTTGCAAATTCTTATTTTACTTTTATTGCCTGTAACAAAAAAATTTGTAAAAGTAAATTGTAGAAAAAAGTTAATGAAATTCGTTCATGCTTATGGATATTAAATTTTGAATTGCTAATAATTTTAATTTTTTGTAATTTTAGCTTAAATGTATTTGAATCAATACAATTCTTGTCTACAACTATAAAATATTTTAAAAATCGAAAAGAAGATTAAATCAAACAATTTTTTAGAATGAAAACATAACAAACAAAAAATTTCAAATTTTTGTAAAATTTGAAAGTTATTATAACTAAAATTTATCTGATACCATTCAAAAGAAACAATGAAATAAAGTATCTCTATTATTCTATACACTATCTAATTCTGTTTTGATGTTGCATTAAACTCTTGAAAAAAACTTTAAGCACTTTTTTTTAAATCAAACAATTATTTGTATTTATGTAAAAAAATATATTATTCCCTTTCTTAAAAGTAAAATTAAAAATTGTAAAGCAAGCGCTTAGTTATCACTATCTTCGTAATTAACATTTAGGCTATTTTCTAATTATTATAAAAGATACAAATTTGAATTGACATAATAGCCTCATAAATACCATAAATCGAGGTCTATAGAAAATATTTTAGGATAATAAAAATATGAAACAATTGCTTATATGAAGTTGGACTTTTGAAGAGTTCTAAAAAAGTTAAGTCTAATTTTCCTTTAACTAGTTAATTTATAAGCAGGATTAATTTAATTTACCTATTAATAACATTTTCTGTTTTTATAGGAAGTAAGTAAACAGATTAGTTAAGATGTAAATTAATTTTTATAACAAAAGAAAAATGCTAGAAAAGAATTCTTTATTAAAATATTAGAAAAAAGAATATTTATTGTATAAATGAATCGCATGAAAATATATCAAATTATCTACTTATTTTGCTCAATTAAATTTATTATAATCACTAGTTATACTTGACGCTGAATTGATTTATAGATTTATTGATTGATTGATAGTTTCTAACAAATTTATTTTAGCTTATAGTTAGAATCTTAAACAAATAGGTATAGAAATTAGACCATAAAATACAATAAAATAAGAAGATTTACTTAATCTTTTCAAGTAATTAACGCATTTACATGTAATTATTTTGAAATTATAATCCGTAAAGACTCTTAAAAAGTTAAATATTTTTTTTAATGATGACATTTCTCTATTAAATTTTTTCTAGTGTTAATTTACCTAATATTTTAGTAACCATTTTTATTTCCTTCGTTAAATTTACATCAAAGGAAATGCAAAAATAATAAAATTACAAGAAATTTTGGTTTATTATTGCTTATATTATTCTCTTTAAGTAAGTGTTAATATAGATGTTAATTTTGAATAAGGTCTTATCTTTTTGTACGTATTTTTGAAGTGAAGATTAAAAAGTTAACAAATAATACTGATTAATTGAAAAAAATAAAATTTTGAATTTTAATTCAAGTATGTTAACAAATAATAACCAATATAACTTCGGAAATTTTTAGCACCTAGATAATTTATCCCGAAAACAATTTCATTCAGATATTTAATTTATTTTTGTACTAATTAGAAAAGAAAATAAAATGTCTATCAAGTATTGTCTTCTTTCTTATCTTTAATTTATAATAGTTAATAAATAAATCAATAAAAAAAAGTTAGAAAATATACTAAATAATAATTACAATTAAATAATTCCATATTTAAAATATTTATTTATAATAATAAGTAAGTAAATAAATGCTGGGTAATATTAATAAAATTGTAAAGTATTTTCCTTAAAATATAATTAACTTTTTGAATAATTCTTTTGATTATTTCAAAGAAAGAAACAAATCTCCATAAAATGCCTTCTTGCAAACTAATTAATTTAATTCAAGTTACTCTGCCATTATTAATTACGGGATATTTATTTTGTATTAATAAAAAAAGCATACAAATGTTTGTGAAATATAAAAAAATATGAATTTTAACTGGATGATATTTTATAAGTTAAAATTTTTAATATTATGATTAAAATTTTTATTTGAATGTCTTAGATTTTAATTTTTTTAATTTAGAATATTCTCGATACTTTGCATGAATTATAAATATAATTTTTTATTTTCTATTATCAATGCAAAACTAATTTTGATTGGACTAAATATTTGCTTATTTTAGAAGAAAGTAGTAATTTTCAAAAATGAAATTAGGCAATTTTATGTTTGGTATTAATTTTTATTTACACTACAGGTGATAATAAATTAAAATTGCGTAATATAAGTTTAGAATCACTTCAGTGTACTAAACAGAAATATCATTTGTCAAACCTTATATTTATAGCAGTAACTAGATTAATTGTATTATTTGAATGATAATGCTAATAACTTTATTTTTATTTTTTTTCAGTAATTAATTGTTTGGCGAGTATCATTCATCCATCCACCCTATGAATAAAAAGTATCTTTTTTATCATTTTTATTAGAGGAAAAGAGATTTTTTATTTACTTAGATTAGAAGCATGTAATTCAAAATCAAAAATAATGAATTTTATTTTCTATTGAAATCTTAATCGATACACTTACTACTTTTAATTGATCAATATAAAAAAGATTTTAGCGAGCTGATTCCAGATGTAGATTAAATATATCTTTTATAACATAAATTAATTACGAAATAATTTATATCTAGTGCTATAACATATTATAATACATTTATTAAAAAAAGGGTTTTTAAGTGTTTTATTTGAAATAGCCTTATATTTTTTTAGGTCCAAATAAAATTTGATAGGAGATTTATACTTTAGTTCGAAGTAAATTAATATATTAGAATGGGTATAAAGTGAAATTAAAAGATAAGCTGATTAAATAAAATGACTAAAATATAAAACAGTTGAAATATTTTATAAAAATCTTTTAGCGTTATTTGTTTCTTATGATTAATGTGGAATTATCTGTGAAATGAAATCTATCAATCAATCATATTGTATATTTGGATTATTTAAATTTAATTGGTTTAATTTGCGTTATTTTGTTTGCCAAATATTTTAAGTTGGGGCTGGTTATTCTAATTTGAAATGTACAATTTAAGTAATAGAAAAAAAAAGAATATTTTAAAGATTTTTTATTTTGGAAATGGTTGAATATGAGTGAATTAAACCGAAAGATGAAATTGAAAAATTATGAGTTAAGACTCTTTTTCTGAAATTAAGTCTGAACAAGTCTTAACGCAGGATAGTTAGGCATATGATGCCAAAATTTATTAGTTTTTATAAGATGATGCGTCAGCAATTTATTTTAAATAATTAATAAGGATTAGATTATATTACACAAAGACTTGCAAAAAATTTACTAAAAACTATGAAGTTACCAAAGCTTACTTGTTCTAAGCTTAAATTGAAAATTAATTTAATCCAATTTTTGTTCATATTTTTAGCTTATTTTAACTGTCAAGATTATTTTTCATCGAAAAAGCTATGTTTGTTTGTATGTCTATAAATATTTCTTTCAAACACATGAATTGATTTTTCAAGAAGTAGTTTAGAAAATAAATAAACAAATAAATAAATCAATCAATAAATAAGTTGTTAATCAAAGTTTGAAAATCAAATAAACAGACTTTATAATTTTCAAACTGAATTACAAATGCTGTATTAAGTATATATATAAATATGTAAGATTAAATTAGCTTTACAATTTAAAGGATTTTTGTATTACTTAACTAATTTTCCACATCGATCGATGAAAGGATAAATAAATTAAGTGAGAGGTGATATATATATATATTAATTGAGTTCTAAGATGTTTGTGTGGAGTGTGTTAAAAATAATTTAGAAAGTGTGAAACTTAACATATAAATCGAGTAGAGTATATATAAATAAATAGTAAAAATATTAAGATTATTAATTTATTCATTTATTTATTAAATTAGTTAACTGATGTATTTATTTATTTGTTTGTTTGTTGTTTGTAATCAAGCTGAGCTAAATTATTCTGTGTCATGCTAGAATACTTCTTTTATTATTGTCGTTAGTATTAAATTTAATTTTTATTATGATGAAATATAATTAATTGTAGTAAGATAATTAATTAATTAGGGGTAGGTATGTTTGTTTGTTTGTGTTTATTTATTTATTTATGTAGATAGGTAGGTAGAGCATAAGTGCATATGTTAATGTCTGAGCTTGTAATGCATTTGTTTATACTTTTAGAAATTGATGAATACAAGTAAAATAAGTTTTAGCTAATTATTCATCCAAAATATCACAAGCTTTTAAATAGAAATTGAATAAATTACTCACTAATTTTTGCTAGCTTGCAGCATTATTCAAAGAAAATTTGAATTTTAATAATTATGTTAGTGAGTTGCTTTTGTATTTGAGTGGGCAGACAACAGACGACGGCATACAGAATTAAATCATTTGAACTGAATGATTGAATAATTATTTAATTTTGTTTTAATAATTTATCATTTCATTAACTTTATTTATATTAGCTCTAATTAATTATTGATGGTATTAAATTTTGATGTGTATTAATTAATTAATTTATTTGTTCAATTATTTATTTATTTGATTGAGTTTATTTTTATTAAGTATAAGTTTTATGTTAACTACTACCCCATTTGAAATCATTAAGCATACTTCTAAATGCTTGACATGAAGAAGTAAGAAAAAGACTAAATGAAGTACTAGGTAGAAGATTAATGGAGGGAGACTAAGAAATTTAATCAGAAATTGTTTAAGCTAGTGATCATTTGATTTTATTCATTCAAATGATAATTGAAATTTTCAGCTATGTTTAATTCGTGTCCGTCGTGTTCAAAAACATACTAATTTTTATTGCTTACATCTTCTAGTTCCATAGAAGTGTTAGCAAATTAATGCTAATTTTCAAAGCTTTGAAGTCGATTGAAGATATCATCTTGCTACTATTGGTCAGTGCAATCTTCATTCTTTACAATCTCGAGCTGTTAGAAAGGAGTTGCAGAACTATTAGAGACATCAGCATTTGTGGAGACAGATTTTCTCTAGGCGAATTCTCTTATGATTTCGTCCTTACACATGTTGAGCATATTTTCTATCATACTGATTTGATTTTATAAAAATTAGATTTTTTCTTGTTTAGTAGAGTCTATCTGAGTAGCATTATTATTGTTACTATTAATGATATTATTATTTATATTAATTGAATTTGCATTATTCAAACCATTAAATTCCATTTGTCCTACTGGAGGCAATAAAGAAGAGATATCATTAAGGTCGTCTTCAGGAAGATAAATTTTAGGAAGTTTGAATGGCTTGTTAGCTTCTTCGAAGAAATCATCTTCTTCTTGGTGCAAAGCAAAAGCGCCAATACCGTTTTAGAAAGGTAGTTATGTGCACTATTGATTTTAAAGGAGAGCAGATTTATCATAGAAATCGCTATTTTAATTAATGTTTGAATTCAAATGAGCATGTTCATAAAAATTAGAATTTTAATTGTTTTAAGGGAAATCTTTAACTGCAGAATCGAATAAATGCTAGTCCTTGTTTTGATAATTGTGAATCTGCTCATCAAAATTGTGCATGCTAGTAATCTTCAAGTTTGCGTTGTGCTAATTAAAATGCAACAAACCGTGCTCTTCAAAAATACTTTACTTCACAGGGCTATCAAAAATCATTTCTGCATCGTGAAGATTGTGGTAGTTGAGAGAAGAAAAATTATTGCTATCCTATAAAAAGTGAGTGTCTGGACTACCTTATATTTCAAATTAATCAGATCTTTATTTTTCATCTTTGAGGGAGAGCTATTATTGAAGATTAGTTGATTAATTCTTAGAAATAGCGCTTTGAGAATTTCCAAGGAACAAATCAGAGGCTTGTTCGTTGTTCAAATCTAAAGAGGAGTTTTCAGCATTAAAAAGTCCAGCTTCATCAATTTAATTGTAATCGCCAGTGCAGTTGTCCTTTTCCTTGCTGAGTTTGCGGATCTTAACGTAGTAGCGGTTTCTAACCATAACTTCAGTACGACCAGGTAATCTCTTAGAGATTTCTGACCACTTTTTACCATGCTTTTAAACATACTTCAAAATGATTTCATCTTCCTAAGGAGTGAATTTAACTCTCTTTTGGATAGAAGAAATAGAGGCAGTGGTAGATGAGGAGATCGAAAGGTTATTATTGTTGTTTATATTTGCGTTTTAATTATTTGATGTCTGATTTGAGCTTGTGTTGATTTAAGAAGCCTGAGTTGAATTAAGAGTATTTTAGAGGCTGTTAGCATTTTTTAAGTAAGTATTATTGGTAGAGCTAGAGCAAACAGAGGTATCTTTCTTGATAGATTTGGATTTTTAGCGTACGCCTGAGAATTGTTCAACAACTTTTTTAGCCATTTGGCTAATTTGTTCAATATCTATTTAAAACATGATTTGGTTAGTTGGTTTTATAAATAATATATGTGATTTTTGGTCTGCTGGTATTATAGAAATTGAAAGGAAGGAATTAGAGTTTTTTGTTTGTTTATTTGTTTCCTTTGTTTTTATTTATTTTTTTTTTTGTTATCAAAAAGAAATAATAAGGATAATTTATTAAAAAAATATTATAATCTTTTTTCGCCTCTCTAATTTTTAAAAGTAAATTCGCATTCATTAATAAACATATTGAATGACTCTATAACTCATTTATCCATTCAAGTCTTTCTTTCATCAAAAGGACTTTTATTATAATGATGATGGTTTTAAATATATGTTTTTGCCTTTAATTTATTTATTTAAAGATTCTTTTCTAATGTTTTCTGCTTTGTTTTAGATTGCATTGAATTTCATCATAATTTTTGAAACAAAGAAAGCAATTAATAAATTGACTAATCTATCAAACTTTTGATTGTTTTTATTAATTTTTTTTTTGATTTGACATTATTATTTTTTTTAAAAAAAAGACATCAAAAATTTCCTTTTTCTTTTGATAATTTTTCTTTCTATTTTCAAGCTAATAAAGTAATTCGATAATAATAATAATAGATTCTTTCCTAATAAAACATAACACTTTTACATTTAAGAATTAACTTATCATCTCTTTCTTTTCTTCTAATTATTTATACTTATTTCCATCAAATTTTTTTTCACTATTTTTATCATTATTTCTTCACTTAATTATAAGTTTTTTCTTAATAGCATATGGAAGGATTTTTATGAAGAAAAAAAATTTGATATATTAATATTTATTACCAAATATATTTATTTTTTTTTGAATAAAATTTTTATTTTTTAGTTTTAAAAATCAGAAGTTGAAATTGGCTAATCATAAACCTTTAAATAAATATATTTATTTATTTATATATTTTCTTTTGTCATATTTGTAATTAATTCAAAAATAGAGAGATGACTATTTAAAATAAATGGATAAAATAAGTTTGAGTCTTTATGCTCTATCATACCAGCAAATAAAAATATAGTTAACCAAAATAATTTACCAAAATCAGGATATTCCTAGGCCAGTGTTGCTTCAATTAAATTAATTTGTTGTAATTTTTGATATGCCTTCATTGTGTTAATTTTATTTAGTTATAGTCAATTTTCAAATATATCTTTTTTTTTTTTCTTAAATGTGATTGTTGTTTAAAAATTTGTATAGCAATTTTAACTGGATATCAAGAAAATAATTGTTAAAAGTTATATATTCTCAGACTTGAACGAATTGTATTATTTTAAGTATTTACTTAGATTTTTTATTATTTCAAGCTAGATTTTTTATAAAATCAATAAATTCATTATAAATTTTTGGGAAATTAGTAATATCTTTTTGATTAGTTTCGATGTTACCTTGAAATATTAGTAAAGATCTTGAGATTTGTTAAAATGAGCTATGTAATTAGGAAATATATGATCTAATTTGTAGTTTGAACAAGAAAGAAAATTGAAAGAAAATACAAAATCTTAAGCCTACCTATTAATTAATAAATTAATTAGATTGCAATAAAGAAAAATTAATAAATAAATAATGATTATTTTCCACATGATTACTGCTTCTTCTAATTAATTAATTAATCTTATTTTATTTATATCTATCTGCATTTAAAAAAACGATTTCGATTCTATTCTCTCTCTAGTCGCAAAAATTAGTTAAGCATTCTTGCTAGCTCATTTTATCTTCTTTCAATAAGATATTTTTATATTTTGACCAATCAAGTACTACCTAGACATTTAATCCAAATAAAATTTTTTCAAAATACAAATACAAACAAAAAATTATCAAGCTCAGTCCAAAAATTATTAATTAAGAAACATATTTAAGAATATTCTTAAAAATAATAAATATGGCTTTAGATTTCAATCAGATAATTAATACATTACCCATATCGATACATTTTTCTCAAACTTATTAAGTATCACTATATTTTTTTTATAAAATGTATGTCTAAAGCAACAAATTTAGCTTTTAACAGGTAAAAATAATTAATTTTTTTTTCTTTTAACTGGTTTATTGTACATGATTCCCAGAATACTTTTAAGTTAGAACCTAATTTTTCATTAGATAATAAGAGTAAGCTATTATTATAAGAACATTTATTTTTATTATATTTGGTATTTACAATTTAGAGCTACTTTCTAATGATAAACAAACACTACAATTTTAGAATATATTTTTATTGGCTTTACTTGTAATCACCTCATTCTAGTATCAAAATTATACCAGAACTCAATAAAATTTGTTTTTTTTAATGCTTTAGAATTTATCAAATTATAATTATGACACAATTATATCTATAAATTTTTTTATAATTGAACATGTATTTTTATCATAAATGCTTTTTACTTGTTACAAACAAATTCATCATTGTACTTTTAAACCCTATCATCAAATTTTTTTTGTAAAAAAAATAAATAAATAAGTTAGGTGAGATGAAATGTAAATTTTATTTTGTTTTGATTTGATTTGTCTAAGAAAGATTTAATGTTAATAACCACACATTTAATGAAATGACAACCATAAATAGTAAAAAAAATAAAACATTTTTGGAAAAAGATTTAACCCTTTAATGTTAACTTTATATAAATAATTAAAGTATCAAATGTTATTTAGCTAAATTTATGATAGAGAAAACTTAATACTAATATGTAACTTTTAACAGAAATAAATATATTTGAAGAATTCATTAAGTAAAAACATAATTAAAAATGACGGATTAATATAAATTTCTTATGATATAATATCACTCTCTTGCTAAAAGAAATCGATTAATAAAGATATTACAATTAATTATCCTAACTATTCATTTTTGAAAAATATAAAAGGATATATTGTAAGTAAATAAGATAGCTAATAACTCCCCAATTCAAACTAAAAATCAATCCTGGAAATAAAATAGCTTATTGATAATAATTTAATGAATAAAATTTATTCACAAAAATAGATGTAAAAAAGCAAATGTGAGTAAAACTCATTTAAAATGTGTAAAATTTATTAATTATTTCACATTTATAATACTGAAAAACTTAACTTTATTTAAAATAGTAGCTTTATTAAATACTTCACTTCATAGATAGATTTAATATAAAGAATTCAATAATTGTTTTTATTATTAACTGTAAGAACGGAGACATAATAAATTTTGAGCTTAACTTTCAACTTTGATATAATAAAATAAAAGTTGATTATTATTTTTAATAATATTGATCATTCTAAAAATAAATCCACTCAAATAGCAATCACTCTTAGCTAAATATTGATATGTCTCTATAGAAATTTTGAATCAAAACACTCAAATTACATGGATTATATTTGCAGTGTTAAATATTACTATGAAAAAAGAATTTCACATAAAACTTTTTGTATTTTTTACATTTTTAGATCTTAATTAAAGCGATTTTCTTCTTACATTTACTTACATTTATAAATGTCACTAGTGAAATAACAAAATAATAGCTATCAGCTTATAAGTATAGCATTCGTCTATAAAATAAAGATTACTGTGACGCAAGTCTAATGTTATAAAATCTAATTTAAATTAGAGATTAATTATGCAAATTAGGCGTTCACATAAATAATTATTACGTATTTATAAAACTATTGAAACTACACACAGTTAATTAAATTACTTAAAAATCACTCATACAGGATTAACTGACACAAAATTATAACTATATTAGTATTCATGTGTGCAATAATCTATTTGAGCCACTAAATTATCTTGAAAAAACAAAAAAAACTTAACATAATACCTACTCAGCGATTTTAAAAATCAAATAAAATTAAAGAGCTCTTTAATGAATACAATATTCGTCATGTAAATAAAATTTCAAGTGCCTAAAATACAATCACATTTTTATAATTAGAGGATTATTTAAATTTTTTTAAAAATCACCATTCCTTAATAACTTTTATATTAGCTTTTGACCACATATTGTCTAGTGTTTGAAATAATAATTGTCAAATCTTTCAGATCAGATACCTCATTCTTTCGCTCTGACGATATATTTGAATCAGCTTTTGTTGGAGGAATAAAGATGAATTTTTAATTAATTAATTAAATTATCTAATCTAAATTTTTTATAATGCGTAATCATAATTAAACAAAAACTTTTTTAGCTGTTCAAATTGTTTCATGAGCGAATAAATGAATGTACGAATGAATGACTAATGCTAAATCAGCAAAGAATAATCTTGCTCAAAATAAAAAAACCACACTAAATGAAATAATTATTGAAATAAAGGAAAGAAAGATTAATAGTTATTTTATTAGTATTTCAATAAATAAACAAATAATATAATTATCTTAAAATATATAATTATTGCTTAAGTCTATTTGATTAATCACTCACAAAATAAAATTTATCGAAATTAAATTTATTCTAATCAAAATAAAAATTTCTAAAATAAAATTTATCAAATCTAAATTCTAAAATAAAATCTTATTAAAGCTAATTACTTATTTTATTATATAAGAAATCCCTGTTTTTAAAGCTTTTTACCCATTAAATTTTTTTAAAATTAAAGAATAATTTCTCATTTTTTAAATAAATAATTAGCTTTAAACATATTTCAATTGTTTAGAAACATTTTCTGCTTGAATGTGTAATTAATTATATCTTTAAGATGACATTAAAAATTAATTTAAAGTTACTGTAAAAATAATATAAATCATTTTGAGTTATTAAACAATCAATAAAACTCTATTTTTATAATTCATTGATAATTAATTTTTTTTAGTGCATTATTTATGTTTTCTACTCTGGGAGCGTTTATGGGATTTATTTGTCTTTAATATTTTCTCTTTTTAGGTGATTATGATTCTTAATTTTGGCTCTACATATTTATAATTTTCGAATTACTCTGTTCTTAAATTTATTATTTCTTTGGGCTATGAGCATCCTTTTTTGACTGTTGATATTGTGTGCTTTGATTATAAAAAGTTTAATCATAATACATGAAATCATCCTGTTATTCAATTTCTTGTGAATATCGGTGATTTGAATTCTAAATTTATGATTTATTCATTTATACAGTAAATTGTTTCTGTTCGTTCTAAAGCTAAACAAATTAGTCACCTTAAACTACTTACTACTGATTTTGCTAATACTAGTTTTAAGCATTTAGGTTGCTTTGCTAGATATGGCTATATTGTTATGATTACTCTTAATTTTAGACATTAATTACTTTTTTATCCGGTAATATTTAACTTTTAATCTAAGCGTTAGCGTTAGTGTTAACATCTTGAATTTATTAGTTATTAACTGCACTGTTATTAACTTATTAGTAGTTATTTTTGTCAATTTCAACTAATTAAGCGTTATTATTATCAATTTATGATTAGTTTTAATTAGTCTTGCTTTATTCATGATTTTAATTAGGAAAATTATTATTAACATCTTAATTCGAATAAATATTTTTCTATTATTGCTACTAGTAAAAGATTTGATTATTCGTATGTATTTATACTACGTTTTATTAAAATGTTTAATTATTTTACTGTTTTTCAGATTCTTGTAATGTGTTTGCATTATTTTTTTTTAAATTATAAAGCTGAGCTGGAAGAAGGCTTCCTATATCAGCTTATGATATTATTGTTGCATTTGGATTTTCTTTTACATATTCAAATAAGCGATTACTTAAATTAAGCAAGAAAACCTGCTAATCATATTGTTTTTTTAAAATTTCAAACTCATTCTCATCATTTGTCTAAGCCATCATGTCTTCAAGTTATTATAACTTATCAAAATATTGTTTATTAATTTCTTGTGAAAAATTTTCTTTATGGATCTCTTCTAATTTGATGTATTTTTTCTGTTTTCTTAATCCGAGCTTGAGCTTTTAATATTCTGTGAGGATAATAGGTTCTTTTGGAATTGGACTTGGATTGGGTGTTGTTGGTATTATTGGTGTTGGAGGTATAATTTCTTTAGGCTTGAAGAACTCAATTAAGGTCATAATTGCTTCATAAATTAGACAAATCAAGTGAATAATAATTATGATCAAAGAGAAAGCGACTATGGCTCTTCCTAATCCTTAGTAATCATCTTAGTTACTCGCACCATAAACAAAATCAGATGATAAAAATGGGTATGTAAGACAATGGATTATTATGAAACATGCTTCAGATACGATGTCTCTTGCAGTAAAAAGAAATTTTTTGTATGGTTTGTACTTTATGAGAATTACAATCATAAATATATTTAGCACTATCCAGACACTTAAAATTAAACCAGGAACTTCGTAAGCAAATACAAGAAAGAAAGAAAAAATAAATTTACGAGCTGCTACGATGAGATAATAACCTTACTACAATATCTATCCAGGAACAAATAAGCTGTAAATCATAGCAAAAGACTTTTAAAAATTATCATTAGCTTTTATTTACTCTTACTCCTCTTCATATGTCGTGATTATTGCTTGAAAATTTGAATTCTCATTTAAAAAGAAAAGGCCACTTTGCTTATGGATATCAAGTATTCTTTAGATTATAGCGTAAACGGTTATCAAAAAACCTATTAAAACGGTTAAGACAATGAAGGATACAAAAAATGAAATAAATTCAACAGCTAAGCTTACACCTGCATTTTACAATTATAAAAAAGTAAAAGTAGTTATATTTAAGTAAGCTGCTTCTAAGCAACCTAAGAAAATACCCCATTCAAAAAACTCAACAGCCTTTTTTAAAAATAATTTGCACTTTTCTTTCCCAGAAATTTGAGGGGTTTAATTATTTAAATTTTTTTTAGCTTCTGTTTTCTTTTTTGAATCACCAGAGAGCAAATTTTTATTTTATTTTTAAAGTTGCTAACCTTTTTAAATTACTTTTTAATTATGAAATGTTTTATTTTTCACATTTGATTCCTCAGGAGCTATCGAAAGGTTTGCCTTCAAAAATAACCTCTCCAATATTTTTAGAATAATATATATAACTGCCAAAACTATAAAGATCAAAATGTACTGGTTAGAGTTTCTCAAGAATAGACCATCAACTTAATTGTAATAGAAACCATTTGAAGTTCTCAAAATATAACTATTCTCGTCAACAATAGAAGGAATAAATGAAGCATCAAAGACATCAAACATTTCTTTTTGTTTATAAAATAATAATCAAATATTAAAACATAAAAAAAAAACTTTATTCAAATTATGCTTCCATTCTTTGTAAAAATTTGTATTAATGCAAAAAAATTTACTAAAAAATGACACTACTAAGTCTGGATATCTCACATCAACGTATAAAATATATCTAATTATCTGAATAATATCTACAAAAGATATTAAAAAAGCAGGGTTCCCAAGAATCAATGTTGGTAACGCAGCGACAGCGGAAGCGCCAGCTGAAATTTTTATTAAATTTTTAATTATGAAAATGATGAGAATAAATTTAAAAAATGATGAATAAAAATAAAAATCAAATATTAAACTAAGAATAAAAATGGAGTTTTACCTATAGAAGTCATAGTTATTTGTAGTTGTTAAGTACCATCAGGATCATAGCTTTAGCACTTATGAAGGACAGAGTCATCTTTGTATAATTGTTAGCAATAACACATGTTATTAGTGAAAATTCTGTGATCATTTAAAACACATTTTGTGCATTAAACTTCGTTTACGCAATCCAAACAACCACTTGGGCAAGCTAAACAAGAACCATAGCTAGAGCTGGAGTAATCAGCTCTTGTTAGACTACTATCAAAATAGGCACTTTAAAACCTTTCGAAATAAGATTAGGTGCATTGGCAATTATTTTTTGTGGAAGAAATTGTAACTAGCTATCTGTTTTTAGATTTTGAGCATGTGTTACAAGATGAAATAGAACTACATGATTCACATTATTCTTCACAAGGCGAGCATAGAGGAGAGGTAGTTTAAAAATAGCCTATTTTGCATGATAAACAAGAAGTGGTATTATCACAATTTTCACAACTCTTATCACAAGGTATGCATCCTAACCCTGGAGAGTAAAAGTGATTTTCTAAGCATTCACAAGTTCCTCTTTATGGAACAAAAGTATAAATACTTAAGTCGCATGTTAAGCACTAATTAAATGCAGCTCCAAAACAAGTTTAACAAGAATTATGGCATGCCTAGCAGGTATTTGTACTAGTATTTCCAAAATAACCAGTGGGACAAACTTTTACACATACACTCAAAGGAATTGGTTAGGTTAAAAAATATCCTGGATAGCATTAAATACAATTTTTATTGGCTTGGCAAATAACACAAGACACAGGACATTAATCCATCTATGCCCAGCTTATAATAAAGCTGTTTATAATAAAGTTATAAATTAAATTTTTTACAGCTATAATATATAATAAAATGATAAGATATTATTCGAAACTGGTTCAGTATGCTTAACGCATTTTATTTAACGTTTTTAAAAATAATTTAGGCATTTTATGTAAACTAAAAATTTAATTATTAACAAGGAATAGATTGATAGATAAAATATAGTTTAAAAAGAAATATTGAAATATTATTAAATAAAACTTAATTACTTTTAAAATTAATTGAATTTATTTTATGTAAAATTTATAAATAAATTTTGTATAAAATTTTTAAATTATTTTAAACTCTTTATTTTCCTTTTTGTCAATAATAATTATTTATTTTAGATTCTAAAAAATAAATATACCTTATTAAAAATTAAATTACAGTTTATTTCATTTTCTATTTTTTAAACTAAAAATTATTTTCTTTCATTTTTATCTGTAAAAGTTTTGATTGTTTTAACAGCTTTTTTAATTATTGATGAGAGTATATAAAATAATTAATTTATATTTTTTCTTTCATTTATAAATTGTTTTAAAATAAAAAAATTTATTTCTTCAATAATTTTAAATCTTGTTTAAAGTTCTTAAAGGTATTTAATTTTTTATTAATATTGATAAATCCTCAAAGTTAGTTAGTTAGTTAATTATTTATTACTTTTATTTAGCAACTAAATTCTTATTTATTGAAAAGATTATCAAAAAATTTAAAACATTTTAAAGAACTAATACATTTTCATTAAAATAAAAAATTATATTATTAGTAATTTCAAATAAATTGTAAATTTATGTAAATCAAATTTCAAAAATATCTTTAATCAAAATGTTTATTTATGGTGATGCTTGGCTTATTCTTAAATATTTTTGAATCTAAATGTAAATTAAATTATTCAAAATAAATGCTTCAGTTTAAATTATTCTTTAATTAAATATGAAATAATTAATAAAAGACTAAAGTTTTATTATTTACTCTCTTATACCCCAAGATTACTGTGCAGCGTTGTATGTTTAATAACCCTTTATTTGTATCACTATTGAAGGAGATTGATGATTTAATATTACTGTTTATACTACTTTATTCTCTTGGTGCCCTACAGAACAAATAGAAGTAATTTTTGAAGGATTAAATTATATTGTTTATAACAATTATGAAGATATCGTATCATAAATTTCTATTCTATCAGTGGATTAACTACCTATATTGCTCCAGCTATTTTTTTAAAGCAAAAATAAATTGATAAGACTGCATTTCGAAATACTTTTTTTATATTCTCATAATTATTTTACCTATCAAATCCATAAACTGTAAGCTATAATTAAATCAAATTATGAGTAGGAAACGATAAAAGTGGACTTGTAATAAAAGTTTAGCTACCTGTTGAGCTTAACCCAAAAACATTTGGTCCCCCGTAAATACTGTTAGCTGCACATTAAAAAAACTAGCTATTAGCACTTGCTTAATTTGAAATTGTCCAACTCTAATCTGAATTGAAAGTACTTGTAGTAAAAAAATTATACTAAACATTCCAACCAGATTCTATTATTATTAAAGCAAAAAATAGTAAGGCTAAGCTTAATAAAGAAGAATTAAGTCTATATAATGCTTTACATGCTTAGAGCGGTGATAATAAATATATTAATATTACTAAAAAAAGGCTTGTTCTCATATTTTTCTATTGTATTAGTTATTATAAATTTTGAAATAGTTAAGAAAATAAATATATAAATCTTTCTTTGTATTAAAAAAGATTATATAAATAAATAGATAGATAGATGGTTTAGATTCAATTTTACAAAAATATCTAGAGAGCTTGAAATATTTAAACAAATTTATTCATTCAATGTAAGTTTACTATTTAGTTTTAGGATATAAAAAAATAATTAAATAATAAATTATTTAATAAAATACATTTAACATTTTTATTACACTGTAATGACTATTTATTCTAATTTTTCATTTAACATATATATATTGACACACTACTTATCTGTTGACAATAATTCTATTTTACAAGACAAATTAATAATTGAGTAAAATAATTCTTTATATTTTTTAATCTAAAAAATAGAATCATTAAAGTTTTTTTAAACTAAGAAATATTCAAGTAAATGTTGAATAAAGCAAAACAAATTATAATCTTAGCAGTAGTTTTTTGAGTAAATGAATTTTTCAGAGTTTTTTATTCTCAATCCTAAAACCCATACTTGTATACTTGTGAGATGTATTTGTTATTGATAAAACTCAGGTGTGTAAGTAGAGATTCATCTATTTCCACTCTGGACTTGAATCTTCCTTACACTTCCCAAACTTGTGCAAAGAAACTTTTGATTAGCTAGAAATAAGTTTAAAAAGAAGTAAAAAATATTATTTATTTAGAATTTAAATTATAAAGAATTCACAAAATAACACAAATATTCATTTCAACAATTATTTTAGTTATGAGTAAAAAATGTCAATTTCCTATTTGGTTTTGAAAATATTATCAATAAAATTTGTAAAATTATGAAATTTTGAAAATTTTAATGAAACTCTTATGTAGTAAAACTAGAGTAAATAAATTAATTTTATATAAAAATCTTAATTTTTTATTCTTTTTTCTCCTAAAGTTATGGTTAGCAATAAGAATATGTATTTTAAAATATCTTATTTTGAAATTAAAAGAATAAATATTTATTAAAATATACTGTAAAAATCAGTCCTTAATATGAAATAAATTTCTTTCCCCTCCATCAATCAGAATCTATTTATTACGTCCAAAATTTTACTTAAGAGAGGCATGAGTTTTACAATTTATGAGGATTAACAGTTTTTCGAAAAAATAAAAATAAATTATTTCTTTAGCTTACTATATTTACCTTGACTTAATAAAAATATCATTTCATCAACATGACTAAATATATTTTTAAATGAAAGATAATCAAATTTTTTTAAATAGCTTTTTTCTAATTTTAAGGCAATATTATTTACATTTGTTAGCAATAATCTATTTTATTAAAGTGTTAAATAACTATTTTTATAAAGCACAGAATTGCAAAAATTGTGATGAATATCTGTCTGTTGGTCTATTTATTTAATTGTTCTCACTGAGTTCAGATTGCATATTCTTACAAATAAATTAAAAAATATGTTTATATTAAAATTAATGTATTAATATCTAAAAACTTTCAATTATTTTTTATTTTTACGAGTATCTTTGTTATTTTTTTATTACCTACATACAAAAATCTTAATATTAATTTTATTTTTTGTGTAAACTTTTTTATTGAAATATCAATTGAATAGCTTGATTGATTTAGAGTTAAGAAATTATTATTTGCAAAAACTTAAAGAAAATTGTTTTTACTGATTATAAAAATTATTATTGGGTCGCTAGTATTTCATAATTTTTAGATAAAATTCAAATTATATTTTTGTTAATTTTTATTTGTTTTTATTTAAGAAACCATTTGTTTGTTACTTAAATTTCTTTAATTTAATATAAATGTTATATTTTTAACAAAATCCATATTAAAAAATTAAAAGAATTTTAGTGATCATTATGATGCACTCTAATTGATTAAATTAATAAATAAATAATTCATTTGACTATTAGCAAGAAACTTTAAAATTTGCTTTTTATAAAATAAATTTTTTTTAAAAAGCTCTTAAATTTACTTTAATTTTATTTGTGAATTTTCTTAAATATAATTCAGCTTAAAACTGGGAAATACACTTTTACTAAGTAATTCTTTATTGTTATTAAATCAAGGCATAATCCATTTAATTTCTCATTTATTTTTGTTATAAGAAATTTGTATTTATCCAGTTGTAAGATAATGCTTTAAATGTACTTCAAAATTTTGATAAAGATATTTGTTTAAACAAAAAGAAGTAATCCATTAGATACTTATGTCCTTTTTAGAGATAAAATTAACCTCAAATTATTTGGAAAAATGAAATTTAGATATACTTTTATGTTGTATAATATTTAATTATCTTAAATTTAGATAACAATTTAAAATATAAATTAGTAAATACTAAAAAAAATACTTTTTATGATAAAAATTTTGAGAGAGGTATAATAAATAATTAATTAATTTTATATTTTTGAGAGTAATTATTTTAATAGAGATTTTTGTAGTTATTATTATAATCATTTACGTGTTTCTATATTTTTTAATTATGCTTGTATGTATTTTTATGTGCGGATTTAAGGGAATTGTTTATTTGTATTTATAGATTAGATGTTTTTTTTTGAGAGTTATTATTTAAAGGTAAATTTTACTTTTTACCTGATTAAATTTATTTAAAAAATAAATTCTTTAAATTCACCAATATCAATCGGATTCTTTGTGTGTAAGTTTTAATACCTCATATTTTAAATAATTTTTCTAAATACAAGCTAAGATCATTTACTTGATTTCATCTTGTATCACCTTAATCTAAGTTATTACAATTCGCTATTTCCCTTAAAATATAATTTAAAGTCTAATATCATATTTTGAGCTTTTATTTTTGGTTTAGAGATTACGTTTCAGCAGTTTTATGTAAATTACTAAACTAAGATCTCTTCGAGGCCAGCTAAATTTCTTTTTTCATAAATTAACGAGCTCAAAGTAGCAATCGCAGTAGCAAATAATTGTTAGATCATTAAAATAATTAATAATAATATTGTGATGTAGGGCTATAATTTGTGGCAAAAAGAGACTTTCTTGTAAAAAAGATAGAAATTTGAATAAGAATTTAGATTAGGAAAAAAAGTTTGTAAGTAATCGTTTGCGGCAGAAGGATTGCTCTAAGTTTAAGTTTGATTCTTTAAGTTGATAATATATTCAGACTGTTGCAAGATACTTTGTTCCTCACTAAGAAAAGAGTGCAATGACAAGCAAAAAAAAATTGCTAGGAAGAAATATCCTAGCAGGTTAAATTTAGTGTTGCTGTTAGAGCGATTTGAAAAAATTGGATTTGAAGTGAAAGCAGATAGAGATGCTTTAAATATGCATATATTAAATAGTACAAGAGTTATTATTAAACCAGCGATGTAATAAATGTAGTTGAATTTTTCGATTTACAAAGCAGGCAAGATTATTTCGTAGTCCGATAAAAAATTTTGGAGAATCCTAAAGTATATAGTTAGAGAAATTGAAGAGGTAGCAAGCATCAAAGAAGTCATTACAGCCAGCCATGTTTTAAGTTTATTATATTTTTAAAACATTTTCATTCTTTAGCATTCTTCAGTTTCTGGTATTGGACTGTGAGTTTGATTAGATGACATTTTCAAATTTCTTTTTATGAAAAATATCAGTGTCGATATTCCAATTTTCTTTGATTTGGATTGAGAAAATACTCAGATTGAAATTTTTTAGTTTTTTAATTTTTATTTATTTGGGTTATCAAATTATATTTAATTTGAATAAAAACAAAAATATATATGTGTAAATCCTCTTATCAAAATCTTAAAATTTGAAATTCTTGCTAATCCCTTTTTTTTTGTGTAAAGAAACAAATTTACATTAAATAGATGATAAATTACATTTTAATTCAAGATTATTCTTTTATTAACAACAAATATATGTTTTCTATTAAAACTCTTATATTCTGGCAACGGCAAAATTAAAAAATACTTTTGAAAAATGGAAAGATAAATAGAAAAAGTTTAAGACAATATATATTTTTTTGTATGTCTCTCAAGTTAAATCTTCAATTTGTAGAATAGAATTTATTGGTTTTTGGTATTTAAAATATTCATTTCTGATCGATCAGAAATCTCAAAAGGTAAATTTTCTTATTAATTAAATAGTTAGTATTTTATTGATTTCCCTTTTTTCAAATGTGTAGAGTAATAATATCGATCTTGAAAACATAAGAAACAAAGTAAGAGTTGATTGACTGTAAAGTATTAATAGATAAAAATTAATTATTGACAATTTATAAATTTATTATACAAGGTTTAATATTAGAGTAAATGATAAATCAATTTTCTCTTTTAACTTTTTGAATTATTTTATTGCTTATAAGCTCCTTAATAAACCGATTTACATTAAGTTTAATCATATCTATAAAATAGGCCATATTGTTTTCTGGATATAGTAGATCATTAGGGTGATTAAAATTTTTACGAATGAAGTATAGCAGCTAACTATGAGAATAGTAGCTTTCAAATAATACGACACTTTTAGATATAGGGTTGTATGACCTTATCCTGATAAAGTAATTTGCAAGGCATTCTAAAAATTATTTTTCGTTCTGATAAAATTCAGGCAAACTTGTAATAAAGCAAAATTCCCAATTGCAAATTTTTAATTGACAATTTTTATCTTGATTTACAGAATTTTTGTCTGCTTCCACATTAATATTTGAATTTGAATATGGCTGCTTGTAATTTTAATGTTCAAACTATGAAAGCTATGAGAGATTTTAGTAAAAGTAATTAATCATATCAAAGTGGTAGCGAAGCTATAATTTGTATTTCTAAATTCCATTTTTACTGAGCTAATTTGCAAAAATTTAATTTTATCCTTCGTTTCGCAGTTGCTGATCATCTGTAAACTACTTGATCTCAATATTCTTATCAGAGCTATGCTAAGTGCTTAAAATTATTAATTGAGTAAAATTAAAAAATAAAAATACTCAAAAGTAAATAATTAATTTTGTTACTCTTATTTTTATTGTAAAGCGAAGTTAGTAATCATCAATTCTAAATAATTAAAAAAGTAAAAGAGAATCAATCAATCAATCATTTTTTCTATTTTATTAATATATATATACCTTGTCTATAATGCTCATTGCAGTAATACCTTTATTTAAGGAATTATTATTAATATTAATTTGACTATTAGAAAGATTGAAAATTACTTCTGTTTTGAAAGAGGAGCTTACTCAATTTGATTAGGATTTTCATTTATCAAACAAAAAAGATGAAATTACTTGGAACAACCTGGCATACTGCATAATGACATTTTTCCTTCTTTTTATCTACAATATTAGCAAAAATTCTGGGTGCTCTCATCATTTTAAAAAAAATCATCTCTCTCTTAAATTAAATTCTGAGTTATTCTACATAGTTTATAGTTTTAAAAACAAAATTAATTTGTTATTAGAATCGGATCAAAAATATATTACGAATGACCAGAAGAAAATTAGCTGATATCATCTCTATTTTATTTTAAACAGAATTCATGTGTCTAAAATAAAATAACTTGATTTTTATAAATTTTAATTAAAAATTTTTATACCCAAACTCCATTTTTTGAGTTAATCATGATTCCATGAAATTTATTGCAATCAGAACAACTAATTATAGGAAAGTCTAATAAGTTAGGCTTGTTAAAATCATTCCCAATAATATATAGACACCTATCACAAAACCATACTAAGTTTTAAATAATATTAAAAATGGTTTGATAATATATGAGAAAAATAAAATTTAAATTATTTTGATATTCTTTTACAATTCTAAATAATAGAATGAATTCTTTAAGAAGATAGACATTTGTCGTGTGTTAGAAATTAACAGAAATCACATTGCAACAACTTGTTATTCTTATACTCCTAATCACTAAAGCAACTATTACATCTCTAATCCTTACTGTCCTATTATTTAATAACTATATATTAGGAATTTAATTTTTTATATAAAGCAATTTCACTACCGAAAAGATTTAAGGGTACATTCCTTAGCTAATCATATTTTTAAGTGAAGATTTGATTTCCTTAATTTTAATCTGATCCATCATATATTTATCCTTACTCTTTTTCTAAGATTTATTTTAGTTTCTATCAATCATTTCCAAATATTTCGCTTAGAAGTAATTCTTTTATTAGTATATAACTTTTTTAATTTTAGAAAAGCAATTTTAAAATTAATTACAACAAATTTATGATATTCAAGTAAGAAAATTCCCAACTTCCCTATTTATTTTTAATTAATTATATTTTTCTAATTAGCAAGCTACACTTTTTTGGGTATCTCTTTTTACACAATTAATTAATAAAATCTATAAGTGCCAAGTAAAAAATATATAATAACATTTAAAACAAATATTTATTGCTTCAATAAATATTTCTTTTATACATTTTTATTTACAGTTTTACACATTTTTAATTACAGTTTTTTTGATGAATTGAGAATAAAAAGACATTTTGCTTTTATCTTCAAAATTGAAATATAATTTGGAGTCAAATTTTGCTTTATATTTTTTTAAAGAAAAACCAAAAATTTTTAATTTAACCTAATACAATAAACATAGAAAACGTTAAATGTAATTTTAGCAATAGTATTTTTTAATTTAGATTAATTTATATTTATTGAATTAACTCACTCATTCTTTAATTTTTTTAAATTTCTCTCAACATTGTGTGTATCTCTTTTTTCAAATTCAATATCTTCAACTTCTATAGGGATACTTGCTATTAATTAACATTAAATTTAAAATTAAAAACAAATTTTATTAAGGAATTTCAATCAAAAATATTTTTTGAACAAACAGTTTTGTTTAAGATTTTTATTTTTTCAAAAATCATTTTTTTTAAATAAAAAAATAAAATAAAACCCATTTATTTAATAATTAAAAATTTTAAATCTAGCAATAAATATTGTTAGTTAGTTAGTTAGCTTGTATGATCAATAAATTTTTTGAAGAAATGTCAAATTATTATTTGAAATTAAATGAATAAGTAAAATTTACATATAGAATCTTAGATATCTGGATTTATTAAGCGGACCATTTTATTGCTTCCTCCTCCATTTTAAATGAGGTGTCTTTATTCTTCTATTTAGAAGTCATTGTTGTTAATATCTGCTTTAATAATTTCTTCTCTGATCAGACGCTTGAATTACGTGTTTGTGTTGTAATTGCATGCTATTGAATAATATGACTCTTGACTAAAGTAATTTCTCTGTACTAAAGTTTCTAAGAGAGTTTGACGGATAGTGGATGAACGATTTTTAGTGCGGCTTTATTCAATCTAATAGAACTTTCTGATGTTTAGGATTTCGTTAAAGTCAGCTTGTTAAATGTATGTGGGACGAGTTGTGAAGATAGTGAATACAGAGAGAACAAAACATATAGCAAGCACAGCAAACGCTAATTGCAGTATTTGTTTTTCATATATTTCAACAAATAGATCATAGAAAAGGCCATATAAAACAAGCAAGGGAGTTATGTAAAATGCAAGATAAATGTACTCATACACTTTTTTATTCCAAATATTTATGACCTATCTTTGGCTCTATTTCATAATTTTGAAGGAAAGCACTGAAGAAGCACCAGGATTAAACAATTAAAATATTTATTCTACTAAGGACATTCCAAAAACCATAGAAAGTCTTTCACCAACGTCCAAAAACTATTTATCGACAGATTATAATTGATTTCTCTTCTTAAAGCACCAATCGTAGAAAGGTGAAAGAGCGAAAAACAATATAACCAATCCCTTTATGGACAAGAATAGTATATAGACTTCTTGTAAGTATTTCAAGTTATTCATAAAATAGAAAATTGCTGTTTTATAAAAGATTAAATTAATACATCAAATGATAAAATAAACAACTCATTATGAAAGAATTTATCGAAAAATGTAAGAAATTTAAAAAAATAAAATCTTAAAAACAAAATGAAAGGAATATTCTCATCTTTTTTTTTGAATATACCCATATTAGAAAAGAGAAAAATTATTATAAAAATAGCTCTTATTTACTATATTAATAAAATTTTCTCCTTTCTTTTTAAAGACTGAATATGTAACTTAAAAAAGAATTTACCAATATAATTTGTTAGAATGAAATCGGCTCTACGTGCTAAACCTCTTACTAGTAGAATAACATCAAAATATTTAATCTTATTAAATATAATTTTGAGTTTATTTAGGAAATTTAATTTGTTGTTCAACTCAATATCCTCTGACATATTTACATAATAGAGGTAAACGCAATAAGAAATAAACTCGCATAGTACTATGAATAAACTGACAGCCAATATAACAGAACGGAATAAAATTGCTTAACTGATGAAAGGCATAATTGACAAAATAATCTATACTATAAATGAGCCGGCTAATAAAAAAATTAAAAGAGTTTAATATTTTAAAAGATTTATTTTTTCTAGGTTGCAATAGTCAAATTTGTATTCGTGTTATGAAGTAATTTTATCATTTATAAATTACAGTTTTCTCTAAAAGTAAAGAGTGATTTTCTACCAAATTGATTTTTCTTTACCCTTAACAGCAATCTATTCATTATTATTTTATTTTAAAACGTTTGAATTTGGTACACCCAAGCTTCCATTTAGAGGTTTTCTTTAGTTCTTTTCTTAGCTATTAGCATAAACTTAATTTCTTAATGCTGCTAAGAAGTCATCTTCTCTTTGTGAAAAATTTAAATAAATTAAATTAATGTCAAAGTTTTTTCTATTATCAAACACAGCTGTAAAAACATGTTTCATTCCTGTTTATGTTATATGATAGTTTTTCTCAAGGTTAAGACACTCTAGCACACTTAGGCTTTTAAACTTTTATGTGAAAAACATACAAAATTTATCAGTCAACTAACCTCTTGAGAAGTCAATGCATGTGTAGTAATGGCGAGGTACTGAAGGTATTAGTTTATCCTTACTATGTTAATCTATCAAATTATTTAACAATTAAATCGCTACATCATCTTAAATTTAAATCCAATCGTTTACAATAAATAATCTCTATTCACAACTCTTCATAAATTTAAATAAATGCATGTTTCCCTACTGAGTTATTTTATTTCCATAAATTAAAAACAATTTCAAGCCTTTAGGATAAACCAAATTTGCAAAAAATTAAACAGCATTATCACCTTCTTAAGTATTGCTACTTAAATCCAACATTTCTAATACATCATTCTAAGATAAGCCTTAAGAAATCTCTTTAAATGATTCTAATTCTAGCCCACAGTTGCTAAGAATAAGTTATTTTAATTTAACATTAATGGTCAAGAAAGATTTTATCATTTTTGCTCCTTTCTTTAATAAATGTTAAAAAAATAAATAAATAAATTAGTAATTTAATAATAAAATTCTTATTCTAAAATGATAAAATATCATTTAAAATTAATAAATTATTATTCTTTTTATTAGGAAATATTTATTTTGAATTCAAAAATATTTCTCTGATTGAAATAAGCTAGCTACTACGTGATAATTGATGATGCAGATTTTTTATATCATTTAAGTATAGTGATTAATAATATTGTATTAAGATAATTACTATCAAATATTTTTTAATTCTCTGAGATTGTCTAAAGCTCTTTCAAATGATAAGTTTTCCTTGAATTTCAAATTAAGTTGATTTATATTTATTATTATTTTTTTGAAACAAGCTACAACCTGATGATTAATATTGCAGTTATTTATTTCTCAGGGTGAATTTCTCAATTTATAATTTTATTTTGCTTATTATTATTGGATATTTTAAAAATGCTTAAAGCACTTACAAAAATTAAGCTTTCATTAAATTAAGTAAAATTTATGCTTTTAAGAATATTTTTACTAAAATATGTTACAACCTAATTATTGATGATGTAGGTAGGTAATTATCTAAAATGAATTTGGATGTTAATAATTTTATTTTAATATATTTATTATTTAATATTTTAAAACAAACTCTCTAAAATTGTCAAAATAAAAAACTCAAAAAATATAAGTTTTCATTCAATTTCAAATTAATTTTTAGATTTTTAAGTTTGTCATTTATTTTTATTTATTTTAATAAGTTAAATTTTATCCTAAAATTAAAAATAAAAAATAGAAAGTGCTCTATTTAGTTATGATGTTACCTCGTTTATAGGATTTCCAGATAAGTCTATATGAGCTAATGTTTGGTGATTTTTTAATTCCTCTAAAACTTCTTCGAAGTTGTCTGATGTAAACTGATTGTAAGATAAGTTTAATTTGGTAATGTACTCAAAATTGCTATTGACTTCTTTCAAGATATAGGTAAGTGCATATCCATCTGTTTATTTCTGTTAAGAGAAATGCAAATATTTAAAAGTTTTTAATTTTGATAAGGCTGAAAAAAGAGTGCCAACTCCTTCACTATTTATCAAATTGCCATTAACATTAAGCTTTTCTAAAGTTGGATGGACAAGCAATGCAGGAGCTAGTATTGTGCATTCTTTTTAAGAAATATTGCAATCATTTAATTTAAGGGTTAATAAAGTCTTATTCTAACGAATACCATTAGATAATGCTGTTATGGCTGTTTAAGTAATATTTTCTTCACTTATGGAGAGTGTCTTTAGAGTTCTAGTCTATTGTAAAAGTGTTGCAATTATATTAAACTGGTCAAAAGATATTTGTAATTTCGAAAACTACAATTTCTACAGTTTGGGCATATTTAGAATTTGATTTAGAAAGTTATTTAGATGATACGAATCAATCTGATTTACTGGATTTCGGATACATAGTTTTTAAAGGTTACCCATTTTTGTAATTTATTCCAAAATTTTTGATGTGTACATTTTAGGTAAATCTAATTCATTAAAGACTACTTATTTTGTGGTTTCGTTGTCTTCCATCATTAACTTTAAATAATGTGCTTAGTATTAATCTACTATTTTTTTCTTATCTAAGACGATACTTTCTGGCTTAAGTTCAAGAGAGTTCATAGTAAACAGGTTAACATCTAGAAGTTTATTTGATGAGATATCTAAGTTTTTTAAGTGACCACAGTTTTGAAGTAGCTAAGAAAAAGAAAGTAATTCCCCAGCAGTTACTTCAGTTTAGCTCATAGATAATTTTTGTAAACTCGAATTTCCTTTAAAGCCTCTAATGATAGCATGAATGCAGCCGTTTCCTACACTGTTTTTTGATAAATTAATATGGTTTAAATGGAAGCACTTCTAAATAATTTCTTATAAAATATTTGCTATTGTGTCATTTAAATCATTGTCACTTAGATTCAAATCAACTAAAGAATTGATATTTCCTAAATCTTTAGCTACTTTATCAAACTTTGTTCCTAATTTGCATTTACTAAAATTCAGTTCCTTTAAGCATCTGTTTTCACTAAAAGCATTACCTAAATTGATTAAGCACTGATCACTGAAATTTCCTTTTAATAAAAATAGCTTTATTGAGAACAGTATAAAGTTTAAAAATTTAACATAAATATTTAAAATTTGCTTCTCATAAAATTTTAAAATTTAACTCTTATAAAATTGTAAATTTAACTCTCATAAAATTTTAATATTTAACTCTCAAAATTTTATGCTTGAATTGAATTTTTAATTTACCTAGGTTTATTCCTTCTAGATTAAGGTGTATTAAGGTGTGGGATTTAGAAATGAGAAAAGAGAGTCTTTTCATATCTTCTTCATTTAAAGTAAGACATTATGCTACATTCAATTAATTCAATTTTGGTAGATGCCTTTCAAATCCTTTAAATACATGCTACGCTAGTATAGTAGATTTCTAAAGATCCAAACTGAAAGGTTAGTCAAAAATAATCTTAGATTCATTTATCAAATGATTTTTTTAAGTAGTTTTTATGACATCGTCAAAATTCTTGAGAACTATTTTGTTTAGGCTCTAGTTTTTTAATGAATTTAAGTAGCTAATAATGCTGTTGAGAGTGAATTTATTTTGAGATAAATCTATTTTATTTAAGTTCATTCTTTCGTTGTTGATTATGATTGAAATCATTCCCACACCTTCGATATCATTTTCAGAGCAGTAGAGCTCTTTTAATTTGTTGTTTTCTTTTAAATAATTAATAAGAATTTCAAGTCCACTGTTATTGATTTTGTTTCCTGAAATATCAAGTACTTCCCATTTAGTTTGCTCATCTTTGAGCGTTCTAGCTATTACTTCAACTGAACTTAAAGATAAATTATTCTTCTTAAGATTTAGCAACTTTAAATGTTAAAAGAAATTTTCAGGGAAGTTTCTTTCAATTTAATTAAAACTCAAATCAAGTTCTTCCAAAATAAGCTATCTTTTACTTTTATTTGCCTGTGATTAATTAATTTAATATGATATTTAAATTTGAAAATAGATTAATTAATTTAGTTACTTCTATATTAAGTCTCATAATGTCATCTGTTTCAAGAAAAGTGTTAGAAATATTCAGACGATAAACTCCATTTAATTTTTTTAATATAGAAATAAGTGCTTCAATGCATTTACTACTGTTTTTAGATGACTCTTGATTATTGCTAAGCAATTTCTCAGCTGTACTGCTGTTTAATCTATTACTTCCAATGTCAAAAGTATGGATTTTAGGTTTTTTATGACTTGACCAACTCAAATTTTAGTTCAACCTATCAAAGAAAGAGTGTCCCAAATTATTGTCTGAAATATCTAAGAGTTAAATCTTGACACAATTAGATAAAAACTCTGCTATACCTTCTGCATTTTCATCATTAAGAGTTCCATTTGAAAGATTTACTTTGCGAATACTTTTGTTGTTGGAAAGAAGTCTGAGTAAAATATTTACATGACCCTGCTCAATTTTACAGTAAGATAAATTTAACTCTTGCAAGGCACTGTTATTTCTAAAGCAATTAAAAAAGTCTCTAATGCACTCATCAGTAATTTAGTTATTTTAAAGATTAATTCTTTCAATAATTCTACTTACACCTACATATTTACTTAAGCATCTCCAACTCAGACAATCAAGAGACATATTACTTAAATCTAAATATTTCAGAGAAGGCATTAAAGACAAAGTAGCACATAATTCTTCAATTAAAATATCACAGTATTAAATGTCTCCTATCTTCAATTCCTACAAAGTCTAATTTGCCAGCAAACTTTAACAAAAGAAAATAAAGCATTCTAAAGAATCTATGTGGGTATCTCTCCTAATTATTTTAATGACAAATTATCACCCAGAATTAAAAAAAAATTTATTTAAAATTTCTGTCAAAAAGAATTGCTAAAAACAAATTAACTCAAATACTCGAAGCTTGTTTTTATTAATGATATTAAAAATGGTTAAAATTATCTTAATAATAAATAAAACAGAGTTTAAAAATAAAATAATTAATTAAATATTTGGTTTGCTGCTATTTATATTCAACTAATAACTTAACCATTTTTTATTCACTGTCTTTTATTAAATTTTGTTAAGAATGAGTAAATTGTAATTATTTAGTTAAAAACTGCATTTTAATTAATAAATTTTTTTTATTGATTAGAGATAAAATAAATAAGTCATTTTAAAATTTTGTGAATGTAGGCTAAACAACCTTTTTCTAAAAGAAAACCTCAAACAAAATTAGCTTGATATTAAGTAGGATTTAATTTTATGAATTCGCTTTTAAATAAAAATATTCTCTTGAAAACATTATTGTGGTTAGATTCATGTGTTGTTCCTTAAAATAAGTAGATCTTGATTTGATGATGATTTAAATAAATTAAAGACTATATATATGTATATTACCAAGTACGATACTTATCCTAGGGATTAATATAATCAAATGCGTTATGAGAATTCTTAAAGTAAGGAAAATTTTTAAATATAGGCATAAACCTATTCCTATTCATCCTCATGCTAAAATCATTGGGCATTTGCATTTGTTATTGCTGCAATTAGTTTGAAGGAAATTATTGATTATTAAATTGAGATTTCTTTTTGCCTCTCATAGAGTCTAGAACTGCTTCACCTGCAGAATCAGACTAACGCTAGTGTAAACTATACCTAAATTCACCCTGCTAGTCATTTCCCATATTCTATTAATAATTAAAGGGCTGACCTTCAGGAGAATTAATTAAATTTGAGTTATTTTAGATTGCATTCATGTTATTTTGCAGAAAATTATGTATTTTATTAAATAATTTATTATTGGATTTATGAATATATTTAAAATCTACTTTTACATATAATTAATTAATTTCAATATTGCCTTAATAACGAACGAATTTTCTTACAAATAGAGAAACCTTTCAAATAACAGATTATAATAATAATTATATCAATATGATTCCAACATTATAATAGAGTTGATATTTTTTTAAAAAGCTACAAAAATACAACATGACAGGCAATTTAATATAATTTTATAATAATACAAACTTATTTAATAATTTTTTTTTTAAGTTCTAAATGTTAATTATCCAATTAAATCAAGTAGGATTTATTCATTTAATTCATTGGTTTTTTAAAATAAAGATAAAATTCAATATTAATGTTAGTTAGATATATACATTTGGTACAAAAAATATAAAATAGTAAGGTGATATATGAGGGAATTTATATTTATTATATTTAAATTAATTAAAATTGATTTTGTATTTTACATTTATTTTATTATTTATTTCTTTCTTTCTTTCTTTCATTTTGTAGAGCTTTTATTTATTAGATGAGTTTTTTTATTTTATGGTTTTAGCTTTGGTATTCAATTCAATTTTGCTTCATTTCATTTTTAATGAAGAAAAACAGTTATGACCACAACCTGTTGGGCATTCTGTATTAGTTTTAAACCATTATGATAATTCTTTTGCATGTCCACCATGTGCACATACCTAACACCATAACAGCAAGCCCTTCACAGGTAATTTACTAAGATTTAAAAATAAGTATTAAAAATTAATTTAAAAGTAAAAAATAAATTTACCAATAAGAGCATTTGATAATCTTATTACAACTATCGCATTTAGGTCCATCTAGTGATTTACCACACACGCATTTAGTAAGGAATTACTTTTTTGTCTATATAACTTTCAAGTCTTTACTTATAAAGATATCATAATAATTAGCATAATTATAGAGCCTATAACTTCTGAACAACTCTTTTTAAATTATTTATTTATTTATTTATTATATTCCTTTTATTTTAATTTAATTTATTTATACCAACTAAATCGACACCCCATTAAGTTTTAACTGGCTAGTCAATCACTAGACTCTCTCCAAAAACTAAAGAAATTACTACAGCACTTTAGAGTTCACCTAAATCTATCAATTCTTACAATGAATCTACACAGCTTTTCATAACAGTAGGATGAATCTCTCCATTTGCCAATTTAATTTTTTATTTTTATGTTTTCTATTTAATTAATTGAATGAATTTAAAAAGCAATTGTTATCATAAATTACTTCTTGTGAGTTTTATTGCAAAATTTATTCCTTTAGATACTGACTTATAATTAGTGTATTGTCATTTTAGTGAATTAAGTCTTCATTGTTAAGAGCTTGAATAAGACCACTCTGATTATTCTCAAAATATTTAAAAATTAATTCTGGATCAAGCTCTTCTTTGATTTACTCATTATTTTATAGCTGATTAATTTTTAATCCTTCATTATTTTAGTTTTGCTTGCTTAACTACCCATTAGTTAGTGGAGCTTCTTTTTTGCTCTCTTCAACTTTTGGGTCAGATTTTTATTTATTTTTTTATATTTCTGACTAGTCTTCAGCTGTTTTGGGGCAAAAGATATCTGCAAACTCAATCCAAAGTTTAGAAGTGTATAATTTATTTTTCAGTTTGGCTATCTTTGAATTATATTCTGCTTTTTCTCTCAAAGTTATATTTGCTTCAATTTTATAATTTTTGGCAAAAAATATTAATTCTTCTTTCGGATCAGTAAAATCTTTGTTATTCAAAGCTATTTAATTAATTATAAAACAAAGATAATTAATTTTTAAGAAAATAAACAAATAAATTTGTTGAAGTAAAGCACTTACTCTCACAAATCCCAACTGAATGAGGAGGCAATCTATCATCATTATTTTTACTTAACTGAGTAAAAAAACTCTTCATTCCAGTTTTGTTTAATTCATTATAAGCTAAATTTTATTCAGTATCATGCTAACCCAGTTTAAAGCCAATATTATTATTTAAATCAATCGTTATTAAATTTCTAGGAATAAAATCATATGGCTTGTATCCATTACTAATCAATCTAGTTAGTATCGTTCCTTATTCTTTTTATAAGTAATAAATAAATGAGTGATTAAATTTAAAAGATTTATGTAATAAGTCAAGCTTACTTCCTTTTGAGCAAGATATGAGATATTTTTCATTTTTAAAGAGAATAGCTGTTACTTGTTCTGTATGTCCATTGTATATTTTGTAAGGACGATAAGGATATTACAAATTTACTACATGAATTTCATTATTCATATTGAACCCACTTACTATTAGTTCCCTAGGATCTGAAATAGACCACTTAACTTATCCAACTCCTACAATGTGATTATATTTAGTTAATTCTGAAATTTATTTATTTCCATCTATTTTCCATATTGAAACTTTTTTATCTAAGCTGCCTGAGGCAAAATAGGAAGGTTAATTAGGATTAAAATCAATGCAATAAACTGTTTACTTTTAATAAATTTAATTTTAATTTCACATTAGTAGCAAATTAGAATAAAAAAATAATTTGAATTAATAAAAGAAAATAAAAAGTAATTAATGAATTACAATATGCTTATTTGTTTATGATATAGCCTGCTAAGTGTTGTGGATGCTAAACAACTTTTTATAGATAAAATTAATTTACCTTTATTAAACTCATTAATTAATTATTTAAATACCTATATTTATCCATTTTCTTCTCCTGTTACAATATGTTAAGGCTCCTTTGGATAAAACTTAACATCTTATGCTGAGTCTCTCAACGTAAATGTATGGGTTGAGTTTTAACTTCTTTTATCCTATTTATTTTATTAAAGCAATTAATATAATTAGAATGTATCATCTATTTTCTTATTCTAAATTATTTTTTCATGCTATTAGATCTAAGGGCAAGCTAATTGCTATTCCACTATAAACCTACTATTTAATCTTATTTAATTTATTGTATTACCCAGATCTTTACTGTTTTATCTCTTGATGCACTAATAAGTATGTTTTCATCTTCAGGATGCCAATAAACTTTATGTGCCATTGAGGTGTGCTCCTTGAAAGTCTAAGAAACTTTAATTTATAAACAATAACGTTGTTAATTATGCATTTACTAAATCTTTAAGAGTAGAAAACAAACAGACTCTAAATAAGTTTTTTATTTACCTTACCCTTTGCTCAAATCATAAACATTTAATTTATTGCCAACTTAGTAAGAAGTTGCTATAAAATTTTCTATTTTATTTTATAAAATAATATTTAATAATTAATCTTTGTATTATTGAAAAAGCTAGTTTGTGTCTGTCAACAACTAAACTGCCAACTAACTTTTATGAAATAATAGATATTACTATTTTTGTGGCACCAGCTTACATGATTTACATTAACATTACCTGATGCTAATGATTTATTTTATTCAATTTATATCTCGCCTGTATTAGATTCCTTTAAGCTTAATATTTTTAATTCTATTGATTATTAAAAAAATTAAGTTTTTAAAATATTTGCACTGACTGAAATTATGTTTTTTTATCTCATTTTTAATTTTTGCTTTAACTTTATCTTTTTAATGCATATTTCAAAAATATGAAAATTATCTACATTAGCTTCCTCCCACACAAATTAACTCTCCATCTGGGCTGTTATCGGCGCTATCTATAGAAACGTTTGTATTATAAGAGTGAACATAGTACTCTGGATTAAAATCTACGCTATACTAGGTATACTACTTTAATTTAATATCCATTTGCTAAAAAATATAAATTTATCTTAATATCTTATTAGTATATCTATAATTTATTAATTTAAGGATATTTAACAATAAACTACTAGCCTACTAAGTATTATTTTTTGTTAATATAATTAATTTGATTCATTCATAAATATAAGCAATCACAAATAGAATGACTGATTAACAACATTTTTATATTTAAAATTTAATTTTTACAAATATTATAACAAATTCTATCAAGTGATCAAAATTAAATTATTATTTTTAAAAATGATATAAACATTTAAATATTTAATAAAAATTAAAATAATTTAAAATTAAACTAATCAAGCTAATTTTAAAAAAAAGTACAAATAGGCAATTTATTTTTTAAATATTGTTTGTTTTTGCTTAATATTATTAAATTTTATGTGAAAAATATTATAATAATATTTATTTTTTTAAATTAAATAAATGAAAATCTCTTAAAATAATTTTTAAATTAATAAAATTTTTCTTAAATATCACTTGAAATCTAAAGTCAATTATTAACAATAATTAATATTTATTTCTGTTTAAAAATAAATACCCATCCAAATTAATCTTAACAAATTAACAACCTATAATATCGCATATATAAACTAGGACTTATAATTAAATACATATATTTTAGATTATATAAAATTACAGTGCCACTTGTCTTCTTTAGTTACTAAAGAAAAGAAACAAAATTACTCAAGATAGAGTGGTTTTAGAAATATGCCAAAAATACAACAAGCAAACCCAAAATAAATATTCGAATTTAATTAATAATAAATCTTTAGTATTAAAAAGTTTAGACTAATATGGAGAGATTCCCAATAGAAAATGGTGAAAAAGACAAGTTGGATTATATAACTTTAATATTTATTTCAAAGTTTAATTAAAATAATTCTAAATGTATAAAATTATTGAAATCAAATGATATTAATCATTTATAAATTCAAAATAATCCAAATTTTTCATTAATCAGGCGAAAAGTTGATAGCATTTCTTGAAGAAAAGTAAAATTAAATAATGATTGAAATAATCTTAAAAAGAATTACATTAATGTTTTTTTTTTTAATATATTAAAATATGCAGTTTATTTATTTTTTTGTATATTTTTTTCTTTAAGTTAAAAATATTCAAATTTCTTCTTTTACTATTTTTGTGGATTAAATTAATCTATTAATTGTTAATACTAGAAAGCTTTTTAAATTTAAAACAATATCAAATAATTAATAAAATCAAAATAGAGTTACTTACTAGTATTCTCTGTTTTCTAATTGCTTATTGAATTTGTAATTTTAAAATTCTTTGTATTTCTCTATTTTTTAGGAATTAAACAAAACTCATTTTCTATATGTTTATTTAATGTTTATGTGTAGAATAAGCAAATATGGAAACAAAAAAAATGGATATTTGAGCTGCCTTAATATTTACTTAAGAACAGAGATTATCTCAAACCTTTTGAATAAAAAGATTTGCTCACAAATTATCAGTAAATACAATAAATTTTTTTAAATAGGAAAGAAATTCAAAATTAGTTGTAAAAAGAGATTATTGAAAGAAGAATAGTCGATTGATTAATGGAAAGAATGCAAACATTTTAATTTATTTTTGAATGGGTGATGGATGATATTTTGAGTGTGGATATAAAATGAGATACATATTTAATTAATTAAAAAGTAAATTGCATCATAATAAATTAATTAATATTTTTTCAGTTTTTATAACCACTCGTTCAATAAGAAATCAGAAGAGCGAAATTATATTAAAATAAATCATATTAAGGTATTTTAAGTGATTATGTAATGAAATACAGTTTTTGATTGCCTTAAAAGATTTACTATAATTAAAATAATATAAATTTTCAGGATTTTGTTAAGCATACTATCAAATAATCAATCTTTAGATAGTACTTTATTTGTCTGAAAAGATTCAAGCTTAATATTTTACAAAAAATCAAATTCATCACCAATTCGAATTCGCACTGCTTCAAATTATTTATTGCAGATCGCAATTATAAATAATTCAATAATCATATTTAAAAAATAAATATAATCTCTTCTTCATTAGCTCAAATCTTAGTTTGCACTATTAGATCTAATCTATAGTAATTGTGTACTATTCAACGACTTATTCAATATCTGAGGTTACTCTTAAAGTAAATTCAAGACAAAAAGAAAAAACTGGATTTTTTTTAATTGTAAATTCTGCTTATAAGCTAGTATACTTTTAACTTAAACACTTAAAAATCGTATAAACATAAAACAAAAAATACCTTTTATATTTATTTTTGAAAAGAAAAAAAACCAACCACTAAACAAAAGTATATATTTAATATTACACGAGCTACCAAAATATAATTAATAAATTGCAATACAATCTGCCCTTTTTTGGAAGGAGCAAATACAATTAAGGAGAAATCCTCGCAAAAATAACACCTGCTTATTCCAAATAATGAGAAGTGAATTGTCTAGTAGATCTGAAGTATCAATTACATAGGGAGAACTCGCAAATGAGGACTTCCCTGATAAAAATAAGGAGTAAAAGAATGGTTAAATAAATGCAAATAATAAGAACAATAATGCAAACAATGAAGAAGATTAAATTTTAGATAACCCTAAGATACTAGTTAAGTAATCTAGCAAATCCAGCGATTCAACATCCCCTGAATCAGATTATTTAAATTTTGATTTTGGCGATAGCGAAGAAAAAAAATTTTCTAATTTTTTTTTGCCTATAAAAATTTTGGGAAGTGGTGCATTTGGTAAAGTAGTGCAAGCGAGGGAAATAAAAACTAAGAAAGAATATGCAGTAAAGGTAACTAAATATATGTCTTTAGTTCTATAATTATTATATAATCATCAAGAGTATAATAAATTGTTTGTGTTTTGTATTTTTTCAAAGCGCTTTCTTACGTTTTTCAAAATGAAAAAGACATTCTTTTTATTAAAAGATAATTGCAAAAAACAATGTCTCAAACGGTGAAATTGATAGACTCAGAAAGGAAGCTAAAATTTTAAGTCAACTAGATCATAAAAATATTGTGAAATTTGAAAGGGTTTTTGAATCAGAAACAAGGATATTTATTGTAATGGAGTTACTTTTAGGAGGTACGTTAAGACAATTAATGAGTGAAAGAAAGAAATCAAAGTAGTGGTTTACAGAGTAAGAGGCTGCATAAATTATGAATAATATTATCAATGGAGTTGCTTACTTCCATGGTAAAAGTATAGTCCACCGTGATTTAAAGCCAGGTAATTACACTTTTTGTGAAATTTCCTTAAAAAAACAAGTTGTAATCCATAAAATTAATTGAGTAGAAGAACAAAAAACTCATTTACTAACAGCCTTTTGAATACCATAAATTTGTAGAGTAATATAAAAAGAATCATTGTACGTACAACCATATATTATTAGCCTAAAGTAAAAAAAAAATACTAAATATTCAACAACGCATACAAGATTTATAATGAACATTTAATAAGCATTTAGATCATATTGAAATGTTAAACTGAGATAGAAGAAAATGCATTTAACTTATTTTTAACTCAGATTATAACTTATTAAATATAAAACAAACTAATTCATTAATAATATTATATAGACAATATTCTAATTGGTGATAAGAACGATTTGGATACTGTTAAAATAGCTGACTTTGGTTTAAGCGCTGCTTTTGAAGCAAAAAAAAGCATTTCCTTTACTCAATAGTGTGGAACTCTCATTTACATGGCTCCAGAGTTTTTTATCCAGAAAACCTATTCGAAAGTAAGTTATTTCTTTTTTCTTTCTAAATTTAAGATTTGTATTTTTAATATTTTCTGTAAGTGTAACTTTTCATGAGAAAATAAGTTAAGTAAAAATAATTAAATCAGGATAAGCAATAGATATTACGTATCTCAATATTCTTCCAGCATATGTTATTTATTTTTTAGATCAAATTTTAAATTTGTAACATTTATATGCAGATCTGAATTTATTTTTAATTAGATGCTGAAAAATTTCTTTTATAAACTTTGATTTCATACAATCACTACTTACTTTTCAGGACCAATAAAGTTAACAATTTTTTCTTGAATATAAAGCCAATAGATATATGGAGCTGTGCTATAATTATGTATTAGCTATTATGTCATGGAACTCATCCTCTCTATGATCCTTTAGTAGACGACAATAAATCTTTTAAAAATAAAATCTAAAAAAATCCATAAATATAGTTTCCTTCATGTTTTTCAGAGTAACTATCAATAATATTTCATTATAATCTTGTGTAAAGACATCTATAATCATTAATTATTTAATTAATTAGTATCACTAAAAATTTGATTCAAAAAATGACTTTAATTGATCCTTCAGCAAGATATACTGCAAACTAAGTAATCTACCACCCTTGGATTACATAAAAACTAGAAGATGACATACCTCTCACAATGAATGAAATGCTTTCAACTGTAAATAAACAGACAAATTTTTCAAATGTAAGCATTTTAATTTTTAAACAAATTTACAATTATTTTCTTTAATTTCTAAAATAATACTCTCCTTTACGCTTAAGTTTATGTTTCAACTTGAATTATCACTGTTTACTTGTCAGCATTATAGATTATTATTTTAAATATAAATTAGATGCAGAAAGCAATTTGTTTTATCTTATTTATGAAAATGAAATAAAATAATGACTAACCACTCGTTTCATAAAAATATAAAGAAAAAGTAAATCAAAATTTATTTTTTATTTATTTAAAATAATTTTTTTTATTAATAAAGTGCAAAAAATTCTCTCAAAAAAAAAGAAAAGAAAGCAAAGTTAATTAAAAAATAGATATTTACTCGTAGAATTATTTAAATAGTATTATAGACTTAGATCAAACTAAAAGGATAAGTTCCTTCATATCTGATGATTTAAGCGAAGATGCCAAATCTTAATCAAGCAACGAAGATGATAATTTAAATGGTAAAGAAGGTACTCTGTTTAATCTGCCTTCTGATAATATTATCTCTTAAAATGAAGGGCTATCTCCCATTTAAAGAAATTCTTTAATATAAACAAATGCAAATAAAGGATCCTTGGTAAATAAGCTTGAACTAAATTAATAAAAGTCAGCTTCTCCCTTATTAAAGAAGTATTCTCATAGAAAATAATTATCTGCACAACCTCAAAATAAGAAAATTGACTAAGGAATGAATGAAATAACTTAGTTTAATGGAATAACAAATATTTAATAGGCTTCAAATACTTTAATAAATGGGAATACAGATAAACTAAATTTATAAAAAAATAATAACATGTAATAATTGAATGCTAATAGCATTCTGTAGCGTAGGTCAATCTCTCTACACAAAACAAATACTTAAAACACATTAGATTTCAAACAAAGTGATTAATATACATAACAAAATGGTAAAAATTAAGAATCTCATGTTTAATTCGAAAAAATTCAAAAAAAAGTAAGTTATGAAACAAAAGAATCAGAAGGAAATTCTCCTGGATTTCATATGTAATAAATACTTAATTATATCTATCTATATCCAATTAAATATTTTATAGTTATTTTATTTGAAGCAAACAAATAAAAAATATTAAAAAGTTATTCTTATAAATCTTTTAAAATAAATAGAAAGCTTTTAAATAGGGAAGAATTGAATCATTAAATCAATAAAAGAGAAAGAATTAACACTTAAAACTCTGTCACAATAGATCAGTAAAGAAGTGTCTCTCCAAGAAAGAAAAATTCTTAAATTTTCACAATAAGAAGAGATAGCTCTAGAAGGGGTTAAGATGGAAATGTAAATATTAAAGCTCCAAACAGTGTTTCTCCAATTAAAGTAGCCAATAGTGCTTCTCCTTACAAAAATTATAATTTCATGAAAAATGCTTAAAAAAATAATTTCAATGATGAAATGTTAGAATACTAAAATTTAAATATTTAAAACTAAAACAATTCTATTTCAAATACAATTTCAACATAAAAACCACTCATTAAACAAAATGGTTAAAACAACTCCACTGAATCTCCAGAAAGTAATAAAAGACCTTCTCAGCTAAAAAATTATAGTGAAATACCAGGTAATGATTAAAAATAAAAATTGCAAACAAATTTATCTCAAATTAAAAATTTTTTTCCTTATTTAAAAATATTTTTGATTATATTAATAATGAATTTATCAATTAAATAAAATTTTTTCATATTTATTAAAGTATTTTTATTAATAAAATTTAGAAAATTAGAAAATTATTCATCTACAAAAGGCTCAAGCCACAATTAAGTTGTAGCAAACAAATATATAAAATTAATCTCTCTAAACTAATATAAATAACCAAACTTAGCATTTAAATAATACTATAAAATTAGTATAATAGAGTTCAAAGGCTAATTAGAATGCTTAAGTTTCTCCTATTATTACTCATTCTGTTAATAATTAAATTTAAAATTTTGCTAAGCTATCCTCCACTCAATAGCACCAAAAAGATGCACTACCTGCCATATAATAAGCCTTTAATTAAATAATTCTAAATAAAGGAAACAGCCATCCTAACACAAGGCAGACTAGAGCAATATCATAAGATATAAAGTAAATAAATATAAAAGGAGTAAATTATCAATCTTAAGCTTTAAATTAATCAATGATGACTGTGGAAAACCTTAAACATACAACTGCTCAGAATTAATCTGCAAACCAAAATACTTCTGAAAATATTGGAAAAGCATAGCTATCTAAGGAAGTAAATTCAATTTATCATTAATAAAATAAATTCTAAATTAATTTAAATATCAATAGGTAGAAGTGTACAACTAAAACAAAAGAATGATTCAAAATATTAATGCAAATAAAATAATAATAAACCAAAGACCTCATACAAAAAAATGAATGAATATAAAATTGTTATTTCTTAACAAACTTTAATTGGTAAGAAAACACACTAGTAAATTGAATCACCAAAAAATCAAAATAAATAAATAATTAGACATTTAAATTTATTTCAATTTCTATCTATACATAATGAATGCTTAATCTAATTGAGTAGAATGGCTGCTCATAAATAACCAATCTTATATAAAAATAAATATATAAACAATAACCTATACTATATATAATCTAACTGCCCTAATTTATTCTGTGCACTTATTCTAAATTAATTAATCATATATGCATATTTTTCTATATAAAAACACAACTCAATTTAATTAAATAAACTTTAAGTAATTAAAAAAATAAATTTTCTGAAATGAATATCAGTGTAATACATCACTCACTTTTTATTTCAAAATTTATAGTAAAAGATTTATTTATTTATTTTAAATTCATTATAGTTTTATTTTTACCAAAAATCCTTTGTTTATCACAAACAAATTTAGTTTGTTCCTTTTTCCTTATTTAAAATATCATATTTTCAAACTTTTATATTTAATTCTGGGGAATTCATATTTTATTTAAAGTTGAAAAAATTAAGTCAAATTTCTCAAAGATGTGGAAAACTTTTGAAAATTTAAGTTCATAACATTATTAAAAAATTAATAAAAGATTTGTGAATAATAAGATTTACTTTTAAAAACTAAAAAATAAGTAAACAAATAGACAAATCATTTATCTAATAAAAAAAAGTATTTCAAATTTATTTTAATATTAAGCAATTAATTATCAAACTGTTGTGTTTTTTCCTATATTTTTGAATATTTTATATTTTGCTATATAACTAACTAAATACATTCTGTTTTCACTTTGTTTAATAAATTAAAGTTAAGCTATTCAATTTTGAATATTTCATAATATTATTGAAAAATGATCAAATCTGAAAATAGTATAGTTAGTAAAAATTTTATTTAGAAAAAATTAGATAAGATGCAAATAGAAAATCATTTATTAGCAACAAAATCTACCAATAACGCTTTAATTGTTTAAATTGATATTTTAAAATATTCTTTCTATATATTGAATTTATCTATTTTTTATATCACTATCAATAATAGATTTCTTTGAGAAATAAATTAATGATGTGAAATGTGATTGATTTATTTTTATTTGTTTGTTTTAAGAATTTCTTTAATATTTAACCATCATGACAAAAAGATATTTTAAATTGATTTGTAGGCTTATTTAGATTTTATCAAAAAATTAAATAACAGTAGTTTAAATTATTAACTTAAAAATAAATAATAAAATAATTATTTCTCACTTTAATTTATGTTTAATCGAAAATTTATAATCAGGAATTTTTATCACAAATAAAAATGCGTGCGGTTTGCCTATATTTAAGTGGTTATTTGTTTTATTTTGCTTTAATTGTATATTTGTATTTATCTTTGCTTTATTGTTTATTTTATTTATTTTTTATTATGTTTTATGAGTTTGTTTTAGTTTATTTATTTATTTGTTTTATTTTATCTAATTTTGTTTATTTATTTTTATTTTTATTTTTAATTTTATGTTTTGTTTTTTATTTTTTTATCATTTATTTTTTTTTTATAGTGGTGGAATCTATCATCTGAGCTTTAGCTGCCTAATTAATAATATATTTTATTTTTAAAAAATACATAAAACGAATGGGAAAAAGAGATTTAATATTATTTGTTGCATAAGGGGAGCATTCGCACGTGATTGTCCGTTTTTGGATTCAATCTGTTTCATTTTTTTGGATTTCTCTGTTTCCTATTCTTAACTGAAGTTTCACAGAGGGTGGGGTTCTCTTTACAAACCACAGTTAGATTTATGGAGATTCAGAATGCATGAAGTCTTCAACTGTTTTTTTCAGATAGACCTATTATCGTATTTCTAAGAGCAGTTGATAGCATATTAAAATCATCAAAAATCTAGCAATAAATGGTTTCATCTCCTCCTTAGAAAGGATTTGAATCAAAGAACATCTATTGCCTTCAAGAATCAGATTTAAAACACTATCGAGCATTAGAGGTAAAGGGTTTGAAAGACCTCTCATGCTTTGATTTCTGCCCCTAGAAACCTTCAAGAATCTACCTTACTACTGAAGAGCTAAGACAACACCATATCTATTAAAGTGTCTCCTAATTTCAGCTGGATTTACCTTGCTTCTTTCTGTTGAAAGACTAGGTAGGGGGAAAAAGTGTGTAGACGGACTACAACTTTTAAGGAAGGAGAAGAATGCTGAGAATATTCACATTTACATTAAAAACTTAGAGTTTATAGCCTCTTGCTTTATGCTTTCTGTGAAGCATGCCCTGCACAAAAAAGATTGCATAATTTGCATTATAGAACAAATCTTCTTTGAGTACATCTCTTCACCTCTCCAATTAGATTGTTTCAGTGACGAGAGTACTAAATTTGATGTCCTGCAACTTATTTCTTTATTTGGTTGGCGCAAATGTGAACTCTTGCAGCAATTAATCTCTCAAAAAACTTCGTAGAAAAGAGTCCACTCTTTTCTATTGCCGGGTAGATGGGGTAGCAAATGTTTTCACATTTGACCCATGTTAAGACTCGCAAGGATGTTTTATATCCTTGTAATTCATCTTGCCTTAAAAAACTTGCCTCTGGAATTTTTAAAAACTCAACTGAATGCATCAGATAGCGTGACACTTCTTGTAGGAGAAATCCTGAAACAACCGGGACCTGGCTGAAAATATCCATTAAAAACTTTGCCCTTTATATTACATAACAAATAACTTTTAGTTGAAAAAAAATTAATTATAAAAAAACTTTATATTTTCTTATTTAAATTTTCCCCGTCTTTATGCTTTTTTGATTTTTGGGTTAATAAAAAGAAAAAAAACACTAAATAAAATTGAATTGAAAAAATCTTCTTCTCATTCAAAATCTGAATAGACTTTTTTTTAAATTGAATTTATTAATAAATAGAAGAATTATTTGGTGTGTAAAATCTGAATGCATTTTAACTATCAAAATTTTTAAGATCTTTCAGTGTGTAAATTCTGAATGAATTTTAACTTTCAAAATTTGTTTGATCTTTCAAATCAATTTTTTTAAATAATAATTATTTGATTTAAGATGCTTTAATTTATATTTTTTCTTAGCAATAATAATCAATTAATTGACATTTTTTTAAATAATTTTTATATGTTAAGTAAATCGATAATTTGCAAGAAAGAAAGGTTTTTAGTAAATGGTTAGATTTAATCCTCTTTAATTCATTTTCTATTAGAATAAAAAATCATTTAATGTTGATTTTTAAAACTATGAATTTAATATATCACAAATAAAAAAATAAATACAAAAAGATATTTACTTTCTGACATTTTTATACTTTCAAAATCAATAAATTTAAATTAATCTCTCATTTAAAGCAATATTTTTGAAGAATTAGTTAAAATATTTTTCATAATTATGGATTTTCACTCTTGCTTAAATTAAATTTTTAATTTAGACTAATAATATCTTTAGAGTTTATATATAATATTAAATATATTATTTAGCTTAAAAGTAGCCTTATTAACAAATAAATATATTTTTTAATAAACTAAAAATAAATTAAAGAGCGTTTAATAAAGTTTTTATAAATCAAAATCTTTGTTAAAGTTTCTCTTTAATAATTTTATTTTGATTATGTCTCTTAATTAGAATTTTTCCGTTTTAACAAATTATTAAATTAAAATCATTCTTGATGAAGATTATCTCAACCTTGAAATTTAAAATATTATATTTTAAATAAAGCTTGGCACTTTAAAAACCTATTTTTTAGAAAAAATAAGTCAATCTATAATATGATTAATTTCTTTGCTTATTACTTGAATTTAAGAAATTAAAGCTTTGCTATCAATAAATAATTTAATTTTTTCTTTAATTTAATATTTTAAAAGCTTTTAAGATAAATTTCCTATTTTAAGAATATTTTATTGACAGAATTAGATTTTAAAGTTGTAAAAAACTAAAATGATAATCTTTCTGATTTAAGATTTTAAATAGAATATTCAGAATATACTTTAATTATCATAATAAAAAAATATTTAATTTTAATATCAATTTATAGAAATAGTTTTTTGTAAAAATATTTTTTATATTTAAAAATTATGAATTAGCTTTTAAAAATTATGAATTAGCTTTTTAAAATATCTTCTAACTATTAAAAAACTAAAATTCATTTTTTATAATTTTTTCTTGATAAACTTTCAGATTTATTTTATTATCTCTAAAATTAACTAGATAGATGATCAATTTTATTATAAATAACCTTAAATAATAGCGATTTAATGAGGGTAAGTTAAAAATTTTGATTTTTTTTAATTTGTTTAAGATCAGTTAAAGAATAAAAATTTTATTTGGCATAACCGAATATTATATAGGTCTATCCCTATTATTTATATCATCTGAATAACTAAATTAATGCATTTCAAAACTATTATCATTATTTAATGATTTGTAAATTTTCTAAATTAATTTTTTAATAATTATTTATTTTTAATAAAATTTCTTCTCAATAAGGTATTAATTAACAAATATTTTTTGGAAATGTTTCTTCCTTATTAAATATTTTCCTTATTTTCAAATCATCCTTATTAAACAGTACCTAGGGTAATTTAGTTTCATTTCATTTTGATAATATTTGTTAATAAGACTTTATTCATATTACTTTTCTTTACTTAAAGTATTCTCTAGAAAAAATTAATTATAATTTAAATAATTATTTTTAATGAGGAAAATAATTTGAATTAGAAAATAAAAAGATTCCGGCATAATATTTATTTAATTAATTTTTGAATTATTGTTTTCATGTTTTATATAACTATAAACAAAATATTTGATTAAATAATTTATTTCAGAACAGAAAGTAATTTGAAAAAGAAAAAGTCCTTTTTAATATAAATTTATAATTAAAAAAAAGAAAAGAAAAAGTAAATTAATTAATTAAGCTTTTAAATGATAAGTAATATCATACAAGGATTAGAATTTATTTAACCCATTTTTTAACACCCGCAACAAAAATGATCGATTCACTTCCAAACTCGATTAAGTTTTTTACATTAAAATCTTAAATAAATTCTTTCTAATGGAGATACATTTAAATAAAAACGTTATTTGATCCTTAGTAGTTTGCTAAATCTGAAATGAGTATCAACTTCGTATGGCCTATTGACTCTTTATTCTGATATTTAATCTTTCAATTTAAAGCCCTTTAATGTCCATCGTACTCGGTATCCCTAAGTTTTTAATCGAGAAAAATACTAAGATTGATATTAAAATAAAGAGAAATAGTAACCATACAAGCTGAGAAATATTTCCTATAGGTTGAGCCTACGAACTTGATTAAATCAACTTTTACTAATATTTAAATGCCAGATATTATTTTTCATTTCTTTCTTGAAAATACAAGAAAGTAGCTATCTTATTCCCTTTATAAAAAAGGAATTGCTGTTTGAGGAGTTCTAAGTTTAAGATTCATAAGACTGTATGCTGATGATAGACTAATGAAGGTTTTAGAAATTCTTATAGTTTTTTATGGATAAAATACTTTTCAGCCACCAATTAATTGCACCATCCAATCCCCTCAGAAAAAGAATTTTCTAAAACCTTACAGAAGTTTATCAAAAGATACTATCTTCCTGAAATCTAATCTTGTGCGAATCGGGCAGGCTTCCATATAGTCTTATTTCCTTAGGAAACTCAATCCTTGAAGAGAGCACAGCCAAAGAGACACTGCTAAAAAGCTAAAAAAGAAAAAGAATAAAAAAGAAAATAACTTCAAATAATATAAAAACAAAATAAAAAAAAAATTAAAAATAAGATAGATAGATAAATAAATACAAAAAAATTAATGAACAAATAAATAATTAAAAATAAACGAAAAATAAAAATAAACAATATATTAAAAATAAAATAAATAAACTCAAACAGATAGAAAATACTTAACTTATCTATGCTCCCACATCATGCCAAAATTAATTTTTAGTTAGATATACTTTTTTTAAAATACCATTTTTAATAGAAATTTTATTTCTTAGATGCTATTTTTTTAAAGCTTTAATAGTGAGAAAGAAAATAATATCAGAAATATGCTTGAATGTATGTATCATTTTAAGTTATTTATGTGACATTTTTTTTCTCTATATTGTTATTAATCTTTTATTTTTAATAAGAAAGGAATATATTCATAAATAAAAATTTCTAATTAGTAAACTAAGGTTTTTCTACAAAAGGAATTTTCTGCTTTATATTACGTTATTTTTTAGCATAATTATCAACACTTAGGGCAATTGGTCTAGTGGTATGATTCTCGTTTTGGGTACGAGAGGTCCCGGGTTCAATCCCCGGATTGCCCCTTTTTTTGAATTTATTTAAGAAAATATCTTAAATTTAATCATTAATTCAGTAAAAGAATTATGATAGTACTCTTTCTTATTAATTTGAGTTGATTTTTTATTTTATCCAGTAAAAATAGAAAAATTAATTACTAAATTAAGGGCAATTGGTCTAGTGGTATGATTCTCGTTTTGGGTACGAGAGGTCCCGGGTTCAATCCCCGGATTGCCCCTTTTTTTTTGATCGGAGGAATTTCATGAGATTTTAATTTTATTTTATGAAAATTGTTGATTAAATTAATGAAAATTAAAAATTTAGTCTGTAAATCTTTCATCTTTTCTGTAAAAGATAAAAGAATTAATATTAACTTAAGGGCAATTGGTCTAGTGGTATGATTCTCGTTTTGGGTACGAGAGGTCCCGGGTTCAATCCCCGGATTGCCCCTTTTTAAATAATTGAAATTATTCATTTTATAATTAATTATGAATAAAATAGTTGTACAATTGAAATAATTAAGATAATCTAACTTATTTATCTTTTATATTTAAATTAGTATTAAAAATAGTTTCTTTTTGAAACCTTCACTAACTAAAACTTTAAAAATATTTATAAATTAGATAGACATAATATCAAATTATGATTAATGAAAATTAATACTTTGGAAATCAAAAACTATTTATTATAAACATTTATTTAACTTATATCAATAATTATATCATTAAATTATCCAAGCAATTATATATTTATTTAAGCATTCTACGAAGAGTTATAAATGGTAGTAAATAAGATATCGATATTATCATATTTAAAAAATATTTTATTAGAACATCAAACTTTAATTATTTATTGGAAAATTATTTATTCTAAAATTTTTAATGTGTTAAAAATTTTTACCAAAAATACAAAAGCCAAACCTTCTTTTTAAAACTTAATTAAATTGATAAGTCAAAATAATAAAATAATGAATGAAATGATTAACTTTAAAAAAATAAATATTTGAATTTAATAAAAGTTAAAATATTTTTCATTTTTAAAAAAAATTTTTAGTAAAATATAGATTTACTCCAAAAAAACTGCTTTTTCATGCATCAAAAATTTATACAATAATATGAAATCAAGGGCAATTGGTCTAGTGGTATGATTCTCGTTTTGGGTACGAGAGGTCCCGGGTTCAATCCCCGGATTGCCCCTTTTTAAGAATGTTCAATTTTTTAATTAAATTTTTTATCAATTTTGAAAATAAACATAAATATTTAGATATAAAGTGTCTATCTATCTCTTCTCATATTTATTTTTCATTATAAAATAAATTTTTCAACTATTATTCTTTTTAATTTGTTATTATTTATTTGAAAATCTCTTTATAATTTTAATTGTTTCAAATTATTTAAAAGATTACTATTTTTTTTTTATTTTATCAATTTTAATTGAGTTTTTATGATTAAAAAAAATGAATTTTAAATATTCCTATCTTTTTATGTTTTTCTTAGTTTTCATTAATAATTAATTTAAGGATAAAGATTGATTAACTTTAAAAATACTCAAAAGTATTATTTTTATAATGTTTATTTTTTTATTTTTAATAAAAACCAGTTTTAATAATTTTAATTTAGGTATTAATTGTTAATATTAATTTTCCGATTAATAATTTAAAAAGAGTATATTATTTATTTTTGAACTTAAAGTAATAATAAAAATACTTGGTTTTAATTTATTAAACTCTTTTTTACTTTATTCTCAAAAAACTCCTTTTTCTAGTCAATCTTAGTATTTTAGGTAGGATTCTCAACTCAAAATATAGATATTCATGTTTAATTCCTGGATTACCTCTTTTGCATTCTTGATTGTGATTTTTTACCAAAAACAATTTGTTTCTAATTTAATTTTGATTTATACTTTAGTTTTAGATTACTCATTTAAAGAATTCATATAATATTATGATATTTTTGAATAAATATATTTGGCTTCTAAAAAATAAATTGTATTTTATATGCAAAAGCTTTTAAAAATAAATTGAAATAAAGTTTATACATATCTTTTATCATTTTAAAAGAAAATAATCCTTTTTACTTTTTCTCTCTCATTTTACCTTTAATTTTTTATCTGCATTTATCAAAAAAAAAAAAATATATATCAGGGCAATTGGTCTATTAGGTAGGATTCTCGTCTCCAATTCGAGAGATCCAGGTTCGATTCCTGGATTGCCCCTTTTTGTAATTTTATTAGGTAATTGACTAGATCAATTAATTTTTCTAATTTAATTTTTGTATCCACTTTAACTTAAGATTATTCATTTAAAAAGTTCGTTTAAAATTATGGTATTTACAAAAAAATATATTTGGTTCCTAAAAATTTAATTATTTTTTATTTTATAAATCTTTTAAAAATAATGAGAAGTAAAATTCATAAATATTTTTAATCATTTTATAAGAAAATAATCCTTTTTCTGTTTTTTCTCTATAATTTTATCTTTATTTTATATCTGCATTTAATAAAATAAATAAAATATAAATCAGGGCAATTGGTCTATTAGGTAGGATTCTCGTCTCCAGAGCGAGAGATCCAGGTTCGATTCCTGGATTGCCCCTTTTTGCAATCTAGTATGTGATTTTAATACCAAAAACAAATTCTTCTTATTTAATTTAGGTATCCACTTTAGCTTTAGGTTAATAGTTTAAAAAATTCATAGAAAATTATGATATTTATAAAGAAATATATTTGGCTTCTGAAAATTTGAAAATTGAATTGTTTTTATTTACTAAATAAATCTTTTAAAAATAATTAGAAATAAAATATATAAATACTTTTAATCATTTTATAATAAAATAAATAACCCTTTTTCTGTTTTTTATCTCTCATTTTACTATAATTTTTTATCTGCATTTACCAAAAAAAAGAAAATATAAATCAGGGCAATTGGTCTATCAGGTAGGATTCTCGTCTCCAAATCGAGAGATCCAGGTTCGATTCCTGGATTGCCCCTTTTTGCAATATTATTAGAAAATTGGCAACCAAAAATGAATTCTTCTAACTCAAATTTTAGTATCCACTTTAACAATAAATTAATTATATTTGAAAAGTTTAAATTGTATTCAGTTATTGATCATAAATAATATTTACGAAAAAAAATATTTTTAGCTTTTTACTTTGAGAAGATTAGAAATCAAATGAAAATTTAATTAATATTAAAAACATTAAATTATTTTATATTCAAAGTCCCATTTTTCTATTCTATCTTTAATTTTTCGCTTTTCTGCAATTAATGAAAAAAAGAAAATATAAATCAGGGCAATTGGTCTATCAGGTAGGATTCTCGTTTCCAAATCGAGAGATCCAGGTTCAATTCCTGGATTGCCCCTTTTTGCAATATTATTAGAAAATTGGCAACCAAAAATGAATTCTTCTCACTAAAATTTTAGTATCCACTTTAACTATAAATTAATTATATTTGAAAAATTTAAATTGTATTCAGTTATTGAGTGAAGAAGATTTAGAAAGCCTATGAAAATTTAATAAATATTAAAAACATTAAATTATTTTATATTAAAAGTCCCATTTTTCTATTCTATATTTAATTTTTCGCTTTTCTGCAATTAAGAAAAAAAAGAAATTATAAATCAGGGCAATTGGTCTATCAGGTAGGATTCTCGTCTCCAAATCGAGAGATCCAGGTTCGATTCCTGGATTGCCCCTTTTTATAACATTATTAGAGTTTTTATTGTAAAGAATAGATTTTTAATTTAAATTTTTGATATCCACTTTAATATTATCTATATCTAAAAACAAAATAAATATTATGGTGTTCAAGTTTTTATTTATATATTAAAATTTCAATAGAGTTTGTAAGCTTTAATTATTTTATAAATTATGCAAATTATTTATATTTTAAATATTATTAACTTTAAAATATTTTTTAAGTAAGAATTACTTTTCTATATTTCTTTACCTTTTCTCATAACTTCTTATATATAATATAAAAAAAATAAAATTCTAGACATGGTTAACCAGTCTATTTGACAATTCTCTTTACTAAATTAAGAGACCCAAGTTTAATTCCTAAATTTAATCATTTTATAATATTATAAATTTTAAATTTATTCTTTTTATGTTTATTTTTTTAAAATATTTAATTAATAATATTAATTTTTTTTCCTTATTAATTAATGCTTTTCAATTTATTAAAAATAAATGCATACCTTAATTCATATATTCTTCTAAATTCTTTGAAAATATGCCTTAACATAATGCCGCATTTATAACTAAGGATTTAAAGTAAATTCAAAATTATATTTAAATAAATGTATTATCAATAATAATTATCAAATATTTCTTTTTTCAAATCTATTAAAGAATAATAACTTAAGGGCAATTGGTCTAGTGGTATGATTCTCGTTTTGGGTACGAGAGGTCCCGGGTTCAATCCCCGGATTGCCCCTTTTTATTATATTATTAAAAAAGATATAATTGTAATTGACAAAGGAAAACAAATTGATTAAAAGTAAGTATTAATCAAGTAAACTTTCATGTTAAATTATAAGTTAAAAATCTAAAAAAATAATAAATTTATATAAGATTAAATAATATTGGTAAGTTTACTATTTAAAGTTAAACTCCAAATATATCTTGTTTTAAAATATAATTTAACTAATAACTTAAGGGCAATTGGTCTAGTGGTATGATTCTCGTTTTGGGTACGAGAGGTCCCGGGTTCAATCCCCGGATTGCCCCTTTTTTATTTTTTTTTTTTTAATAAAAAACATAGAGTTTGAATTAATTTAAACATATTTTAAATATTTTTAATTCGGTATTTGATTTAAAATATTTTAAATTAAATTGAATTGACATTGTTTGTATAATTTATGAGAAGAAACACCACAAAAATTGTGAAGTAGAATAAATACTTTTGTGAACAGCTTTAATATATAAGTCAGGTGTATTAATTTACAAGAATTTTGAGCATTAGATATCAAGAATTATTAGAAAAGTTTAGATTTAAGAATATTAAAAAGATCAAAAATTGTTTATAGTTATTGGATCATAATTATTAATTTATAAACACAAGTAGTATTAGTTATTTATTACAGATTTATTCAAAGTAACTAAAGAAAGATAAGTATTTTATTGGCGAAATGAATACATTAAAGTAGAAATGGGAGGATTTAGAGACAAGACTCTTCCCTTAGGTTGAAAAATGTGTCAAAGACGCTTTAGGCTATGAAACTATGATGCCTGTTTAGAAAGCTACAATCCCATTATTTATCAAAAACCATGATTTAGCAGTAGAAGCATAAACTGGAAGTGGCAAAACATTAGCATTTTTGCTTCCTATCTTTAATGTTTTGATAAAGCAAGTAAAAACAGCAAATAAAAATTGTGTTTATGCATTAGTTATTGCTCCTACTAGAGAGTTAGCAAAATAAATTCATGAAATAGCTGTTTAGTTAGCGAGTCATTTAGAAAATAATTAATTCAGCATTCAACTTTGTATAGGTGGTGTAAGCACTAAAATAGATGTATCTAATATTCAGTCATAAGGTGCTAACATTTTAATTGCCACTCCTGGTAAACTCAAAGAGCTGATGGATATGAAAGAGTTAGAAGATAGTTTAATTTTTAGGAATCTTGAAATATTGATTATGGGTAATTTATTGTAATTATAAGGTTTTGATTTCTAGTATTTAATAGCAAAGGTTTCCTTGAAGCTATTTCAATAATAAAGCTAAATTTTGAAGGTTTTATGCAATTTAGCAAAATAAATGTTAATATTAATGGATAAAAATAAATTTTGATTATAAAAATACTGGTTTTCTTTAATGATATGACTTTAATTTAAATAAAATTAATATTTTATAATGTTAAATTTTTTTTATTCTATAAAGATGAAGCAGATAGATTAATGGATACAGAGTATTATGAAGATATGACCTATGCATTAGAAAAGCTTCCAAAATAAAGAAGAACAGGCTTGTTTTCAGCAACTTTGAGCTCTGCAAAATTAAGTGAATTGATTAAATACGGTCTCCGTAACCCAGTTAAAGTTTCAGTCAAAGTATTTAAAACATTTTATGAAATTCGAAATTTTTGATTATTAAAATTAAAATTTTATATAAAGCCTGGTGGTGAAAAAGCTAATAACACTAATTATGTTGTTCCTTCCACCCTAGAAAACTCTTACTTGATTCTTGACAATAGATTTTAAAAGATAGCATTTATGCTTAATTTCATTTTAAAGTATCCTGAAGAGAAAACTATCCTTTTCTTAAATACTTGTGCAAGTGTTGACTTTTACTAAAAAATTTTCAAAATGTACAGCTTAATTAAAAAAATACAAATTACTTCTGTGCATGGATAAATGAAATAAGTTAAAAGAAATAAAATTATTGAAAACTTTACAAAGAGCTAAAAGGGAGTCTTAATTTGTACAGATGTTGTTGCAAGAGGTATAGATTTCTAAGATGTCCACCATATTTTATAAATAGATCCTCCATAAGTAATTTTTTAGTATTTGTTAGTATTTGGTATTAAAGAATGTAAATTTTTAATAGGATCCAAGTTTTTACATTCATAGAATAGGTAGAACAGCTAGAAAGGGAAAATCAGGAAAGGTAAATAAATATTTAAATTTTATTTAGTCTAAAAATTGATTAAATAGGCTATTATACTCATTGAAAAACATGAAGAGGCATTTGTAGAATTTCTAAGAATTAAAAATGTAAATTATTACTTATAATTTAATTGTTTAAAATTAATTATTTTTGGGATAACTTTTAGGTTGAGATTCAGGAATACAATAATTCTGAATAAATAGAATGTGATCCCCTAAAATTTGAAGAAGATATTAAAAAAATAATGATATAAGATAGAGATAATATAGAAAAATCTAAAAAAGCATTTATTTCTTATATTAGGTCTTACATGGAACATGATGTATGTTAAATTAAATTGAAAGCAGTAATTAATAAAATAATTTTTTTACACAATAGCTTAAGTATATATTTGAATTCAAAGATTTAGACATAGGTTGGGTGGCTCGCTCATTCTTTTTATTGAGACTGCCTCGTATTAAGGAAATTCTCAGCAAACATATAAAGAATTTTCATTAAAGCGAAATTGATCCAGACACTATACCATTTTAAGATAAAAATTAAGAACAATAGTTTTCTCTTAAATAAGAAGAAAGAACATAAAAAAGTAAATTAAAGTAATCTTAAGAAATAACCTCAATGTTTTTTTTAATTTTATAGGATAAGAAAGAGAAGAGCATGCAGAAAAGCAATAAAAATAATTAGAGAAAAAGTAAAAAGAAAAGAATATGCGTTAGGTGAGAAGAAAATAAAAAAGGGAAGTATTAGAAGAAGAATAAGATGAATTTTCCTTGGAATTAAACTTAGCAAAGAAGCTAAAATAGGGTAAAATTACTCTTTAGGAATATAAAAAACGTATGAAAGAAATAGATCCTGAAGATTTACATGATGTTGAATTTACTAAGAAATAAATAGTATCAATTTCAGGTCATAAGAAGAAGAAGAAATGAATGATTATTATAAAATATGTTTTAATTTGTTATATTAATAATATTTATTTTTGAGTAACAAAATTTGTCAATTTATTCGAAATTTAATAAAAGATAACAAACTAAACAATCTCAAAAATATATTTAAAATAATTCTCCTCATTTTTAATTGAGATATTCAATTACTTTTGTTTGTTTAAACTATTAACAAAATTAAAATTTTATCACAAATTTTAAAATCCATCTTAGCATTTCTGAATTAATAACATCTAAATTGGTTTTGATACAAGTTTATATGAAAAATATAGATCATAAAGATTTATTTAGTATTTAATTTACTTAAAATTAAAAGTTTCGATATTATAATATCATTCTATAAAAAGTAGATCTCAATATTAAATATTTTTTATATTGCTCCATAAATAGTATTTATTTGTTGATCATAAAAATATTGAATACATTCTAAATTTAATTAAATTTAACTAACTAAATTATCTCAAAAAATATTATTTTTTATTTAAAATAAAACAATTTATTTTAAATTGAGAGTTTTAAAAGTTTTTGCTAAAATTACTAAAAAAAATCAAAAAAACTATCATCACTCTTCAATCTTAATTTAAAAAACAACCTAATTAATTATATAAAAATTATAATAATCTTTAATATAGTTATTATTTTGAAAAACTAATTTATTTTGAAGCAAATTCAATTTATGAAGAACAAAATAATTAATCTAAAATTTTATACTATATTAAAATAATTATTTTTTACTAATAATTCTACTCAACGCAGAAATGTTAAAATATTTCTATTAAGATTTAAATTATTTAACAAATTTTTTGTATAATTTCGTATAATTAAGTAATTGATTGCTATTATCTATTTAAAATATCATAAATTGCTGGAACTATCTATCTTTCTATCTAAAAATATTAAATTAATTTATATCCGCAAAGTAGAAAAAACTAGCTAGGAGAAATAATAGTATAATAGAGAATTCAAATAGAATACATTAACAAAATATAAGTTATAAATCATATAGATAAGAATAGTATTTACTTAAAATGCTCAGTTAAAGAATATTTAAATGGTTTTCTAAATTAGATGATAAAGTAACTACAAGTGTTATGAGCAATTATACTAACTTTCGTGAAAGGAAATTCGTAGATTAGGTTAAAGTTAAATTTTAAGCTGGAAATGGTGGTAACGGATGTGTTAGTCATTTTAGAGATAGAAATGTATTGACAGGAGCTCCAGATGGTGGTGATGGTGGTAAAGGAGGTGACATTCTTTTGAAAGCATCCCATCATTTTACTGACTTGCATATGTTTAAGGGAAAACCTATAATTGGAAATAATGGTAAAAGTGGTGGAGGTCTAGGAAGATTCGGAAAGGACGGAGGAGATCTTCATATCAGTGTTCCAGTAGGAACTCTTATTTATGAAATTCTCAGCGAAACCTAGAGTGTCAATCAAGCTGGTGTTAGAAAAATCTAATATAATAAAAAGTTCTTGAGCGATTTGGACGAAGAGGGGAAAGAGGTTCTTATTGTTAAAGGTGGTAAAGGTGGTAGAGGTAATTAAAATCATAGATCAATAAAAGAATAAGAAAAGGGTACTCTTGGTTAAGTAAAATTATTTAAAAATTTTTTAAAATGTTTAAAATTTCCTTTTTTTTGAAAAATTAAATAACTTTTGTATAATAAAATTATGTATTAAATTAGTTTTATCTTTTGAAATTAGGTTAAAGAAATATTTATGGAGTTGAAGTGTATTGCTGATTGCGGATTAGTAGGTTTCCCTAATGCAGGTAAGTCTACTTTTTTAGCAAGTGTAAGTCGTTCTTTGCCTAAAATTGCTAATTACCCTTTTACTACTCTCACACCTTTAGTTGGAAAAGTTAAATTTGTTGATAATTCTGCATTTACAATTGCAGATATTCCTGGTATTATTGAAGAATCTCATTAAAATAAAGGCTTAGGTTTAGAATTCCTACGTCATATAGAAAGAACTCACGTTCTCATTTTTATGTTAGATATTAGTGGATCTCATAATGAAGAGCCTTGGAAAAATTTTGAAATTCTGAAAAATGAGCTCTTGTAGTATCGTTCTGACTTCTTAGATAAACCTTATATTGTAGTAGCAAATAAAACTGATATTGAACCTGACAGCTAAAGAAGAATAAAAGAATTAGAGTAAAAAGTAGGTAAAAAAGTCTTTGAAATCAGTGCTAAGCACGGTTTGGGCATAGGAGAAGTAATATTAGAGTTGAGAAGAATTTTATAAGAAATGGGAAAAATTGTTTACTATTGAAGAAAATTGGTATTTTAAGGTAAAAAAAACTTGAAATAAAAAAAATAATAATTTTAAACAAGATCGAAATCGTTTAAATTAAATATATAAAATTAGTATAAATAAGAATTCCTGAATCATGAATTGTATATAAATAACAAAGATTTAATAATAAGTAATTTAATGTATAAAATTAAGTAATATTGTTTTTTTAATAAATTATTTATTTAAAGAAACTGTCTTTATGATAGATAATTAATAAATGAATGAATGAATTGAGCATTATAAAACAAGTATATATTAATAAATTAAATAAATAATTATAAACTTGATAGTTAATTGGTCAGTAATATTTTTATTATAAAATTGCTATATTTTTACTAAATAAATCTTTTTATTTCCCTTTTATTATTCATTTTAAAAGCATTTTTTATTTTTCTTTTCAATAAAATAAAAGATGTTATAAATTATTTGTAGTAATAAATTCTATCTATCTAAAAAACTAAGGAGTAAAATAAAAAGTAAAAAATGGTTAAATTGACATTAAAAATTTTCAATTTATTAAAAAATAAGCTAATTAACATAGATGATAAATATAAGTAACAAAAAATATTTAAAAAAAAAAAATTTTAATATTCTTACAAAACAAGGTATTTTAAAGATAAACTTAAAATAAATTATTACTTTTCATTAGTAAAAAGTTTAGCTATAATTAATAACTATAATTATATTAAATCATTAATTGTAATTAATAACTATAATTATATTAAATCATTAATTGTAATTAATAAAAAATTAATTCAATAATTAATTTATAAAATTAAATAAAATTATTTTATTGATAAATTATTAATAGACACTGTTTTAATCTTAAAATGATGATTAAATTAATTAAAAATTTTAAGTAAATAAAAACTATTATAACTTATTCAGATTAAAAAGAGAAATTTTTATTCTTTTTATAAGAAAAATTTTAAGAAGTAAATTTACAATTTATTTTATTTTTGTTTAAATTAAATATAAAATAATGTCAAAAATAAGAAATCTTTAAAATAATGAATAAAAAGATAGCGACTCAGCCATTTATAATATAAAAGAGTTTTGTTAATAAATGATTAAATGATTTAAATATACTGTTTAAACAATTAACTGATTAGTGAATTAAAAATTTTAAAATAAAAATATTGTAATAATTTGAATGAATAATAATTAACATTTTTATAAAGAAAACTATATTTTTTTACTAAAGAAAGAAATTTTTTAAATTTAAAAATAATTTTAATATTGTTAAAATAATTTTATTTGCTTATCAATTTTATCGTTTATAAGAATTTATTTTCACATGATTGTCTTCATTCTTTAATGGAATGATTAGCTTGTGCCATTTTTCACTGATTTTTTACTTGAAAATTAGTTTACTTTATTTATCTGAATTGGTAAAATCTGTTATTTAGGTAACTTTAAAGAATTTTCTTTACAAATAATTGAATCTAAAACCAGCCTATTCATGTCAAACGAATTATTATTATTTGCTGTACTATGAATACTAAAGTTATTATTCTTAGATTCCTAGGATCTTTTATGATAATTGCTATTTTCTTAAACTAGAGTCTACTAAATGTTATCAAAACTTTAATTTTATATCATTTTGCGAGAAAATTTGTTGGGGTTAATTGAATTTAAGCTATCATTAAGAAGCTACTTTTAATTATTTCTTCCTTGCTTTTAAGACTGAATAGCTCTAATATGAATAGATCCCGAATTTTTTTGCTAAGAATTTTGTTGCATTAAGTATGATGGAGGAATCAGCTGCTATTTAGGGATTTTATGGGAAGAACTTTAATTTAGTTGTATTGAATGACTAGCTTAAATAGGTGTTTTAGATTAATTTCTTGTTTAAAAAGAATCAGTTTTAGGCAGTGTAACAGAACAATTTTCTTTATCTATGTAATTATAAAATGTATAACTATTTATTGGAGAAGCAGATAGCTTTAGTTAATTTGCTATCTATATTTTAGCTTGATTATTTATTGATTTTGGAATATTTTTAACTTTAAATGGTATTGCTGATTTCGAAGTTTTATAGTTGGTTGACTTCAACATAATATCTTAAATTTGCTGTTATTCATTAATATTGTTTTAGCTTAAAGAAATATCAGTAAGAACAAATTAAGAAGGATATTTTTATGTAGAAGATTGATTTCTAAGGTGAAACGGATTTTGATGGAAATAATTTAAATTGTTTATTTTTATATTTGAAAAATCCTCATTTTCAAGCATTTCTTCATCTTAATTTTTTCTTATTTATGCATTTTCTTCTGATAGTTTTTGTTAATTCTGTTGTAATTGCAAAGAAGATCTTTGTTTTCCGAATGAAAAAAATTCGTTACGTCTCGAATTTAATAGTTTGTCTTTTAAAGATATTTAATTAGGAGACTCTTCTTAAATATTAATTAAATCAAATTAAATGTTATTTTGCTCATTTATGTCGAACTCTGACTCATTTGAATTATTCCTTTCATTACTGACTATAGGATTAATGCTGAACTTTGGGGTTTCTAGTGCTGAAGCTAATTAATTTTAATTCATATAGTTGTTAAAATATTTACTATCATTTTCAATACACAAGTCTTTATTTGAATTCATTTCTTAATTATATGGGAAAAAAGGGAGAGGTAATTCATTCTAATTGCTTGGCAACTAGCTAAAATATTTTTATAAATCTACTTACTGTTAATTCTAATAAGATTAGTTTGTATAGTAATTGCCTAGATTGTTATTATTATTATTTTGAAACTGTCTTCTTTAACTTTTTTAAGATAAAATAATCTTGCGATTAGGCTACTCATGAACTAAAGATAAAATATTATTTTATATTTCTTATTGGTTTAGTAGCGGATACTAGTCAGTTGTTTAGTTAATTATTGATGAATTTTGTTATTATAATTCGTTTATATTTAGCTTTCTAGGATTACTACGCGGACGTGTGCTTTATGATCTTTTTTTTTCTTGCTTAAGGCTGCTTATTATGCTCATTATTATTCTTTTAATATTTTTAATTTATTAGCTTATAGTTGGACTATTTCTTTAATTGTATCGTTGATTAACAAAAAATTATCAATTTACCAACGATTTATATTTACATATTCTATCTAATTTTTCATATAAAAGATAATTATACAACTGTATGAATATTTTGATTTCAGTAAGTTAAAAAAATCTGTAGATAAAATTTTTTTTTTTAAGCAATAGCTTCACATGTGAATAAAATCTTAATTAAATTTATTTAGTCCTAAATATTAGAAACCTCTACTTTGATAAAATTAAAATATATTAAATATTTAGAAATATTTTATTAGTTATTATTACTATTTAAATTTTATGTAATAAATAAATATTAAATTTTGACTATTTTACAATTGTATGAATGTGTAAATTATTATGCTTAAATTGTGATGAAGTCTTAATTAAATGTATATTCTAGTATAATATAATATCTACTTTAATAAAAATAAAAATAATTTAAAAAATATTTTTTTTAGCTAGATATTAGTTAGTTAGTTATAATTGATATATTAGATTTTGCATACTAGCTAAGTATCCAATTAGATTAATATAGAACTATATAAAGGTGCTGATTTCAATGATTCACTTTAAAAAAAATCTTTATCAAATTTATTAAGCCAGAAATAGCAAAAAAATCTGATTCGAATAGATAAAAATAAATTAAAATATACTTTATTTTTAATAAAGAGTTAGTTAGTTATAAATGTTATTTTAGAATTTGCAAAATAAATAAGTATTAAATTAGATAAATATAGAACTGTATCTAAGAATTGATTTGAATGTTTTTCTTTATAATTAAATTTGTAAGGACAAAAATGTTAAAAATATTTGATTTGATATTTAGTAGATGTAAGTTAGTTATGATTGCAATAATTTTAGATTTTACATAATAAATAAATAAGCAGTAAATATAATATTTATAAAACTATATGAATGTGTTGATTTCAACATTTAAATTTAATGTAGATATTATTTTTTTTAAAAATTGCCTCGCTTCAAAATAAAATCTTAATTATGTTTTGCAGAAATATTTGAAATGTAAAGTTTGATAAAAATAAATTAAAATATATTTTATATTTATTTACAAGATACTAGTTAGTTAGTTATAAATTGTTATTTTAGATTTTACATACTAAATAAATAAGCAGTAAATAAGATATTTATAAAACTATATGAATGTGTTGATTTCAATATTTAAATGTAATGTAAATATAAATTTTTTAAAAAATTGCTTTGATTCAAAATAAAATCTTAATTATGTTTAGCAGAAATATTTGAAATGTAAAATTTGATAAAAATAAATTAAAATATATTTTATATTTATTTACAAGATACGAGTTAGTTATAATTGCTATTTTAAATTTTACAAAATAAATAGGTATTAAATTAGGTTTTTAAATAATCGAAAATAACAAATGCATTTCAAATTTCAAATTTTATGTTTACTGTTGGCTTCTTTTAATTTAATCTTTTTAATATCCCATAAGATAATCTCTCTTCATCTTTTGTAGGTATATTATTCTAATTTAAATCTAATTATGGTAGTACTGTTTATATTTTTTAATTTCTTTTAAAATTTATTGGTGTTAGTATTTGTTAAATTTTTGGTGATTAAGTCGAACTTTAGAATTATAATTAATAAAATTGATCTTATTGCTAATTCAAACAAATATTTAGAGATCTCACTCGTAGATGATTAATGTCTTTTTAAATTTATTTTACTTATTTTTCATTAAAAATTTTATTTTGGATCATTTTATTTTAGTATTTTGTTGAAAAAGTACTTCTTTAAAGATCGCTTATTATTTAGATTGATTACTCCTAATCTTATTTATATTATGAAATCCTCATACTATTATTTTCTTTTTAATAATTTTGCTGATGATGAACAGAGTATGAAATCTATTTTTGCATATTTGAATCTGGTTTATATCTCGAAACAGATTTTACAATAGTAGGATATTATGTTTATCTACTACTCTACTTATTACTCAAGTAAGGTAGTAATTAACTTTAAAAATTTCTATGGCTATTTTTCTTCAAGTCTTTGAAATATGACCTTTATGTGGCTAGTTGATCATCAAAGTTTTTAGTAATCGTATTATTAAATGCATTTAGATATCCATTTTATGATTCTTGAGAGTTTAAGTAATTCATTTATTCCATATTTTCTTACACCATTTTAATTGAATCTTACGTTTAATTCATTAAGTCTACAATTTAAGCCAAGTCTTAGTTTTTCCTGCTTTGGCCATAGTCACTTTTTGGGAAAATTTTTTAATTATTTTTTACTGTTAAATTTAAACCAGAATATTTAGTAGATGGGCTATTTAAATTTGAGAAACTAGACTTAAGTTAACTTTAAAACTATGGTACACTTTCTTATTTTTAAAAGCTAAAATTTCCACTACTGTTATTGCTATTTAATTCTATTTTTTAATTTACTACATCTAACAATCGATTGCAAGGTTTCTAAAAAAATTTTTAGTAAGCTGTTTGATAAGTTGGTTATTATAGCATTTAATTAACTTTTTTTTGATCTTGATTTTCACCTTACTTGTTTTTATTTAATTAAGAACTTAGAAGCTGGTAGAAGTTTTAAGTTTTTCTTCTGGACTCGTTTCTTTAAAAAGTTTAAGTCATCTTTTTAGATTTGTCTCGAATATTTCTCCTTTTATAATAATATTTAAACAATGTCAATCATATTTAGTTATATAAATATTGCTTGAAAGTAAAGGCACTAATTTTAGTTAAAGCATAAAAAAAAAACAATAATTAATTACCTTTATGATAGTTCCTTTATGAAATTATCATTTACATTTTTAAGAGCTTTTCTAACTTCGGAGGGTGATAAACATTCATTTTAGTCGATAGATAATTCACTGCTTGAATCTCTTTACTTAAAGGCTATTTGTAATATTGATTAAAGTTATAAAAATGCAACCAAAACAAAAAAATAATTCTTACTATCTTGTTCTTATTTTTGTATTGATTTCTAAGAAATGCTCAAAATTTCTTGATTATTCATTTTAGGAGATTTTATAGGAGAGTTCTCCTATTCATAAAGCTAGCTAGGTTGTTTATTTTCTAAGCCAATATTATTGAGCTGAATGCTTTAATCATGGCTGCCTTTCAAGTTTAAGAAGGGTGGAAAGTTAGGATCGTTTTATAGTATTTGTCTAACTTATTCATTTGACTAAGAATTATAATTAACCTAAACAGACATTATACTGATAGCCTACTATACTGTTGAATTATTAACTACTGTATTCGCTTTTTACCTAATAACTCTAACTTATTTAGGTCTTGTATGACCTCCTGCTGCTAATTTAAAAAAAAAGCAAAGCTTCCTCAAAGTTTTTGATGCCTTTTTCCATTTTATTTTAAGAGAATTTCTAATAACCTGTCTAGGTATGAATTAGGGAATTATGCCTTTCATTGATTATATTTTATGACAACGACCTCCACAATTATTGCACTCGCAACTATTTTACCTGATAACTTAATTCATATTTTAGTAATTTCTACTTTTCTTAAAATAGTCTTGTAAGTTATCCAAATCTCTCTTCTATTATGGTGGGCTAAACAACCTCTACTTGCCATATAAGTGATGAATTTAATTAACTATTTCATGCTAAATTTAATTCTAATCCATTAAATCTTGTTAGGAGTTTAAATTATTTTCTGAGTTAAAATTAGATCTAGGGAATCTATATTGCTAAGTTTACTAATTTTATGCTTATTTAGCATCATTCGAAACTTAAATTTATTTTTCACTTATAATAGAAATATTATTAGAGCTACCAACATTAATTTTTGATCTTGAGTGTCTTGCCCCTTAATGCATGTAATAATGCTAGTAGTTTATTTAATTGCTTTTCTTTTATTGCTAAACCTTCTGTTAAATTTATCTCTACTTATCATAATACTCTTCTAATTTTATCATTTTCTACTTGAAGCATAGAGGTGATAAAAGATCATGCTATATATTAGTAAGATCTGCTGTGCCTCTACGTTTCATAGTATTCATAAATTCATCAATAGTCATATACTTTATTTTTTTGTTCATCTTGATGTTGCGCTCTATCTAGTATATAATTATGAATATAAAAATTTTCTATTGACTTTACTAATAATTCAAAATTCTAACAATATTACTGAAAATAATTTATATATTTTTAATGATTTCTTAAACAAAATGACTTAAATAAAATAGCAAATTAATTCATTGCTTAATTTTAATGTATTTATTTAAAGATTCTTTTATTAATTTATATCCATTAAATAAATTTAATGGACTCTTTGTTAGTACTAATTTATATAGTAAAAAAATAATTCTTTAACTTAGGGACCATATTTTTTAAAAATTTAAAATAGAATACAAATATCATTTATAAAAAAAAAGTAGTAATCTAAACCAAAATTATTCAAACTAGTAGCTTTCATTTAGTAGAAAAAAATTAAGTATTTAATTTAATCTCTTCAAAAGATATCTTAATTAAATTATTGATACTTCATATTTTTAAGAAAATTAATTATTGTAGCTTTTTATAGACACACTCTATTAAAATATTAGATATATACATCATTTTTTTTTGTTATTTAAATATTTTTAATTGGCAATATATTATTCTTTAAGTATCAAAAACAGACAAAGCACCATTTATTCAAAGACTTCATTACTTTAAAAATAATTTTAAATGGCTTTAATAAATAAATAATGCTGTCTTGTTTATTTAAAAGACTTAAAAAAATACTTTTTTCATTATTTACAGTTATTATTAGATCATTATGAAATATTTAATTTACACAATAATTGATTACATATTTTATCTTACCAGTTCATATTTGGAATTGGCAAGTAATTTATTTTCTAATTATTAAATATCAAACCAAATCAATTAATAAAAAATTCATACATTTTAAGTAAAAGACTCTAACTTGTTTATTTTAAATTCTGTTTGAAAAGAAATACATTATATTGTTTTTTTATAGCTTTTAGTAAATGTAGTACAATACTAATATTTTGGTATCAGTTAAAAATAAAAATGAAAAAATTAAATTTTACTGATTTTTTGTGGTATGAAATAGAAAATTTGAACAAAAAGTTATTGTAAGCAAAAAAAAATTATTAAATAAGTCAAAAAAAGTATCTCCTAAAATATCACTCTTTTTTTCCAAATTTATCTATTTAAAAAAATAAAAATAATAATCAAAAATTTCGATATATCTTCAACCAAACCTTACTTTAATATATAAAAAAGAAAGGTATTTGCATACATACTTTATCTTATCAAATTAATACATTGAATTTGTTAGTAATTTATTTTTCTAATTATTAAATAGCAAAAAATAGATTGATCAAAAATTATTTCAATTAAAATAAAGGAAAAAATAATTTACTCAAAGTTTCAAAGTTATTTTTTTAAAATTAATTTCTTCTTTTTTAAAATTTTTTATTTATATTAAATATTTTAGATTGGTAAGTATTTTAAATTATTTAATTTGAATAATATAATTTTCCAAAAATTTTCACAGTAGCAATATATTTTATTTTGCTTAATTGTTTATTTTAAACTAAAAAAAATAATTAATATCTATTTTTATAGATTTTCAAAGATCATTGTGTAATCTAATATTAATTAATAGTTTTGTCTTTTTTTACAATAATAAAAATATAGTTAGATATATAGGTGTTAATTAATTAATTAAATTATTTATTTTCAATATTAATTTTTGAAGAAAAATTTGATTTATATATTATTTGTATTTATGTTCACATGATAAATGATTTGTGTGTATTATTATTATTTTTCACTTTAAACTATGTTATTGGTCTTTAATTATTGTTTTGTCTCACCTAGAAAGCCTGATATTACTTAAAGACCTTATTATCCAAAGATATCTCATTTTCGTTGTTGAAATCATCCAACTTTTACATAGGATTGTTACTAACTTATATAGAAAATGGTCTTACTTAAAGGTCTAAAGAAGACTCTCTTTTCTTTGTATTACTTGATTTAAGGGAATTCAAAATTGGTGTCTTTGCACTAGCTATCATTTTCTTATCTGTTTTAAAGTCTCTAGGAGGAAGTTGCTAGTTATACAAGTCCTTATTATTATCAACCTAATTCATTAAATTTTGAGGTATACCATATTCTTTACGCTAGCTGCTACGCCTTTTACTTGTTTAGTCTTTAGATCTAGAATTTTTTCTTTATTAATCATTGAGCTTAGGCATTTATACCACACAAGAAGACATAGTTTAAGCACTAGAGGCGTTTTTAATCTAATTAGAACAGTTCTATAACACATTTCCATATGCTTTTACATAGTTTTCATCTATATTTTTATCTTCGCTCATACTTTCAATAGCAGAGTGCCTTTTTGGGTGCATGTTAGTAGCAGCACTCTATGGTATGTTTTAAACATCCTTACTCTCATTTGCAATGCTATTTTAAGAATTAAGCACAATCACCGTTTTATTTGAAGGAGTTGTGGAGTCTTATTTGAGTTTAACTACAGGATTATTAACATAATAAGGATTCTTGTTTGAGTTGTGAATGTTACCGGAGAAGCCTTTTGTATATTCGCTTGGGATATCGCTTGAACTCTTCACATCAAAGAGGGATGCCTCTTTATCAAAAACAACACTATTCTAAATTGAACTTGTATTCTACTGTGATTGCTTTAAAAAGTTAATTGATTTATCTAAATCAATATTTTTAGCTTATTCACTCTGTTGTTTCATTTTTTCATTTATTGACTTTATTGTATCATTTTTTTCGCATATGATATTCATTTTAAGCTATACTCTGTTCTAAAAATTTTTGGTGTGAAGCATGCTGCTATTATTTGCAATAATCTAACTATTATTTCCCTTACCTAAATTAAGAGGAGTTAAAGATCTTTCTTTTGGAGGTATTAAAGTAGATTATTTATCTAACTTGTTCATGTTTTTATTTTCTGTATCATTATAAAACTTACTAAAAATATCACTGACTTTGTCTTGTGATTTTTGTAATTGAATTGAACCTGATAAAGCACTGGAAACCTCCATTCTATTAGTTGTGTCTTTATATGGATTAAAACTGCTATTATTCAAATAATCCCCCTTTTAGACACTAGGTAGAAGCTTTGAACCAGAACCAAAGGCATCGATCCTAGGCATTAAGATGACTTGTTAAGATTAATCTTCTTCTTTGTAATTCTCCTTTATAAATTTATTTATACTTTTAAAAGGATTCTTTTTAGCATTCGAATTTTCTTTCTGATTTTATATTACATCTTCAAATATTTACTACATTAAATCATCTTCTTAAAACTTTGTTTTGTACTGCTTGCTTAATTTTATTTCTTCCTTTCTTAGATTTTAGCTCTTTTTTTTCTTTTTCTTCTTTTTGTCATCTTCTTCGATAGGTTGGTTCAGTACTATTACTAACTCTTTTGGTGCACTTTACACACTCTCAGCAGGCTTTACAAATTGTTTCTTAAAATTTTAGACACAATTTATTATACCATCATTTATACCCTACCTTGCATCCTCCTTTTAATTTAAAAGATTTTGTATTCCTAATTTAAATACAATTTATTTATTTACATTAAAATCATCATCTGAATCTTCACTATCTATTTTTGCATCTGAATATCTATCTGATTCGTTTTCATACTTCTTGCCTCCATGCTTGCTTTTGATACCCTTAAAAAAAAAATTTTATGACTTTTCCTCTTGTTTCTCTGAATTAACTTACCTATATTATCTCTTTAATATTTGTAAATGATTGATCATCAGGCTGTTTATCTATAATAGGAGCAAGTAAAGAAGCTTTTCTAGATTTGATAGCTTAAAAACTGTTGAGAGATTAGCTATTAGTATTTGAAGGATTGAGAGGACATTAAATATTTTTACTTTATATAGAATTTTATTTTTTTAAATTCCCTAGATCTTTTTATGCTGGGCTCCTCATAGCTTTCTCCATATCCTCTATCAAATTTATTAAAATATGTTTTTATTTAAAGATATAATTTAAAATATTATTTTTTACATTTTAATTTAATTTATTCTGAATTTTCTTTTACTTTATTGAATATTTCCATTTTTTGTATGTAATCAGATAGAGAGTGTATAAGATCTCTACCAATTTGCATATAATCTTTTATTTCAAAAGTTTAGTCGCATAGGTTGCTGGTGTCTTTTAAACCAAAAGAAGCCTCTAATGTGAAGCTATTAAAAACTCCAAACTGCTTATGAAATACCAAGCGTGCAGTTTCCTTCTTGTAATTTTAGTTTGTGAATTTGCAGGACTAATTTAAATTAGATATAATTAAGATAATTAATAATAATATTAATTCTGTTTGCTTACCTTGTATCTGAAAGTATTGGATCTTAGAGAAAAAAGATAAGGAATAAACTTAGATTTGTAGTAGTTCAGCTCATTCTTAGCAAAGTAAGGTCCATATATAAAGCAATTTTTCCTAACTGAGTGTCCATGTAGATCGAAAAATGCAATTAAATTGTTCATATTATGGTCTTTTCTGACTATCCTCTTAAGATGATAAACTTCTGGTAAAAGTTAACGATCACTCTAAGAAAATTATCTGTTAAGATCCAATCCTGTAATTCAAATTAATTTAAAAAAATTAGTAAATATCAAAAATAATTTATTTCTAAAATGAAATTAATTTAATATTTCTTTTTAAAATTTCTCATAAAGTTCCTAAAAAATAAATTATTTAAAAAAATAAATCCATGAGTTATTAGGGGAAAATATTTGAGGATTCCTACGAATAAATAATTGATTAGGAGACCAAATAATTTTTTTGGCATATCTTTATTTCTAGTTTTAATTTTTTAATTTTAAAATTTATTCAAGAAATGGATTTTAGCAATAAAATAAAAAAGTAAAAATGATAAACCTGAAAAGCTAGTCCTATAGTTTCCTATGACTGTTCCATCAACATTTAATATAGGGATAATTCTAAAAATTACTTTTTTTCTTAATTCTTTTATTTATTCATCATCACTCAACAAGTATTGGATAGCTCCCTAATTTTCAAAATTATATATATAATTTAGTTATATATTTTTAAAGAGGACTTACTTGTGCTATGAAGCTACTTATTGATTCTCCAGGGTGAATCCTTGAAGAAATAATAAACGTCTTTCTTTGTTCAACTGCAATTTCATCGGATTGATAATCTGTAATATTAATTTGAGGTATTAGCAATCCTCCAAGTGATCTACAAAGTTTAACTTCCCTTAAATATTGCTTATTAGATGTTATAATATCAGATGTCATAAATTTTCTCATGTCAGAGTATGTATAAGGAGGTAGAGCTGCAAAATAAACTTCATCATTATCATATTCAAAAGTGTAATCAAAAGTCATCTGATAATATTGCTTGCTAATTATTTTTAATTATTTTAATACAAACATCAATCAAATCAGTCTTTAATTTACGAAGAGTTGACAAGCATGTCGTATTTAATGTTTTTTCTTTTTGAATAATAAACATTAGATCCTCCTTATTTCCAAATTTATCCAAACTAATCTTTATCCTTTTATGAGAGAACATAAGGTTTTAATCCCTAATTTAAAAAAATAAAATGAATTCTAATCAGGATTCCTTTTAATTTAATTCAAACTTCCTAATTTATAAATATATAAAATAAAAATTAACCCTTTGATAGAGGCTTCTCTTCTTCTAAAAGTTACAGATATTAAATCTCACTGTTTAGTTTGCCTTTGTATTAGAAATTTTAAAGTAAAACCATGATTAATGCCCTTTAGTATTAGTGTCGGGTCTCATATACAAATCATATTCAATATCAGAAAGTTTAACTACCATATCAAGATTGCCTGCTTCGAAAAAGGAATCAAAATTCAAAGAACTCTTCTTAAAATCAGGATGCATTCCTGTAAAAATGCGAAGATTGTCAACTTGCTGCATAGTATCAGTATCATCCTGTATTTTAACTCTAAACTACTTTAGCACATCTTCATTAAATAATATGCTAGAGAATTTAAAGGAATAAGTATCTTTTCCACAGAACTAGCGATGCACGTCAAATGTTGTTCTTGGTCTATATCCTAAATAAACGATAGGATATTTTGTCATTCTTTAAAGCTTATTTGTTATCATATTTAAATTTTTATCTGCAAAATACAATGGTATAGGGCAAGGGATTTATTCAGTCAATATTTTAGGTCTCCATCTTTTTTAATCAATAAATAAATAAATATATAAACGATGCTAATTTTAGTATCAATATTTTTAAATTAAAATTTAAAATATCATTTTATTTAAAAGAAATTAAAATTATTTTTGTGCATACCCTGTAGCCATATCTGGTAATAATGAGTAGCTTTTTTCTATAGGAGGGAGCTCAGGATCAATTTTATTTTTCTTTCTACCTCTTTCTTCAATATCTTTATAATAAGTTTTATTTTTATGTGTAAATGTGGCTGAAAAACTAAAATGAATTATGTAAAAGTAAGTATATTTACTTGGAATAGAGAAAAATATTTAATTTTATGTTTAAGCCATAAACTTTTCCATAAATGTTTCTTCTTCATCTGAAGAGAGTTCTTCTTAAAACCCTTCATCAGAATCAAATTCACTTTCATAATTAGCGTCTCCTTCTGAATCAACGCTTGGCTTTGATACATGTTCAGTATCTGATTCCTCAGAGTCCGATTGATTTGAGTCGCAACCTGATCCTATACTCATGGTTTATGTATTCTCTGTTTTATTATTCTCAAAGTCTACTTTTTTGATAGATTTAGCTTGTGTTTATTTAGAAGGTTTCCTAGGAGGCAACTTGCTATTTATTTACGCTTATTCCTTTTCCTGTTGTTCCATTTGTATCTATAGATTTACTAAGTATTGATTACTTAAAATATTCTCTGAAGCAAATAGGAATAATAATTTTATTCGTTATAGTGGAAAATTGATAGTTATTTGAGGCTATATAATATAAATAGTTAGTTGTATTACTCCTATTATACTTGTTAGATTTATTCTTAACTTTTTATTTCAGTTTGAAATTTACACTTCAAAAAATAATCAGAAATATTAATTTCTTATTGATTTAATATATGAAAGCATATGAATTAATTGGAATATATTCGTTGAAAGTTTTGGTAATGTTTAATTTTTATTTGTAAATACATGTAAACATTTCATTCAAAAATTGTTTAAATAAATTAACAAATATAAATACTTTAAATAAAATTATAGATAAATTTAATTATCTTTTACTTCATTTTATGAGTTTGTAAAATTCTATATTCGTTAGTTACTTATATTCTGAATACTCATTTTTTAAGTTCTAAAATATTTTAATTACTTCTTAATAAATTTAAACAAAATAAGAGATAATAATCTTTTATAATTTAAATGTAGATTTTCACTTTTAAAAATTGATAAAAAGAGAATATCAATTTTCTGAATTAAAAAAATTATTTTTAAAATTGTTGTTTACAAATTATTAATTTTAAATTTAAAAGGATATTCTACAAAAAAACCACTAAAAAAATTTGAATTAAATATTTTTTATATTATGAAAATAGATGGCTTAAGGTATAAATGAATTATCAAAATTAGAATTACTAAAGGAAAAAAGTTAATTTATTATCTATTTAAGTTGATAAATTTATTTACATATTAAAAATTATAAATAAAAATTATTTAAAAAAAAAAATATTATTTGAATATAAATTATGAATAGTTATTAATAGTAAATTTTAAAAAAAATATAAAATAGATATTCAAATCAATAATATTAAGGGAAAATAGCTAATTCTTTATTTAAAAATCAATAAAAATAAATTTAGTAAAAATGTTATTTATTTATACAAATCAAAAATATAAATGAATTTAAATAATTTTTGAAATTTTTAATTAATGGCCAATGTAATTTAGGCCATTATCTAGCGAGTCTCCATGTAAAAAATGTATTGAATTATTAGGAATACGAAAGGAAAATAGAAACAAAGAAATAATAATAATAATATATATTGGATAGATTGTTTTTTGTTATTTGTTTTTATTAAAATTTTTAGCGATTCGTTAAATAAATAAACAGCTAAAGGAACAAAATTTAAACAATCTTTTTTTATTTATAAAATTCATCATAATGTGATGAAAGAGATTTAAGATATTTTTTTTTGGAGAGTTAGTAAGTATATATGTGTTTTATTTAATAAGTAATGCTGTTAGGAATGAAGGTAGTTAATTGGAAGCTAATTTTATCCAAAAAAATTTAATTTATAAGTTAACTAATATTATAATAATGATACTCTATAAGCATTGCATAATCGAGAGATAATTGTCATCTTGTAATATCAATCTATCATTCTTTCTTTCTCTCTCTCTATGTATGTATCTACTAATGTATGTAAGAATCGTTCAATTAATCTACCTATCTTTCCAACTATTCTCTCAGCAAGACTTTCAGTCATCTAATTCAATTTCTTGCTTAGAATGGAATTATTTAGAAGGTGGCAATCCTATATTGTTATCTTTCCTCTCGTCAACTTTTTATATAGTTTAGGGTTATAAATCCGTATTAAAATTGAATTATTATTTATAATAAATATCGTAATCATCATCATTGCTGTCAGTGAATGTAAATTAAATTAATTCATCACCATTCCTATTTGAGTTTGGTGTATTTTAAATATTATTATATAATGGAGTAGGGGAAGTTTAAACTTAAAGATGATGACCACTGACATTTTCTTTGATTGTGCTCTTAGGCAGAGTATTATTATTTTTTTTACAATCTTAGTTTGAGCTGGACAAAAATTAAACTTCAGTACCTTTGTTTCCTTAACCATTCATGAAGATAGTTTAGGGTTCGATGTATTATTTTTCATCTTTTTTATTTAAATTTATTGCACTGAGCATGATTTAGCTTTCCTCATCAAATTTGTCTTTAAAGCTGTTCAAGTTACTCTCTAATTCGATTGCTGAGCCTTAGAAAATCCATTTATTTTCATTACTCTTCTTAGGCTGCTCCTTCATTAGCCTTCTAAGGGCTTTTTCTTTTGTCTTATTATGGAATAATTCTTTAGAAGCATAGACAAACATATCAAATGCAAATATTCCTGCTACTATGAAGAAAATAACTAGATAGAAATGAGGTGTTTATACCAAATAGTTTGGTGTTTCATAAACATAACTGTTATACAAAACACCAGTGATAAAGAAGGCAGCTATGTAGAGACCTATACTTGTGATGTAGAAGGCTAAATAATTTATTAAAGTCCAGTACCTTGTGTAAATAGCTAACTTAAGATCAGCAATCTTTTAAATTGTTAAATGTTAATATTAAAAATTACAGCTAATTATTTGATTTTGTTATAAAACTTACAAATACAACAGATGTGAATATAATTAATGAGAATGACCACATATCTGAGGTATAGCCATCAGAAGCTAATGTTATATTACCTACTGTGAAATAGCTACCAAAGAATATGAATATACCATGTACAATACCTTAAATTAACCACTCAAGGAATATTCTTGTTGAAAAAAGTTATTGCTTTTGACCTAAATAATAGAGATTGGGTAATCTATCTCTAATATAGTCTTTACGTTTATTTATAAGCTTTTATAATCTTCTCTTTTCATTTTCATCTCCTGTTTATACAAGTTTTCTATCGTACTATATGTACATGTAGTTTACGTCTTAATCAAAAATAGCTCTAATGATTAAGGGTAGAGCAGTAAAAATAAGATTATACATAGATATATAGTAATCATCAAAGATACTTTGTGCAGAAAAGCCACTAAAGAAAGCAAAATAAAGCTAAGGAATAGTAAAAATCCTATTTTTGATTATTAACAATTTCATAAATTCATTAATAATCACTAACAATAAATAATATTCATTTTTTTGCATTAATCAAAATAATAATAAAAATATTTTTATCTTTTTGATTGTATTAATAATCCATATTACACAATGGTATTGATGATTAAAAAAATATTAGCTTATGGTATATTTTCTTAAAGTTAATAAAATTAATCCATTAAATAAATTAAAAAAATAAAACATTGATAATTAAGTTCAAAATTTTTAATATTATTAATTGATTTTACATGTTTTTATAGAAGAAATAGACAATCATTTCAGAGATTCTAATGTATGACCATCTTCCATGTACAAAAAGAAGTCTCCATAAGCATTTAAATTATCCAAAAGCGAAATCACTGCTTTATACTGCACGCATACCTTCATTACCATATATACCACATCCTTTTTTTAAATGAACATAATATTATGGTGATGTAAGAAATGAAATATTTTAATAATTTTACCAATGTGGGCTGCCTGAATCATGTTAACATCATTGGCTCCATCACCAATTGCTAAAGTGATTTTGTTAAGTCCTTCTCTTATAGATCTAACTACTTATGCTTTTTAGACTGGAGATACTCTGCAGCATACAACACTTTCGCAATCTTTGGTAATTTAAACAAATTTTTTTTTGATATCTTCATTACCTTTTTCAAATATGACCTTTAGACAATCACCTTCTACTAAAAAGCATTTACGAACTTTATCTTCTTTCAGTTTTTTAAATCTTTTCCATAGGATTTCTGTCATTTCTTTACGGATAACTTTAGGATTTTTATCACTCATAACAAGTAATTCAAAATCTTCTAGAATAAGCTTACAGCTTTTTGCAATATTTTCAGCTGTCTCTAATTTATCACCAGTAAGCATCCATACTTTAATATCTTTTTTTATTCAATAAAATATAAATAAATTAATAGATTAATTTTTAAACTTGTAGAATTTTTTTGTTTTTTCAACTCTCAATTAATTTTCAAATAATAAAAATTTATTACTGGCACGAAGTAGATCATGAATAGTTTCTGGGACATCATCTTACAATTTATCTTCCACAGCTGTTGCTCCTAATAAGAAAAACCCTTATTCTACTTCATCAGCTAATTTCTCTGTTGTATTTAGTGGATAGAAGTTAATTTTCATTCATAGTAACAAGCAATCAAGTTAGAAAATATGAAAAATAAAAAAACTTTACCTAAGTCTTCTTTTCTATTTGCAGAGTTAGCCAAATTGTTATATTTATTGACAAATGCATCAACTTCATCTTTGGAGAGAATTTTAAAACCAATCAATAAAGTACGTAAACCAACAAGAGAAAATTCTGTTAACTTTTTATCTGCAAAATCTAAGTATGGCTAATGGATACCCTTATCGAGACGCTCTTTAATCACATTATCAGCACCCTTAACGTACATTTTATAAACTCCATTATCTTCTAATAAAAGAGTCATACGTTTTCTCGCACTGCTAAATTCGAAAACATTAATTTTAGTAAATTCTTATTAGCCTTCTTTTCCAGCTGTATCTGTCAAATTCATCATAAGTTTGTTACTAGTTTTTCCAACAAATGTAAATCCCATATGATACGCAGCATCAACTAGAGTGATTTCATCCGGAGAGGGACCTTAGTAATAATAATTTGTATCATTAGGATCCTTATTTTTCTCTACAATACATTCATGAGCTAAACCTAAATTTTTGAAATATTCTCTTGATAGTTCGTACTAGCTAGGAATAGTGTAAGTAGCTTTGCCTTTTTAATTAATTAATTAAAATGTTTGTAAGATTTTTGTATTTTATTTTAAGGTAAATAATATTGAAGGATCGAAATAAAAATTAATTACCATCCTTTGATTTAAGAGTGATGTTAACTGGAGGATTCTAAGACTTTTCAGCTTTTCTTGAAAGGAGATTAGTTAAATTATCATCTTCAAAAACAAATTCTGTATGTTGATGCTATTTGGTGTTACTTTTTTATTGTTTAGAAGGCTATACAGCGGCTTTCTTTTTTTAAGCAGCTTTTTCACCATAAAGAGTGTTACCTATTACAGCCATTTTAAATTGCATTTAATTTTGAGTGAGAGTACCTGTCTTATCAGAAAAGACATATTCAACCTAACCTAGTTCTTCGTTAATTGTAGATGTGAGTACTCTTGGCCATCTCTAATTGTGGTGAGAATACATTTCTAAATGTCATTAAAATTTTATGTTGAAGTCAAAGATAAAAAAAGGATATTAAATAAATAGGTAGTATTTTTATTTAAATTAAATTTTTTTTGAATTATTAAGAAGTAATCAACTGATAATATGATTAATTAGAAAAAAATCTAAATTTTCTAAATAGATATTAAGATTTTTGATGAATTTAACGCAAAATAATTAATTGTCAAAAATATATTCGAATTAAAAATTTTGCGTTTGAAAAATTGAACCAACTAAAATTAAATTTAAGAATAATTAATTGTAAACTGTGAAATTAAAAAAATCTTTTTGTGTATTTTTCTGTAAATTTAAGTGAGAAAATGTAGAATAATATTGGAGACAAAAAAAATATTTTCACCTTTACTCAAAGATAGAAAATTTTTTTGTTTATTTTAAAAATTAATAAAAAATTAATTGCTTAATACCTATTGATTTTTAATATAAAATGAATAAATAAATTCTTACCATAATCATTTGTAATGAAGTATGATTGTAGGACCTTAACCATTTCAAGTGAAACAACAAGTGAAATTGGAATCATTGTATTAAAAAGAATAAAATAAGAGAAATAGACTAAAACAGATTGAGAAATATAGGAAAGACCATCTTTGTCCAAGTCAAGATAGGGATAATATATATGGTTTTTATCTAGCCAGTAATATGAGCAAGAACTCATCACAAAACAACATAAAAACTAGAAAATAAGAATTCCTAGAATGAATTTGTTCATTTTTGCTTCCATGTCACTCGATTTTGCTTTTCCCTCTTCTGCATTTTTCATAATTTTTGTATCCATACCTGTATAAACAACTACAGCATAAATACTTTCTGTATTTCTTAGGAATGCACCTCTTGGTACAAATTAAGTAGAATCTGCAGGGATTTGCTTGGCACTTTAAGGATTATTGTCATTTTGTAGCTAAAATCCTATACTACCAATAAAGTGATTAGGATCCTAATCTGGTTTATTAGCTTTTATGGTTAAATTAAAGTTTGTTTATTTGTTGGTAAATAGATTTCCTGTTGATAATGTAGCAACGTTATCTTCTTTTGTGGAGAAATATGATGAAGTTTCATTAATGGCTGACTTTGGCTTTAAATTTTTTTCACCATCAAGTGCACCTGTTTCGATATAGCACACACCACCTAGGTTACTTCCTAATACAAGTAGATCAGTGGGAAAGCATTCATCTTGATAAATATGTAGAATATCTCCAACATGGACATTAGCCCAAGCTACATCTTCCTCACCTCTATCTTGGAGGACTCTCTTTGTTTTTGCTGAAAAATTTTATTCATTATCACTCTTGTGTCTTTGATAATCTTCATATCCTTCACGAGCCATAGAAACAGCAAGTACAAAAATAAGAGGAGCAACTGCAACAAAAGGGCTCAAAGGAGATATTTGGGGAATGCATTGAAGAATTGCAGTAACTAAAAAGTAAATATTTGCGTATCTCTAAAATTAGAGCAATAAGCTCATAGGTAAGAATGAAACTGCTGTATACCTAGAAGTTTTAATGAAATTAGATGGAAACTTTTTAGAGTTGCTTTCGTTAAGATGCTAATGTTTATGTTTCAAAGCTTCTTCGTCTTGAAAAGCAGTAAAAATTCTATCTTAATCATAAGACTTAGCTTAACTGCCAAGTAGGGATCCCATTTTACGTTTTTATTAATATTTAATTCAATAACTAAATTGTTTTTTTAAGAGTTTGAGTTATTTGTTTTATTTTAAATAAACGCTTTTTAAAAAGTTGCTTTTTTTATTTGCTATTTAATTTTGTAAATATCTTCTAACTAATTAACTAACTTATTAGCTGTCTTTAATAACTATTATACAGAGAGTAGGCTATTATAAGTCTTTTTTAAATTGCTTTCTTTTAATGATGTGTTAGTACTTTGTTTTTTGTTTGTAGCCAGTCAGATTTTTAGAGTGATCCTTCTAATGTTTTAGTATAATTTATGAAATTAATAAAGTTAAGGAAATACTTAAGTTAAATAGATAGTGAGTTACTGATTTGATGTATTAGCTAGTGTTATTGGGACTATTCGTTTAGAAAAACAATTTTTACTTGAAGATTAAGTTTTTTTGTTTTTACTATCGTAGAACTATATTTGTATTTATAAACTTTAAAATGATTAAACCTATAATAAGCTAAAAAACTAAAAGCTTACTTATTAGGTTCTGATTAATATTAGATATTCTTTAGTTGTTACACCTTTAGTGAGAAGGTGGATTACTGCTTTTCAGTATTTTAAGTCTCTATTAGTATAAATAAGTAGTACTTTATTAATTCCAAAAAACTTAATCTAATTCACTAGGAGTTTATTTAATTATCCTTAAAATTAATTATCTTTTTAAATTTATTTTGTTTATATTTTTTTGATAAGCAATATTTAATTTTATTGAACTCTCATTCAATTTATTGATTAATTGTTTCATTCATAAATTGATTAATTAATTAATTAATTGATTGATTGATTTATTTATTTTTTTCTTTTCTAATTTATACTGTTTTTTTCTTTTAATTAACTAAGAAATCGCAGATCTCTGTTTTTTAAGAATACAAAAAGAAGAGAGCCTAATTATTTTAAGTAATACACCCTGTTAGTTTTTTTTTATTAATGTTTTTAACTTTAAAGATATTTCTTACTGCTAAAAAATTATAGATAGAAAATAAGGATATATATCTTTCTGGTAAAATTGACTGCCATTCTTTGTAATTTGTTTATTTAATTTAATTAGTTGGTATATGGTTTTATAAATAATCTTCGCCTAATTTATTTATCATTCCAAGCTCGAATGCTTAAAGAATTTATACTGGCTTCGCTTAGTCTATTATATTTTTTTAAATGTATTTTGAGTAATTCAATTTTAGCTTAAATTTATTAATTGTTTCTCAAACAATCGAATTAAAAAAACTAAGCTCGATTAATAACAAAGAAAAAGTTAAATTAAAACTGAAACATTTTAACTTGAATATTATATTTTTCATTCAAAAATATTGGTCGCGCTTAAGGAAAATTCAAAATTAAAATTTAGACATATTTAAAATTTAATGATTGATGTCTTTTTTGTCTAATTTTGTTAACTTTAAAATAAAGTCAATAATGATTTATCCTTAAACCTTGATCAACAAGTAGATTTATAGAATAATTTTGGATGAATAAAATAATTTTGTCTTTTTTATATATTTTAAGAAATTATATGTAAATTTTTTATAATTCAGTAATTTAATAATGTAAATTGCTCTATGTAAGCTGTTTTTTTCTATTAAAATCTGTAAATTTTCAATTATTATATCAAAAAATAAATAATTATTTGTTACTTGAATTTTTGATTTTTTTACTATTAATATTACTAATTTTAAATATTATACTTGAGCTTTACTGCTTATAGATTTATGAGCATGCGGATTTCTGTGAAATTTTATATAAATACTAAGTCAAATTTATCTATTACTTCTTTTGTGTGTTGTTTGAAATTTAAATTTTAAATTTATTCATAAAAAAATTTTTTGTTTAAATAAAAAATACTAAAAAAGGAAAAAAAATTTTATTAATCTTCTATAATCTAGTTTTAAAAATTGAATAGAACAAATCAAATATATGAGCTTAATTTATTTTATCAATATTTTTAATTGAATTCAAAAATATATTTCAAAAATCAAAATTCCAGTGTTAAAATTATGCAAAAAAAAAAAAGATTTGTAAGCTTGAATTTGAAATTAAGTAGTGAATATATTTTTATTTTTAGTAAGATTTATTTTTAGAAAAAAGTTACTAATAACTAAAAATTAGTTAGTATTATTTATCAATAACTCTTTCATATTTAGTTCAAGTTAAAAATAGCTTTTGTTTCCTCCTCATTAATGTCTATATTTAGCAAATTTTAATTTCAGAATCACTATTTTTCAAAATTATTTTATCAAATAGATTATTTTTATAAAAATATATTAAAATCACTGATTAAATTATTAATTATAGCTTTAGAAATTAAAAATTTACTAGATTATGTAAAGATTAGTAAATTAACTAATTAATTTTATAAATAAATTATGAAATAACTGAATAAATTTAGTTAATAGTTTTATCTTAATGAAAATGAAAAAAATAACAAACTTTTATTTTGTTAATTTATTTTTAATAATTTAATCAAAATAAAAATTTACAAAAATAAATCAAATAATTAATTTTCTTGTTCTTCTTTAGAATAATAAATATAAAAACTATTTTTTTATTTTATTTTTATCATTAATATATTTTAAAAATAATATTTTATATTTTCTCACAAATGATGATATATTTTTAAAGAAAAAAAAATAATTAAAGTAAACATAATATATCATTTAAGAAATTATTTTATTTCTCGTTTAAATATAATAGAAAACATGTTATTTTATATTAAAAAATATTTAAAGATTTATATTTATAAAAAATGTTTTGTTATTTTTTTATATTTTAGATTTGATATTAAAAATCTATTATTTGTATTTGTAATTAGATAATTTAGTTATAAATTCCATAATTTCTTAATATTCTATATTTTTTTATATCTTTAAAATTAAGCATCGTAATCCTTAGCACAAAATAAATGAACGATTAATAAAATAACGAAAAAGAAACTTACGAAGGCTATACAAATGAAGTTTATTACTTCTAACGAAATGTCTAAAGAAACTTGTATCATTAAATTATTGATAAAATTATTAGTAAACAAACATATTTAGAATCTTTTAGTTTAGTTTATTTATTTAAGCATTAATTATTTTGGGATTGGACATTCACCAAAAGTAGCCTAATTTTATTTTTTTAAAAGATGATATAGTTAGTTTAAGTTTGACAACAGATTAAGAAAAAAAGAACAAACTTAACAGTAAATTAATTTTATTTGTTAAATTTTGAGCTTAAAACTTTTTTCTCATAATAAAAGTGGATATAAAAACTTTTGCTACAATATTTTCTCTCTAAAGCTTTTTGTTAGATAATTAGCTTAGTGTTATACTTGGAAATCATAGAGAGTATGAAAAAATGAAAGCAGAAATTGAAAAATATGAAAATGCAGTTGACATGAGGGCAAAGGCTGAAATATAAAATCTCTATTTACAACAATCTTTACAAAATATGGATTTTTTAAAAAAGATTGATATTAATTAATTATCATCTGAGTAGAAGCAATGAGTGAAAGCGATTTATCACTATGAATAATGGAATTATCTAATTTACTATTTATTTACTAATATATTACATATTCGTAGCTCTAAAATAAACTTAACATCAACGATTAATCTTAATCTCACAAAATTTGTATTTTTTACTTACTAAAATAAACAATAAGTAAAAAATAACTTTTCATTTGACAGACAAACTAAGATACACTTAAAATAAGCTAATTATTAGAGTGTTTAAAAAATATGAGTATGCTGTATTCAAATTAGAAATATTTCATTAGTTAATTTCAAAATATAATAGAAAAATAGATATAAATATTATATAAACATATGAATTAAGGTTAATATCAAAAATATAAATTAATTTTATTTTATAAATCATAATTTGAATTACGTTTAGAAAAACCTTATTGGTTAAAAATTATGTTTTAAACATATTCAAATTTATTTATTTATTTATAATTTATATAAGTTAATCAAAAGGAAAAAATCATTATAATTTAGTTAGTTAGTTAGTTTTTTTGTTAGTTTTTTTTTGTAGTTGAAAATTGAGGTATAATAGTAGGATAAAATTAATTATGCTGTTTATTATTAAAAAGCAAAATTATTTTTTAAGCTAGCTATTTTATTTGTGCAAAGAGTTCTGCATTTTTCTTCTTCATATTTATTAATAATTTTTTTTTGAATATTAATAATATTTTTTGTTTTAAATAGATTATTCCTAAATAATATCTGTTTAAATGTCTTATTTTTAATTAGATTTTATTTATTTAGCACTTCAAAGATTTTAATTATCTAATTTTCTTTTTCACTATAATTGCTTCTGTTAGTCAATAAGTTATTATTTTTTGAAAGGGTTATCTCTATTTTGATATTTTTAACTTTCATCTATAACAGCTTTTCTCCAAGATAAACTAAATTCATCGATTTTGCTCATAAATTCATCATAGTAGTCCATCACTTAATTCTACTCAGGTACTTCTTATTGTTTAGCCTGCTATTGCTGAAGGCTTTCTAGATTATTATTCTGCTAAAAGCCAATTATCTTTCCTTAAGTTAATTGATTTTTGCTACTCTGAGGACTTTTTAAAATACTTAAATCAAGTTTAAGTTTCTGACGAATATTTTCATTTAAATTTGAAGAAGATTTTGACTTAATAATCATAGTTTGGTTGTATCTCTACTGCAATTCAAGCTATGCAGAAAATATTTTATTTTAGATTTCAAGCTTATTTTAATCATCATCATCATCATCTATGAATGAAGATTCTATTTTAAAAGTTTAATTTTAAAATGAATTTTAAATTAATAATATTTTACTTGATGTGAATGAATTTCTAGCACTATTCGAGACTGAAGATAGCTTTGAGGTCTTTTTCTTGTAATCTTCAAGAGACATTTAATTATTTAATTAAAATTTAAATTGAGGATTTTAAGATTCCTACTAAATCCCTTCACCTTAAGGGTCAATGTATTTATCAACAGCTGCTGCCGTATATCTTTACATCGAGTTATCTAAATCTTTTTAAATCTCAATCTTATCTTATTTTGTATTTTCTAATTTTGGAATAATCTAATTACTTTAATTTCTCTACAAAACTTGCTCTATAGCTCTAGAGATATGCTAATCTTTATTTTTTCTTTCATCTATAGCTTCTGTCTTAACTTAGTTTGTCTTCATATTTAGAATTTTGTTTTAATGCATTTCGTTTGAATTTCTATCACTAACTGAATTGGTTTAAGTAGGTTAAGAATGATCCAAATTCATGGAAAAATCTGGGTTTAAATAATTGGTTTAAGTATTTTGTTAGTATTTATTGCACCCATTATTTTGTTTTTTGGTGTCTATCTAATTCTGTGGAGAAACTTTATTTAGAACATTAAACTAGCTTTACTGCTTAGTTTAAACTTTCTTCTTGTTATTTATAAATTTCAGCCATTAATTAAATTGCTGATTTATTTCTTATTGATTCTAATATGATTTGCCAGAACTTTAGCGTATTGAGCTTGGTTGCTCTGATAAAAAATTTTCATGGTTTTAGCTATGGTTTTGAGCCATTTTTTAAAAGTGAGATTGTAAATATTGTTACTAAATTTTGTTGCTTTCGTTGTCATTACTTGGAATAGATATAAAATTAGAGCTAAATTGGTAATCCTTTTCTTCACTTTATTAATTATGCTAGTTATAAGCATTAAAAGGGTTTGGGCTTTTATTTCCAGAATACTCTAAGGGGTTTATTGAGTGTGGAGTGTTATGATTTGATAAATCTATACCAGTTTTTTTATCTTCTATATTTGAAGTTGTATTTCCGTTCCTATTTCTTTCAGAAGAATCAGATGCTAAAGAAGATGATATTGTTAAGTAGCCAAGCTTTTACAGTTGCTTGAAGTATGCTATAGTTACATTCTCTCTTTATATCAAGTTGCTTAATTAATTATCTTTATCTTCTATTTACTTTTTAAGCATCTGAATTTAGGTTTGCTAGTCAATTACGAGACTTTGTTAGCTTGTCTCTTCTATTTAAGTTGATGGAGTGTGTAGCTCTTTAAGGGTTTGCTAGTTTTACTATGAAATTTGTATGTATTAAGGAACCATTTTATCATTTTATACAAATTATTTTTATTATTGCTGCTTATTCTTTTCATTTAGAATTGACAGCTTTTCTTATTTTAGCTTGTTAACTTCTTCATCTTTCTTTTTGCACTAAGAAGATATTTGTTAAGCGTTTTTCACTATTTATGGTATGGGTTTCACATATTTTCTAGCAAATACAATGAGGTAATCCACAAATTCTTATAAGTTTTAATCATGCTGCAAGTTTTTAAACTCTTCTAGTATACTTACATACTAATCATACTAATTGCTCTTGAGTGCCTAAGAGGGAAGTGGAATATGAATTTACTATGCTGATTGCATAAGTTAATTCGTTAGATTTAAAGATTTATTGTTATCATTTTCAACAATATTGTCAGTTAAACAGTCCTCCACTTTTTTTGAATCACTTGAAGTTTTTGGTGATTAAGTAGAGTTATTACTCTAGCATCCTATTAAATCTTTCAGTCTACTAACTAAATGTGTGTTTTAAAATGTTTCACCCTCATTATTTTTTAATGATTCCTAGTTTCTAATTGATTGGATCTTGTTTTGATGTTGATCACTATAAACCTAGAAATTTAAATTGTTGGATTAAGTTTCAAAATTTTCTTAGGAAGGTAAATTTTGTGTTGAATTTTTGCTCGAAATGAGATTCTTATTAGACTGTTTGTTTATTTAATTAAGTTTGTCAAATAATGAGTTCGTTTTTGATGATTATTTTAAATTTGAATTAGTTGTGCAACCATCTAAATTACAAGAATTAACAATTTGAAAAGGCAATTGCTAGCAAGAAAATTGCCATCCGCTAGTTAGACTCTACTGAGACAGGGTTGATGCAGTATTTTTCAAAGTTTGAGATGATATTGGGATAGTAGTATTGTCTACGAAGTGGGGTTACTATGTATATTACTACTCTTATTGCTGTTGTAATAACCACATTTAATAGCTGGGAGTATTTTCAAATGGCTAAATGTAATTTTCTTATTAGAGCATTTAATGCTAATCTATCACTTATAGATTTTGATTATTTTTATTATTTAAATCATCATTTTGAATCTATTTTTATTGTTACATATTTTATTATTTCTATTATTTCTTTTAAATTTGTTCATTAACTATCAATAAATTACTATTTGTTTTTGAATTTTATTGATATAGCAGCATTTTCTTCTTTTTAAGTTTCTAAAAAAGTTCTGGGCTTTACTCGCTTTAAGAAGAAGTAGGATTTGTGAGAATCTAGTATTGTTTAAAACTGTCCAAAGTTTTATTTTAAAGGTGCGTATGGACAGTGGAAGGGGAAGGAATAGATTTTATCCTATTTGTAGATGATTAAATCATTTTAGATAAAGTGGCTGCCGCTGAATTGGGAGCAATAGTTTTTGGAGTTGAATTAGAGGGTAGGGAAGTTGGGGACACTACGTACCCGCCTGTAGCCATACCATATTTTTTTGTCTTTTTCTTTTTTTTTGCTTAGCAGTTGACTCTTGCCTGATTGATATGGCTTTCTCCATTGATAATTTAATCCAAAAACGAATCTTAGCTCTATCTAAGTCTAATCATAGACATCGAATTAGTCTTTCTTAACTTTTGATTATTGCGAGAAGAGCTCTAGTTCTTCATTTATGCTTTTTATGAAATATTTTGGAAAATATTTTAAGGACATGTATCTGTTTCATGTTAGTTTTGAACAAGTTGCATAAGCTTTACTGTACTTTTACTGTTTAATTATTCTGAAAATCTTTTGTCTTAGTTAGTTGTAGAGCTTGGATGAGAGAAAGTAGGCTACTTAAAAAAGTTGTTCTTAAATTGCTAAAAAATATTGAGCTGCTGCTGCTATCCTTGATAATGCGAGTGATTTCTAAGATTGGTGCTACTGCCATATGATTATTATTTATTGTGATTATGTATTTGGCTTGTTTCGAAGAGTTAGCTTTAATTTTCATTCATCATTGAATTTATCAAGCTCTGAGTTGGTATATTAGAACAGCTATTATTTGCCATTCTATTATTTTAAGAGTAGTTTATATTATTCAATTAAAATCCTGGCTTTATGAGAAATGAGAGATGTGCAGTCGATTAAGGACTTGATTATAAATTAATATTATGGTTTGCTTGTTATAGTTATTATTGTTGTTATTAGTGATGAAACTATGAACTATCTGGAGACGCAACTAGATGTAAATGTTACAAACTAGTACTCTAGTTAACTCCAACTTAAGTTATTCCACCTAATTATGTTGGTCTCTATCTAGTCTTAGCTGTTCCAACTGCTTTCTTATCTATGAATGTGCTAAATTTGGACTGGCTTTTGTTATTTACATTATTATTAATCCCATTAATTAAACAGCTATTCTAAGACCTCATCTCCTGAATCTATCAAATTAATTAAAAGTCAAATTTTTATTTGATTTAATGAAATATATTATCACGCTATTTGTTATCCAAACATTCAAATATAATTGATAACATTTAACATATTGAAGAGAAAAAATTGTTAATAAGAGCATCTTTTGTGTATGTATTAATCTATGTGTCATAGAATGTAAAAATATTGACATTAAAAGTAAATAATTAATTAATAAAATAGTAATCAAAAATATCTTGATGGTTTAAATTATTTAAAATAATCATTTCTTTATTTATTCAGAATTACTACTGGACAACTAATAAGTTATTTTAGATCTCACCAAAGATAATTTAAAAAATAAGTTAAATTGAATAAAATTTTATTATTTTTTTAAAATAGTTTTCATTAAAGATTGAAATGGAGATGAATAAATCACATTCACAAAATTTTATGGATTATAAATAAATATATTGATTGTATTTTGAAACTGGTTAGATTAATTAAATTCTTCTTACTTAAATTTTATGTATTGGAATATTTATTTTTCAGATAGTATTAACAACTGATTTAGATTTATTTATTTATTCTTTTTAATTTTAGAATTGAAATTAATTATAAATGCGAATCCTAGTAGTAATATTTATTAAGTATTCAAAATTTAGATATTTTTCTATTTAAGTTTTAATTAAAAATTCTTAATCAATATTTTTCGAGGATATTCAAAGTTTTTTTTGTATATTTCTATTAAGTAAATCTTAGGCAAAATCTTTTAAAAATATTGTTTATCTATTTATCTATCTATTTATCTTTCACTGCGTGAAGCAACCGAAATTAAAATACAAAAATTAACTTACACAAAATTCCTTAAATGTCTTTCAATTTATGCAATATTAATACAAATTTTGAATTACCCTTTTTAATGGTGAGCCAAGTAACTAGACGCTGCGAGAGCAATTTTCAATGTGCATCACTAGATTCTTACGACTATAATTAGAAGTTTTTAAATAAGTTTTTAAGAATAGTTTTGACCAAGTGATATATATATATTTACTTTAATGATTGAACTACAGGCGACGCCTATATGCTGTTGTTCAAGTTAAGTTATGATTTATCATGCTATGCGACCCGAGATAACGAAATATTTAATTTTGGCGATCCTTTTTCCATTGTTGCTGGGCTAACAGCTTTACTACTTCTTGCACTTGAACTGATAAACTTCTTTTAAAAATGTATTTTTTTTCCACTGCTTTTTGCTTTGTTAAGTAATAAAAAGGTTATTTATTATTAATTAATATTGTATCAATAAAAACAAATTTTTAATTAATTGTAAAATGTAATATTATAGTGATAAATATTATATATTAAACAAACTTTAATACTGGCATCATAAAGGATATTGTTTTAATTATTATAATTTAATTATCTAATCTTTAGTCCATTCATTTGATTGCAATGCTATTAATTCAATTTACTACCATAGCCACTCAATGCTATCTGAATATTAAGTAATTCATTTATATTTGCATGAATATAGTCTATTGGTTATCTTCTTAAATCAATTAAAATTGATTACTTCATTTTTATTGCGAAATTTCAAATCTTTTTTATTGATAAAAAAATTATTATTATTTGCTTTCTTTTGATATTCAAAAGCAAATTAATTAATTAAATAAAAATATTTACCAAGAATAACAATTTTAAATTTACACTATCAAAATTTAATAAATATCAAACTAAATTTGGAGGTTTTTATTATAATCTTGGTAAGGTCAAAAAAGAGCACCAAAAAAACTTTTACAATGCTATTCTGATAATCATAATTTTTTATTGTAGAATATTAAACATAAAATCAGACATTTATAATATTTATTAAAGTTGATAGGTACAAAAATATGTCATTAAAAATACTAGCAAATTTAACATTTATTCTATTTAAGTACCTTCATATTATTGTAAATCCCCAATCAGAAATTGCTTAAAAGTTTTAAGTACAATATCACTTAATAGATATATCCAAGTACTATAAATGTGCATTTATATTTTAAATATTCTTAATTTTCTTATTTAAAATAATTAATTTCCTTCAAAATATAAATTAAATTTTATTTATTTTAATAAAAACAATCAATTAATTACTTTTTTTAATCTATTTTTAACATTTGCTAAATTTATATTTGAAATCCAAAATCTACTTTACATTTTAAAAATTAAACAATCCTAAAATTATCAAATTTAGCATCCCTAATTTGTATAAAATTGTTATATCTAAATTATTGTATCATCCCTCTTCACTTATATTTACATTTTTGTAAAGTATCCTTTTTCATTTTAAAAATAAAATTTAAAAAATATATCATTCAATCAATATATCAAATTTTATTAATTTCAATTTTAGCAGAATGTAACAAAAGATTAAAGATGTATAAATGATATTACCTATCTCATTTTTAAAAATCCATTATTTTTTGAATAGTTTACATATATAATTGTCATCAAATTATCATTTTAAAATATAAGTTGTAGGTTAATTTAGGGAATTTATTTAAAAATATCTAATATAATTAACATACTTTAATTTTTCTTTCAGCCATACTATTTTTTTATCAATTCCTGTTAACCAGATATCATAGAGTAAAATATTTATTAAATTAACTTAAAAGTAAGATTTTAATCATAATAACTTTTAACTTTTATTTTTTTAAATAAGGTATATAAAAGGTATTACATCTTATATGGTTTTAAAATAATTCAATTATATTATTTGGTTAATTTTATTTAATTTAATTTTGGTTCGTCACTTAATAATTATAATTCCTTTCTTCCTTAAGTAACAAAATAAATTAATTTTCATAATTTTTCTTTTAATTTTGTTAATAATTTTGAAAAAATTTACTATTTTACTTTTACTGTATTAGATTTTACTATTATAAAATTAAATTATTATATTTGATAATGAATTTTATAATTAAGACTATTTAATATTGAAATATTGTTAAATTTTCCACTTTTCTATATCTAGCTAAGTCGCCTAACTTTAGCTATTAGTCTCTCTGTTAGTTTTCTAATCGAATTGGTTTTTTATTTTGAATTTGATATGTAAATGAATAACTCAAATTATTTTGCTACTTAAACTTCTATGTAAACAGTGTACTTAAGAAATGGTTTTTGATAAACTAAGAAGAAATTTCACATTCAAATATTGATTAACCTGGAATTATTAGTAATGATAGTATTCTATTATCTTTTCCATTTAAATTATTAATTTTAAGCATCTAGTTATGAACTAACATAAATATTATATGTATAAATTCTTCTTTTTATAAAATAACAAATTAAATTTCATTATAGTTCATAGATCTTACTTTTTATAAAATTATATTTAAATTTTAATTAATTTACAATCTAAAAATTCATTTGGATTATATTACATATTAACTGTAAAATTAGAGCACCCCTTCGTTGGTAAATAAATATTCCTTAAAGACAAGACCTCCTGCTCTAAGACACACTAATTTTTCTAATTTCCAAGTTTTTGAAAATTGAAATTTAGGTATTTTTATAATCATTAAATTTTGATACAAATAATATGTATTATCAAAAGCTATTTTTTGTTATTATCAAAATTGTATTCATAAATGATATTTTTGAAGTAATTATCTAAACTCAAAATAAAATATTTAAAAATAATTTAATTTAACTCATTTACATTGTAAGCTATCTTAATTACTCAAAAGAAGTATTGACTAAATTATTTTTCAATTTATTTAATAGAGATGCTAATTACTATGATTGATTTAATTTGTAAATTACCATCAAGTAAGATTTTTAAATGAAAAAAATTTTGAATTATTTAAAAAAAAGTAGTAATAAAATCAATCAACATATAATTTTCATCACAAACTGAAGTATCAATCAATTACCTTCCAATTTATTTTTTTTAATTTATGAGCAATTTAAACTCTCTATACACCAAATGACTTATTTCAGATTTTTAGTTTTTACTAACTAAAAACATAGAAAAAATTTTGGAATAAAATAATTGTAAATAAACTAATTAATTAATTAGCCAAAATAATCAGTTACTTTATTGACAAAAGGTAAAAAATGAAACACTAAGCAAAAATACATTTCTGATTTTATTATATATATAAATAAATAATAGATTAAAATATTAATTGAAACAAATTTTAGTTTTTCATCAGTATGACTCGAACGAACAAAGATAACTAAAATTGCAAGAAAGATAAATAATTTTTATGATTTTATCAACTTAATTTTAGATAAACTGTATAGAAATATTAACACTTTTTTACTTATTAATAACTTAATAAATTATTTTCAACAACACTAATCATTACTCTGTTAATTATCTTTATTATTAGGCTAATTACTAACTCCTCTAGACTAGTTCATTTTCGTTTATAATTTATTACTTTTTAAACTTTCTCCTTTTTTATTGGAGACTTGGCTTTCGTTATTTTCTGGGACCATAGACCTTTTGTTCAACAACTAATATATTTCTTTTAAAAATAAACTTTAAGTAAATCTACGAAGCTTTAATTAATAATATCAATCATATTTTTCTATTGCATTTGCTTAATTTAAACACCAAAAATAAATAGTTAAAACTTTCAAATAAAAAATTGTCAATTTATTTAAAGTCAGCTTCATTTTATTTTTATGTGAACTTTTATTTTATAAAATATTTCGATTCAGTATTTAAATATATTTACCTGTAATAATTCTTTAAAATGTCAATTCTACGTTGGAAGCATCTAATGCTGATGTTTCAATAAACGCTATATTATTTTTTTCTGCGAAAGCTGTGGCATCTTCTTACCTAACTTATCTCAAGTGTTTTAAATCTGATTTATTTCCTACTAACATGACGACAATATGAGGTTCGGCATGGTCTCTGATTTCATCTAACCATTTTTATATGTTAATAAAAGAAGAGTGCTTAGTGATATCATAAATAAGAAGAGCTCCTACTGCCCCACGATAATAGGCACTTGTGATTGCCACATATCTTTCTTAACCAGCTGTATCCCAAATCTATGCTTTTATAAGTTTGTTATCAGCCATAATTGAACGGGTTGCAAACTCTACACCAATTGTAGTTTTCTAATCCTAATTAAATTCATCTTTTGTAAATCTTGAAAGTAAATTTGATTTTCCAACACCTGAATCTCCTATATAAAATAAAAAATGTGAATAACTTTATATTCTTTACTATTTAGCAATTTATGTTCATAATTTCATCAAACCAGTTTAAGAAATGTTGACTTTATTCAAGGGGAATTAAATATTTATTGCTTAGCTAACTTTGATAAATTTAATGAAATTATAATCATTGAATTTCAAAATACAAACATATCAATAAGATGGTTTACCAATCAATACTATTTTAAAAATATAGTCATGATCCTAATCATTTCTTGTCATTTTATACTATTTTGGTTTTTTTCTTTAAGTAGTTATTACTATTCTATGAACAATGCCTATTCCTTGCTATTTATATATTTCTTTCTATTTAATAGATTGAATGTTTATATTTTAATTTTTCTGAGAATAATTTGAAATGTTATTGCGATCTACTTAATCAGTTTTAACATAAGTATATTCATTCATTTATAAACTCACTCAATTTTAATTAAATTTACTAAAAGAAATCAGTCATTCATCAGTTTAAAAAATTTGAATAAATTACTAATATTAATAAATAGATAGATATTAATTAGCTTAATATTTATTATCTTTAAATAAACTCAAAATCAAGTTTTTTAACATCCATCAATTTTTCGCTTCATAACAAATAATCTATTTGAAAATTTTTTATTTTATCAATATAATCAGTCGGTCGATATACTATAAAAAATTTGATTGATTAATATAGATTATAAGTTAAAAACTATAATTAGTTATTCATATTTAATTGTCTCTTAAAGTACTTAAATTTAAATGCTGATAAAACAAACTAAAACATTTGATGTTATTAAAACTTCTAAAACTAATTTATAAAACTATTTTAAAAAACCTATTTATTAAGTTTTGAATTGATTCTTAGAAAATTATTAAAAGTTAAATAACTATTTTATTGTTATTTGTTTCAAATAGATCAGAACTGCTTTAAAAGATATTCTTATTCTAAAATAAATATTAATCAAAATTTTAGATAAATTATAAATTTTAGCGCAAATAAAAGAAAAATAAATAATATTGAATTGAAGATATATGTAAGTTATAGCAGAAAAACTAGTTTTTTCGGATTCAAATTATGAATCGATATAGCGTTAAATTAGTTTAATACTTGGAAAAATATAGCAAAATTAATAGAGAGAATTATTAGATGCATTTATTGAGCAGATCTTTTCAGTCGATTCAGTAAGGTTATCATTATATAATTGATAAAAGAAGCTTTGTTTAAATTAATAAAGTGACATTTGCATCATAAAAGCATACAATTTTTATAAAACAGGTGTTGAAAGTTAGAAATATTTAGCTTTTTGATTTTGTATTAAACAAAATGTCAGAGATATAAATGATATTGCCTTATGATTAGCTATTTGAGAGGATAAGAGGTCGTAAAGAATTTGAGATTTTAATTATTTACATCAAATACGTGCTTAGATGTAAATCTCAAATTGAGGAGTAAAATATAAGCTACCATAAAAGCGTGGATTAATTTTTAAAGGAAAAATTATTTAAGTTTATCAACATTTCAGATTAAACTTACTTGTGGAGAACATAATTCATATAAAAATTTGCCTACGTTAAAGAAGTGACTTTGTTAAATTAAAATTACAAGCATCCTAATAAAAAGATTATGGAGTTGGATATGCAAGAGTACAACTATGCAGAAAATATTTACAGGATAACTTTGATATATGAATTTTTAATAAAAAATAAGAAAATGTTTCCATTTTTAGATTTTAGTGAGGTAATTTATTAATTATTAACAGCTAAATTGGCTTACACATTATTTTATGAAGATAAACAGTTTGTTTGGTATATTCTACTTAATATATTAATTAGTTCTAATTTTGGAACTGAATGTTCATATTCATTATAAAATGAACTGTAACAAATAGTAATTGTATTTTAACAAATTTAAATAGATAATGATGTATTGGATTTTGAGCATAAAGGGATAAAATGATAAAGAAATTCATTTACTTTGTCAGATGATTTAGGAATTCCATAACATTTGCTTTCATAATTTAAATTAAATGCTTAAACCCTTTTCAATATTTTTTGATTTTCTCAAGTATGAATACAAGGATGATGAGTATTTTGATCCTAAAAAGAGTTTAAAGTATTTTATAATGTCTTTCAAGTAACAACAACTAGCTACATTAACTGAATAAACTCTTTGGAGAGGAATCGATTACATAAATCCTGATGCATGGCATTATACCTTTAAAAATTTAATTATGATGACTACAGATCTTAAAGTTTCAACAATACTTTTGGCTTTATCTTAGTTCATGATTCACCAAAAAATATTTGGTCCTTTATAAAGAGTAAATACTATATTAAAATATGTTTTTAAGTAAGCAAATTTTATATTAAAAAGATACTTGATAGCTTTACTGCTGGCTTTTATACATACCTTAAATTCTAAGCAGTTAGTGCAGGAGCTGTTTAGTTACTTAAATTATTTATCATTGGTTCAAGTTGTGCATAAAAAGTTTACTTAAAACATTCAGTAAAAATTTAGCAAGCCTTATAAGACAATAGTATATAAATCGAAATAAAAACAATTTTGTGTTAGATTGCATAATGCTTAATAAAGAAATACTAAGATTCAACTGATACTAATGCTCTCAGTTCTGTTGTATAGTAATTTTATGAAAATAACTAAATTCAATCATAGCAGTTTACACCTGAATAAATAGATCAAATGATATCTCAATTAAATTGGTTGAACTTTTAGGGATAATAAAATGATTAAGCATAAAGTAATAATTAAGCTATATCTCAAAATGTGCAGAACCCATTATTTTAAATTCAAACTTCAAATAAGTGTCTTAGAGGGCTTTTGAATTTGGGAAATAGTAAAAAAAAATTCTTTTTATTAGGAGTATAAAAATAATATAATATTTTAACAAAAAGCATGCTACATGAATAGTTATTTATAGGCTTTGTACATGACTAAGGAGTTCAGATATAGGGTTTTCAAAATTAATTTAGCTGAAGTTATGCATGGTGGATCAAAATAATCTATTTAAAGTAATACGTAGTAAGATTCAAAAATGGAAATAGATGAATAATAAGTACAAAAAAGCGATAGTAGCATGCAAGAAGAGATTAACGATAAATCTGCTACTGAAAATGAAAAAAAGAAAGCAAATATTGCTTTAATAGAAAAATAAACAAAAATTATAAAATTTGGAACGGTATTTTAGCTATAAAAGCTATTTTCCCTTCTATTTAAAAGTAAGAGAACCTACATTAATCCAGCTTTTTTCAAAGGTATTTTGCCCGAATTTTTTAGGTTTTCATATGCTCAGTAAGATGCATCAGAGTTTGGCAGAATTTTCCTTGATTAATTGGAAAGGTCAGTTTAAAACACAAATGATAATGTAAATTTAAAATAATAAAATAGTGAGTTCAATTAAACATTATAAAAAAGAAATTACTAGATGACTATTTTATAGGATAATACGATCACACAATTACATGTCTAAAATGCAAAAATTAATTTATTAGCAAAGAAAAATTCCTTGATGTTTCATTAAATTTTTGTAAATGATTTTATAAATATTTAAATAATGAGTAAAAAATTTTTAATGAAATTATTCAGCCGAAAATCAAGATAGCACAGTAACCTTTAATGGTTTGTTGTAACATAACTTTAAGCCTGAGGTCTTTGAAGGTGATAATAAATATGATTGCTCAATTTGCAATGAAAAAAACGATGCCCAGAAAGACACATAAATAAGCTATTTACCTAACTATGTGATTCTTACCTTAAATAGATTTTAATATGATTTGAAAACATTCAAAAAGATAAAATTACTTTAATAAATCGATATTCCAGAAGAAATAGACCTTTCATATTATTAAAAAAATGTCTCTCAAGCACAATCCTCTTTTAATTGCTTAGATTAAGATTTATCCCCAATTTCTTAAACAATAGATGAAAAGAAAATGGTTTGTGAAAACTAGGAAAATTCTGGATAAGAAATGGGGAACCAATATTAAAATGATAAATAAATGATTGAAGAGCCGCAATAATAAGAAAGCCAAAAAATAAATAAAAACATCTACTAGCTGTATTCAATAGTTGTCCATAGAGTATAAATAAATTATGATATATATTTTTTATTGATATTTTGTTGAAAATTAAATAGGGTTCAACTGCTGAATCAGGTCATTACTTTACATATTCGAGGGAAAGTTCTGATGAAAATTGCAAATGGATCTTGTTTGATGATTCAAACATTTCATTTGAAGATAGTCTATAAAATGTACTAGGAACTTTTACTACTTAAAGTACAAACACACCTTACTTGTTATTTTATTAAAATAAATATCATGCTTCAAAATACTAAGCAAATTTAAATGAAAACGCTTACAAGCTAAGGTAATCTAAATTATAAATCTTATTTTTTAAAATAATTTTTGATTATAATCTACTTTTTACCATATATATAATCATTTATTTTCTTAACCGAATAAAAGTGATAAATTAATGTTTTCGATTGAAAACGATGATAGACAATTTATGAAAGAAATGGAAAACTAAAACAAGGCTTTCTCTTTACTAAATACATTAAAAATTAACCATTAACAAAATTAACAGAATTCATAGATTTATCCTTTTAGGAAAGATGATGAAGATGATAGCGAAGGAGGAAATAATTATTAAGGAGGAGGATAACTTGGATTTGGTGGAATGGGAAATAATGCAATTTTTTGAATTTTAGCTGAATTATTTATATGTATATATATATATTCTTTCTCATATTTAATTTTATGTAAAAATTATTATTTTTTAAATAATTTGAATTAATGGAGAAAATTAATTCTGTTTTTAAATTTTGTGCTTTTGATAAATTCAAATAATGTTAATTTTACTTAATTATTTTTGCAATTTTTAAAAATTGATTGATTGATTTATAAATTGACCTACCTATTGGTTGATAACTAATTATTTATTCTTTGAAATCAAAGAAAGATATTTGATAATTTTAAAAAATATATCTTAGAATCAGTCATCTATAAATAAATAAATGAATGAATGATTTAATTTTTTAATCAATATTTTAATTATCTTCATACATATTTTGAAAATTTTTATGTTTGCAAACAGTAAATTTTAAATAAAAACTTGGTTTAGTTATCAAAACAAATATTAATTAAAATATTCTTAAATTTTTTTATTTTATTATTATTTTTTAAACAAAGAGAATAAAGATTTTTAACTAGTTATGATTGAAAATTTAGATTTGAGTGATATACCTGCTGAGCATGAATTGAGTAATTTATCAAAATAATCTTCTCTAAGGTAGCTCCATGATCAGACATAAAATATAAATGGGACTTTAAATAGTTAACAATTTGCATAACAATAGCAATTGATTCCTATAATGAATTAGTCAGCATCCAAAAAGCTATCACCAAATAATTATAACAATACTTCTTAGGGATAAATAGTAAGCCCATATATAATGCAAAGTCCATCAAATTAAAACTCAAATGCTCCCTTACCTCCAAATTTTAAAAGAGAAAATGCAAATAATACTCATGTATTGAAACGTAGTAGATAGCCTATTTTTTCTGCTCCTTATTAATCAAATTCTTTATCTAGAAATTAAAGTCCATCCTAGCATGTTTACGTCCAGCATAACACAAGTAGTGGAAGCTTAAGTGGCACAAAAAATAATCCTATTTTTCCAAGTGGAAACTAAAATTCAAGTTTAAATTAAATAAAAACCGATAGTTTTCATACATGTGCTGAATAATCTAATAACTTTTCATAATACTAACATCAAAATAGTCTTTTGTTTAGAAAAATTAATGAGTAAAACTAGCCAGCACCTTTGCAATCACCTTATTTAAATTTAGACAAATAGGATTCTGAAAGTTTCTTAAGCGTGAATAGCAATTAAAATATCAACATACCAAATCAAAATCAAACTTAAAACACAAATTTACATTAAATTACTCGTCGTATTTTTTCTAGCACCACACCTAGCTAGCCATTATAAAAATTATCTCCCAAAAAGAATCAACAATTCGAGTCTCCCGATATTCAAAGTATAGAGAGCAAATAATTAGGACAAGATACGGGAGTCTAAATGCATGATCTCAGATCAGAAATGATGAAATATGCTGAGTGCTTTTTTGAAAGTCTGAAGAGAGATGTTTAAGATAACTCTATGTAAAAAAATTAAATTTTGTTATATATCTCTACTAACTAATAAGATTGATAATTAGCTTAAAATATGAAAAGCATAAAACTTAGATATATATTTTGATTTTAAATATTGAAATTATTGATAAAAAAATTTATAAAATATTTTGAGTTAGATTTGATTTTATTCAAATAAAGTTTAATTTATTTGCCTAATCATTTTTTTAATAAATCAAATCAAATAGTAAGATTTAAGAAGTAGAATAAACAGTTTTAGACCATCAAACAGACTTAAGAAATAAATATGTAAATATCATTTTAAGCAAAAATTAAATATTTAAATTATATTTCTATACAGTTAGATGAAAATAGAGTAAAGGCTAAACCCACTAAGGTTGATAATGCTTTGATTTAAAATTATGTAGAATAAGTCGTCAGCTAAATTTTGAAAAGATTCGAATTAAATAACAAAGATCTTTAAGAATAAATATAAAGTATTAAAAAAGATGTAAAAGTAAAACTGGATTAATCATTTTCGGAGGCTCTGAGAGGCAGAGCAGCCAATACAATGATAGAAAATAAATTAGATATTTTGAAATCTGATCTAGAAGTTAATTAGAGATAAAAAATAGAAGTACTCACTGCTAGATGCTTGTAGTTAGAAAGTAATTATTAAAATTCATAATTATTCGAAGATTTAAATGAATTCGCAAGAAACAGAGCTAATATCTATGAAAATAAACTTTTAAATTTAGAAAATCTTTTAAACTAGTTTAAAAAATCAATAAATGAAAAAGTAATTTTTGTAAAAACTAAAAATGTTATTTTAATAAATTTGAATATTGAAATAGATAAATATTGGAGATATAAAAGGACAATTTAAGGAAATTGTAGACTAAAAAGCATAATAGATTCAGGACTAAATAGACGAATTGAAGCTCTTACCACAATTTTCTAATAATACCATATAATTCAAAAATGATTCTGATCTCAAACTAAAGCAGTTGGAGAGAAATTTAAATGAAAAGCTTTATTCTTTAGACGCAGAATAAAAGTTGTTGATAAATACTAAGCCAGATTTTGAAAGATAAAACAAACTAGATGAAAAAATAATGCGATTCAATTAGGATATGAAAGTCCTTTAAAATTGGTACATGAAGTTAAATTAAGACTTCTCAAAAATAAGAGTAAATAATGAGTCTAATGAGAAACTGCTAAAGTAGTTTGAAGAGATTAATGAAAGAATTAATGTTCTAAATAATTAATAAAATCGAATTTTGAACTCTGAATTCAAATATGAATCTAATGAGCTTGAAGGCATCTATAATTCATTATAAAAATTGGCAAAAAATCTTCATCAAATAGATGAATACAAAAAATAAAAATTTGATTTACTTGAGAAAAAACTCAACTCTTCTAAGGAAGAAATGGACAAAAAAATATAAAATTTAATTTAATAAATTAACCTCAATAAGCAGCCTTTATCTACTTTATCTAGCCTTCCTGGAATCAAAATAAAAATAAAGTAACCTGATTCGTCTCAAAAATAAAAATCTCTTCCTTCAACTGATAGTAATTTGACTATATACTAAACTAATAACTCTACTTAAAAATCAGTTAGCAATACAATTTATACTTAAGGGTTGATAGAAAATGCATAATTCAGCTCAGAAAATTACTCAAAATAAAATAGTGTTGTAAGTTCTGCTAACAACTCTTATGTTTACAACTAAAAATAATAACCTTTTGTTCATCCACCTTCACGTGCTCCTCTTCAAATAACTTAAATGTCTTCTACAGAGACAGGTCCATTATTTGAAAAAACAAAGAATGCGATATTAAATAGTTAAAAAGATGGTATATCTGATGAGTAAATTTTAATAAACTCAAACAAGCATTTGAGTACAAAATTCTCATAAAATATTTCTAAGCAGATTACTTCTCCAGATTCTTCTTCTTAAAAGTAAAATAGCGAGTTAAGGCCTACTCATAACAAATTCTCTGAATAATTTAATGATGATGATGAAGATTTTGAAGAGTTTGAACCCTAAAAGGTTTAGAAAATTTTCCTAAATGCTGAGAGTTCTGAAGGGGAGGAAGAAGATATTTAAAAAATGAAAAACAGCACTCTTAAAAAGTAAAATACAGATTAATAAAAATAATTATAATAAAAATACAATGATCAGGGACTTTAATAATAAGGAGCAAATAATAAAATAAGCTAATATTCTCTTGAAAAAAATAGATTTTAAACATATTCAATTCCATTTGATGGTAATGAAATTGTAAGTGAAAATATTAATAATCCACTAGAGAACAAATTAAAACAATCAAGAAGCGATGAGCTTGATTACAACATTGGATAGAAGACTCTTTAAGATTAACTTAACAAAATCTCTAATAAGTAATTATTCATGAATCAAGATAATTAATTTATTTAAAAGTCTGGGGTAAGCAATGACAGCGATCCTATAAACTTTGATTTCGTTGATGGATGTCAAAAAAGTAGCATTTCATCAAGATCATCAAATGCAACTACTCCTTTTAACAGAATTCCATAACATTAAAATTAGTAATAAGATTAGAATAATAATGGATATAATATTTAGAATAGTAATCTCTTGACTGTTCCTCAAAATATTCAGAGATCAAGATAAAGCTCTACAGGAAGCAATTATAATATAAATAATAAAATCGAAAATCCTTATTTGGATTATAATAGTTTTTAACAAATTAATCAGTAGTTGAAATAATAAGAGTTATTTATAAAATAACACAAAGAATCAACTCTTCCTAATTTAATGGAAGGAAACTCAAACTACTAAAGTCTATCTAAAATTGGCTAATCGTCTCAATAAACTCCATAATTTAATCAATAACTAGGATTTAATAGCTAAAAGTAGTAAGAATAAAAAAATAAAAGCGATTCCTCATTTGCAACACCTGCTGGCAGTCTGAACAACAGTTATGAAATTGATTAAGATAAAAATTAACAATAAAATGTGCCATAATAGATTTAGTAAAGTAATCATAATAAGTTATAAAAAAGCTAGATTTTTAAGTCGTAAAATCATGATTTAAAAAACTTAAAGAATTCATAAAATATAAAAACTCCAGATTAATCATAAAATTTAGAAGATTTGCTTGATTAATTTGAAGACTTTAACGAACACAATATTGATGCCATGAGTAGCAGCGGCGAATTTTATGAGAATGATGATGAAGGAGATGAAGAAATGTATTCTTAATAGAACTCTACACCGAATAGCAAATTCAAGTAAACACAAGGCCTTTCAACTTTAAAAAACATCTAGCTGAACCAAATTAATGAAGAAGATAATGAAGAGGAATGCAGTAATCTAGGATTTTCTTATGCAAATTAAAACAAAATCAGTATAAATTCATAAAAAAATAACATAAGAGAGTCTGATTAACTATCATCAAGTAAGTTGAAGAACTCAACTAACTTATAAGAATGCATCGATGTGCTTAACTCAGTTAAAATGCAAAATAACATATATAAAATTATAGACTAAATAACAAGTAAATTTATTCATAATTTAATTTATAATATCAAAAATATTTTTTAAAAAAGGATTATTAGAATTGAAAAATGAAAAGAAACTTAGATGCTATAGAGATGAAGTTGGTTACTTAAAAGATGCAAATGGTTTTTATATATTCGATACTGAAGGAAGGATGATTAAAACCGACAAAGATACTATTAAGTACCTTCAAAATGAAGGTTACGTTTAATTACTGTGATAAATTTATAAATATAATTTAATATTTTAGTTATAATTTTTATATAAACAAAATTTTATATATTTGCAATTAAATTTAATTTATAAAAAGTTAAATATTTATTTCTATTGGCTATTTATTGCTTTGTTGTTTTTGACTTTTTATTTGATAAAGCTTTTTTATTCTATGGAGAATATTTTTGAAAATAAATAATATAATTTTTATTTGAATTAATTTATAATTTTTTAATAAAATTAAATTTAGTTTCATAAAAACTGATAAACTTTATAAATTAAATAACTTTGATTAAATTAAAAATAAAATGGAAGAAAGAGAATAATAAATGTATCTTGATATATCTCAAAAAATAGTAGCTTAGATTAAAAATAAAAAGATTTTTAACACAGACAATATATTAGAGATATTTTATTTACTAAAGAATTCAAAATATCTTTTTAGACAGTATGATTATATAGAAGATAACCAAACTTATATAACTTTTTAAGCTACTTGTGAAGAGGAATCAACTTTATTTGCTCTTCAGATTTTTAAATATTTAAGTATTGGATTTATTCAAATTACAAATAAGTTAGTCAATTATTACATTAATTTAAGAATAAGATGAAAATTTTGCTGAAAAAAGTAATCCAGAAATAAATTACGAGAGGAAAAAATTAATTAAAGAAGAAATAAAAGATAAAAACTACTGGATTAATGTTTATCATCTCAACTAATGTAAATTATTTTGATCTTAAACAAAATTTTTATTTTAAATATTATTTTAGTTATAGATACAAAAATTTACTATGAAGAAGATGTAATTTTATAAAAAATTTTTTTAATTTAAAACTTTATTTTAATCAATTAAGCTAAATGATTTAGACGAAGCTAAGTTTAGTGCAATAAAATCTATAAATCTTGAACAGTAAATATTAAAAACCTTTAAATTCTAAAAAGTAACTTTTTCCTAGAAATAAAAATAAGTAAGAGGATAAAAAGATAGTCAATCAATTAAAATAATATTTTACAAACATTTAAAGTATTCGAGTTGGTTATAAGTAAGTGTTACTATTTAAACTTTTTATAATTAATTAAATTTATTTAAACATTTTTTTATTTATAAAAGTTTATAGAAAATATATTTAATTTTTAAAACTATATTATAAATTAATATATTAAAATTTTTGAAATAAAAAGATATGACGATATTCCTGTTAACGAAATCGCCAATCTTACTTAGAGGATTATTGCCTATAATAAACTATAATCTCTAACCATAAGTTTTTGGTTACAATTTTTTTTGATTTTTATAAGTTAATTTTATTGAATTTATATTAAAACATTAGGAGATGTAATATTTAGGAGTAAGCTATTTAATAATTATTAATTGATATTAAAGACTTGAAAATGCTCTCAACATTGTAGTTAAACTTTATGTAAATTTTATTTGATATAATAATAAATTAATTAATAAATAAAATTTGACTTTTAGAGAAACTTAAATTGATAACTCTGGTTGCTTAGATATAGCAAATAACATTAAAAAATTAAAGAATTTAAAGTGCATTTCACTTTTCGTTTGGTAATAATATACAAATAAATATTGATTATGTAAATAATTATTTTTATAAAAATAGGGATAGGAGTATTTAATAGATTAATAAAGCTTTTACTAAGAAAAGTATTTTGAAAATTAAATATTTAGTCAAATGTTTTATATTTTTTAAATGAAAATAAAATCGTTTTCATATAAAACAAATTTGACTTTTGGAGAATAGATAAAAATTGGTCATCTATATTCTAAACAATATTTTAAGAAATATAAATCAATTAAATCATCTTGAAAGTTTATTTTTTGTTATTAACTCTTTTAAATAAATGATATTTATTTGTAATTGTATTTATTTTAAGTGATATTTTTTATTTTAAATTATTTCTTTTTTGCAACATTTATGGATTAATTTGTATGATCTAACTTATTTCTTAAATTATTTCTTTTTTGCGATCTGACTTATTTTTTTTCTCTTTATTGTTTATTTATTTCTCAAAAAAATTTATTTAATTTTAAATTAAAACATAAATAATTAAAACTTTCCAGTACACGAAAATAAATTAAAATTAATATTTTAAATTTTTTGAATTTTATATTTAATTAGCAAAAATAAAATCGAATAAAATAATTTGTTTAATCATTATTAAGATTATTGATAGTTAGATAAAATCTCTGTATTTAAGGTGAAAATATTTATGGTCTACTTTGGTATCATATGCTCAGAAGTTATATTAGTTAAATCTATTGCTAAATTTTTGTCTATTTCTTCAAATTCACTGAAATGATTTTTGTTTAAATCTACCTCAAAATGGAGATTTGATTTATTTAGCTATAATTCGTTTGATAATTTAGAAGTGTCTTATTTTTAATCATTAAAATTATTTTCTGTTCTGTTGGTATATTAAATTTTGATTAATTTATTTTTTTTTGATTTAGATGAGCATGAATAGCTTACGCTTTTTTACCTTTCTGAGTTGTTAGTTATTTAATTGAATAATTAGAGTTAGTTTTAATTAAATATTGATTTTCTTCTTTGCTACTTTAAATTATTATTAACTTTATTAATAGCTAAAATAACTTACTGCTAATGAATTGATGATATAGAAGTATTTCTAAAACGATCCTACATTGTGTATTGTGCATTTATCTAAGCAAGTATGTTCTTCAGATTATTATAAGGAAAATAAACACCATAGTTTTTCAAGTTCTCCATCACTAATTCAATATTATTGTTTGCTTAATTTTCTTATTTATTTAAACCTAGTTAGCCTAGATAATGTATCAAAAATTTTATGTCTTCATATTAGTTGATTGTGTGGTGTTTGTTTTTTGAAGCTTCTTTTTGCTAGTTTGAAGTAAGGGAATTATTTTTCTGAATTTTAATAATGTTTTATATAAATTTTTAGATTGGTATTTCTTTCTCAGATGTAACGTTATTGCTTGTCTAAATGACTTTATATTAACTTAAACCTTAGGGAATTTATATTTATTATGTTGTCCTTATTTTTTGACTTGAACTTAATGATATTTAATTTTGGCTACTCATTTGTTAAATGGGTTATTTATTGTTTGAGATTAATTTAAGATTTTTGTTAAATATTGCTGCAAACTAATTTATTTCCTCATTGTAATTTTTTTAGTTATTTTAACTAATGCTATTACTATTTATGGAATTACTATTAACCTGTTAAAAATCATGAATTTTTTATTCACCTAAAGAAACAGAACTTCGCTAAGGTTATTCATCAATATTCTGTATCTTTATAGAATTTTAAGATGTAAGTTAACTTATTTGGCTTCCTCTTTTTTGTTTACTGCTGGATTTATTTTATGAACTGTCCTAGTAAAGTGGGTTATTCAAATTACTGTAAAGATTAGAGTTTATTCTTAACTAACTCTCTTAATTGTAAAAATTTTAGCTTAATTGGCTTGGAACTCCAAAGGATTCTGCTTTAAGATCTATATTAACCATATTCTACTATTGCTATTGTGAAGAGATCTCTCCTTCAAATTTACTAGCAATGCTCACTAATGAGCCTATTTTAGGATTCTAAACGTTTTTTTAATTATTTTTAGTAGCTTACTTACTATTTATCTAAATCTACTCCTCTATTTCATCTATTTATCCTTCTTCTTCAATGTCATGAAAACTATTACTTTAAATCATATAGTTATAGTCATAATTTTACATTATGATATCTTAGTTATTATCTAAAATTTCAACTGCTCCTTCTAACAACTCAGAAAGATCTATATAAGAGCACTTTTTCCTTCTCTCAAAAGGAGATCTATTTTAAACTATTTTATTTTCTTACAAGATAATGTTATCTTTATTTGGTAAAAAATGAATGTAAGGACATTCAGATATCAAATGAGTACTAGATTTGCAGGCATAGCAACCAGATTTTATTATAGAAGTATCATTATATTGTAAAATGCTGTCTTTAATCATACAAAATTTTTCATAATCATCAGGGTATTCCTACAATAGCTGAATGAAGTCTTATCTTCTAATGACTAATAATCTACAAAAATCCAAGCTTCTAACTGAGAATGTTCTTTTTTTACCAGTAAAAAAACTGATTTACCCAAAAGAATCTCCACTTTTTAGTTGAATAATTTTGTTTACCATTTACTATCTTTTGGCTATAGGGTGAGAGTAATAACTACAAATTTCGACTCTACCTTTTTCAATAAAGTAAATAGATCCTTCAAAAAAATCTATTTTTTCCTCATCAAAAATAATTTCTTCTGGAGTGAACCTCATTTCCTTTATTAATGGAATTGTCTTTATTATAATCTGTGGACTAAAATTTTCTCTAAATATGGGAGAGTCAATTAATGCTAATTTATTAGCTTCCATTAATAGAGTTTCTCTTAAACCATCAGAGAGCTAATTAATAATTTTTGTTTCTTATGTAACATCCTAAGAAGACTCTTCCCTCCAATAATAATTAAGATACTGTTTAACCTGATACTGTAATTCTTAATTGACTTTCTTATTTTTCATGTAGTTACTAATTACTTTCATATTTTATTTTATATCATTTTCTAAGTGAAAAAACTACTTAAAGATATTACCTAATATAATAAAATTTAGTCAAATTAATATTCTATATTGCTCAACAATTTTTTTAGAGTTATAAAAAGATTTTTTTTAAATGTTTTGGGAGAGAATGAAGTTATAATTAAGGAGGAATTAGAGAATATTATTAAAAGAAAAAAATTTAAAAATGTTTTTAACTTTCTATGTTTTAAATTCATAGATAATTTCCATAGACAATATTAATAATTAAATATTATCTCTAAATCTTAAGAGGTAAAGAAACTTTAATATAAATAAGAGAATTTAAAAATTAAATTTAAACAAACTCTAAACTTTCTAAATTTTTTTGCATTTAAAATATTTATTTATTGTTAATTAAAACCAAAAAACTTTTAATTTACCAACTTAATTAATAGAATAAGCAAATACACCACAACAAATCATCATTGAAAAAACACAGAATATCATTTCTTGTGGATTTTAAGGTGTTATATCTCCATATCCTACAGTAATCATAGTTACTGTGGCATAGTAATATGATTCTAAATATTATATTGTCCAATCAGAGTGATCTATATTTCTAGAGTGCAACCATGTTTGTCTTACTTATCTATATGAAGATTTTAAACCTAAATAAAGCCATAAGCTAGCAAAAAAATGAGAAACAAATAGAATTAACATAAAAACTTGCAATAGCTAAATCATATTGGAAGCTTTTAAGTTTAATTAGAATCTTTCTTCTATAGTCTGAAGCATCTTAAGCAGCTAAGTTATTCTAGTAAAAAAGAAAAACAATAATATATTTTAAACATCTAAGTTATTTTAAACTTCTAATATCTAATCTACTATAAAGCAAATTAAGTAAATTATTAGAGGTACTAAATCACTAAACCAGTTATTTTTAAAAAAATTTACTAAAATTTTAACTCTTGATCTGCACATTTATCCTTAAGTATAGAATCCAGTATTTAGCTTAATAAGAAGATCTAAGATAAGCAAAATAGGGCTTATTATATTAAGTTATCTACCAAGAAGTGATGAAAGAGGTTTTCCATATAGAAAACAAATTGGAATAAAAAACATAATAGTTATACTAATTATGTTAGCAATTAAGTCCCATATCAATTTTATGTTATTTGAAGGATTAAATACCGGATAGTTGATTATGTATTCGATAAATAGCTCCTTAAAGTATTAATACTTCTACTTTTTTTTGAGTAACTCTTTTTTATATTAAGCTTACATTTATTCATTTTATTTAAGTAGATGCTGCATATTTAGGTTTTGGTATAAAGTCTACATTTTATTTGCTAAATGGTAACTATTGTCTTAGCAAAATTCTGATGCCTTATCATTAAGAAAATGAGAATTTTATTTTATTAAATTATGTTTTCTTATGCATGTCCTATTTAACAGATTCTTCATTTTACTTTTGATTTTCATTTTAAATAGCATATTACTAAGTAGATAATTGTCATCTTTATGTTTTTTGAAATCTATTTAGCTATTTATACTTTTAGACATATCTATTATTTTAAAAAAGATATAATTTGATTCTACTATCATTTAATTTATTTAATCATTTACTCAATTTAGAGGTGCGCATACAACAAAAATATTTCTTATAGATAATTTAGTAAGAGTAACTAAGTTATTTTGAACGCTTTTTTTATATTTTAGCCTTATGAATTGAAAACTTTAATAAATTAATTTATGTTATCTCCTTTAATAATTATTTCTACTTTAACTATTGATATAAGAAATTTATAATATTTATGTAAATAGAAGAAATAAATATAATCATGTAATAACTTTATTTAATTGTTTAATCTAAATTAGTTAATATGTATACTGATTCTTTAATTGTGTGTTTTTACCAAATTGTTAAAAATTTTGAACAATAGCATAAAAATAGTGTAAATAAATAGTATAAAAGACAAAAACATCGCTAAAAAAATGAAATATCTATATTTAAAGATTTATATGAAAAAATAGCTTGTATTCTCATTAAACAAGACGATAAAAATTGCTTTTTCTCATAAGGTAATTAAAAATTGTATTCAAAATAAATTTCAAATAATTGAGTTAATATTTGACACCCTCATACATGAATCTTTATGGTATTTTATTAGCCAAATTAAAATAATTTAAATCTAAGATATAAAGACATATACATAAAATTTAATAAAGAAACAAAAACTTTAATTTTAGTAAAATCACCTATTAAATATTTTATATTAATTAATAATTTATTTTTTTCCTTAAAAACTTCATTAACATTTTAAATAGAATTAAATTATTATTATTATAATCAATTATTAAATTAAGAGAAGAAAAATTGAATCAAATTAATTTTAAGAAAGTAACAAAATCAAAAAATGCCATTAATTTTATTTAGGTATTAAATATTTTAACAAGATAATTTTAAAAATTAGTATTTAAAAAAATTCTTATCCAAGTAATTTTACATAGTTATCATATATTTATCTGTATTTTATTTTTTTAATAAAATAGTGTTATAATTTAAATATTTAATTGGTACAAAACAAATACTTACGTCATTTCTTTTTTTGTTTAGATGAATTTGGAATAAAATAAAATTATAACTAATTTTCTAGAAATAATATAGTCAGAATTAGAATTTTATAACATCATAACTTTCAATGAAATATCTGATTTTACAATTGAATTTTTATTGATTAAAATTAAATTGAAATATCAAGTAAGATGATGCAATTAATTGAATGATTTATTAAATTTCATCATATTTTATTTCTGTTAAATTTTATTTGTTTACAAGAAATTGGATATATTTACTATTACTAATTTAAAAAATATGTTTTATCATTAAATAACATATTATTAAAATAGAAATACTTTAACAGTCAAATTTATTTTCTAGCAATATATTACTATTTATGTTACTTTTTATTAGTAAAAGTACATTATTTCTAATATGAAGAATTAAAATAGATTAAAATAATAAAGTTTTTAATTAAAAAGCAAAAAAATTACTCTTTGTCTGTAAAAGAATTTTGATAAGAATGTAAAAAATTAGAAGAAAACTAAAATCTGTAAATTTATAAAAATTTTGATAATAATTAAGCTCAATATTATATTTTAATTTCTCTTGATTTCAAAAATTTGATAAACAAAAAATTGATAATAAATTTATCGTGTGAATATTAAAAATTAGAGTTTTTTTTATAATTTAATTTTATATAAAGAATATGAGACAATCATCAAATTATTTTTATAATTATTATGTGTTTTAAATCTAATTTAATTGCGAATATTCTAATTTATATTGAATTTTATAAAAATATTTAATTCTTTATGTTCTTATAAAAGAAATTTACTTCATTTAGATATAAGTCTGTTTAATTGAGTGGTATAGACCTAATTTTATAACAAATTAACTTCATACGATTTATGTTGAAAATTTTTCATTGTTATCTTGCATGAAACACGGAATATTCATAAAAATAATATGAAGAGTCTTTCTTAAAGAAGAATCAATTGCATACTAATTATTTGCAGTTTGACTAATATTTATATTCAATTTATAACTTTTTTTATAATTAATTTAGATAGAAAAAAAGACTTTATCAAAAAAAGAAAGAAATAAACAAAAAGAAAATAAACCAAAGAAAAAGTAAAGAAAGTAATAAAAATGGACAATCAAAGAGTTCCATTTCCAACAAAAGCAACAAATAACCCAAATTAATTCTTTTCGGCTTTCGAAAGAAATCAAAGTAAAATCGCACATTTATTAAATAAAATCTTTTATTAAAAAATTTTATATTTGATTTAGACAACAGAAACAATCCATATAATCTAGGTAGAAAAATACTATTTTACTTGTTTGTTTCTTTATTTACTTGATTTTGCTCTATAAATTTTGTTATACTTTTTGATAAATACAAAATCAACTAAATCCTATATTAAGTAAATCTATTAGTTTAGAAAGAAAATAAAAGAAAATCAGTCACTGATTCTTTCTAAATGACTATTATTCACTAATCAATTAATTAATTGATTGATTTATAGATTTACTTAGAACAACTGTCTCATTTCCTTTGGATTCAAAATAGCTTTCATTTAATTCCAATCCTCCAGAAATTAAAAATTTTTTGATGATTGCTAGCTAAACATTTCATTAAATCTTTTTGGCAATATTATTTTTCTTTTTCTAAATTAATTTGATTAACTCCATTTGTTTGTCAATCTATTTTTGATAAGTTAGCGCTATTTGAACCAATCAAAATTCAAAAAAAAACCTTTATAATAAGCAAGACTAGTTATATGAAACTAGGAAAATAATATCAAAACTGAACTCAAATTTATTTTTAATGCTAAAAATTTACTCATTACAATAATTATATATTTAGATGAATCAGGAGAATAGATATTCAATCGAACTTTTACCAGAAGCATTGAATCAAGTCATTGGGATAATGATAATTCTAACTTGTTGGCTGATTTAGAGGAACTTGATTAAATTAAATAAAAACAAGCAGATCAAAGAAACTCAAATAAAAATGATTTTTCAAAGTTAGATAAATAATATTTGAACGAGATGCTCTAATAGTAGTAAAAAAAAATAGGCAACATTTTAGAAGTGAGCTCACCTCAAAAAAGCAGTCCATAAATACCTTAAAAATAAGAAAATACTTTCTTTCCTGATCAAGATTTAAAGTTTAAAAAGCAAACAAGTTAAAAAAGATCTGCCCTCTAAGGATCCTTTAATATGTTCCATGGCAAAGATGATAACAGACTAGGGGAAACCTTAATTTCTGAATATGTCAGCGAAGACTTCCACAGTTAACACAATTCACCCTTAAAAGAGTTAGTTATCACTTAGACTTAGGTTGGCGGAAACAATTAAAATAATCCCTCTTATTTACATACAAATCAAAATCAAAATTAACTAAGTGTTTTGATAAGCTAATAAGAAGATAATGCATAGTCTACTTCACATGTTCATAACGAATAATCAGTGCTTTCTATTCTAAAAGAGCATGAGCTTGAAAAACCTGTAAAAATTGCTATATTTTATTAATTCATTATTTATTTATTATTCTCCTATTTTGAATCTTAGAATTAACTTGCCATTTTTTTTTCTTTTTTGCAGTCAGTGCATTTCATAAAAAACTTTTATTTAACATTTGAAAATAAACAATTGTTCAAAAGACGAAAATTTGGTCATCAAAAATTTTTTTCTCTTAACTCTTTATTTGAGCTTCATGATCAATTAATCAATCTTAGCTAAATTTTTAACATTTGTATTATTTTATACATTTACTGCTCTTAAATTTTAAATAAAAAAGTTGACTTTTTAATGTTCTTAGAAACACTATTACGATGAAGCTATTAGCTTTACAAGCCTTTCATTTTGATTTAAAATAAATAAATCATTTTAATCTTTCAATAAATAAATGAATAAATTATGATCAAATGATTGCAATTTTTATGATTTTTAAATTATCAGATTTGTTTGATATTAATTTTACAATATTACTGTTATAGCGCTCAACTTTATTAGCAATTATATATCAAAATTTAAAATTTAGGAGTTTTTAAAATAGTATGAAATAAATAACATCACTCTAAAATATTTCAATCACGTTAAAATAATTATTGAATTAATTAAAAAGGTATATATAAACGTTATGGTTGCGGGAGCTCAAGGCTTAGGAAAATCTACTTTTATTGATGCATTTCTCAATAAGGTATTTATTACATTAAATCTAAAATAGATCAGCCTATTTTTTAAATTCTTCAAATATTATTCTTAGTGCTATACAAATATAAATTTGTGATATAGTAATTAATAATCAAAATATCGGGAAAAAAAGATAATCAGTCACTAAAATTAATTACTTTATCTATTTGATCTAACAAAATTTTAAAATAATCTGATTTATTATCATCGATCGCCTTTGTTTTGTATTAATTTATTTTTTGTCATCCAAAAAGAAATTTCATAAAGAATAGCCTGACGTCATCAGACCAAAGACAGAGGAAATTGTTGAAGTAACTGGCATTCGTACTGAAAACAAAATAAAATTGCACTTAAATATGATCGATACACCTGGATACTCTGAAGAAACAAACATTGATGAATGGATTGATAAAATTATTAAACATATCGTGGGCAAGGTAAAGCAGACAAATTAAATTTACAAATTTTGAGTTTCATTATTGTTTGTTAATTTTTTTTCTATCTCAAAAAATTTAAAAATACGTTTTTAATTTATTTTTAAATTGAACAAATTTTTAATGAGTTCTCAATGCAGTTTTACTGTTGAATAATGAATGACATTCTTAAATAAATTATATAACTGTTAATAAATAGTTTGAGAATTACAAATTATTTGAAGATAAATTGATCGAAGATATAAAAAGTGTTTAGTAGGAAGATGATAAAGATTGCAGGGTATTTATTTAAATACTATTACTTTTGATATGTGTTTTAGATAATTAATTTAACATGGTTCTTTTTAAATATTAAAGGTACACGTTTGTCTCTATTTTATATAAGGAAGAAGCATTTCTAAATTTGATTAAAAAGCTATTCTCAAACTTTAAGAACATGTTAGCATTATTCCTATCTTAGCAAAAGGAGATACTTACATGATTGAAGAAGTGAAATAAATCAAGCAAAATATTATTAAAGATGCACATGATAATAAAATAAGCTTTTTTGATTGTGAAGCAGTAATTAATATTTTATCATTTATCAAATTTAAAAATTATAATTTTAAATATTTTAAATACATTTTTACAAAAAATCATTAGCCCTTAAAGAACGATAAAGAAAGACTCTAAAAATTGAGGAATGGACCTTTTGGACATTCTCCACCATTCCTTATGATATCTTCTGTATAAAAAATAGAAATAGAAAAATAAAAAATATATGCAAGGTAACATAATCTAAACATTTATTTTTTTATTTCAAAATCATAAATAATCTTAAAAAGTAAATGTGCTTGTTTAATATATACTTTTTTATTGATAGAAAATACCCTTGGGGAATATGTAAAATAGAAGATCCAGAACATTCTGATTTCTTGCTTCTTTATCAACTTTTGATTGGATACTTCATCGCTGATCTTAAGAAACTAACTGATATTATCTACAAGCAATATTTGAAAAAGAAGAAAAAATAAATAAAAGAAGAAAAGAAAAATAAATAGAATCAGAAATTAATTGGAGGAGGTGTTGCCTTAGCCATAGCAGGATTACTTGGCTTTATCAAATATTAAGCCATTAAATGAAAATGTATCTAATCTTCTCATAATGCTAAATCAAGAAAAATTATTTAAATACCTTTCATAAAAACTTTAGTAAATTTTGATAAGTAAAGCAACTCAAAATATATTTCATTTGCTATAAAATAAACAAAGTAAGTACTAAAATTGTAAAATACAACAAATCATTATGTGAAAAAAAAATAATTACTTTATATTATAACAATATCTAATATCAGCAAGTAGGAAATAGTACGTACTATTCTTTAAAATCGGGCTTTTATATATAATATAAAATATAATTAAACACTATTTGTTTCCCTTGAGTTGAATAATAATAATTAAATTATTAATCAACTTATTGAAGGAAATGAATTAATCAAATTTGATAGCCATAAAAAATAATGTTAAAACTTTCAACCTATATAATAATAATACCATATAATTAATGTATCTTACTTTTCTACTTAAAAAAATATAAAACTTCATAACTAACGAATTAGCTTAGTCCATAATTGCTATTTGCTGATAGATAATAACTAAATAAAATAATGAAAAAATTAATCCACTAAATAACTATTTAAATATTTTAAAAACAGAATTGTCGAATATACTCTATATTAAATATTTACTCTATATTATATTACTTTATATAAAAGCAGTATATAAAAATAAATTTACAACCTAGCTCAACTTAATTTAATCAACAAAAATTTCTTGAATTTTTTAAAACTAACTTTCCTAAATTTTTTAAAACTTTCCTGTTCTAATATTTTTTTTTTAGACTTAATTCAATCCCAAATTTATTAGATATGATATATAAATTGTACTCATTTACATATTCAATCTTATTGTAAATAATAATAGTTATTATTATTTAATATTTTAACTTTTTAAATTTCAAGACTTAAAATAAATTCAGATACTTTTATTACTATTTTTTATGATAAATTTAACAAAAAATGTATGGATATTATTTAATGCAGTTAATATTCTTTTATATTTTAAAAAATATTTAATTTTATTAAAGACTTTTATCTAATTAAATCTATTTTATCTCAATATGTGGAGAGCAAATAATTTATAAAATATTAAAAATATTACATAAATTATAGCTTTTTTTAAATAACTTCTGCTTTTGTTGGCTAAATTTTAGAATTTAAGTTTAAAATTATTAATTTATTTAAATTATTTAAACTTAATTTAGTTAAAAAATAATAATAGTAAGTAAATTAAATGTGAATATGTTTATATAGAAATATATTTATTTTACAAATATTTTTAATTATTTACAATTATTCATTTTCAAATTTATTTTATGATTTGGAAATTTTTTCAATCATCAAAAGGAAAATTTACTTAAAAATTTAATTTATTTTTATATAACATTTTATAGCTTTGCATTAAAAGAGTGACTAAGCATGATAGAAAACTTTTAAAAAGGCTTAATTAAAGCTTCTCTACAGAGAGAATATTTTATCATTTAGGGATATTAAAAAGCTTAGTTTAACATATATTTTAGCACTCTTAATAGTAAGTTAGTTTGGTGATTAATTTTATTGTATATTTAATTTTATTTATAATTTTAATTATTTAAAATTTTTATTTTATAATTAATTGTTTGTTGTTAATTTTAAAGGAAAATTTATAGTCAAAATTCTGAAGTGTTAAATAAATACATTAAAATTTAGTATTTCAGCAAGATATTTTAGAAAGAAAGTCTTTAAGTATTGATAAGTACTAAATATCATCTTTTGAACTTTCCTCCTAAATACTTTTTCTTGTATAAATATCCTCAATCTCTTTGATATTTAGTGCAATAGTTTTATTAAGTAAGCACTGTATAAATTATTGAGTTTTCTAAATAGTTTAGCTTTAAAATGTCTATAAAAACTACTAATAGGAATCTTCACTTATGACAATAGATTCTAACTGATTATAATTCATGTCATACTTTGTTGTATTCGATTTTTTCAGTATATTTATTAGCTAATTTTAGTAAACAAGAAGCTTGCTCTACCAATCACTTTTCTCAAATACTGAAAAGGAAACAACTTCAATAATAATTTTAAAATATTTGATAGAGCTTGATACATCAAACTAAAGACAGTTAAGAGCATCTATTAAGTCATAATAATTTTCTTCATATAATGAATCTTTGAATATTCCACAACAATAAAAAACTGAAGCTAAGTTATAGTCGTTCTAATTAATAATAAATGTGAAATGAATATTTTTTGAAATTGTAAAAGTCTTAATTTAATTTGTTAATAAATATTAAAAATTTATAAATTAAATTAATCGAATTAATAGGATTACATTTTATTTTTAAATTTCTCCAAGGAGATTGAATATTCTTCCTTTGCAAACAAGAGAAGATTATGCAGTACTGCAGTGAGAAGAAATTAGAGCTTTTACATAGAATTTTTCAGCTACACTAATATTTTGATACTCTTAAAGATATATATTTCCCAAATTAATGTAACATTCTGTGTAATAATTATTTATTTCGAGAGCTTAATTATAGTATTGTATAGCTTCTTGAGTTTTATCTAAATTCCTGAGAGTTATTGCAATATAAAAAAGTGCTTCGTAATTATTTGAATCATATTTATAAGCTTGTTCATAAAAAAATAGAGCATGCTGCGATAAATCCAACCAAACTCTAAGCAAATGCCCTAATTTAATTAAAACCAAGCCAATAGGTTTAATTTTTAAGTTTAATTATATTAAGCTATATCTGTTTGATTCTTCTACAAACTAGTTAAGTATTATTTTTGAGTGTTCATTAACTAAAGATTACAAAAAGCTATTCAAATCATTTTGTTCTGTATTGATTTATTATTAATCTAATTAAGATACAACATCTTAAATTGCTTACATACCTTTGTTTTCAAATTTCTAACCACTCGAATCACCTTAAACCATTTTACTCTTTTATTAAAAATGTTTATTATTTATTACACAAAACTTTAAATAAATTTGATTATTTGTTGCAAACTTTTTAAGTAAATAAAAAAAATCAGAATTTTTTGAGAAAGAGTATCAAGGAAGTATGAATGAAAAATAAATATTAACTTTTTAAACAAAATTCAAATAGATTAAAATAAAATAGCTTACTTGAAGTAGCTTTAAGTCTCTATAGAGTGAATTAAGGTTAGGGTGATTGTATAAAATGGAGCTAGATTAACACTGCTCAATGTAATCAATCAAAGATATTAATATATGGATGAATTATTTTGTTGGAGATTTTAATATTGTGTAAATCATTTCTAAAAAGAAAATCAACTCATTTTAGTAAACTTCTTTCAAAGTTGTATTTTAAGTTTATTAATTATAATTCTTCCATTCTTCGAAAATAAATGTCTTTTCTGTGTTTTTTTAAGACGGTTCTTGCTATAAAATAGGATTTGTTTATTTATTTATAAAAGATCCTGAAAATTGTTTATCAATTAAATGAGAAGCAGCTATGTGTTAAGATGAAAGAACAGTTTATCTTATGTAAAGAAACTTTTATTCTATTTTTTTGACTGCACTGTCGCTTTCTTCTTCTTTCCTTTAGCAAAGGATTCCAAGAAAGCAAACATAAGCTTCTACGAGAACTATAACAAGATAATCAGATAAACCCATTTGTAAGAATAAAGAAGTAGCAGGCAATAGACAACTTAAGGCATCATTTAATTCTCCATTTTGCTAGAATGCTCTGCTTAAATAAATCCAATTCTTAGCATACTTAAATAGTAATGCTTTATCTTTTTCATTCAATTAAAGGTGATTAAAACTTATTTTATTTTGCTAATTTACTAACTAAGAAGGAACTTTCGTGATTGAAATATCGTCTATTGCACTTATTGTAAGTACAGGTTTTCCTCCTTTTTGTCTTGCATTTTATAAGAAGTTGGTATTACTATTTATTGCATTATTTTATTGTAATCCACTGATTCCTTAAAACAATTATACTTCTTAATTGTTATTATAGTTGTTTTTAGCATGAATATAAGGACTTGATTAAGAAAAATTAATGTTTCTTTGAGAAATTGCAGGATCTTTACACTCCTGTGTATTTAAAATAATAAAATTGTTTGCATGTTCATCAAAAAAATCAACAGATTTTTCACTGGTTCTGTTAATTAAATTATCAAACATAGATTCTATTCTTTTTTGATGATACTGAGCCAGCGTTTTAGTATCTTTCTTGGGTTAATTATTCTAGTTAATAACAATATTTTTTGCACTGTTTCCATTATGGAAGGCTTTTATAATGCCAATTCCACTAAATGCAAATTATTTTTCTTCTATATCTTGATCAACTTTATCAAGCTAAAATTCTTGTACATTATTACCTTAATAACTAGCTTTTTTTGTTAATGAATTTAAATATTGAGACATATTTTAATTTTTTTTATCACTTTTCGAAAGCAAATAATTATCTTTTATAATTTTTTTCTAAAAGTGAGCATTCCCTTTATTAGATTTATTTTATCCACTTTAGAAACTGCTTTACTTTTAGATTTACAGATTTAAATTATTTTCATTTTAATTAAAGCAGTTTTATTATATATTCTATTATGATTCGTTCAATATATTCTTATGAGAGGAGTCATTTAAGTTGTTTACACCTACAAAAGTGCCACTAGGTAAGCACTAAGGTTTAACCTCAAAACTAGTAAACTGTATATCGCAGTCCGTATGTGTATTCTATGTACCTGGTTGATAATCTTTTAGTTAAATATTTTAGAGATATTATTAACTTTACAAACAAAAAAATTTGAGCTTTCTCTAATACTTACAAATTTTATGTAATTAATTATTTTTAAAGTTTTTAAAGAACAGTTAAAGAATTACTTTCTTGTTTATATTTCTATTGAGAGTTAATATGTCTTTTATTTTTATGCATCTAAATAGATTAATTTTCGTCATTAATGCTCGGTGGAATAATCCTCTGTATCGTTGTATTATTAGATTATTAGTTTTATTTATCCTATCCTATTTAAAAAGATAATTAATTGATCATTATCAAGCCAAAATTTATATTTTTGCTAATCTATCTTTTTCTAAATATAATGTCAAAATAATTAACAAACCTCTATAATTTTAATGAATTGGCATGAGGTCTTATACATTGAAATCAGATTTTGAAGGTTTCCTCTAAATTATATAAGTATAACAGTTAAATAAAATTTACTGTAAATGATTACTCTAAGAGCTGAAAAAACAATAAATTTATGATTTAAAGAGCTTATAATCTCTATGCAAAACTCCTTTACAACTTCAAAGAATTGTTTTGTTTTAAAATTGATTATTTAAATGATTTTCATTCAGTAATATAATTTTTCTAATAAAACATACGCTATTTTGTTTAGAGCTAGGAACTCCTTTTGATGTACAAGAGCCCATACTTATTTTAATTACTTTTGTATTGATTGCACTTTAATTTTAATTAACAACTCTTTTTCAAAGTAAATATTTATAAGTTTATTTAATTAATTCATTTTAACTTTTAATAATGCTTAATAATATCAAAATCAATTAACAAATTCAGCAAGAGACTAACTTAAAAATTCAAAGAATATTTTGCAGCAGTTTATAGTGGTTAAAGAAACTCTTAAAAGGTAACCATAATTAGAAATAAGAAAAGCTATCCATCAATTTAATTTTAAGTATTTTCAAAGTTTGTTAAACAACTCGCTAATTTCTGGCCTTTCAATTAATAATTTAAATTTAAATTATTTTTATAAGTTTAAAAAATAATTTTTATTATCAATTCTTTGCTAGCTTTAAAAAGAAAAAATATGAAATAGTCAAATTTATATTTCATAAATTAAACTTAAGTATAAAAAAATGCTTATTATATCACTAAATTATTAAGTAAAAAAAGTCAATAAAACTAATTTTGGGTTTTAAAAGCAATTTTTTAGCTTTTGAAATAATTAGACCAAACTTTTTATTTTAAATTAAATTTTGATTCTAGTTTTGTAGCTTAGTAGATTTAATTTATTTTATCTAATGCAGAATATCTAGCTTTATTTCCTTGATCTAATATTCAAAAATTTTAACATAAATATGTGTTAATGAAAAAGTTACATGTAACTTGAAATTTTGATTATTTTATGGGTTTTCACTATAATTTGTGGTAAGCTATAAATTATATATCTAATTCTTTTTCTATTTAAAAGGCCAAATAAATTTAAAATTTATAAAATAAGTTTTAATTATTAGATTATTTTTTAATTAGTATCTGGCTTAAAGTAAATATTTTAAACCTAAACTCCTCCAAATAATAAAAGGATTTGTATTAATTCTATTTTGATTGGAATAACTATGAAAGGATATCTTCATTTTATAGTTTTTATTTATGAATGTTTCTCACTTAAAATATTTACTTACCAATCAAAATTTAATTTAGAATTTAGCATCGATAAATTTAGTAATGAATGCTATTGATTGTAAGGAATAAATGAATGAGGAAATGAGGCAGAAAATAAATAAAACGATAATAAATACAAAATATTAATAATAAATTAATTATAAGTCTTCTTATTAATAGCTTTAGTTGAGCACTTAAATAGCTAATTCAAATCTTAATAAAAATAAATAGTAAATAGCACGATTATATACAAATTTAAAGTTTATAAAATTACATTAGCATAAATATAATTTATAGTCAGCTACAAGAAAATATATAGAATATTATTAGTTATTTAGAATCTTTGAAATAAGTTATGTATTAGCAATAACCTCCATATTAAAAACCTTCTAAATAAGGTGGCTTATATTCCCTTAATTTAGGATAAAATAATGGACCTTATTTAACTAAAGACATTATGATAACAAATCATAAAAGTCTTTAGCTTTTAAACGGTAAAGATGAAGTTGCCAAGAGTGCAGCCAGCATTCTTTCAGGAGTTGGAACTTCTATTTTAAATGCTCCAACAGTAATATATGAACCTCCTGATATTTATGATGAAAGAACATAATAATTTACAAATTATGATGAAAGGTATCAAAGTAAACTCTCAGCATCTGATAGTATGAATAGCGTAACTTAGCTTATTATGGTAATAGGATTTATTTTTTTGTATATAACTTTATATAAAAATATGTATTCTATAAAATTTATATGCAAACAAGCTTATTTTGGTTCATTAATTTTTAAATAAATAACTTGCATAAAGCTCTCTAAAGAAATTGCAAAAAAGTGTGCTAATAGGATAAACAATTTTATAAAAAATTGAAATGAAGCAAATAATTTTTTATGATTAAATTATATCTGTAAAAAAAGGAACGAGTTTCAAGAGCGAAAGAGTCTTCAAAAGAATATGAGGAATTAGCTAACGAGTACAAAAGAGATTTAGAAAATATATAGCATACTATACATAATAACAATATCAACAATATAAAAGAAATATAACCGATGCTTAGAGAGTTTCACTAAAGATTAAAAGAAAGGCTTTAAGAAGAAAAAAACGAAAACTATAAATTATAAAGAGAACTAGAGTAACTAAATAGAGATAAACTATAGCTCTAATAATAACTGTTATTTTGCAGTAAACGTGTTTAAGATTTGCAAAAGTATACAGGTATTTTAAATGTAGAACCTTAGTATAATGAAGGTAGTGATGATGAAGATTAAGAATCTGATAATGATTGAAAAAATTAAAAAATTTTAATTTAATTTGCTTATGTATTTGAATTTATAAAAAATAAATGTATAGAATTTAATAAAATTAAAAAAATAATTTTAATTAAAAACTATTTCAATTATGATATTGAATAATTATGAAATTTAATCGACGTTTTAATTTATAATAAATTAATTTGATTTCAATTCAACCAACAACAAGAATCTATTTAATTGTATAATTTAATTTAATTAAATACAATTTAAGAATTAATTAATTTTATATAAAATTGCAATTAATTATTTTATAATTGTTGTTACTCATCAAATACTTACTTTCTTATAATTTATTTTAAGTTCTACTATATAATTCCTTTTTTTTAAAAAAAATATTTTTCAAAAGTAGTTAATTTATTTTAATAAATTAAATTTTAAATTAAAAAATTTTTAACAAGAGTTATAAATCTTAGGGGTTTAATTTAGGATAACACAAAGTAATTTAAATTTTAGATTACTAAACTAAAAATAAAATAGTTTGAAGGTCTAATTGTTAAAACTTTTGATTAATTTTATTTTTATAAAATATATTTTATTATTCTTGAAAATAAAAATATGACATTTTAATCTTAAATTAATTAATTAATTATTTTATGACTAATTAAATTGGTATAAAATTTTAAATTTAAATAGAAGGAAGAAAATTAAAATTAGCATTAACATTAAATAATGTAAAATGATAAATTAATTTTATTGCAAGTAAAAATAAATTTAATGCAAACAAATTAATATATGAATGATAATCAAAATCTGGTTAATAGTTAGAAAATTTGTTTGGATAAATGAAAGCAAATAAATAAATAAATTGAAGAAAAGAGTAGAATAATGAATTAAAATGATAAAATAATTAAGTAAAATATAAGAAAGAAAAGAATAAGAGTAGAGAATAAATATGAAAAGAAACAATTAGAATCGAAAGCGAAGTGTTAATAAATATGAGAAATTGAATGAAAATATCTTTCAAGATTAGAGAGAATCTTTATTTGTTTATTTATTGTGTTAATGATAATTAATCACTATGAATGGGTTTTTAAATTTTGCAAAATAAAAAAATAAATCAAAAACAAAAATTAATTAAAATATATTGAATAATATTCAAAATTAATATTGAATCTATTATCGTTTTAGTTAGAAAGCAAAAAAAAGATACAAGATGGGTGATCCTTTTTCATATAATGGTGGTTCAATGCTTGCCATGAAGGGTGAATAATGTGTAGCAATAGGTGCTGATCGTCGTTTGGGTGCATAATTCCAAACTGTAGCCACCAATTTCCAAAAGGTTTTCAGAATCTAAGATAATATTCTTTTAGGTTTGACTGGTCTTGCAACTGATGTTTAAACATTGTAAATTAAAAATAAATGATTATTGAATTAGAATTTAAAAGAAAAATGTTTAATTCACGAAATGTCATAAATAAAAAACACAATTTCATCAATAGATGAGATAGTAGACATTAAATGAACACTTTTCATGAGCTTTCAATAACTAACAGAAGCCATATATTTACTTTTTTAATTTAAAATATAGCCACCGTTTAATTTAATATAAAGTAAACTTATACAGACTTAGAGAAAATAAAGACATGAAAGTTAATACTTTTGTAAATCTTATTTCTGCTACTCTCTACGAAAAAAGGTAAACAAACCAAACCTATTTTCTACTTTAACTTAAGACGCAAATCATTAAATATCTTTTGTTGATAAACTGTTTGGTGTAAAAACGTAAAGAATGTCAATCAAAATTAATTAATGAGATTGTCATCTTTACTTGGAGAATACATCTTATTAATAAAGTTATTCAAATAAATGTTATTAAGGAAGGCTTTTTAAATTAGATTTAAAATCTTTGCACAATTTAATGAATCGTAAAGACAATAAAAACATTTATAAAGAGCTTTTTAATTTAAAAATAAAAGAGGAAAGATTTGCTAAAGATTATTTATTTATTTATTTTTAGATAATAAAATCACAATAATTAGATGATTTACATTAATTTTATTAATTTGGTAATAAATCATTTTTAAACTAAAATAGATGGGGTCCTTATTTTGTTTCACCTATTGTTGCTGGTTTAGAATATGATGAAGTAAAAGGTGTTATTCCAATCACTGCTACTTATGACTCTATCGGTTGTACCTCTATTGAAGGAGAATTCTAAGTTGGAGGAACTGGTGCTGATGGTTTAATAGGTTCTTGTGAATCCTTCTGGAGAAAAGGTCTCAAGCCCGATGAGTTAGAAGACATCGTTGCATAAAGTTTAAGTGCTGGTTGTGATAGAGATATTCTTTCAGGTTGGGGTGGAGTAGTCTACACATTGTAAATATATTTAAAATAATTAGCAAATAAATAAATTTTTTATTTAAAATTAGAACCAAAGACAATTTATCAGTAAAAGTACTTAAGACCAAGCAATCTTGATTTTTATATAAAAACAATAATAACTTTTATGCAAATTAAAACAATATTAAAATTAAATAAAAAATTTTAAAACACCTTATTTTTTATGTTTTATATGAATAATGTATTTTCCTCAGATTTAAGTTTTCTTGATACAAAAAATAACTAAGTAAGCACTTAATATATTTAGCACTACTAGAATAAAAGTAAATGAAAAATAAGCTAAAAATAGAATATTCATTTTCAACTTTCATTTCTCGAAAAATAAAATTAAAATTAAACAAATTTTAAAAAAATTAAATTATAAAATTCTTATTTTAAATTCAATATGAGTGTATTAAAGTAATAAAAATTTTCATAACTTTAAAATTAATTAATGCTAACATGAATAAATTTAAGTAAATTATTTTAGATTTAAAACTAATATAAATATTTCTAACCAATTATTCTGTTATTATAAAAAATCAAGTAAAAAAATTTATTAAAATAAATAATTAGTTGAATAAATTAAATATTAATATTAATTTAAATAAATTGTTTTAGATTTAAAACTAATATAAATATGTTTAACCAATAGTTTTGTTATTGTAAAAAATAAGTTAAAAAATGTATTAAAATAAATAATTAAATAGTTGTATAAAATAAATTATTGATAACAATATATTTAAACAAACTATTTAAATAATTGCAAATATTTAAAATAGAGAAGTGTTAAAAATTAAATTTTTTAAAATGAAAAATAATTTTTAAAAACAATTCTTTGTAATAAATTTAAATAAATAAAAATAGAATAAATTTCATACAAATAGATCGAATTCTTTTTTAAAAATTCTTCAAAAAATTAACAAACAATTTTAAAATATAATAAAAATTTGTATTTACATAAAAAATGAACAATTTGAATAAATAAAAATATTTTAATTGCTTTTTTTAAATTAGAAAATAAGAAATAAATTTAAAATAGTGTTTGTGATATTAATAAAAAATATTGTTAATTACCAACTTTATTTCACACTCTTAATTGGTTAATAAATTTAAATTTAAAATTTTATTTGCCAAATCTTATTTTACATGAAAAGCAAGCATCAATTATTTATTTTAAAAATCAATCAATAAATTATGAAATGAAAATTTCAAGTAAAACTATAAAACACAAAGATTAATAGATAGACAGTACACTTGCAAAGTAGAAAGAATATAAAAATAGATTGAGAAACTAACATGTTGGATTATATAAAATGGATTTTAATACGAGTAATTTTTAATTGAAATCATCTATATACTTTATAATTTTATAAGATTTAGTTAGTTATGAGATAGATTGATATTTAGGTAGGTATTTTTGTTGGTAAGTAGTTGTATAGATGGATGGATATTTATTAATATATTTAGTATAGAATACATTTATATCCTTATAAAATTATAAGCATATAACTTTAATGCACTTTTTTTGTATTTTTATTCTTATTTTACTTAAAACTTTATTTATATTTACCATATTATTTATTCTTCAGAAGGAAAAATTCAGCCAAACCATATTATTAAGGTTATTTGTATTATTATTCTTAAGATATGATGATTGTCCTTAATTGTTTATTTTTGTTAATTTTAAGGCTGGCTTTTTACGCCATATTAGCTCAAAAATCATCTTTAATTTATTTCTATTGTTAATTATTATTGTGTCTATGACTAAGTTTAGCATAATTGATAATGTACAGGCAGCGGTATTTTTTTTATATAGTAAGCTACTATAAAAAATTATTGGTAGGATTTACTAATTATTGTTGTATATGTATGTATGTATGTTTGTTTGTTTTTTTGAGAGAATAAAAAAATAATTAATATTTTAGCTAAATAAATTAGTTTCAATCATCGTCATTCATTCATTCACTCATTGTGGTTGTTCTTTATTTATTTATTGATTGAGTGATATTTCAATTAAAAATAGGTAAAAATACTAAGTTTTTTATAATAAAAGCAAAATTTTACCTAATTTATTTAAAAAATAATCTTGAATTTTTCATCTGAATTTTAAAATACTTTCTGGATTGCTTGGAGCTTTTGTGTATTTATAATTATTGTTATTATTATAATTTACAGAATAATTTTAAATATTTTATTGTCCGGGATATTAGTGGCTGTAATTATTGCTGCCAGTGCTATTACGATTTTTATTAAAATATGTATTTCCATTACTGTGCACGCTGCTTACACTAGATTGGTTTTAATTTTATGGATTATTATTACTGATACTTAGCGTTGAGTATGCGTTAGTTAATTCTAAACTATCTATTTAATCTCTTTCATTTACGACTCCAACAGAGAATCCAATATTTTATGATTGTTAACTTTATGAAGAATCAGATGATGATATTGTTTGTCCTGTGAGAGAATCGTCGAAAAAATTTAATTTTTTTGATATTTGTTGCATTTCGCTAGAATCAAGATATCTTCTCACAAATTTTTTGGACTTTTTAGGAGGATGAAACCAAGAATTTTTTTATTCTAACTGCTCTAATTATCTTGCAGGCGGTGTAATGTAACTATCAGCGCTGCCAAATTCTACTCGAGAAATAGCTGGCTCAAAATGATGTATATAATTATCAGTAGCAATTTAATAGGTAGTATTGCTTCGTTAGGTTTATTGAGTACTGTTTCTCTGGTAGCAGCTTTCGACTGAGTCTCTTTGGTTCATTTGATTCTTAACACTTTAAGCAATTCAATAAGAGCTATCTATCTATGTGTGTTGTTTATTTACTCTTCTTTACTTGCTATTATTGCCCTCTATCTCTTTTGATGGTTTTTGTTTTAATTGAGTTTAATAATTTTTAGTTTTAAGTTTTTTATGTGATGAGTATTAACCCTTTTTTTCTGACTTTTGTTTGCGAAATTTATTAATAATATAAACTAAGCCTTATTAATTTTATTTATTATTTTTTATTTTTAGAATTAAAATTTAATGTTTTCCTAAATATATTAATTTATTTATTAATTAATTATTCAATATCAATAACCCAATTTATTAATTAATCAATTTAATAAATAACTAATTATTCAATATGTGTTTGGCGGATATCGCGCAATTATAAATTTATAATTATTTATTTTATTTTCTGAGCAAGTGCAGCCAATATTCAAGAAACAACTACTTATTCTTTAATTCAATTAATTCACTCATTCATTCATTTCTTAATAAAAACTAATAATTTAATAGATATCTCCCCGCTTGCTTTAATTAATTTTAACGTATATTTATTTTTTGGCTAGCTAGCTATTTGATTGTCTTCTTTATTAAATTCATGCATTAGTAAATAAATATCTTGTTTTTACTTGCGTCAAAAGATGTATTTATTTTTTTATTAATTAATTTCTTTTCCTTTTAATTTAATTTATATCAGTAAATTTATTTATTGCTGTTTAGCTATTTTCTTTCATTTTTCATATCTTTCTCTACTACTAACAAAACAAAGAAAAATTTTAATTTTGGTCATTTCTTTCATTAAAAATCTTATTAATAATGAATTCGGACCAAATATTTAATAAAAATTATAATTAAATATTTATGAATTTAAAGAGAGAGAACAGATGATTAACTTTAAAAAAATATTATCAATATAAAATTAATTCTAAAGCAAAATCTACTATAGAAATATCTTTTATAAACAAGCGCTGAATATTTCATCACTCTAACTAATAAATACACATTATCACTTGTTAAGAATTTAGAATTCATTTATTTTTCTGATTAAGTAGACCGATAAATATTTTTATTTATTTCATTTATTAAATTCTGTTATTTTAAGTACAAATTAAAGTATTTAAAATTATTATTCAATTTTAATTTATTTCAACACACATAATTAATTAAATAATTTTATGAATAAACTTTATTAAATTGCTTAATTCAATTAACTAAAAAACAAATATTAAATAAAAAGCAAACAAAAATCTTTAAATTTATTTAATTTTTTAAATTTTCTAGTTCAAATTTTTAATAATTTTTTTTTTTATTTTGTTAAAATTTTATATTATATACAAGATTTTTATTAATCATTTTTTTACACTCATTCAATCACTGTAGTACGAGTATTCGGATTCTTCTGCCTCCTATTACTTATTCTATTGATTATTGTTTAAGTTATTTTTCATCATACTAGTTTCTTTAGCAATGTCTATGGTATCTTACCTTTTACGAGTTTAAATTTACTGTTATGCTTAGTTCTATTATTAATTGTTTTGTTAAGGCTATTGCTGAGGTGCTTAGTTAGGTTATCCGAATTTAGCTGTTGTATTAAAATTATTTTGAGTTGCTTAGCCTTAGTTTTAAATTTATTGTTGGGGCTCTAAATTGCTTTTATTTGCTTGTTATATTTGATTTTGCTAGTTTTTTATCTAAGATTATTATTAAGGCAATTAACTTGATTACCCAAAATTAGCTGTTTTGCTAAGATCATTTTTAACCACTTAACCTTAACTGTTATTTTACTATGAAGCTGGTAAGTTATTTTTATTTATTTATTGTTACTGTATAGGTTTTTGATTGCTTTTTTCATCTTCCTCATCACTGTAATATGAATACTCGCTTTCTTCATCTTATTTTTTTGGCTATGCTTATTATGTTTACTGCTATTAAACAGCAGGTTTTGATTATACATTTTAATTTTATTTAATTTAGGATTGCGGTTACTACTCCTGCTGCTTTACTTAAGAGCCTGTGCTTTATTAGCCTTATTTTTAATTATTGTTCTATAAAGGATTAGCTACATTAACATTTGATAATTAACTTTGTTGAGTAGGTTTAGTCTATTAAACTTTAGTCTTAGGTTCTGATTCATATTCTGACTCTTCCTCATATTCAGACTGCTATTAAGCTTTATTTTATGCTTAAGATTATAATTGTTATTATTGAACAGGCTAAGAAGGCTTTATTTAACTTTAGTTTTAAGAAACATTGCTATTTTATTGCACATTTTGACTTTGCAACGTCTGAGCTTTGTTTTATACTTAGGTTTGTTACTAGATAGGCTAAACTTGTTTTATTTAACTTTAATTCTATTAAATATTACTATTTTATTGCATATTTGAGTTTTGTTATTAACTTGTAGCTTATTATTATTAAATTTATTTCTAACTATTATCCTAAACGACAGAATTATTTTGTTTAACCTAACTTTCTTAAACTTAGTTTTATTTTTAAGCTTCTTGCTTAGGAGGAATAACTGATGGAGCTTTCTACTTAGATTTTTCTTCTTCTTCTGACTCCTCTTCATACTCAGATTCATTTTTTTGTTATTAAGCTTTATTTTACATCTAAGATTGTTATAGCTTATCTTTACTTTAATTTTACTCTTTATTACTATTTGCTTGTTAGTTTGAGCTTTATTGTTATACTTGCTATTAGTTTTTATTGATTTAACTATCATTTTAGCCTTATTAAATATTTTATTTTTTATCATTGTCTTAAATATTAGATCCATTTTATTTAACTTAGCTTCCTTAAGCTTAAATTTACTTTTAATCTTCTTACTTAGGAAGATTTACTTATGATGTTTTCTACCCAGATTCAGATTCCTTTTACGAAGGCGGTTGTTGAAGTTTACTTTAAGCTTAGTTTTAAACTGTATTGCTGCCATTTGATTATTAGCTTGATGTTTATTATTATTGTTAAGCTTATTATTAATTTTTACTATTTTAGTTTTCATTCTAATTCTATTAAGATTTCAGTTTGCTATCATTTTCTAAAACAACTTTTCCTTAAACTTGATTTTATTTTTAATCTTCTAAATTAGGTGGGTTTGATTATTATTATTTCTTAGCAGCTTCTGTTTCTTTTTCTTTTTACGTTTATGCTTATGATTATATAGATTGAGATGGCTGATCTTATTAGATTTTATTTTAAGTGATATTACTATTTTATTATAAGTTAGAACTTTATTAGCCTTGCTGTAAGTTTTTACTATTTTAGATGTCATTATGGTTTTATTAAGAAGACTTCAATTTGTTATCATTGTCTTAAGTAGCTGAACTATTTTATTTAATTTAACTTCCATCAGTGTGACCTTATTTTTAAGCTTCTTACTGAGCAGGCTTAGCCTGTTACTGTTTCACGGCTTCAATTTCATTTTCTGATTCCTCTTCTTCATATTCAGATTAATTTTATTATTTCTAGTTTTTATTTTAAACTTGGGCTTGTTATTAAATTGGCTATGAAGACTTCATTTAATTTTAATTTTAAGCTATTTAACTATTTTATTATGAGTTTTATTTTTATATTTCTTCGTTCTTTTAAACATTTTAACTTTGTTATGGTAATTAAATTTATGAATTTTAGTTTTTTACTGCAGAATGTTATTGAATTTATTGGTCATGCTTCTCTAAAGGCTACGAAATTTAATTGTGTTAGCTTTATTGATTATCTTTTTAATTATTTTAGGTAAGATTACCATTTTAAGGCTATACTTTTATTTAAGTATTTGCTTGACTATTTGGTTATACATTACTGTTAGATTAATTATTATTTTATATTTGAGTTTTCTATTACTTTTAATTTAAATCTTCTTCTGCTTCAGATTCTTCATATTCAGACTCTTCTTCATTTTATTAATGTTTATTAGGGATGTTTTATTTAGGTTACTATTAAATTTGCTTTTAAGATGAGGATAGTTATCCATTATTTTGAGGTAAAATTTATTATTACTCAGGTTTTGAAGGATTTTATGAATGTTGATTAACCTTAGATTATTCTAGCTTATTCTATTCATTGTTATTTTTGATCTCAGGTGATTTCTATTATGATGCTAATTCTTCTGTTTGCAATTTAACTTCGCTTTATTTAGATTAATTTTCTAACGAAGTATTATTTTATTTTAGCAAACTTTTTACAGCAGAGTTTTTTTGAATTTCTTAATTTTATGAACTATTAGTTTTATTTTCTTACTAAGCTACTGTTTTATCAAGATGTTTTTATTAGTCAACTTAGTTTTTCTAAAAAGTTATTTTTTATTAACTTTCACTTTCTGATTCATCATATTCAGACTCTTCTTAATTTTGTTATGGTTTTTATTAGTTTTGTTAGTTGGCTGTTTAGTTTACATTTTTCTAAATTACTTGCTCTTTATGAGATTGATTATCTTATTATAATTTTTTTTCTTATTTAGTTTCTGACTTACTCTGTTACTCGATAGCAGGCTAACTTTATTAATCAGCTACAGATTTTTGTTTTTCCAAAACTTATCCTTATTTTATTTGCGAATTTTATACTTAATTTTGTTAATTAGTTGCTTTCTCTAAGGCTTTCTGTGACTAAATTTAGTGTTAGACTTAATCTTAGTTTTATATTGTAGCTTGATTTTACTATGGATTAACTTACTAAGTACTTTTTTTAGCATTTTAATCTTATGCTTCGCTATTACTAGCATTCTTTTGCTATTGTTAAACATCTTTTTCTAGTTGCTATTTAGGTTATTCTTAACTTTTCTATTATTATTATTATTATTATTATTATTAAACAGCTGTTTAATCGGGTTAACTTTTTTAACCTTAGCTTTAATTAAGATTCTAAGTATTCTAATTTTAAAAGTTTGGTTATTTCTAATCAACTTTTTAAGATTAAGCAACTTAATCTTATTATGATTTTAGTTAATCTTTTTACTATATTACAGGCTCTAATTTTTATTAGGTTGAATTCTTTTATACTTTAGATTGTTCTATTTATTTTTATTAAACATTTTTAATAGGTTCTTCTTCAGATTCTTCTTCATACTCAGATTCTTATTTATTTTACTATACCTAAGGATCTTTTTTCTAGCTCTAAGATTATTGAACCTAAGTTTAATTCTAGTTATTGTTCTTCTCTTATGAATTTTTTATGTTTGAATTTTCTTATTTAACTTGCTACTAATTTTTAACAATTTCATGTTGTGTTTATTAAGGTTTAGAAGCTGGTTGCTAAAACTAAGATGTTTAAGGCTATTTTTCATTTTATTTTTGTTCATTTTACACCTATCCATTTTATTAGCTGCTCTATTTTTTTAATTCCTATTTCACAATAGAATTTTAAGACTAAGGTTGTTACTTAATTTTATTTTATTCAGTCTCTTATTCAGATTCTTCATATTCTGATTCCTCTTGATTTTATTAAGATTTTATTGTAGGTTATTATGCTTAAGTTTTTTATACTTGAGTTTGATTTTAGCTAGTTTATTTATTTTTACTAGCATCTTAATTATTTGATTATTATTATTATTTTAATGCCTGCTATTATGCTTAATTAGTTTGTTTTTAATTTTAGGGTTATTCAGTTTCATATTCGGACTCCTCATATTCTGATTCATTCTGTTTTTATTAGGTTTTAACAACAGGTTATTATGTTTAAGCTTTTTAGGTTTAAGATTAATTTTTGTTTTAGTTATTTTATTTTTCTTAACTTTGTAAATCATTTTATTTAATTTCTTCTTATTTAGGTTATTGTTACTAAACCTAAGAAGATTATTGTGAAGAAGATACCTTCTATTTATATTCTTCAGTTTATGAGTCTTTTTATTATGATTTTACAAGAGGCTGTTATTCTTAGTTATTTTGTGTTTGAGATTTATTTTCGCTGTGATTTATTTATTTCTCCGGGACTACAACTTTATTTTACTATGCTTAGTCTTATTTAGTTTTCTATTATGCTTAATTTTATTATTATTAAGGAGCTTTCTATTCAGTTTCATATTCAGATTCTTCATACTCAGATGCTTCTTATTTTTTTTATTGATGATTAGCAGGTTTTTATGCTTGAGTACTAGTTACTTGATTCTATTTCTAGCCATTTTATTTATTTACATCCTAATCATATTTTTGCTAATTAAATTCTTATTTCTCCTAAGATTTTTAATTTGGTTATTTTTAATTTGTCTTTTCACTTTATTATTCCTAAACTTGATATTCAAATTATTCTTACTATTTTTATTACTTAATAGTAGGTTATTGCACTTACGATTATTAAACTTATGCCTAATTTTTGCTATTTTAACTTTATGCAGCTTATTAATCTTATTTTATTTAAGATTTTTGAGCTTGAGATGGCTGTTATTATTGCTTTTATTCAGTTTCATATTCAGATTCTTCATATTCTGATTCTTCTTACTTCTATTAAGGCTTATTAGAGGTTGGCTATGTTTATGCTTATGTTTTTTGTGATTAATTTTAATTTTAACTTGAAGAATTTTATTTTTTTATAGCTTGTTCATTTTTTCCTTCAACAGTATCTCTGCTGGATGGTGCTTTTTATACTTGAGTAGATTATTTACTTTCAGGCTTTTAGCTTTGATCCTATTCAGATTGTTGATTTCCATTATGGGGTTTTGACTAATTTTATTGTTAAGACTATTATTTTTCAACTTAAGGAACATTATTTTAACTTTATTGAGGTTAAGTAAACTACTTTTCGGCTGATTATTGCTATTATAGCTTTAGGTCTTTTTGTTAATTTTATTTATTGCTGCTTCTTACATTCACTGTTTCTGAATCATATGAAACATCTTTTTCTTATTTAGTCTATTATTTTGGTGAATCAACATTTTATTTTTGTGGAGTTACCTCATTTTAATAAGGAGTTTATTTATTTGAAAATTAGTTTGTAGAATTTGTATCTGCTTATTGGTTTTTTTAGGTATTTTAATTTTACTATTCGACTGAACTTGTTTGTTTAGATTTTGAATTTTTTTCTAAGTTATTAGGTTTTTTGATAGGAGCTGTTTCAGAATAATATTCACACTAATCAGCTTCGCTTTATTAATCTGAAAATTTGCTTGATTATTTTTGAGTAGAATTTTATTTTTCAAGGACTTAAGAATTCTATTATTAATTTTAAGTTTGAGATGATTATTTTTTAACAAAAGATTTATTTTCTAAAACTGCATCTTAATCATCTACCTCATCTTTGTGTTATTTCGCAAAAGCTTCTTTAGTTCTTGATTGAGAATCAGATTTATTCTAGCTCTAACGATTTTCAGCAAACGTAAAATCACTTTATTCTGTGTTTAAATTCTTAGTGCTCTGCTTTGAGTATTGTTAGTTTTACTATCTTGTTTGTGGTGATTGTCTCTAGCTAGAATGTTTTGATGAATTTTTACTCTATTCTCTTTTCATGTCAGTTGTTTTGGATAAATTTATTTTTTGTTATTAACCATTTCTTGTATTGCTTCTTGATCTATAAAAGGATTAGTTTAGATGTCTTTGATTGCTTATTTAGCTCTCTCTGTCATTATAAAAGCCACTTGTTTAGCTTTTTCTAATAATTTCTTAAATTGAAGCGGAGCCCCTTCTACTTTTGTTGTTAATTTTTTAAGAATTGTTTCTAGACATATTATTCTAGGGTTATGCTTCTATTGATGATAAATCGTGGTTATAAATTTTTTCAATCTCTTTAATTTTATTTTAGGCATTATTTTTTCTTTTTAACTTTCTTTTGCTGAATGGTGAAGATTTACCACTACTTTACTGTGCAAGTGATGAAGATCTTCCGCTTTTAACTTAATTATTATAAGTATATATCTATTCAAAATAAGGTTTTAAACCAGGATGCTTATTACTTCCTTCTCTTTAAGTCCTTTAGCTAGATAAAAAAAATCTTATATTGAATTAATTTTATTAATATTTTACTTAGAATAACTTTATATATCTTCAGGGATGCTTCCTTAAATGCTTGAGTTGTTTCTAGATATAATTTCATGGATTGATGAATATTAAGGAGATACTCTGTTTTAGTTTACTGAGTTTGTATGTTCTTTTAAAGGAGAGTCTATATAATAGAATTAAAATTGAATTATTATATTTATTTATGATAAAAATAATCTTTTAATTTACTCTTAGAAATTTGACTCTATTCAACATATTCTAAGAAAGAATTATTCTTTGTAAGATTTTTTGTACTTTGTTTGTTAGAATTGTTGGTGATATTTTTTTATGAGTTTTTAGTATCGCTTCCGCTATTTAAGACACTACTATAATTTTTATTTGGTAAAGGTGAAATGGATCTAACTTTAGGCCTGTAACTTAAACTCTCTTCATTAATTGCTCTTTATGTGTATTTCTAAATATTTTTATAGTTTATTTATCCTTCTCCTTAATCTAAGTAAGAGCTATTGAAATCATTCTGGTTTTTTGGTTTTTTCTTTTCTGAATATAATATTTAACTATTATTATAATTTATTGAGTCATTTAATGAGTCCTTAGGAAGGTTTTATTTAGATTAAATCGGTGAAAGCTACCTTTTAATATACTTAGGGTTTTAAGGAGTTTAATTGTAAGAGTTTTCATTTTTTTTAATATATATATCACTGCTATGAATATCTAATCTATTTTGATTTCTAAGCAATTATTCCTGATTCATTTAGTAAATTTCTATTTTTCTCTTTAATTTTCTTTTAAATGGAGATTAGTTACTTTAATTGGCAGAGAATGGTTGGCTTTCTCCATCTGTTTCACTAGATGTTTTCTCACCTAAGATCTTCACTTTTAAATTTAGCTTCTCTTACGAATTGCTATTACTGTTTATTACAAAATACTCTGAACCATCTTCTTCTCTTTGTATTTTTAGCACTCCTTTTTCAGGGACACCATTTACCTAAGTAGAACTTTCTTATTCTGAATGTAGGTCTGCCTAACTTGGTTTTTAAATTTCTACCTTCCATGTATTTAATTTAGGTAACAAAACTGATTAAGTTTAATCGTATTTTTTGTTGCTTCTTGCAGGTGTATTGTAAAGAAAATTGTTTTTTGGAAGCTTGTTATAATCAAGGCTTCTTTTAACGCTTAGAGGATTTGCTGCTGGATTCTAATAAAATGGCAGGCCATTTATGTGATTGCTTTAGCTCCTAAGCTTTTTGACCCCTGAAAACTCAGATGGATTACTTTTATTGCTCTTTGAAGTTGGGAAATGTGGTAAAAAGGTGCTATTGTTATTTTTTAAATTTAAATCGTTGTCATCCTCATCTAAAAATGCACTTTTATTTATTTTATTATTGTAAACTTCATCTTTTTATGAGTCATATTCTGAATCTTAATTATTATCTGTTTTTATTCTTCTCGAAGGTTATACATAGTACTATTCTGTTCCATTAAGTGGATGTTTACTTTATTGCATATCTTATTCAGTTTTCATTCTTTCGTTTTTTACTTCTTTGACTTTTTAATCGTGATATTCAATCGATGAAAATCTCTTTATATTTTCCATATTTTGTTTCACTTCAATAGCTATATTTTATTCAAAATTCTACGATTCGGTATATCTCTCAGCTTCTTCAGGAAATCTTTTCATAAATTTTTTTTTGTTAACTGTCATAGCAAGAAGACAGCGTTTTCTGAGTTCTTCATTTGCTTTTGAGAGAGCAAAGTCAAAAAATCCAATATACTCATCCTTTTCTCTTTTCTTTTCCTTTAGATGATCTAGTACTTCGTAATATTTTTGAATATGAGCTTATTCTGTTTTTTTATTTGCACTCATATTTTATAATAAAGACTTCTCTTTTTGTAAAACAGATCTATACTTTCTAATAAGCTACTCCTATTGAGCTGCATTTTGCATATTCTACTACATTTATAGCTAGTTTTATTGACTTACTTGCTACAGAATTTCCTAAAGTCGCTAAAATTCCTCTTCTGCATTTATTATCTTTTCTTAATACTCCATAATTTAATTCTCAGTTTTTAAAAACTTGATTGTCAATTGTTCATGTATTTTTTTAGCTGTTTCCAAGTTTTCTTATTCTTATGATAATATCTATATTGTAAACTGCTCTGTATCTCTATGAGTGTCAGATATTAAAGATTACTTTTTATGGACATTAATTGACTATTTAATTGATTTGATTTCCATTTCTTCTAACACTATTCGTTACTTTAATCTATCTATTTCCCTAAGGTTATCCTAATAGTTAGTTGCATTTGGAACTTGCTAATCAAGCTATTGAATTTCTTTTTCTTATTTATAAATTTCCTTTTCGTTCAAATCAATGACTTCGTTAAGCTTCTAAAGTAATTCATTCGAAACGTCATTCTTATAAGTAGAGCTATTGTTGAATTTTGAATTGAAGTCTTCTCCCTTTTTGTATTACTTAATTAAATTTTCCTATTTTACACTATAAATACTATTAATTAAGCTCAATTAGCTAATCATCTCATTCCTATCTTGATTGATTTCTAAAAAAAATTTTTCATCTCTATTCGAATTAGATAAGTGCCTATCAACAGTGTCTATGAGTTGCCATGCTTTGCTTACTAATTTTATTATTATTTAATTTAAATTTGTTTACTTTTATTGTGTAGTTTTTATCCATTTATTTTTTATTTGTAAACAAACAAAAAAATAAAAGGCTATCAATCAATCAAACGTATCAGATGAATATAAAAATAGGTATATATAATTTTTTTACGCTAATCCTCTACAATATTTGATTACTTCTTCTAACTATAAAACTGAGTATCTAAGTATTTTAACAGTAACTTTAATATCTAAATAGATTCAACTAAAATAAAAGAACATATCTAAATAAAATAAGTTTTAGTTATACTTGCCACTGGACGAGGAGATTTACCGAGTCTATAATTATTACTGTTGTTGTTTTGAAAAAGATTCTATCTCATAAACTCTTTGCCTATTAATTAAAGTTTATATTAATTTTTTATGCAAACATTTCTTTCTCTTAATTTACCCAATCGCACTAAAATTAATTAAATAATCAGCAAGAAAAACAAAAAAAACAAAATAAATAAATAACAATAATCAAAAAGCAAATATTAGGTAAATGTTAAGCAATATAAGTTTTTGTTTACTCATATTCGATTGATCATCTGATTTTTTTTCTAAATTAGAAGCTGCTCTACCAGTGCGATCAATAATAATATAGCTTTAAACGTTGAAAATTAATTATGAAGGGTAAAATTTTTAATAAAATTTCGAAGAACAAATAAGCCAAATTAATTACTTCGAGATAAAATCCATCAAAACTGCTTCGTCTAGTGTACTTATTTATTTATGTTTAGCCTTTTTCTTAAGTTATAACTTACTATATTTTAGTTTCTCTATATTGTGCTTTTTTTAACCAAATTTATTAAATTTTTTTATTACTAAATAATTACTTCGTATATTTTCCCTCTCGCAATAGAAATTCGATCCTTAATAATTACAAATATATATTGAGAATGACTTTATTTTATAATAATATTATATGAATATTTTTGTTGTTTTCCTTTAAAAAATTCAATTTATAATTGCTTACTTAATTTCGAAATTAGGAAATATAAATTTGATAAACAAGAAAATATTTACAAGCTAATGAAGAAAATTAATAATTTAGCTTACATATTTAATAATCTAAATTGATCAAAAATCAAATATTATTTTTTAACAACTATTTACTTAATTATAAATTTATTGTTAAAATTTAAGAAAGCAGAGCAAGGATCTTCTCATTTTTAAAATAGCTTACAAATATAAATATGTAACTCAATTCTATTAAATAAATATTCTCATAAAAATAATAAATAAATTTTTTTTAATTTTAATTTCAAAAATTAAGAAAATCGTTCTAAACTTATAAAAGATTTTTCTTTTGATAATTTATTAATTTTAAACATTTTTGGATTGTTATTTACAATAAACAACTAGATTAATGAATGCATGCGTTCTTTGAGTATTTAATTATAAAAGTATTAAAATCTTTCATCTAATTTTTTATTGATAGGGTTTTAATTTATTCATTGAATAAAATTGTAACCTAAAAATTAATTTTTAAATTGACAAATATTAAAAACTCAAAACAAGTTGTTTTTAAAATAAATTTAGTACTTTTAAAATAATTAATTTATCCAAAATCTCTCACTATTTAATAATTAAAATAACTCTTTCATTTTCCTAAAACTATAAATACTATGCCAATAGCCATCGCTAAGTTAGAAATCAGACATTTACTGTAAAAATTATAATTAAAATTCAATAAAAAATTTGACAAATAATTTAACTTACTTAGTTAGTTTTTCTTGCAGATATTAATAACCTAAAAATGTGCTCATAATAATAGTTCCTGCTCTCTTTGCAGCAGTCACATAACTAACATAAAGAAGCTCCATTGCTTTGAAGTGAAGCCCTGTAGAAATATTTTCAATAAATGATAAATAACTAAAACTCTTGAAGTTCTATACAAATGCCTCTGTAAATTATTTTTTAGATCTATTTAAATTATAAAATGAATCAATAAATAACTTATCAAAATAAAATATTTTTCAATAAAATAGTTCCTTTAAAATTAAAATTAAAAGACATATTGTGAATGAAATCAATCATTTTTTACAGAAGATATCTCATGAACATCAAAGGGAAACTTATAAAGATTCTTTAAACGAGCAGTAAAAACGAAGGTGTTAGATTCAAATGAAGCATGATATGTTTTTCCTTTGTCGTTGTATAAGTCCTTTTAATATAAATTTAAGGTTAGCTATTTCAAAAAATGATTGAATTTTTAAAATACCAAATCAAGCTAACTATAATCATGAAGAATCCTCCACTTAATTTAAAGTTTTTTCCTAATAAATTGAATCTATAATAGTTTTCTTTATTTAATTCTTTAGTCTTGCTATCAATTTGCTTAATGTATGCGCCTATTAAAATTAAAATGCATCCTACCACCCCCTATAAATAAACAATTCTATTAATTTGCTTCTACTAAAAAATTTATCTACCAAATAACTGGGTACTTCGTCTAAATAAAAATATCCTGTTACTAGCAAAAATAAAGAATTCCAAGAGAGATAAGGAATGCTTGTTGATAGCGGAGCACTTGAATTTAAAGTAAAATTGCTTACTTTTTAAATCTAAAAATAATATTTTACAGATTGACTGACATATAAAAGCATGCTTGGGACCTAATTGTTTATAAAAAAATAGGAATAGAAAATTAATGTGAGATTGTTAAATTTACACTATTTTGAAAATCGATGTTATAAGTATTTGAACGACCATATTATAATTGTATTAAAGCGGAAATGAATTAGTTAGTATGCATGTGAATAATAAGTAAAAGAACCCAAAAAAGTTAGTGATAGCAACACTATCCCAAACAGTAATACCTAAACTCATTCTCTTTTTAACTAAATCTCCGTAGGACTTATTCATGTTAAAAATTGTTAAAATTATTTAAAAGATTTATTTTAATTTTAAATCAAATAAAAATTTTTGTATTCATCTTTACTCCTGCTCCTGTAGAAACAGCAGTAGCGACCCATCCCAATAGCGAGTTCATTAGCAAAAACTATTATATTTTATAAACCTAGATAATATTTTCTTCTTCTATTATTCTGATCTTACCTTCAAAAATAATATAAATTAATTTTTAGATTGTAATACTAAGAAAGGAAACAGATAGATCTTATCAATAAAAACTTATAATGAACAAAAATGTATAGCAATAAATTTTTCATCAAGTTATCCTATGCTAATTAATATCATTCAAATAGAAAAATAAAACTTTGTAGATAAAAACCCCCTTTTATTTTTGAAAATATTTTTTATAAATAAAAAATAAAAAATCATTGAATTAAATGTGTGAAAAAAAAATATTGAGGTGATAAAATAAAATTTGTATTAATTTTAAATCTTGACTTTCAAAATAATTTTATAAACTAATTAAAAATATCCAATACATATTTTACAAGAAAATGCTTATCTTTAATAATAATTATTTTATAAAAAATAATTAATCTAAAATAAAGTAAAATATTAATTTAATTGTAAAATGAAATCTTTAAAAAAATGATAAAATAAACTCTAATTTATGAGAAATATTAGATCTAAATTAATTAATGAATTTTATATATTTTACTTAATTTTAGAACTATTGCTAAAGTAAATTAAAATAATTATTTTATTTTTAATTATTTTAATTTATTGAATTTTTGTTAAATTAATAAAGAGATAAATTTTTTAGTTTCTAATAATTGATTTGAAATGGCATTTCAAAGAATATATATTCATATATAAGTAAATAATAGATATTAGCTTCTTATTACTTTTTATTATTTAAAATTACACTTATTTAGTTACAAACAAATATTTTTTGTAATAATTAATCTATTCATTTTAAGGAGTGGGAAAAGATTTCTTTAATTTTACTTATTTTGAAATTAAAAGTGTATTTATTAATTTATTTGTTTATTTTTTTTAATTTTGAATGCAAATTAGTAACAAAATTTAGTAAAACAACAAAATAGCAAAAATGTTGCTTTGAAAAAAATATTTTTTTATTAAATTTAATATATTTTTATTTGTTTTTTTTCAGAAAATTGTTGTTTTTTATAATATTCTAAATGTTTATATCCCTTTTTTGTGCACAATTTTAATCCTGCTTATTCATATTTATGTAAAATATCAAAAATCAAATAAAATCAAACAATATACTATTAAAAATATTTAAAAAAAATGGCAATTTACTGTCGCGATGGGTCTTTATGCTGTCATTTTTATAAAGCGGCGATAACTAATAATTTGTATAATGTCTATCTCGGTTAAATCAATAGCTGTTCAAAAAATATGAGCGGGGGAAGTACTTTAAAGCAACAATTTAATTGGCTAGTTTATGGGGAGAATAGATTTAAGCTCAAAAATTCGATCCACACAAGATCTGCAATCTGATTGGATAATTTGATTAAAAATCGGATTTTTGGGGATATTGAAATATAAGAAAAGGATTCTTCAAATTAATATAATTCAAAAACAAATAAAAATTAACAATCAATAAAAAAAGAGATAATAATAACGATGAGCACAACTGGTAAAGGAGGTAAAGCTAAAGGTAAAACCGCTTCATCCAAGCAAGTTTCTAGATCCGCTAGAGCTGGTCTTTAATTCCCCGTTGGTAGAATTTCCAGATTCTTGAAGAACGGTAGATACAGTGAAAGAATCGGTACTGGTGCCCCCGTCTACTTGGCCGCTGTCTTAGAATATTTGGCTGCTGAAGTTCTCGAATTGGCTGGTAACGCTGCTAAGGACAACAAGAAGACCAGAATTGTCCCCAGACATATTTTATTAGCTATCAGAAATGATGAAGAATTAAATAAACTCATGGCCAACACAACTATTGCTGATGGTGGTGTCTTACCCAACATCAACCCCATGCTTCTTCCTTCTAAGACAAAGAAGTCCACTGAACCTGAACATTGATTAATTGAAATTAAAACCTATACAAAAAAACTTACTTAATTTATAAACATATATATACTTTTTTGTAAAATAGAGTTTGTGTGTATTCTTTCTAATTAAGCATTTCTAAGCTAATTAGTTAGCTCAAATTAATGAAACCTTCTTCTTGTTTTATGTAAATAAAAAACAATTTAAATTTATTAGACTGACTTAGTCGGAATTAAGTGCAAAAAAAAATAACAAACAAATTAATAAATTATAATTTATTCATTCAAAATTTAAAAAAGATTTTATGGAACTATTTCTTCATTATGACAAAGCAAATAAATGCTAATTTATTTAGAATAAATTTTATTTATTTTACCTCTATCTATCTATTGATTAATCAATCTCAGATACTATTCTGATTAAAAAAGTTTTAATTATATTTCATTTATTTCTACTTTGAATCTTGAAATGAGGAATAATAAATAAACATTGTTAATTAATACTTAAAAATTTAATGAAATTTGTATTTAATAATTGCTCGCTTTTGGGATTAAAGATATTAAAAAGATATACTTGCAAGCATCTTAGATTTAATAAATTGTTTCTCGCCATTGCAAAACGAAATCTAATACAAGAGTTAACCAGAAAAAAAAAAATTTATCAAAAAACAAAAAAAAATTGAATAACGTAAATTAAAAAAGAGGTGATTTAATATTTGATTTCTCAAAAATTTAAAAAGGGCACACAAATCATTAAGCGATAAGGAAAAAATTAGCAATTTAATTAAAATGAGCAATGATAGCCTTGGAAACAGCTCCACTAATTTATAGCATAACTAAAATGAAGATAAAGTCCAATCTGTAAAGAATTTGATAACAAATTTAAAACTTCAATTAGAATAGGTAAATTAAATTATTTAATTTTAGTTATTAACTATAGAAATTATTCTATGCATTTATAAATTCTTTAATAACAGGAGAAAATGCTTAGACAAGAGGATTTACAGCTGTTGTAAGAAGAGCAATCGAAATTTAAAGAATCAGAAAATACAATTATATAACTTTAGGAATCAATTTAGCGCTAAAATATATAAATTGAATAGTTGGAATATAAAAATGAAGCTCTATAACGCAAAGTGGATGAGCTACTAATCTAAGTTAATTAGAAAGTAAAAAACTATTTTTCAATTTAAAAACATTAAAAATATTAAAAACAATATTTTTAATGTTTCTTCCAAAAAAAATTCAATAGAAAAATAATGCTGGAGGTATTTTTAGTGGTATTTTTAATGGCAAGTAAAAATAAATGATGGAACAGCTGCAAAGCTAACTTTAGCAGTGTGAAGAAGAGTTGTAAATTAAAACTGAAGAAACAGGTAAGTTTTAAAAACATTTATTGAAATAAAACTTTATTAAGAGTTGTTAGTCAATGTCTTATAATTTATTTATTATAATTTACTTAGAAAGATTGCACGAACATTTATATGAACTGAAAAAAGAATTAAATAGCAAAATTGAGTAGTTAAATGGGTCTATAGAGTAATATAAGTAAGTTAGTGAATAGCAATTGTAGTAAATTAAAAAGCAAGAACAAAAAGAAGTTGACTTTAAAAAATCTATTGATGGACTTCATAATGCAAAAAAAATAATTGAAAAAGAATTAGAAAACGCCATCAAAGATCTATAAAACCTTAAGGTTTAATACTCTTCTGATACTAGTTCGCTTAATAGAGTTATTGGAATATAAAAAGAGCTTCTTGACATCAAAATTCCTTCATTTAAAAAATAAACATAGAATTATGATAGTCTCATAAACATGGATAATGAGAAACCACAACAGTAAATAACCCTTAAAGTAAACAATAAACATTTAAATATTTTATAATTTAAAAAAAAAACGAGCTTGAATGGATTTTTAAAGTAAAATAAAATGCTAAAAAATAAAAATTATTATTTTTATCAAGGAAAAAGAAAGAGAAGTATTTAAAATGTTCAACGCCTAAAGAGACAGTATTAAAAAATAGTATGGAAACCTATTTACTATTTTTGAGCAAAAAATAAATACACTTTTGTCAAATATTGAAAGCTCTTCTAACACAACAAGCACACCTCAAAGCACATTCACTAAATACAAAGATTCTGCTTCAATTTTTAATTATAAAATAAATAGTTTGAGGGAAGGTTTAAACAGTATTTTTGCTTGTATTGATAAGATAATCTCATTAGAGTATTAAATATCTACAGCAAAGCAACAAAATTAAACAATAGAATAAATTGAATTAGTTGAAAAGTAAGACAATCAGAAAATAATGCTACTTGAGAGATTAGAAGAATCAAAAAATTTAGTCACTACTTTTTTAAGTGATATGTAATGCTATTTAAATGAAGAAATGACTCTTTTTAATATACTTCCATCTTAGCTACTGCAAACATACTAAGAATTAATTGCTAGTATTAAAGATATAGAGCTTATTTAAAACTATTACATTTAAACATTATAATCCCTTGTAGTGTTTAACATAAATGATGCTTAGTAATTCTCATATCTTAGAGACAACTATAAAAACAAACAAAATTCCAAGGATGAGCTGGCATAAATAAGCAATAAGTTATTTGCTAAATTAAATGTTTTGTTCAGTTTGTTTAAAAAAAAGTCTTCATAAGAAAACGAAATAGTTGAATAAATAATAGCTCTTTCAAAAGAATAGCACCAATAAAAAGGCGAATAAGACTATTTATCTCATAACAGATAAAATATATCTTACAAATTCTAATTGACATCTCCTAATGCCTTAATAAATGAGAATTTAACTTTAAGTACAAGTTTAGATGCTTTAAGGGTATCATTAATTGAGATCAAAGATTTGTTCTTTAACTTCTTAAATGATTTTAACTTCAAAGATTCATTTATTTTGGAGTAGTTTAAGTATATTTTTTGATCAATGAAAAATTTGTAAATATTTATTTGTTGTTTAAAGATAATAGGATTTAATCAGAGTAGTTGATGATTATATAAATAAAATCAATAAATCTATAGATATTCATTGCGTACTTAGCAATTAGACATAAATCAAAGTAAATTGATTGAAAATACGATTAAAATTTACTATTAATTTTATTATCTCTAAGGAAATGAGTGACAAAATTTATGATCAAAGTGAGTAAATTAAAAGTTTACATACTGCAATAGATGACTAGAATAGTAATTTAAAGAGTTTAAATAATAGTAAAGCTAAGGTAGAGGAAATCTTATAAATTAAGATAAAAATATTAGATGAAATCAAAGAATATCTTTAGAAATAGATGAAAAATGAAAATGAAAGCAATAATAATTTAGAATACATTCTAAATTTAGTTGATTAAGAAAAGGGTACAGTATTTTATTAAAAAAATCTTATATAAATAGAGCAAGCATAAAGCAAGGCTAGAATATAAGATAAAGTAAATATGGAGAAATTCTTAAAAGAAGTTACAAATAACGTAGCACCATTAGAGAAACTTTTATCAGATGAAAAGTTAAATAATGAAAATGAAAAAAAGGCATTAACTGTTTTCGAAAAAAGTAGAGAAAAATTGATTTCTTTGCTCTACTAAGTAATTTAAATAAAACTATTTTTATCATTGAATTTAATTTATTTTTTAGAATAATTAATTAGAAAAAAGGGCTAAGGATACTGCAGCTAAAGTAGATGAGAAAGATTAAAAGATAAAAAAATACTAAACAGAAATAAACGAGTATAAATCTTAAATAGATAAGCTTAAAATTAACTCTGCATCATCTTCATCAAATGATAATAATAATACAACTGCTGCAACTGCAAATAATCTTATTGATTTATTATGATTTGGTTTAATATATTTATTTTATTTGTAACTGTAATTAATAAATATACTCTATAATTTTAACAAAGTGGTTCATACAAAACATAATTTGTCAATTTATAATTTATTTAAAAATTATAAAATAAAAATTTATGCTTGGACTTCTAATTATCTAATTTGATAATTAATTTTTTTAAAAGCTTTTAGTCAGATATGCTCATCTATATTTTTACCCTAGTAAATATTTGGATATACAAGTAAATACGTATTCTATATAAATAAAAATATTTTGAAATAAAGAAAATGAACAAGTAAATATCTTTTAAAAATTATTTACTCATTTATATGCAAATAAATAGAAGAATAAAGTGAAAAAGATAAGAGATCAAAACATTCAACCATATGGCATCGTTGGAAGGAGATTTTAGGAAGAAATGAAGTTGTTTATAATTTTTGATTGCACCAAAAACCAATTAAAAATAAAAAATATAATACAAGTAACCTTTAGAACTATACAATAAAGCACTTCTAATAGTAATTAAAAAAATAAGATAATAATAACCAAATAGAATAATAAAAATTTCGGTAGTAAAGTATCACAAAATTTATAGATAACTTATAGATTAAGGAAAAAAAAAGGATTAAATTTTTAAAGTATGATTTATTTTTTTGTAATAAATTAGATAAAATTAATTAATTCTTTTTTAGATTTATATACATATAATTGAGAATTTTAGACTTTTGGATATTGTATCCTTGATATATATTAATAATTCAAGTACAAAAATAATAATAAAAAAAATATATGTTATTTTCAAGTAAATATTTTATTTAAACTATAATTATTAGGAATTACCCAATCATTTTAGATCTATAAAATAAAATCTCTGTCTGGGTCTTTAAATTTCATATTATTTGTATAATTTATAAAATTATATTTGAAATTTATTACTATTTAATATTAATTTATTGAGAAAATATTTTTTAATTGTTTTTGTTTGTTATTATTTATTAAAAAAAACACCTATATATATTGCAATTTTTTATTATAAAATCAGATGAAATAGAAATTATAAAATTATTTATGTATTATATACACATCAATTTTATTTTGCAAATAATGCTAATTAAATAAACAAATGATAAAAATTTAATATTTTTAACATTTATGAGTAAATTTAAAAAATTAATAAATTACATATTTTACTAATATTCTAAAAATTAACTTTAATAAAAATAGTTCTTTCTAAGTTGAAAATAAAAATAATATCACAAAAAATTGAATTTAAGATAACAGGAATATATTTAATGAAATTTTAAAATAAAAAATTTGAATAAATAAACATGTGAAGACAAAAATATGTATTAATTTATTAAATTTACAAGAAGGAAAATATTTTAATAAATAATTATACAAACTTTAATAAATTTAATTTTTTTATTTTAAGTTATATTTATTTTACATTATTTTAGGAGTTCTTAATATAAGATTTTTTCTAATTTCTTTTGTTAAGTTCAAAAGAAAATCTATTTATTTACATTGATTAAATAATTGAAAAAGAATATTTAAATATAATAACTAGTTTTTTTTCTTTTATTTATCTTTTCTTTTCATTTATATTTATATGTTCATTGTTTAAGATTATACTATGGTAGATTCTATATGTAGTCTTTATCAAGATAATATTTTGGATCTTTTGAAAGAGCATCATAAATTATTTTATCACTAGAAACCCTTGCGACCCAAAAATGTTAAATTCCAGTTGTTATTAATTTTTCAAATATTTATTAATTATTCGAAGATTTGAAGCAGTCCTCTGATACAGAACCCCAATTACCATCTCCTAAGTAGATTGTTCCTCCTTAAGCTTTTGTTTTATTCTTAATAGGATATGTTCTTTTGAATTATTTTGTGTGATTTTCTATAGCTGCCACGAAATTGAACTAGTCAAAAAAAGGTATCCAAATATTTTCTCCTACTGCAGAGCTATTTGGCGAATCCCATTTTTTATCATCAAACAAACAAGCTGGAAAAATCGGATAATGGTAAAGAGCTACTTTATAGTAATCTTTATATTAATTAACTATATTTTTCATCCATTCTAGTTAAGCACCGTCATAATTCATAATATAACCACCTTTATAATTTTTAAGTATAGTAAATCAAATTTTATATTTTAAAAAGATTTATTTTTTAAATTAAAAATCAATAAAATATATTTGTGTTTTATTTTAAAATCTCTTGCAAATAAGAGTAAGTTTTTAGCTTTTAAAATAAAAAAATTTGAATAAAAAATAATCAAAATTAAAATGGTTAAATTTAATTCTAAATTTAGTGAATCAAACAATTAAATATTACTATCAAGAGCAAAGATAATTATGTTTCCTATTAAATGATAATGATATGAAGGTCTAGAACTGATTGGTGGTATCTAATTATTTAATGTGTTTTGGGGAAACCAAGAAAAAATCAAAGGACCTGTTTCATCTATAATTGTCAAGTTATAATTTTTAAGAGAATTCAAACCAATATCTCTATTTCCTATAGAGAATATGAAGGGAACTACTCTATCAAGAGCTTGGAAAATTTGAGTTTCAAAATTATTTAAAAAGATATCCCATTGATGATAGCAGTTTTTCATTCCATTATCTTATGCAATATTTCCACCAAATAGAATTATATCGGGTTGAGTATCTACTAGTCTAAGATTTAAGAGATTGCCATATTTTTAATTACTCCAATCACCCCCAAAAGCAACGTTCACTTGAAATTACTAAGCTTAAATTTATTCTTTTGTTGGGAGAGTCTTATACTTTGTTACTTTTAATACACTTTGTTTCTCTTGGTTAATTACTTTAATTAGATATAATCTATTTGGCTACAGGTTTTGAAATAGATTCGTGAACGTGTTTCGCTCACCATTGCTATCCAAATCAATGCTTGAATTAATTTAACCACTTTAAATTATAGGATCTGATTTAACTTCAAGATCCTAAAGTTATATCATAATTTAATTTATAGCAATTCCTGTGTGAATATTTATAAATACTGAGTTATTAGTGTTTTCAGGAAGTGTTGCATATAAATGACATAGCTCTTCTTCAGGACATGCTTTTTTAAATGAAATTCTTCTAGTAAAACTCGTAGATAGGTACATGTTATCGTTAATTAAGTAACCAGAATCCTTATTAGAGCAAACGCAAATATCCTAAAAGAAAATAAGAGGAAATACAGAAATAGCTACAGCTAATAAAGCAAATATCAATAGAAAATAAGACTTAATTCCAATTTGGTATGTGAAATAAAGGATTATTGTAAACATCATTAGGCAACAAATAATAGAGGATCCTAATTCTACCTGACCGAATCCACTTGATAAACTAAATAAATATGCCATACAGGCTCCAAGAGACCACATAAAAAGCAGAATAAAAAAGTTAAAAAGTTTCTAACAAAAGGAGTATTTCTTTATTATGAAATCTTTTTTATAAAAAGGGAAATCATTTCCGTTTGAGTCACTTGAACGTTCGTCAGTTAAATCGTCACTCTACTTAATTTATTCTTCGTCATTAGCAGGTGTTTGCTACTATATGGGTAAAATTCTTTAAAATTAAACCAAGCGATTAAAGCTTTCTCGCGATATTTAAGGCTTCATTTTATCTCCAAAAAATAGCTTCTTGATCATATAAATTACAATTAAAATAAAAAATAAAAAAAATATTGTGTTTTCTAATCCATATGTTTATCCCTCATAGAATGCCAATCTATACTCTCCTTATCCAGACCAGCTAGGGGTTGTAAGATGGTGTATTCCCATTTTTAAATTTGATTATTTTAATAATAAGTAGTGGAAAGCTTAGTAGTTTGTTTGATAAGAAATAGAATTTAGAATCTATTAATTAACTTTGCAATATTTTTAAGGATTTAGCTATTATTTCTTCAATCTTTACTTATTTAATGTTTTTAATTTTTTTATGAAATAATGTTAACCTTAGATTATTTTATCAATTCTGATTGAAAATATTATTAAACAAACACTTTTTGTTAGTTAATCAATCTAGAACTAGTTTTTATAGTAAATAAATATCGATAAAAGGAAGGCTCAAAAGTGATTTGACTTTTATCAAAATACTGGAAAAAACATGCATTGAAATTTGTTTACTCTACTTAATTAAAATTAATATTTATAAGAATAACTAAATAACTCAATTACTTACTTACTAAAAATATTATTTTAGCAACTATCAAAGTCAAAATTATTCAAAATATATATTTTTATAAGTGTAAACAAATGAGGATTATGATTAAATATGATAAAACTTTATTTTATTTTAATAATAATTATATCTATTTATGTTATGATATTATTATGATGAACAAATAGTTAGTCAACATTTAGTTAATTATATTATTAAAATCAAAATTTTAATGGACCAATTTTTTACTTTTACTCTTTATCAATTAAAATTTTTTTATTTTAGTGTAGGAAATATCTACTAATTTTAATTTATTTAATACATTTTTTAAAAACAAATTTAAGTGTAATGAGATGCTTTGATATATTGTTTTATTTGTAGATATTTTATTAGCTTTTCTTCTATTTATTGATAGTAAAAAAAATAAAGACTTACTTGCGAAAGTTACTTGATTTAAAATTAATTGATCGAAAATTAAAATAGACATTTTTTATTTTTATTTAAAATTTGAAAATTAATTTTAAACTTCTGCTATACCATTTGTTTGTTTAACATTATTCTACTTTATACTAAAATTATTTGAAGAAACTAAAAAAAATAGAATTTATTTTATCAGTTTGTTGAAATTTAAAAAATTTAAATTCAAATAAAGAAAGTGTTGAATAACTTTCTCAAAAACAATATGTGTAAAATAAATAAATAAATCAGAATTGAGTTATGAAATTAAGGTTCTATATATCTAACAAATTAATAATCTTTTATATCGTTGATAAATTAATTTTGAATAAAAAATTAAAAAATTGAATTTATCATAAAAGATTAAACAATTTTGAAAAAAAGATTTTTTTGTTTGTTTGTTTGATAATTAATTCAGTGTGTTTTTTTTTCTTTTTATTTTAATAAATAAGTAAATTACAATAAATACAGTAAAAAACTGCTTTTTTTCTTTTTAAGGCTCAAAAATTTGTCCCAAAAATATAAAAATGCAGATGCATTTATGTAAAATTCCAAGCTTTAGTGAAGAAGTATAGCAAAGTTAATGTGCAAGCAATCCTTAAACATATCGCAGTTTGAATGATTACAGCAACAACATAGAAAGGGATTTGTCAAGTAGCTCCTAATAATGTTCTTTAACTAATAAGAAGGAGAACTTAAGGTCAAGGACTAAGAGGTAAAATGAAACCTAAAGCAGCAAGTCTAGAGAAAATAAAGAAAATTATAATCCAAATTTAAATTGCCTTAAATTGAACAACTAAAACATAAAGGTTATAAGTGGAATTAATCACTACCAAAATTTGCAAGAGCTTGATTTATCTCATAATTAAATCCTCAAAATATAAAATATAGACAGGCTCTACATGCTTACTACTCTCAACATCTCCCACAATAAAATATAAATCTTAGAGAACCTTCATTAACTGCCAAATTTACAAAACCTTAATGCTTCGTTTAATTAAATCAAAGTGTTTCCTAAACTTTTGATTAAGAACAACAATCTCCGCATTCTTAATTTATCTCAAAATTAAATTGAAAATGAAGATTGTTTTAATTTCTTAAATAAATTTATTAATCTAAAGAGCCTAGACTTATCTGATAACCCATTAGCTAGATTATAGAATTACCAACAAAGTATTTTGAGTGCAATACCCACTCTTACTCATTTGGATGGATAAATTTTACCCTAAAAGTAGCTATACATATATTCAATTTTTGAAGATAAGGATCACATGAAGAGGACAAGGCAGTCTCCATAACTTCATTTAATCAGTGATTAAGAATTTAAAAATATGCTCACTAGCCATGATAAAAATAAAAAATCTCTTGGATGCAATTTAGCATAGATGGTCTCTGACATAGCAAATTCAAACAGTGGTTAAAATTTGAAATAAAGCCTCTCTAGTTAAGCCTTTTCAAGTCGTACAGATATAAGTAGTTAACTAGTTAGAGGTTCTACATAAAGCACTTCAACATGTTCAAAAGATTTCTTAACAGCCAAACGTGTTCCGTTCAAAGAGCTAAAACAAAGTGATCAAAAAAGTGACTCTTTTTCTTACCAAAATTAAAATAACAGCAATAACAATTACTATTTTAGCTACAAAAAACTAGAAAGTAGTAGTTTGTAATTTAATAATTTTATAAGTCCAATTACTTCAGAAAATAAATACTAAGATACGAATTCGAATTTTCAGTTTACAGATATTATCTAAATAAGCTAATAGCATAGTCCAAGAGATTAAATCAATATTAATTAAAAAAGAGAAGACTTAGCTAATGGTAAATTTTATTTTTTTATTTTCAAAAATTTTAATTTTAATTAAAAATCTAAAAGGAAATTCTAAACATTTTTAATTTTTGAAATATTTTATTTATTTTAATTTAAATTCTGCTATTTTATTTCAATTTTTTCAATTTATTTTATTAATTTATGCTTTTAATTAGAGTTTAATTAAATTTTAGAGTTATTTTAATCGAATTTTTCTCTCATACAAAAATGTTGTATTACTAACTTTTTTTCAACCAATCAATTAGCAAAACTTTAGAAATCAGAAGAAATGAAGATTTAGTGTATTGAATTTTTGGAAAAGTGGGATGCTAATTTATCTAATTTTAACGAAAATTATAATTTGTTTCTACTTCAAAAGTAAATTTTATATAAAAATTAAAATAATTAAAACTCAATTTTTTAAAAGCTAACTCTTTAAAGACTGGACTTAAAACTCAATTGAAACTGAAGGGAATAAATTTGAAGATATAATTTCAAATAAAATGTAAATTGTTTTTTTGTAAAACTTTTGAAATGCATTAACTATTTTACTTCTTTATTTGGTAAAGTCTTCAAGAATTGATCGAAAAAATAAAAATACTTACAACTTTGACTGCACAAATAGCAGCTTTAATGAAAAAAGAAAAATCAGAAAAAGTAAAAACTAAATTTAAATTTAATGAAATAGTGTTTAAATTATTTTTTATTATTTATCAAAAAGATTGAAATTATTAAAAGACTAGAAAAATTCTTAAAATAACCCTTCCATCCTTAAGAAATTACAAAGAAAGCTATTGAATTATTAGAAATGACCAAATTAAGTTAGGATCAAGAAGAAATACTCCATTTACAAAGAAACTGCGAGCAAGTTATGTTAGTTATTCATAATATGAGATAAAGAATCTTAAAGGAAATAAAGGAAACTAAATAAGCTAAACTTATTAATTAAATTTATAAGAACATTATTGATTAAAACAATTTGTATGTTAGCTTAAATAAGATTTAATAAAGGGGAAAGATGCTGTCTTAATAAATATTTTAAAAGTTTCTACTTTTCTTTAAGTACCATATTAAAGATAGCAATGAAGGAATTGCTAGCATATAGGGAATAATTGATTTGAATGAAAGTTTAAGAGATTTACTTTTTAGTAACGATGATAACTAAATAAATAATTAACTTACATCAAATTGTGATAGTGGCACTAAAATTCTTATTAAAAGTAACTAGAAAAAAAACAATAATTCGACTCCAATTCTATAGGAACTAGATGCTTACATACATAATATTACTGATGATGATATTATTACTACTAAATAAAAGCTTTCTAATACTTAAGGAAGTATTTCTATTTGCCAAGGTTCCTAGCTCTAAGATGTAATTATAAACTCTTTCCATCATTCTTGCAGCAAGATTGATGAAAAAGAGTTTCATTAAATTAATTCAAAAGAAAAGAATCTATGCATGAGATGCCAAGAAGCAAACTAAGTTATGTTACAATAATAAAGTAAAATCGAAGAATTATTGAAAGAAATTCACTCACTAAATACAAAACTCTAAGAAAAATAATAGTAAATTTCTGATATAAATTTAGATCATGAAAAATAAATGCAACAACTAGAAGATAAATACAAATAAATTTAACTGTAAGATGAAGATAAGTATCTAAAATTAAAGAACTCTTTGATTCAAGAGGAAGAATTGTTTCATCATTTAAATGATTAAATGTCTTAATAAGACACAATCATAGAATAAAACAAAGAAATTACTCAAAGACTCTCTGAATATAATAACTATATGGTTAAATTTATGGCTTCAAAGAATGAAGATTCTTCTGAATTTTTTAAAATCGTACTTACTTAGTAAGCTTAATCTATTGAAAAAATGATGGTTTCTAACTAATAAAATAGCTAGTTATATTTAAATTTATTAAAAGTTGTTGAAGACCACACTTTACCTTAAATGAAGCTCATTCCTAGGTAGGATGTCTCTTGTTAAACAAATAACATTAAATTAAACTAATCAGATTAGATAAATACGACTTTTGCTACATCACCATCAAAGGGAAGAGATATTTTTAAATCTCTTGAAAATAACAGCTACTCAAAAAACAATCAAGTGAAGTAGATGTTAAACATTTCTCCCCCAAGCTAATTCAATAGCAGTGCACTTAATAGCAGAAAAAGCACACCTACTCTTGATTTTTAAAAATAAATTCTAAAAAGAAAAAAAAGTAAACCTTTTGATTTAAATAGTAATGAAAAGAACTTCTAGTCTCACCTCGATTTAGAAAAAATTTATATATCTCCCTAAAGAAATTAATTATAAGATGAAGAAGAAATTTAAAAGAATTTATACACTTTTAGTTAACGTCATCATAGCTCAATTGAGAAAGTAGATGCTTCTAATTAGAGTTCTAACAAAATTACCTGCAAAGATTTTTAAAGCTAAGTATACTACAACAATAAAAAAATCTCTTTAAAAAAAACCCCTAATTCAAACGATAGAGAAATATCTTTTTTCAGAAGCAACAATAATTCGAAAATAATTTCAACAAGTGTATTTAATAAGAGTCCTTGGAAAATGTGTTAGGATAGCAAGAAAAAAGAAATATCTTCTTGTGTTGAAGAATCATAAATAACTGAAATTGAACGAGATGATGAAGATAAGCAAGGAAATTAAGTTTCTTCATAGAATAATTATAATAACTTTTTTGAGACAAAAGACTAAGAGAATGACTAAGATTTCTAAATCTAATAAGAAAATAGATAAAAATAGAACAGACAGCAATTTAATTTCAGAGAAGTTTAATAGTTTGACCCATTCATAAACATAAGATAAAACAAAATTTAAGATTTTTAATCAGATATTTTAAACAGTCACAATTTTAGTAATTCAATCATCAATTCTAGCCAAAATTAAGCTCCAAATACAAACCTTAGTGTATCTTAAAGAAAAATTGAAACTCAAAAAAGTTAATTTGTATTTAGCAGTAATCTCTAACAAAAGATATTCTCTGCAATTTAAAAGAAGCAACAACTCAACCAGCAAAAAACAAAAACAGCAGTTACGACCCCTAGAAATTAAGCATAAGCTTCGAATAGCAATTAAGCTGCTGTAACTGATTATATGCTGAACTATAAAAAATAAATATAAAAATCTATGTTAAACTCTAAGAAAAATTCAAATTTATCAAGCAGAACATCATCAAGTAATGGTATAAATTACACAAAATAATAAAATGATAGTAAAACTCCAAAAAAGAGATTTAATATTGACTTAAATATTACTCCAAATACTAATTTAAGTAATATATAGAGTAAGTCAACAACTCATTAAAATAGTAATAATTAGGCAAATTACTTTGGATATTATTGTGCAAGTACTAAAAATTCCTAGTAAGCATAACCTAATAACTAAAAGAATTTATAATAATAATATATTTATATGGTCTGAATTCAAAATTCAAGTTATAATTTTTATTTTAATCACAGTTAGTTAATTCCTCTGAAAAGAAAATTTTATTAAAAAATAATTATTAGAAAATTTTTTCTTTCATGTTTATTATTTTCATAATCTACTACCAAAAAATTTATAATTTTACATAAGAACTTTTTATTCTCAATAAATTAATACCATAACATTCTACTACTATTTTTAGAGCTTAAGTTATTTTATTTAATTAACTCCAAAATAAAAATTAAAAATAAATTATATAGTAGACTCTACGTTCTACTTACTTAAAAATATTAAATCTATTTTAAAAAGATAAAATAAATCAAGAGTTTACACATTTAGAATTTATCAATTTTTTTATGATTTAATAAATTTAAATTAAGGTATATAGATAAACATTATATTAAAATTAAACTATTTTTATCATTTAAAAGTAGTAATCTAAAGGTTATTTAAAGATGCTCTTTGTTATTAAATGAATTTTAATTCATTTCCATCTTTCTACAGATTATATTTATTGCCTTAAAGGTGATATGGATTTATATTCTTTATTTTAAAGATAAACTTTAGTTTTTAATTATGATTCTATGTTAGGAGAGTTTATATTTTTTGGAATTTATGATATGATATTTATGTTAAAGCTTTTACCTTTAAGAGAGGTAACAAAATAATTTCCTGAATTATTAATTTAATTTTTTTTAAAATCTTCATCTTGTTTAGCATTAACAAGATATTATTCATATAATTTAGATAACTCATCTTTTTCTTATTATATTTATTGCCTTTTTAGTTAAATAGATTTTTTTACTGGAGAGGCAAAGTTTACATTTTCTTATTGAGGGGTAATATCTTCTATATTCATTTTATCATTTCTTGATAGTTTTTCATACTATTTAAAGGCTATTTTATCTGGTGATAAATTTATGTCTGGAGGGTTTTGTTAAGGATTTAAATATTTTTGTTAGTATGAATGGAGCGATTAAAGGTAACTAGCTGTGTCCATTGTTGTAGATCTTGATTTAATTTATGGATTTTAACTTTCGCTTTACTACTATATTTACTTACTTTAGATATTGCTTTCTTCCGTCTAAAGAACTCCAATATAATTACTTTAATTATTAATAGACTTGCTTAAATTTTACTTGGCTATACTGGGTAAGTTATAGTTATTTAGATTTAGAGATTAATTATATCCATATAAATCATTTGACATAACATTTGTTTTATAAATTTTTCTAATGCTTTGATCATATTAGCTTTGATTTTAAGAATCATCTTTATTTGTTTGATCAAAGTCATTTAAATTTTTATTGTTTTCCATTATATTTTACAAAGGAACTGTTTTATTTTTTGAAGATATATTCTTGTTAAATTCTGAATTGTTTTAAATTCCATTTATTGCAATTGAATCAAGGATATCATTTTGTTCCATTAAATTGTTTGGAGATCCATTTGATTATGGCGAATCGTATTCTGTTTTCTCAGTTTTTATGTTTTTATAGATATTATTTTCTTGAGAATTATATCCACTGTTAAAAATAGTAGAGATGCAACTATTTCCGGATTCTTACTTATTATAATTAACACTTTGATTTCTCCTGTTTACTATTGATTTATCATATGAATCTTATATATTATAGCTATCAGCGACAGACTAATTTCTTTTTGGCACTTAAGAATGCTACTGTTGTATAAAAATATCACCTGTAGAGTCTTTAATTATGTTTAATCCGCCTTTTTTAAAACTTTGATCACCATTTTTGATTGAATTCATTTATATTTTAAAAACATTATTTCTCTTCTCCATCTACTAAAATAGAGGTTGGTCATCATAATCCTGAAAATTAAGAGCATTTTATTTCTATCTCCCTATATTTTTAAGTACATCTAAGGCAGTTTAATGTCTAAGTGGTGATATTATTCTTCCCTTTTTAGTTACAAACTCGCTTTACCCATTAAATGGTATTCCGCTCGCCATTTTATAATACTTTATTTAGAATAATTAAATTGTAAATGTTATTTTATTATGTAAAGAGTCAGTCAAAAATAAATTTGTTAAGATATTAATAGATAAATACCAATGATATTCTTATGATTATAAATTATAAATTTAATTAAAATTCACAAAATATATTTTTATAATTGTAAATAAATAGCTGCTTTGTAAGCCATAAATTATTATATCAATTAATTGATGACACACAATTTTTATTATAAAAAATAATGTATATTCAAATCAGATGAAAAGTAAATTACATTTTCAAATTATTTTTATTACAACATTCAAAACATAAATCTTGCAAGATTTCCATCAGCATTGATGAAAGGACAAAAAATGAATACATACAAAAGCATTATATTTATTGATAATTATATTCCAATGTTTAAAAAAATTGAATCTGGGATAAATTTTTAAATTAAACTTTCTTTTTATTTTTCTCCTTTATGGTTTTCTTAATTGCTTTTGTTTCCCTCTTATTGTAAAATATGAGTTTATGAAATTTAAATAATAAGAAATACTAATGAGTTTGTAAAATATCTGAATTCAACAAGGCCAGCTGGGATTAAAACAAGACAGCTTGAAATAAATAGAGCAAACAACTTTAGCTACTAAATTCCATTCTCTTTAAAAATTATTATTATTAAAATAAAAGAAAGTAAATAACGAATGAATTTACATTTGAAAATATTCAAGATAAAAGCAATTGAGAAAGAATAAACTGGAGCCATTAAATATTTGAAGATGGGATAACGACCATAAAAATTTTTCCAAATATAAAAAATATAATGTCTATTATCAGAAAGAATGAACTTATGAGCAAATCTATTTATTTACAATAATTTTTAAAAAATCATTTTTTTTAATTTTACTGTTTACGTAAATTTGTGAATAACTCCTAAAGAAATAGCTAAGAGTATTAAGAATGCTACCTTTTAATTCTTCAATGTATCCTTTAAGTTACTGAAATAAGCCTTTACTGATAAGGGTAGATTCAAGAAAGCAAATAGTGATAAGTATAAGAGTTGGGTAGGATGAAAAGATGATTCATGATTCAGTTTATCTCCTAAAACAATAGAGCCATTATAAATTACAAAACAAGTAAAAGCTATGACTAAAATAATCTACATTTTAAACATTCTTGCTATGCTAAATATATTTTTAAAAAGCAATCCTATTAAACTCTTTGAGCTATGCATAAAACCTTTTTTTTAATGCAAATGTATTAAATATTAATCAAAATATCTTTTATACTTTTCTCTTAGAATGCTTTAAGATTTTAATCTATAAAACTAATTAAGCAAATGTAGAGTATCCATATCACATTTGTCTACCTAATTAGAATTGAAACTAAACCAAACTTTTATTTATTTATTGAAAATAAATTAGAATTTATTAGAAAATCTATCAAAAATTTACTAATCCTGATAAAGTAAACTTTTATTTTTTTGAGTAGTAGTACATCCCCAAGCAAGTTACCAGTGATGCGGAATCAGTATAAAATAAGTGACTAAAGAAGTAAATAGTAGGTGTAAAAAGAACATAATAGCTTAGAAATACTTTATCTTTTGAATTTATTTCTTAAAATATTTTCTTAAGAAAGACCAAAATTGCAGAGCCCAATAGAAATCTATCAAAAAATCAACAAATAAATATATGAAAATTTATTTAGATTTTAATTAATCTATTTACGAATTTAGCAGTCTAGCACCAAGCAATGTGTTCTTAAAACCAAAAAATTATCCTAATTTAAGAAAAGGGTAGAACAAAAAATAAGTTCCAGGTGGAGTGGTCAATTTATCATTCCAATAAGCCCAGTCTCCATTCAAATAATGATCTAATTAGTCTAGATGAAAGAATTCGTCCTTTTAATATGTCATACAATTCAAGCAATTCTTAGCAAATAAATTTAAACCTTACCATATAAGGTTATCTGATCTATTTTGAAGTTTATATCCAAGTGTAAATCCCAATAACCTGAAAGGCTCCGAATAAGATTATCTCTTTTATCATGTAATTAATTCCTTTTTCTTTTATTTACTGTAAAATTTATCTTAACCAAAATATTATTTATGAAAATAAAGAAACAAAACTTATATTAGTGCTAACACTTGTTAACTAAACAAAAAGTGGATTTTACAAAAAAATTAGTAAATAAGTAGAATATAAAGTATTTTCACAAAATTATATTCTACAGAGCAGCCATAGAAAAAATTAACTATCGTTTATCTTAATATAAGGACTAAGACTACAACATAAACAAGAAGAAATAGAGTTCAAATAAAAACACTACTTCAAAAACAATAAGCATTCCATAAATAGATAATAATTGTTTTAACAATCAGTAATAAAAAAATAAATTTTAAAATAATATTTGTTTTTTATATTATTTATACCACTTTATTGATAAAACAGTAAATAAATTTAGAATATTTATTTGCACCAAATTATAAGTATTTTATTGGTTGATATTCAGTAGATAATATGAATTTGTATATATTAAAATACATTATAAATAAATTATTAATTTGGTTTCAAAATTTATTATTGTGGGATAATAAATTCTTATTTATTTAAAACAGTTTTATTAATTTAGCAACTAAAAATTTTTTTTTTATATATTTTACATAAACACACATTGCAATAAAATTTAGAAGATTCTCATAAAATTATAAAATTGTAATTAATTATTTAATATTTTTTAGACATAATTTACAATCATTTGTATACTATATAGAAAAATAATTAGTTTGTTTTAAAAATTTATTATTGTGGAGTAAATTAATTTTAATTTAAAATAATCTTATCTACTTAGCATTTATAAATGAATATTATTCATATATCAGCCTAAGACAAAGTTAGTTTTATAAAAATTCATTCTAGTGCTGCTAGAAAAAGATGTTTAGCTTACCCTAAAAATTATATAATATATATTTATTTAAATTTTCTTAAAATTTAATTTACTATGTTTTGAATCTGTTTATTGAGTATTGATTAGAAGGATTTTTAATAGGTCCTTAGCTATCTTTTAACTCAAATTGCTGTTCTTATTATCCTCTTGATTTTTCATGAACTCTCTTTGTACTATATGTAGTATCAAAATCAGCTTACTATATAAATAGAAATATAATTAGCAACTAGAATTAAACATTTAAATTTATATTCATCAAATTATTTATTTATTTACTTCACCAGATTATTGATTTTTAATATTCTATTTTGGTTTTTCAATCTTTTTTCCATTTTTTAAATCTTTTTCTACACTTGTGATTTAGAGTCTCTTTGCAAAGGCTTCATCTTTTTTAGGAGGCTGTTTAAATTGTTAAGGAGATTTGAAAAAAACTCCAGGTAAACAATCAATTGAACTAGTGACATCTAGTTAGTATTTTCTTGTAGAAGCTTTATTAAATTTTTATCTTTCAGTTTAGCTAGCATCATGTAAGGGCTCTCTAATCACTTATTAATTTGGAAGATTAACTGAAGAGCCATAGTCATACATTTTAAATTCATTTTATCTATTTAATTAAAATCATAAATCTATTTTCTAAATATAATAATTTTTAAATACTTTATCAATCTTTTTTAGAAGTGTTCTGGCTTTAAAGAAGTTGAGTTTACATTCAATCTAATTTATATTAATTAAATAAATATTTAAAAATCTACTGTTAAAGTTTTTCCATATTTATTTGCATTTTAAAATATAATATACGTTGAATAAACTGGAGGATTGGTGTCTGGAGCAAATAAATTTAAAGGTTAAGATCTATTAGGGCTTTTATTAGAAATCAAAGCAGTACTAGATCTATTTGCCCTTAAAGTTGTTTACTAATTATTATTCTCTTAGTTGTAGTAATGCCCAAAAATGTTTTGTGAAGATGCAGGATAGTCTACATTAACTTGCTTTTTATGCTAGAACAATGGTTGTTCCTTTTCCTTGTTTATTCATTAAAAATCATATTATTTTAATGTAAATATTTTGTTTGTTTTACAATTTTTTAAGGATCTAATGTTCTAAATGTATCTTTCGATTAGTTAGTCCTGACTATCTTAATTCCCTAATTTTGGTTAACCAGTTGTTAGTTATTTTATTGCTCGACTTATTTCCTTCCCTAATTTTAATATAATATTTTGGAATTATATTTTGTAATGTCTGTATCCCTAGGTTAGTAGTTAAGTTTAGAAGATTTAGAGTTATACATTTTTGAGTAAATCTACCTAAAATTTAATTGTTTTTATTAAATTAAACAAAATTTTATTTTTGATTATTAAAGAAACTATATCTTTCACATTAATAAACAGACACTGTATTTATATATTAATGATTGATTAATAGCAACAATTTATTTATTTATTTACTAATTTCTTTTTTAAATGTATTTAATTTTGTTTTCACTATTTACCAAACATTCTCTTTTTTTTTTCATGATCATTTTTATTTGTGTAAAACATAACTGGCTACAAAATTTTTACTTTTTCAAAAATAATTAGTTGCTTGTTTCATGATAAATCAAAAAAAACATATCAATTATGTTTCCCCACACTATTTAAAAATAAAAAATTTAATACTATTGAAGATTATTTTTTAGCAAATAAACCTTTTAATATTCCTAAATACTTGTAATATTTCAAAATAAGAGCTATTTATATTAAAAAACAAGTATTTTTAAAAAAAGCTACTTAAAAATTTAATCAAAAAATTTCTTTACCTTAAGAATATAACAATTTAAAGTTAAATAGTTTTAAAAATACTTTCTTTGTTGTTAATACTGAATTATTAATATGATAAAAAACAACAATTTATCAAAAAGCTGCTTGTAAATTTAACAAAAAATTTGTTTAACTTAAAAATATAATGAATAAAGTTGTGTTTAAATTATTTTCAATAAAAAATTTTGATTAAATTTACCAAATTTCATAGAAATTATATTCAGAAATTTAGATTTTTTAATAGAGTGTAGAATTATAAAAATTAGCTGAATTAAAAGTTTAATAATTAGAAAGTTAGAAAACTAAAATGCTTAAATTATAAAAGATATTTAAGTAAATAGAGGTAAATATTTTAAAAAGATTGAAACATGTTTTAAGATTAATTTTTATTAAAAAAAAGTTTTATAATTGTGATCCTCGGTTTATTGAAGAAATAGTTATTATTGAGTAAATTTTGAAGCTTAAAATAAATTTTACATCAAATTATTTTAAATAGAAAAAATAATAAAGTGTAATTTTTGAAAGACTTATCAATGAAAGCATCATTGCTTATTAATCTAAAACATTTGAGATTAAATCTTTAGTTAATTTTTATAAAAATTTAAATTGTATCTTAAATGTATTTTGAAATTCAAGAAATTAAAATTTAGGAACAGAATCTATTCTTTATTTATCTAAATGCTTAAGTCCTTAAAATAATTTATCATGCTTAAATCTTGACTTTTAGTATAAAATTTTTAAAGATATTCTCTTAAAATAATTATGATTTTATAAGGCTAAACAATCTAGATTAAAATTGTGCAAAATAGCTTGGTTAAGGTATTCAAAATTGCAAAAATCTAAACATCTTACATCTTGTGCTTGAGTAATTTTAATTACAAATTTTAATATTTAACTTTTTTTAGTGGTAATAAGATAGGACCTGAGGGTATAGATTACTTAGGTTATTAAATTTCAGACAGTATAAACCTTATTCATGTTACTTTACTGCTATAGTAATAATTTACTGAAAGAATAATATTATAAATTATAAAATATAAAAAGTGGGAATAATATAAGTGATAATGGGATTATCAGCTTAGGTTTTCATTTATCAAAATTAAAAAATTTACAGACTTTATAATTAGACTTAGGGTAACAATTAAATATTTTTTAAAACATTCAGATGTATTTATAATCGTGATAATAATAATATATATAATAAGAGGAAATATGATAAGATCTTAAGGAGCTGAAGTCTTTGGATAGTATATTGGCTAGTTGATAGAATTAAATACCCTATTTATAGATTTTTAGTAATATATTTCAATAATAGACATTTAAAATGCTTATTTAAATTAGAGAAAATTTTTTAGGGTCTGATGGAGGTTAAAAAATGCTACAAAGCTTGAAAACTTTAATTAATTTAAGATAATTTTAATTAATATTGAAGTATTTATTATTAATTATTTCATGAGTTTAAAATCTAAAAAAAATTTTCTTTGATATAAAAAGCTATAACTAAATAGAAGATAAAGGTTGCTCGTAAATTGGATATGAATTATCTCAAATACACAGTTTATAATAGTTAACTTTACATTTAAAGTATAATTTACAACATTTCATTTGCTTTAAGTAAAAATAAAATTTGTAAAAAGTGATGCCTTCATTAACTAGAGTGGAATCTCTTTACTTGGGAAGCATTTATAAAATTGCAAAAATCTAAAGCTGCTTTCTATTTAAATACTGTATGAATGAAACAAATTACAAAAAAAATAGATTTATAAAATTTATAATTATTAGGTTCAATTAAGTTCTTGACGTAGGAATATAAAATTTTTCTCAATGCTTACATGCATTTAGTCTTTTGAACACTTTCAAAATCTCTCTAAATCAGTATTTTAGCTATTTAAAATTAATTAAAATTAAAAATTTTTAATAAAATTAAATTAATTAGACAAAATCAAATTACAGGAAAAGGCATTAACGCATTAAGTTCTGAATTAAAAAAATGTCAAAACCTAAGAATTTTAATGATTTCCTTAATGTAATAATTTACAATAAACTCAATTAAATTTAAATATTATTTTAAAGTGATACTAGTTATGGAGAAGAAGCTGTTAAAATATTTGCGAGTAATATTATGAAATGCTAAAAATTAATTATTTTTAACATATCAATTAAGTAATTTAATTAAAATTTTAAATTAATATATTTATTTAACTAAAAAAGAGGAAAAGATCATGAATTCATAAAGTTTTTTGGAAAGTTAAAAAAATAATGCAAAAATTTAGTCAAATACATTATTTTATGATTAAAGTATTACCTAATCTATGTAAAATTTATGGGTTTATGTAAAATATTAATTTAGCATTACTTTTATCCCAATTTTAGCAACTTCCTTTAATCAATTTAAATAAAGATAATTAGAAAAATGTAAATATCTATGAATTTTAATATTTTATTGTATAGATTATACTATTAATATGAAATGTATCATATAGCTTCTAATTTTAATTTGAGAGTAAGAAAAAAAATTAATTACAATTTGTATTATTAATATGCAAAAATAAAAAGATATATCAACATTTTTCATATTTTAAAAATTTTTCTATTTCTTTCAACATAATTTAAATTTAATTAACTATATTTTTTCAAAATTTATTTCTCCTTTTTTGGATTTTGAATAACCTCTTTAAGAAATTTGTGATAAATTTATTTACATTTTAAAAGTATATTAGATTTAATCAAAAAAAATAATGAATATTGTTAGTTTAGGTAAAAAAAAATAAAAATAAATTAGAAAAAAAATATGTGTATTTAAACAAATAAATAATATAAGAAATATGAAAATATTTATCTGATTTTTTAGAAATTTAAAATAATAAAGTTATTTTTAAAGAAACAATTTCACATTATTGAAATGAAATATCAATTTTTTTTTAATTAGCATTTAAACAAATATTTAAATATCAAAAAGAATACAGTAAGATAATTTAAAATTCATTTTGTTTTTCTTTTTTTTTATGTTTTTAGATTATTTGGTTATGAAGTATTATTAGATTATTTAGTGGTTCTTTTATTTTTAGGAGCTGGTTTAGTCTTTTCTACCTTAGGTTCTTATTCTTCCTTTTCTAAAATTTATTTATTTTTTTTAATCTTATGTAATTCTTACAAAGCTTCTTTTTCCTTTTAATCTTTTTCTTCTTCCATTTAATCTTTTGTAGAAGATCCAGTGATTAATTTCTCTGCTTCCATTTTATTATCTTAATTAAGTTTATCTATTTCTTCAAACTACTCTTGTGTGAAATAGCTTTTTCTATCTAATTCAAAAGCTTTACCCATTTTTTTGAAAAACTACTCTGTTAATATAGAAGTAATATCTACAGATATATCTACGTTACAGTCAGGCATTTACTTTTTTATCCAATTAGGAAGTTTACTTTTTACAAGACTTCTAGCAAATCTCTATTAAAAAATATTTTAAATAGAATTTTAAATTAAAATTAAAATTTACTTTTTCTGCCATAATCATAATACCGTAATCAGTTTTACCTCTCATGACTCTGCCTAAGCATTAAGCAGTTTGCCTCATTGCATCGAATTCAATATATTCATTTTTAGTGATTTTGAAATTTTCTGTCAAATACTTGCATCTTTCCTTTATATTAATAATAATATTTTATAAATTCAAATAAGTTGTTAATTTTGATTACTATTAAAATTGGATCCTTAGAATTTTATACAGGAAATCCAACCATAACAACAGCTCTTCCGTAGTGTTCGTTAAAATCAATACCTTCTGCAATTTTACCTCTTGCAATTGAGAAGAAAATAGCTCCTCTGCCGCAATCACAAGCTTTTCTATAATGGAATAAACTCTATTTATTAACAATTAATAAATTAAATCAATGGCATAAACTTATTAATTTTATTACTTATGAAGTTTATGCAACATCTTTGCTTTCAAAATATAGCAATTTATATTTTCTCATTTCATCTAAAATACCTTCTTGATTCCATTCATATATAATTTTTTCCATATACCTTTTTTAAAAATTTTTTATTCCTTGAAAAATTCAATTAAATTCTACATATATGAAGGGAAAAATGCAACGATGCCATCTGGCACAAACTTGCTTAGGTCAATTAGTAAGCTTCCATAACTTCTAGTTACTGTCATATTTGCTCTTGCTTCATATTCAGAACTCAACTAAGTAAAATCTATGCCTTTAGTCGCTATTAATGGCTAAATTGAGTTTCTTGTCAATTCAATATCTATGCTCTTAAAAATTTTATTCTTATCATTTTATATGTCAAAATATTAGGTTTATTACCTTAACAGTATAAGGATTAAAATTTAAAATTTTTGGATAAATATCTAGAGGAGACATTGTACCTGATGTTAATATTACAGACTTAAACTAAGTAAATACGTGAGTCATGGCTAATGAGCAATCCAGGCAAGCAAATGTCATCAATGGATCATTTAACGAACCATCTTTTGGATTTGGTTAGTAAATGATTTTGAAACTTTTTAAGATTAAATTTTATTCAATATTAATTCTTATTGCTTATGATATATAAATTTATACCCTCTAGCATACGAAGCAAGCAACGAAGTGAAATGAGTAATTGTGTCAATAGCTGAGAATTCGTCCGTTTCAGTTATTTCTAAAGAATTCAAGAGCATATTTAATCTTTCACCTGCTAACCTAAGTTAAAAATATTAAGTTTTACTTTTTCATTGTAAATTTATAAATACTTGAGCGAGTATGAATCTAGATGACTTGATATATACATATCATTAATAAACTATGGAGGATCTTAAGTAGTGGCATTTTTTTCTTTCAGCCTGTTCTTCAAGAAAATAACAATCTTTTTTAAAAACTAAATGAAAGGCTTAGCCTTTTTGATGTGAAAAGGAATGGACTCAGCAGTTAATTCTGAAGGAAGCTATAAAATTAATTAGTATAAAAATGATTAAAATGGATATTTATTTATATTAATTAATTTACCTGCTTTGAATTTTCATTGAGTTGATTATCATTTAGGACACCTTTATTTTTTAATCCTTAGAGTAGTTAGTTATATTCTGATTCTAGCTTTTCATGATTAATTGTTTCAACTCTATCAACCTTTACAATAAATTATCATAATTAAATACAAATAAATATTCAATTTTGTACTTTTGTTCCAAGGACTTCAATATTTTTATAAGCCATGTCAAGTAATTTTCTATTAATATCTACAGTAAATACTTCTAAACAAACGTTATCAATATTGTGAGCCTCATCAAATACAACTAGGCAATCCTTCCAGAATTCCTGTGATAAATAATTTGAAATATAACTTAATAAACTATTTTTATAATAAAATTTGAAATAATTTATTTACTTTGTCTAATATTTCAGTCATTTTTGCATCTAACATGTACATATAATTATAAACTATAATATTGCTTTAATTAAGCAATCTTCTTGCTAAAAAATAAGGACAGATGTTGTTTTTTTCTCCATACTGTCTTAGATCTTCTAGGTTATATATTCCTTCTGTAAATTTCAATTCTTCTTTTTTACCTTCAAAATTTTCAAACAACTGACATAATTCTAATTAATCACTATCACCTTAGATTTTTGATAAAATTATTAAACAATCTTCGAAAATATAAATTATTAATTTACCTCTACTAGATTTTTCAAAAGACTAGGCTCTAACCCAAGGGGCAGTTAATTTTTTACACTCTGCATCTACTCTGTCTCTAGACTGCTAACGAGAAACATTTGGGTGAATGCACAGGTTGCTCCTAAAAATATATTTTATTAAATAATTAATAAAAAAATTTTAGCAAAGTAGAGATCTGAAATGCTATTAGAAATTAGGATATAAATGAATCTATCTATTTACCTAGCTGACAAACCAGTGCATAAAAATTTAAATTATTCTTCAGGTTTTTCTTATTTTCTATTATCCAGTATAAATTTTACTTCTTCTATTGTTTTTTCCATTTCAACCACTGTACGAGTGCAATAAATTAACTATATTAAAACCATTACATTTTTATCTCTGTATTAAAAAATGATTTTTATTTATTTACTTTTTTAAACTTATCCTAATTAGATTCTAAATAAGATGTAATCAAAGCTAGTAGAGATACTGTTTTACCTGTACCTGTAGGCATTTCTATTATACCATGTCCCTTCATTTTAAATAACATGTTAAATAAGTTATAATCCAAAATGACAATAATAAATACATGGTTATCTAATATTTTTTTAAGTTCTTTCATGTACTCCAGCTATTCTTTATACACAGTTGGATAAGGAAAATAAACATCCAATTCATCTATCTTAAACTTCATTTTAAACCCAACCAATAAATATTTATTTATAAAATTCTTTGATTTTGAATTATTATAAATAATTTAGCGGAATTTAACAAATCTTTTTAATTAAGATTTTAAAAATAGACACAAAATTAAAAAGTATCGAAAATGGTGGATTTTATTTTAGAAAGATTCATAATTCTTTGATATTATTCTTGAAAGCAAATATTTTATCCATTTAAATGCATGTTAGAATATTTTTCAGCGCCAATACAAAAAAAAGAAAGTTGATAATAAAAATATGTTTGAAAAATCAAAAATTTACTGACTTACTACAGTAAACAAACATATTTAAAGGATCTAGTTTAATTTTTTCAAAATTTTAATCTTTAAGCTCGAAAAAACTTATCAAAATTTTATTTAATAATTTATCAAAAAAAATTGTTTTTTAAATATGAAAAAATTAATTTTTTAAAATAAATTGGTAAATTTGTCCAAGTTTTTTATTGAAATTTAATTTTTTTTAATTTACTTAATAGTCTTCATTTTTTTAAGTAAAGATAAAATTAATTTAATCATGATAATATTAATTAATTAATTTCTTTATATATCAAATTGAAGTAAATATGAATTTTATTTTTTATTAACTGAATTATTATTTGAAACTTCAGTTTTCTAAAATAGAAATGATTTTAAAATTATTATTTTAAGAAAATATTAAATATGTTCTAATTTTTCTTAATTTTCCTTAAATATTATCTTTCGATCTATCTTTTTTGTTCATTTAGTATTTAAAATTTCTTACTAAATGAAAATATAAATTCTAAAATTGAATAAGAACTCACTATTTTTATTTAATATGAATTTTTTTTAAAAAATAATCATTAATAATCAAAATTATTTTTTTAAAAATAATTAAAACCTATTTAATTATTAACACTTTTTTAAATTTATTGATAAATATTTATTATTTATCCTTGTCTAAGTCTTTATTTTAAATTTATTCATGCAATTTTAAATATTTATTGTAAAATTAAACAAAAATAAAAACAATATATACATTTTATTAGATAGTTATCTTTCTTTGTGACATTTTGTGTTTTAAGATTCTTAATTATTGTTTAAAATTTAATTTATTTTAAATTTTAAATCAATTTAACAAAGTGAAGAGTATTTAAAAAAAATAGTTAAATCAATTAATAAATTAAAAAAATAAATAAGAGCTTAAAATTATAAATTCAACATTTTTTATTTTAATATTTTATAAATTTCATACTATACTATCATAAATTTTATTACATATTTATAAAAGAATAAAATAACTTCAATTCTTACAATTTAAGCAAGTGTATTTATCACAAATTTTACAGTAATAGTAATTATGAGTCACCAAACTTCCACAACTGCAAAATTTGTTAACAGGAGTACCAGATGAAATCCATTCTAGGTCCTTATGGTTGCAAATTGTCTTATTTTAGTCATTTTAATCTTGTTTATTTTATTAGACTTGTTAAATACTACTTTAAGAATAATATTCCTAACTATAATATTACTAACCATTATAGTTAGATGATTAAATTTCGCTCGGATATTATTGGTAATTATACATACTTTACGGGCGGTTGTAATAGTTATTATTAGGGGGATATATACCTGTATTTTAACAGGTACTTTAATAATATTAAGATGGTGGATAAAAGTTACTCTAAACCTATGATTATTAAGGAGGATATACTAAAGATTATTGTCTTGGATAGACTGGAATGTTTGCCTATGACTGTTAATAATTTTGCAATTAAGATATAACTTATTATTCTTTCATTTGATTTTCATATTTACCCTTTATCATTTGAATTCCTGATTCGAAAATTCTTTTCAAAAAGTCACCCATATTTTCATTTTATTCTTTATTTTCATTATTTTCCTTTTATTCTTCTCCATCTTCTTGTTTATTTTACTCAACTTATTGATTATCTTATTTTAATTATTATTAGATTACTTCTTCTTCTTTAGGGTAATTATATTCTAAATTAACATCTTCCTTTTACTAAATTTATAATCCGTTCTAGTTTTCACTCTTCAAAAAATCTTGAAATTGTTTGTCTAATTATTCTTTAGTGTACATAGAAGAAATCTAATGTTTTAAGGAAGCAACTTCTTTTTTTAGGCTTTGAATACAGTCGTGATTTTACTATTCAGAAAATACATAATCTAAATCACATTTTTCACATTTCACTATTCTAAATGAACATTCAGACTCTAAGTGCTATTTAATACTTTTGAGTTGTACTTGCTATTAGCATCCTTTATTTTCACAAGACACAAAATTATAATCGCAATCAACACTTTCATGCTAATTTGCATTAAGCAATTTGAGCTTTTACCTGCATCCAAGTTAATAGTTTTTACAATAAAACTCTATGTTTTCTATAAAGTTTCTTATTGACCTATGAGGTTTGTTTAAAATCCATTCTTTACAATTGTTAGGGCAAGAGCATGGTTAATCTTTTTTCTTTTTTTTAATTAAGTCTATACATCTATTGCAAAAAATTGTTTCGCATGACTTGCATTCTTTTATGTCTAAAGAAATTTCATAGCAAATATAGCACTGATAATCTTAAAATTTATCTTCTTCAGTGGTGGTTTCTTCTTTTTAATCCACAACACTACATATTCTGTCAGAGTTAAAGTAGTAATAACTAGTTTTTTCTTCAATTTCTTGACTCATATTTCTTTGATAAGTTTCTTTACTATCTTTTTTTTTTTTAATTTTTTTTTGATAAAAATACTGATATATAAATAAGATATTTTTTTTTAAATCTTATCTATTTTATATCACCAGAAAAATTTAATTTAATCAGAACTAATGTGATTTATCATGTCCTGAAGGCTACCACAAATTGTATAAAAAATATTCTAATCAATCTAATAGTATCAAAAATTTAATTTAAAATAGATAATTTTATTATTGAAATAAAATTTAAAAAAAAATAAATATTTTATTTAACAATTCTTTTTAATATAAATTCACATCTCTATATTGTGTTTAAGTAAATGAAACTATTATTTTTTTTAATATCCAAGATATGCAAATTAAAGCAAATTTTTGTTAAATGGAGAGCATAACTTGTTACAAAGCAATAAAAATCTCTATATCAATAGAAACCACCTAAATTAATAAAATCACATATTTTTATTAATTTGTAAGATTTTCTAAAATTTCTTTACTTTTTTATTAATGAATTGAAAAATTTATAAAATAAGAAGTAAATATCAGGAACTATTAATCTTTAAATACTTTTTTATAGACTAATTTGATTCTGAATTCTAATAATTTAATATTTAAATTATTTACTTAAAAAATAGAAAAAAATATTTGATTTCTATCAAAGTAAATTATTTCTAAAATTTTCATGAACTCAATCTTGTAAGCTGAAATTTTCTATTTTTAGGATTGATTGATTGATTTATTTATTTATTCTTAATAATATTCATTATTGTTATCAATTATTTATTTTATTAGAACAATATTATATTTTCAATTAGTTATTATCTACTTTTTATTTTATATTAGATAAATTTTGTCTTATTATATTCAGTATTTTTAAATTAAGATATTTCACTAAAGATTTAAGTTTTTGTTAGTATTTTTGTTAATTCTAAAATTATAGGGGTGAGTGAAATTAACTTTTAAAATAGAGAATAATATAAATTTGAGAATAGTTTTGTATTCAATTAAATGTAATTAATTTTATGAATATTAAATTTTATTTTACATTGAATCTAAGAGTGCTTACCTCTTTACAAAAGTTTGGATTTATTATTAGTAAAAGTAATAAAAATTAGGGTTAAAATTATTTATAAAATAAGTTTAATAAATTCTATAAAAATAATAAAAAGTAAATATGAATTAATAATTATTCTTAAACTAAAATAATTTTACTTTCTTTTATTAAATTATCAAATAAATATTCTATTTTCAAGCTATTTTTTTCTCTTTCTCTTATATTTATATTAAAAACACCAACGTAAATAAATCAATTATAAATATGCCTGAATTTTTTAAAGATATTTTATTTTTAAATTAAAGAAATATAAATTAAGCAATTAAGCAATAAAAATAATTAATTAGAAATAAAATGATAATAAATGTATTCAATAATCATCATAGAAAAAATTCTTTTTTCTTTTGTTTCTTTAAGGTTAAATTCTTGTAGGTTTTTAGATTTCTTTTTTGATTATTTTAACTTTATTTTACTCTTTTAACTATTAAGGACATTCTTCTTATTTTTTCAAGTCAGCTTCCTCTATTTTTACTTATGTTTTATAAGTGCACTAATTTTCATGGGTCTATAGATTATTAAGAGTAGAAATCTCTCTACATCCATTTAAGTAATAAGTACATTAATATTTTGACTCATTTATTAAAGTTTATAAGTTTTTTATAGTGTTTTACAATTTAAGTACGTTTTTGCAGTAAAAGCAATTTTAGCTTGCTTCCTATAATAAAATAGAGCAATTATAGCAATACATAGTTAAGCAATTTGAGCATTCAAACATTTATGAGCATATTTTTAGGCAAATATTGCAGCAACTGTCAATTATTTCTGGGGTTTAATCAACAATTTTATCTATTTCTATACTAAAAATTTTTTTTTATCCTTTATTTATTACAATACTACTATCATTACTGTTTATTAATTTAATTTTTTAATTATATTCTTAAAAATGTCCATCTTATATTTCACCTAAACTCATATGTTTTATTTAAAAAAGCTATTTTTCGTCTAACATAATATTTTATTTTACTATTATTTAAATTTCTTTAAAAAAATTATCAATTATGTAAAAACTAATTTCATAATAATCTTCACTCACTCACTATGTTTGTTAAATTATTAGAGTGAGTTAGTAAAAATTTTAATTATTTATTAATTTTCCAAATTATTTCAAAAGTTTGTTAAAACTTTGATTTTTAATAAAAATTTTTATAAAATTATTTGAATAAAAAGTTTAAAAATTATAATTGATAAAAATATTTATGAAAATTAAAAAATATATTTCACTAATAAATTTGATATATTGAACATATTATTTGGATTATTTATTAGAAAAATATAAATTTAAAAAATATATTTAATTAAATTAGAAATTAATTGATTTTACAAATTAAAAAACTTTTAAAATAATTCAATTTTTAAAAATAAATTTAGATTAAATAAAATTGTTTTATATAGAATTAATATGATGAAATAAGTAAATATAGTCAAGTTTAATTTCTCAGCACAATTAAATTCATTTTACAATTTTGAAGTAATCAGAATCTCAATATAATCCGTTACATGGTACATTATTAGGATAAGTGACATTATCAAATAATTTAGGTATTTGAGTAATATCTACTGTTGAGTTGCTTGTATGAACTTAAATAAAAGTACTAAGAGACTTTGAAACTGTATTACCAGATAATTAAGGAACAGCATATTAACCTGTTGAGTATGAAGCCATGTTAGGGAAAAAGCAATGAAGTATACAAGAAATCACCCAGAATCCCCAATCTGGTTTATTAGCCTTTATAATATTTAATTATTTCAGAGTTTCGTTTTGCAATGCTACTCCTCTTGCAATTTCATCGCTTGTGCAGTTTTGGAGACCATGTGTAGGAGTTATGCAGTTTACATTAAGTTTATTTCTTAAAGTATATTCATCATAAATGGATTAAATTATGAAAGTTGGAACTGGAATCAAATCAGTTATATATTAAAGATAACCACACTTATATGCATTAGCATCATCATTTATATAAGGACATCCAGAGGGTTAAATAAGGAATCTTCTATTGTTCGTAATCAGATCCCAAACTTAAGCTTATAAACTTGCCATTGGATTAATATCTGGATAAAAGGAACTATCAGGAGCTGCAAGTACTTTAATTTTTGGATTAAGGAAATTTCTTAAATACTTTGTCCAATATAAAGTAGCTACTCCTCCTGCACTCCCACCACTTAAAACAACAGTGGATGATTACTTTAAACCAAAATTATCTGAAAGTGAATTAAACAACTCCACCATGTTGTCATATCCTCTGAAGTACATAGTCATATTTTTGTAGTTTATAGGCTCTGAGCTACCCTAGTATAGATGTCCATCGCAATACCTCACAAAAACTTAATTCCAATTATACATAACAGAATTTTAAGAGGGATAGAAGAAATACTGTCCAAATATGAAGCTTAAGGGCCATTAGTTACTTGATCCAAGAATTGTACTTGCTCTTTAATAACATGCCTCAAGCACTCCTTCAAGAGTATAATGCTCGCATCTACCACCACCATCTAAGAAAATGAAAAACTTATCAGCTCCATCTCCGTACCCTTTATTAAAATAGAAACCAGGTTAAGTGCCATCAATACATCTTGCCCTTGTGTTAGGAGATAGGAAATACAGATTATTATTTTAGCAGCAAACACAATATAATATTGCAATAATCAAAAATATTGTTTTTATGATTCTCATTTTTAAAAAAATTTTTTATTTTAAATATTTATTATTTCAATTTATCAAATCTGCAGATTGTGTTTTTATGCAATCAAAAAAACTCGTTGCAACATAAAAGTATAAAATTAAATTAAAATTTAGTCCATGAAAATATTTTGAAATTATTCGTGGCTATTAAAGTTTTAATTCATAATAATTTGTGTATTTATATGATCTCAAAATCTGCCGAAATTAAATAAGCCAATATATATCATTATGTAGTATTATTATTTATTTGTTAATTACCCATAATAGTCAAATACTTAATGTTTAAATATTGATTTAAAGGGCTATTTACATTTAAAATTAATTAATTTATCATAATAAAGCACATTTTTTGCTAAACATTTTAATGAACTCTTTAGCAACAAAAATATTTGAAAAAAATGTAATACCAAAATACTAAATTGAAAAAATAAACCATACAAAAATAAATATAAGCTATTGAACTTATAAGAGCAATAAGTCTGCTTACTTTAATTTAGTTAAATATATGGAATTTTTGCTATTTAAGGAATTGAGAAAAGAAAAGAAAAATATATTAAATAAATCAAAAAATTTCAAATATTTTGAAGGGAAAAAATAATATTTTTAAAAATTAAATTAATTTAATTATTTAATTATTTTTTTTATATTTTGAATATGAAGAATTTTAAAACTTTTAGCTTACATACCCTTATAATAATCCTATTATTTGTATCTTTATTAAATGGTAGAAATTTTAATTAATCATTATATTAAATTTTTATATTCAGTAACATATCTATAAAATAATAAAATCGTACTTTAATTATGAAAAGAATTCGATTCAAAATTATTATTTTTCAATTACCAAACAAAGTAAGCAATCTTCATAGTATAAGAGTTATCTACATTTTCGCTTTAAGATAATATTGAATTTAGTATATTAAATAATTAAAAGCAATTCTTAGATCTTAATTATTATTTTTTTTACTATTTATCGTTGGATTCTAAAATTGAATAATAATCAATCAATTAAATTAGTAATATTTAAAGCAAATATATTTTTTGTAAATAAGTAAATTTTATTGATTTTTTTTTAATTTATATATAACTTATTATATACTTATGGAGATAAGTGAATTACTACGCAGAGGTAATTTTAGTCGCTCATAAATATTTTAGTCATATATTTAAGGAAGTTAAAATTCGCTTAATGATTAAGATGCTGCATCTCATGTGAATTATTCTAAATCTCCTACTAAAGCAAATTTAAATTCTAAGTGTTCGATGAATAATACTAAAAATTCTGATATATCATATAGTAGCTAATATGGAAGAGACAAGTTCTTTATAATTAGAAAGAATAACTCTAAAGATACATTAGCAAAAGGAGTATTGAAAAACTAATCTTAGATGAGTTTAAATGATGAAAGCCTAATTAATATCTAGAATACTTATAAATCAAAAGCAAATTAATCAACTGGTGCTGGATATTTTTCAAGTGTTAAGAGCGAAACATAATTCACAAATAATATTGATGAAGATACCAAAACAGATGCATAAATTTTATCATCTTAGAAAAAAAATGCTCATCACAAAAAAATTGTTTCCATGGATCATAATTATAGTGGTTAAAATGAGTAGTGGTTAAAGAAAATATACCCACAATCTCAACAGTAGTCTAGGAGAAACAAAGAAAAGTTAAGTCTAGAAAAAGAAAAATTATAAGAAATACTCACTTAATCTACAGCATTTGCATCACCTAAAAAATACTTTCATTAGAAATCATAAAGTGGAAGCTAAATTACAAATTATGGATAGACTTTTTATCAACCAAGCAGTTAAAAACATAAGAGATAGTAATCTTAAACAAGTTAAAATGATACTTTCAAGCACGAGTCTACAATAGAATCTCCTATGCCAAAAACATCTAAGCAGAACCTTTTTTAAGAATCATCTAAAAATCAAAACCCTTATTTCAATTCTGTGAAAGCAGAAGCTCAAAGTCGAAGCACAACAAACAACTTCAAATATTTTTTAAAAGATATTAAAGATGATAAAATATAAAATGATAACTAATTAAATACTTCTGACCAAAATATCAAATGCTAAACAGCTAGTTCTCAAACAAACAATTAAACTATTCTTAGAAATACAGCAACAACCAAAAAATTTAGGAGTTAGGAAAAGTATTAAGAATAAAATTAATCATAAAAAAATTTTAGTTCTAAAATAAACCCTTTTTTCTCTTCAACAAAAGATTAGAATAAGAAACCGAGCTCTAAGCTCGATCATAAGCTTAGTCAACGTAATATTCAGATAGGAAATATCAGTTCACCGATTTCTGAATATTTTGAAGATTAAGAATAGTACAAAAAAATATATAATGGTAGGAATATTAATTAAAATATTTCAAGCAAAACAATAGAAAATTCATGCAAAGAAATTTTACCTCAAAAAGAAGATAATTAAGCTTAGCATAAAAGCAGTTATAACTTTAACACAATAGTGAATATAGTAAGAATGAAAAAAAAAGTAAATGAAATAGTTAAAAAAAATTAAGAAACTAACCATAAGAAAATGAAAGAAAGTGAAGATAGTGGTTCAGATAGTGACAAGTAAGCAAATAAGCACAATGCTTAATTTTAGTCTCATAAAACTACTGTCCATACCTAAAAAAATGATGAAGGGTGTGATATTCATGATATTTATGGAACTTTTAATGATAAGATAAAATAACTTTAGGATCAAATTTATGAAGCCATCTAAGATTATTAGTTAGCCTACACAATAATAGAGCATGTTGAAAAAGAAAAAAATTAATCTAGAGTCATAGATACGGTTGAAAATACAATATAGTCTATTTTTTTATCTTTGGATTTCCTTGAAAAGATACCAAACCACATTAATGAAAGAGAAGAAATAGATAAAATTCTTTCGTAATAAGCTTTGGCAATAATGAAAAGCACACAAGCTAATCTTGTCATACAAATAGAAACTGTATTGATTTATGCTAAATATTGCAAGGCGATTTGCAATTTCGGAAAAGCCTTAAGATTATACAAATAGTGCAAAAACATGTCAATTTCACCTCTTATGTAAAGATATAGAATGAAATCGTATAAAAGTATAGGACAATGCTTTTCGAATTTGAAACTATATAATATGTCCTTATTATATTTTGGTAAATATCTAGAATGTGCATGGTACTTAGACGATACTGATGCAGAGCTTTAAGCTTATGATCTAATTGGTATGACCCATTATCTTCTAGGTGATTTAGAATTAGCTAAATTTTATCATGAAAAGATGATTTAAAATGATAATGAACCTTCCGAGTCTGTGGTAAAAACTCTTAATTCTAAAAAAATTGTAGAAAAGCTAAAAAAATTAAATACTGAAGAATACATTTAAAAGATGGCAGTTAGCTACAAGAAGTTTTTTGCTAAAATCCACAGCATTGATTATGAAGAGGATTATGAGTGTTCGTCTTCCGATGATGAATTTAAAATAAGTATTCCTAAGACAAGTTCTCAAAAGAAAAACTAAGACTATGAGCAGTACTTAAGAGATTTATCTCCAAATGCTAAAAAGAAGTTAGAGTCTGAAAAGAAAAGATTTATAGCAATATATAATGCCGAAGATAAATTCGCTTAGTTGCAGATTAAATAATAAGCTAATTAAAATATAAGAATGCTAGAGTACAAAAGGATGGCATTTTAATTGCCTCCTCAATTAAAGTACACGTCAGCAAAATCGTTTAAGCCAATTAATAGTACTTAAAAATTTCCTTTCAGAATAAATCAGTTCAGTATAAATAGAAATTTAGATAATTATCTTGCTTAAGATCAGCGCATTTTAAAATACTTAAATTTCGATTTTTACAAGCTAGTAGAAGATAGTAATGACAAAAAGTTGAAACACAAGATAGTTTAAATATTAAGTAAATTTTAAAATAATTTGATATTTGCTCTTAGTCAAATTCACTGCTTAAGAGAAAGAGATAAATACAAATAGAACAAAAGAAGATTTGCATTTTCGGGTGTTGCTGATTTCAATAAGCCAAACAACTTAATCCTCATGAATATTAATTTCTCATAAGAAAAAATGCAATAAGCTTTAGAAGAAAAGAAAAAATTTCAACCTCAAGAAGACAAATCCAAACCAAATTCCAATAAATAAAAATTCCTTTTTATATAAAGATTTCAGATGCCTTCAGAAGTGGAGTCGTATTATAAAAAATGATAGAGAATATTAAAATTTACTCTTTTTAAAAAATTCAATTTAAATTTTAAAAAATTTCTATTTAATTACAATATTAAAGTCATCTAATGAAATAAAAAAAGATAGAATTAACCATACAATTTGGAATATAAAATATTATTAATCATTAAATATGAAATTTAAAGTATCAATCATCTAAATTACAATATAAAATATTATAATCTAATTATACATAAAAACTATGAACGATATTATATGGAATATAAAATTTTATTAACCATCATCTAATTTAATTGATAAAAGATTAGTTATTTAATATAAAATAGATAATATTATTAATCTTCTAATTATATTTCTACACTATTAATTGTCTCATTATATATTTAAACTATTAATCGTCTATTTTGATATATATAAATATTAATTATCTAATTTAAAAAACATTTGTTATGGATGATTTATAAAATAGACTAATAATCTAATAATTATATTAAATAGAGTTATCATCAAATAATAATATAAAATAATTGATAACAATAAATTAATTGAATAAAATGATTTATGAAATTACATTTATATTTTAATATGTATATACATTGTTTTTTGTAAGATGATAATAGGAATTAATTTATGGTATTTGAAAATTTACTTTTCATTTTATTAATTTAAAATTTGTGAAAATTAAAACTTCCAATAGAGATTAATATTAATAAATAAATAAATATTATTACGATTATTGTTTATTTGATTATTCAATTAAGCTAAATTAAATACATCGTATCATAATTTTATTGAAAGATCGTTTATCATGTCGAATTACATTAGCAACTACGTTCAAAGCACAATCGTAACCAAGACTGTCTAAAACAAAGACAAAAAAACAGGAAAAAATTCAGTTGATCCAAGAGTCATCAATGAATAATTAATATTGTAATCAATTCATTCAACATTTGCAATAAATTTTGAAAATAACCCAAAATTATATTAAAATTATTTTTTTTAACAGAGACGCAGTGAAGTAATTTAACTAGGAAAACAATAAAATTACAACTGAAAATATCATTCTTTAGTAGTTAAGGCAACTTTAGTTATCATTTAAAAGTAAAATTAGTTTGATTGTTGCTTACTTTAAAAAAAATAATTAATATACAATAATTGTACTCAAATATGAATTTAAAAAATTAAATTAACATAAAATTCAAATAGATATACTAAAGATATAGCACTTACAAGGTCTGGAAAGATTAGAGAAGCTACAATTAGATAATAATATTATTGAAAAAATAGAAAACATTGATCATTTAGTAAATTTGAAATGGTTAGGTAAATATAAAATATTAGCAATAAGTAAATAACAAACTCTATTTTGAATTTTAGATTTGTCTTTCAACTGCATCAAAAAAATAGAAGGACTCGATAAGTTAAAGGAACTAACAGATCTCTCCTTATTTAATAATTATATTGAGAAGATTGAAGGCCTTCATAATAATACTAAATTAAACGTATTTTCTATTGGCAACAATAGATTAAAATCATATGAAGAAGTAAGTATACTTAATTATTGAGTATGAAAATCATTCAAAATTTAAATTGTCATTAGATTACTTTATACTTTGGTTACAAGCCAAGAGGTGAAGAAGGCACTAACGATAGACCTGAATTCAAGCGTCTACAAGTGTTAAATGTTTCAGGAAATCCATTCACAAAAGACAAAGAAAATGAATACAAAGTAAAAGAAAATAAATAAATCTGTAATAAAATACATTTTTTTCTATTAGAATCATATTATTTGTGCTATTCCCAACCTTAAGTACTTGGATTATGTTTTCATTGATGAAGGAGATAGATAATTAATAAGATAGGATGAATAGATTAGTAATAGCTACAATTTCACAACTACTGATTACTATCAATAAATGTAAGCTCAAGAGTAGAAAGAAGAAATGGATAGATAAACTTTAAAAAAGAAAAAAGATGCAAGAATGGATATACTTGATAACTTAAAAGACGAATATCTTAAAATCGAAGACTTGCAGAGAGTTAAAATTATCAAGCCTAATTAAATTAATGAAGAAATAGAAAAGTAATTAAACTCTTTATTTATTTAGACCTGCATTTATATAATTATGTTTAAAAATAAGATATTGTGGTAAAATCAATGACCACGTTGTAGAAATGTAAGCAGCTGTTATCTAGAAGCACTAGCTCATTTTATAGGAAATGTCTAAAACTGAAGTATCATACAAAGAGTAAGAAGCTCTACATGAAAAAGAAACTTTGCAGATATTAAAAGAATTCGAACACGAAAAGAAGGTTGAATTTAGAAATTGGGAGAAAGAAGCTGCTAATGGTGATGCTAAAAAAGAAGAATCAAGGCTAAAAACATTATTGTAAAAAACAACAAGTTTAAAAAATAAGCTTATGGATATAGAAATCCAACTAGTAGAGGAATTAGAAGCCATATTCACAGACTATGATACCAAAAAGAAAGAAACTGCTTGGAAAGATATAGAAGAAATAATAGTTTTAGGGTAATTTGAGATGAAAAAACGACATACATTTATTTATTACTTATTAATATAAATTATTTAGATAAAAGAAAATAGAAGAAGAAAATGTTAAATTCTATTCTAACTTGAATGTCATCAAAAATAAAGAAGAAGCAAATTACAACAGTACCCAGTAGTAATAACTAGAAGAAGAAAATAATGAAGAAGATGATGAAAAAGCTAGTGTAATACAAAAGACTTAATTTTTCTCATTTATTTATTAACTAATTTACTTTTTTAACAAATTAGCTTCTTGAAAACAAAGAATAATTGGCTTAAATGATTGGTAATATTAAAGAAACTCTTATCGATTCTCACACTAAAATTGTAATTATTGCTATTATTTATTATCATTTCTAATCCAACAAATTCATTTTAATAAAACAGATTCTTAGTGCCTAAATGGAATTGCAAAAAGACTTAGCAGAGTATGCTAAATAACAAAAAAATAAAATGTACGAACGTAACAGAAAAAATATTAGTTAAATTATTGCTTAAATAGACGCTTATTAAACTGAAATCAATGAAAAGCTTAAATAAGGAGATGATGAATCCGATCATGAAAATTGAATTATTTTAAAAAAACTTTCATGAAATATTTTAGTTCAAATAATAAGTTAAATAGATCTATCTATCTATTGACTTAATTGTATTTGTATAAATTATTTATTTTTATAATATCTTTTATTCATAAATTTATTAAAAAATTTAAAATATTATTTAAATAATTTATTCTTACGTAAATTGATTCATTGATACATACATTTTTTCATACATACAACCAGTGTTTTTGTTAATCTTTTAAAACCTCATTTTAATTAAGTAGACAGAAAGAAGGAGATAATGAATGGAGTGAATATAAATATTTATATGCAGGTTTTAACATTAATTAAGATGAATCACCTTGTTGGAATGATTGCATTGATTTAATAGTGTTTTTGATTTTAGTTATTTAGTTATTAGGATCTACATAATTTAAATAAAGTACAAATTAAGAGAATATCTTTATTTACTTAAAAAGAAAAACAAACAATATTAAAGAAAGACTTTAAATAACCTTCTAAATAGTTAAAAGAAGCAAATTTTATAGTTTTTATTTTCTGAATTAATAAGTCCATACTAAACAAGCAAGGATAACACTAAATTAACAGATAGAAGATATAGTAGTTGAAATTATCGAATAACAATGGGTGTTTTAGAAAAGATAAAGGAAATAGAAGAAGAAATGGCCAGAACCCAAAAGAATAAGGCCACAGAATATCACTTGGGTTTATTAAAAGCAAAATTAGCAAAATATCGTACTTAGTTATTAGAACCAGCTTCCAAGGGTCCTAAGGGTGAAGGTTTCGAAGTTTAGAAATTTGGTAATGCTAGAGTATGTATGATTGGTTTCCCTTCCGTCGGTAAATCTACATTATTGAGTTCTATCACTGAAACTGAAAGTTTAGCTGCTGCTTATGAATTCACTACTTTGACTTGTATTCCTGGTGTAATTAATTATAATGATACAAAGATATAACTTTTGGATCTTCCTGGTATCATCGAAGGTGCCGCTGATGGTAGAGGTAGAGGTAGATAAGTTATTGCTGTCGCTAAAGCTTCTGATTTAGTTCTCATGGTCTTAGACGCTTAAAAAAGTGAGGAACACAAAGCCAAACTCACATATGAATTAGAAAAAGTAGGTATTCGTCTCAATCAAGAAAGGCCTGATATAACAGTAACTATAAATAAAACTGGTGGTGTAAAGCTTATATCCACTTGTTAATTGACAAGAATCGATGAAAAGCAAGTCAAAAATATTTTTTCAGAATATAAAATTCACAATGCAACAATTTTGTGTAGACAAGATGTCACAATTGATGATATTATTGATTCAATTGAAGGCAATCGTAAATATGTTCGTTGTCTTTATGTTTATAATAAGATTGATACCATCTCAATTGAAGAAGTAGATATGATAGCCCGTCAACCTAATAATGTCGTTATTTCTTGTCATCAAAAGCTTAACTTTGACTATCTCCTTGAAAAAATTTGGGAAAATCTTGGATTAGTCAGAATCTACACTAAAAGAAAAGGTAATTTGTTAAATCATTAGTTAACGTATAGACAATCAAGTGCAAAAAAATCACATAAATATTAGGTTTGATTATGTTAAATCTTATTTAGAATTAACCAAAATAATACTTATTGTTGAACATAAAATGTTTGTTTAAATTTTTATAAATTATTCATAATATTAAATAGGTTAACCTCCTGATTTGGGTGATCCTTTAATTTTAACTCACGGAAGAAATGGTTGCACAATCAAATCAGCAGTTGAACAAATTCACAGAGATTTGATTAAAGATTTTGCTCATGCAACTGTTTGGGGTAGAAGTGCTAAATTTATGCCTTAGAAGGTTGGTTTAAATCATATATTATGTGATGAAGATGTCATTTAAATCTATAAGAAGGCTAAGACTTCCACAAAAGCTAAAGAATCTAATAAATTAGTAAGTGTAACAGAAAAGAAAGATGTTAAAAAAGAAGCAAAGGACATGAAAGACCAGAAAGCTAAGGATAAGAAAAAATGAAAAAATAAAAAAAATACATAAGTTATAATTTGTGGTTATTTAAAAATTAAAATATTTTCTTTATTGTAGTCAATTAATTTAATTCCATTTTACTTCTATTAAATCGATAGATTTAATTTGTTTTTAAAATTTCTAATTTAACTTTTCTTTTCTTTAATTTAACTTAAATTAAATTAATTTTTTTTATTTTTAAAATAAATATTTTGCTTAAACATTTTAAAACATCATGCTTCTGAATAAGTAGATAATTAAATGTTTAAAATTATTTTATTACCCTATATGTTCTAATTTACTATTATTACTCTATCATTAGATTTTGTATACAATGCATTTTTAAGGGTGAAAAGTAAAAAAAAAAAATATTTTTAAGAATACTTATTTAAAGAGATAACATAAGTATAGAATAAATATTTTTATTAGAAATAATTATAATTAAATTAATTAACTAATAAATGAACATAAATATTAATAAATACTTTAAAATAAAATTTAAAAAGACTAAATAGTATTTGTTTATATCAAGAATGGTAAAATGTAAAGGCTTTTTCACTTCTATTTTTATTTGTTACTGGAGAATTTTAAGCATTACTTCTAGCAATTATACTTGTTTTTTACTCATTTCTTATAGCATTAGAATCAACTAAGTTGTTTTAAATTGCCTGATTAAAATTCATTGTTTAATTTAGTTTGTTTTAGTTAATGCTTGTGCTATTACTTTGCTAAGTATGGTTGGCTATAGCATTATTTAAATTATTATTTGAGATTAGCCTATTTCCTGATAGATAAGAAAAACGGTAAGAAGTGGAGTTTGTAAGTTCAAATTTATTTTTTATTTCTTCATTATTCATTTATAAAGAGTTTGTATTTTCTTTGAATATAGTTTCTTAGTCAAAATTCTATGAATGCTAATTCTGTGTTTAGTCGTCATGGTTTTACTTTAAGCTAAATTAGCTAATTTTACTGAAAATTGGATTTACCGAAAATGCTTTTGGTTAAATATTTGGACTTTAAATTTGCATACTTTTTGATATATTATCATCTATAGCTTATGAGTAACAGCTCTTTACTCTTGTTTATCTTACAGATCCGTTTAGTATTTCTTTTTGAGTTGGTACTTTATTTTTAGCTGAATTAGGAACATTTTAAGAAGAATCGCGTGAGATATGTTTTGAACTGGATTCATTGTAAACTGAGTTATTTCGAAAACGGCTAATAAAGCTTGCACTTAAGTCTAAATTTTACTAGACTGGAGGTGTATTCACTACTTTTTAGAATGAAATTAATGGAGACTTTGTTTTATTTTATGCAGGTAATTAAAGCTATTCTTTATGGGCTTGATTTGCATGAGGGATGCTTTTTCTTAGGTTAGGTATGCCTGAATATAATACAGATAAACCCAGATTTTAGCTTTATTGTTAATCTTTAGCAAATTAGTCCATTCTCTTTTTAACAGGAGTTTATATATTTAATAGGGACATATTTAGTTTAGATTTTTCTACAGATAAAGGACCCTAAAAAGGTGATTACTAGAATTTTGTAGAAAGGTTTGGAGATTAGTTTTCGATATATTAATTTGCTAAGTTGATAAAAGGAAAAGGATGCTAATTACTACTTTAATGATTTATATGCGTTTAAGGTGATGCTATAGAACGAGTTTGTGAAATTTGCCCAATTTCTGGATATAAAACCTCTATGTTTTTATATATGGAAAAGGATGTCGTGATTTCATTTTTTTTTAAATTGTACAAGAAATTGATTTAATCAAAAGGACCAAGATATCTAAGGTTTTTTCTGGCTGAGCGCAAGCCTAAAGTAAAACTATTTTCTTCATCAATAATTTGATCTACTAGATTTTAGTCATGAAATTAATACTATAATGAGGATTCTATTTTGTGTTTTACATCTTCGATATCTTAGAGACAAATGTTTGTAATTTCTATAGTAAAATACGAGGAATATAGCTCGCCTTCTAGGGGAGGAGTATTTTCAATTATTTTCATGAATATTTCGGAGTTTTATTTACTATGTATTATTGAATTTTCAATAAAATTATAAAGAATATTATTGACTCTACCTACATCTTACAGGATAATAATATCATCTTTTAAATTACTATCCCATTAGTCTTTATGCAAGTCGTTACTTATACTTGTTGCACTTTTACGCATGCCATGATGCTTATTTGTAAAATCTTTTTCCTTTATATGGTCATTTAAGCTCTTTTCAGCTTTCTTATCACGGTTTTTTTCTTTCTTATTAATTTTTTTCTTTTTTTTATTTGATTTATTGCTTTTATCTTCATTTTTTTTCTTGTTGGTTGTTCTCTTTGATTCTTAAGAAGAGGTTAGACTATTATTGATAGTAGAATTTTCTATAGATTTACTTTGAGATTAAGATTGAGAGGAACTTGATGATTCCTTAGAAAGTTAGCTCTAAGATTGTTAATCAATTGAGGACAAAGAAATCTCTTTCTAGTTTATATCATTTATCATTTGATTACTTAATTAAACTTATTAAAGAGAATTTCGAGATTAATTGTTACTTAAATACCCATCTTTTTCTTTTTTTAATGGAGATAATATTGAATTAAAGTTTTTGCTCTTAATTTTCTAAAGACTGTTTTCACCAAATTCAAATTTTTAATCTAAAGAATGCAGTTTTTAAGGAGAAATTTCATATTAACATGATTCGCTTAGATCAGAAATTTCTTATAGATTTCTAGATTCGAGACTACATTTTGGAAAACTTACAATCAATGGATTCATTTTATTTTTTAGTTTTTTGGCTAAAGAGTTTTCGAGATTTTCATGATTAATTTCAATAGCTGGAATTGCCTCTTAAGAAGAATCATCTAGATTTATTTTTGGAATTATCTATTTTTTAGAGTTTTTTAAAATCTAAAGATCTAAATCATCTAACACATGATCGGTAGAGTAATTATGTATTAACGAGCTTAGTGGAGATTGCATTATCTATTGAAGTAAGCTATTAGGAGGGCTAATGTTATTCTGAAGATTTAAAAAAGATTGCATTTTAATTTTGTCAGATAAGCTATATTACTCTACACAATTGATAAACTTTTATTATTAATTGAAAAAACTATTTTAATAAGGTTTCTAATTAGAATATTAATTGTTGCTGCTAAAATGCTCATCTAAATGTAAATAATCAACAGATTAAGACATCTAATAAGAGTTGTTTGGATTTGCTTCAGAACCGAGATAACTTTCAATTTATTTAATATTAACTTTTTACTATGAATTGCTTAAATTGTATGGAGAAAAATCATTAGATTATACAGACTTGTTCCTTTTTATTTTATTGGGAGTGCTTCCAGTGATGTTTAGATAATTTAGATTATCTAAGTTAGCTGTATATTTTTAGGACTGATTAATTGAATTTTAAACAGAAGCTTCTTCATTTTTTTCATTTTCTTCATTAATAATTTCTTCTTTCCTAAGTCCTAATTTAATTTATTAAAATGCTGTTGATTGTTAAAATTCGATATTTGAGGGATTTGGCATTTACATGTCATTTATTTATTTTTAATTATTTAAGGTGCTGGTTTGATTGTCAAATTATAAATCATTATGGTTTGTATATTGATTATCAGTATTTGACTCGATGCCACTTGATTGGTATTAAGCTAAATTTTAATTTTAAGAAAGTTTATTGGAATTTAAAATACTTTAGCTAAATTATTAAAATTGCTGATGCTATGATTGTTGCTGCTATATTTAAATTAATGAAAGAGGTGATTTATACTAATTAATTTAGCTGTTTAAATAGTAGCTTGATCTTCCTCCATTTTTTGGAGAAAGTTTTTAAAGATCAATCTGAGAAATCTAAGAATGCGCTCCTAAATGCGATTGACTAGCATACTTACTCGAAAAAGCTTAAAGCGATTCATCAAAATTGTTTAGATGAGAAAGATTATTTATGTTTGTATTATTCATAGTTATTAAGTGATTATTACTTAAATTTAAATTATTTTATTAATTTAGTTATATTTAATTGTAATGACTGTAGCAATTGTTTTAAATATTTTAGCTATTTATTTGATTATTATTTGAGCTTAAATTATTACTAAAGTTGTTTAAATTTATATTTTTTTCCTATATTTTATTTGCTTAGCTTTAATTCTCTTAGTTGTCTGTTTTTTTCTAATACTCGTACTGAGTTGTATCAATGTGCAACCTAAACTTTTAGTTATTTTTGTGGAGTTAATAAGAAAATCTCTTTAATATAGTTCTTATCTACTCAACTATTGAAAATCGCTAAGAATTTATTGGAATTTTTTTTTTAGAATACGACAAATTTTGAACATTTTTTACCTCATTAATTGTCCTTTAGCACATCTAAAATGTGGAAGATTGTAATATTGAAAATATTGATTTAATGCTTTCACTGTCATTATTTTCAATATTTTATATAGCTTCCTTCTAAAATTAAATAAAGTTACGAATGATTTGTTCTATATTATTTAAAACTCTAATTCTGCAGTGATTATTTAAGTGATAAGATACTTTCAACAAGTCATCTTTGCTCTTAAGTCTCTCCTCGTTAGATAAATTATCAACAGTTATTATTGCATAGTTTTAATCAAAAAAAAAAGGCATTAATTTAAGCTAAAATAGCTTAACATCATTTTCTTATTCATATTCTATTTTTAGCTCATAAACTTTCTTGCTTAAATTTTTATCTTAAGTTGCTTTAATCATGAATTCTTTTAAATAATGCTTCAAATTTTTCTTATCTCTATTTGCAAAATTTCTACCATTATTTGCACTTTTGTTTGAAAGATAAGTGTGCGACCTTTAGGCTCTATGCAGAGCATTATTAACTTTATTCATTTACAGTAAACTGGTTCTCCTGAATTTCTACAATCTTTATTTGAGAGGTGATGAGGTTCCTTGTTAATCATTGTCAACTTTGCTACCTCTTTAGCCTTTAGATCGCTTATCATATTTTGTAGGTGAATCTTTTTCATTTGCTTATTCTGTGTTAGTAAACTTTGTGTCACTCTAACAATTTTAAGATTATTAAACACATGCTTCATCTAAGAATATTTATAAGTCATCGTCATTGTAAATTTTAAGATTTTACTAAGTGAACTCATTTGAAGAATTTAATACAATACGCTAATTATTGCTGTCATACTCAATCATAATTATATTTATAGGTAAAAAATATTTAATTACTTTTTGCCATATTTAATTTGTTTGGCTTGTAAGAAATAATTTTTCTTTACGCCTTTCTTCCTAAACAATTTTAGTAAAGGCTATTAAAAATGTCAAAGTAAGAATAACAATCATAGGCAACTTTAAATAATTTTGTTCATAGATATTGAGCAATATTATTTGCACAAATGAACTAATCAATAAAAACAATTTAAAAAACAAGTTGGTCCCTGTAAGAAATAAATAAAATATGATACCAATTGAGTATCCCTAAAAGAAAAGATTGTAAGTACTATATTATGTAGTTTCAAAAGAATCAAAGATGTAAATGATAATAATTAAATGCTATGACAATAGAGAGAAATACTACCAAATATTAAAGTAATCGGGCTTTAATCTAATCAGTAAATAATGGAAAACTTATATGCCAAAAATTATAATGAAAACAATTGCTGTATAAAGCTGTTTTCCTTGAGGAGTTTTTATAAAATCTGAAATTCCAATAGCAGTAGTCATAAGCATTAATATTGGGAGAATTCTTCTATACAAAAGAACTATCCTTTTTGCTTCTAAATTAGTATATTTCTATGACATTATCGGAGTTAACACCCTCCTTTTACATCTACTAAAAAGCTTTTTCATGGATAAACAACTCTCTTCTTATTATTGGCCAATTCAGTTTCTTCTCAATATGCAATTAATTTATTCTTGTTTACAAAAAAATAGTAAATTAATCAATCAAATTTTTTCTTGTCTTGAAAATTAACTAAAATTTCTAATTAATTTATGTAATTGATGTATTTAATTCTACTGCTCTTTTCCAAATGTTATTTATTTTGCGTGTTAAATAATGTCTTATTTTTATAGTATGAATAATTCACTCACGAAAATTAAAGTTTTAAAAATTATGTAAACTCTTTCATTTAAGCCAATTATATTAATTTACTTAGTTATTTATTTTTACTGAATCCATAATTTTTTTTTAATTATTTTTTGAAAGTTTTTAATCTTGACTTTAAAATTTGTTTTTTTTATGTCAAAAGTAAATGATAAAATTATTAACTAAAAGCAAAATTATTTTTTTTTAAATTTTATTTTTCAAGATATTTTATTTAAAAAATGATTTTTATGAAATATAAATTTAATTTTTTAAACTTTCTGTTTCGGCAAGAAGTTTCAAGTTAGATATTTAATAAATATATCATATAAATTAATTTAAAAAAACTATGCTTTATATTGTTTAAATAAGTAAATAACCTATAAAACTTTTTATCTAATAGTTATGAATTTATTTAATTTATTTTAAAATTAAAATCAGAAAGTAAAGAGTTAAAATAGATTTAGAATTATTAATTTTTATTTAAAGTTATTTAAAAGAGAAGTTAAGGATTTCAAAAAATATATTTATATATTTTTAACTATTTAAATTTAGCAGCATACTTTTTCTTTAAATTGATACCAATTTACTCTTACAATTTATTAAATCATTTCCTTGTTAATTATTTTTAATATAATTGAGCAAAATATTTAAAAATCATACTAATCCTAAGATTGATAAATTTTTTGAAGTTTGATTAGTAATAAAATTAATATGTTATATAAATTAATTTAATAAAATTTTGCTTTATATTTTTAATTGATAAATAAGTAAATCAATTATAAAATTGTTTATTTAATAGTTCTGAAAATATTTAAATTATTTTTAATATTAAAATCATAAATTAAAGTAATAAAATAGTATTAGATTTACAAAATTTTTTATATTAATTTTGATATAATTTCATTTAATAAAAAAGTAAGAGATATCCTAAAATATTATTAAATATTTTAACTAATTTTTTTTAATAACTTAGCTTTTCGTATATGATTTCAATTTAGTCTTACTGTTTATTGATTACCTTGTAAATTGTATTTACAATAATAGAATTAAATATTTAAAAGTCATGTTTATCCACACACTCATTAATCGACAATTAATTTTTGGAAAAAATAGCATATTATCTCTAATTAAACTCTAAAAAACTCTAGAAAAATTATGCTTTGATGAAAATATAAATATTTATTCTAATTCTATTTTATATTTTGTAATTATTATTTTTTATTTTTTGAATATTAATAACAACTTTATTTTCAAATTTAAAGGTCATCAATAGATAATTTTTTTTTTCTTTATTTATTTGTATCTAAAATCATAAAAATTTAATTTCAAAAACTTTATATTTAAAATACACTACGACAAATAAAATCAAATGAAGAATAAAAGAAAAGCAAATCCATCTCTTAGTACTAATTATTAAGAAGAGCCTTCTTTGTAGGTATTTTAAAATGCTATTTTAAGTGAGTAATTAGGTACTTTGCAACCAAGCACCACCTGCTAAAGTAAATAAATACAGCACATTTATAAAAATTTTTCTAGTTTAAATCTCAACTTTAAAAAAAGGATGTTCTTCGCCATTTAATTTAAGTCACTTGAATCATTCTTATGAACAATAAAAGCAAAATTAATTTTTTTTAAATGCAAGCTATGAAAATTAGTAGAGTAACTAAAATGAATATCAAGATATTAACTAAAAAAGACATTTATTTGATAAAGAAACTGAAATTAATCATACAAAAAATAATTTAAAAAAATAAAGTAACGATGTGAGGAGATCATTGTAAGTTTAGTCAACAAAAAATAGGTCAAACACTTATAATAGGGATAATAATAAAAAATAAATAGCAACTAGCATCAATAATAATAGTTTTAATAATTCTAAAAAGATGAATTTTTCTTCAAACGAGCATGGAAGGCAAGATAAAAACAGGAAATCTTCTCCTCTAAAACTAGAAAAGGATAGTCAAATAACTATTCAACTTAAAACAATAGACAATATAGTTGAATAAAAAGTTAAAAAAAGGGAATAAAGGCTTATTGAGAAAGAAAACGCAATATTAGAGCTTCAAGAAAACTTTAAAAAAAAAATAGAAGAGTTAGACAATAAGCTAAATTTGTAATTAGTGAATCAACAGTAAGATAGAAGTGTAAACGACTTTGTTGGAGGCAGATTATAGTAAGGATAATCAATTCCTATAGCTAGTGCTTATATAGCTAACAATTTAAATGGCTAGAATGTTATAACATCATCTTCTTCGATTGATGGAAGAATCACATCATAAACAGGTTAAAATGAATCTATTTTTAATATAGCTAACAGAAACAATACATTTGCTAGGAATTCTAGTGATGCAACTACAAATTTTACAAATAACCAAAGCACTTCGCTATTTAGTTAGAATGGAATATCTTCTGATTAGTTGCTCATAAAATAATCCTAGTAAAACCAGTAGAGGTTAAATATTAAAAGTAGAGATTTATCTAGTGAGGAAAATCTTCATAGAAGAAATAGATCAAAAACATCAAACTAATTTACTGAAGATTTAAATCCCAAAAACATTTACTCAACTAACAACAATTCATATGCAAATTGTGATTTTTTGAATTATACTACAGTAAATGGTAATAATTTTACTTAAGAAAACACTTGCAATTATGAGAACGAGGACTTTAATAATTAATAAAACTCTGAAAATTCTGATTAATCTGATTAGCCATTAATAAACTAGGCAGTTAATTGCTAATGCAATATTACTTAAACAAACATTAATTAAAAAATTTAAAATCGTAATTTAGTATTAGAAAATTTAAGCTATTCTATTTCCAATAAAAATAGCAATAGTACTAAAACTAAAAGTATTTCTCCTTACGGACAAGTACAAACTCCTAATAATGCAGGTTAATTTAATTACAGGATAAATACATAGAATTCATATTAAAATAGTGGCAAAACAGCAAATGATATTTTAAATAATACACTTTCTTTAAATAATACAAATTGTATGTTGAATTAAACTCAATACAATAACCATAATATGTTAAATTAAACTCTAAATAACAACTAAAATATTTTGAATACAACACTAAGCAACAATCTTAATTTATTGAATACCACAAACTTGGCTATAAATGAATAGTTTTTAGATTAAAAAATAATGGAGAAGTAAAAGTAACTAGAATTTATTGAGCATGAAATGTTTTTAAAAGAGAAAGCAATTAAAGAAAAGAAGGAGTAAATTATTGACCTTGATAGAAATATATCAGAAAAAAAAGAATACATTCGTAAATATACTGACAATTTTGAAATACTCAGAGAGAATGCTCATTAAATAAAAATAGATTTAAATGAAGAGGAAAAAATACTTGAAAAAGTTAAGGAAGAAAAAAAAAAGGAGTTGGAGGAGACAAAAAACTTGAAAAAAGAATTGTCTAATTTGAATGAAAAAATAGCAGTATCAAAAGCAGAGCTTGAGCAAGTCGAGGCTCATATGAAAGAAAAAGAAGTACAGCTCAAAGAAAAAAGTGATAAATTGTAATTAGTTTAACTGCAACTCCAGTAAACAGAATCTTAAATTGAAACCTAAATGATTATGATTAGATAATAAACTGATTAAATAGAAATTAGATTTAAATAGCTAAATGATCTTTCTGTATTTGTTGATAAGGAGAGACGCAAACTTCAACAAAAAGAAGCAGATGTTGAAAATTTAAATTAAAATTGTATAGCAATTAGGGAATAAAATTCTAATAAAGAAAAATAGCTGAAGAAAAGAGAGGAAGATGTTTACAGGATGTAATTGCATTTAGATGTTGAAAGAACAGGAATTGAAGAGCTAAAGCAAAAGTTAAAAGAATAAGAAGCAGTTATTTCATCAGAAAAAAAGAAGTTAGATGAAGTAGCATCATAATTATCTTAAAAGCAGTAAAATTTACTTGAGTACAAAGAGGGTTGGGAAAAAAAATTAAAAGAAAAAGAAGAGAATCTCTTCCAAAGAGAAGGTTCAATTAAAATGAAAGAGGAGCTCCTGATTCAATAAAGTCAGTTATATCAAGACTTAGAGTTAAAAATGGAAGGACTAAATCTACAAGGATAATTATGGGAAAAGAAGTGCATGGTTGATTAATAAAATATTATTTAACTTTAAAAGAAGTACTCAGCTCAAGGTTTATTTAATTCTGCATCTGCATAAAGGAAAAAGAAAATTGTAAATTCTTAGAGCGGTGACTTTTCAAATAATAAAGAAAATGATTTGTTTATTAAAACAAACATAAAGTCAAATTTGTTTCCACCTTCATCCTTAAAACTAGTACCTTAATCAACTACTAACGAAACGACATAATCTTCATAAAAACCGCCATATTACTTCTCAAATGCAAAATCAGACTATATGAAATAAACAAATAGGAAATAAGATGATAATTAAATGTAAAACTATACTTAAGAAAATGAGTAATACTACCGAAATGAGCAAGAATTTAATGATACAGAAAATGATTAGAATTTAAATAATGCTAATATTATTAATTAAAGTGGAAACACAGGATTAATAAAGATCAACACCAATGAAAAAGGCTAAAATAAAAATAGTTAATTTTTCAAAAACTTTAACAAAAAATGAGAGTAATAAACAAATTCATAGAAATAGCTAGATTTAATAAATTTACATGTATTTTTTAAATTTATGCTTATCTGTCTATCAATCTAACTAACTAACTAACAATCTATCAAATTGTTTAATAGATAAATAGATAGATAGAAACAAACAGAGAAAATAATAAAAACCACAAAATATTTATATTATTAAATTAAAAAATTACTTCTTTTATTTCTAACAAATATTAATTTAAGAAATAGTACAAATAGTAAATAGTAAATATATGGATGGAGAGAGAGAGATAGGCGTAATTTATATTATAAAAATGCGTTCGATTAAAATACTTCAATATACACCATAATTCAACAAAATTTACATTAATCAAAGACTATCTTAATAATAAATTATTATTGGTTAAATATCTATCAGAAAGAATATAGTTACCATAACTTAAAGCATAATTAATTCATTTCAGACTATAGTTTCTGTAAATAATTTAATCAATCAAATTTTTTCCTCCTAACGCATGATGAGCTTACAGCTATCAAAAATATTTAATTTTTGTTCAAATTTATATTAAAAATGTATCTTACATATCAAAATTTATTTAGTTTTGTAGCATAATTTTTCTTTTCCTAATATTTTTGATCGATCAGAGAGTTTTCAGCAACATCTAAATTTAAATTTACATTTATAATTGCAAAGATATTTTTACTATTCATTACTCAATTCTTTGATAAATTCTTAAATTTATTAATGAAAAATATAATTAATTCTTAAAAATGAAATTTATAGTAAATATTTTGTGAATATGTAACTTTTTGAATTTATTTTTTATTTAAATGGTGCTTTTTTGAATCAAATTGATCAGTTTTATTTTAAGCAGGCTGCAAGAATGAGTGCGTTTAAAAAAGAACTCTTAAAAATATATCATTCATTTATATCAATAAAAAGAAGTATTACTTTTGTTAAATATCTTACTTTAATCAAAAAGAAATTAGGACTTATAATTTATAATGCACTACATTAAAAGACGAAATTCTTTGATAATAAATTAAATTATCAAAAATATCAACCATTAATTGTAATTATTATTAATTTAATTAATTTCATGGTAACAAGCTATTGTATTTTGAAAATTAATTGAGAAATTCTTTTGCTCCTTAATCTGATAATTCTCTTCAAATTTCTGGTATCTATGAACGTTAGGGTCATTTAATAAAATTTATTTTTACCATAGATATCAAGCAACTTAGCTCTCTTAATAAGTATATGAGTAAGTAATTGCATTACAAAAACATATTCAGAAGATACTTTATTTTATAATAAGCTATCAAAAATCTATATTTTCCTCTTCTTCTAGAAACTAAGATTGATAAATTCTTTGAAAAACTAATCATAAAAAGAAACCAAATATAAAATTGGCAGTAATATGTTTTTCTGATGATTTATAAATTTTCATTAGTAGAACCTGCATAAGGAGTTAATCAGATTTAACCCAAATTAAGCTCACCAACTTGTGGAATTGCATCAAATAAATATTATTCAGATTATGAAAAATAAACTTTTCTTCAAGATCAATCAATCAATCAAAATCTTTAGCAACTAATAAATTTATTAAATTTTTCCGATTGTCTTTTGAGAATATTTGATTTTTTTGAATTGAAATATAAGTTAAAGATATATGCAGAATTTATTTTGAGAGCAAATTAATTTTCATTGAAATAAAAATTTTACTAACAGATTGAGTAATTTGTGTTTGTATCTAACTATTTACTGAACAATATACTGTTTGAGATTAGGCAGACGCGAGATTTTAAATAAAAATAGCATTTTTGAAAAAAAAAAAAAAAAAACAAGAAAAATAATCTTCAAAGATTTTTAATTGTAGATACCGTAAAATAAGAAATACAATGATATTTTTTATTAATTAATAAATAAATAGAAGAGACAGATAGATAGAGAAAAATATAAATAGATAATCTGGGAGTGATAAACAAAAAAGTTAAGAAAATATTAATAATAAGTTTATCTAATTAATTAATATAAATTACTAATTCCAAAACAAAAAAAAAGAAAACACAAAAGTAGTAATTTACTCTATTTGACTGACTCCCTTTCTCCAATACAAATAAAAGAGTTTTTCATATAAAAAAACATTAAAGTTAATACTTTGTTTAGAATATTTCAGTATACTCACTCTAACAATAGCTTACAAATCACAGCAATCAATCAATATTTAATATTTCTAAAATTTCTTCCTATACGAAAATTAAATAAATTAAGCTCTATCTAACAACCACTAAACATTAGAATTAAATTAAAAAAAAAACTTAAATTAGCAGCAACTCCAACAAATTAAAGATTGATTGCATTAGTTTTCTGAGCTTTTAAATATTGAAAAATAGCAAAAAAATAAATATAAAGAAATAGCTTTCATTAATAGTTCTTAACAAATGAATAATCATCCAATTAAGGCGTTTCCGCTATAGTAGCATTTAGGAAATAATGGTAGTAAGCGTGTACCTTCTCCAGGAACGATTAATCAATACCAAAGCAATAGATAAGCTGACACAAATAAAAAAGCCATGAATCATTTATTTATTGACAACTTTGCTTTGAACGATGATAACTCTCAAATGAGGCGCTCAAAAAGTTCAGGTATTTTAAGAAAGCAGGAATAAAATGGTAATGGAATTGCATAAAATATATCCACAAAAAATAAAATCGGTGATAATAGAGGTACTTCATCATCTACTAAAAACCCTTAAGATTCCATTTTAAGTAGCTTATAAAATATACTCAATAATTAAACTCCTTTAACTAAAAATGCAAATACTCCAGGCAGTAGTCATAAGCGTACTCAAAGCACTAGTTTAGCTAATAGTCAATTAGTGGTTAAATCAACAAAAAATAACTAGCTAGGAAACTTTAACTAGTATGCTTCCGATTAAAACCTCACTAAGTCCTAGATTGTCCTTTCTTAAAATGGCTCTAACTCTGTTCTTAACAAATCTATCAATAAACAATAGCAGTAGCAACAAGATTATACTTAAGAATATAACAATTTAAAGTCCCTCTCTGCAAAAAATATTTACAAACCCTCTACCATTAATCAAAATCGCTACACCTCATTAAACAGTTAAAACAAAAGTAAATTTATAAAATTAATTTTTTTAGTTGAATTTGTTGAACCATTTTGCCTTTTTTATTTCTTTCCTATTTCTTTATATTTTATCTAACAAACACCTAAATTTATCAAAGGAGATTAGATTATGAATTTAAAAATATATTAAAATTATATTTTAATAAAATGATAGATGGAGTAAAAGGATATACAACTATTTAAAACAGAATGGAGTCTAATGAAAAACTTCCTAAATTAGAATCTCTAATCTAATAGCAATAGTAATAAATGCAGCCAATGCTTCAAATTCCTTTGGGATAATAGAACAATTTACATGTTAACAATTCAATTAACAAGGGATAATCAAAGGATCAACTAAAATCTAAACTCTAAAATGATCTATTTAAAGATAATGATTCCAGCAACTTACTCAATTCTCTTGTATCTAACAAAAATGTTAAATAATAAAATAATAACACTCTATAAAATAGCGGCTTATTCTCTTAAGGACCTAAAATCAACATAAACCTCTAAATTAAGAATTTGAACATAATTTCCCCTACTGGATTGCGTAATAATAACTAAGCTTCAACTAACGACAACACACCAAATAACTACTAACAAGATGACAGCAACTTATATGACGAAAACTTAGAGTCTTCAAAATAGACAGGAAATATTAATAGATTATAACATAGTCGCAATCCTACATAAGTAATTAATTTGTAATAAGGATAGAATAGACTAATTGCAGGAGGTATCAAGTAAAACTAGAGTACTCCCAATATATTTTTAAACAGTAATCAATCTCAGTCAAATTAAAATAAAGTTATTAGTGGAAATGGTAACAACGCCCTAGTTAATGGATACAGTGGATATCAACAAACTGTTTCTAAAAATTAACTTTAAAATCAATCAGAATCCCGCTAATCGTCTCGTCGTGCTAGATCTAGCTCTAAAGATAAAAATGACTCCTTTTAACAAATGCCTAAAAGTAGCAAATCCAACTAAAATCCAGTAGATTTTTTGGGAAAATATGCTAACCCATTCGGAAAAACAAATACAAACATGACTTAATAAGCAAAACCTTAATCATAATCTATTGATGCATAAAGAAGAAGCAGTAAGAAAGCTGCTAATAGTACTTTTAACGACTCAAAGTAATCTTCACAGCCTATTCGCAAAAATTCTTCTCATCTCCCTAATTAAAATTAATTAAATGGCAATCAGACTTTAGAAGTCAGCTAAATTAAATAAAATCCTCAAATTACCCCTAAAAATTTCATAAGCAGCTATGCTGTCCGCTCAAAGCCTGGTGCTCTTCCTGGTAAGCCTGTTAAAACTAATCAGGACAGCTATATTATTACTAACAATTTTTGCAAGTAAAAATCAAAATATTTCTTTAGTGTCTGCGATGGCCATGGTATAAACGGACACCATGCATCTCAATATGTTAAAAAAGTTCTTGGACCAAATATAGAATTCTTTATGAAATAATTCTGCAAGGAAGAATTTTACCAATTAGAATCTAACCAGAACCCTATTGAAAATGTTTCTGCTATTACCTAAGCATTGACTTCAGGGTATTTAAAAACAGCTGCAGGGTTACTGGATAGCGGAATAGATATAACATTCAGTGGATCAACATGTGTAGGAGTTTATGTTACTGCTGAAAGATATTGGTGTGCCAATATTGGAGACTCTAGAGCTGTTATAGCAAGATAAGATCCAATCACAAATTAATGGACTAATTAACCTCTTTCAATTGACCATAAACCTGACCTCCCTTCTGAATACAACAGAATTCTTTCTTCAGGAGGAAGAGTTGAACCATTTAAAGATATGGAAGGCAAACCAGTTGGACCCGCTCGTGTGTGGATGAGAACAGAAAATATTCCAGGTCTTGCTATGGCTCGTTCATTTGGTGATTATGTTGCAAGCCAAGTCGGAGTTATTCCTGAACCTGAAATTTTGCATTATGATATTTCTCCTAATGATAAATTCCTTGTAGTTGCAAGTGATGGTATTTGGGAGTTTTTAAGCAACGAAGAGGTTGTTAGTATGATAACTCCATTCTACTACAAAAATGATCCTGAAGGAGCATGTGAAAAATTGGTAAAAGAAGCCACATTAGCTTGGAAGAGAGAAGATGAAGTTATTGATGATATTACAATCATAGTAGTTTTTTTAAATAAATGAATAAACTGAAAGGAGTAAAAAAATCAAAATGAAAAAGAAATTTGATAATTACTTTAAAATATTTAAAAAATAAATAGATTTAACATTAATAAATCCAAACTATAAATAAAGAAAATCCAATTTCAAATTTACCACTAATTAATTTATTAATCCAGTAACTAAATAACTAATTTTTATAAATAAAAAAACCCAATATATCCATTATAAAAGAGTAAGATTATACTTTAAATCACTAAAAAGGTTTAATTAATAATGATATCTAACAAAACTTATAGTAAAATTAAATCAAAAGATTGAACTAAGCATAATTTTTATTGAGAACTTAAATAAATAAAAATGTGTAAAAAGTTTGATATTAAATAAATATGATATAATAATTATAGTTCTATTAATTTTAAGTTATTAAGCTTCGAATTTCAAAACTTTTAACTAACTTTAGATTACATAAAATTTATTAAAAAACTTTTGTATCATAAAAAAAATCTTTATCTTTTTTGTAAATAGTATTGCCTCATTTAAAATCTGTTTGCCATAAAACCTTTAAAATTTAGTAAACTAAAAAATATTCAAATGATAAAAATTAATAAATAAAATCATAACTTTGGTATTGACTAAAATTAATTGAAAAAATTGTAAACTAAATATTTGAAATTAAATATATTAATGAGCCATCAGCTTACATATAAAAAATAGAAATGAAGTTGAATTATAATTTTCTTATTTTATATTTCTAAAATAAATTAATTCCAATTATAATTTAGTTTGAATCTTAAAATTATCATTTTTATCATAATATACTATAAACTTAAGTAACTAATTTTAAATATTTATGATTAATTTATATAAAATATAAATATTTTTTAAATGTTAAATTCCTCTAATCAAATAAATTTTAATATATTTTATTATTTTAAAAATTAAATTCAAAAGTATTAACCAAAAATCAAAAAATTAATAATTTTTATATTTAATTGAAAAAATTGTAAACAAAACAGGTTTTAAAATTTAAATTTTATATAATAATGAGCCATTAGCTTACATCAAAAAAAATAGAAACAAAGTAGAATTATAATTTTCTTATTTAATATTTCTAAAATAAACTAATTCTAATTAAATTTAGTTTTTATCTTAAAATTATCTTTTCTATCTTAAAATACTATAAATTTAATTGACTAATTTTAAATATTTACGATTAATATATTTAAAATAAAAATATTTTTTTTAAATATTAAACTCCTCAAATCAAAACAAATTTTAATATAGTTTGTTGCTTTAAAAGTGAAATTCAAAAGTATTAACTTAAATCATTAATTGAATTATATTTTTTAAAATATTTAAAAGTAATAATAGATCAAAAATAATAAATGTATTTAATGCATGATAACCCTATATAAAATTTTTAATCAGCTAAAATGTAAAACTAATAGTGTAATTTTTTAACGTTTAGATTACAAATATAATAACTTGTTTTAATAGCAAAATATTATTTAGCAAAACGCATGATTATTTTTAAATTATTAAAAATAAAATTTTCATAAATTTACTTTATTTTTAATCTACTCTTTTTGCTACTCTTCAAAATTATATGGGAGTAGTTAACAATTGTTCATAATTATACCTTCTTCTATTCTTCCATTTTCTTCTATTTTACTAGCAGTGAGACATTTTATCAAGAAACCATGAGAAACTAATCCAATTTTCTTATTAGTGTCTTTGGAAGCAGTTTTTTCACATTCTTACAATTTTTAAATAACCTTTCTGCTTCTGTAAAATAACATTTTCCAAGTTTCTAAAAAAAATGATGAGGTTTTTTCCATCGCTTCATAAACTACTTTTTAATATGCTGATTCATCATTAGTACTATCTAAGTTAATCTATTCCAATAAATTTTTAGACAGATTTTCGTCTGCCAATACTTTTACTTGCCAGTATCTTCCTAACTTTAAAAACGAAAATTCAAAAATTATTCTTTTTTATAATAATGCTTACTTATTCTACTTAGCTGAAGTCTAATTTAATATTGTATTAATCTGCAAGTTTATTTATGCTCTCCCTTAAGCTTGTAAGCGTATTGGGACCAAAACATCCACTTGAGCAAAGACATTCATACAATTCAGGCATCAACACAAATCTTTATTTTAATAATTTGGTTATATATTTAGTGTAAGATTTAAGCTATAAGCTTAAAAATATATTTTATATCAAAATTTGAAATAGAAAGATCAAAAAAAAGATTGATTTTTACTTGATATTTTATCTATTTGGATGTGTTGCAAATAGATAAATGCAAGTCTAAAGAGCTCTTTATAGAGGAGATACAAATACTATTTCAAAATCTATTTCATTGATATACTTCTGGTGATTGAGGCATTATTATATTCCTTTTTAAAAATTTGAGTTTCATAAATTCCCAATAATTTTTAGTTAAATGTTTTTATGACTTAGAATTATTTACCTACAGGATGAAGTGGGTTATCAGTGTATATTGGATCCATATGCAATTGTTTGTAGCGAGGATCTGATTTTCCTTTCAAAGGTTTGTCATATAATGTTTCTTTTTCAGAAAGATTGTGTTAACTAAATCCATGTCTAATTATGATGAATTTATGGGAAGGTAAAATTTCTGAAGTTGGAGGTGCATCCATACAAATATCGTATTTTTCTATGATATCTTTATATTATTCTTAAATTGATTTTTGAGCTTCTTCGGCCATTATTAATTGATTTAAAAGTAATGAAAAAAAATGTATATTTGACTAAAAAAACACCAGCTATGCTCTCAGAATGATAATTTAGAAAGATTTATTTAATTATAAGATAATATTTATTATTTAAGAATAAAAAGGGATGGATAAAAATATGATTATAACAAAGTTGTAATAAAATAAATACTAATGAAACATCTATCTCATTTTATAAGTTTAAAGAAATGAAAAAGAACAAAAATAATTCATAATTTTTCTCAGTGATTCTAAGATGAGTGACAGATTAAAGAATATTAAGAAAGATAATGTAATTTTCTAAGAATAATCAATGATCAAAAATAATATCATATTTTTATCAAAGGAGGATTATTATTTTGAGTATTTATTTGTATGAATTCATCCAATTATTAAATAATGAGCTTAGAATAAATATCGAAATTTAAAAAATATTGATTCAATAAAGAGATTCATTAATAAAAATTTTGTGTTAATTTAACTAAATCGTAAAAACACTAGAAAAAAATTGAAAGGGTATTTTTTAATATGAATTTATTTATTAGAAAAATTGAATTCTATTCAATAAAAATAATTATTGATTAAATTGTATCAAAAAACTAAAGCAAAGATAAGCATAATAAAATTAGTTTGAATAAAAAATATCTGTTTATAATTTATCAATAAATATAAGTAAGTATTAAGTAGAAAGTATGAACAATAGCACTGACACTTCAGCTGCTACATATTAGCCTAATTATTTTAGTACAATGGCAGCATAAGCCATAGATGATTCAAAAATTAGTACAGAATCGCTTGTAGTGTTTTTCCTTTTTGGAGGACTTATGATTGCAGGTTTTGTTAGGGAAATTAATAAAAAAACTAGCATTCCTTACACTCCAATGCTTTTTGTTATTGGAATTTTTTTAGGAAAGTTTTCTGAAAGCATGGGAATACTAGGAATAACAATAAGCAAGATAAGTTTAATCAACCCTCATGGTATATTAATTATATTCCTCCCTGTGCTTATTTTCGAAAGTGGTTTTAATAGTGATTGGCATACTTTTAAAAAGTAATCTGGCCAGATATTTTTACTTGCCTTCCCATGTGTACTATTTTCAGCCATATTTTTACTCATAAGTATCAAAGTTATTTTGAGATATGATGACTCTTATTACACTTGGAGTGGTGCATTTATGTTCGGTTCTATTCTCTCATGTACAGATACAGTAGCCGTCCTAGCTCTTTTAAAAGAAGTAGGCGCTCCTAAAAAATTTAATTCGCTGATTGAAGGAGAATCATTACTTAACGATGGTACCTGTATGGTTCTTTTCCAAATATCAAGTGAATTCGCAAAAAAAGTTGATTAGAATACATAAAATCAGGTATTAAATTAAATCTTTTATATATAAACATTAGCTAAGATAGACAGATAATTATAGTTTATAGCTTAATTTTTATATTATTTTAAAATAAAACCTTAGCTTATATATTTTATTACTCAAAAAAAAAAGTAATTAGAGTACCCAAATAGTAATTTTAGTCTACATTTAAAAAGCTATTAATTTTAAATAAATAAAATATGATGAGAATATTTAATATTTATATGAATTAAATTAGTAATATTTTGATTTGTTTGAAGTGATCAAACTTTTGCTTTCTCTCACTGTTGGTGGTACACTTCTCGGTATTGTTTTTGGCATGATAGCCTAGTTTTGGATGCGTAGAATACATAATGATCCGATATTGACAGTCAATATAACCTTCATTGTTTGCTATCTAACTTACTATGTAGCAGAAAATGTAGATATTGGAATAAAAGTCTCAGGAATTATGGCTCTAGTTTCTCTTGGTATTTATCTCTCTATATTTGGTAAAACTAAAATTTCAAGTGAAGAAAAGAGAACTGTTTATATTTTCTGGAAGTACGTAACTTATGCTGGTGAATCAATTATTTTTATATTAGCTGGTGTATTAGTTGGTGTTAAAGTTTTAACATCTAATGGGGATTACGACACTATGTCAGGAAGCGATAATGTTTCTTCTTCAATTTAAACTAGTGATTATTTTAAACTTTTTGGTCTTTACGTTTGTATGATCTTGAGTCGCTTTGGTAGTATTGCTTGCTTTATGTCTTGGTTGAGAAAATGGGGTTATGGTCTTACTTGGAAGGAAGTTTATGTCCTTGCTTACGGTGGTCTTAGAGGAGCTATTGGTAATTTTATAAGTAAGTTAAATAAAAATAATATTTTAAATTTTATTTAGGTATTTCTTTTGCAATGATTGTTGCTAATGATGACTCTTACTCTCAAAAATTAAGAGATATTATTTTATTCGATATGGCTGGAAATGCAATTTTAACATTAATTATCAATGGAACAACTACTGGTAATTTGTTTAATTTTAAATAAAGTATTTATTACAAATTTTATGATATTTTTAGGTCCTTTGATTAAGAGTTTAGGATTATGCGTTACAAGCACAGTTAGAGAAAGAGTCTTTTTAAATATTTTACAAGATTTGAAGGAAGATACTGAAAAAAAGATTAATTATTTGAAATCTAATAACTATCTAAAGATGGTCAATTGGGATAGTGTTAAAGAATATGTAGGATTAGCAGATTTGGAGCAAAGAATTACAAGATTAGAGTCAGATCTAACTAAAAGAGAAGAAATTGAAGAGTATACAAGAAATATAAGAAATAAAAATGTAATTGATGCTAAGATAGATGAACTTAAAAACTCTAATGAATTTTAAGAGTAGTAATCATTTGACTCAGATTCAACAAATCACAATCTTGATGAAAATATGATAGTTGAATGTAGAAATAGATTTTTGATGGCTCTCAAAGGAAATTATTGGTACAAAAATTTCAAAAAAATTTATTTTTTTTATTTCTAACTTTAAATAATTTTGAATAAAGGGATATTTATGAAAGAAATCAGTGCAGCAGTAATGCTTTATTATTGTTGATTGATTCAGTAAATTGGGATCTGGATACTGAATAAGAAAGAATGAACTCATGGGAATTTCTTTCCAATTACTTTTACAATCCTATTTACATCAAAGTGCTCTTTTAATTAAAAGGATGGCCTATTGTTGGATCTTATGCTGGTAACCTCCTCTTTAACCATATCTCTAATATTTATGATGTCATTGCTGCTTATATTGAAGCTCATGAACAAGCTGAGCAACTTTGCATAGATCAATTCCCTTTCATTCCCTAAGTAAATAAATACATTTACAAGAGCATAAAAAAGAATTGTATTTTTTACAAATTAATATTAAAAATAGGTTTTAGAAATTATTATCAGAGAAAGCTAAGATAATAGAATGAGTGGCGAAGAGTATATCAAAAATGATTTAAATGTAAGTTTCCCAGAAATTACTAAACAAATCCAAACTAAGAAGGCAACCTACAGTTTATTAGAGTGCTAAAAGAAAATAATAAAGAAGGGTATTTTGTTAGGTAAGATAGATGAAAAAGAAAGAGATATATTAATGTAATAAATCGATGATAGAGTAGTTGCTTTAGACAACATCAAACCTTCTTGGAAAGCTCCTCCAATCAAAAATTTCTTAGAAAATGTAATATTTTTATTTATAGTAAAATTTTTTAAAACAAAATAAAAAATAAAGGTTCCATTCTTTAAACTCATCCACAAAGATTTACTTCCATACATCATCAAAGAATCTGTTGAGATGATTTTTGAAAAAGATATGTACATCATCAAAGAAGGTGAGAAAGCTAAATACTTTTTTGTTATCACTAGAGGTAGTGCTACAGAAACAACATCTTAGAGCTTTTGCACGTAAATTTATAATTATTTATTCAGTAAATGTTATGTCTTTTTAGATATCAAGAATAAAAGGAAGTTGGCAGTTTAATTTCTCCTCACCACTTGATTGTACCAAGTTTGAGATACTTGACTTCCTGCATGGCTAATGCAGTTGTATACGTTCTTGCTTTCCCTTTAAGCTCAATTTAGAAAGTTATCAAAGTTAATTTAGAAATAAAGGAATATGTTTGGATGTAGAGTCTGAGAGCATTGAGTTAGCTTTTCTATAATGAACTTAAACCTTTAGGAAGTTTAGATAGAAACAGTTTTATTAAACTTCAACCAAAGTTGAAATTTGCTAAATATAAGTAAACATTTTTAATAAATTAAATTTTTCTAGTTATGCTTAATTGATGGCTTAAAAAAATAGCAAAGGGAAGACTATCTAGTGTGAAAGTGGTGGTATTCTTTTGAAAGGACAAGTTTCGAGAAAGGATTTAACAGATGTGATGATGACATAATCTAAAGTAAATAATGACGAGGTAAAAAAATCAGATTTGATTGATGGTAGAATTTATAAGGTAAATAAAATATTTATTAGTTATGAAAATATCATTTATTTTTAATCTTAAAAAAATAGGCATTTTGTGTTTTAATGCCAGGATAAGCTTTTTCAGTTTTCACAGAAAAGAAGTGTACATTTTTGCACTTTGCTGAAGACTGTGAAGAAATTAGGTTTATGATTAGTCATATGGACTACAATGTTGGCATTAATTAGTAAACACCTCATACTCTTAACATATTTAGTCCTGTAGCTGTTTCTGGATCTCATAATAAGAGAAACAGTTTTTAAGCTCCCCACTTAAGTAGATTTGCAGGTAGACATACTTTTAATAATTTAGAAGTAGTTGTGCAAGGTAGTGAAAATAAAATAAATTCAGGATAATAAATAGAATTGCAAAAGATGAAATCTAAATCATACTTAAACGACTAACAAATAAAGAGTGTAAAGAGTGATGATGAAGAATCAGATGATAATAAAGAAAAGTGAAGAAAAAGACAACAACAAAAAAATTTAGTTTAAAAGATAATTTAAAGATTGATTTATTCAAATATTTTATTTAAATATATATATATTTTAAATAATATTATATTACATAAATAAATAAATATCGAAAAGGATTTGTATATATGTGAAGGTGACTAAAATATTAAAGTTTTTTAAATATTCACAAAACAATTACTTTGAAAAAACTTATTTATTTTTATCAAAAATCAAAATGAAATTTTTATTTCAAATATAAAAATTTAATTAATCAAAAACTATTTCAAAATAAATTAAAATTATTCCCATTAATTAAAATTAATGAAACCACATAACAAAAAAGATTTGCCAATTTTGGTTATTGTATGCATATTTAAAGTTAAAAAAGTTAATAAAGTATTTAAGGATTCTGAAATTTGTATTAGATTATAAAATTATTTGAAGATGGATATTAAATGTATTGATTTAAAATAAAAGAAATGGTGAGCGAGAATGGTGAATTAAGATTTGAAAACAATAAAAGTTAGAAATATTCAATAGATATGTCAAGTGTTTGTTTGTCTCTTTATATGTTGGATTTAATTTAAGGAATAAGACTTTAAATAAATAAATAAGAAAGAAAGAAAGATAAAAGGAAAAAAGGAAATTTATATCAAAATAAGAAAAAAAGGGAAAAAAATAAAATAAATAATAAAAAATCAAAAGAAAAATTAAGGGAAAAATAAAAAAAGCAAGCATATATAGATATATCGAATGGATAACTATTTCACAGCTATCACCCTTTTAGGTCTTAGAGATCAAAACTTGCCTCCTTTCAAGTACTTCAAAATTAAATTACAAGCAGCTGCATCCAACTTCAAAGCGACAACAATTTAACATTTTGTTGTTTACACAACTTACATTAGAGATTTCAAAAAAAAAGCTCGTTAGAGCTCTCATTTTTTTGTGGATGAAAGAATTTTAAAGCAAATCATACCTCCTTTATTCGCATTAATAAATCTATACCTTCTATGATTTAATGAGTTTATTAGGATATACGAGAACATTTGTAAGAATACAAATAAAATAGTTATAGAATAATCAATAAATAAATAGAATATATAATCAAAATACTTAGAAAGCCAAATATGATTAAAATAAGATTTTGTTTGCTTTGTTGGAAGTATTTAAGATAGTTTTGAATTACCAAACCAAATCATTATTGACATTCATCAAGTTTAATGATATCCAAAATTTTACTAAAGCAGCTTTGAATACCTAAATGCATAATTCTTATTAAGTAAATTAATTTTTTGATATATAGGGATGCTCGTTTATAGAGATATAAATCTATCAAAAAGATGATCGACCTTATTGAAACCACTACCAAGCTCGCTCCTCCCATGCCCGTTGAATTATTTATGCTCAACCCCACTGATCGTAAGATATTCTTTCAAAAATCCTCACAAATATAAAAAATGATTTATACTTAACTCAATTTTCTAAATCCAAACAGCTGAATGGGATGACGATATGACATATCCTACTATCACCCACGCTACTGCCCTCTATAAATCATCTGCTTTAGCTGGCAACTTAGTATAAAAACTTAATATTCGATGATTCATTTCTCAAATGCATTACATTTTTTCTAAGCTATCAGTTTACATAATAGGCTTTTAAACTTCTTATTAAAGTACAAAAAGATAAAGCGTTGACATAATTTCCTGAAGCATTTAGCATTTCAAAACAATAAACAGCTTTTACAATTTTAAGAATGTGAATCAAGTAAATAAATCGATTAGCAGAGCATATTAAATAAATAAAATATAATAAATTTGTATATCTCTCAATATCGCTTTTCGAGAAAGTTATTCAAAATATAAAGATATTCATTCAATTTAAATAGAATTTATCTTTCACAGAAACAAATAGCTTAGCAAGCAAAATAAATGCAATTGAGAATTTAGTATTTATAAAAATATAATTTATAATAAAAATAAATTTAAAAATTAGTTCTTATATGCTTACAACTACAACAACTTTACTGCCAATATTAGATTGAGAACCATGAGATATTTGTTCCCTGTTGTTTCTTTGGCTATTTTCGGAAATATCTACTGGTATGTAGCTTATTTGAAAAACAAATTCATTTTTATCTAATAAAATATTTAAAATAAAAATTATTAGGGACTACAGATCTCAACTCGTTAAGGTTAACCTTTTCGATGAATACATTCAAGCAAGAGCTCAAGAATTAGTTAAGCAAAACGAATATCTCTTAGAACACGAAGGTAATAAATAAGATAAACTAATAATTTTTACAAGCACAAAGATAAAAAATACAAATAAAACAAAGGAAAAGCAGCTATCGTTAAATTAGGATAATAAGAATTAGTTAGCCACATTTAGATTAAATATATTCAATTTGATAGTTATAATATTTGATTTTATGTCTAAATAATAAGCAAGTTGAACAAAAAGAGTTAAAATATTACAATTAAATTTGTGCTAAATAATAAAAACGATTCTAAATAAGAAAGTAAATAAAATAAATGTTTTTAAAATAATAAGATGTCAAGAGATACGTCTGGTGGTACGAAGACTTAAAGGAAACTTTGGCTAGAGTCCACAGATAAGCCAACAACCACAAGGCTTGTGACTTCAAGGATTCTGAAATTATTCTTTAAGATTTCATTAGAAGATACACCAATCCTAAGGACAACTTACCCATAAAGTTCCATCCTCAAGGTCAAACTTTCTGAGGTGTCTCAAATTTTAACCAAGACTACATAAAAAATCCAAGAGATGTTTACATCTTCTTCTATAAGATAACTAAAAGCGAAGATGTCTTCAAAATTTAAAGCATACATAAATAAATGGCAAGTATAGATAAGATAAGTAGAGTTTAATGTGTGAATGTTTTTTTACCATTAATCCTCTGCATGCACTATTATTAATTTAAATTAAAATGTATAACAGAGTATTTATTAATGTAACTAACTTATCTCTTGTAATCGTTGTAGTTTCTTTTAAAAGTATATCCAATAATTTATTGTTGCAAAAATCGAATAAATTACTATTACTTTAAATATACAAGTAAGAAAGTAAATTAATAAAAAAAAAATCAAGAAAGCAATCAGAACTCCAAAGTTCTTAAAATATGTAGAAATTTAAACTCAAAATATCTTTTTTTAAATTATAAAAAAATAATTTATTCAATTAATATTCTAGTTATAATTGTAATATTTATCATAAAATTTTAAAAACTGCTCTTCAATTTTTTTTATTTAAAAATTTTGCTTTTAATAACCATATTGCTTATTTTATGAAATCATATTATTTACTCTATTTATTCATTCAGTATGCCAAGGGTTAGTGAAATTTCAAATATTTAGAATCTTTTTTTTCAACAACTTTGAGGAGTAAATAATCTTACAATATTATAGTATATGTATTGGTAATTTATAGAATCAAATACTTGCTTATTTGTGATGTCTTGCATTTAAATAATCTTAAAAATATTTCAAGAAAAATTAAATGAATAAATTAACTGTAAATCATATTAAGTTTTAAATAATTTAAGTACAAACATAATTTTCATAAATTATGTAAAAATTTATAACCTTTTTTTGTTGAAATTTATTAGTCTTTATTAGAAACATTCAGTCTTCAATAATAAACAATTTCTTATTAATAGTAAAAAATTAAATCAATTAAATACATTTTAAATAGATTAAAAAAAATTCAGTTTGGATTTTTTCCTTACAGCATAAAAAGAAAAAATATCAATCTATTTATTTTTTTTTGTGTTGAAAATATTAAATTTTTTAAATAGTACTATTAGCAGATTATTTTGTTTTTATTAATACAGAATAAGTTTTTCAATTCACTATTTTAAGGTTTTTAAAATAGTACTTATGTTTATTAAGTTTTATTGATGATGTTCTTTGTGAAATATTAAAACATAGTAGACTAAGTATACTTATTTTGTTAAATGACTTAAAATAGTCTATCAATCTACAACATTCTTACTGTAGTCATTTAATGATTTATGGGCCTAAAATTTCAATATGAAATGAATCACAAATAATAACTTGCTATGTAATTTATCAATTATAAATAATGCTTTCATTATTAAAATAATTAGTGAAATATTTATTTAATATTTAATTTAAAATTAAATACATAATTCACTACATTTAATGCTGACTTATTGTCATTCCTTTAAGTAATCAAAGATATTATTTTTGGATAATAATAGAAAATAATTTTTGATGTAAAATATCAGTTAAAATATAATTTTATTACATTTAAATTGCTATTACATTTAAAAAATATTATTATTAAAGGTTAGGCTATTCAATGTTATTGAAGAAAAAGTAAGTAAATAAATAAAAATTTGACAGCAATTAATAAATGAAGGGATGAAGGAATAAATAAATAAATAAGCGAGCTGTATGAAAGATAAAATTGAGGAGCTGACTATATGGAAATAAGATGAAGAATACTATTACAATATATATTACATAAATGTGTTAACTGCAGAAAATATTTTGATTTGCAATATTTATTATGTTTTTTATTCTATATTATTTGTATAAAAGTATCAATTCTTTTCTATTCTTTACTACTTTTGCTCTTTCCTATATTGAAGAAATTTATATAAATCTGCAGAAAATTTCTGACGATATTCTTCTTGTTTTACAACATGCTAGCTTCATTAATGTTATTCAGATTTTTTTAGTTCAACCTTCAATCATTAAGAAACATGAATGAATATCCTCAGTTATAATTTCATTAATATTTTAAGGTTATAAATTTAATCAGCAGCAGCCGTCTTTCTTCTTCTTATTACTGAGATCGTCACCAGCTTTAATTTTGGTCTTGCCAGTTTGGGCATTTGCACCTCTGGGGGCAGTTTCAGTGTTCTTTTATACTCTGCTCTTGATTTCAGTAGCGAGGGTGATGAAAGCAGTTTCGACGTTGTTGGAGTTCAAAGCTGAAGTTTCAATAAATTTAATTCCTAATGAGTCAGCTAATTCCTTGCCTTCTTCGAAGGTAACTTGACGCTTGCTTTCTAAATCAGCCTTGTTACCAACCAAAAGCTTGATAACATTTTCATTTGCATTCTTGTCAGCTTCAGCTAACCAGTTATCAATATCCTTAAAGGTTTGCTTGTCGGTAATGTCATAAACTAAAATAATACCGTGGGCACCCTTGTAATATGATGATGTAATAGTTTTGAAACGTTCTTGACCAGCAGTATCCCAAATTTACAATTTAACAGCTTTTCCTTACTAATTAATTCAAATATAAAACTAATTAATTTTTTTTTTGCCAATTAAAAATTCCATTTTTGTAAATTAATTTCAGCGCATTTTTTGTACTTGTTTTCGCTTACTATGTTTTTTTTTTAACTTTAGAAAAATTTGTAAAAAAAAAAGTCCACGTGAGTTGGCGTAAAAAGTCTGATAAAAAATTATTTATGCAAACTTCTTTTGCTGGTTTTCACGCTTGAAGTATGTTAAATGGACGAGTTTAAAGAAAGGAAATAAATTAGCTTACAATATCAAAAGTTCTGATTTTGAAATCAACACCAATTGTTGGCAAGAAGCAATCATTAAAGATGTTATCAGAAAAACGCAATAACAAGGAGGATTTACCGACGGCAGAGTTACCAATCAACAATAACTTGAATAAGTAGTCGTAGTCTTATTGTAAGCTCATTTGTATAAGATTATCTGTTTTTATTTTGATAAATGTTGAAATTTTGTTATAGAGTTGAATCTTAAAGTTTAAAAAATATTAACCTTTTTTTGTTCTTTCTTTCTCCCTTTTTTAAAATAAATATTTTTTAATTATTTTTTATTTGATTCTTCTTTGTTTTCTGTCCCTCTTTATATGTTTTGATTTTTTCAAAATTCACTATCGCAAGAAATTAAAAGATTGCAGCTATTCATTCATTAGTCTAATAGTTAATTACTTGTCTCATCTTGCCATCCATGCATATATGTATGCTTATATGCTCTGTTTTTCATTCATTCATTCAATCATTAATTAATTAAATATATTAGATCTTTTCGCTTTTTGGCAGGTCTTTCATTTATTTTTCTATTGATATTAAACATATTTCTTTACTTAACTCAAAGCAATTAATTTATTTATTAATTGATTTTTTCTTAGGTAAAATTGATTCATCGCTTTCTCCTTCCTTTTTTCTTTTGCTATTTTAACTATTCCATTTATTTTCATTCTAATTGCTTTTTTAATGATTTCATCTTCGATTTCTCTATTTTTTTTCTATTTAAAATTCCTTTTCATCAAAATTAACAAAGTTTATCTTCACTGCATTTTTCTTTTCATTTTTCATTCAATATTTTATTCTTGAATAATAAACTTAGTATCTTAAAAAATGAATATATTTATGCAGATTTTGCTAATCGTTTATTAGGATGATTTATTTTTTTTACAAATTGATTTAATTATAGTATAATGAATAATGAATTCTTTTAGCCCTTCCTATACAAATAAATTGAAGTGAAGAGATATTCTATGTCAGTTTAAATTTAGCAAATAAATTACTTAGGAATCATACTGATTAAGAAATTGAATATTTTTCACCTTGAAATTTATTAATTAATTTGATGCATATGATTATAATATTTTTGATGCGTCAAATTGATGTTATCCAAAAATAAAGGACATGAAAGTATTTTTGATTAAATTTAATATAAAATTCTTAGTAATGAAAGGTACCCATAAATTCGATATTAAACAATTAACTATCACCAACAAAGTGAAAAAAAATTGTAATTAATTTTGATAATTTTAACTTTGTTATTAACATTTATTTACATACGCAAACAAATATTTATACCATATAAATTTAACATTTTACTTTTACATTTTATATTTAAATTTTGGTAAATTGAAATTCAAATAATCTCTTGTTTTCTCATCCTGTTAAATTATTATTTTCTTTGATTTGAAAACAAAACAAAAAAACTTTCTAATTATAAATTATTGCTGAGCTTTAAAACTTTAACATACCAAGATTTATCAGATTCAAGGTGAGAAAGAAGATAGCTGGATTTTAACAATTAATTTTTTATACGTTTAATTTTTGTAAATTATTAAATAGATAAAGATGAATTTATTTTCTTCAAATCTTTATTTCTTGTTTAGGATTTTTTCCGTTTCAATGCTTACTTGCTACTATTGAAGATGGCTAATTAGGAGTTAACGTGTCAACACCATTTATATAATCATCGTCTTTTTCTCTATGCAATAATCTTTCTCTTCTTTCATTTTCAAGTCTCAATTCCTCTTCTTTACGTTTTAAATCTTCGTTTAAAAACATATAAAAAATGAACCCAACAATAAGCAATCCTAAACCTACTCCATTAGAAATAAGCACTTCATCTTTTGTATTAAGTTAAATAGCCTGAGTACCTAAAATAATCTTTTAAAATAAATTATTTTATATAACATAAAAAATGTATTTTTTGCAATAAGTGTTACTAAAATTGATCCAAATAATTGACCAGAGGCTAATACCAAACCAGAGCTGAAAGGCTCAGATATAGGGAAAGTGATTTCGCATGCAAAATCCATGCTAATTGGAATCAAAGGAGTTGTAAAAAATCCCATCAAAAATATAGCTATCATTAATAACCAAAAATTTTCTAAAACTAGCATACCCATTTACAAACCATAAGTAAAAATCGAGATTAGACATGTTATTGTCATTACTTTTTTATATGCACTTGTCCTCTCCACAACAACACTAAGAATTCCAGATCCAATTAAACCAGACACAATAAACATAGCTCCAAAATAACTAGTTTAATCCTTTAAATAAAAAATTAGATTAACGAAAATACAGAATTTAAATTAGATACACTCGAGAAGCCAAATTATTCCAAATAGAAATTAATTAAAGTTGCAATTGAGTTAAAATTTCCAAGCACGCACCCAAAAGCAAAGAATAGTTTAATAAAATCTTTATTTTAAAATATGACAACAAAAGACTCTTTGAAACTCATTTTTTCTGCTTCTGCTGCATGACTATTTTAATAAATTTTCAATTAATTTTATAGATTAAAGTTTATAAAATAAAGCATAATACCTTGGAGGAGTAGGAGGCTTTTCTTTGAAAAAGATGATGCAAGGAACTATAGCAATAGTCATTGTAACAGCTTACCATAACATTAGTTAGTAAACTTGATCCCTAGTCTGATCAGAATATGAATCATCAACAAAAAAACTTGGAAATAAGAATCCAATACCAACACCGATTGTATTAATTAAAGCTAATATTGCAGTTGCGATTGGGCGCTTAATATTATTATTAAATTAAAATCGTCAATACAGTATTGTCTTTTTATCTACTAAATGCTAAAAATAATATAAAAAATTTTACTTCTTTAGGTTTGAACCAAACAGCAGCAATTTTAGATGGTGCATTCAGAATAAAAGGTTATCCAATAGCTCCCAAAATTTAACCAAATATAGCCCACCAGAAGCTATTATTAATGAATATTCTCACCCATCCTCCTAAAATTGTTAAAACAGATCCTAGCCAAATCTAAAAAAAATTAACAAATTAATTCAAAAATATCAAACGATTAACTAATAGAACACAAAGTTTAAAAAATATGTTAAGTTGAATAATTTACTCCATATTTTAAGCTCTTAGAAAGCAAGAAATTAGATGGAAAAGTTATGAGAACGTAGAAAAACATGTAGGACATAGAAGTCATGGTAATTACAAATTAAGATTGATCATAAGCCTAAATTATTAAAGGTGAAATAAATAAAACTCTTTTTAATAAGAAATTAAAATTTTTTCATTGAATATAATTAAATTTAAATGCATTTTTACCTACTCTACTTGAGTCGAAATAGGACTAAAAGTGATCCAACCTATTCCATTCATCATATTTGGCAAACAAAACAGAAATACTAGAAACCACCTAATTTTGTTTTATCATTAAAATGCTTGTTCATACCTTTTTTATTTAATGAATTCATACCTGTATGGGTAGTCTCTAAATTAATTCTAATCCTCCTCTTCAATATCAAGAAGGGATTTTTTTTGATGGGGACCAAAACTTGTTCTCATATTTCTACTATTTACCTTTGGTATACTTCTTAATACTTAATTAATAATATAAATTAAACAACTTAATTGTTAAACATAGTTTTTAAAAGTTGTGATTAAAATACACCTACGATTTATTCTTTTATTTTTAATATCTTTGATTATGAATTTATCAACTTAATAATTAAAGTATTTGTTATGCTAATTAAAGTGTTAGAAATTATCCCAAAATCTCAAATTATTAACCTATTTTCATATTAATGCAAGTTGAATACTTAAAACAAGTTCGTCATTTTAATTACATTTTATAAGACAGATACTCTTATCAGATTATCTGATAAGAAATAAATTTGGATACACAAATCCTCAGAAAAAATGTTAGAAAAATACAAAAAAATGTCATTTGATATTTACTTTGTTTTAATAAAAGTTTTTCAAATTTGTATAAAAGAAATTTTAAAAAAGCCTATTTAATTAATTTTATGGCAAAAATATATACTAAGAATAACTTTTGACGTCAACTATATTCTTTTTTATGCAATTTACTATTAAAAATTACTTCAAATATAAACTTACATTATTAATAAGGAATAAAAGGTGAAAATTGTATCTAACAATACTTCTAAAATTAAAAAAAACTTTTAATTATTTATTTATTTAACAAATTAATTATTTATTTATAGATTTACTTATTTATTTATTTATTTATTTATTTATTTATTGATTTACTTACTTAATTTGATTAAGATATTTTAATTTTAAAGCTATCAAAAAAATAGAATGAACTTAAATTAAAAAAATAAATTTAAAGTAAAATATTTTATTAAAAATTATTTTGAATAATCTTAAGTAAAACAAACGACTGAATTTAGGTTAAATTTTTTTCAACATAAATAAAATAAAATAACTAATTATTAATAAATTAAAAACTAAAAAGAAATGATAATAAAATCATATTTATAAAGATTAATTTTTTTATTTTTATTCAATATTACTAATTCTTAATATTTCTTAAATTAAGTAGTTAAAAGACTCATCGAAATTAATTTATTGAAATTAAAACAATTCATATAACTTTGCTCCAGTAGAAAGAGAAAAATCTTAAGCTTCTTTATTAGACACCTACCTTTGTTCTGATTGATTTTATTATATTCCAATTATAACTTTAGAAAATTTTTATTTTAAAAGCTCTTCTAATATTTGAACTCTAAAAAATCTTTGGCATGTTTCTAAATAATGTTGATAATTATTTATATCATACAAAAAAATAACTCCATGCACATTCTTTAATCTAAGTTTCAAATTCTTATCTTCAACATGGTCGAAACCAAAATCATTCCAAAAATAAACCTATTTATTTTTATTTTCCTAAAAAAATAATTATTTTTTAATACAAATTCAGTTTTATCGATTTTTTACGACACAGATATTTGTCTTTTCATATTCTATAAATTAACAATTTTATGAGCTTTATTAGTGATTTAGTTTATTATCACAATACTTTTGAATGAGATACTACAAGCTTTGTTAAGAACTACCTAGAAGCTAAATATTTATTTGCTTGATATCTTAATGCTCTACTACCATTTTTATTTATAAATTTTTTACAATAATTATAATTTATTTTAATTATAAAATTAATAATGAAATTTATTTATAAAAAATTAATATCAGTCTATTTTAATAATGTGAGAAAATTTTATTTTTTTTAAAGTTTAATTTTTAAATATGTATTAAATGAAAATATAATTTTTAATCCTTTTGTTAAGTTAGTAATTTTTTTAGAATATACCAGATTAATAATTTAATTCTAAACGCTTACACAAATTATATAACAAAAATTGTAATCAAAATAAAGTAAATAATTGAGAAAAATAAAGGTGATTTCATAATCCACTCCAAGATTAAAAAATATATGTAATTGTTAAAAAATTTTGTAATTAGACTTTTTCTAGAATATAATAAAAGCAAAAATTTAAATTATAAACTGTAATTCAACTTCTTTCATACATTCTTCTCACGTTCTTTTAAATTATAATCTATAATGAGTATAAAAATTTCAGTAAACATTTTATCTTAAATTTTAGTAATATTTATTTTTGCTAGAAATAAACAGAATAATTAAAATCCAAATACATAATAACGTTAATTTTAGAATAAAAATTATATTATATAAGTAGCTATTTATTGAAAATGAATGTTTTTTTTATAATTTTGAAAAATCTACTTAAATTAATTAAATTTTATAAGAAGAAAGACAGAAAGATTTGACTAAATAAAATTTTATTTTTGAATATTTAGGATTAATATTTTTAAGAATGATAAAAACCTAGAAGATTTGAATATTTTCAGTATATTTCAATAAAAAAAACAAATAAAATTATTTGCTATTTTTAGAATTTTGTGTGTTTAGCTTCAATATACAAATAAATTGGATTAAATTATCATTTCAAATGAGAACAAATTAATATTTAGTTAAATTGCTAAAAATTATGAATATAAATTCATGTATCAATACTATATAAATCGAATAGGAGTAGTTCAGGTAATATGGTTATGTATTATTTTTAGTGTTTGATAAATGCAAAAACTTAATATGCCTAACTGTTCATATTCTAGAAAATTCTTTTTTGCTTGATCTAAATTTTGTTGATTATTCTTTAGGATAATTCTGTATTGTAAAAACCATTAGTAAATCTTTCTTTAATTATCATCATTAATGTTTAATCAATTTAATACTTTTCTTATGAGAAGGTTTTTTCTAAGAGTTTTTCATAAACAATCTACTCTCCTATGATAAGCTATTCAGCATGATATTAACATAAAGATAAATCATAATTTTAAATGTTGACTATTACATTTTTTGATAAGAGCTTAGAGATTGAACGCAAAAATTTGTATTAAATATTACATTATCCATCCTAACATTATTTTTAAATTAACTACTACTCTTCGATTGAATTTTTCTCTTCTTTTGCAATGTTAAAGTAATTAGTTTTTATTAAAATATCAACTTAATGAGTAAACAACATTTTAGAATTGAATTCATTTATTGCTGAATTCAATTCTTCTTCACAATTGATGTAATAGCTTCTCTCTCTTATTGCGTAATTATAAAACTCAGGAAGATATCTAAGTAACAAAGGTAGAAATAATGCCATACTTACTAAGCTACAACTAGTTATAAACTTTTATTTCAATGGGAGATGCAAGAAGTCATATAAATTATCAAGAGCTGTTTATGAAAAATAGATGATCAGAAAAGCAAAAATAAATATCATATTCAAATATCTAAAGACTATTGTTGGTTTCATTTGCCCATAAGAGCACATATTTTTATAAAAAGAATTGCAAGATAATGAACAGAAAAATGTGTTTAACAAGTTTACATCTTCATTATCCTTAATATATCTTATACTGTAGAATATAGAAATCAAGTTAGTAGATAAAATAAATAAAAAGTATATCAATCCAAGATTATATTTATTATCTTCACCTACCATCTAAGTTGAAATTACACCAATTCCTAAATAGTAGGCAAAGATAACTATATTTGCATCTACAAATTCTAGAAAAGACATCCATTAATACTTAATTGTGTGATAGCAAAATAGATATATCGAAAAGAAAGATATTCGAGTAAGCAGTATTATGAACTAATTAATTTCAATATCATAGCTGGTTTAGCTCTGATCAACCTAAAAGGTAAACACAAAAGCGAGATTTAAAATAACATAAATTTATTCTCTGAATGCCCTATAACCAATGTTGTTTTATATAGACATAGGAACTTCTTCAAAAATTAACTGATAAACAAATTCTAATTATAAGAAACAGAATACCAAATATTTTGGTTTTTTATGAGGAACAACATTATCATTTCTAAGAAAATAAATTAGTCCGAAGCCATCTAAAAATATAGTAAATAAGAAAGCATATAACATGGAGTAGCTATCTTTGTTAATGAGTAAGATTACTATAAAAACCTATACTACAAGCTCTGCCAAATTTTATATAGAGAGTACCAAAGCAAGAGCTGTATTCATGTATTTCAAAATAGTTAATTCAGTTTTTATTTTATATGTTTTTAATTTAAAAGCATAATTAAAGAATTACCAAAAACGATAACTTTTTAAGATATTTATTTAAAATAGGAAACACTAAACGGCAATGATTGCTCATAACCAATTAATTTATTAATATAGCAATTATAACTTTATTTCACAAAAAGATTTTTAATTTAATAGCCAAAGTATTTCATCATATGTTAATTTTTTTTATTTTATAAATAAAAATATTTTCTTTAACTTTTATTAAAAAGGTTTATAAAAATTAAAAACTACTTATCAATATTCAAAAAATTAATTGATATAAATAATGTTATTTTTTTAATGTTTTTCAATTTTTAAAAATTTATCATAAGAAATTATCAAAATAAAAAGAAAACATAGGACATTATCTCTTATTGCTTAATAGCTTACGTTATCAATCACAAATTTATCTTTTAAACTTTAAAAATTAAAATAATTAATTCAATTATATATCAATATATAAAAAAAATATTGAAAAAATGATATAAAGTTATTTTTATATTATTCAACAATTTTTTAAAATTTATGAAAGAAATCAGCAAAATAAAATGAATTATAAGATATTTTTTTATTATTATTATAATAACTTAATTTCTCAATTAAACATTTATTTTTTTATTTATTAAATAGTTTATTCAACCTTTACTAAAAAGATTAGCAAAGTAAAATTAAGATAAAAAATATTAACAAATTGATTTAAAGTTATTTTTTTATTATTTTACTACTTTTTAAAATATGTTTAAAAAAATTAAGAAATTAGAATTTTAATTGATTAATTATCATTATGATTGTGTTATATCTTATTTAAAAAATTTATTAAAATTATTAAATAAACTTTTATAATTGTTAAAAAGCATTATGATCTACTTTGAGTATGATAAAAATTGCTCATAATAAATTAGATTCTAAATTTTTATTACATAATTATTAAAATCTTTTAGACAATAGTTTTAATACAAAAGTAGTTGTTTAAATTTTGTAAAAAATTATGTGTGTTGATTTTTAATTTTTATTTTATTAAAATATTAATATCATAAAATTAAAAAAAATATTTTTATTTATTGTGAAAAAATTGTTATCAATTGTTAGAATTAGTATATGTATTTATGATGAAAATTCTACTAAAAAGCATGATTTTAAAATAAGAATTATATTAAAAATTCAGATCAAATACTTTATAGATATATTAAATGATGCTATTGCTCATTATGTTTAATTCATTTGATAACTAAATTTCATAGACAAAATTAAAAAAAGTATTAAGAATTAAAACTTATTAAAAGTAGAAAAAGCAAGCATTAATTTATAAAAAATTCAAGATAAATGTCATCAACAACTTTTAAGAACTTAAAGATTGGCCGTAAGCATAGAGAAAGAGGCCAACTCAAAAATAGAGAACATTTGGGTATTTTAGAAAAGAAAAAAGATTACATCTAAAGAGCAAAGCATTATCATAAGATTAATGATTAATTGAACAATTTGAAGCTTAAGGCAAGACTGAAAAATGAAAATGAATTTTATCATAAAATGACTAAAGCTAAAATAGTTGTATGAAAATGATATTTGATTGATAAAATATTTCAATTTATGTTAATATTGTAATAATAGGATGGAAAGCATGTTGAATTTGAAGAAGAAGAAGATGATTTTGACCCTAAGGAATATAGAAGATTGCTTAAAAATTAAAATATAAATCTAATTAAAATATAAAAGCACAAAGATATGAAAGTAAGTTAAAATTTTAAGTGCTTTTTTGTTTTAATAATTTTCTATTTAACGAAAATCTTAGCAAATTGAAAAACTGAAAAGCCAATTGCATGATCTTGATGCTCCTAGATAAAACACTAATATTATATTTGTTGATGATAAAGAAGAATATGAAAATTTTGATTTAGTAGAGCATTACAATACTACAGAAGAAATGATATAAAATAAATCGAATATTTTAACTAAGCAACAAATTGAATAATAAAAAGTAAATTAATTTTATTTAAAATTTATAAATTCTAAATATTGAACCTAATAAAATAATAAAAGGAATAACTTGAATAGTTAAATTCTAAGCAAATTAATTAAAAAGTTAAAGAATCTTACATGAAGCTTAAAAAAGTAGAAGAAAATCACAAAAAAATGGAAAGAGCTTATCAAAAGCTAGAATTTGAAAAGAATTTATTGGTATTTATTTTATAAATTTAAATCAAAATCTTAAATTAATAAATAAATAAATAATTTTAGGGTAAAGAAAAAAGAAGAATTAAAAAATACAAAACTGGCAAGGTTGCAAAGTTTTTCAGTGAAAGAAAGAAATGATTGGTATTTATTAAAAAAGATAAATAAACAAAATATATTGTTTATTTCATAAAGGATTAATTTAATGAGGAAACAAAAGATTAAACTATCAAAATTCTTAGTTTTTGTATATATTTATTGTAACTAAATTAAAAATAATTTAAAATTTTATAAAACTATTTTTAATTTAAAGATTATTTTTGCTAACCTACAACATAATATATATATGGAATTTAGTTAAACTTTTATTAAAAAATGGGGAATTTGAACTTAACACAGTTATTTTGTTAAGTTTAATTATTAACTTAATCATAAAAATTATTATTTTAAATTTTAAATTTTGAAGAAAAATAAATTAATAATATTATAAATGATAGATAATATATTACAGATACTGATTATATATAGCAAAGAATTACTTTTTAACCATTTTTGAATGTAATTTAACCTAAAAATGAATTCTTAGCTATATTTTTTAATCATTTTTTCTTCAAACTTTTACAATTAAAAAATAAATTTTTATCCAAATTTGTAAGCACACTTTTAACTTGATTTATCTTCTTTATTAAATATTTAATTATCTTTATTTAAATTAGTTTAAGTAAGATGGATAATTTAATTTACAATTAAAGAAGAATTAAAAATTTATTAATTAAATTTAATAGAGATTTATATTTTAATTATCATTTTTAATTTTTGGGTTTAAATTATCTTAAGCATGAATTTTTAAATATTTATTATATTGTAATATTATTTTTTTCAAATTAATTTTTATTAAAAGTTATTAAAACAAACATTTTCAACTTAATTTGTATCTTATATGATTATTTTTAATTATTTTTATTTTAATTAATTGACAATTATAAAAGAAGTGTATTTATTTTAGTTACTGATTGATATAAATAAACTTTTTGTTTTTCAAAAATATATTATTATATGAAGGAGATGTTATTACTAAATATATGTTCAAGATTATTTTATTAAAATTAACGAATGAATTGTTTATTTATTTCTTTGTTTAGTTTTTTAAAATTTACTTAAATTTAAATATTACTTAATGTTTAATTAGTTTCATATTTTTTAATTTTCATTTTTCATTAGCTTTATTTATCTGTACCACTTTTAAATTGTAATAGCTGCTGAAATAAATCTTTCTTCAGAGTCTTCAGATTAAAAGTTATTGCTGTTTAGAATTACTTCTTCTTACAACTATGTATGGGTGCTTTCATTTATTACTTTTTGAATTTAATCTTATATTTTTATTTTCTTCCAGTTTTATATTTAATAGTATTCAGTATTAAACAGAATATTTAGAGTTGAAATGAACATTTCTTTTTATAGCTTTGATATAAATTCATTTCTTTTGGAGCATGCTGGGCTCAAATTTACTTCTAGTAAATAGGGATTGAATTATTCATCAAATATAATATCAAATCCATATATTTCAAAGCAAGAGTTGTTTTGCTTAATCTTTTTTTAGACAGATTTTAGAGAATGGATAATTATTTCATTTATCTATGGTTAAATTTTTTTTTGGTAGCTTATTCCATGTTCTTTTTTAATAATATGTTTTAATAACTTTAGACTGATTGCTGAGTCTTCTACATTTTTATTTTAGATAAATTTATTTCTATTAATAGAATAATTAGTAAAGTGAGAAAATATGTTCCTTGTATCTGATAAATCATACTCACTACTGCATACTCTAAGGTAAGCATGTTTATAATAGTATACTGTAAGGGGATTAAAGCTTTTCACTAATACCCATAATCGTAGATCAAATTTTTTATTATACAACTAAGGATATTCTTAGCTTTTGCAAATGTAAATACGTTCAATATATTTCTATACTAGTCTTGCTTAGAGTTGAGTTGTGTAATTGACAATTTAATTATCATCACTCATTATCTGCAAGCCTTGTCCCCTAAAATAAATAAAAAATATTAATATTTAATAAATTTTTTAAATACTTAAAGAAATTACTTTGAGCTTCCACACGGTTTGATGATCCAAAAGTTACAAAAATTAGTATAAGGGTATATTTATTCAAGTATATTATCTAATTCGATTGAAATACTCAAATTTATAATTTATGCTTAGATATTTTTATCTCCTTGCTCTTAATCACATTCTAATTTATCTACTTGCAATATGCTTAAATCATTTAAATATTTAATTAGCATCTCATTAATATTTGGATTTGGTATTTTGCTAAGTAAATTAATAATATCTTTATTTACCTAATTAATGTATTCTATGTATTGTTTGAATTATTAATTCTATCTAAAATATGTAATTAATCCATATTGTAATTCTTCTTCTTCTTCTTTTTTTATAAATTTTGTATGGTATATCTGTGTTAATTAATTAATTAATTCCTAAGTTAAATCGTTTTTAATTATTTATATTACATCCTTAAACTTTCTAAAAATTTCAAATTTTTGGAATTCATTTAAAAATTCTTCTTTTTGTTATTTATAAATAACATCGAATTATATAGGAAAGTATTTTTGTAAGTGTGGATAAGAAACTAAGTATAATTTGATGTTTCTTAACAGTCTTCCTTTATTAGTCAATTCTTGGTTGTTTTGAAAATGATTGTAAAATTAACCTTCTTTCAAATTTTCATAATCCTTATTAATATCAGTGTAAATCCATTTCAAGTGAAAAAGGTCAGACTTGAAGAGTTTATTTTCTATCCATCCTAGCTCAATTAGAACTTCTTAGACAAATTAATCTTAAGAATTTATGCAAAATACTTTTTTATTTTTATCAGTGCAGCCTATCCTTTTTAAATACTCCTGCATATTTTGCTCGTGGGACTCTTTTGCTTTATTTTTAATCAAATTTTCAATATTCTTGAATTATTCAGAGTTTTTTTTCAGTCTGCTATATAATGAAGGTGGACCAAGTATTTTCTTTTTAATTAGTGTTATTGTTTATTAAATACTGCTTTACTCATTATACGTAATTTTTTTTTGAATTTTATTTTTAAAAGGCATAGATTTTTCATTGAAATGTATCTTGATTGGACTGAGAGATTTAGGATTTTAATTTTCCAAATACATTTTTCTCTCTTATAATTCTAATTTGTTTTTAATATAATTTTAAGGCTCTTCTTATATTTGTAAACCTTCTTCAGCTTGTTGTCTCTTTTTAAAAATATTATGCAAAATAACATGTGATTAATCGCCAACTATATTATTGTTAGGTGAGTTTATTTAATGATTAATTGTTTAAAAAGAGTTATCCAGCTAAATTGGCATATCTTTTATAACCTTTATTTTATTTCTTTTGCTTTTGCTCTCTTCAGAAATCTAATCTTTGATATTTGCCTTTATAATTTGTTAAAAAATATTTATATAATGAATTCGTTTGCATTTTAGTTTTATATTAAATACTAGTGGAAAATAAATAAGAGATCTCAGAGAACTTTTATTATTTCCTACTTAAAATTTATCTTTATCTGAATACATTTTTTAGGCAGACCTTGATCTATTGCTAATAGAATCATTTAGAAAATCTTTTGCTTTAACCACACTAACTGGGCTAATACTTTTTAGCAAAGTGACTTATCTAAAGTTACTATTATCACTTAATTATATTAACTTTTCAAACACTTTTGGCTAGCTATTTTTTGTTGTAAGAAGAATGTTGCATCCATACACCGTTCCAAGCTAGACAGTTTTTTTATCCGAAAAGCGAATTGCATTCTCTTCAATTATCCTTTGGCTTTTATTTAAACGATATAATTTAATATTTTCAAAATAATGTATCACAAATTTCTACCAATTTTCATGATTGAATGGATTAATATTTTTATATATTTGTAAGTTTTTTTTAGGTGAAGTAGGATTGCTCCTCTAAATTTATTTAATGAGTTAGGTATTTTTAGGACTCTTAGCCTTTTGATAGAAGTTATTCACATAAGAATGATATATTCGATCACTCATAAAAATATCAAACTTATAAGAACATAAATAGATTTTATAAATTACAATTTTTATTAATCAATTTTTTTAATTACTGTTGAATAATTATTTGCTTGACTTTTGCTGTCATATGGATGGTTGTTATATATTTTTAATTTTAATACTTAAATTAAATTTTATATACTTACTTCTCCATAAAAATAATTAATTACACATAATTTTTATTTCTAAAATTATTCTAAAATAAAATTAAAAAATGGCGTAAAAATAATTAATATTTATTATAAACAAAAAATATTCTTTGTAAATAAATTAAATATAAATAAAAAATTTAAATAACAAAACTTAATCATTTTTTCAATGTGATTATTATTTTTTAGAATAATTATTTTTGTTATAAATTGTAAAAATATTAACATTTTTTGATAATCATTTAGTTTAGTTAATATTTATTAAGAAAAAAGATCAGTTAACAAATTATTTTATTCATGAAATAAAAAATAGTGTTAAATATTAATAGCAAAATAGTCTTCTAAATAAAAAAAGAATCATATAGAAAGTATAATTTTAAAACTATTTTTTCTCCTAAACAATTTTTTAAAACTTAATTATAAATAATGATTTTAAATTGGTATTAAAAAAATATTTATTCAGAAGAAAAAAAATTTAATGATCAATTTTATTCATAAATAAATATCTATGAAGCAGAAAAATGGTTTTAATTTAATTTTTTCTATTAATATTTTTTATAAATTTATTTATTTTAATTTTAAATATGAATAAATATTAAATACAATTGAATAAATAAAATTGTTAAATAAATTATAATTTCTTAAGAAATATATTTTATAAATAGATTGCTTGCTTATGTTTAACTTAAATTGTAAAATATCATATAAAAAACTTATTTTGTTAATATTTATCACCAAATTTTATTGGATGGTAATTAAAAATAATAATTAATAAATATTAATTATTATAGAGTAATAAGTTGACCTGCTAATTAATTAATAAGCTTTGTGAGAATGCTCTGCTCAAAACATTTTAATAAATCTACTCATTTTTGTCTTAGTGATTGCTGCTTATTTTAAAGGAGAAAATGTTAATAATGTGTCAATGAGGATTAGAATAAGCTATAAGGATATAAATAAATTGGTTCCTCTTCTTTTTTTGATGAAAACTTTGTATTATATTCCAGTAGAAGCAATTAGTCAACTTCAAGCTAAAATGAAAAAGAACATCAGCTTATCGACTACGATTCAATCAAATAAAGATTAAAAGAAGTAGTTCATTAAATTAAATAAGAGTTAAACTAAGTTAATGATAATTAAAGTGCTTACTAAAAAATTCATTAAATATTCCTCATTATCAAAAAAAAAATCATCAAACAACTAGATTAGGCTGAATAGCATATTATCCATTCTTTAAGATAGTTTTATGAAAATATTCACAAAAGTGATCTCTCAAACAAAATAAATATCTTATACGATTAACTCCATAATCAACCTCAAAACAATAAATAATAATTTTTTAAGAATAAAGGCAATAATAGCGATTTTCTTTCATTTAGTAATAAATATTTGGATGAATTTATAGCTGATCTTTTATTATAAAGTATATAAAAGAAGTAAAATAATCCGTTTAGTCCCTTAGAAATAGAAAACAGTAAATTAAAGGAAATTTTTAAAAAGCTGAAAGAGCTCACATGTGTTGCAGAGAACTTCTCTATTTAGTCTATTGGATTTATATTTGAAGAGAAAGCCATCCCTGAAATAGATTTCAATTTTAAAGGTTAACAAAATATTTAGTAGCAAAACAAATATATTACTAATATAATGCATTAGCATTCTATGTAAGTCAAATGTGTTCAAAATCTAGGAAATTAATTTATTGTTTCTTGTGGTTTCGATAAGAAGATTAAAATTTCTACAACACTTAAAAATGAAAGCAACAGTTTAGTACAAGACATTTAGCTTAAACACAATATTGTATGCACTGATATGATAGATTCAAATTTTATTTGTGGAAACGAAATTGGAGAGGGAACTCTTTTTAATCAAATCAAAGGATCTTTCTAAAAATTATCTGAATTTAAATTACACGACTCTTTAGTTTACACTATTAAGTTTTTAACAAAAAATAAAATTATTTCTGGTTCTATTAATGAGTTAACTCTTTTCGATATACTCAAGAATCAAAAGCTGTAAAATATTAAATTCAATAACAGTATAACAACTGATATTTGTAAGTTATCTGATAATACATTCTTAGTCGGAGATAGTGCAGGCTCAATATCTTTTTACAAAGAAAGCAGTTCTAAAAAAAGCAAAATATCTTTAGTTAAAATATTTTAATTGCATAAACGACCTATAGTAAAAATTGAAATGCTGAAGAGCTAGCCAAAAAAAATAATCTCTGGATCAAGAGATTAAAATATAATTATTTTTAACCTAATTACCTCGTAAATAGAGAGGCAAATAGCTATATAAAACCCATTAGTTACTATGTGTTTACTTAGTCCATTTGAAATAGTCAGCTCTGATTCTAGCACAATTTATTTTCATAATATTCTTACAGGAGAGTTAGTATATAAAATTATACCATAAACTAAATCTATAAGCTGTGTAGACTGCAATCCAATAACTAAAACTATTTACTTAGGTTAGGGAAAATCAGTTTGCTCCATTCAGTTTTCTTGATTTAGATTATATATTTATAAAATTATGTAATTTCATCATTCTCATTTAAAATTTAGTAAATTATAAATGCTTTATTCCTATTGTAAATATAAAAAGAAATAAATTAATTTTTTTTGAGCAATAAAAATTTTTTTAAATTACTTTAATTAAATTTCAATTTCTAAAAATTAACAATCTAAATATACTTGAAAATGTTTGAAAATAAATTTCATTATTATTTTATTTATTCATTAAAAATTTAAAAAAATCAAATCAAATTTCAATTATTTTAATTATCTTTTTAATATTTACATTTTATTTTATAAGATATGATAAATTTTAATATATAAAAATCACTTTGCTTTCAGTTTAGACACCTCACTTAAATCTCTTAATTTAATTACATTTTCTGATTTAAAAAACACCTTAATTAATTTAAAAATGGTTTAATTAAAGAATTTAATATGTTTTTTGAATTAATTTATTTAATCTAATTAATCAAATTTAATAGCTTCTTATAATTCATAGTTAAAAGTAGAGATGATAAGTTCAACATTTTTTGTTCAAAAATTACTAATTATATATATGAATTATATTAAGAAATTAATAAATTTTTAACATTTTAACCTGGTTAATTTATAATATTATCATTTTAGTTTTTTAAAATAATAAATTAAATTAAATATTAGTTTATTAAATCTAAATTACACACAGAACCCAATTATTTTTGAAAATAAATTTTACATTAATTTTTGAATTTAACCTTTCATATTTTCTTAAAAACTCTTTAATATAATCTGACTTTAACATGAAAATTTACTGTATATTTTTATTAAATTATAATTTAAAAAAATATCTACAAATTTTCTCTTTTTTTTGATTTTATTTAAAACATTTAAAAATAAATTAATGAACGGTCTATTTAATTTAAGCTATTTTTCAAATTAATAAAATAATCCTGAAAGAATTTAATAAAAGCTGTTAAATACATAACTAATATAATTTTTTATCATTTTGAGTAAATTTATTATTTGATTAATTAATTATAATACTATCTATATTAATTAAATACATTTTTCACCAAGCAAATCTTGATTTATTTGTATTATTAGAAATATATTGACAGATAATTTAATAAAAGTCATTCATTTAGATTAATTATGTAATTGCATAAGAGATTTATATTAGATATTTGGAAATCATCTGCTTATTATGATTTTCAGCAGTCTTTTAAAGTGCCAGACACTTTCTATCTTCATGAATAAAAGATAGATTGGATATTTACTGGAAAGAGCGGCAAGATATTGAAAAAAAAATAAGAGAATTCATCTATTAATGTTGTTAAAGATTATTTTTGCAAATTAGATTAAAATGAATAAGAAAGCGAAAGTAATAGCTAAATGGTTGCATTTTAACTATTAGCAAGTTATGATTAAGGGATATGCTATTTTCACTATTTAGATTTATCAGGTGTATGTGAGTTAATCGTAGATTCATTTAAAAAGAGAGATGATATAGAATCTAGCAATTAAATTTGTACAGATTTTAATACAGGAGTCAATTTACAATAGAAAGTGGAGAGTAACTTAAATTAAAATGTATTATCTGATAAAACAGCTGTGATTTAAAGGTTTTAAAAAAGCTCTTGCAATGAAAAAAATATGATTCGCACAGAATGGACAATAAATGGTAAATTTACTGCTTAGAAGAGAATTAGTAATTATGAAAGTTTTAGAAAAGAAGATGAATATAAAAGTTATTTAATATTTGAAGATGAAAATATGTCTGTCAATAGGGAATTAAGCTAAAAAGATAAATAAGAGTTACTTTTTATTTCTCAGCATGTAGTTAAAGCCCTCGAGCTTATTCATAATGAAAGAGGAAAAATAAGCAATATTTAATTATTATTGACTTAAATTAATGGATCATTTTACTTGTTAGCTTGTAGCTCTCTTTAATTTTCAAATGATTCAACTCTCCCTTAGCCTTGGAGAATTTCATACGAGCTTAAAATGAAATATCCTAACCAAGCAATTCACATGCAAGACACATTGCAAGAAGCTCAAAAGTATCTTAAAAAAATTGAAAATAATAAAAAGGTCCAATAGTGTGAGTGCTGCAAAAATTTCTCAACAAAATTATAAGCAATCTGTTCAAACAAATTAATTCAAATTCGGATGAGGAGAGGAGTTGGTATAAGCTAATTTGAAGCAAAACAGTTAAAGAAAAAAGATTTTAGCGATATTTGTGAGGTCTGTTATTAAATATTTTTAGAAATGCATAAGATAAATAGCTATAACTAAAATTAATAAAATTTGATAACTGAAAATTCTTTTATCAGTAAACATTCGATATCTATACTAAATTCATAAAGAGGTAGTACAAAAAGAGAAAAAAGGAGCTAGTCTAACTATGAATCAGGCGATAAATCATAAAAATGTAATTTAAAAAGTGAAAGATCCTACGATGTAAGAAGCTATAAAATTAACAATTATTAAAGTAGAAACAATATGCAGAGCTCTCGAGATAACTCAGTAAATACTGGCAGGGAAAACTCAGTAAATTTAATAAGAAAAAGTTCAACAAATAATTTAAAGGAGTATTCTTCTAGCAACACTTAAGGTGAATAGTCTACTGTTAATACCAGAGACTATTCAAGTTATAACACTAGAAACTCCTCAAGCCAAAGAAATTCTTAGCGAGTACCTCCTTTATATTTTAGAATTACAGAAAAAGTAAAAAGTAATAATTAGTCTAACAAACCGAATATATAAAGCAAAAGTTAATCAACTGATGCAAATACTAGATTATCTCAACCAACTTTAAATCAACTAAATAGTGATATATCTAATTAGTAATTGTTTTTTGATTTTCCAGATAGTAAAAAATCATAACAAATAACCAATGATATTAGTAATCCCTATGATATTTCTGAAATAAGCAAGACTGTGATTAATTAAGAAGATAACACATCGTTCAATTCATAATCTCCATCATATTAACTTTATAGTTTAATTGATAAAAAAGATAACAATTTCTAAAATAGTACTAATTTGCCATATTAAATGCATGAAAATCTTAATTAACAAAAATAAATAGTTTAAAATAGTAAATTGTAAAATATAAACTAACCCCAAGATATTTAAGCAGTTTAAGTTGAAAGCGATTAAAAACCAATAAAAAATAAGTTTGGAATCAAAATAGCACTAAAAAATTTAAAAAAAGATGTAAAAAAATAGTAAGAGGATATTAAAAGCGTAATCTAAGAGGCAATGAAAGACTGCTCTTAAATTTAGCTCAAATTAGAAACTCAACAATCAGAAAACAGAAGATATTCAAGAACAATCTTAAAAAGAGTTACTCCTAGAAGCTAAAATTAACAATTGGGGGTAGAATAACTTCCAACAGATTAAAATTAGCAATAAAAGGTTTAATCATAATCAATAGAAATCAGAAAAAGTTAAGATTTATTACAAAAATAATTGCCACCAAGGTCTAAAAACTCTTCTCATTCTAATAGAACTGGTTTATCAAACTAATCAACAACTAATTAATCTTTCTCTTCAAATCCTTAAGGTAATAATTCACTAGAGTGTCCTAGCTTAAAAGCAATTTCTGCAAATATCAAATAAAATTAATAAAGTTCTGAAAATTACTTAAAAGATCTTTTAAACTAGAACATTAATCCTTAACAAAATGATTTAGCTAGAAATGAGTAAAGATTGTACTCGTAAGATACTATTTTTTCTTAAAGATTTAGAAAAAACTCTTTTGATTAAGAATAAAGAACTATTGTTCACTAAAACTCTAACGAACTTATTGCGTATGGGGAACCACAAAAAACAATACATAATGATTCTCAAGAAAAACTAGACACAAAAGTTATAAACGATAATACAATTAGTCAAGAATTCTTATTAAATAAAGACACATTTTTAGATAATTTATAAGACTAAAACGAGCAAATATAAATGTTTAGAGTGAGAAAATCTTAATCATTTAATAAAAAATGAACATTTCACTCTCCTAATTGAAATGAAATCTAAATTTTTGAATTTCTTAATGATAAATTTTTATATAACTCTAATTAATAATTTAAGGTGATCGATTATAAAATTAATTTAAAAATTGTATTCAATATTAATATGTATAAAAAAATTAATTTTTCTTAAAAATGTAATAATTCTTACTTATAATTTTTCAAATTGTAAAGAATTTTTCAATTTCTTAAATTTCATTCTAATTAACAATATTACCCTATTAATAACATATTTAAATTATAGCAATTGCTTTTACTAAGTAAGGAAGTAAGTTTCTATAATTTTAATTTTAAAAATATAAGCTGCGCTCTTGTCTATATTTTTGATTAATATAATAATAAACAAATTAAAAATTACCTTTATATTATAACAAATTAATACTTTTATTTAAAAGATTAAGTTTTGTCACAAATTATAATTAGAATTACAAAGATTATTTATTTTTAAATTCATATGTTCTAGTGTAGTTTTAATAAAAGAACTTCTTATATTCTTAATAATATTTCTATTATTATCGATTTGAAATATCAACTAAAAATATAATATTTTGAGTAACCCCCTTTTTATGTTTTATTAATCCCTCTAAATATTCAAATTTTTTATAATTAATTAAAGGAGGATTTTTTTAAAAAGTTAGATTATAAAAATATCTTTTATCATAAAATAAAAACAAGATCTTTTTGATAGAAAATTAGAATAATTCTTTTTGGATTTTAAATCTTCTATGTTACTGTATTTAAATTCTTTAATCAATATAAGAAAAATATAGAAAAATTTCAGAAAAATTGTGGAAAAACCACAGAATAAATAGTTGATTCAACTTCCTCCAAATGTAAAAGAAATAAGTAACGAGCAATAAAATATATTTAAATAAAAGAACTAATTTTAAAAATAATAGGAATTAGAGTTATGTGTAGGATATAAATTGATCGATAATTTCATATTTAAATCCTATAATTGTTTTAAAAAAATTAATAATAGAAGTTAAAAAATAAAATATTAAATCTAATAAAATGGCTCAAACAGTTTTTATAATAGAAGAACATTTTTAATTAGCATTGCTCTCAGTAGTGATATATTCTTTTGAAATGATTTTAATAGGCTTCTTGCTACCTGGTAGAATTAGAAGTAAGGTCTTTAATAAGGATTTTTTATAAGCACATTTTGGAGAGGAGCATAGACAATCTTTAGGAACTGAAATTGACAAAACTTTTGGTTATCCTGATATGGGACATGGTAGATATTCAGACAAACTTTCATATAAAGACTGGGTTTATTTTGGTAAAGCATAAAGAGCTCACTACAATTTCTTAGAAGCGTGGGGTCCTCAAACTCTTTTCATAATTATTGGTGCCTTAAAATATCCACTTTTTTCAGCAATTTTAGGTTTTGTTGCCATTCTAGGTAGATTACTATACAGCGTTGGTTATATGCTTTAAGCAGGAAGTTCAAATCCTATTAGAAGTATCGGAGCTGTTACTGGTGATATTGTTTTACTTATTAGTTTCATACTCTCATGTATTGCTTGTATTTCTGCTTATTCAAATTGAATAAATTTAAATAAAACTTGGAAAATATAGCAAAAATATATGTAATTTAAGCTCAAAAACTTCAGATTACTAGTAAACTAATAATTTATTATACTTAATTAATATGTTTAGATTTAAAAGAGGACTATTTGTTTTTTTTGTAAATCGTTTAAAAGTTAATTTATTATTTTTAGATAATTGTTGATTTTCTAATTTTTATATCATAAACTATAAAAAATTTAAATTAAATTTCAAAAAGTAGATCTTGTGTTTAAAACATCAAGTTGTCAAGTTGGTTTTTAATTAAAAATTGTCAGTGTGTATTAAATTTATAAAATAATAATAAATCAAAAACTTAAATAATATTAGAAGGAAAATAAAAATTATTTTATACTGTAAGATTTATACATTTTGTCGTATGATGAATAAAAATATTTTAATACAATAAGTTAACAAATCTAAATAATTAATTTATATTTTATTTATTAGGGTGAGATGCTACTAGGATTTAAAGTAAATAACATTTTATTTAAATCATTTTTAATTTTTCTATATCAACAAATATTTTAATTCCATTATTAATTAATCCTATATTTTATTTAAATTTAGAATGACTAGAATATAAATTAAATACAGAGTTAAAAAATTTTTAAGTATCAAAATATAAAAAATAATTTTATCATTTAAAACAAAACGAATTTATATCTATTAAGTTATTTATGCAAAAATCCATAAAATTTACTTAATAACTTTAAATAAAATTTATATTTTGCAAAATAACTTTTGAAAGACAAGTTTTTAAATATGATTTAATTTGAAGTTGAAAGTTATTTAGTGGCTATTAGAATTTAAATTTTGTATTTTTTATTTTGTTAAAAAGGTAATAAATAATAGAAATTTCATGATTTATTTTAATGAAGTGTTTATATTACAGTTTAAAACAACACTGATAATTTCTTCATATTTATTCAATCGAATCTTTTTGTATTTTATTAAAATAAAAATTTCAAATTAAAAAAATGAATGTAAAGAGCATAGAGTAATTTTCATTTAAATTTTAATGACAGTATTTTATTAAATTACGAATTGATTGAGCTATTTTGTTAAAAGCTTTTAATAGATTTATACAAAAACTTAATCATTAACTTTCAAATCCACACTAAAAATACGAAGCTTGTTCGATTTTAATTTTTGTGATATTTAATGAAGTGGATATTATTTTTAGATTAACTTACCTAAATTAGTTTGCATCTTAATGTACGCTATTGATTACTTTTTTTATTTTTATTTCAACTAACAGATATGATTGATTGCTATTTTTTTTAGAAATTTATTAATTCAAACAAATTAAAATTAAATATATTCATTAAAAGCGATTAATATTTTGGGTAAAAACAATGAGATAATTTCTGAATTTCACAATATTTTTTTTAACACTACTGAGCAATTATGTCTATAAAACATATTATTTTAGTGGATATGATGTTGATGTTAATGGGTAAGAATCATATTAAGAAATATTGACTTAAATTCATTATTTTATACTAAAGAATCACTTTTTATGGAGGGAATTAGTACATTGATTATAATAATAATGATTAATTAACAGACTGCCCATCGTCATGTACATCATGTTCTAACAGCGACTATTGCTTAACATGCACTTATGGATATTTCTTATACACTCCTATGGATAATAATCATCAATTATGTTTAAAATGGTAATAATTTTTACTTATTGAGATAATAGTTAAAACAACTATGATTAAAATAGTCCTCATTTCCATCTTTCAGAAATTTCATAAACAGTTGGCTGCGCTGATTGCGTTTCTAACCCTCTTACATGGTATAAATTATATTCTTTTACTCATTTTATTTATTTATTTTTTCATTAAAAGGTCAAGTAAAATGATTTGTACTTACATCTTTCAAGCAATAGATTTAGGAGATCCATCTTTGATACGATACTAAAAAATTTAAACTTTGGATACTAAGTCATTATTCTATGTTTACAGAGATAATTAAGATAGATTGGCGATCAGGGATTGTCCTGGTTGCGATTCTTGGTGTGGAGATTAACTTAATGCTAAAGGTTGTTAAACTACTAATTTAAGTTTTTAGGTGCCTGTATTTTAGTAGGGAATAATTTGTAAAAAAGGCTACTACTTTTCTCAAAATGGTTGTTCGAAATGTATAGATAATTGTGATATATGTTCTGATAGCTCTAAGTGTTTAGTCTGTAGCTCAGGATATTCGATAGGATTGGGTAGAATTTGTGTTTCTTGCTCTTCTGTTATAGTTAATTGTCTAAATTGCTATTTAGGTAATAGCAATACTAATTTTATTCAGGATCAGACAACATTAGATGACTATACCTAAGATATGTTAGATTAGCAGGGTTTTTTGTGGAGATGCGCTTCATGCAATTAAAAGAAGTAATAAATTAATTTCTAGTAAAATTAAAAGGATAAATAAATATTTATCCAGTAAATAGTTTTACTAACTTTTTTTACTGTTCAAAGTATTTAAATTAATTAATTTAATCTTTAATTAAAAAAGTATTTTTTATATCCCTTCATTGGATCAAACAACTTGTGAAAGCTGTGATTTGAATAATTGCAGAGCCTGTAGGTATGCCACTGTAATTTAAGATTAACTTATAGATCACACTAGTTCTCCATATGTAGTTGATGCTTCTGCACAAGATAGCTTTTAAAAATATTGTACTCTTTGTCAAGCAAGCTACTCTGTAAAGTATGACGGATAATGCAGGTTCTGTTCTTCACAATGCTCAATTTGTTATTATGGTAGTCTTTCTGGAGATAACATCCTATACACATTAGAAAATGATTTCTTATATCTCACTTAATAATAGAAAAACGAATTGGGTTTATAGTGGAAATGTTTTGGCTGCATTTATAACTCAAATAATGATTCAACTAAATTTCTTACAGGCTTTGATGGATAATGTGTCTTAGAAAGTGATTTTAATACTTAAAATGGAGTAAATCTAAATTTTGCAGTTAAAGATCCTAATTGTTTTAAATGGAGACAATTAACTAGTTCAACAAGCACCCAATTTGAATGTATAGAATGCATAAATGGATATGGAATAAATATGGCGAATCCGAGCCAATAGAGGTTAATATTTAAAAATTGTAAAACTAAATTCTTTATCTTTCTTTTAAAAATGTAGATTATGTGATTTAAGCGTTAGTTCTTTTAATAATCCTTCCCTTAGCAAGTGCTTAAGTTTTTATTATACTTTTTAAGGTTACAGCAGATAATTAATTAGCTGTACATCATGTTAATAAGGTATTCACTCATAAACCAATAATTATAAAATTTATTTTAATCAATGAAATTTAATAGGTTATTCTCCTTTACCTTCTAAAGGTTGTGTAAACTGCTCTTCAGGCAAAATTGCAAGCTCAGAACCTTCTGATGCTCCAAATGCTACATGTAATGATTGCCATCATATTTCAAGCAGTGGATTAGATTTTACTATAGTTTTAAAGACAACATAATTCGTTTCCTAAGGTATTATTTTTATTTTTTAAATTAGTTGATTATCAAATTTTATAAAAAAATAGATTAAGCTTTGGAGTAAGAAAATTAATAAAGCTTTCCTGTTATTCCTTAATGCATAGATTGTGCTAATAATTTAGTAGATGGAAGATGTCCAAATCTTTGCTAATCATAGTAAAAAATAACTTTTATATTTATTATAAGATTTTAATTCTTTTAAAACAAAGCTGCTTAAATTCGTAGTGCATACCAGATGAAAGTGGTTATTCTACTTGCTAAGCATGTGTAAATGTTTAATTCTAGTATGACGATGTTGGTTTATGGACCACAAGTGAATCACTTTCACAAGATTAGTCTAGCTGTCTTATTTGTCCAAGATACTGTGATCTCTGTGTTGAAAGAACAAGTGATGAAATGAAAAGTATGAATCCTTATTTTAAATCAATAGACCAATTTTTTGGGTAATTTTAGTATAAATGCTTAGTTTGCAAATCAGTTGAAAACTCATGCCTTTACCCTAACGGAAGTTTGGGTTTGGATTGTAATAATTAAAGCGCATCAACAATTTTTTATGATGCAAGAGTAAATTAGTGTTACCCTTGCTAAGGATCTGATTGTGCGAGAAAAATAAAAATAAGATAAATTATAGAATGCAGATCTGGTTAAGCTGCTGGAAAAGAAAATATGAGCTAATCTGATTACTATAAAACAGTTGATGCTACTGGAGCAGATTTTGGTGATGAAGTTTTCCCTCTGAGTGTTATTTTTATAGAAAAATGGAATCCAACTCAGCAGTTGACAGTAGATTTCTTCCCTTATACTGATATTAGAGGTGATATTTAGTAATGAATTAATAAATATTTCATTTATATTTTATTAAAAAAAAATATTATCAAAAAGTTTTTAGTTAAACGCAATAAATGGAGAAGGAATTTCAACATTTGAGTATGAAATTCTAATAATTCCAGAGTAAAATGTCTCTATCAATATCCAATCGAATACTAATGTGTATGAAAATGTTTGCAGATTTCCAAATGAAATAACATTCACTAATTCACTAGCTAAATATGTTGCAAATATTAATTCAATGAAACTAAGTTTTAGCATCTTAACATCGGCAGGAGTTAAATAAAATGTTGAGCTTGCTTTTTTATACACAAACGGCTTTACATTCTCTGGTTGGAATGAGTTTTATTTCTCATATTTAACTTTTATTCCTTTATTGAACCTCAAAAAAGGAATCTTACCAAATGATATGCTCATAAAATTTTCAGATAACTTATTTAATTCAAAGGTGACATTTAACTAAATTAATTTTATTCATGGAGTCGATTTAGATACACAGTAAAATACTTTTAAAAAATTAAAAACAAACTGCTATCCTGTCATTGAGGTAGCTAATATGTAAGTGCTTCAAATAATTGATCTAAAATTATAAAATTTTTTCTATCCGAGCACATATTCCTTATTTAATTTTGTGAATACTACTTCAAGCTAATCATTTAATATGATTGTAGACGGAATGGAGATAAATAATTGCAAATTCTCAAATACAAATTTCATTCAGCTTGTAGCTAGCACAGCAAGTATTAAAATAAGTAATTTTAAAATGACTCAAAACTTTTTCGATCAATCAGCAATACTTTACTAGGCTTAAGGACACAATTTTCCTGTATCCTAGCATACAATAACCATATCTAGTACAGATATTACTTCTTAAACTTTGAATTGTTTTAAATTTATTGATGCTTACAATATGTTGACCACACAAGTTTAACAATTTGCTTTTTATGACTAAATCTAAATATCATGTAATAATGACATACCTTCTCTATTCACTTCTAATATTATAAATTGCGATACTGTATCAATAAAGCATAGTAATAAACCATTTATCTTAAGAATAGTATAGTTTCCAGTAGCTAGTCCTTCGTAAATCAGTCCCATTATCATTTTAAACAATTTCACTTTGGAAGGATTAATATTATCAAATATATTTGGTTAGCTAATTAACTTGGTATAATATTAATTTACAAATAACTATAGTTAAGATCCATATAACTTGAAAATAAATTAATTTACAGTCAAGGGTAAATCATTCAATTTATTTTTCATAAAAATACTCATCTTTCTTTACTTTTGTATCCAATAATTTTTTTAAAATTTATATAATAATATTATTAGAAGAGTTAAATATCAATACAAAAATCAAAATAAATTTATTTAAAAAATTTATTTTCATAAAATTTGAAGATTTTTAAAAATTAATTTGTGTGCAACTTATTTTTTTTTTATTATTTTAATAGGATTATCTTGCATTAACTAATTTGAATTTGGGCAAACAAATCTAATTTATTTAAAGCAAATTTCTAAAATATTAATTAAGAATCTTAACATTATAGATACAAAATAGGTTAATGTAATATTTGCTGATACAGTATCGTACTTAGACATACAATAAGGTTCTTATTAAAGGTCTGTTCAACCTAAAAATTGGGATTTTAAAAATGGTTTTCTTTAAAATCTTCCTAATAGTGATCTTAGTGAGTTGAATGGATATTTTTTATAATCAACTACTCTTATCAATAGAGTTTTTATTTAGGGATTTACGTTTTCTTATTTATTCTTTCGTGATACAGTAAATTAATTACTTATTTCATTTTTTAAATCTTTAATTAATAAATAAGGCACTTTAAAAATATTAAAAATAAATAAAATAGAATTTAGTTTAAAACACATAAATTGCTTCTAGTAATAATAATTTGCCTAAGACTGAATATAATGACGATTAAATAGAAAGTATCTTAGTAAATAAAGCAAAAAATTTAGATTATGGTGAATTAGCTATACCTAGAATAATTATCACAGATTGCACATTTGAAAATCTTTTTTCAATTACTGCTTCATAAAAGTAAATATCACTAATTAACATAGAAGGAGACAATTCTGTTAGATTGATATTAGATTAAGTTGTTTCAAATTAAATTTCAGCTGAAACTCTTTTAGAATAACTGATTAAAGAGTCTGCATCATTTGCTCTAGTTGATTCTATGGATTCTTATTTTCATATTTATGGTTCCAATTTTTCTAATTTTAAAACATCAGTTTGTCTTTAAAATGGATTCGTTGGAAGCCTGAATAAGATTTTCATCTTGGATTCACATTTTACTTAAGCTAATATGCAATATTTAACATTAGATAATAGCTTAAAAGGAGGATATTTTAATATTCAAGCTAATTATTTTAGCATTAAGGATAGTACATTTTAGTAAGTAGTTGCTGATACTGCAGGAGCTATATATTATAAAGGACTTACTTATTCATAATTAATATGCGATACAGTAACATTTGATTAAATATACACATCTTTTTCACCTTTAGCTAATGGTAATGGTGGTGCAATATACTATGACTCACAGTCAACTATTTCATCATTAACCATAACAGGAAGCACATTTACTGATGTATATGCTAATTATACTGGAGGTGCTCTATATTTGATTTGTGGTAAATCTCAATGTGTATAAATGATCTAACAGAATACATTTTCGAATGTATTTGCTAATTAAGGCAGCATATTCTACAGTAAAATATTTCATATTAGACTTATCTATTAAAAACTAATAGAATAATAAAATGCAATTAAATATTGAATAAAAACTAAAATTATTTGAATACATTATAATATTATTTAATATAAAAATAGTTTAACATAAATTACCTGCTTAAAGCACTACATTTTAGCTTAATACAATCACTTAAGATATGGATAAACTAAAAAATGTATTGACTCAATATTACTAGTTTCAAGATATAGATGCAAAGACTCTATAAGACGATCTTTAGCTATTTTATTTGATGATTATGATAGGAGGAGTTTTTAATTTCTAATCAAATACATTATCAGGTATTCAAACTGTTTAAGGGTTTATTTATGGTTAATAGATAGTGTTTAAAAGCAATCAAAATAAAATTTCTTAATCAAATTTTTACTTCACTCCTTATATATATTTAGCAGGATCTTATTTTAATTCTAATACTTTTGAATTCGATGACATATCTTTTTGTAATGACTGTGTAAAAGATCCAGTATTTTCATTCTTAAACACTGCTTCAGCTTTTGATTCTTTCATTTTAATAGAAAATCCTACCTAATAAACTTTTGTAACAGATATTATTATGAATAAAGTAATATGCGGTGTATGTAGCTAAGGCTTATTAGGGTTTACAAAAGTTTCAAACTAAATTACTCTTCAAAAAGGAGATATCTAAAATTGCGAATCAAACTAGGGAATAATTTATATTAAAGCAGCTGTGTCAAATAAAAGAAACCTTTAAACAGCTTAACAAATTTCAACAATTGATGGTTATAAATTTTAAAATAACTTAGCTATGTATGGTACTGCAATCTATTCTTCAAATTGCAGCTTGATTGTTTAAAACTCATAAATAACTTCTAATTAAGCTACAGATACAGCAGGTGGCTTATATTTCTATTCAGCTGAAAATATTTAAAACACTTTGAAATTAATTAATACTCAAATAACTCAAAATAGTGCAAAGTATGCAGGAGGCATCAAGTGCATTGGAAGTAAACATTTTAAACTAAATATTTATTCATAATTTTGATCAAATCTTAATTTTTAATAAAATAAATAAATAAATTTATAAAATATTGGCCAAAATGTTTAATTTAAAATAAAATATTATTCTAATAAAAATAATGGATTTAATTTTTTAATAATAATATTTCTAAAAATTAAAAGCTTTTGCTTAGCTATTGTAGGGTTCAACAGTTGAAATGAATACAGCTACTTATGGTAAAGATATTGTTGCATATCCTGTGGGTTTGATATTATCTGTAAATGGAACAGAACATTAGCCAGATTAAGATGGTATTGTTAGAATCAGTAATTGGGCATCAGGAACTTCGGATTACTAAGATATGGGCTTTTACTTTATTAGTTCTGACAATAAAAAGTAAATATTGCAAGCTGACTAAACTTCTTCACTTACAGTTTCTTTAAACTATGGCTCTAGTAGCGTGCCTTCAACTGCAAAAATATTAGGTACTTAAACAGCAAAATATGATTAAATATATAATGGGTTTGTTTTAGATAAAATAATTTTATAACAATATCCTCTTTAGTAACTGTTAATAAAAGCTAGCTCTCCTACAGTTTAGATACCTGTTTTTGACAGTGATGGAACTCTCATTTCTGTTAAGAACGATTATATTCTATAAATGATAATCTAAATGAGAAAGTGTAAGAAAATTAAAATTATTGTTTAATTATTTATTTATTTCAATTTTTAATAAATAGGTACTGTTGGTGAAGCTTATATTGAAATCACAGGAAATTGTTTTTATTGCAGTAAAGGCACATACAGTCTTCTTACAGAATCAAAATAATGCCTAAATTGCCCAAAATATGGAGTTGAAAATTGTCCTGGAGGAAATTAAATGAACCTTACTGATGGATATTGGAGACCAGATGAGACTTCTGATCTCATTGAGTCATGTTTTAATTATGAATCAAATTGCTTAGGTGGATTAAAAACAGGAGATTCAAGTTGTGCAGAAGGTCATATAGGTGCTCTTTGTGAAGTTTGTGATATAACTGGAAGAGAGTGGGGAGAAAGTTACTCATTTAGTTCTAATTTTAAATGTGGTAAATGCTCCGAAGTTGTAGGAAATACGTTTAAAATGATTGGTTTAAGTATTTACACTTTTCTTGCAATTATTTTCTCTGTAAGAAGTACAAAAGCTCTTTTGGATTCATATATAATTACATTTTACTTGTAAAAAATTAATTTTTTGCCAAAAAAGGCAGTTTAAAATTAAGAATCTGTTGGTATTATAATTAAGATTTTTACAACCTACATTCAACTTCTACTAGTTATTTAGACATTTAAATTACAATTACCTCCAGGTTTGAGGGATATCTCTGCTAGTATTGGAGATCCTGTTTAGTAAATGAGTTTTAGTATGGACTGTGCCTTATATTAAATGCAAAAAAAGATACCTATTACATATTTCAGATTATTATGGGCTTAATTTATGCCTATAATTTACGTCAGCCTTTATTTATTAGGGCATTACATATACATCAATATAAAAAGATTTAGATTTCATAATGTAACTGCATGGATATCTATAATATACATGTTTATTTCTATGCAGCCATCTATTGTTAGAACTCACATTTAAACTTCTTCTTGCAGGTAAAAATAAAATTTTTAAAAATTAGAATAAAATATCTTGAAAAAAGAATAAAACTCAGAATTATTTTTTTTTTAAACTTAAGTAAGCAACTTGCATAAATAAATATCTAGAGATATTTTATTTAAGTAAATTATATACTTATACAAATTATCTAATAAATTAATTTTGTAAAAACATTCTTAAAAAATGAATTTAATTTACATTTTTTTAATTTATTTATTTTTAACAAATAAAATTATTTATAAAACAAAGATTTATATCTGGAGAAAATTATATTAAAGCTGACGTCTCTCAAATATGCTATACAAATACTCATATAGGATGGATGGTTTTTTACATTTTACCAACTCTTTTGGTTTGGATTGTATTAATACCTTTGTTTTTCTTATACAACATGCATAAAGGAAAGAAAGATGTAATCAAATTAATAAAATTTAGTTATTTATTTAATTATTTATTTATCTTTTAACTAGTTGAATAAAATAAGAATGCAATATAGATTTGGATTTTTATATTCTGAATATAAATAAACTTCTTACTTTTGGGAAATAGTAAAAATCTATCAGAAAACTCTAGTCACTATTTTCATAAATATATTTGATTAGTATATTTCCATAAAAGGAATTTTGGTAATCTTCATATTGATTTTGTACATATATCTGCAAAAGAAGAACTCTCCTTATCTCGAAAAGAGATTTAATAATTTGGATATTTAGTCTAACTTAACTGTAATTGTATCAATAATTCTAGCAATTTTCATACTTGACAATCCTTTTGCTTATTAAATTTGGTTAGCCTATACAGCTTTAATCTTATTAAATGTTTATTTTATAATTATAATGCTTGGAATATTAATTAGCGGACTTACATCTAAGTTTGAATCAAAGCTTTATGAGATCTACCTGAAGATTTCTAAAAAATTTCCTAGTCTATCTAAACTTCTTAGAGTAAATAAATTATAAAAGTTTAAAAAATTTTATTTGTTTTTTTATTAGCTACCAAGAATACCTAAAGAAAGAATAAAGTATCTATGGGGATGTATAAGAATGAGTGTTATCAAACATAAACAAAATGAAAACTAACAAGAAAAATAAATTGCTAAAAAAGCTAGTATCGAGGTTTAATCTTTATCAGAAGAAAATAGAAATGATCAAGTTGTTGATACACCAGATAATTAGAATTATGAATAAAATAAATTGATTATTGTTTCTTCATAAAGAAGTAAAAATTTAATTATTTTAATTAATTTAATATAAATAACACATTTTTAAAACAAAGTCGGCCTTCACAATAAGAACCCTTCTGCAAGAGTCATACCAGTATCTTCTTCTAATTAAAATTAAAGTATGAATTATTTATAATTTTTGATAGTTTTAAAAAATATTTATTTTAAAACATTAGATATTAATTACTCTCCTGTTTCTTTACTCAATTTACAAAATATGAAGACAGAATAAGAAATGCATAATACAATTTTTTAGAGTTCAATCTTTAAAGCAGAATTTAATTAAATTTCACAAAAAACAATAAATATTCAAAACTAAAATAGCTAATCTTGATAAAAAAATAAAATTAAATTATTTAGTTTTATTTAATAATTTATTTATTTATCTTGTTTAAATTATTTTTAGAATGGCTTCTAAATAAATAAAAAATGTTCAAATTATATTTTTTTTTTTAATAAAAATTTTTGATAATAGTTTTAATGTAATTGCTCCTAAAATTAATATTTAGCATTAAAATATAAAAATTCTGATACTAAAATATATTTTAAATGAAAGAAAATCAAAAATTTAAAGTTAAATTTTAGTATTTGATTTTTAGATTTAGATTTATAGAAATAATATTTTATAATAATAAAAATTAATAAAAATAAAATAAATTTAATAAAAATATCACTTATTTAATTTTCAAATTATTAAATAAAATTCACTCAAATTTATTAAATAAATTTTAGTTTTTAAAAAACAATTATTGTAAATTGATTGATTTATTAGACTTATATAAAGTATACTTGTAGTTTAAACCATTTTATTGATAATTTAATGTTTTTCTAAATTACTTTATTTATAATTAGAAATTAAAATTGATGGATGAATAAATTATTTATTTATATTATAAGACTATAAAACTATATATAATAGAAATATAAATATATTAAATGATATAATCGAGTTAATTAATTATTTAGTTATTTAGTAAATATATTAAAAATTAAAATTTTATGTGATCATAAATTTTATACGAATCTTTCCTTCCAATATAGCCAAGCATAACAATTAGTTACATAGGTAACTGTACCAGCAGTGTTCCATTAATCTCTCATTAGTTTTGTAAAACCACAATCAAATACAATTCTACCTCTATCCTCTGTTCCGGAGAGCACAAAGAAACATGGCTTGGAAGCACTGCTTAATCCGATAATATTAAGATGGCCAAAGTTATCTTTTGGTGTATTGCTCAGTACTTAAGGATAGCAGATAGTAATACCCTCGTGGAGATTATTGATACCAGTAGTAATTAAATGTGGACCGAACTATTAAGTTTCAAAGTAATCACCAGCCTTTAAGACCTAATCACCATAATCAGAACCATCTAATTTAATAAAGATAGGTTATCTATTATAATAACCAACTGGAATTCTTTAAAGTATCAGATTTGCATGCACAATATAAGGATTATTATCAGCCCAAATCATCAAACCCTTTTGTTGTTTCAAGTGATATTCTATAGCATCTTAGAATCTGCTTTCCATTCTATGAGAGTGGAACTTATATCCACTTATAACCCAAGCTTAATCGAATTAAGGTAGCTTTACGATAAATTCCTGCTCAGTAACAACGACTTCACAAACTTTGAAACCCTTCTTTCTTAATGTTGGTATTAATAAATGATTAATGTCTTCATCTAGTCCTTCTTCTGGATAAAATAGACCTATCAATAGTGATAGATCATTATATGAATTGTCACTACCCAAACCAACATTTTTAGGATTGTTATACTCGTCGTACTCGAAATTATTTTCATAGATACCAATTTTACCTGCTAAATCACTATAGAAATTATACATATTTGTTTTATTCTCAGTTCTGTCTGTGACCCTGTTAAATTTGATTAATATTTCTTGTATTTCTTCATTGTTATTAGGAGAATAATTTAGCAAAATTTGCTTTAGACGCATAGATTCCTTGTGAGATTAGCTTGTTTCTTCAAGCTTTATTGATAAAGATTTTTCTTTGTTTTTTTAGGTGGTTTATCTCAATTGGTGTAAGAATTCATAAGAGAAATTTTTAACACTAGCATTTAGATTAAAGTTTAGTACAAGATCTTCTCTGTTGACTACTAAACTGTAGCTACCACATTAAGCTTGTCTTGCAGTTCTACCTTTTATTTGAGTCTCTTCTGCTAGATCTTCAGAGAGGAAGGTTTAGATAATATGAATACCACCATTCTTATCCAGCTCAGGATCTGTGCTGATATAATCACAGCCTCTACCAAAAGGCTTTGTTGCGAGTGTTATCATGCTCATAGAACCTGCTTTAACTATTGTGTGTCCTTTGAAATTAGTTTCTTCAGAAAGAACTTAATAATCGTATTATGTTTTAAACTCATTTTTAAAAATGTCTAATGCCCTCTTCGACTCAAAGAATACTATTACTGATCTATTTTACTTCATAACGTTTTCTATTTGAGATTATATTTCTAAATGATAAAGGAACTTATTCTCTTTTACAACTACGTCCTTTTCTTTTTTAAAAGAAAATTTAGACTACCCATAAATTGATGGGGAGATTGTTAATTTTCTTATGTTGAAGAGATTTCTAGTTAAATTTTTCTGATAATCACTCATATCTTCTAAAGTACCACTGACTCCCAATACCAGTTGATATTCCTAAGGTATCTAAGCGAATGAGAAGCAGCCTACATTAATTATAAATGAAAGGTTTTCATTCATAACATCTTCTGTTATATTCTTCTTTTCCCACTCTTAGATATAAGCAAAAGCTGTTTTGTATCCTTTGACTGTATTGAAGGAAATGCCATCAAGAGATTTATAGCAAATAATTGTTTTGCTTTTTCCAGAAGGAGTATATGTCAAATATCTGTGGCCTTCAAGATTATTTACATCTTCGTACATCATTTTTATACGTTCATCAATAAATGCTTACCAAGGAACTAAATTTGGATTGTTCTAAAATAGCTTTTTATATACTTGTGTTTACTTAAACTTATCGATATGAACAGCTCTATTCTACCAGATATATTTCAAAATATCAATAACATCTTGATTATTGTAATAGAGTGCAACAGGGTAAGTACGACCAATGAAATCTTCACCGAAAAAGAAATCTACTTCATCAATAAGAAGAATTCTTCTCTTTGGTTAACTGCCCAAAGACCCTTATCTTTATATCTGTACCTTTTTATGTAACTTATTATCAAGTAAATCTAAACCGACTTATCTCATATCTTCTGGATCATTAATTATATCTTCGAATTATTTCTCAAAAGTGTTATATTTAATTACATTATCAATTTCTAATTGCTAGAAAATATGACTGAAGCTCTAAAAATCACGCTAACTTAGATAATTACTGTAGCAGCAGCAATCTACATAGAATCCTAGTAAGCCTAAGAAGCAAGAAGTAATTCCCAAAATGATAGATTTACCTTCACCTGTCTTTACCTAAACTAGATGGTTTTCAATAGGCATCTAAGTAGTTGTTGTATCTATTGAGAGCAATCTCATTACAGTTGAAACTTAAACCTTTAAATTAATGAAAATGGAATTAGATTAAAATCAACAGAAACTTAATTAATTAAAGTAAATGTTGTTAAAAATTTTATTTAATTTAATATTTATTTACAGGATGCAATTTTCTGAAACTGTCTTCTCTTCTTTGGCAGTTTACTATAGACCAGAAAGTACTCAAGTGAGCTAGCATGATAGAAAGATCTTACTTCTATGATGCTGACCAAGTGATTTACTTTTGATTCAAGTAATCGACTTAGTAGGATGAGCAGAATTTTTTAAACAAAGACTTTGTCTTTTATAAAATAGTTTCTGCTTTGAGATCTCCTTAGTGCCACTTGCTTAGGAGGTTTTTCCAGCACTCTTCATAATATTTATATTGGATTGAAAACTCACTTGCAATGAATTTTTCACCTTTAATATTATTGTTTACATATTCCAAGCTGAATTAATTCTTGGAAAGTTCCTCAATCATCTTGTTAAGAAGACCTTCGAAGTTTTTACTATTTTCCTAGATTATCAATAAACCAAGTTTATCTTATCTCAACTTAGATGAAACATCTGAAATGAATTGAGGTGTAAATTATTAAAATTTAGTTGTGATAAGCTCACTTATTTATTCAAGAGTGAATTCATGGACTTGTCCTATTTCGAATGCTATTTATCTGATATTAATAATAGATGCAACAAACTCTCTCACGTCTGATTCATCCTCGAAATTTTAGGAATAAATTTGTTTAGTTAATTGGGCTATAGATAATTTAATTTAGTTGATTATTTCTTCTGATGCATTATAGTTGGAGATTTGAACTATGATTTCCTTAAAATATTTTTCTATTTCAGATAAATCTTCTATCAATGCAAATAGCTTAGAATCATACTTATCCTTTGATCTTCTTTGAGCTTCTATTGCTTTCTCTTCGTATTTTCTAAATACTACCTTCATGATGTCTGAAGTGTTCATATTAACAGAGCTCTCTTAAATTTTCTTTGAGAACTCCTCTACTTACCTTAAAATTCTTGAAGTTTCCTTGTAATTTTTTTGTATAAGTAACGAATTGATTCCATTAACAATTTCATTTTTCTTTGCATTAAGTAAATCAGATATAACTTATTAGATAGTCCAGCATCCATCATTCACTAATTTATTGAGATCGTTGAAGCTGCTAACATGTGAATGAGTTGATTGCATATCAGATAAATATTTCTTGTAGATTTAGATTACATTAATTTGTTAATCATTCAAACTTACCCTTGTCTATTCAATGAAATCAATTAGTTTTACTGTATTGTTAAAGACAGTGTGCTGCAAAAGAGATACAGACTGTTTTAATTATTTTTATATTTTATCGAAGACTTGGCAAGATTATGTATTGAATTATTCATGTTTGACATATTAAAAGTTAAATTAAGCCATTAAGGAGTTGAATTAATAAAATTAAACAACATCATAAATTCCTTCAGATTCTCTCTCAAAAACAATTTAGTTTAGACTTTGTACAGTTGAAGTTTGTAACCTATTAAATTCTTACTCTATGCAAACTTACAATTCAAAATATTTCTGTTTCAAGGAGTTGTAGGAGAAAGAACGAATACCGTCAGCAATTTATGAGAGGAATTTGAGAAGTTCTTAAGTGCCATTATAATTTCTATTTTGGAGTAAATCAAAGAAAGTATCACAGAGATTATTGTATTAATTACAGACCTCTTTTTAAACTATTGAACTTTTAGATCCATTAATTAAATTGAGGATGTTTGTAATCTTACGTTGAGTAAACATATTTCTCACATCTAACATTTCATCTTAAATTCTCTTCAATATGGGCTAGAAGAAAGCTAGATAATGCTAGTTATAGTTATCTAAAGTGTACATAAGTAAATACTAATATTCACCCTTAAGAGTTTCAGCTATAGCTTGGACGCTTATTTCTTCGTTTTATGAATCTATCTTTGTGTTTACGAACACTGCTGCTTGTTCCAAAATTTATTTATTCACTTTTTATAAGATTAAATTATATTCATCCTTGTATTGGTGTTAGTTCTGTACTAGTACCTAAAGAACTTGGAGAATGGAAGTTGTTTGTTGTTTGTTTTTAATGTCAATTTAGTTTTCTATTTAGCGCAGACAGAGCTTCATTTGGTTGATCATTTTATCAGGTAGTTAGTTATCCTCGGGTCTAATATAGCTCTAAAAATTCTACACAACTCTACAAACAACCATCAAGCAACGGCTGGCCTTCTCTACTTTTTAAGTAGCTATTTTTTCTTCAAATCTCTTTACTTATTTCTATAAAAAGGCAGTCAAGTGATGAGTTATTTGAGGGAAGAATTTTTCAATGCTAAAATTTTTGAATTTAATTTGTGACAGCTTCTATTTAGATTATTCTAAATTTCTTATGTCTTGTTTAATTTTATTAATATAAATGTCATCCAAAATATTTCTTTTGGTGAAGGATTTAATTATTTAATCGAAGAGCATATTAACCTTCTCCTTTAAAATCTTCTTTATTGATTTATAAGATTCGTTATCCTCACTCATGGTTCTCATGTACTCTAATATTTGGTCATAATCAGATTGCTTAACCATGCTTTTGACTTTTTTATCCAATCCTTTTTATTTCATAGTCAATTCACTTTGAAGAGTATCAGCAGGATTATCTAGTCTTCCAATGAAATGGGTTAGATAAAGTACTCCGGCTTATCTAATCAAAGTAAGATTTTTCTAAGCACTTTCTTAATTAAAATCATCAGGTAAAGATGGATTGTCTGACAAATAGTCACTGATTTCCTTAATAAGTCTAGATTACTCAGAAATAGATTTTTCTAAGACATGTTCGTATAGATCAACTTTAAGTAGAGAATAGCTGTAATTGTATTCTTTAAGTTTTTATAGTTAATCGAGAATGATCTTTTATCTCATAGCATCAGATGGTAGCTTTTAATGTTCGAAATCATACATATTAGATTTAAGCTTGTTGAATAATTATTAAGCAAATCCATTCTAGCAATTAGTAACCATTTGAATAAGAGACTCAATTGTGTTTTGATTTTTATCTTCAAAATTTAAAATATAATTTGAAAGGTTTTAAATGAATTAGAGTAAATGGCTGATATTCTTGATTTGTTCCTCAATATTTCTGTAAGTATCATCAATGTTATTAGGGATTTGAATGCTGTTTACCATTTTAGTTATTAAAGAAAATTTTGTGTTTATATTGTTGCAAATAAGAGAAATCATTTCCTAAAATGCTATTTCGTCAAATTTTTTATTAGTGTAGTCTTTTAAGAGTATAGAAGACTGCTTTAAAGTGAATAAGCCATTTAAAATTCCTGTAGGATTTCTGAATTCATTAACTTGGTCTTGTGTGAACTTCATAACTTCTTCAATAAAAATCTCCAATGCGATTTTGCTCTTTGTCACTGAGTTCTAAAAGAATTTGAATGATTAGTAATACTTCATAGTGATCTTTTTAAAGATTTTTTGGATTGAATTAATTTTTTTCTTCACAATTTAGAATTCATCTTCTGTTGTGCTTTTAAATAAGTCCTTATTAGCTGTTTCGTATTTTGGGATCAAACAATTTTTTATCTATGAAGAGCAGCTGCTGAATTTCATGTCGAACTTTTAAACAATTGATCCTAAATGAACAAAGAGTGCTTGAGAGGCTTCTTGCAATTTATTTCTTATATCGTCGCTAATATTCATTATTTCCATGGCACATTAAATTGGTTTTTCCATATGTCCTAGTTTTTTTTGAGTAATTGCTTTATTAAAAAGCATGATTGCTTGCTATACTAATTTTTGTGTAGTGTCTTTTTAAGCTGTTTTAAATTATGGGAAATGATCATTCATTAGTCTCTATGATCCGCTAATTTAAGCTAAAAAGTGATAAGCTATCTTCATTTGATCTATATTTTTTAACACTTAATCGTATTTGTTATAATCTATTTCAAAAACTGTCTTCTTTTGCTAAATGAAATCACACCATTTTTTTACTTGCTCTTGATAAATCAGCTAAGAATTTAACTAGAGGTGATCTCCTACTTATTATTCATGCAAATCTTTAAGCTTAGATAAGTTTGATTCTAAATCGTTAACATTGACTTCTTCATTAGATTTAACTAACTCATCCATCTATTCCAAGAGAGTTATAACTCTTTTGCTTATAGAAAAGCAAGCAGCAGTATAAAAGTTATTTGTGTAAATACTCTTTATTTTAACCTAACCTTTATGGAAAATACGGAGTGTCTTAGCATTGGCCTTGAATGTATCTTCTATTTCACTACAGTAGTAAACATAATAAAGCTTTAACAAATCTTAAATTGTAACTTTGTAATTTTCTGTTTTTTCAATAGATTAAAGGCATTCCTCTAGCGCGCTAGAAAGAATGTCTATAAAATCATTATAAGAAATTATGCAATCATTTATTTCTTAGTATTCGTGTCTAATTTAATCTGTCCAGCACAGATAATTAGAAACTTTAACAATATTTTATAAAAGGATTTGCACCATTTCTTGCTATAAGGAAGTTATTCTCTGCAAAAGTGATTAAGTCTACTTGACTAAGTCTAGATTGATCACTGCTTGCACGCTTTCAGCATAACATTTCTTGACAATTGTAAATTCCAATTGCTCGTTTAGTTTTTTGAGAACACTTAATCTGTTAGTAATTTGATCATATTCTTCCCTCTAAAATAAATTTGAAATATCTTTTTAATAACTTTGAAGGATAAGTTCAAATTCGTTTTTTGTATTTTATGCAAGAGCATATGTAAAATACTAATTAACTCTTTCCTAAGGAATTTCTTATATGTTAAAAAGAGAGTCGATTAAATTCTATCTCTTATCGCTTATTAGTGGCTTTATAAGTGTAAAGAGTTTGTTTTTCTTTTCTATGCTTTGTATTGATATATGAAGAAATTGGGAAACCTTATCATCATCGCTTACAGAATCAGTCATTGCTTTTAAAGAATTATTGATCTGCTAAAGAGTAGTATCGCTATTTAAATGGGTGAAACCAATCAACACGCTTTCTTAAGACTCTTCATAGTCCTTAATTAGCTTGCTATATAAATCAATAACTTCTTTTATGAGCTTACCCTTGCCTTCAACAGAAACAAGATTCTTGTATCCGATAAGCAACAAAACTCTAATAGATTTGGCATACTATAAAGATTTTACTATTCCAACTTGGTTTGCTATATCTACTATGGATCCCTAAGAGTCTAAAAGACCTGGAGTATCACAAAGTACAAGCTCTCTTTCATCTTTTGGATGCTAAACATTGTAAACGTTAATAGTTTTAGTTTAAGATTCCATTGGTTTAGTTCCTATTTTAGCAGCCTCTTGCTCTCCTTTAGCCACAGTAATTCCTTCTACTTCATAAACATAGCTTTTTGTTTAGTTTTAAATCTTAGACCAAATCATCTTCTTTCCGAGCAAGTAGTTAATAGTAGTAGATTTTCCTACTCCTGTAGCACCTAGGACTATCACAATATCTTTACCTTGAATGAGCTCTGATTATTCTAAATTAGATTCAATCATCTAAGTTAAATTCAAAAGCTCTTTGAATCTCTTCTCTGAGCCTTAATTGAGTTTTGGCTTTTCTTTTTGATTTTCAATCTCAAGTTTAACCTTTTTGCCTCTATCCATAACTTATGAGTATTTAGCTAAAAGTGCTCTATCTTTTTATTCAAATTCTTCGTACCTATTTACTTCTTCTTCCTCGTACTCATCTATATAAATTTCTTTCTTTTATAAAAGATCCATCTAAGTTTCTTCTTTATTTGTATGCAACTCTTCCTTTGCATTATTCTTTTCTTAACTTGGTGAATCGGACCTATTTGCTTTTATGCCTACTCAATTCAATTAAATTATTCATTAGAATTAAAGCTATTAAGTTTAATGGATATTACCCTGATTCTCCTCTTTTTTTATGCTTTTATTGCTTTGTGGTTTTGGTTTTGCACAAACACAACCCATACTCTATTGTTTGTTTGCTTACTTAATTAAATAAACCAAAAAATTAATTTATAGAATGTGAAATAATTAATAATAATGAATTAAAAATTAGATTCGATTATATCTTTTAAATAATTCAAATATACTGGATATTTTTTATATTCATCAAAAGCAAAAAATTTAAATTTTTGGTATTACTTATTTAGAGAATTTTTATTAAAAGCTGGAATGATATTTTATTAGTGAAATAGCAATTAATCTATAAAAATAGTATTATAGTATGTATGTTTGCATAATCAAAATTAACACTTCCAATATTTTTTATATATTCTGATTATTTTCTTTTCAAATATTGAATTTTTAAAATTAAATTTTTCTCTTCCATAAATGTCTGAAAGAGAATAAATTTTATTTGTTTGATATTTTTGGTTTAAAATCAATATTACTCAGAATTATTGCAATTCTATTTAAATAAACCAATAAGCTAGTTTTTTAAAATAATTTAAAATAAAATAAGATTTTGCTAATAAATTGAAGTAATAAAATAGAATATTATTTATAAATTTCTACATTCACTCTTTCACTAAAAATTATAATTATTAATAAATAATTGACTAACAAACTATTACTGACCCTTAAGTATTAATCAAAGCTTAAATGAAATGCTAATTTTAGTGAGAAAAAATAAAACCTAAAATTTACAATAAAAATGATAGATTGTGTGTTGAAAAGATAATATTTTAATTACAAAATTAATATTAAAGTTTATTTTTCTTTCATCATTTTTTCTAACGCTTTTTTTAGTTTATTTCAATATAGATTTAGTCTATAGCATCTATTTAGTCATATGCATAAACTTCGAAGGAAACTTCCTTATTATTATCTTCAGATTAAATAAAAAATCTCTTTTTGCCTTCCTTTATATCTGTCTCATCTTCTATTAGACTGACTTTGCCAAACTCTTTCTTAAGAACCTATTTCAATATTTTATTTATTCATATTAATATTAATTTTTATATAAATTATTGTTTTTACTTTCTCAATATACAATTGTAAATTTTTAAGTCTATGTTCTTAGCCAGTAAAATATTGCAATATTTCTGCAAAAAGTGTTTCCATGACAATTTTTTTGGTAATTTCATAGTCTAAATTATTATCAATAAATATCGCTCCAACTAAACTTTCAATTACGTCACCTAATGTCTTAATTAATGATTAATTATAAGTTGTATCGTACATTAAAGAAGTATCTCCCATAAACATTTCAACATTATTGAGCAATAATTCTATTTCTTCTTTATTATGTTAAATGCTTCCAATGATAAATTTATAAAATCCCTTCATTAAGTTGATTAAACAGAGGGTTTTGTTTTGTACCAATGAAGTTTTCATTTATGTCAACTCACCAGGATCAGAGTTAGGAAATCTAATTTATGAAATTGTTGATGTTAATATTTTCATTTAAAGTAAAAATATTTAGTTTGAAAGAAAAAAAATTAAAATTTACTTGTTGAATAAATACTCGACGATAATTAAATCAAGGACTGCATCTCCTAAAAATTCTAATCTTTGATTGCACAGATTATAATTTTTCAAATTTTCCCATTCATTAGAATCTTTTTAGTAAATTTTATTTTGATTTTCTTTGCTAATTTAATCAATTTTTTCAAATGTTCCTTAATTTTCTTTTTTTTAAATAGCATTATTTATTTGATGCAATTTATTTAAGTTTGTATTTTTTAAACTGGGGATTTAAATACAAAGACTTTCAATGCTTGGAAGTGTGAAGGCTTAAAATAGGAGGTTTATATTTTAAAATGTATAGCCTAAAATACTTTCTATCTCCTTCAATTGGACATAAATAGGGTTTTACAGCTAACTTTACTGCAGGCTTCTATCATAGCTATGGTTAAAAGTTAAATCTGGCTTATTGAGAACTTACAATGAGAACAAAAGATATTAGCAAAGATTTAAATCCTTTTTCTGTTAAAAAAATACACCGATTATACTTTCCAAAGTATCAGCTAAAGTTTTTCCTTTAATGTGGCGATATGTTGGTTCTAAACGCAATAAATTAGGAATGTCATTTTATTATTATTATTCTTCAATTTCTTCATTTTCTGCATCTCCATCTTCTTCATTGCCTTTCTTATTTTTATTCCTTTAGTCAGCTTTATCGTACTCATCTGGCTCCTTTTCTTTCTAGAATTAATTTTATTCATCATCGTCTACTGCTATTTCATATTTTATTCCTATGGGAGAAAGCGTTTCAATCTTAGAAGATAAAATATATCTAAAAAAAAAAATATTAAAATGAGTCATATTCTAAAAATTTATTTTACTTAAATATTTTCTTTTTTACAGCAATTTATGCCAAGTTTCTATTCTGTATAATTATAGTTCTATGAACATGGAGATGATCTTCCATGCTTTTAGGGTGTTCAAAATAGATTTGTGTACTAGATAAACATTTCAAAACTGTATCACCAAGAAATTCATATCTTTCTAGTGATGATTCCTTATTGTTAACAGCATATTCTAGAGAGGTCAAAGACTTCATTAACTCGCTAATCTACAATTCAAAGATGTTTTTCTTATATACTTAATATGATTCAAATATAGGATTATGTTTTATATATTTTTAATCAAATTTTCTAATGCTTATCTGATTGTATCCCTCCATTAGTTGGTGGTTATTGTACTTCTTACAAAATTAATTATATTTTTCACTTTTGCTCATAACATCTAAAACTCCTTAATAATTTTCTACTAAAAAGTGAGGTTATTCAATTTAATCAAGGTTATAGGAGCAACTCGTTTTATTATTATTTTTGATTCTCTAATAAGCCTTATCAAAAAATTTAGGAAGACGGATTTATTAAAAGTGATGCACTCCAAATGTGTCTCTGATTTAGTAAAGGAATGTTTTATGCAAAATATTAAGTTTCATAAGAAGACTAACATTTAAAGGAAATATAGTGAACTAGTGAGGGGAATATTTATAATCACCCTTAAAATTTTCTGTCAGGACGCCAACTCTTTTAAGATATAAGTTGGTTTAACTTCTCAAATGCTTAGTAAAAAGCTAAACCTATAATACCATATGATTCTCATTTGAAGTAAATGAGACTTCCTCCAACTCAACTTAAGCCTTTAACTATTTTATTTACTTAAAAGGATCTTTTCCCGTGGGAACCTATTAATACTCCTTTTAGATTTCTTCATAGCTTTTGCACCCATAAAATATAAAACGATTAAGATGTCTTCCAGACATGATGCTTTGTAACACCAATTTTTTTCTTGAATCTTAATAAATATTTGGATCTAGCTACTTAGTACAATCAAAAAAGTTTACACAGTCATAATAAGGTTTGACTTTATAATCAGCAAATGGATCATCTTATTTTAATTTTCTACTTTAAAACCTAGCTGCTTTCTCTTCTTCATTTAGTTTAGTCTTGTTTCTAACTTTATAAACTCCTAAAAAAAATTATTAGTCATATTTTTCCAAAAATTAAATAATTTTGATTCTTTTTTAATATCTGAAGAATATTTTAACATTAAAATAACAAAAATTGAGGAAATATTTAGTTATTTAGTTTTTAACCAATTAAAATTATTAATAAAATCAGATTACTCTTAAAAAATTAACTGCTTTCTATTAAGATTTTTAAATAAAAAAAAGATTTTTTCTCTTAAAGTTTTTTTTCTATTTGTAACGATTTATTTGTTGCAATTCAAAACTAAGTTATTATGCTATATTTTTTTTAAATTTTGTAAGAATTTTTAAAATAATTTATTACCACTCATGTAATTAATGTACTTTTCTAATATTTCAATATGATCAAAATTGATTTCATAAAGATTTGTATTGTTATTGGATGGCCTAATAACAGTGAGTAGTGCACTGAATCCTTCTGAGTTATCAAATTTATATTATAAGTTCTTGCTAGCATTTTTACCATGATCTTTAAATAATTTCCCTTTGCCATTTACAACTTCTCCTGTATATTCTGCATAGAACTCAATATCTTTATTTAGGGCAACAGAATTTAAAAATCTATTAATCAACATTAGCTTGTCATATTATTATTGACTTATCTAAATTTCTTACTAATATATCATATTCGCATAAACTTCATTTTCATGCATTTAAAGATAGTATTTAATTGTATCTTTTATAGGAATTTAAGTGCTGTGTATGATACCTAATTCAGAATCTTAGTTTTTTATAAAACCAGAAGAAGGGAGTTTCTTCCCTTAATCATTGAACTTTATCAAGTACAATTAAAATGTATAACTTTTTTATTACTAAATATCTAAAATAGATTTAAAAAAACTTTATTTAAAGCACTCTCCCATAACAGACTAAAAGTAGTACATTTTACATTTTTGTTTTACATCTACATAAGATTTACAATATTTTTATAGTATTTTAGTGAGTTTTTCATCTTTTTCGTCTTCAAATAAAGATTCTGATTTTTCACTTTATGAATTTTGTATCTTCTAAGATATGTTTCTCAGATACTTTTTTATTAAAAATAAATTAATTTAACAAAGTTTTGAAATTTTATTTGATAATAATACCTAGTCAAAAATTTTATATTATCTGTAAAGAATGATAACAGCCTAAAAGCATGCATCTTTTTTTGCATCCTCTTTTTAAGCCTAAGGATTGCTGCAAAATGTTTTTAATCCAGATTAGGAGGGAACAATTATTTAGCAAATAAAGCCAACATTTGTAATCTCAATATAATAGTAAAAAGGTCCCTTGATATTCGAATCATAGCTATAAAGAAGCTAGTTAGCATAAGTATGAAACAGATTTACAGACCAATTTGTATTTAAAATAGCCCCAGTTTCCTAATTTTTATTGAAAGTTAGCTAAAATAAAAAAAACAAAAAATTATTATTTACTTTGACAATCTTATATTTATAATTAGGTCTGATTTCAATTTCTTATTTCTCAACTTTTGGAGCTATTTCCTTAATTTATTAAATTAAATCTTTGTAAGATTCAATATCTGTTTCATAATCTTATTTTTGATATTTGTCCTTTGCCATGATTATAAACTTCGAATTTTCTTTCCTCGCTCTAAAATATTTCAATTTAAAAGTTTAAATTTTTATCTTAAAGTATTTATCTATTACCTTCCTTTAATTTGAACGAACGACTTCAAGTTAGATATTTTATTAAACGAAATAACCAAATTACAGGAAGGTATATCGAAACCTTCTTCAGTTACACTAGTTGAGAGAATTATTTACAACTCTTTTTTTCTGAATCTTTAAGAATTAATTTTATATTGATATAAATAAATATTTTCTATTTTGTAAAATAATTTACGCCTCAATGTTTTCAGATTATTTGCTGACTTCAAAATCAAGATTAACAAGAACACATCTTTAAGCAGATTTTTAGTGATCATTAATTTTTTCTTTCAAGGAGTCTATATCCTCTTCTTTGTTTATTTAACTGCTGATTAAGCTTTCCTATTTCATTTGCTACTGCCTATACTATTTATCAATTGATAAAATAAATTAAAAAAAAGAAAAGAAAATAAATAATAATACCTCTTCTTCAGCAAATTCAAAATTATCATTTTATGTGAATTCAGAGTTTTAATATTAATTTTTATTTAAATTTTTCTTCTTTCGATCCTAGAAGTTTGATTAGCCTGTTAAGCAAACAATTTTTTTATATCTAAAAATAATTTCATCTTCATCTTTATCTCTATCTTCATCATCCATCCAAATTTAAAGAAGCTTCTGCAAGTATTTAATGATAATTTTTTCTTCAACAAAAACTAAAATCATCGATTAATTATCCTTAATGTATTTTTACACTTTAGTTATTTTCTCATGTTAGTGAAATTCTTATTCGTAGTATTTATTTTTGACTTTATAGCACTCAAATTCTTCTTTATCATGTATCATTGTTTATTTTAATTTATTATACAAAAACATGAATTTTTTAGAAATATTTTTTTCACTTTTATCTACTGATTCTATAAATTTTTCTGTTTAAGCTTTGAATAGTTTTTTTAATTCCTACATTTCTTCATTATTGTGCTAAAATTGGCCAAGTTTTTATAGTTCATCATTAACATCTTTCAAAAATAAACTGACAGAATATTTTCCTAACTGAGCATCAACTTGCATGCTATATAAGCAGATAATTTTTTCTATATCTAGCAATATCTACTTATTCATTGGACTTAAATTGCTAAAATATGAGTTCTTAAATTATTAAAATTTAATATAGAAATTTAAAATCTCAGTGTATCTCATTTCCTCATTCTGTTTATCTTCTATGTCAGAAATCCACTTCTCTCCAATAATTTATTCTTATAAGAACTAATTTGCCTTTATTTACAAATTTTATATTAAATTAAATATATTTTTTATAAAATTACTCTTTCTTAAATATTCTTTTCTTCACCATATTCTTCAACACAAATTGTAGCTTCTTTGATATATTTTTTAGATTCCTCGATATTATACTTTACAAAATTTGCATCTAAATTTGTGCAGAGTTCTGAGATTTTTTTCTTCATGATATTTGAATCAGATTTTACTTCTATATCCAAAACTGGAGAGGCAGTTAATCCATAAATCTTTGGCAATTAAACCTATTCGTTACGTCTTTTGTGAAAGTGATAGAACTCATATTATATTAAGCAATAAGGATGATCTTATCTCGTATGGTGACATTCATCATAAATAATAACCTCAATATCTTCAATGCGAATGTATCCTAATTAATAACAATAATTTAAGAAAAGTTATTTTCTTTGATCAAATACTTAAAAATTCTAATAATTAATATGAAATATATCTTTTTATTCTAAATTAAGATATATAAAAGATATATCTACTAATGACTAATTAATTAATTACCTCTACGTAAACCATTTAACAATACCTAACCAATCATAACGAATATTTCATAATTTTCAAGTAAGTAGTCCCATTTTTATTTAGTAAAAGTTTCTATTTATAAATTATCCTTTTGCTTATAACTACCATGACACTTCACAATATGATTTTCTTTTTCAAATATTCTTCTGTAATTAATGCCTTCTTAAAATTTTAATATCTAGCTGATTTCTTTATCGTTTTCCATCATCTCTGAAATTCTTTGTAAATTATTCTTTATTTCTGCGTACTATTGTTTTACAAGCTATACAGTGTTGGCTAAAAAAATAATTTTCTTTTTTTATGGAGCCTTTTTTTGTTTTTAGAAAAAGTAATTTATAAGCATTGTGGCAATCATAGTCTTTCCAGCACCTGTTTCAAGATAAATGATACTATTTTTGCTATAAGAATTTTTAAACAACTCCTTTTAATAGTTTCTAATTTCGTAAATCGTATTTTTGCCTTGTTCATTTATTTTAGGAGATACCTAATCTTTAAAAATTTCTTCATCATCTTCATCGCTTGACTCATCGTTTATTTTGAAAGCATAACTATTTGGTATTCCATTAAATCCATATTATTTCTTGATAACAGGAAGTTGTTTTTCTTCAAATTCTTCATCTTAGTCACTACTGCTTGAGTCACTCTTTAAGAAGTTTTCTGTATTTTTAGCAAAAATAACAGAATCTTATTGACTGTTTTTCAAGCTTTATTCTTCGTGCTTTTTGGCTAATGCTTTTTTTAGGTTTTTCATTTCAAAGATTATTGTTTTTTGATCTGAAATTAACACAATATATTAATTACTTCAATTAATAGATACTATTTAATTTTTTAATATCATAATAAAGTAAAATTTACTTTTTTATGAGATAAATTTTACAAAACTATGAATATTTTAAATAAAAGACTTTTAATAAAAATATTTTATTTTATTTTCTAGGAAATAGTGTATGGAAATCTCTTCTTTAATGTAATTAAAGATATCATTAGCAATTTTAAGCTTCTCATTTTATTTTATCAATTTTAAAGTAGGTATCATATGTTTGAAAAAAATACATATAATGTTTTTGAATTCTATTATTTATTTTAATAAATTTATATAAAATAAAATAAATTATTAAAAGAATCTCCCAAATTTAGTAAAATTAAATATGATAATTATTAATAAAATATTGATAAAGATATCACTAAAGTTAAGTTTATTAAACATTATATTTAATCAAAGTTTAGTGAGTCATTTTATGTATTTAAAATATATTTATTTCTTTTAGATAATTGATTATTAATATTAATAAATTTTTTTTATTTGCTTTATGATTTTGAGTTAAATGGCTACCAAATTTTCTTATAAATTAATTGGTTTGGTAAATCATTTAATTAATTACTCATCAATTTATATTTTAAAAATAGATTTTATTAATATTTTTATTTTTATAATAAATTTACTTATTAATTATAAATACAAATTTTAAATTTTTTTTTGAAATGCAAAATATCATCGTTATAAATGCTTATTGTGTACTAAGAATTAATTAGAAATATGAATAGATTTGTTTAGTAGCAGTAAATAGATAGATAAAGAATAAAATTAAATTTGTATAGATTAGCTATTAGAAATATTCCGCTAAATTATATTATATTAAAAGATATATAAACTACATATCGAATAAAAAACATGGGCGATATAGATGAGCTCTTTGGAGCCTTCGAAGAAGAAGTAACTGAATAGTCAGTTTAAGTAGATTTGAATGCCAAAAGAAAGTTAGTTGAATCTTAGGAAAATGGCAATTCAGAAGAATAGTATGAAGAAATCTCTAAAAAACAAAAGAAAGATACTGAGTAGACATTTATCAATAGATAGAATATATAAAAAAAACATAAAAATTGAACTATTTTTATAATTTATTAGTGAAAATATTGATGAAAAGATTTATCCAGATACATTTGTTGAAGAAGTAGATCCAAATTTAGAGTAATTAACTTAATTTAATCATAAGTTTCATTTTTTTGTATGTACCAACATTCATTTTATAATCTCAAACATATAAAATAGCGCAGATGAAGCAAATGACGAAAAACAAAAAATGTACAATGTTGAACATTTTGAGATAAAAAATGACAAGGGAAAGATTGAAAATTGCTGGCACGAAGTGTTTTATCCAGAAGGATATGAGTTTAAGCGTAATCATTTAAAAATATAATAAGATTAAGTAGATATAATTATTCCATTTCAAAAAATTAGCCAAACCAAAGAGGCCAGCTGCCAAAGAGTATCCTTTTAAGTTGGATCATTTCTAGAGAAAGGCAGTAAATTGCATAGAGTGTAATGAATCAGTTTTAGTAGCAGCCCACACTTCAGCAGGTAAAACCGCTGTTGCTGAATATGCTATTGCCCAATCTCTTAGAGACAAACAAAAAGTCATTTATACATCTCCCATTAAGGCATTATCAAATTAAAAGTACAGAGAATTATAAAAGGAATTTAAAGATGTAGGTTTAGTCACTGGTGATGTTAGTATTAATTAAACTGCTAGTTGCTTAGTTATGACTACTGAAATTCTTAGATCTATGCTTTATAGAGGTTCTGAAATCACAAGAGAAGTTGCTTGGGTTATTTTCGATGAAGTGCATTATATGAGAGATAAGGAAAGAGGTGTTGTTTGGGAAGAAACAATGATTCTTTTAAATTAAAATGTAATTTATTTTTAAAGTTTTCTCATCCAATAATTTAAAAACTTATTTATAGGTTAGATATGTTTTCCTTTCTGCTACTATTCCAAATGCAGCTGAATTTGCAGAGTGGATTTGCCGTATCAAGAAGTAGCCTTGTCATGTAGTTTACACTGATTACAGACCTGTTCCTCTCTAGCATTTTATTTTCCCTACTGGAGGTGAAGGTATTTACTTGATAGTAGATCATAAGGTAAAATTAGAAGATTTCAATTAACTTTTGAGCTGAGAGACTAATCAAACATTTTAAAAGGGCACATTTAGAGAAGACAATTTTTAGAAGGCATTAAGTGTAATGGGAGATAATATAGATTTAACAAATACAGATAAGAAAAAGAGAAAGAAACCCACAGAAGGAGCTGAATTAAATAAAATATTGAAGTTAATATCTACAAAGAATCTTGAACCTGCTATTGTTTTCTCTTTCTCTAAGAGAGATGTTGAAAGTTACGCTAAAGCAATGAATAATATGGATCTTACCACTTAAGATGAAAAAGAAAAAATTGATAGCGTTTTTTAGAGTGCTATTTCATAGCTTGCAGAAGAAGATTAAAAGTTACCTTAAGTAAATAAATAAAAGATTTGATCTTTTTGTTTATTAAAATATTTTTATAAATATTCAGATTACTTAGATTCTTCCCATTTTGAAAAGAGGTATTGGTATGCATCATGGTGGTTTGTTGCCTATCGTAAAAGAAATTATTGAAATTTTGTTCTAGTAGGGTTGGTTGAAGATTTTATTCTCAACTGAAACATTTTCTATGGGTCTTAATATGCCTGCTCGTACTGTCGTCTTTACTTCAGTTCGTAAGTTCGATGGTGAAGATTTTAGATGGATATAAGGTGGTGAATATATTTAAATGTCAGGTAGAGCTGGTAGAAGAGGCAAAGATGACAAAGGTTTTACTATTTTGATGGTTGATTAGAAGATGGAACCCGAAGTTGCTAAGGGTATGCTTAAGGGTTAAGCTGATCCTTTGAATTCTTCTTTCCATTTGTGTTATAATATGCTTATAAATTCTATGCGTTTAGAAGATAACGATCCTGAGTATATTATCAGACGTTCCTTACATTAATTCTAGAATGACAAACAATTACCATAAATGAAAGAAAAGGTAAACATTTTTAATACTATTTTCGTAACTAAGTTAACTTAATGTTTAATTAATGTAGTACAATGAATTAGTTTAAAAGAAAGAAAGCCTTAGCATTTAAAATGAAAGCTAAATTGCTGAAATTTGCAAATTCAGAGAATAAATTAAGATTTATGAAGAAAAGGAAAGAAGAATTGTTATATAAGAAAAGTATGTTTTGCCATATCTTCACATAGGAAGACTTATTAGAGTTCAATATAAAAACTAAGATTGGGGTTGGGGAATTTCAATCAACTTCCATTAAAAGAAAGTATAGTAAAAAAAGAAGAAGAAATCTAATGAAGATGAGCCTGAAGATATTATCATTGTAGACATCATGTGTCATATAAAACCCAGACAAAACAATGAAGAACCTAAACCTGCCTTAATTACTGAAGAAGGTGAACTTGAGGTTATCCCTATGAATCTCTCCACAATTACCGAAATTAGTAGCATAAAGCTAGACTTGCCAAGCAGATTAGACACACTTGAAAATAAGCTACTCATTAAAGAAACCTTGAAGGAGGTACTTTTTTTAACAAAATTTCAACAAAAAAAAATATTTATTTTAAAAACTAATAAATAAAGATTAGAAAGTAATTCCCTGAAGTTCCAAAAATTCACCCAATCAAGGATATGAAAATCTTGAATGATGAGTTAATTAGAGTTTTAGATAAGAAAGAAAAGCTTAAAGAATCTATGGAAAAGGAGATGTAAAAATCAGAAATTCCAAATTTGTAATAGTAAATTGAATAATACGAGTAAAAATAAAAACTCCACATCTCTATCTTAAGACTCAAAGAAGAAATAGAAAAGAGCTAGAAAATGGTTTTACAAGTATAATCATTAATTTATTTTATATGTTTAGTGAATTAAATTTAATATTTTAGGATGATTTAGCTTGTATGAAGAGAGTTATGAGAAGATTGGGATTCATAAGTAAAGATTAAATTGTCCAATTACCTGGTAAAGTCGCTTGTGAAGTTTCTGCATGTGATGAAATATTAGCCACTTAGTTATTACTCTCAAATTTCTTTAATGAAATGAGTCCAAACCATATTGCTGCCCTCCTTTCATGCCTTGTCCACGATGAAAATAACTCATAAGAAAACCAATAAATTCAAGATTAAGATTTGGCTTTATATTTTGAGAAGGTAGTAGAAATAGCTAAAGGTATATACACTGTTATGTAAGAATCAAAGATGTAAATTGAAGAAGTAAAAACTATTTTTTTAATTAACAATATTTATCTTAATAATTTTTTAACTAATTAAACAGAAAGATTATCTTGGAACCTTAAAGCCCTAATTGATGGAAGTTGTTTACAAGTGGTGCTAGGGAAGCTCCTTTGCTGATATCTGTAAATTAACTAATTGCTATGAAGGATCAATTATTAGATGTATGAGAAGACTTGATGAATTGTTAAAATAGATGGAAAGTGCTTGCAAAGTTATGGGTAATGAAATTCTTGGAGAGAAATTTAAAGAAGCCTCTAAGAATCTCAAAAGAGGCATTATTTTTGCTGCTTCTTTATATGTTTGATAAATAAAAATATTTTAAAATAATTAACAAAATAATGTTTATATTTATTTATATAAGTATTTTCATTAAAAATTATTACTAAGTTATAATCTCAAAATTATCTTTCAACAAAATTCATAATATAAATCTTAATAATTTTTTTAGAAAGATGAAAAAATATATTGTCAGTGTAGTAATTTTTTTCCACACAATCAGAACATAATTTAATCCCAAAAAATATTTGATTATTCATTCTATATGGGATCAAGTTTTTTTGAGTTTTAAAAATTTACAAAATTATTAAGATATATTAAGATAAATTCAAACTCAAAAAAAATTTTAATGTTTTGTGGTTTGTACCTGTTTTGGCAGAGATAAAAAAAAAGTTTAATAAATTATTTTAAATTTTTGATTAAGTTTTAAAAATCTGTTTCAATTTTTATTTTTAAGTTTCAAGAGAAAAACATAGACATAATCATACATTTCAGAATATTAAATAAAATAAATTAAGAATATTTAATTGAATCAAAAGACATTTTAAATTAATTTTACACAAATTGCATTTAAATTTGTTAACTTATTAATAGCAACAAGCATAATTAAAATACGAGCTTGACTATATTCTCCATCAAATTATAAATGTTTTACGATGCCTGATTTATGATGTGATTTTAAAATCAAAATATTTATTTAGTAAAAATTTTTGTTTTTTCAAAATTAGTAATTAGAGATTAAATACTATAGATACATTCTGATTAATTATAATCCATTTAATTAAAATATAAAAACTCACTTTAAAAATTAATACCAAATAATCATAAAAAATTAATTGTTGAGTTGATTTTAATTATGAAGGAACTAAATTATTATTAAATTTATTGATTTAGTAAAATCTGACTAACTTTTTATAAAATTTCTACACTTTTAAATTTGAGCAATATACATATATTTATTATTTTATTCAATAGCTAATAAATATAAAAGGAAATATTTTTTTATTAATAAAAATTGTATTTTATGCATGAAATGTGATAGTATAAAATACGGCATTGATGAATTAAGAATATTTTTTAAAATAAAATTTAAAAATTGTTAATTATTATTTCGCCTGCTATACAGTTAAACAAATTAGATTTTTACATAAAAATATCATAATAGAGATTAACAATAAAAAAAATAAACAATCATATAAATAAATAGATAGATATCCTATCATTATAAATTAGAAAACATTTTACATGTATAAAATGAATTTTAGATTGTTTAGAAATCTTGAAAGTTTTTTATAATAAATTTATTTTTGCCACAAATAGTGGGAATAATTATTTGCTTAATTGTTAAAGATTGAGATTAAATATCTAAGATATTAAATTGAAATAAGATTGTTGTTTTTATTTATTATTTTAAGCAGTTAACTTCATTGATTAAATTATCTATTTCGTATCAATGTTTTCAAATAGGATTGATCTTGTTTTATACTTGGTTAATAACATTTTCTATTGCTATCTTCTCGTCAAAATCCATCTAGCTAACAAATTTTTAAAATGCTCCTTTTGTGTTCTCATTTGTATACATTGTTTAGAAAAATTCAATTAATAAATCCTTTTTGTTTAAAAAAAATAAATTACAAAAACTATAAATTATCTTAATTCGAATGAATACTTTTGTAGTAGTTAACAATTTATTTTCTCCGATTTAGCATATATCATCTATTAGACATTACTAAAGTTCTTAATGAGATTATAAGTTTTCAGATTCTTAATGATTTTCATACTGATCAGGAGACATTTCAATTTCCAAAGCTCTGGAGAGGAAACAGAAAAACTAGAATCCAGACTCTAATTCTTAATTTCCAAATTTAAATTATTGAAGTAAATTTTCTTCGATAATAAGCAATTTTGCAAGAGGTAAATATATAGAATTTTTTATTAAATCTTTATTGATGTACCAATAATTTTCATTCAATTTACAAAAAAAGATTTCTAAACCAGATTGATTATCTGCAGTCCTAAAGTTTATTAAAAATTGAAGAGTTTCTTTAGGATTTTTTTCTATCAGACGAGTAAAAAAGACTAGAAAAGTAATAATTATAAAGTAAGACTTGCATTGTGACAGTTGAACTAAAATACTTTCAGTAATTTCTCTATTTATTTCTAATAACTAAATAAAATTTATTAGTATTAATATATTTTTAGATTATTTTTTGTTACTTTATCATATGAAACAATTATAAGATTAGGTAAAAACTAGGAAAAGGCTTCTTAGTAAATAGTAAGATTCTAAACCAACTTTAAAAGAAGCATTTGCAAATCTTATTTATTTTCACTATTAAAATTGTTTAAAATTAATTTTTTATTAGTTAACTAATTTAAAAATTTACATTAAACTTTGTGGTTAAGATATTATAATTTGCTTTAGACATAAAGTAGCTTCTTATTGCAAAGTAAAATCATCGTTTATATATAATAACTTAAGTAAAACATTTTAACAGTCTTTAAATATAATTTCGTTTGTAGTTTTAAACTAAATGAGAACTTTAAGAATCTAAATTCTATTCTAATTATTTATCAAAAATTAAAAATTAATTTAATATTTAATTAAATTATTAATATTAATAAATACTGCAAATGTTACTTAAATTTATTTTAAATAATTTTATTTTTTCTTTAATTTAATATTTAAGCTGAATAAGAAAAAAAATTATTCCAATCTTAAATTAATATTCAAAATGAGATTTTGCAGTTTATTTTTTAATAATAGAAATTAAGAGTTATTTACTTAGATCACATTGATATCTTATTATTTTATTTTTGTCATGTCATTATGAGATTTAATGAAGTTATCTAGTGTTTAAAAGCAGTTCAAAATTTGTTACTCAAATTCACGGAATAAAATGGAGTAGCTAACAGGATATTTAGCTAAAACATGAATAAAATCTATAACTTTTTTTTATATATCTGCTTTTCCTTCAAAGTGATTAATTAGTTTCATAATTATTTACATTCCATTCTCAGTGAACATATTTGATACTTATGATAGGTTTGAAAAAATAGGAACTAAGCTGTTCAATATATGAGGCAAAATATCTTCAGATGATTCTTAAATAACTTATAAAATACTTTTTACTATCTACATGCAGTTATTGCTATCGAAAATTTAAAAATTATTTATTTCCTATTTAAGATGTTAGCAAGACGAAGCTAAGCAAGCTAATGCTATGATTTTTAATGCTTGGCTACTTTCATTAGAAAAGGTGTATATCAAAGATTTCATTACAATATCAACATATTCAGTGCACTAACAAATTATATTTGCAAATTAGCTGAAGCATTAATAATAGCGGCACATCAAAAATTAGTTTTAGACATTTTCTAAGTATTTGGTAGAAAATTCTTATATTAAGTTTTTAATAAATTAGAATGTGTATCCAGTATTCTAGTGATAAAAGCTAGTTATTTACTTTTAAAAGCTTCCCAGTAAGAAAAGGGAAATTTCTTTTCCTTTCCACTCAGGTAATTCCTTTTGTTTATGTAAGCTGCTGAAAATAATGAATTCATTGTACAAGTTAGCATCACAGTTATCTACCAGTTACTATAATTGAATTAAGTTATTTTAGGTTTACAATTCTTGATAAATAATTTATAGAGGTTATTCAGATCTATTACAAAACATAGACTCAGATATTTAGATGATGGAAGTTATTACTATTTATTTTAATGCATCATTATCTAATAATTTTTCTATGCATTTTATTGTTTTGATTCTAATATTATTAACTTCATCTTCATTATCACGTTCTGATGCAGCAAATAAATTTGGATCATCAGCAATTAAATTTTCCTATTGCTTTCCCACAAATATTAAATTAGAGATTATGTTTATAAATGGAAAAGCTAATATTGTATAGATGTTTTCAGCATATGTATAATTCATGATAACATCGACAAAGTTAATGCACTCATTAACAAACAATTAAATATCATTGTCGTATTCTATGTCAATTTCATGAGAAAGATATTTTTCAAAAAGTTCTTCAATTTAATTTTTTTCTTAATCTGTAACGAAAAAACTAACTGAGGGAGTTTGACGTAAATTAAATTCATAGTTAATTTCGATAATCTTTTTTAAGTATTTCAGCAAGTAAATAATTTTCTATTAAAAGGTATTTTCTGTGTAGTTAGGGAATTCCTTAAAAAGAGAATTGAATATCTAATGTAATAAAAAAAAATATTTATTTTTGTTTTGATTAAAGTTAATAAATTTAGAAGTTATTTTATTAGATTGATTGATTTATTTATTTCTTATTTTTAGAAAGAATCCTTTCTTTTTATTTAAAATTAATAAATTTTTACGCGAAAAATTTGTTTGAATTTGCAAATCTATGTATTTATTTTTGGTTTTTATTGTTTTATCGATTGGATATGAATTCTATTTAAATATAATTGGTCACTTTTGCTTTAATTTTAAAGTTATAAATCAATCCAAATACCTTTAAGACCATTAGTTAATTAGGATAAAATTTTCTTTCGTCTGCGTGAAGTATTTGAATGAAGAAGTTGATATACTCGCAATATGTTTTATCAAGGCATTCTCTCATCAAATCATCATCGACATCTTCAGCAAATGAAAAAGTTTATATCGCTAGATAATATAAAATAAGGCATTTTTGGCGAGTGATTATACATTCCTTTTTGTTAATTTAAATAATGTTTAATAAGGAAAGATAAAACAAAGCTATTTATAAGTATAGCTCTACAGTAAATCATGAGTGATTGTTTTAATTAAATATTTTGTATATTATTTAATAATTCTTAATAAGTATACTGATCGAAGAAGAATAGCAAGCAAATGCTCAAAGAGGATGGGAACAATCTAATTGATTCTGTTATCAACTTTTGAAAATATTAAACAGTAGAAGTCAAGAGTTTTTTCGCTTAAAGTTAATTGAATTAGCAGCTTTAAAGGCTCTTTCCAGTCTTATATTCCATCTTTGATAATGAAAGAGCAAATCAAATCTCCCTATTAATTAAGTATATCATTATTTTCATGATTTATAAGCATTGACATTAAATAATAACTTTGATTTAATAAAAATTGTATTTAATTCTTACTAAGTTTTGTTAAATTGTGGCATCATCTATTGATTTTTAAACTCCTGCTAAGCATTCTTGTCTGATGGCCTAAATTTTTAAAAATAAATAACCTTCATTTAAATTATTGTTAAATTTATTATTTGAAATTGTACATTTTTTTCCTAAGCGATTAAATTATTGCTATCCCAATTATGATAAAGAATATTTTTGATTATCGATGAGATATAGTTTCTTGTTTTAATGTCTATGCTTAAATCAGAAATCAGAAAGATTGACTATGTACAAAAATTAGACACTTGCCCAATTATCTTTTCTAAATATTCCTATCCATTTGCTAGTAAGTTGCTATTTTCGATGATATTTTTGTAAATTTCTAACACTTCTTGGCTGTTCATAATCCTTCTCATTTGCTATTTTTATTTTGAACTCTGTCTTCTATCTCTATAAGCACAAATCTTTAAATCTATAATTTTTTGGTATTGAATTTTAATTGAGTAATATCTTTAAATTTTGCAAATATTTCTTTGATTTGTGAAATTCTTTCTACTTTCACTAAGTATCAAATACTATGAGCTCTTTATTTTATCTAATTAACTTTTTTAGCTATATTCTTTAATTATGCCAAAAATTTTCTCTAACTATCTATCTTTATCTAAGACTTTAGCTCATAGTTTCGATTATTTTTTCTTTTAAAAATTTAAAACATTTTACTATCTTAAATAAATTAAACTTTCTCAAATGTATTAAAAAAATAAACGATTTAATAATAACAAATAAGTAGCCTTGGTAAAAAAATAAGTTCTAATATTTAATATTGCCAGCTAAAGACAGAAATTAAATGTCAAGAATTTGGTATTTTTAAGAAATTAGAGCTAAAAAAATATAAATTATATCTTATATCTCACTCAAAAATATAGTATGTAAAATTATTATATTTTAGCTTCATGTAATTCTAAAAAGAAGCTATTTTTTAATGATGAAATAATTAATAATTTTAGTGGTTCCACCTCAATAAATTCAAAATCCAGATAATAAAATTTTATTTTTTGTTGTCAAGAAAATTAAGTTTAAAAGTTTGAATAGACAAAAAAAAGAAGATTCAAAACAAAAAATTTAGCTTTTTATGTAAAAAATTATAAAATTTATCATTAAAAAAATATTTTTAAAATTAATTAAAGAGAGAATCAGTTTAAATACAAGCTCTTATGATTAAATTTTTTGTTTATTAATTATCAGATTAAATCAATTAAAAATAAACCCTCGAAATTACATGAAAGAAAATTATTATAAATTATAGAAGATTAATTTCTTATATAAAATGAATGAATAATTGTATTCCATATAAGTTACTCCATTTTATTTGATTATTATAAAATTAAATCTATAAATTTTTTAGTTTTGAGATTTTTTAAGAAATAAATACTTCTTATTTATAATTTTATTTATAGAACAATTAATTTCATTAACAATAATTTTGATTTTAGATTTAATATTTTTATGTGTAAAATAGCATTTAGAATTTGTAATATAAAGAATTTAATTATTTTCAACCATTTTAAAATATAAAAAGTGTTGATTAAACAATAATAAAGGCTATGTAGTTTAAGCATATTATATAGGTTTCATTTAAAATTTAAAGAACTAAAATAAAAATTATTTGAGTATCTTTGTGGCTATTTTACTAGATTTTTTGAAATAGCTGTTGATTGTTTTTATTAATCCAAACTACTAAAGTTTTTGTTTAAATTCTATTTATTTATCAAGTAGTATTTCTAAAATAAAAAAAAATATTTATCATTATTAAAGAGAAAAAAAAATTTTTTGAAATAGTTTAAATTAGTTTTTAAGTATAAAGAATAAAGAAAGAAGTGAATGAATTAATTAATTAAGGCCTAAATATATACAATTTAATTAATTCACATTATATTTTTAATGTTTCATTGATTAATAATATTCACTAGAAACTGGATAAACAAATTTATTAAATAAAGGTAAACAAGAAGAAAAAAGAAAGAAAATGGAAAATATCTTTATGCAATTTGCTAGAAAGCAAGGTCAAAATTCTTTCAGAAAAAGATTAGGTGTTTACAGCTATCGTATGAAGCATAGCCAATATCATAAAAAACCTGGTTTGATCGATTTGCGTACAAAGGAAGAATTAAAAAAGGTAAAATCAATTTAAAAATCATGAATATATGCAAAAATTTAGAATGTTCAATTAATACAACCATTTTTGGATAAGCTTGGTTAAAAAAGTTTTTTAAGCATAATTAAATTATCATGTGAATGGGAAAGAGCTTTAATTATTCTTTTAATATTAAAGTAAGGAGTTTAAGGAAGATATAAAATCTATCGCATGGAAAGAGATTCTGACAGATTATTCGGTCAATTCTCAGCTAGAAGTATTGATTTTTACATCTCCTTCTATTTAAAAATTTATGTTTTTTGAAATCTATTCAATAACAAATATAAAATGGTATGTAAAATGTTTTTAAAACTAATTAGGTAAGTTCTTGTTTGATAGTTAAAGAGTTCCTTTCTTAGATATTCCTGATTTAACTGATTTCGATGTAAAATATAAACATTTAAAGTTTAACTAAATTATTTTAGATCTTAGTAAAGAAGAAGTAGATAGATATATTTGCTTTTTCTTAAATTTTTGAATTAATGTATAGAATAAATTTTATAATAATTTTTAAAAATATTTAAGCTTAAGCCATATGTCTCAGTACACACACCTAGAATAGAAAAGGAAGATATTATTAAAATTATTAAATTAAATGACTTTACAAATCCTGTAAATTTTAACAGATACACATAAATTGATAGTCTTGAAGCTCCTAAAAAAGTTGAAAAAAAAGCTGAAAGCAGTGCTTAAAACTGATTTTAAAAATATTTAAACATAAAATAACCTAATAAATAGAATTATTATTATTTGTAAACGATCTATTTTAAATTTGCTTTAAGTAATAGGCACTAGCAATTTTTAACATATATAAATTATCGAAAATTCAACTAATATCAGATTAATTATTAATAATTCAAATATAACCTTGAAAACAGATATACAAGTTAAATCAAATACTAAATTACTTTAGATTTAGGATTAAATTCTATTTAGTTTCTTATATATTTTTTAATAATAATTTATGTCAAAAATAAATAAAATCAATCATTTGAATTATTTTTTTAAAATGCATTTTGTTCTAAATAATTTGCACTCCACTCATACAATTAAAATTTTTTCATTTTTCTAAATTTAATCTAAATTATTAAATAAAAATGAAATAAGAATTTTTATTCCAAAATAAATATTTGAAATTAGCATTTGAATAAGAATTTTTATTCCAAATTAAACATTAGAAATTAAAATTAAAACAAAAATTTTTATTTTAAAAGTAAAATCGTAAAATTTTTAAGTTAAAATCTGGGGTAAAGTTTTTAAATTTTACTTAAAAATGTATTAATGTTTATATGAGAAACTCACTATTTTTAATTTATTTGAGTTTATCAGAATTTAAAATTCATTAAGATAAATATTTTTAAATATAATATCATATAAATAATTATCTTATCACCTTTAAGTAATGATAGCCAATATTTTAAATTGAAAATAGCTTTATGTCAATAAGAAATAAAATTAGTCAAGCAAAATAAATATTTTTAAAATTAAAGTATAACCATTGTAGAATTTAGGATTATGGGAGGATTTTTACTTAAAATAAACTTGTGCCCATTCCTTAGTACTCAAAATTTATCTGAGCATACCTCAATATAGATTCCAATATTTGAGTTATTAAAATCAAGTAAACTTATATATTTTATATTTTAGTCTCTAATCAAAAATGACACAGGTATGCAGACATTTACCATCAAAGTCAGGCTATGAATCGTAAAGAATTATTTTCTAAAATTTATAACTTGACAATTTCGACCAAATTCTACACTTATCATATTCCTTGTTTGTTAATCATCAAATATATACAAAAATAAAAATAGTAATAATTCAGACACTTATAATTAATAATATTATGAATTTAATGTTTCTTTTATACTTTTTAGATAAAAATGTTTTTATTTTTAAATAATTTAATTAATAGATTATAAAAGCAAAATATTAGAAAATTTAGCAAATTAAATTTTAAGTAAAATTTTACAATACAGAGAAAAGAAAAATTTTATTTTATATTAGATGTATGATAAAAATTTTTTAAAAATATAATGCAATTTATAATAAGAAACATGTATTTATGTAAGTATAATTAGATATAGACTAAAATTAAGTAATTTGATTGTAAATAGAGTTTAAAATTTTAATTATTTTATTAAAATTGTAAATGATTTATTAAATGTTAGTTAGTATAAATTCGTTCATTTTTTATTTATCATAAAAGAAGAAATATATTTTTAGTTTGAGTTATAACTTTTGACTATTATTTTCTCTATATTTCATATTTCTCACATTGTTTCATCTTCATTTCTTTCAAGCATAGAATTAGTATATCTTCTTGCGTACAACCAATTGCAGAAGTGCTAAGTAATTTTAATTATAGTACTTTCTAAACTTTATGGGTTGATAATTTTATAGTCTTAGATTTAATGTGAATACTTTTCAAGATAAGTGGGGAGAATTTCAGTTATAAACTCGTTTGATATTTCAAGGACATTTTAGGCACTATTTTTCTCACAGAATTCTTAGTCTTGGTCAGCTAAGTTAGAGTTTATGCCTAATTCTTGTAATATTTTCCATCCTTTTTCATTCAATGCTTTTCTGAATAGACAACAATAAAATATAATTTCCTTCAAGGCATAACCCTTTAAATGCTTTCCAACTGAATAAATAAATAATCCAAAAACTAAATTGCACTTTGTTTTAACTATTCCATCAGTAGATTCAGGTTCATCAATATAACCCTCGCAGTTAAAAACTTCCTCAAGATGGTTTTGAATAACTTAGTAATCACTTGCGTTTTCAAAAATCTATTTTTAATACAATGATTATTAATTTATTTTGTTTTAAATGTCTACTAAAACGAATTATTTATCACTAAAAATGCATTAAGTTATGAAATATCAAACTATTATAAAGCTTTTAGACTAAATTTAATTTCATACATCTGTAGGGAAGGAGTCCTTGAGATCTTGCAATGAGTTTGAAGAATTTTCGTTTAGGATGATGCTTGTATCTTAATTTAATTAGTTAAAGAGACAAAGGACTAATTCTTCAACTACATTTAAGGCATCGTTAGAATCACTTGACATATTATCAGTTTCATGCTCATATGTATCGTTTCCTTCCTATTATTTTAATTATAATATATGTCACTTATATTCTAAGAATGTCGCTGGCTAAACTCCTATTTAAAGAAATCTGCAATCATAAAATTACAATTTATTAATTTGTGGTTGTGGGTCTACCTCTTTATCCTCTGCTTTTCTCGGGCTTTTTAGTATCTGATGGAGCCTATTATTAAATAAATTTAATTTTACTAAAAAATATTATAATAAAAAAAGATAAAATTTTACCTTGCCATCATGTTTCTACTTAACATGAGTGTACAAAGCTGGGTATGAAAGATAACTTTTACCACAGCCGCAAATGTAATTCCTATTATTAGGGTCGGTGCGGGTACGACGACCTTTCTTGTCAGCCTAATGATTCAAAGAGTTAGCTTGCTACTGCATTTGCATTTGATTTTGCTAAAACATCTATTAATTTGGAGGCATTCCCATGCCCATTCCTATATTTCCATTCATATTGTTATAGTTCATTTATTTACTTTAATTTAATCCTTGATGTTTGTTTGTTTATTTATTTATTTGTTTAGTCACACTTTTTAATCTAGATTTTTTTCTGATTTATAATATTTCTTTACCTAAAATATTAAATATTGCTTCTTTTTCTTTCGTATTTTTTTTTTGTAATTACAATTTTACAGACTCTAAATTTTTAATGTGCTATTTATAATTTTTCATTAAATTCAGCTAGCTATTCACAGTCAGATATTGACTGTGAATCGGTTTAAAGGATTCTAAATAATATCCTATTTTTATTCCTCATCAAAATAAACATAGATTAATTTTTCAAAAAGGATTATCTATCTATCGTTCATTTGTTATAAAATTAGAAATAAAGCAAATCTAAATTTTTTGATTAGGTAAAAAAAGATGGATTTTTGATGAAAGCAATAAAAACTAATTAATTATTGATTAGAAAACACAAATTATAAAAAATAATTCACAAAAAAATAAATGATAAACCTCAAATTAAATGTATAATTCTTTTATTTTCTCCAAAATTAATCCCTTTTAATAAAATAGGTTTTTTGTCAAAAATCTAATTTGAACAATCCTGATTATAATTTATTTTTTTTTAATTGGTTACTTTTTGAAATTTTTCTTTATTAAATGTTCTTTAAGCATAAATAGATGCTATCCTAAAGCTTTTCTAATGCTTGTGTGAAATTAGCAATTAATTTAAAATATAAATTATTTTTAAAAATATTTAATCAAAATTGAAAGCAATAAGAAAATTTTCAAATTAATTATTACTGTGAATAGAATCTCTACTTTTTAAATTGTAAATCATTAATCTCTTAAAATAAACTAATATGATAAAAATAAATATTTGATATTGGTTTTATTGACGCAATTTTAACCATGGAAAGAATAAAAAACTATTCTTAAGTATAATTTTTTATTTTTTAATGTTAAAATAATTTATAAAACTACAATAAAAAAATATTTAAAATTTAATAAAATTTTTGTAAATTATAATTAAATAAATTAATTAATTTGATTAATAACATTTTGATTAAATATATTCAAAATAACTTAGAATTTTAATATAAACAAAAATTAATATTAAATTATTTGAAAAAAAGATAAAATATAGAAGAAATATTTTTTAGTAAATTTGTTATAAATTTAAAACAATAAATATCTCAAAATTGTAAATAAGTCTTATATTAATTGCTCATTTTTATTTTCAAAATTCATACATAAATACTGAAGTTAGACTAAAATGATCACTACAATAATGTTTAGTACAGTGACTATTTTAATTATCATTACATGAGCATCCTTCTTAAGAATAAATTTTTACAGGAATAAGCCCAGTTCCTCTATAATAAATTCTATCATATCTATATAATTTCCAAGTGTTTTATAAATTATTTAATTCTACTGCTGTATCTTTAAAACCCCTAATATCTTCATCCTCTAATAAGTACTTTGTTTTTTCTTCATCGTGATAATTAAAATCTCCAAGTATTATTTGCTTTAAGTTTGTTTCGCTTTTTGCATATTAATTGTCTATAATTATTCTTAGCTGCTTTGTTTATTCAATTTAATCGTCATCTAAATAACTTAAATGAGTAACACAATATTACAAATTAATATCTTCTAATTCAACAAATAGCACAGAGCGCTGGTTCTTATCTTTTGCATTTTTTTCTAGAGGAATAAATTCTTATTTGAATGATTTAATGGGAAATCTACTTATTAAACCCAAACCTTCAGCACATGTACTTATCCCTGCCTTTTTATATATCATAGATGGTACCCATACACTATACCACTTAAAATCTGGCTGTATGTTTTAAAGTTCAATTAAGATTCTTTCTAATTAGTTTTTTTTAATGCAGCTATTTTCTCTAATTTCTTGAAATCCTACTATATCAGGATTGACTTCAGCAATATGTTTAGCTATATTTTTAGCTCGATATTACGAAAAACCTTTATGACTATCATGATTCGCTATATTAAATGTCATATTCTTAATTACTATCTTTTTCACATCTTTTGCTTCAAAAGAATTACTCATATTTGTTGTCTTCTTTTATGTCTATATAGCTTTGTAAATAATTGGATTAAGCTTCATTTTTCCATTCAGTACATCTTTTTTATTTGATGCATTTAATTTTTCTTCTCCATCTGCTTCGAAAAGCTATATTTGAGATCTTCTAACACTAATTTCAGTTGAACTTGAGCAACCCATTTATATAATCTTTACAAAGTTTGATTTAATTTATATTAATCAATCTTTTTAAATTTATATTTTGATAAATTTTATAAAATTAAAATCCAGTACTTTATTTGAAATTTCTTTCGATTATTTAAAAATATACTTTCTCAGCCATTCTTTTAAATATTAAATATCTATATCTTAAAATTCTTTATCAGATAAAATGTCTTCTAAAAGCAATTGTTTCCTTTACAAAATTTATTGAAATACTTTGTATCTTTAAAATAAAACGATATTAATTAAAGTACTGATAAATGACTTAAGATATCTTAATAAAATTATAAGTAAAATATTACTTAATAAATTTATTATTTTTAATGATTTCATATGTTAAAAAATTTTATCGGCCTTATGCTAAAATTTGAAAATTGAAATAGAAGCATTTCAAAGTAAAAAAGATTATCTATAAATTAAAATAGAAAGTTAAACATACAAAAAAATATAACAGGGAGATTTTTACAATACTTAAAAATATTCTTTGTTAAAATAGAAATAACATTAAATAAATTTAGTTGTTAATTTAAAATTTATTTATATTATTAATTTTCCATTTGATTCATGAATAATTAATTTCTATGATATAATATCTTTTATGTTTTCTTTTAAACTTAAATCTAAAGAGTTAAAATCAATAAATATTCGAAGAGTTTTTCATTAATCAATTCTCTGATTATTCATATTTTTATTTTTTATTTTTGATAAGTTCAAATTTCTTTGCCATAAAAAACATCTTAGTCGGTCTTTTACCTTAATAAAAATCGAATTAAATAAAGTAATAAAGATATTGCTTCTTAATTTAAGTCTTATAATTAAAAATAACTTAAACCTTCAATTAAAATGACATTTTATTGATAAGAATTATCTCAAATAACTTAAATTATCAAAAAACTATAGATAATAAAATTAATTTCATTGATAACATAAATATCGAAAATAAACACTGAAATATATAAAATGAAATTATATCTTTAGATTAGAATAATTAGGTAAATTGTTAATCTTCATTTTTTTTTTCTATAAGAATTAAATAATTAATGTTTTTATCACAAGTCAAAGTTTGAATATTTTTAACTACAATAAATAAGTAATTATGAAAAATAGAAACAATATAATAATAGGAAAATAATTGAAATACTTTATTAGATTATTAATTATTAATAAATAAATAATTTATCAATCAATAAATCAACAAAACTTTTTTGATCTTAGAAAATTAAATATACATTATTCAAATTAATCATATAAAAAATGGCTTTGAAAAGAATATAAAAAGAGAAAACTTAATATTTACAAAATTAAATGTAAGGAGTTTCAGTCAAATTTGATGAATCAAATCCTTATTAGCTTTACTTTACTATCGAAGGACCTATTGATACTCCTTATTATGGAGGTTAGTTTAACTATAAATTAATCTTTCCACCAGATTACCCTTTCAAACCTATGAAAATAACTTCTCTACAAAAAGTATATCACTACTCAAATTACACTTGTATTATTGAAAGATGTAATTGTTGTTCTCCAAAAAATTTGTAACTCCGCAAGGAAGATTGGAGTTATGAATTTACTTTCTATAGCTAGATAAAATCTATATAATAATGCTTTTATACTGAATAATTTACCTAATTAGAAGAGGTATGCACAGAATAATCTAAGCTTTATAAACTTAACAGAGAGTAATTTAACTTTAATGTCAAAAGTTAAATTGCCTCAGAAAAAGCAAAATAATAAATTTTGTAGTTTATTGCATTTTAAAGATTTATAAAATAATTTATATCTATTAACTCTGATTCAGTATTTGTTGACTTATTTTTTTGAATAATTAAGAAACCAAAATTAAAGTACAATTAATAAACACACTCCTGATAACCAATTACTCATTAATTAAAAAAATGTGTTGCCTAAATTAATTATAACATAAATTGCAAACTTTGTGGCATTAAAATATTTGTTAAAAGTAGTCATAGTAAATAATTATAAACATTTTTTATTTATTTGAGATATATAGAAAAATTGATAAAATATATAGAAAAGTGATTAAATAAATATTATAATTAAACTCATAGAAAAATTTACTCCAAAAAATAGGTTAAAATATTCGCTATTTTATTATATTATTAAGTTATTATACACCAATAAACCAATCACATATCTAATTACTCTAGATCCTCATTTATTAAAAACTGAACTCAGCTCTATATTTTTTAAGGAAAGTGTTGAGTGGTTTTATAATTTTTCAAAATGAATGCTAATTTTCTTAGGTATTCATTATTAAGAATCTATACTATATTAATTTTATTAGTTAAATTTAGAATAAATTACTATTTACTTGCATTTAGGTTCAAATAAAATATTAAAAATTCTTTTAATTATCTAAAATAAATTTATACAAAAAACTTATAAAATAATTAAAAGGAAAGAAAAAATAAAAATAGAATTTATCTGAATTAGGTAATTTTTAGAATTAAAAATTTAGTTTATTATCTTATATTTTTAATTTTTAGAAATATAATAATTATTATTTAAACCTATATTTTTACTATTTTTATTCTTAATACTAATTTATTTTCTTTCTTTATTATTTCATTTTAAATTTTAGGATTCTATTTCTTATTCAAATAAAATAACTGAAAGAATTATTTGAAAATTTTTTAAATTTAGAAACAATTAAACCAATTATTATTAAATACAAAAATATTTGGAATATTCATTTTAAAATGTTAAAATTGATTTCTTAGTTTGATTGAATTTATTGATAGGGATATTTATTAACTAATGGAAAAATTTTAAGCTTATAAGTAGTAGTTTGTTTATATTTAAATTCTTATTAAAATAAATAAAAATTTTTTTTCTTTTCTTTGTACAGCTAATTCAAAAATTAGTGTCTAAAACAATGATACGCAATTTCATTTTAAAATAATATACTTTTACTTCTATTTCTTAATCAAGTTATACTATATAATAATTAATGGTTAATTAATTACAGGTTTTATGAATTAATTTTTGATTTAATTTAAAAAAAAATTACAAAATCTAAAAAAAAAAGTAAATAGTTATTAAACTCTCTCTTAAAAAAAAAATGAATTTTTCAAATTTAGACTTATTTTCTCAATAATTCTATTTTAACTTAAAAAGCTCTTAAATAAGGCAAGGAACATTATTCGGTTCGTTATTGTCAGTCTTAATAATCGGATTGACTGCTTACTATTTTGTGTATCTCTTGAACTAATACATAAATAATCTAATAGCTCCTAACTATAAAGCATAAAATTACACTAATGATGGGTCTATTGATCTTTAATTATCTGAGGACCTGATTGCTTTTAGATTCGAATCTGATTACAATCTTAGTGTTGATGTATTACAATAAAAAACCAATTAAACTTACATTGTTTATATGGCCTACTTCCTATATTTACAAAATAGCAATTATATCTATATACCTTTAGATATAATAAAATGTTCTACTCCTGATTTACTAGGTTATTATTGCTTAGATTACTCAAAAATATCTAACTATACTTTAGTTTCTAATCAAAGAAATAACATTTAGTCTCAGATTTAGTTAAATCTTTATGGCTGCCATGATTTGGACTATTATAAAACAACAATTCCTGATAATTGTGCAAGTCAAGACAATATAAATAAACTGATTAATGGTGTATTCGCCTCTTTGAAGATTAGAATTAAAACTTCTTAATATAATACAACGTCTTAGTAAATAGAAACAAGTTACAGGAGCAGTCTAATTTATGGATTAAGCAATCAGTAAATACTAACAACAGTAAAAATATTAGAATAAATAACTAAAGTTAAGTAAGGACTTTTTATTTAATCATCATCTAGTTTCAGTTCACCAGTATAATATAACATAGAAAATTAAAGCCTAGACAAGCAATCTGCATATTAATTAGTTGGTTTAGATCAATTTATATAGGTAAACATTTTGCTTGATGAAATGTTTCAAAATGTAGAAATTTAATTCCCTTCTTTACCTTAAATATTTTCATTTGTTTATAGTGTTTTCTCAATGCTGATGCTTGCAGGATTCATAGCTAGAAAATTCTCTCTAAGTACAATTAAAAAAGATTTTATAATGCTCTTTTTGTAGAACTATTATTAAGGCATCTATATGCAAATTTCTAAAGACATCAAGCTAGTAGAATAAAATGATCAATTAAACCTTCAACCTCTTTAAACAATCATAACTCAGCATTAAAATTCGCAGGATTAATACAACAATGAAGAATGCGATGAAAATCAAATTCAAGATGAAATCGAAAACCAATAAGAAAGATTTAAAAATCGCCTGCCATCTATTCCCTTTTAGTAAAAGTAAGTATTAGATTAAAAATATAAAACTCCAAAAATAGAATAATTAAAGGCAGAAGATTAATCAATTAGCACTTTAGATCAAAATAGTATAAGTAATTAGTATAATATGCTTTAATACTAACAACAATTATAATAATGTGATGTAATCGAATCAAATACTTGTTAAAGAGAATCTTTTGAAAATAGTAAAAATAATTCGAATTTTAAAATTTTCAATTAAATACCTAGTAAACTCAAAAAGTAGAGAACTCAGAAACTTAATTTTACATTTAGTGAGCCTAATGAGTAAAAATTACATACATTATCACCTCCAAAATAGGAGTAAGTATCTATAAATAATAGTTAATTTCTCAATAACATTCAAAATGATAGAAAAAAAAGCCCTTTAATTTAAAATAGTTTTAATACATCTAACACACCCACTGCTTAAAATGTAATAAATACTAATAATGAATAAAATAAAGATTTTAGAAAAGCTCTTCAATAGTTGCAAGTGAGTAAAAATGCAAGTATTTCTACAAAAATTGATAAATTTTTATTTGGATGCAGGTATTAATTTTTATAAATACTTTTATTTCTAATTTTAAACTATTTATTTTTTCATAAAAAGGTGTTGGAAGCCAAAAAAAATTACATAAAATTTCAATACGAAATAATTATAAAAAATAGAAAATTAAATTGATAAAGAACTTGATATTTTTAGAATTTACAAAGACATTTTGTTTTTGAAAAAAGCTGTGTATATTATGTTAAGCCAGGAACAATTAGCAGCCTTATAATTAATCGGATGCAGTTTTAATTTCCTTGATTTAGATTTAAACCAACTATCTGAAAGTATAAATAAGCAAGGTAAGTAATTAATTTAAAATTACTATATTTATTTAAAATTAAATTTAGATAACAACCTAAACTATTATGAACAATAGTTAGCGATATCATTATCTGATGAACTTTAGTGCTAATTTTCCTCCAAATTTATAGAAAAATGTTAAAAAAATAAATTCAATTTAGATAAGATTGATTTAAGGATAATGCAATCAATATAAAACTAATTTGTTCTTTGAAAATAAAATAAGTCTTATTATTTAAAATCACTGGCACTTTGTCTTTATTATTAATTTAAAACTTGTAATAATAAAGGAATTTTTAATTTTTAAGATAAAATCTATTTTTGTGATTTCCTTTATATTAAATATGATTAATTCAAATTTGTTAAATAATATTAATTTAAATTCTAAAATATTTAAAAAATTAAAATTTTTTTCATTTTTTTATTTTAGAGTTTTTTTTATTTTGGACTTTTTAGCAAATTTATAATATTTACTTTTTAATTCTCAAAATAAAATTATATTTAAACCTATAATTTTTACTATTTTATTTTTAATACTAATTCACTTTGTTTGATATTACATTTTAAATTTTAGGATTGAAATTTAATCCAAAAAAAATTAATTTAAAAGAGTTATTAAAAAAGTTTTTAATTCAGAAAGTATTATGATAATTAGGACTAAATCAAAAAGAAAATGATTTTGAATATTCATTTTAAAAAGTTAAAATTGATTTCTTAATTAGGTCTCTTTAAGAATTTTAAATTTTAAACGTAGTTGTTTATATTTATATTGTAATTATAATAAATAAAAAATTTTTTACTTTTCTTATACAACTAATTAAAAACTAATGTGTGAACAAATGATAAAAAACATATATTCACTTTTTTATATTATAAACTATGAAGCTTATTTCTGCTGTACTATTTTTTTTTATTAATTATATCGACTTATATTTATGGCTAAGTAATTACTGGTTTTATCAACTAACTTTTGATTTAATTAAATATAATATTACAAAATCTTAAGAAAAGTATAAAACTCTTAGAAAAAAATGAATTTTTCAAATTTTGATTTATTTTCTCAACAATTCTATTTTAATATAAAAAGTTCTTAAATAAGGTAAGGAACATTAAGTGGTTCGTTATTTTCAGTCCTAATAATCGGATTAACTACCTACTATTTCGTGTATCTCTTGAACTAATACATTAATAATCTAATAGCTCCTACCTATAAAGTGCAAAATTACACAAATGATGGGTCTATTGATCTTGAATTATAGGAGGATCTGATTGCTTTTAGATTCGAATCTGATTACAATCTTAGTGTTGATGTATTACAATAAAAAACCAATTAAACTTACATCGTTTACATTGCCTACTTACTATATTTATAAAATAGCAATTATATCTATATACCTTTAGATATAATAAAATGTTCTACTCCTGATTTACTAGGTTATTATTGCTTAGATTACTCAAAAATATCTAACTATACTTTAGTTTCTAACGTAAAAAATAACATATTGTCTTAGATATAGCTAAATATTTATGGCTGCCACGACTTGGACTATTATAAAACAACAATTCCTGATAATTGTGCAAGCCAAGAAAATATAAATAAACTAATAAACGGTATATTCGCCTCTTTGAAGATTAGAATTAAAACTTCTTAATATAATACAACCTCTAATTAATTAGAAACAAGTTACAGGAGTAGTCTAATTTATGGATTAAGTAATCAGTAAATACTAACAACAGTAAAAATATTAGAATAAAAAACTAAAGTTAAGCAAGGAATTTTAATTTAATCATCTTCTAGTTTTAGTTCACCTGTCTAATATAATATAGAAAATCTAAGTCTAGATAAAGAATCTTCATTTTTATTAGCTGGTGTTTACCAATTTATGTAAGTAAACATTTTGCTAGATGAAATGTTTCAAAGTGTAGAAATTTAATTCCCCTCTTTGCCTTAAATATTTTCATATGTTTATAGTTTTTTCTCAATGATGATGATTGTAGGATTTATAGCTAGAAAATTCTCTCTAAGTACTATTAAAAAAGATTTTATAATGCTCTTTTTGTAGAACTATTACTAAGGCATTTATTTGCAAATTTCTAAAGACATAAAGCTAGTAGAATAAAATGATCAATTAAACCTGCAACCTCAGTAAACAATCATAAGTCATCATTAAAATTCGCAGGTTTAATACAACGAAGAAGAATGCGATGAAAATCAAATTCAAGATGAAATCGAAAACCAATAAGAATTATTTAAAAATTGCCTTCCATCTATTCCCTTTTAATAAAAGCTAGTATTAGATTAAAAATGTAAAACTCGAAAAATAGAATTCTTAAAGGCAGAAAATTAATCAATTAGCACATTAGATCAAAATAATACAAGTAATTAGCATAATATGCTTTAATAATAGCAGCAAATATAATAATGCGATGTAATCGAATCAAATACTTTCTAGAGAGAATCATTTGAAAATAGTAAAAATCATTCTAATTAAAAAATTATCAATTAAATAAATAACAAACCGAAAAAGAAAAGTATTTAGAAAACTAATCTAAATTTGAGTGATCCTCAAGAGTAAACATTACATATTTTATCACCTTCAAAATAGATATAAGTGTCAAAGAATAGTAATTAATTTCTCAATAACATTCAAAATGATAGAAAAAAAACCCCCTTGATTTAAAATAGTTTTAATACATCTAACACCCCCACTATTTTAAATGTGAGAAACATTAATAATGAATAAAATAAAGATTTTAGAAAAGCTCTCTTATAGTTGCAAGTGAGTAAAAATACAAATATTTCTACAAAAATTGATAAATTTTTATTTGGCTGCAGGTATTGATTATTTTAAAAATACTTTTATTACTAATTTTAAACTATTTATTTTTCATAAAAAGGTGTTGGAAGCCAAAAAAAATTACATAAAATTTCAATTCGAATTAATTATAAAAAATAGAAAATTAAATTGATAAAGAACTTGATATTTTTAGAATTTACAAAGACATTTTGTTTTTGAAAAAAGCTGTGTATATTATGCTAAGCCAGGAACAGTTAGCAGCTTTATAATTAATCGGATGCAGTTCAAATTTCCTTGATTTAGATTTAAACCAACTATCTGAAAGTATAAAAAAGCAAGGTAAGTAATTAATTTAAAAATCCTACTAAATTTATTTAAAATTAAATTTAGATAAAAACTTAAACTACTATGAACAATAGTTAGCGATTTCTTTATCTGATGAACTTTAGTGCTAAATTTCCTCAAAATTTTTAGAAAAGTGTCAAAATAATAAATTCAATTTAGATAAGATTGATTTAAGAATACTACAATCAATACAAAACGAATTTGTTCTTTGAAAATAAAATAAGTCTTATTACTTAAAATCACTGATATTTTATTTCTATTATTAATTTAAAACTTGTAATAATAAAGGAATTCTTAATTGTTTAGATAAAATATATTTTATATAATTTCCTTTAAATTAATTATGGTTAATTCAACTCTATTAAATTATATCAATTTTAATTCTGAAATATTTTAAAAATAATCGAGATTATGTTAAAATTTTTAAATATAAAAATAAAATTAATGTGTTTTAATATTATTTACATAGGATTATTTCAATTATTTAAAAAATATAAATATTTTATAAATACCCCGTAAAGGTTCAGATATTAAGGTTATTTTTAAAAAATTTTTAAAATGGTTTAATTAAGGCCATAAAGAATTTTTTTAATTTTGGGGGTTAATATAATTTGGGGTGAATTAATGAGAACTTACAGTATTTCATTTTTTGTAAAATAAACTATGAAACTTGTTTCTAAATAGTACTGTACTATTTTATTTTTGTTAATCTAGACTTATATTAATGGATAATTAATTACAGGTTTTATCAATTAATTTTTGATTTCATTAAATATAAAATTGCAAAATCTTAATAAAAAAGTAAAAAGTTATTAAACTCTTAGAAAAAATAATGAATTTTTCAAATTTTGACTTATTTTCTCAATAATTCTATTTTAATATAAAAAGTTCTTAAATAAGACAAGGAACATTATGTGGCTCGTTATTTTCAGTCATAATAATCGGATTAACTACCTACTATTTTGTGTATCTCTTGAATTAATACATTAATAACCTAATAGCTCCTAACTATAAAGTGCAAAATTACACTAATGATGGGTCTATTGATCTTGAATTATCAGAGGACCTGATTGCTTTTAGATTCGAATCTGATTACAATCTTAGCGTTGATTTATTACAATAAAAAACTAATTAAACTTACATTGTTTACATGGCCTACTTGCTATATTTGCAAAGTAGCAATTATATCTATATACCTTTAGATATAATAAAATGTTCTACTCCTGATTTACTAGGTTATTATTGCTTAGATTACTCCAAAATATCTAATTATACTTTAATTTCTAAAGTAAAAGATGATATATAATCTTAGATTTAGCTAAGTATTTATGGCTGCTATGATTTGGACTATTTTAAAACAACAATTCCTGATAATTGTGCAAGCTAAGAAAATATAAATAAACTGATTAACGGTATATTCGCCTCTTTGAAGATTAGAATTAAAACTTCTTAATATAATACAACTTCTAATTAATTAGAAACAAGTTACAGGAGCAGTCCAATTTATGGATTAAGCAATCAGTAAATACTAACAACAGTAAAAATATTAGAGTAAATTACTAAAGTTAAGCAAGGACTTTTTATTTAATCATTATCTAGTTTTAGTTCACCTGTCTAATACAATATAGAAAATCTAAGCCTAGACAAACAATCTTCATATTTATTAGCTAATTCTAATCAATTTATGTAAGTAAACATTTAGCTTGATGAAATGTTTCAAGTTGTAGAAATTTAATTCCCTTCTTTGCCTTAAATATTTTCTTTTGTTTATAGTCTTTTCTCAATGATGATGGTAGTAGGATTTATAGCTAGAAAGTTCTCTCTAAGTACAATTAAAAAAGATTTTATAATGCTCTTTTTGTAGAACTATTACTAAGGCATTTATTTGCAAATTTCTAAAGACATAAAGCTAATAGAATAAAATGATCAATTAAACCTGCAACCTCAGTAAACAATTATAAGTCATCATTAAAATTCGCAGGTTTAATACAACGAAGAAGAATGCGATGAAAATCAAATTCAAGATGAAATCGAAAACCAATAAGAAAGATTTAAAAATCACCTACCGTCTATTCCTTTTTAGTAAAAGCGAGTATTAGATGAAAAATTTAAAACTCCAAAAATAGAATTATTAAAGGCAGAAGATTAATCAATTAGCACATTAGATCAAAATAGTATATGTAATTAGTTTAATATGCTTTAATAATAGCAACAAATATAATAATGCGATGTTATCGAATCAAATATTTTCTAGAGAGAATAATTTGAAAATAGTAAAAATAATTCTAATTAAAATATTTTCAACTATACAGATAGTAAACCTAAAAAGAAAAGTTTTTAGAAAATTAATTTAAATTTTAGTGATCCTCAAGTGTAAACACTTCATATTTTATCACCTAAAAAATAGATGTAAATATCTAAGAATAATAGTTCATTTCTCAACAAACTTTAAAATGATAGAAAAAAAAGCCCTTTAATTTAAAATAATTTAAATACTTCTAACAAATCAAATGTTTTAAATATGATAAATATTAAAAATAAATAAAATAAAGATTTTAAAAAAGCTCTTCAATAGTTGCAAGTGAGTAAAAATGCAAGTATTTCTACAAAAATTGATAAATTTTTATTTGGATGCAGGTATTAATTTTTATAAAAATACTTTTATTTCTAATTTTAAATTATTTTTATTAAAAAGATGTTGTAAACCAAAAAATATTACATAGAATTTCAGTTCAAAATAATTATCAAAAATAGAAAATTAAATTGATAAAGAACTTGATATTTTTAGAATTTACAAAGACATTTTGTTTTTGAAAAAAGCTGTGTATATTATGCTAAGCCATGACCAATTAGCAGCCTTATAATTAATGGGATGCAGTTCTAATTTTCTTAAGTTAGATTTAAATCAACTATCTGAAAGTATAAAAAAGCAAGGTAAGTAATTAATTTAAAAATCCTACTAAATAAATTATTTTCAATAAAATTAAGATGATGATCTAAACTACTATGAACAACAGTTAGCGATATCTTTATCTGATGAACTTTAGTGCTAATTTTCTTCAAAATTTTTAGAAAAATGTGAAAATAATAAATTAAATTTAGATAAGATCGATTTAAGAATACTGCAATCAATACAAAATGAATTTATTCTTTGAAAATGATACAAGTCATATTACTTTAAAATTACTGAAACTTAATCTTTAATATTAATTTAAAACTTATGATAATAAGGAATTCCTATTGTTTAGATAAAAGTTATTTTTTATATATTCCTTTAAATTAAATATATTTAATTCTACTCTATTAAAATATTAATTTAAATTCTGAAATATTGAAATAAAAATAATGTATTTTTGTATTTTTTAATTAATATATAGGATTCAAATTATTTAATAAATATAAATATTTTATAAATATAGTTATTGAGTTTTGATATTAAATTTCAATTATTGGAGTTTTTTGAATGTTGTAAACAAGTATAAAGTCATAATTTTTTTATAAAATCATTTATAAATTTTGATAATCTTGCATGGTTTGTTAAAACAACTCTAAAATGATAAATTATACAAATAATTATAATGAATTTATAAGAATCATTATTATTATACGAGGAGACTAACTAATTAGAGGATAATAATTGGTTTTCATTATTATAAACAATAGTATGGTAAATTATGATTTCCAAGATTTTTTTAAATAATGAAGATCTTCAAATATTTAGTTAAAATCTTTTATAAAATTCTTAATTTTATATTTTAATAAAAAAAATTAATTTATTTAGTTCTACAATTTATTTTTAAATACTAGAAATATTGTTTAATTTATAAAATAATTAAATTTAAATTATTAAAAATATTTATAATTAATAGAGTTAAAAATTAAATGCAACTATTTTTAGAATTTAGAATGACAGATAAGCACATATTTTCACTTAAAATAGTAAATATTTATGTTAAAAAAAGATCACTATCTTTGTTACAAAGTTTCGTTTACTTCAAGTTCTAAACGAAAATCTTTAAGCAACTTAAAGTAATCTCTTTCTTGAACTTTTAACTAATTGTAATTTTCCATTTTTTTTTCTCTTTGATTTTTAATTTTAGTAAGTAATTCTAAAGCTTTTTGGCAATTTTCTTCAAGGCCTTTATAAGCTTCAGTTAAGTCTCCTATGAATTTAGTTCTACCACTTTTACTCTTTTTGTGAACTTGGTAATTTTCTTTGAAGGCTTTCATAATTTCTACAAATTAAACCAACTAGGTCTTAATATCACAATAATTATTGTATCTAATATAATTGTCCTTTTCCTTTTCACTTTCTGAACTGATGCTTTCATATAATTCTAACAATCTAAGTTAATATTAAGCTATTTCAGAAGCGCTAGGGAAGTTTTCTAATTATCTCTACAAAACAGCATTTTCTTAATTATACTTTGAAAGTTCTTCTGTCTTCTTATTCAACTTCTCCTTCTTTTTAATGTAATCTTCTGAAAATTCTTCACCTTAATCTTGCTAATCTTCCATGATAGCAGCTTCTTTTTTTGTTTTTTCCATCTCTTTTTCACTTTCTTGGATTTATATTTTTATTTCTTTTCTCAGCTTTGTTTTTTACTCTTTCAAAGCATTTCTTTTTTAAACATTCATTTCTGCCTCAGCAATTAATTCTTTGCTTTTCACCTTAGCCTTGTTTTTTATTTATTCATTTTATTTATCTTCGAAAAATATTAAAAGTTAATTTTACTTGCTAAAGCTTCTTTTCAATGAGTTATCTTGTTTCTTTTAATTCATTATCTAAGCCAGTGTGTTGATCATAGTAATTTTCTTTCTCTTCTTCCTCCTCTTTTATTTTAATAAGCTCTTCCTTTTCTTCTTAAAGCTTCTTTTACAAATCAGCAATCTTTTAGTTGAGGGCTATCACTTACTTTTCGTGGAATTCTTTTTCTGTTTTAATAATATTTGCAAATTCAATTTCTGGACTTTCATCTGCTTCTGCTGTTTTTGTTATTGCTTCTTTAATATCATCCTATCCTTAAGCAATCAATTCCATAAGATTTGCTCCTACAACAGATTATCTTCTTCCTCCTGCTCTAATATCAGTAAAATTATTGTTACCTTCTACCTATAATTCAACATCATTTTCAGGTTCTAAAATAGCTTAAGTCTATGTATCAGCTCCAGCAGATCCAGTAGTTGTTGCAGATTATTAATTCATAGCATTCAAAGCCTAAGTAAGTTAACTTTAAAGACTTCCATCATTACTAGAGGAGCTTGTTCCAATTTAAACTTGAGCAAACTATGGTGCTGTCATTTAAGCTAATTTTCCTCTTTTGAAAGTAGCTTCTTGTGGCTTTATTCTATCATTCATCTCTGCATTTGCTTGATTTAATGACATAAATTAGGGTTACTAAGAAGAAGAAGCAATCAATGCATTAATCCTGCCTGTATCAACTTCAACTTTTTAAGACTTACTACTTGCTTGATCATAAAAAATGATATCATTAATTTTTTAATCTACTTCTTTCTTTTCCTTCTTGCTCTTTCCAGGTTCAGATGTATCTCTTGTGCTCTTAGATTTGCCCTAAAATAATTATTTTGGTATATAAATAGATGCTTAAATATTAATGAATTTAATTAAAAGAGATATAAAACATGTTTTTATTTCTAGATAATCTCAAAAATTTCCATAAATAATAAATTATCTAAAATTACTTTGGTTTGCTTTTGGATTTCATTTTCTAAGTCTATTTTACCTGAAACTACACCACTTAATTTGTTGTAGGTTTTGATAGCTGTAATATCTCCATATTCGATCAAAGTTGAATATATACGAATAGGATCATTTAACTAAAGGTTTTTAGCATTTACATTCTTTGTTTATCTTTTATCAACTGTTTGAATGATTTTAATAGTTTCATTTATAGTATTCTCTTCCTTTTTTTACCTTTCAATGAAGCTTGGGTAAGTCTATTTGCATAAAAAGATTGTTAAAGTCAATAATATTTTATTCCAAATCAATAATTTTTACAACAACAAAAAATAAAAATAAATAAATATAATATTTTATTTTACCTTTTTACCAAGAAAATTACTCATCGAAGTGTTAAAATCCCATCTTTCTTCTCTTGTTTCATAAACAAATTTAATCAACCAATTGAAAACAGGATACATTTTATCAAAATCAAGACCCTTGATCTGGAAAGGAAGAAGCTCATATGGACATTTCATTTTTTACAAAGCTTCACAAATTTTTTCACTCAATGCAATCTTTTAACCTAAATTCATTTCATCATCATATTCAATATCAATATCAAAATTGCTACACGAAATGCACCAAGTTAAACTTCCTAAAATCTTATCAAATGTTTAAATACTTGGAATACGAATTCTGAAGTACCCAGCCTATAAAAGAGCATCGAAAATCTCTTTCATCTTAGGATTTTCTTCAGCTTGTGAGTGAATTTGATATTTCTACTGCTATTATTACTTTGAACTTGACATTTTTGTTTATTTATTTGTTAATCAAAACCTTGTTAAATATCACTAAACAATTATATTTGTGTATTTTATTTTACTAACTAATTGATTATATTTTGACTAAAAATTTCTATTTATCTTCTAAGTAATTAATTAGATTTCATATTAAAAATTTACTTGTAAATAAAAGAATTTTTGATTAAGCTTATCAGATTATCTTAAAATATTTATATTTTACGAAATATCTTTGATCTATTTTTTTATCAAAAAGCATATTATTATAAATAATCTAATTTATTTTTTTTCTCTAATTTCAACAGCAGCAGTAGATTAAAAATTAAATTTATTTTTTTTAAATAAATCAAAAATTCTTTCTGATTTTTAGCATAAAGCTTTTAAAAAGAAATTATAGTAAATAAATGAATTTATTTAAAAGGTAAAACCAACCCTTGATAAAGTAAAAGCTAATTTACATGATATAAGTGTGAGTAAAGTTTATTATTTTATATAAATAATACAATCATTTAATATTAGATAGATAAAAGGGAAATAAATTTAATATAAAGTTGTATTTACAAAATGATTTTTCTTAAAGTAGTTTTTAGTATAATTAATCACTCATATAGTATCTCGTCTACAATATTTTATATTTGGATGAAATTTTATACTTAATGTTATTTTTAGCTATTATCTTATTATTTTTGGTTCAATATTTCAAATAGTTATTGTATATATTTTATGCTACAAACTAATCCGTTTTACTTCAATTATTTTTCTACCTAATTTTATAAAATTAATTTAACATACAATTAGTTATTTTTTTAATTATTAATTTAAATGATATACGTCTCTAGATGTTATTATTCCTTGATGTAATGGGGATATTTTACTTATTGTAGATATCAAATCTCTTTCTGTGAATTATGTGTTTTAAATACTTTAAGTAAATTAATATTTGTACATCTGGTTCTCTATTTCAGCAGAAAAGTAATCTCTTAAAAGAGTTTGGCTTGTGTAAGATAGCTTTATTTATGATTTTATTATAAATCTATTATCAAATATTAATTTTAACTAAGTAAATTAATTACATATTCATATTTTTATTCGGAGTATGAGTCAAATTTTTAGTATATGTTGTTAATTAATTGAGGGTTAGATGGACAGATGATATGAGTAAATTCAGAAAACGAAATTTATAGCATATCCTACTCAAGCCTAAATCTTCTGAATAAGACCATCAATTCTATGTTATTTGGAATTAGCCCAATATTATACATCCCTTCTGTAAAATCGTCTTATCCCAAAAAACCTCTTTAATGTTTATCAAATAAAGAAAAAATAACAGTTGCATCTATATCTGGCTATGATAGCAGCTGTACTTTTAATTAATCTATATGTGATATCCTTTTAGAGTATTCAACCAAAAATTTTAAAAATTGAGTTAAATCTTTATTGATGATTTTTTAATAATCTGTCTTTTTTTGGCATGCTCTATTTGAAGAAATGCATCTTTTTTCTAATTTATTTTTTTAATTGAAGTTTTTTAAATATTTGCTTTGCAAATTATAATTTATGTTTGATAAATTAAATGAAATTACTTGCATAAGAAAAGGTATCATTCAAGTGAATTTGATAAGACATTGACAAGTTATTAATTTAGCTATTTCCTGGCTTATTTAAAGAAATTATTCTTTTTCTTGAAGTGTTAGTGGTATTTAAAGAATCTGTTCTTTTTTCTTGATATTTATTGAATTAATTATTGTGAGAGTTTTATTCATATTTCAAAGAACTACCAGGACTTTCTCCTTATTGTGTTAATGAACGCTAATTTCTATTAGAAAATCTATTTTCAGATTTTAATTCATGTACAGATTGCTAATTGACAAGCATATCCTCAGCTATTTCGCTAGTAATTTAAAGCAAATTACAAAAATCCTTTTAAGTGATTACTCCATTTAAATTTAAATCAAATTTTTGCATGATAAATTATATTTAATCTTTATACAAAGTATAACCAAACTCTTAAAATATTTAGTAGAGTCCTTAAGCATTTATATATCCCATTTAATTAGCATCCAAAAACTAAAAAATTTATTCTAAATCTAATTTGAAGTCAAGCCATATCATTGATAGTTTGGTCAGTAATTTATGGTAAAACTATATTTGTCTATAATTTATTTAACGTTAAAAAATTAAAAATTAAATTTAAGAAATTTTAGATAATCAATCATGTATGTATGGACAAATAATATTCTGTTAAATTATATAAATTTAATAATAAATTCTCAATACTTTTTAATTATTAAGAACAATTTTTCTTCTAGTTTGATAGGTAGCTTTTTTATCACATTGTAGCCAGGTCGTTTGATGATATCTTGCTTTAATAGAGCAGATGATTAAGGAAGTAGAGCTCTTTCAAATCTTTTTGGATTAATTAAAAATAATAGTTTAACATTGAAAATATGAGAAATAAAAATAATGCTTCATAAATAATAATATTTATTACTCTTTTAAAGTAAGTTATTCGTCTCCATCGAAATCATAATGAGATACATATTTTAATGATGCATTACCATTACTATGATACCCATTTGAAGATAAAAAATCTTGTAAATCACAAGCTTTAATAAATCCTTTTTATTGTTAATCTATGCGCATAAAAGCAACTGCTATTGAGAAATTTTTTTGTTGAAAAGCTTCAAATTTAAGTATTTCAGTTTATTCTTCTTCATCGCCAATAAAGATAAGAAGATCTAATATGCGGTGAATAATGCTCATGTTAAATTTTATTTTATGGTTATATATCAAATATTTGTCTTTTTTAACTAATTAAGATATCAAAAAAATATCATAAATTTTAACAAAAATTTATTGGAAAAGATAAACAATTGATTAAATTAATTAAAAATTATAAAATCAAAGAAAGTCTTTTATCATTAATATTTCATGTTAGTATTAAAATTAAAAAAAAATATTTGGTCATAAATATTTAGAAAATGTTATTTAAAAATTAATTTCATTTAAATATTTATGGAAAATTAAAACAAAATTAAAGAGTAAAAATGAAAAATATTTATTGTCAAAAAAATGAAAAAAAAAAAAACTGTTCATAAATCTTTTTTTATTTTTTTAAGTAAGCTAGAATGTTTTTTAATAAATTTTTGCAAAAAATATAGTTTTTCTAAATGCTCAATTAATAATTTAATTTCTTTAATTTAATTCAAACTATTGGAACTGACTATCAAAATAAGATGAAGTTTCCAAATTAAAGTAAATATTAAAAGTTAAAATTAGTTTTGAAAAAGTAAGAATACAAAATATTACTAAAAATAAATTTAATTTGATTTGAAATTGTAACTCTTGTTGAATAATATTTACATAATGATAATATTTATAATGTTAATCATGAAAACAGTGTTATAATTTAAACATAATAAAAAGAATTTGTTATGAAAGGAAAGAACAAGCTTTGCTAGTTGCTCATAAAATTTTTTTAAAAATTGAAAAATATTTAATTATGTGATTTAATTTTACATTGAAGATTATTTAAAAGAATAAAAATGCTTTGAATTAAAAGGATAAAAGCAAAAATTAAATAAATAATAATATTAGCAAAATTAAAATGTGTGTTTTAAATATTACTAAAATTAATTACTAATTAATTATCTAAGAATTGGGCTATTTTATATTCCAAACATTAGTTAGTTATTTTTTTAAATTTTTCTATCAAAGATAATATCTAAGCAACGTCGTAAATGATTAATGAATGAATGAGCAAAATTACAAAATTGAGGATGAAAATTTTCTACAAAAGTGTTTAATAATATTATAATTTTATGGTATTTGAAAAAGATGTCTTAAATAGTACTAAAAATATACCAAAGGAAAATAATTAATAATATGTAGTCACTCCAAAAAAATTAATAAATAATAAATATTCATTTGATTTTCTTCTCAATGCATTTTACATTTCAGATAATAGTTAATTAAATTATTTGTAATCTATCAAGGAAAGCAAGCAAGCAAAAAAATTTAATCATTATTCATTCATTTTCTTTAAATATTCAAAAGAAATCAAAGAAAAGAAATTATACAAAATAAATAAAATAACAAACAATTTTTTAAAAAGAATCAAGTGCATTAATTCGTTCTTTGATTTATTTGGAATTAAGAAGCCTTGTGAGAGAATTAATAAAAAATTGAAAAATAAATTAATAATTTATCTTCGTAGAACATTAAGCTTTGCTATTTTTTCACTCTCGAACTATCATATTAACAATGGCAGAGAGTAAAAATTCACCTCAATTATCTAAAGAGAGTATCAAGCAGCTGTAAATAGACTGGGAGGACTTTAATTATCCTCCTTATCTAAATTTATTCCATTATAATATGAACGAAATAAAAGATGAATAAGAAAGAAAAGTTGTAAAATATATTAGTGCATCTTTCTATCTTTCTCTCTTCTCTCTTGCTATTAATTTTACTAATGCTATTGCGTGTACAATTGGAGGAGATGATACGGGAAGGATAATTATTTATTCTTTTTTTCACTTTACAATATTCTCTCCTATTTCTCTATACGTTTTCTATCATGGATACAAGTCAATTACATCTGACAAATCATAAATACAAAATTATCTGTGGGAACAGCTCTTCTGTGCCATTTGCTATTTTATTTTTTCAATCGTGAAAGGTGGAGCATTTGATGGTTTCATTAAGGCTAGCTATCTTTTCAACATAAACCTTAGGTTTTAGGCTATTCTTTCCCTTGCAGAATCTATAAGTTATCTATGCAATTCGATCTACTCATTGTATATAATATACTAAGTGAAGAAACTACAAAATTAGTAAGCTATCAATTAAGAAAAGTTTTAATCAAATAATGAGCTTCAAGTCTGAACTAGTAACAAACATTATTGCTTTGAGCAAAATAAAAATTATGTTTACTTTATTAACAAGTAAGCAATCAGTCAATCAATCAGTCTATCTTTATTTGAGGATAAGATAGCAAGTAACGTACAATAAAAATAACTATTATCTCCTTTCAATTAATTAGTAAAATAACTTTAACTAAATATACTATGCTATATAAAAACTAAAAGCATCAACTAACTCTCTAGATTTAATTTTATTAAACAAAACATTAAAATATTTATTTTTTAAAACATAATAAATACAAAATCTTAAAAAATGCAAAAAGAAAACAGTGTATTATAAGAACCAAATAAATTATTTCTTTTTGTAGACTTTAAATTTCTTCATAATATTTAAAAATGAAGAGAGAAGAAAAATACTTAGTTCTATTCCTTAGATTAAATGAAATAAGTTAAAATTTATTTTACTAAATATATTCCTAAAAAATTAATCATAAAATAACCTAAAATAAAAATTAATTATGAATAATAAGTTTATGTCGAAATATTTATTAAATATATTTATGCTAAAACAAAAAAAAATAGTTTTTGCATTTATTTGTTATCCTTTTATATAAATTATGTAGATTTATTGCTATTCAAATAGCTTATTATTTATTTTTACAAACATATTTCTTCTATGAATTTACTCAATCAAAATATTTTCAACTTTTATTAAGAGCTAAATATTTGAAATATTTATTTTGATTGCTTTCTGATGAAAATTAGTGGCTTAAATATCATTTTTAGACTGATAAAAATTGGAATGAGTGATGCTCTATTAGCAGATTTTTATTTATTACGAATATTTAATTAAAGTACAAAAATAGGCATCAAATAGCTCTATAATAATTATTAGCATATCAGAAATTAATCAAATTTAGTAAATTTAAATTAATAGCCAATAAATTTATATATTTAAATAGGAGTAATAAAAATAGAATTTAACAAAATGAAAGACTCTAAATTGTGTTTAGTATGTTCATAGAATAAATATAAGTATAAATGCCCTAAATGCAGTGTTTAATAGTAAAAATTTATTTATAATTTTGATAACTTATAAAATAGTAATCAAATTATTTAAAAAGTTGTGGTTTAGGTTGCTTCAAAACGCATAAATGTGAAGATTATAAACAGGAAAAGCAGTAAACTCAAATAATTAATCAAGAAACTGACCCAATACACAAATCAAATTATGTAGAGGATGAAGATTTAAGAGTTCCAAAGGCCAAATTAGAGCAATTAAGTAATATTTTGCATTTATTGACAATTTTTTTTAACAAACTTAAAAATTAGAAAGCAGCATAAAGATTAAAAAAATACTTCAGTCTTCCAAGCTGAGAGAAACACTATTAAAAATAGATGACGCTAGAAGTAGATTATGGGAACTAAATAACGAAATGAAAACTAATTAGCATTTCATGGAATTTACATAGTTATTATTAGGTGAAATGGACATGCTCAATAATAATAACGAATTTTTATGAAAAAAGGCAATAATTTAATAATCAATATTTCAATAAAAACAAATTATTATTTATCAAAATTAACAAATCATAAGCAAATTAAAAATAAATGAATAAACAAATATTTTAGTGTACTCAAGTGATTTATAAAGCATGTGTAAACTTCTACATAAAATTTACAATTTCAATTAATATTTGAAATATTTTATTTAATTAAAATAAAATTATAAATAAAAATAACTAACTATTTATTAAAATTATGAAATCATTTGCTTAGATTATAAATGATATGCCTGCTTTCTTACTCAAAAGAAAAGCTTTCAAAAAATTTTAAAAGTTTTCAGAAGAACTTTGAAATCTATTCCTAAATTTAATTTTCTGCTAATTTAGCATTTTGGTAGATATTTTTTATGGATACCTTTACAGGGTCTAAATTGTCACCCTAGATTTTTTTTAAATTAAAATTTTACTCAAAGTTCAAATTTAAAATAATAAATAAATGAAAAATTTAATAAATAAATAAATAATTTAATTAGTTACTCTTTCTTTGAGGGATTTGACTAATTCTCTAAAAAGTTCTTCAAAGAAATAAAGGATATCGTAATCGTCGTCTTCATCTCCGGTTAATGAGATTTATATTTTTTCAAGGTTAAATTAATCAGCAAAGTTATCCATGAGTGATTCAATAATTAATGAAAGACATTTATAAACATCGGGATAGTCACATGCTTCTTTTTGTGCAGTGCTAAAAACTTAATTTAGAATGGATATAACATCGTCAGGAGTGAAAAGTTTTTTCTTGATTAAACTGTTTAAGAAATTAGTTCTTTTCAAGTTTTATTCTTTCTTTTCAGTATAGGATAAGATGATAAGATAGGTTAATACTTTTTTCTTATCTTCAGATAATATTTCTTCAATATGCTTTTAAGATTATTCCAAGTCTTCCAAATTTTAGTAAATTTCCTTTACTCTAGATTCATAATCAATAAATTCTTTAGCAGCTGCTTTAGCTTATGGCTGAGGCTATGAAGGCATAATTCCGAATAATTCTTTATAGTTTTAATCGGTGTTCTTCTTCTAAGATTCTTATTCGTCTTCATCAACTTCATCAATTTCTGCACCTTCTTTTTTGTTTTAAGCTATTTTTACAAATTTTGATGTTATTTAAAAATCTTAATCGATAGTTTCTTTACTTAAATTTGCGTAACCCCTTCCCATTTATTTTTTGACAATAGGTTGGTTTATACTTCTTGGTTGACTATATGAATAATTTCCTTTAGTTTACTATGAAAATATTTGTACTTCTTCAGCTCTTTGTTGTAAGTCTTTTTCATGTTCTTCTTTTATTTCTTACTTTGTTTTAGGCTTCTCTTTTTAAAAAAGTCTTTCTTACCAATTTTTATCTCTTCTTTCTATTAAGTTCTAAATGAGAGCTTTGATGATAGGGGAAACATTTCCACAATTTTTATATGTTTCTAAGCTATTGAAAGTGATAAGAAAGAAAGTAAATAAGCAAATCAACATCAATTTTCATTAATAATATAATTTACATTGACATCATATCTTGGAAGCCTATTGCCTCAAATTTAGCAAAATAGTCTTTGCTTATTGTTTTGGTATCAGTAATTTATTTTTTAATTTCATCAATAATTATTCTTTATTCTACCTTAGAATCTTTCTTTAAATTATCTAAACTAGGTCCAGCTTTTATTTATAATAACAAAATTGAGTACAATGATCAAATATTAAATTATCCATAAATAAATAATAAATACTGATTTCGTAAAGTTCTATGATGCCTTAGATAAAATCATCGTAATGGACGTATTTTTCATCAGTTTCTTTAAGCTTTTCGATATCCTTATATGTAAAATGCTTTTGTAAGAACTCAGAAATAACAATCTTAATGACATGCTTATTGATAACATTAAGAATAAATAGCTCACCAATAAACTTAACCACTATAATTAAATTAATTTTAATCATAAATTTTGACAATTCTTCAATCAATCAATTAATTAAAAATATTTACATAAAATAATTCTTTTTTTTCTTTGGGTATGGAAATCTTTTCTTTCTTCTTCTGTCATATCTACAAGCTTTTCTGTATATTTTAAATATTTTTATTATTTATTTGAATAAAACCTTGAACATTTAATATCATTAATTTATTTCATTTCACAATAATAAAATAAACGAATTTCATTTTTTATCTTTTATTTGAATAGTTAGGAATAATGAAAGATATTCTAATAAAAATTACTCTTAGATTGAAGAACTTAAGTGATATTCTCAAATTTACTTTAAATGAGATTAAGGAAATTATTTCTAAACACATTGTCTTGTGTATCGGGATTCTTTTTATCTTTGCTGTCGATATTTTTCTTGAGCTCATCATTCAAATACTTACAAAGTTGACCATACAAAGCAGTGTATTTCATTTCAGTTATAGCTTTTTCCATGATTTTTGCAATAACTTCTTTACAAATAGTGCTGGAGTTTTCTAAACATGGATTGTTGTCTTATGCATACTTAAAAAATTCAGCTTTTACTTTTTCTATATTGTCGTATGTTAAAATGTTAGTAAGTCTTTTGATATCTTTTAATTTCTGTTACTCCTCATTAACTTGGTTTTGTTGTTTCAACCAATCACGTTCAGCAGATTATTTAAGAGCTAACTGTTGATTAAATTTATTATTTATTGAACTAAATCACTATTATGAACTAAATAAAACTTCAAGTAATTATATACCTCATCAGGATCTATTTCTCTGCGAGAGATAGCACTATTATTATTCATAGGGAATGCCTAATTCGATCTAATAGATGAAGAAGTGCTTTATTCAGATTTTCTAATATTAGTTGGAACATTTGATGTTCTTTCATTCTTCGTAGAATTCTCAATAGCTATTTTTCTTTCTTCAAATAATTCTACTGCACTTTTAAGCTCATCATCCACCTCCTGTTCATATGTTATCTCAATAGTTTTATTACATATTGCCTGTATTAATAAATAAATAAATATAATAATTTAATTAGATATTATATTTTTAATTCCTTAATAATGCATTTATTTATCTATAGAATTATCTAATTATTTATTTATATTGAGTTGTTTAGTTATTTATTTACTATCGATCTATCTATGATTAAATTGCTAGAATATTTTTAAATTTGAAAAACAAGATAGATAAATATTAAAAGTGTACATTTAGGTAATATGAGATTTTTTCAAAGGTTGGTCTCTTTCTTTCCTCTAGTAACTTTGCTTGCCTTTCTCTTTCTTGATCTTCTAAAATTTTTCTTTATTCTGCTAAGCGTTTTTCTTCTTCTAATCGCTCAAGCCTTTTTTGCTCTTATATTCTTTCTTCTTCTAATTTTCTTTATCTTTCATCTTCCTCTTCTTTCAGTCTTAACTTTTCTTCCTCTTCTCTTCTCAACCTTTCTTTTTCTTCTTGTTCTTCTTATTTTTTTAAGTTTTCAGCCTCATAATCTCTTTGATATTGTTTCTATATTTCCTCTTCTACTTAATCATTTTAAATTTCTTAACTTTCATAGTTGTTGAAGTTACCAACTTGCTTATTTTATTGAATATTTTGTTTATATCCTTAGTTAGGCCTACTTTATTCTTATTTATAATTATGTTAGTATGCACCATAAGTTGAATTATGTGGTTGCTAAATATTATTCTTTTACATAGGATGTTAAGGTTTCTAATTATCAGCTGTTGGTTATACTAATTGTCCAAGTTAATAAAAAAGATCAGGTTACTAGTATTAAAATACTTGTTGCTAATTTTTTAGAGTTTAAGGAGTATTTTAAGGTGTAGCAGCATTGGTTTGAGTTGTAAGATATGTTTACTATTACATCTTTTACTTATATGCTATTTTATTGTTTTAATTTGGAAACTATGGTTGTATCGGTTAATTATGTTAAGGATAACCAAATTAGGGTTAAATGAAAGGTTAATTTGGAAAGTTTGGGTGCTATGTTTAGATAAATGGTGGTGTTTATTAAAATTATTAAATATTTCCATTATTTAAATTCAAAGGGTATAAATTAGCTGGTCTATTTGCATTATTAATATCCATATTGTTATTATTATAAGGAGTTCCATTGTTAATAATTACATTTTATTGAGGAGGTTAAGCATTATTGTTGGTGCTATTTTACTATTCAAACTAACCATTTGCATCTGGTTTTAACTTCAGTGCTTTTTTTGGTTTTTTCTCTAAAGGAGCACTAGAAACTACCCCAACTATTGGTTATTGTTGATCTTTCTACGGTTAAGTCGACACTATTTAGCTTTTTTACATATTGGTATTTTTTACTTTTTACAATTTAAAATGTTTAATTAATTAATTTAATTAATTTTTTGATTTTCAAAGGTAGACGAATTTGCATTATATATATATTTATTTATTAATTGATTTTGCACAATATTTTCCTATTTACTTAAGAGAAAAAATCTTTCTTCTTCTATCATAATTTTTAAACTTTATTTGATATTATTAATAAATTATTTCCAACCTATTTTACTTTTTAACAATTTCATTTTTAATGTTGAAATAAAAATAGGATTTTTTTCAAATATAAAAATTAAAAAAAAATCAATAAATAAATAAAATAATTTAAACAGACTAATAAATGTTTGCTATTTTCTGCTTTAAAATTACTGACATGTAATAATTTTTCAAATTATTCATCTCACTTTTTAGAAATATTTTACTTAAATTTTTTTAGTTTTTGTAAAATTTCTTTTTTCCATTCATAAAAATTTCATAAAAAATTAAGGAAATATTATTAAATAATAAAATAATTTTACTTTATTTCTTATTTTTGTGGAATTTAAAGAGGAGAATATTGATGAAATTAATTAAAGTATAATTATTTATTTGGATACGAAAAGTGGGAAAGAAAAATATTTTTTTTTACAAATAAACTATTTTAATATTTTATAATTGTTTAAAAATGTAAGAAAATGTCTTTTTTGTTTATTGTTTTATAGATAAATTATTTAAATATTATAAAAATATGTAGAATCCATTTTATAAGCTTTCTTTAAAGTTATTGATTATCTTAAACAAATTTGCAAAAAAAAATTAAAAAATGGCTGTTTATAAAAATAATTTAATATCGATCTATTTTATTTTTAAAATTAATTCATGTTTTTATTCAATTTTTAAAAAAATATATTCAACAATAACACTTTCAGTTTAATTTTTTAGTTTTTAATTTATTTTTAAACAAAAAAATAATTATCTTTAAAATGAGAAACTTTTTGTTTTATTATAATTTCTAATAATTCATTTTTAATTGGCTATAATCTTATAACAACTTGGTGGATTTAAAAGTGAAAAACATATTTTTAAATACATTTTTTATGACACTTATTGAATTGAGAAAAAAATATGCTTACTTTTTTGTCAATAATAAAAATTTAACTCAACAATTTTTGGCTCAAACTGATTCTTAATTGATTAGGATCTGTATCATTAATTTTTTAAAATGCTAAACTTTCATTCAAATTATAATCAAAATTATAAAATTAAATTGTAAACTATTTGCCGATTTGTTTTACCATAAAATCTCGTTTGTTTTTTTTTCTTAGATTTTAAGGTGGGGTAAAAAAATCATATTTGTATTCTAAACATTAATTATTTTTATTTACCAGCAAATATCTGTTCTGGACCTGCAATTATGAAACATCAAACTATATGTTATAATTAATAAAGAAGAATTTTTGTAAGACTTTAGAAGAATAAGGTTAGTATTTTAATTTAATTTATTAAATATCAATAATTTTTAACGGGAAAAAGTGCATTAATTCATAATCAAGGGAAGTAATTAATTAGTAAAATATGTTTTTTATAATATATTTTATATTTATTTAATTATGATTGTTTGATTTTTTGATAGAATTTTAACTCATATTTGTTGTAAAGTTGATTTAGTAAAACAATTGCTTATCATTGATTCTTTCAACCTTAGTTTAAACTATTATTAAAAGAATTTTAATTAGCATAAAAATACAACAAATAAAATTGGTTATGAAACAAATAAAATAAATAATTAAAGCATTTTATGCATGCTGTTCATTTCTTTTGTTATGATTCAAATACTTCTCTAAAAAGAGGATCTGATGATAATGAATATTTTTAAATTATTTAATCTAGTCTTTTTTCAAATGGTGCAGCTAATAAATATTTATCAATAGTACTTGACATTACTGATGGAAAGAATAAGTATTTAGCTAAGAATCCAATAAAAGTAAATTTATAAGTAATTCCCCAAGGAATATTGGAGTGTTTGAGATATTTTGTCATATAGTAGGAAACTAGTGATATTGAAAGCCATGTAGTGAGATATCCAGTATTTCTAGATTTGAGTAATCTATCAGAGGTATCTATGTCGCTGATTTCGAATTTATTGCTAGTTTTTGGGTGATGTGAGAAGTAATAAAACGATGCATATTTATCATTTAAAAAGTTTTCAAATTTCAATTCTTTTGGGAATAAAATTTTAGTTTCATTAAAGAATTTGCTTTGCTAGCTGTTGATAGCATTAGGAGGTAGTGCTTAAGTTGCTCCCGTTTATTGCTAAGTAAAATTCTACAATTATTTCTATTCTTCAAATTCTTTTATTTCATTTAAAAGAGTCTATCCACTTTATTATCTCTAGCTTTTAAACCAATCATCGATATATTTATCCTTTTATACATTTTGCTCATCAGGAGCTCTATAAGTAGTATTATAGCTTTTTGCATTTAATCTTCTTTCGAACTCTTCGTCACTTATTCTACTATCTTGTGAACTCATCTTCTTTATGTTATAATAGACTTATTTCCACTAATTAAATTGTTGGTCTAACTAAATTTTTTTATTTAAAATCTTATAAATTATTTAATTATTTATTTGATTAGTTGTTTCTATTTTCTAAAAGAGCTTTCTTGATTGTTCTTCTTACAATAAATAAATATATTTATTTATTTATTGAATTATATAGATATCAAATACAAATAAATATAAATAGATACATAAATATCTTTGTTTTTTCTATTTCCAAATCAATTCATGAAATTTACAGTGATCAGTAATTCAAAACCTGTTTATCAGTATAGTATACTAATTATATTATTAATATCTCTATCATCATATAAATCTAAATTTGTTTATTCATTAATATAAATATATTAAATATACTTTTCCTTTTAATTTGCTATTTAAAAATCTATCACAATGTTTATTTAGTATGAATATTTAACATTAAAATAAAAAAACTCATTTTTTATTTTCATAAAAAATAATTTTTTGCTTAATTTAATTTGAAAATTTATTTTAAAACTAGGTTAAAGTTACAAATTATTATTGGTATAATAAGTTTAAACAAGCTAATTATTAGATAAAACAAAAAAGCCAATAAGAAAAGTGATGGTGCTGAGAAAAGATTTTAAAACTAACTAATATTATACACACTCAATTATCAAGATTTATATTAACTAACTTGTTAATAATTTCCAGCTTAATAGAAAAACTAATTTTCAAAACAAAAAAAAAAACAATCTATCTATCTTTCTATCAATTTATCAATTAATTAATCATAAGCAAGAATTTTGGATTAAGTAAACAGACAGTTTAATTAATAAATAAATATATATAAAAATGTCTTAAGATTTATTCAAATAAAAGTTACGTCCTCTTTCTCATAATGTTTACTCACATAATTCAGATACAAGGTAATATAAGAAATAATTTTTTAGCTCTTTTAGATAAAACAAAAAATTAATAAGTAATTTTTATTTTAAAATAAAATATTTTTTTAATTATTCTTATTAGATCTTCAACTGCTAACCCTTAAAAGAATAAGTAGGGAACAATTTACAAGGGGAACTTTTTATCTAAGGCACTATCACCTTTGAATTAAGAAGCGATGCTCTTTTAGCAAATATTTCAGTAAAGAGCGAGGCCAATTACTACTGGAGGACTGCAATATCCTCAAACAACAACAAGCACTTCTAATTAATTTATTGTTAAAAATCAAGTAAGTGAATTTGTATTGATTTAAAATGTAACAATTTCTTTCGTCAAAACAGCTTAAACCTAGAACAGCTACTTATAACGTAACATAAAAAGCTAATTAGCATACTTAAATAGGAAGACCAACAACTACAAATTCAGCAAAGCATCAAGAAAGAAATTTTTTAGATTTTAATTTAGTTGAATCTGAAGTATATCCTGGAATATATTATGCCAAAAGTATGTATTTTAATCAAATTAAGTGTAGATAAAAATGGTATTTACTTATTTTGTAATATAAATAGCATCATTGAGAAATTTGCTGAAAGAAAGTAATAATTTTACTTGATTTTGTTTAATATATTTTAAGTATTAAAACTATTTACTTACAATTTTTTAAAAAAAAACCAGTTAAATTTCCAAAGTAAATTAAAGCGCTTCCTCCTGATGACTATCGTTTGAATCTCATTTATTAAATTATATAAAAGCTTTTTCATGAGTTAAATTTCTTTTTGTTTAACATCTTGATTTGTTAGCATGAAATTACATAAAATTATCTTATCTTCTTTTCTGGTAAATAGAATTTTTAATATTTAGATCTTAAACAATATCACTTTTAATAAAAGACTCGGAAAGTGTTCCTTTTAGTAAATGCTGTAATTCTCCTGTTTATGTAGAATTGTATGAGAGTGGTACGGGAAGAATTATGTGTAATGATTAGATGTGCTAAATGTAGTTATTAACTGAATTCATAATTAACTTCGAAGAAGGATAAAATTTGTGGAAAGAAAACTTAGTTTTTAACACGAACCCAAATTAAGACAATGAAGTTAGAAGACAAGTTTCTAAGCTAATAACGACTGGATTTTTTAAACATAAATCGATTGTGAAAGAAGTTAAAAAGCTCTAGAAACCTACATAGTACAAATAAAAAAATACTAACGACTTTTATCCTCTTTAAGCTAACAGCCAAGAAAATTTTTAATCAACTCAAAATTAATATTTTTAAAATCCTTTTTTGACAGCTTAAGAAGAAGGATACTAAGCTTATTATGGATAAAAATAACCAGGTTTTAATCAGTTTAATGCTCCTCCCGAGTTTTAAGATTTATAATTTTAGAGTAGTGATAACTTTTAAGATATTTAGTAGAACAAACATAAATTTAATTTAAAGAGTAATATACCGATATAAAATATAGATAATGATGATCAATAAATGCCATTAACTAGATTGAAAATAAACTAAGGTGAATTAATTGTGATGAATTAAAAAATAACTAATGGATTGGTGCAGAACAGCTAAATTTTCAATAAAGAATTTAAAAGCAATAATAAATTCCAGATAAATCAAACTTAAACAAAATGGAGACCTCAGTCTTTTTCGAATGCAGAAAGTGAATTTTAATTAAGATTGCCTAATAATGCTCCAAGCATCCGTTTAAAAAGTGGGTTTAACAAAGAAAAAAGAAATAAAAGCACAAATCATAAATAATTTTTAGAACAAATCGATAAGCATCAGTAAAGTAAATAGAACGAAGAAGAGAAAACATTACTTGATATCAAAAATATGATAAATGATATTCTTTCTTGATTTAATGAATTTTATTTATTCTATCTTGATAATAATATAAAGCTAAAATCCCTAAATGTAAATCAAAATTAGAAGTAGTTAAAAATAATTATAAAAATATTAAATTGATTGATTAAGTAAATAAGAGAACATCTAATAAGTTAATCTTACATTTATTTATTTAACATACTTTTAATACAATTTTTGTAAAATATAATTAAAATTAAATTGTTTAAATAGTTTAATTCTATTTGTTTATATTATCTTGTTTGTTAAATTATTTTTCTTAAAATGATTTGGTTTCACTTGTAGTTTGTTTTATACTTTTATTCATTAATTTATTGATCTGATATTTTATTATTCAATTCAATCAGACTTGTTTAAAAAACTCTTCTTCTGAGAATATGTATTATAAGTTTATATCGTAAGCACTAATATAAGAAGCTGCTTAATCATATTTTTCTTTATCATTAAAACAAACAATTCTTTTTAGTTTAATTTATGTTAATAAATCTCTATCATTAGTGTATATATCCAAAATCAGCTTTTTAAGTTTCTTTAAAAATAATATTTGCTAGTTATATTCTTCTACATTCTTCGCTTAAGGAATTTTTATATCTTTTATTTCAAATTGTTTTATTATTTCTTTTGTAAGCTTATCAACTTTATTGGCTAAGTAATCTATTTCTTAACGAGCTTAAATTATAGAAGGTGCATACTCTTCATATTTCTTAGCAATATCATCAGGATTGAAATTAAATGGAATCTAATTTTAATTTAAAACAAATAAATTAATTAATGTATTAAGTAATAAAATTTTAACTTTAATTCAATAATAATTTTTTTTGAGGAATCAAATTTATTTTAAGGTTCTCAAATAAAAAAATTTAATTCTTAAATTTCAATAATATAAAAATATTTTATTTTATTTTGCAATATAATTTATTAAACAAGTATCTACTTATCTAATTCAGAAATATTTAAGCTTTTAAAATCTTTAAAAGTAATTAAAATTTTATTAATGAAGATTAAATTATAAAAAATATTTAATTATTTTAATATTTATCAAAAATTATTATTTATTGCTGTGCTTTTGTTTAAAATTAGATGAAAATGCTAAAAGAAATTATTTATTTTAATTTTGAGAAAAATTTACTGAAAAAAATCCAGGCATGTCACTGCCACTGTATTTTCTGGTGACATAGAGACATATTTAAGGAGACTAGTTTTCCATATGATGGAATACTTCTTTAATTTTTTAAAATTTCTTAGTTTGCATCTAGACTTCATCTTGTATTAAAGTAGACATGACTTTAAAATAAAAAACATTGAATTAATTTAAATTTTATTAAAAGTATAGATTAATTTTTTACATTAATCTATTTCTTATTTGTTAAGTGTTTCATCTATAAATATTAATCTAGGATCTATAAGATCAGAAAATAACTGTTCTGTGTTGATCAAATACCCAGTATCATCTGCCAAGATCTTAGCCCAGAGTAGAGGTTTTTGAGATGGTTTGTCCATATCATACATTTCTTCTCTAATTCTTTCTATTGTTTTCCTAGATAAATTAGCTCATATAAATATTTTGAAATTCGATTTAATGTTTTTTTACAAGTAATTATATTCATTTATGTGTTAAAATATGAGGCTTCCTAGTTTGCCTTAATATAATTTTTTTTCCATTGATTCTATGAAAGTCTAAATTTAATATTAAAAAAAGATAGGTAGAATCATTAATTAATAAAGATAATCTTTTAATTTATAAATTAAGTAGTGGTTAAAAATTATTACTTCATGTTTCTTCATTGGCCCCATTGTTTGTTAATATCTTTAAAATACACTCTCTTCATCTTCTCCTTCATTTACGAAATTCTAGGCATCAGAGGAATCTTTTTGATTTTTTAATTGATCAGCTAAGAAAGGATTTGTTTTAATTCTGACTTCTTTGAGTTCATTCAGCAAGATAGCAATAGTCCTAATTAAGTGTTTTTAAATGAGTTGCTATTAAATTTATTTTAATTAGCTAATAATAAATTTACTAATCCATATGAAGCTGTAGAGTTTCTTAAGTTACGTTTGGATTTAAATCATTCAACCTAACTAGAATTATTTTATAAATAAAGGATATAATAACGTATTTATTTATTTGTTTCTAGAATATAATCATATCTTATTTATACCTTCTATTTATAGGTACTTTTTAGCTTTTTTATTGACTTTATCAGGCACATAAAATACCAATTTTTGTTATTAAGCGCCCTGATTTTATGATAGAGAATCAAGGTATTAATTTAACTATCTCAATGATCTGCCATTCTCTTCTTTAATTTTTTCCTTTTAATTAGTAAAAATTCATAATTAATGATAAGTTTTCAGTTAAAGCACAAAAACTTCTTTTTGAAAAGTAATTTACAGGAGCATTGCCTAAGACATCTGGATGTACATTTTTATAAAACTCACCTAACTTTGAACGCGATTTAAAACTTGAAGATAAAGAAAATTAGCAAGCAATTTTCTAATATAAACTATTTTGTATTCTATTCAACTATAATATTTAATTTGTGAACTTTAAAGCAAACATTAATCACTAACAAATCTTTTTTTTTTTTTAAGTTTTTTAAATTAAAATTGCAAAATATTGTGCTCAAAGAACATTTCAGAATACATTCAAAAATAATTAATACTTATAGATCTTTAATTAGATTTGATTGTAGGATTATCTTAAATAAATAAATCACTGATTAAAATTAATTCTTATTATAAAAACTAACTATTTTAATTTTTTTTAAAAAAGTAGACAAAAAACAACTTAATATTATGAAAGGATTTTTATTAAATTTTAAAGATGACAAAGATCACTCACTTTGTTGATCTCATTTATTTATTTATTAAATCAAGACATTAGTTATGTTTTGCTTACAAAAATATATATAATTTTTTAATGTTATTTAGGTTAATAATGATTGATTATCTTCTTTGACAATTCATTTTTTCTCAAACAAATCTGGTTTTGATAGTATTAAATATTTAATCAATTTCTTGCTTAGAATTAGACTTCATTGTGATTGAAAGATTTCCTAATGCAGTGTAGGATCCATACAAAAGCATGATATTTTATGAACTGATGTTTTTACCTGCACAAATTAATTCATTGTTATCAACTTCAACAACACCAATTCCAATATTAGTTAGCATATTTCTGAATTCGTATTCTGTTTTAACTTTATTGCTCTTAATATCTTAGTTTTCTTCAAATCTAAATTATTCCCAATAATTTTCATATTATTCAACATTGATGTTTATGGGAGTGAAAGATGGACCAGCTGGTTTTTGAGAAGTGAAAGAAGGTAAATCATCATCTTCAAGTAAATTAATTGCCTAATTATTGACTGAAGGAGTTTAGCCATAAGGATTAGTGTTTTAATACACAATAGGCTTTGTTGTGGTAGTTGTGTTGGTTGCTGCGGGACCAGTAGTTGTAATTCCACCGAAAAACATCTCTGCCATTTTAGTTTATTGCTTCTTTTTGGTATCTTCAGGTTCAACTTTTTTAGGAGGAGGAGGAGTAGGATTGCTATTTGGTTTATCTTGCTCTTTATTTTTCCATATATCTGTGCCAGGTATGTATGGTCCGCTTGGGTAATCTTTATTAGAAAAAGACTTTTGTCCTTTCTCAGCCTCTTTTTAGATAGGAGCCTTGGCAGGTTATTCAGGTTAAACAAATCCTTCTTAACCCCAAGGATTAGCCTTATTATTGGTTAATTTTAAGACTTCTTCTTAATCTGATTTTGCAGTGTGTCTTGAATCAACAGGTGCAAAGTTTAATGCTTCTGAATAGTTTTTTATCAAAAAAATTTAATAAAAAATGTAGAATTAAAATCAATAAATTTACTATCGTTGCTCATAACAGCTTGTATAATTTTGTTAGAATTAAAACGAGGTGCTCCGTTTCTAACAGATCTTTCAATAAAATCGTTAAGGAAGTTTAACTTGGTATCAACTTTAATAGCAGAAGATTATCTCAAAGCAGCATTGTACTTTGAAAGAATCTTATATTCTGTAGATCTAGAAGATACTTCTAAACAGCGAGATTCCCCATAATAGTCGAGACATGCAGCTACTTATTCTTGCATATTGAAAGCAGAGCAAGAAGATAATTTAGCTAAAGCATTCAAGAACCATCCTCTAGTTGAAGTATTTTCAAAATCATTTGTGATAGATTCAAGCAAGCATTCAATCAACTTTTAAAGTTAAGTTTCATCGTTACCATCTATTAAAAAGTTAAATTATATTTCAAATTTTAATTAAAAATATTTATGAAATAAATTACAAGTTGCAGCACCAATTTCACCAAAAACCCAAGCGATCATTTAAAAGGTTACGTCAGAGAGATTGGGTTTCTTAATTGTTTCTAAGTAAGTATCAATCAAGTAAGTACCAAATTAGACTCCACTTGCGGAGAAATTTTCATTCAAAGTTTTTAAGAAGGTGTTCAAAATATCGCTGCTGATGTACTCACTACCGTACTCAAATACGAGATTCATAGTTTTTAAGAACCATTCATTGCTTGGAGAATGTCTATCAGCCAAGGAAGTAATTTTGTTTACTAAATTTCTTCTGAAGAAAGGATCAGAGCTTGTTTTCAAGAATACAATTAGTCTACCAACTATAGCTTCTACATTCTTAACATTAGTCATTTTATATAAGAGTTCCATAGTCTCTTTCTTCAAAGTTTCATCATTGCTTTCTAAGCAGTCAATAATGATTAATTAATGCTCATGGACATAAGCAGCATTTACCTTTTTATTTACAAAATAATATTCATAAATTTTAGTTTATATTTATTTATGCGAAGACAATTAAAAAGAAATCAATATCAAAGGTATCTGCTATTTTTTTTTGAAATAAAATATTTATTTAAATACCTAAACGATTGAAATGAGAGCATTTATACCCAAGTACTTCAAATTGTTATTTTCAGCAGTTAAAAATCTTTAAACAGCAGAAGCAGCTTATTCGAGGAGACTTTAATAGGGATAGATAGTAGCAATAGTCTTAACGCATTAGTAAGTAACTGCAAATCCTATCTTGCTTCCTGAATCATCGCTTCTACGAAGAGCCTATCCCAAAATTTCATAAATTTATTCTGATACCTTTTAGTCCTTTTTACCTAATATAGATAGGATCTATAAAATTTTGATTTAGATCCAAGGAGCAGGAATACGAGCATAGTCGAACTCACGAGGTAATTTGTGTTCAATAACTTATTTCAAAATTAAAACAAAAGAGCCTGCTGATTCTTTGTATTTAGTGGGATCTTCCTTAACAGCTTCAAGGTAAAGATTAAGGGCAACTCCCATAACTGAAGGTTCGAAATCGCAAAGAGCACGGCGCATTTTATCATCGTAATCAGGAATTGAATCAGGAGAAATGTTGTGAATTCTTTGTAATACCATGATAGCTTTCTTTCTTACCAAATCAGTGTGATGTATTAACAATTTTATGATCTAAATTTAATTTATTTATTGAATTTAAGTTGATAATTTATTTAAGCTAAATAAGTATTAATCATATTAAAATAACAAAGATATTAGTAAAGCTAGCTTTTTATACTAATTTTGTTATTGCTTTTATCACTAATATGGACATTTAGTAAGTAAAGAATGCGTTTATAAAATATATTATTGAGAAAATATAAAATTTAATTTGCGATTTGTAAAAATTAAACTTACATTTATATATTCATCAAAATCAATGCATCAAAAAAAAAATTAAATTGTTAAAAAATTCTTCTGATTTTCATAAAAAAGCTGATAAATTTAAAGCCATTTTAACTATATTCAAACATTTGAATAAATATTTAATTTTTCATTATTTAAAATGAAGATGCAGAATCTATAATTCGATTTCAGTTATTATTTGTTGAGCTTCATTTTACTTTTTCAAATTGAATAATTTATTGCTCATTTATTTGTTAAATTATTTTTTAAAATATCTTTTGAAAAATTAAAAGTAATCTTGAAAAATGAATTACCAAATCTAAGACACCTTGTAAAATAGTCTTGTTCATTAACTTTCCTAATGCAGTTAAGGCTATTACGACTTCGTGGATGTTTTTAGATTACAGATCTTTTTACAAATTTGCAACAAGAAGAATGAGAAGATCACTTTATTCATTCAAAAAGAGACAGCAAGTTAAATAACCAAGTCTCTTCATTTAAAGACTTTTTGATTGAGCCATTTAAACTGCGCTGAAATGTGCGAAACTAGCATCGTGTCCTAACATTTCAATATAAATTGCTTTGATCAAATTTTCCTTCTATCTACGAGTTGAAAGCGATTAATCTTTAATTGAAACCTTCAATTTGGCTTATTCAGCAAGGATGATTTTATCTTCTTCTTGCTTAGAACGAGTCTCACCTATAGACTTGATTAAGTCATGCATTTCTTTGGTTAGCTGTTATGATTAACTCATTACGATAAATTTTTGCTTGCTTTGTTTAAGAAATAATTAATAATCCTATCCTATTTTTAATAAATTTTTTATTATTATTATTATATCTTCAGAATTTATCTTTTTGTTTATCAAGTGAATTTATTTTTATTTAATTTGCATTCATTTAGGTTTTATCGTATGCTTATCAGAACACATAATTTATGAGTGTTTGCTTGATTATGCTGAATTTATTTAATTGAATGAATGATTTAATCATTTTTCATCTTAGCATATTGATATTTTATTTGAAATAAAAAAAATCATTGCCAAAATTTATTCCTTTACAAACTATCAATCTAATGCATTTTATTTTCCTCATTTTTAATTTTTACACATACTCATATAATCTAAATAAATTATTAAATCAATAAACACATACAAATATTGAATAAAAGCAAGCATATATCTTTTAACATTATTTTTCAAAAGATTTTTAGATCAAAATGAATTCTTTTTCAACTCATTTATTTCTCATCAGAAAATTCTTTTATCCATCAATTCAATGCAAAATCTAAAAAAGTCTAATCGCTTCAAATTTAAAACATTAAGCCTTAAAAAATAAAAATTAATTTAATTTTACTGTGCTTATGAACCATCTATTTTTAAATTAATTGCTGCTTTAAAAATATTTATAAGCAAATAATATTTTTTTTCATATAAAATCAATTTGTTTCCAAAAATTTTAGTAAAATTAAAAAAATATTTTATCCAAAATTATCAAAAAAATTAAATTTCATGTGTGAAATGTTATTTAAAATATGAAAATAAGATAATTGCATACAAAAAGACTAATTTTAATTATAACAGCTAGTGTTATTTATGGTGGATAATGATTTTTAATTTTTTATGATTAATTGATATTTAATAAAAATTATTAAAATTTAATATTATTTATTTTAGTAATTTTCATCTTTTCATTACAAAAATCTATAAATAAACTAATATGAGCATACTATAAGAACAAAATAATCAAGTGGAAGAGGACGAATAGCCTCAAATTTTAGAATAGCAATAATTTTCTTTGAAGGACAACTGTATTTCATTATTATACGCTTATTCAATAATTAATTAGTATAATTTTAAAGTAGTTTCATTGAGAGAGATGAATGCAATTATAAATTAAAATTTTGATAAAAACCTTTACCAAGACGAATTTTAAAAAAAGCTTGATTATGAAGACAAAGCTTTGAGCTAAAATAAATTTAGTAGCCCAATCAAATAAACAAAAAGTAAATAGCCAAGTGAAAAAGTAAGTAATAACTTAAAAAATATATAAGTAGAAATATTGCATATTGATTACTTAATAAATTTATTATTAATAAAACAGTCAGCTTATTGGGAAACATCATACGCCTAAGTTAAAAATGCTTATATGAATGCAAACGATTTAGATGAAGAGGCTTAAAATCTTAAAATAAATTTATTAGATAGCATTAAAAGAATGAGGGAATAATAGTAATTTGCTTATCTTTACTATTATTTAACATCATTTACAAATTTTTGAATATATTTATATAGCGATTAAAAAGTTATTAACTTTGATGAAAATCCTAACCAATCATTTAGTTAGAGTCCATAAAAAGAAAAAAAAGGGATAATATTTGAAAGTATGCAGCAAGAAAATAATTTCTTAAAAGATAAAATTAAAAAATTGGAATAAAAAAATTAATAATTGAAAATCCAATTAAAGAATTCAGAAAAAATTTAGTAAATTTGTTTTCATTTTTAATTGACTAAAATAGTATTTTTAAATTATTTTAGAAATGAATACATTGATAAATTTCTAGTTTAAGAGCGGAAAGACCTCAAAAAGATGATTTCTTAATACAAACAGTAAATATAAATATAAAATAACAAAATATTAAATTCATTTTTTAACTGAAGATTTTTAGATAAACTGTTGAGTGATAAGCAAAAACTAACAGAAACAAATAGAAAATTGAAAAATGAAATTTATTATTTAAATGAAGAAAATTAAAAATATTCAGAAATAAATAAAAAATTATCTAATGAAATAAACTATTTAATAGAAAGAGTATTATTATTACTGTTAAAAATTATCTTTTCCTTAAATTATTTCTTTTTAGTATTCTAAGGCATTTGCAAAAGAGGAACTAGAAGCTGATGAACATTACGATAGTGTAAATTAGATAACAAATTAAATAGAATAAAATTAATTAATTTTTAAAGGAATATATTAAAATGATTAAAATGGACCATTCTGAAAATATTGAGTCTGTTAAAATGCAGTAAAGTTCAGTCAGAAAATCATCAAATAGTGTCAACAGTGCAAATTAGGCAAAAGTAAAATTAAAATTAATTTCTATTAATTTATTTTAACTATTTATTAATACTTAAAAGAAAAGTTTACTCGAAAATCTTAATTAAATATTGAACTCCACAAATATTAACAAAGTAGAAAAATCTACAAAATAATAACCAGTTCAGCTAGCATAAGAACCTAATGAAATAGGAGAATTATAAGATTTTAAATAAGATTGAGTTAAAAAAAATAAAAAATTGTTTTTAAAAATGAATAATAAAAAAATTTGAAAGGACTATGTGAAACTTTAATGATAAATTGCCACCTACTAATTATATTATTTAAAATATTCTATTGTTTATAAATTTGACTTTGCCAATTTATTTATTGATTTATATATATCATAAAATAAGAGTATAATATTTAATTTTTTTCTAAAAAGTGCTTAAATTCTTAATATAAAGTTTGAATTATTATAAAGTGAACAATAAATTTTTAAAACTCTTTTTAATATTTATGTACAGTAAATATATTTTTTTATTTTATTAAAATTAGTTTGTCATTTTTATATTTAAGAGAAAATAGTTAGATGATTCAGATATTTTAGAAATTAATATTCTAAATATAAACACTTTTATTTTCTAGTTCATTTAAATTTTCTAGCCTTGAAGAATTCTTTTCAAGGACTTTTTCGACATCCAACTGATTTAACTTTTTTATACTCTTTTTCATACTTTTTTTACTTCCACTTTGGTTTTTAGTTAAGCTTGCTTAATTAGGTCTTAATGAGGACTAAAGGCTTTCGATATTGCTTTAAGCATCTTCTTCAACAGGTACCATTTAATATTTCTGTTTTCTACTACTGTATTAAATTTCATTAGATGGAATATTATAATTTTCTTATCCACTTTCCTTTATGTGAAATCCTTCACTAATTGAATTTTACTGGCTATTTTAAGCAGGTCTGCTGCTATCATAAGAGCCATACTTTAAAAATACACTATCATTATTTAGTTCATTGATATTTTAATTAATATTTTATTTTTAATATTATTTTTTCTTATCTTAATTGACAAAATCAGATATATCATGATGCTTTGACCTATAGGATTTTATAGGTTCTGTATTCTTACTAAAATTATTATCGTTTTTTTAAAATTTATTAGATTCATATTTTGATGAGCTGCTTTAAATACTTTCCCTATCGACTGAATGTGATGACCTAACTTTGTGATGAGATTACTTCTATAATATTTCTTACTAATTTAAAGTATTAGCAACAGCTTGAGATATTTAGTTTGGTGACTACTATAGTTTTTATGGTGTTTTAAATATTTATTGATCATTAGTTTGTTCTCTACTAATTCTTTAATCATTATTAAAATTTTATTGAGTCTGCAATCCTTCATTAAAACTTCTATTAGTTTGTTATTGGATTATCAATTTTTATATTTCTTTAAGTTGATTTTAAGTGTATTTGGTGTTTTCTTCACTTTGAGTTTTAACTTATTTAAGAACATTCTGAATGTGCTACTAATTTTCTGTTAGCTAGTTCATCATATCACTGATCACTTTTTAAAACTCTATAATATTCTAGTTTTGCTCAATGTTATATTACCCATATTAGTTCTGAAATTAACTTTAGTAAGGGTTAAAATACATTGGATTCCCTTAATACTAATTTTGATATTATAAGGCCTAAGCAATTTTTTAGCTTCTTTCCATTTCTTTTGATTGCTTATTTTATTCTTCGTTGGTAGTATAGCTCCTTTGAGATCTTGTTAAGATACTTTTCTTCAATGCTTTTGACTTTAAAGGATATATTAATAAAATAAAAACTATTTTGAATAAGCTAGCTTACTTCCTCATTTTGAGAAATAGTTGATTAAGCAGAAGACTATCTCTTAAAATTTAGTTCTGTTTCTACACTTTATTATGCTTCAATGACCTAATTTTAAGCACGTATTGAAATAGTATTTTTTTATTACTATTCATTTTAGTTAATTTATTATTTATTTACTCTATCTACATTTATGTATTATTATTACTATTTATATTTATCTATTTGCTCTTTGTTTTATTATTATTCTAATTGTTTTAAAAATTATTTTTCATAATAAAGTTCTTCTTCAATTTTCTTTTATTTTTCAAGTTATTTTTTGACCTTTTGTTCTTCTATTTGCTAAAGCAAAATTTATTAATACTCCATAAGTTTTTAGGATTTTACATCCTTTTCCTATTACTCTTGATTTTAAATCACATTGTTGTTAGCTACAATCAAAGATTTTTTTTGAAACTGAGTTTAAGTTTTGTAAATATCGGCATTTGTTTATGAATTATCTTATATATTTGCATTATTTTAGATATTCTTACTAACTTGACTTGCTACTATAACTTGAGGTATTTAAGATAGCTGATTAACTTATATAAACTCATTTAAAGAAGGAATCTAATTTTAATGATTATAATTTGCTGCTATACTTTATTAATCTATATCAACTTATTATTCTTAAGGTATCTAAATTTATTATTTATATAAAAAAAATTAAAAATAAATTAAAAGTAATTAAATCAATATTATTACAAAGGTATTATGAATAACTGTTTATGTCATGGGCTAATTATTTTATGGTAAGCCTAGAATATCTTAGTTTTGTGATGTCTGTTTTACAGAGATTGAACCTTATTATGATTTATTAGGTGAAGTTTCTTTAATTTTTTAAATAAACTACTCTTATCTATTGACTTAGTTCCTAATTATTAATTTATAAATTAAATTGTTAAAATTTAAATATAAAATATTTAATACTTTGAAAATGGACTATTTTTTAAATTGTAATTTAATAGACTTAGTTCATGTAGCCTGTTTTTTTCTTTTTCTTCCATCTATCTTTTCTTCTTTTCTTCCATCTTTTTTTAATTTAAATACAAATTATTATCTGATTTATATAAAATATTTAAATTACTTATAACTTTAGTGCAGTAGCTAAGTCTTATTTGTTATCTATTCCTAGATTTTTTTAAGTATTTCTTGAGTTTTCACTTTAAGATTTTCTTTCTCTATCATTAATTCCATAATACTTCACATTTTAGTGTTATTAAACTCCATTTTAATATCCTTAATTTCCAATATTATATGTATTTAATTAATTATTATTGTGGTTTTGCTATTAATTTTATCCATAAAAGTATTACATTTATTATTGATTCAAATTATTATCATTATTAGACTAATAGTAATTCCTATTTTACAAAGATTAGTTTTATATCTACTGAAACGAAGTTGGTTATTGCTAAAATTATTAATTTTACTATTAAATGTGGCCGAAACCATTCATTTATGGCATTTACATTTAACTATTTTAAAATAAATAAGCATTTTACTGATTTTAATTATCAATCATCTAAAAATTATTCTAATTTATCTAAGCATTAACCAAATTACTTTAGTTTTATTGTAAATCGTTTATTTATTAATTATATTGATAATTTACAGAGTTGTTCTAATTTTATAAATTCTAAGGGTATCTATTAGGAGAATAGCTGTTTTAGTGTTAGATATATGGTTAATTTAGATTATGGTTATATCTTTAGCTTTAAGATTCAGGTTTATATCCATTAATTTAATTTTTTTAGTTGTTAACTGTATTATCTATGGAATATCCATGCAGTGTATTCTAATTATATTTATTTATTTAAGGTAAATTAAATATATTTTATGCTCCTTTTTGAAATATATTTGCTGTATTTCTATTATTCTATTATTAGTTAATAGAAGGAAGAAATCCTGCCTGAGGAGCTATCATTTCAATTAGCAGTATTTAAATGTTTCCTCAAGATAAATATATCTTTTTTATATAAAATACTAATAAAATAAAAATAATTTGCGAAAAATTGTTAATAATTTAGTATATAATTAATTTTTGAATCAATTATTAACAAAATACAAAAAGTAACTTTGATACCATCAATATTTAAAGGAATGGTAAATATTCAAAAATTTATTAATATTAAATTTATTTTCATCTATCAAACATATTATTTTAAATGTTATAATTTTTTTAAAAATAATTAAAAATTTTAATAATTATTGAAATTTTTCTTGATTGAGTAAGAAGATTGAGAAAAAAAATGAATTTTATTTAAAATTATATTTTTTAAGAATTATTAATTAATCAAACTGAAGTTATTTTTCTCTTTTATAAAATATAATTTATAATGGGTAAAATCATGCATTTTTACTTTTACCTTTTCTTTTTCCTAAACTTAAATGAATGTAATTGTAAAAAAAACCTTAAATTAGAGAATGAAATATATAATATTAAATTATAATATTTAAATAATTATACAATACAAAATACATTTTTTTCAGCATTTCAGAAATCAATATCTTCTTAAACCATATTTTATTTAACTCAGAAAAGAATTCTGATGATAATATAATCAGTGTTAGTTAATTAATGAAGATTTACAGAAAATAATTATTTTATAGAAAAAAATTAACAAAACTGTAAATTACAATAAATAGTGAATAAAATATTAAAAATCCTAAAATCTAAGCAAAATAAAGTAAAATTTAAAAACTAATTCATAAAAAATAATTAATTCATATCAAATCATATCATATCTTCATATTCAGTTTAGATTTTTATTAAATGATTCATTGAAAAAAATAAATTTTTTTATAAGAGGATGAAAATAAATAAATTGTTGACATAATAATTTTAATTAATAAATTAATTTATATAATAGAAAATAATATTTTACAATTACAAATTATGTTAATAATATTAATGATATTTATCTGAGCGACAAATATTTTAAATTTCAAGTAATTACAGGATTTATGTTAAAGATTTAATTTTAATCAAACTAATAAGAGAAAAAAATTAATTTATTTATTTATTAAACTACTTTTCAAAATAGGATTTTATCTATTCATTTTTTCTTTTTTTGAGATTTTGCAAGCTTGGCTATATCTTTAGCACTTTTTTTCTTTTTTTTATCATTATCAGAATCAGAATTATCAGAATGATCAGATTTTTCTTTATCTGAATTTTTATTATTGTTATTAAAATGGTCATCATCATCATCAGAATTTTGCTGTTTTGCTTACTTTTTATCTTTAGGGTTATCTTTTGATTTAGTCTTAGTTGTTTCTTGATAGTTGTTTTCACTCAAGTCATCCATTTCTATACCTCTTTCTTCATCTTCATCTTAGTCTTATTTCTTATTTTTTTTAATACCTGCAAACTATTTTAATTAATTAAATAATTATGTTATTTATTTTTTATATTATCTATCTAAATTATTTACCAAATTAGAAAACTTTTTGTTATCTTTCTTTTCTACTACATGGTCTTCATCTTTTCCATATTATTTATCTTCATTTGATGAGTTAGAATTTTACTTTTTAAATGACTTAGCTTTTGATTTTCTTCTAGATTCAGTCTTACTTATAGCACCAAATAATCCTAAATCTTTAGATTTAGATCTAGATCTTTTTGATTTACGACCTTTTTCCTCATCACTTCCGCTTCCACCATTTTCAGAGTTATCATCATCTTCATCTGAATCTTCAGAATCTTCACTTACATCTTCACCCTTTTCACGTCTTTTTAATCTATCTGCTCTTCTCATAAATCTTTCTTATCTTTTTTTTTCTTTTTCTACATTTTTTTACATACGGATAAGTTTTTCTTTTGTTTTTTTCTCTTTTGTGGTTAGGTCTTCGTCATTTTTATCAAGCAAAGATTTATTCAAATCAATGAAATCAGGGTCAGCAAGATAAAGCTAAAGATCGTTTTCTTCTTCTTGCTATCTACGAGAGAAATACATACTGTATTAAAATTTGATACCAATTGCACCAACAAGCAAAATGAGTGCAAAATATAAGTAAAATAAGTTAGGGACAGAAGAAATTTAGCCATATTTTAATTCTTAAGCAATTTAGAGTTCATTAGGGAAATCACCTAATATCCATCCGAAAGGACGGATCATGCAATATGAACCTATAAATCCAGTACAAACCATAACGCAGTGTCTGTAAAAGAAGAAGCTCATTAATCCCATAAGTATAGCTAAAATACCTATAGTTATCCAAAGCACAACAAACTAATTTCCAACTTATATTTTATATAGGAAAGCATTATTAAAAAGAAGTGCTAATACAATACCAAGCCACATTCCTAGTGCAAAGAATCCTAACTTTGGAAGTGAAACTGTAACGTAACCAGTAAGCACACCAAAAAGAACAGCTATTATCAAGCACGCATAAGCCATAATAGAATCACTATCATATCTTATAACGAATTCTCCCATGATAGCAACAATACCACCAAAACCAGTAATATAACCAATGATAAACAAAGTGGGCTTGTAGAGTTTCAATCCAAAGAAACATAATGCAGCTCCTATCGATACCATTGCTATGGTAAAAATAATCTAAAATTGAAAATAAAATTTATTTAGTTTATATGATCAATCATATTTTTAATTAATTTTTTTTGAATATGTTTAATTGCAAAAGTATTTTTGAAAATCTATTTTATTAAAGTAAATATTTAACTAAAATCTGTTTATAATATGAACGAACTCTAATTTTATTAGAAATATGAACCAATTTAAAAAAATAAAATATTTGAATTTAAAAATAATTACTGAATTATCTGAGAGAATTTGCCATAACTTTGATAATTGTAAAGTAGGACAACCATATTTAGAGGTAGTATCAAGATATATACCGAAATATGTTGCATTTTTTATGTATCTCCAACCTTTAATATTTAGAGCTTGACTCTCTTTTGAATCGCATCTAATAATGTATGTTATACTATTATTGTAATTAAGAACTGATTTTGAGCCATCAGGATTAGATGCGATTGTCTATTAAGGAAAATATTGTCGATATACGTACCCATCTTATGGTCTATCGCTGTCAATCAAATCAAAATGATAATTATCGAATTTTGAGCCTGATGCTAAATAGGTAGGTGTGATTATGTTTGGGCAAGGATTTCCATAACTATTACCAGAAGCATCTAATGGAACTAGCATTGCATATGTGCTTTAAGTCAAAGAATTCATTTAAGTTGGGCAATAAGCAGTTTCATTAGCATAGTATGAAACATATTAACAGAAATTAAAAACTAAATCAAATTATCCAGTTCCAGTAGTAAAAAATGGATCAGTTACTATTGATGTAAAAGTTTCAGTCATTTTGTATGTAAAATTACCCTAACTCGCTTCAGTATTTGAAAGTTTGTACGAAAAACGAGTGTTTTGCTTGAGGAGAGATACAGAGAAGTAAGCATCGTAATTGAATACTTAATTGCATAGCGTTCCATCTCCATTTGCTATATCAAGAGTTTAGAGAATGAAGAGGAGAAGAAGGATTCTACCTAGTTAAGATTTTATAAAAAATTGCATTCAGCTAATACTAATAACTAACTAACTAACAAACTATTTGTTTATTTATTTAATATTTAATTAATTAATTTAATCTAGAAATTATTATTCGAATTATTTTACTTTTTTTTAACTAATAATCTTTAAAGAAATTTATTTAGTAGTAATTAATTAATCTATTTATTCAGTGCAAATATATTTCAAAATTCTTAGCTCCCTTGCATTTATCTATTAAGATTTTTAACAAGAGTTGATTGATACTGCTACGATATTTGCAATTTATCTATTCTAAAAAGTCTGATAATAATTTAAATTATTGATATAAGAAGTATATCAGAACAGATATAAAATACATAGATATAGATAGATAGATCCAGCTTTAATAGATATATTTTACCAACTCCTTTGTTCTTCTTTTTATATTTTCTATCACAATTTAATTTATACAATCATCATACTCTTTATATTCCGCTACAAAGTAGAAAAATTTATATTTAGGACTTGTATTTTGATGCATGTGATCAGATATAAGTATGTATTTTGATGAATTTTCTTTGTTTTAAAAAAAGAAATTCATTTTTTTTTTATAAAATTTAATAATTTTTTTCTAATATTTAGTTTTTAACTTGATGCTATCTTTATGAATTTTATAATAAAATTTAAAAAAAATACATTAATTAACCTTGATTTTATTCATAGATTTTTTTATTTTTTATTATTCCATCCATTACATTAGAACTCTTTTTTAACAAATCAGAATTCATTAAGATTTTTTATCTCCTTACAAAATTAAATTAAGAAAACACATTTTTATTTAAAAAAATTGATTTTAATACAAGCAAACATATTAATTCCTATAATCAAATAACTTAAGATAAATTAGTTACTTGAAATCTTTTAGTTTTGTAAAAAAAATTTATTTATAAAATTTTTTAATTAAAATTTATCTATATCTATCTATTTACTTGTGCTTGATTGCTATTTTATGTTTAATTATTTTTTAACATTTATTAATTTATTAACTTTCAAAAAAGTTAATTATTTTTTAATTTAAAAAAAATTTGAATCCAGCTGCTAAAAAATTTTGATTGCTTATTTATTATTTATTGTTTTTTTATTAAATAGTTTGAAGATACAATTTAAAAATGAAATTAACTAATTTTCATTCATATTTGCTCTTGGATTTGCTTGTTTGCATTCAAAATGAAAAAATATTTATGAACAAATTAATGTATTTATTTATTTATTAATGCATAAATAAAATTATAAACTGAACAAAAAGCAACGGAATCAACAAGAAAATCTTACAATAAACTAAAATCAAAAATTATTTAAGAAATTTAATACTTTGTTTTATTAAAGTTAAGACAAAATTTTCAAAAAGGCTTACTAATAATATAGAGCTCCAAACATTTCAGACAACATTTCACTCAAAATCAAAATAGGAATAGTTCAAGGAAAACATTTGTGAATAAAATTTACTTTTTAAAATGAGCAGAAACAACAGTCCTAATAAAATATTTGATAATTATCAGTAGAATCCTTACTTAGCCAATGCTTAGAATAGCACAAATAATACTTAGCTAGTCTTTTAAAGCAATTTAAATCAGTCTAATAATTAGTTGCGTCCACAATAGAATATTATAATAAATAACAATAAACTTTCTCATTCTAGATTAACATAGGTAGCTTAGTAGTAGAATTAAAATGTGCAAAACATTTAGTAAATTTTTAGTTAATAATGTATTTATCATCCAGAAATGATAATTACAAATTTTTGTAAGAAATCTCTGATGCCTCTTTGTCCAAAATGTATTACAAGCTATTTAAAAAGCAGAGAGAGCAACAATTAACCTGTAGAAATAGAAAACATAGATAAAATACAAACTGAATGCAAAGAAGCAGTGTAAGAATTAGAGGAATTGTATGCATCTGATCTAAAAAAATTACGCGATGCTAAGGAATAAAAAGAAAATATTTAAGTAAACTTAGCTGAAAAGATTTTATTTGCTAAGAATAAAGTCATAAAAGTTATTGATAGCTACTTTGAGAATTTAGAAAATGATCTAGGAAAGCAGTTGCACTTTAAAAGAACTCATTTCGAAAAAGAACTCAATATGGCTGAAGGATTTGCTTAACAAAAACACCAAGAATTGCACTCAATCAAGCAAAAATTAGATGGACCTAAGTATCTTAAATATATTCTCCGTTTGTTAAGTGAAAACTTTTTCGATGAGAGCGCTCACTACCATTAAGAATGTGAGTAATTCATTTAGCTAATTTCTAAGAAAAGCATAGATGTCTTTACAGATGATAGCAAACTCTATAATTTAAATATTGAATTAGCAAAGTTTGCAAGTATTAAAAATTCTGAAATCTTTTATGATGAAGATGATTTAAATTTCAATTTTGAAGATAAGAATCCTTACACAGCAACCAACTACAACTAACCTTAAAATACTCTATATTAATCAAAGCTAAATGAAAATCCTCAATAGTAGTAGTTTTCACAATAACCACTCAATACAAACTAGAATAATAAAATGTACTAAAATTAGTTATCAAAATCTGCTTAAAACATAATTGCAAACCCTCAATAAAATAACCGTGCTAGTCCTTTTGATGTGTCTGTTAATTAAAGTCCTATAAAAGCAACTAAATATAATGTTTTACCTCCACAAGATTAATCTAGAGCTATCCAACAATCTCAAAATCCATATTGTATTATTTTAATTTTGTTTTTGTTTAAGAGAATATTAATTAAACTATAAAAAATATTTAGTGAGTGATAATAATCCTGTCCTAGCTTAAAGGTAATAATAAGAAGTATAATAAGACATACCCAAGTCTGTTCCCATCCCATCTAAGCCAAGTCCAAATTCTGACTTTTTGGGTAGCTTTTAAAAATAAGAATTCCCAAGTAATTAAATAAAAAATTAAATAAATTTCAAATAAATTGTTTTTAAATATAGATTAAAATGTAGCTGCTCCATTACAAGCTTCAATGAATTAATCATTCAACCCAAGGACAATCGTAAATAAGAACTATTTTGATTAGTTCTGTCATCAAAAGTATATTTATTATTTCTAACCTGGAACTAACGAATTATATTTCATCGATCTAAACACAATCGTAAATGACAACTAGATTGTTAATATAAGATGGTAAAAGATAGAATTAGATATTTCCTTTAAAATTCCTAATGACCACCAAACAGTAATCACTCCTTAAGGGTAAAATATTATTTTTTAAAACTGAGTTTCATTAGACTTTAATAATAAAAAGTGATGTGTATTTATGTGGTGGTATTGATCCTCAGACAATGTAAGTATGGAGTGAATGCTATAAAGTAGACTTTAAGTACAGAACCCTTGAAAAAAAGCCAAGTATGATGGTACCTAGGTTCCTTCACGGACTAGTTTACTTGAATAATGCTTTGTATGCATTAGGTGGCTTCGATTAATAACATTAACTTCTTGATAAGTGTGAACGCCTTAACTTATCTGATAGATGTAAATTAAAGATTAAAATACTTAAAATTAAAAATAAAATTTTTTTTTAATATTAGAATGGGTAAAAATTGCACCTATGATTGGATAAAGTGCTTAGATGGGTGTTTGTGTATATAAAAATAAATATATTATCGCTTTTAGTGTTGCAGTCTAACCAAAGATCAATCTCATCCAGTATTATGAACCAATGTTTGACTAGTGGAGAGAAGTTATGCTTTCTCATGAATCTGGATTGCTTTACTCTGAATTCCTCATCAGACCTTCTTGTGGAGTTGCATAAATTAATGACAGTGGATCTATTATTGTATTTGGTGGTGATGAAACTTCAAGGGATTAAGTATATGATCAATAGAAATCTCTTCCAAATAACTTTGTGCTTACATTAAAAAGCGAAAGCTAAGCATTATAATTTACTGTTGGACTTGGTAGAAATCCAGTAGAGTTATTTAACACTTCAATAAAAGGTCTTTCTTATTGCCATAATGGTAGGGTTTTTACAACTATGGAGCAAAAAAATACTTAAAAAGTAGTGGCTTTCAGTAACGGAAGCTGGATTAAGTAAGCTTGATTATTTCAGCAAGTTTTTAATTAAATTATAATTTTATATCATTTTCGAAAATTAAATTAATTTCTATATATATGTTCTTGCTTGTTCTCTTTTTATGTAATTAATTCTAACTGTTTTTATTACTAAATTATTATTAATTAGAATAAAAACTCACCTCATCTTATTTGCTTAAATTCTTAACAGGTTAAAAGTTTATTTTTTTCTAAAAAATTTCATATTATTTAATTTAAACATATAGTAAAAATTTAATGAATTTCTTAAAAATTTCATATAATTTTATTTAAAAAAAGTAAAAATTTAATGAAATTTTAATTGGTGAAAAAATTTAATTTACAAAATAAAATTGTTTCTCAAATTTATTGTTTACTGTTCTCGATTTAAATTTTATTTTTAGTAATATTTTTTATGAAACTAATTCACTTTACATTCAAATTTACATAATATAAGGAAATCAAATCTATTAATCCAGCTTAAAATCAAATAATTATTTAAACTTTAATTATTTGGAAGCTACTAATTTCACTTATAAAAACTATTTTTTAAAGTTTATATTTATTTAAAGAAAACGACAAATTTGTATAAATTCAAAAAATAAAATTAATTTAGTTTAGATTCTATTAAATCGTCAATCACTTATTGAGTATACTTTAATTCAATTTATTTTTATGGAGAAGAATTTTGTTCTATTCTAAGAAGTTATTTATTTATTTGAGTGATATTCTTTTGTTTTATGAAAAATATGAACCAATTTATTTTGGATTGTTTCAATAGATAGAATAATATTTTTTCTATAAATATTTTAGGAATTATTTTTGCTTTAAAATAATCATGAAATTGAATGCCTAATTAGATAAAAATTTTAACTAAAGATATACAGAAATGGTATTTAGATTGTACATTTAAAGTTACTTTCAAAGTTAATAAGATAATATGATTATTTAAATAAAAAATTTTAAATAAAAGCTTTGTCAATTTTATCTAAATTCTTAATTACTATATTTTCTCTATTCTTATTAATACTACTAATATTATGGTTATTATTACTCTTCTTCAAAGTTTTGATCATTCCGAGATGGCCTTTTAGATGAATACTTTTGAGGAGGATTACTATTTTAATAATTATCTTTTTATTTACGTTGTTGGTAACTATCTTAATTTTAATATTTTAATTGGGAGCTCTGACTATTTGATTGGCTCATACGTTAAGAACTTCTATGATCTGGTTAGTTTTAAGAATCAGTTTAACTTTAAGACCCTTCTTAATTACTATCGCTTTCTTATTTTATTTCTTCCATATTTTCTCTATATCTAAAAAGTGTAGCACATCCATCGAATGCGCTTGAAATGAAGTAATCTGAAAAACCTAAGACAAAAGCAATACCTTCTTCGTTTACTTTTTACAAATGATTTGCCTTGATTTGGATCGCATTGTTACTTTAGTATTTAACTTTAATAGGCAGATAACTCTCTGTATTAACATCTTAAAATTCAGGGTTATCGAGATCTTTCCTGGGTATTTCTGTGATAGAAATATACCCATCATAACTTCCTGCAGTAATTCTAATTAAATCATCTGTTATATGTGTAAATACACTATAAGTAACAAAACTGATATGGCCAGTTATTCTTATATAAGTGTTCAGACGAGTGTTTAAAACTATAACAGAATCATCTTAGCAGGATAAGCTGATTATAGGGCTGTCATTTTTCTCAAATGAAAAAGAGTGAATACCACCATAATTATTTTTAAAGCAGTAAACAGCTTAAAAATTAATGAGATCAACAACTCTGAGGAGCCCATCTAAACCAGAAAATGCTACTAGAAGAGGGTCTTTTGAGTATTTACCGTTTACTAATTTATAGAGAGGGTGCTCATAGGGTAGAATAGCAAAATCACTAATTGAAGGGCATTTAAATTTGAAAAACTTATGAGGCCCACAAAATGCATCTTCGTCATTATAATAGCAAGCAAATCCAACAAAATCTTTCTCGCTAATTGAGGAATATTAGTAAGTACCATAACTCTTACGCTGTATTGACTAACCAAACTTCTTAGGTTAGAAGGAAACAGATTCTAATTATTTCAGGATTTCTTCTTAAAAAGCATGATTTTCTGACTTAGAGTTCAAGCTATACTGCATAATAACTGAATCTGAAAATAACACTAAAAAGCTTTTTTGATCTGGCATCGTGCATACTTTTGTGATTTTTTTTTAATGCCAGACTTGATCTCCTTTTTCGCTTGCATTATTGAAGTTGTATAAAAAGTGGCTGGTCAGACTATTCATGACTAAAATGTAGCCCGTCTAAAAACATATGTAAATATCTGGGCTTTCTGGTATAAATTAAGAATTTTAAGTAGTGGACATTGTAGTTTATTCTTCCTGATCTTGATTATTTTAATACAGAGATTATCTTTATGAACTGTTTGCTGACTTTGATTGCAGCATTTTTATATTGTCTTATAACTAACTATTATCTTGTATCCTATTGTAAACGAAAGAATGGTAGCATATATTCTTTTTTAAAGTAAATTTATCTGAAAGATCCATAGTTAATAACAATTTAGCAGAGCTCTTAGATTATAAAATAACAGCAATAGACTTTTCTGTTTTAAGAGCTATCAAATAACTATCTTTATCAAAATCATCTGCTATAGTTTACTTTTCATCCTAATCAAAATTTGATGACATCTTGCCTTAATTTTTAATATAGGAATTTTAGTTTTCTAATGAAATTTTTTTTTATTGATATTTAGAAGGAGACTAGTCATTTTAATGTTCAGGGTTATATATTTGGCATACTGATGTAAGTGAAAAATATGGCTAATTTTTTTCAGCAGAAGTATTAACATTCACTATGAATTCACAAAATTTTTTCTTCAATATATCATGAATATCAGATTACAACTAATATTTTAAATTAAAATAAAATAAATCACACTAAAATAAAAGCAATTGGCATTCAATTATTTATTATTATATCTTCCTATTTTTTCCATCAGCTAAGTCTAAGTAATCTTATGCAACTTTGAAAAACGTTTTATGGAATTTTTTAATAATCAATCAGATTGAATATTGAAAATAAATTATAATAATCAGAAATAAAACAATTTCATAGCTAAATTTGAGCACAAGAATATATCTACAAAATTATTTCTGTAAATTGTTGCTGTAATAAAAATTAGAAAAATATTTACTGTAAACGTTTAAGCACATGATCGATTATCTCTCCTCATTATTGCTTTTCGAGTTTATCCAAATAGATAATTTCTTTAAATATTAATTTACTTAAAATATTGGGTCTATCAACAACAAACACTAAAATATGAGCAATGCTACTTCTTGATCAACGAAATCTAAATATAATATTTTATTTACTATCTTTCTTCAATTAATTTATTAAGATGAAATCCCTTTTTTCCTTCTTGTTTACGCCAAACTCAATAATATTTATTAGGGCTTTTATTCTCTAATTATTTTAGCGTAAATTTAATATTAAAAACTGAATTTTAATGAATAGGAATTATATTTTATTTTAATTGTTCTTCTCTAATATAAAAAATTGCTTTATTTTTATATTCTAAAATTCTTTTTATTTGCATGAAAACTTTCTATTTTAAATGCTGATATCGCTATTAGGCAGTCAAAATCAATCATTTTCGAGTAGAATCTTCACAAAAAGCTAAGTTATTTAACTAAATTACACTCTATGTTTTTTTACATTTTTTAATTATAACAAATATTGTGCTAGCTCATAAATTATTAACAATTACTTAATTATTCAATTAGAATAAACACCTAAAATATTTAATTTTCATAAATTAGTTTTTTTATTATTTAAAATATGATTTTCATTTTTTAATTATTCAAAATGAAATTGTAAAATTAAGATTTAATTTAATTTTTTTTATTGAAATTTAAAAAATTATATTGTCAAAATAAAACTCTAAAAAATATTTTTGAAAAACTTTCTAAAACAGAAATTAAATTAAGCATAGTAAACCAACAATAAAATAGAATACTAATTTAAAATTTAAATCAAAAATAAAATTAATGTTTTATTAATTATATAAAAGTCTTGAAGCATTCAGTCAGTTTTAAATAAATAAATAAACAAATAAAGAAATGAAATCTTTAATTTCATTGTATTTCTAAAAATAAGAAGGATTCATAAAATTCTGTCTTTTATTTAAAAATTGATATTGAGGCAAAGGGTTGTTTGTTTTTGTTTGCATTAAATTTAATACTATGGAAAATGAAATGTGTTAAATTTAAGAAGAAGGAATGAACAATATATATACTTTTTAAAAAAGACCAATCAAGTTTAAATTCAAAGCATCGAATCCTCCTTATCAAATAAAAAATAAGAAACAAGAGAAAATAATTAAATATTGAGGAAAATCTGCATAAATTTTGAATTAAGTAATAAATCCTAACAACTTCTTTTTTTGAAAATTTTTTGGAAAGATAAAATTTACATAAAGAATAATCTGCATTAAGTCTTAAAAATTATAAGAATCTATCAAAAATTTTATAAATTCAGTGGTTTTTCTAAAAATAATGAAAAAAACAAATAGATTAAATTTAGGACTGCATATCAGTCATGGTTTATTTTTATATTTAGTTTAAATTCAGAGTATCTTTTCCTTGTATTATACTGAACATCTTAAAAAAATGGCATTCAAGTTGATTAAATTTTGTTTTTGTTAAAGTATTTCTTGGAATGCCTTTTATTTTTTGCATAAAATAGTTTGTTCCTTGTTTTTATTAATTAAATTCATTATATTTTATTAATGAAAAATGAAAGGTCCTGAGAAAGTAATAGTAATTCAATACAATACAATACAATAAAAAATCAAATTTCAATTAAATCAATTATTGCTTATTAATTAATTTATTAATTTATTTGATTTTGATTGTGCGTGTATTTTTTTGTTTGTATTGATGTATGAAAATTTTATGTATTTATTTGTATTTATGTTTTAATCAATCAAACAAATTTTTTTACAAACAAAAATCTTAATAACTATTCACTTGAGATATTCTTTGTGTTGAGCAAATTTTTAATTAGATTGATAATATTAATTCAAACTAAACAAATAACAAAATCAAATTAATTCATTTAATTAAGAGAGAGCTACTCCCTACCAATTTAGTTTTCAAAAAATCAATAAATTTGATAGATAGTAAGTAAGTAAAAGCATAGTCCTTTACACACTTGAGAGAGCTTCTCACTAAAAAAGCATTAGAATTAGTTTAAAAATTATCGCTAGTCACGCTTTCCTGCCTTATTTATACTGATAAAAAAAGCAAAATTCAAAGAAAGTTTGTTTATTTTAAATATCTCGCATCTAAATTTGAAAATAGAAATTGAAAAGCTGAAACAACTGAAGGGCAAATAGTAAAAAATTGGTTCATCCCAACTCTAAAATAAATAAAACTTAGCAAAATTAAAATTAATAGCAAATATATGAGTAAAAGTAACAATAGTAATAATTTAGGGAGCGAAAACATGCTCTTTGATTTATTAGATGGCTTCATGCAAATTTGTCAACCAGGTTTTCAAAATTATGAGAAGTCGATGCTGTAATGGACCAATTTCAAAGAGTTAATTTCAAATCGTCCTATTGACTATCATTAAGTATTTACATTTATTTCTAAAATGTAAGAAACAGAATAGCCTTCGCCTCAAAAGAGTAAGCAAATGTAGTCACAGGACTAGTAGAAAGACGAAGAAAACGAGAGTTAATCTTCTTCTAAATAATCCTATCAAAATAGCAGTAATGAAAATATTCCAAAAAACAGTACCAAACTTTATCATTCTCAAAGATAGTAGAATAATTTAACGAATAATAGCAACAATCTGAAAGACAATTAGCAAAATAGTTCATACTTTAACTCAAGTCAAAACTTTAGCAACCAAGGAAATAGCAACAACACTGTAGGCTTGCAAGCTTAGAATGCTACGACTTAATTACAGACTTAAGGTAGGACTAACAATTTTATAAAGAATACTCAATCTTCTTACCAAAGTAATAATTCTGGATCAAACAGCGTTTAGAATGGTAATAATTAAAACTAAAGCACTCATCCACAGTCATCTAATTAATAATATCCACATAGCTAGTCCTAAAATCCTGCAAATAATAATTACTTTAATTCAACAACTAATCACTCTAATGGATCAAATTAGCATAGCAATTACAGCTCTTTTAATAATGAACTTTTTGCAGGGAGCAGCATGAATATGTTCAAAACAGCTGCTGGTAATTTTTAATCTAACACCATTTAAAATTAAAAAAAGGGAGAATAGCCTCGATCTTCGACCAGAGATTAATTCAACCAAGGTAGCTCATAAGCGTAAAATAATAATAATAATAACTTTAATGGTGGATCTTCTACTAATATGTACAATAGTAATACAAATGGTAGTAATAATCCTAATTCTTCTAGGAATAACTACCGCTCTAGCTTCAATTAAGCTACGTCTTCATCAAATAATAACAATATTACAAATAATACAGGAAATATTTATTAAAATTAATAGTCAAACTCAAAAGCTACTACAAATTAATAGAATAGCAACTCTTCTTAGGTTAGCAATTTTACTAGTAGTGGAAATGTAGCTGCTATGGCCAACATGCACAGCAGCAAAGAAAATTATAGTCATCTTAATAATAATGTAAATTTGGAGAAGAGCAGTCCCATGAACCCATCCAAGTTCACTAACTCTTTCAAAGCAAACGGAAATGCCCACAGCATTTATAATAACACAAGTCAAAGTAGCGAAAATAATAATCACTTTAATTCTTAACAGTCACAGTAATCTCCTGAAAAGATGTCATCCTAGAAAACTAATAAGAATTAATAGTAACAAAATGGATAGCAAACTTAACAATAAGGAAATGGTCATCACAATAATCATAACGGAACTAGCAATAACCACACTAACTAATTTAATATAAATAATTTCCATGGATTGCCAAATGAAACATCTACATTTGTAAAGGACGAAAATCTTTATTCAATAAAATCATTTAGCGAATTCCTCAAAGAACATACAAGAATTTAATCACTTGGAAAAAATACTTAGTTTGCTTAAACTTCAGTTTTAGAGCTTTAAAATAACTCTAACAGCTTGCTTAAATTAGCATCGATTGCCTTTTTTGTTAACTTAATTAGTGAATTACCTCATCCTGAATCTTAACCAAACAGTACTTGCCAAGCGAGTAAGATATAACTCATTGATATTTTCTTAAAAGTTTACAATAAAAAGCTAAAGATCCATGTTAGCTCGACTCACATATTTACATCAGATCAATTGATTGCTTCCTTTACAAAAAATACTGGTTTACTTATTCAATTATATCTTCTTCATGGATAAAATACATCGAAATTGATAAAAGCTTTCTTGTACCAAGTTTAGCATGACCCTCTTTATTTAGACAGCTTAGTCATATTAATCAAAGAATTGGCTGCAGAATTTGTTGAAGAATGTGACTACGATGCTATCGCTTCAATTCTGATGTAATAAATTTAACAGCATTAAACTTAATAGCAACAAAACTCTCTTTACTCAACTTGTGCTTCACTCTCGCAGCTCTAAGAAAACAAAGTAGGAGGTTTATCAGAAAAAGAAAAAAGAGCCAAACTTGCTTAAAAGTTAAGATAACCAAGCTGGAAGGAAGTAAAACCAGAATGGCTTTTCCTTTTATCTCTTTCTCTCTAGAGACCTATTGAGTTATTTAATTTAAGGGATAATAAATTGGAATAAACTCTTTTTAAAAGCAAGAAAATGCAAATAAGCGAAGTTACTGCCAATAATAAAATAAATATTGTAACTGTAACTCAAGCTGAAAACAAATTTCCAGTTTACTATTTAATGACTATGAAGTAATCTGAAACTGAACTCTATGCATCCTTAAAGATAAATTTTAAGAAAAATGAATTAAAGTTGAACGAAGAAGTAAACTTTCCATATCTCATTAAGCAGATTACAAGAGAAAAAGAATAGTGCTAATAGCAGCAGTAACCACAATAGCCATAGATTATAAATTCTCCTACTCAACAAATGCAATAAAATAATAACAATTCAGCTAATTAAGCTTAATTACAGCTTTCTCCTTCGTAGTCTAAATAATAATAGCCATAATAATCAACTCAATAAAACCTTCCTTAAAGTAATAGCAACACTAATTTAAATAAAGAATACTCTATGGGACATCGCAGTAGTAAACTTGGCTTACACTTAAACTAACTTCAACAACAGCAACAATAGCCTAATGCTTTATATTCTTCGACTAATGCAAATAACCTAAACAGTTAACAGCACCATCATCATAATTCCAGTGTCGAAGATCAAGGAAGAAAATCTCACAGCATTAAAACGAATCACATATCTAATTTAAATACGAATGGATCTACGAGTAATCTGAACAATCCCTCAGCTTCGAGCCCCAGGGTGCATAACTTTATGAATAATCTTAACTAACTAAATAACTAGTAAGCTGGAAGTCAAGCACAGTAATCAGCTTAACAACAATAATAATAATAGTAAGTACCTTCTTCTATAGAGCCTAAGCAGAACAACCCACCTTTCTCTAAATTAGGTAATAAGTTTAGCCACTATGAAAATATAAGCCCTAAATATAATTTAAACAATTTGAATTTCTAGAAATCAACTGTCAACTCCAGATAGCACCAATAATCGAACTCACTCTCTGTAATCCTTTATTTATAATTGTTTATATTTTTTATTAATCTTTTTATTTACTTTTATAAAAAGTAGGACGAATGGAACAAGAATTTATTGTATGCTAAGGTTAAAGACTTAATTTTCACACTCAACATCAACTCTGAGCAACTTAATTCTTTAGCTAGATTTTCTATCACAAATAATTAGACTGGTATTTAAAGTAAGGAAAATATACAGCCTAAATCTCCTCTAAAATACAAATCGGTACTTTATCCTCTTAGCAATAACTGCATATAATAAAATCCAAATGGGGCTATTCCTCCAAATGGATTCTCGAATGCGCTAAATAATATAATGATAGGATAAAATTATATATAAAATTAGAATCAATAATAAAATTCTTCATCAACCACAACAATCAATTCCTTATCTACTAACACTACAAACAATATCAGTAATCTTAACAATTTGAATAATACAAGTGGGACAACTGCAGCAGGGACAAACTCTGCATCTGTATAAAACGGAAACATTAATAATAATATCACTAATTACACATCTCCCAACTCAGCATTTAATAATTACCTTAATAGCAATCCAACTTTATTCACTGGTTAGACAGCATTCAATATAAATTCAAACTCAAAATTAAATACAAATAATCTTAACCCTCTCTCACCAAGTTCTAACTTTAACGGAAGTGTTAATCCATTGCTCCTAAATAGTACAAATAATAATAATAATTTTGTAAATAGCTTTGGAAAGAATGGAGTAAGCGGAGTAAACAACACAAATAGTTCCAATCTTTAAAATTTTTTGAATTCAAATAGTTATAATGCTATGCAATCCGCAGGTGGCATGGGTGCAACAAATAATATCTAATAATAAAATTTAAATACTCTTAATTAATAAAATATGAGTAGCAGCTTGAATGGAAATTCAACACTAACTTCTAACTCTGCTCTAACACAATTAGTTGGAAATGCTCCAGGGACAGTATCCTCAAAAAGATATCCCACTTCTCAGGCTAACCCAAATTTAGTTGATTCTCAATCTAGAGATATTTTCAATAAATTATCTCCTCGTCGCAACTTAAATACTTAGTACTGATCATACTTTTTAAAACACCTAAAAGAAATTAATAAATTTATATTTTTTCTCTCTACCAGTAGAGCCTATCTAATTTGTATATCAAAAATAAAATTATTTTTAAAAATCTAATTAATTAAACTTGTGCTTTCAAATAAGTTAAAAATAGCATGAAGCAATCATTTTCTAATAATACATCTATTTTAACTTATTAATCAATTAATTCAGCCATCCAACCAGTTAACAGATTTAATCATAAGCACTAATGAATAATCTGAAAATTCACTGAGAAAAGAAATAAATCATGATATATCAGAGAAGAGATTATTTTAATAATTAAGTACTTTCATTTATATATTATCAATATATTAATAAATTATAATATTAAAAATAATTATTATAATTAATGCTTTTGTAAATTTATTATATAATCATTCATTCATATTATATTTTAACCATAATCTTGCTCGCTCATTATTTTATTTATTTCTCTTAAAAATTATATTCTTTTAATTAAATCTTTTATCATGAAATCAATAAATATATTTTAGAATTTAATCTAATTAACTAAATTTATAAAATTATATTTATTTTAATTTTATATTTTAGTCATCATTCTTAAAATTCTTAGCATACATTTTTAGAATTTTATAAAAAAGTAAAAAATTCAAAGTTTTTTTTGAATATAAATTTGAGCTAATTTGAATATTCGCTAAAAGCAAATCAAGAGATATAAGAAGAGAGATTATTTTAATTATTAATTACTTTTGTTATATATTATAAATATATCCATAAATTTAATATAAAAATGATTATAATAATAATAAATTTTTCAAATTGATTTTTAACCATAATCCAATATTCTTTAGAATAATTAAAAATCTAAATTTCTATTTATTTGAATATTACATTTAAGCTATTATTTTATTACTTTTGAAAACTTAATGAGGAATAAACCCAGAAAACAAGTAGATAGATTATTATAATAACTAAGTACTTTTATTTATATATTATAAATATTTAAATGATAACATTAAAAATATTAATAATTAATATTTTGTAAATTTATTAATTGCCATTCATTTATATTAAATTTTAACTATAATCGTACTTATTGCTTTATTTCTTTTAAAAATCATTTTATTTTTTTTTTTGTATTTAATGACTCAATCAACATATTTTAGAATTTAAATTAACTAAATTTTTATGTTTTTATTTATTCTAAATTATGTTTGAAGTATCATAATATTATTAATTTAACAAGCTTTTTTAGAATATTTAAAAAAAATTTAATAAAAAACTTTTTTAAAAATACTTTTTCAAGGTATTTTTTGTAATGATTTTTTTCTCCTTAATTTTATTTTAAAATGGTAACATATTTTTTACTCAATTTTAAAGTAAATTATATTATTTTGTTAACAAATTAATTTGAATTTAAATAATTAAATAAAAAATTTATTAATATTTTTCTTAGAAAAATAAATAATTAAGTTTTTGCGATTAATTTAATTTTAAAAGATTACTAAGTAGATCAAAAAATTTTTGGGAAAATATTTAAATTTATTTGAATTAAATAAATATTTATTTAGGTTTTATCCATAGTATTTTTATCAGATTTATGCATAACTATTTTTATACTAAAAATCTAGAACTTAAGGAGAAGAAAATAATTATAATTCAAATTTATGAAGCACTTAATGTAAGTTTTCATTGAAAGAAAATTCTGAATTCATCGCTATTACTGATTTAAATTTTTTATGAGATCTTATCATTTTAAATGAATAGAAAAAGATTATGAAAATTCATGGCAAAGTTAAATTAAGAATTTTGATTTTAATAAAATTTAATTATGGCCAGGATTGTTTTAAACTATATTTGAATTGATTTAAAGATCATATAATTTAGAAGGAGATGAATGAGTACTCGTTTCTCTAAATTTAATCAATTTTTCTATTTTATTCATTAGAAAAATTCATCTCTAGTTTTGAACTAAGATCGATCGATCATCACCTTTTTTATAAAAGCAAATTAATAATATTAAAAAAAAACACAAAATTTTTATTTTACTAAAAAAGAGCTATTTATTATAAAAATTTTGGACAAATCAATAAAAAGTCCTAGCTATTAATGAGATAACAAAAAGAAGGATAGGAGCAAATGAGCAATAGTGAAAGAAATATTAAAATGGTGTAGCAATATAAAATATATAAGGATAGAATTCTTGGGAAAGGAACTTTTGGATATGTTTTTCAGGGAGAAAACACTAAAAATAAATAAATAGTCGCAATTAAGATGGTTCCTTTGAAAGAATTTAAGTTTAAACCTGAAAAGATAATACCATCTTTAAAAAATGAAATTAAAAATATGTAAATGCTTCATCACAAGAATACAGTTTAGTTATATGACGTTATTAAGTAAAAATAATTTCTTTTCTTTTTTTAAAACATATTTTAGTTATTTATATTACAAATATTGCATAATATATTCTTTATTTGATTGAGAAGTTTTCTCAGATTAAAGCTTTAGTAGCAGAAATAAAATTAGAAATTCTAAAAGCATGACTGAAATGATTAATTTATTTTTTATTATATTTAAGAACAGATAACAATTTATACATGGTTGTTGAGTTTTGCAATTAAGGAAATTTAGACAAGTACATAAAGCAGAAAAACCTTTCGGAAGAAAAATGCATCAATATTATGTTTTAGATAGTTGAGGGTTTCAAGTGTTTAAACTAAAATAATATAGTTCATAGAGATTTAAAGCCTGAAAACATTCTCTTGCATGATAAAACCGTTAAAATAGCAGATTTTGGCTTTTCCAAAGTGGTCGAAGCAGGTATGGATGAACCTATAATCACATCATTCGTCGGCACACCGCTTTACATGTCACCATAAATTTTATAAAAGTAGAATTACTCATCAAAAACAGATATTTGGTCATTAGGGTAATTTCTATTCAAAGTGTTTCTTTTCATTTTAACTTTAACAATTTTTCTAAATTAAAAGCATGATATTTTATGAGTTGATTTATACTAAGAGAGCTTGGGAAGGTAAAAGTTATTGTGATTTGTTGGATAATATCTTGAAAAAGCCACTGCAATTTCCAGAGATTCCTAAAGTTCACTAGCAAACAAAATAAATTATTAGAAGAATGCTTCAATAAAAAGAGGAAGATAGAATAAGCTGGGAAGAACTCTTTTAGTTTTTCTCTGTAGAAAATCTGAGATAAGTCTATTCTGATTTTTCTAACAATTCATATCTTTAGCACCAATAAAATTTACAATTAAATTAGCTTTACGATTAGAATTAAAAATAGCCACATAATCCTTCATCTCCAACTTCAACATTCTCCATGAAAAGTGAAAAAATAGATGAAGAAGAAAAGCAAATAAGTGGTTTCTCAGATAAAATTCATTCAGATACAAATTTAAATAGAATGGATGAAGAAAGCAATGGAAGTTATCCAGGAATTCAACAATAAAAATCATAGGACAGCCAAGATAATGATATCATGAATGAATCTTAAATGAATGGTTTGCTAGAATACTTTACCTAAAACATTAATGTAGCATAACAATTTTAACTAGTTCTTTAGTTGTAATAGCTATTAAATAGAAAGAGAGGCTAGAAATTAACAATAACAGAAGTAAAGTAGATGGTGATGGATCAATTAAAGCCATAAAGCAATGTAAACAACACATAAAATTAGTAATTTTAATAATAACAAGCAAGAGGAGGATTATTTGCAAATAGTAACCTTATGATGCAACAATAAAGCTTATTATTTAATAGATAAAATTAAAATGGTTAAGGACATTCTCCTTTTTAAAAATAATAGCAAGACTAAACAAGCTAATCCTAACAAAACAATAATAGTATTATTAAATAGGAAAGTAGTCAAAATGGAAATGGAAACGAAATGAATTTTGATTAAACTTATAACAACAAACAAAATGGTTGTTACAACATAGATGATATCGATTGATCAAATTAAGCGTGATTAAAAATGAGCCATCAGTTACCAAGCAAATTAATTTTCAAAAAAATATAATATTTAAGAGATGAATCAATAAACTAAAAAAACATTGTTATTTATTAAACTTAAATATAAAATTAAAAATAAATCAAGCAAGCAAGCAAGTAAACAAATAAATAAAAAAAACAAACAAATAAATAAATAAACAAAAAACAATAAAAAACTTTTAACATTTCTAAATTAACTATTTTTGTCCTTTTTATATTCTTATATTTCTTCTTCTACTTTTTATCAAATTAATTAATATATTTTAGTTTTTTCATATACTCATTTTTAACTCTGTTTTATATAAAATTTCTTTTTCTTTTAATTTGACCTTACTAATTTTAGTAATAGATAGATTGGCTTAATTAATCAACTAAGATTTTAGTTTATGCTACTAATTTAACAAATTTAATAAAATTTAAGTTTTACTAGTTTTTCATTAATATATTTAGACATATAAATAATAAATAGATAAAATATTTCCTTTTATTATAAGCTTCTGAATCTAATTTTAAATTTATCAAATATTTATGAAAAATTCTCAATTACTTTTTAATTTTGATTTTTAAATTAAAATATTTAATTTTAAATATTATTATAAATTATTTACCTAAATTAATAATTTATTTTTATTTTATAATCAAAAAGCTGTGTTAAAAGTTATATTCGAATAAAAAATATCATTCAAGGTTTTTGAAGGATAAATTACTTTCTTATTTAATTTTTATTACAAGATGTTATTTTTGGTAAGCAATTTATAGAATCAATTTTCGTTAAAATAAAATATTTACTTTTATTTTATTTATTAATTTAAAAAGAATTTAAATTGCCAATTAAAAACAAATTTATTTTTTTATTTTGTTTTTAATAAATATTGCTTTCTACCAAAAAAAATCTAAAATATAAAAAAAATATTTAATATCTTTTTTAATATTACTGTTTGCTAGTTTTAAATATTTACAAAGAGAATTCGATGGTTTTATTAATTCTAGAATATAATATTTTATGTAATTTAAGGATGAGAAAACAGATAGCTATAAAACAAAAATAAAATATTAAAGTTAAATTAAATTAAAAGTTCTATATTAATAATTTTATGTTAATATTTATCTATTTAATCTTATAAATTATATTGAATTTGAGAAATGAAATAGTTAATTTTATAAGTAACTTTTAGTTAATTTAATGGGTAACTTTTAAAAACCATTAGCAACTAAGAAAGATACATTTTATTTGAATATCTTCTAGCTTTTTTAAGTTAAAATGATCAGTGCTCTGATTTTATTAATTCAGTTTATAATTCGTCAAGTAATTTCTTATCTTGAAGTAAGTGTTCATGCTATTCATGAATTTGCTCCTACCAGTTTATTTTTAACATAACATATGTTTGGGATGCAAATACTGTAACTATAGCTAATACAAATCCTATCCAAAAACCTATTAACTGTAAGTCAAAGACAAAACCTAAAATGCAACTTGATGTTGTACCTATTACATAAAAGCAGATTATAAAGAGCATCAAACATACTTTTCCTAATCCTACACCTTTTAGAATACCTTGTTGGGAACCTTGGAGATAATCTAAACCTATAAAGAATTAGAAAATAGTCATAATGCTTACAAATTATTGAACGATTTCTTCATCACTTGTATAGAATAAGCCTAATTCTCTTTTGTAAAATACAAACAAGAATGTGCTAACACAAGCAAATCCAATACCTACAATATAAGATATCTTAAAATAGTTTTTGGCTTTAACGTGATCATTATGTCCTACTGCATTGGATATAAGTGTGCAAAGAGCTCCACAGAGGCCAAGAGGGAAGGAGTAGAAAAGTGAAGCTAAATTGCACATAATAATATGAGCATTGAATTGAGCTTTTATTTACATAGATCCGATCAAAAGGGAGTTTAATTCAAAGCAGAAAATATCAACGACCATAGGAAGTGCAATAGGCATACAAAAATGGATGTATTTCTTGTAATTGACCTTTACTGTATCCATTTTACATTCAGGCATGATATCAAGATTTTTCTTTTTTGCAAGCCAGATTGCCATCAAAAGTAAGAAAAAGTAATTGATATTTGTGGCAAAGATGATACCACTGAATCCATATCCAAGATACTCACTGAAAACAAAACAAAAGAGATACTAGGTCACAATAGAAACAATCTAGATATACATAGGTTCATTGTATATACCCATTGAGTTGAAGTAATTTCTTAAGAAATCAAAGAAAAATAGGCAAATTAAACCGAACATGATGCCTAAACTATATTATGAAGCATAGTAGGAAACCTATTCTTCCTATCCCAAAGCGACTAATATATCGTACACATTAAACATAAAAACAAGCATAAAGATACTGACACATAAAACAGTGAATGCTCCTTTAGTGAAATAATTTTTCATTAAAATTGAAGACTTGGCACTAAAAGCACGAGCAGAGAGAGATCCAAATCCTTAGTTCAAACCAACCAAAAGGAAATAACCAGTGCAATTAATCATAATGTTTCCTAAACCTATGCCTCCAAGAATAGCGTCATTTTAGAGAAGACCAGCAAAGTGCAAATTGACTGATAAAAAGAGAATGCTCAAAAGAATACCAATACCAACTGAAATGGCTGAGTTAGCAACCTTCCAAATTTCACTTTTCTATTCGTCTCTTGACATTTAAAAAAGATCCTTAGTAAGAAGTACTTCCTTTGGATCGTAGACCTCCAAAGCTTCTATATCGCCAGAACTACCGCCTTCACCCATTTTATCTATTTATTATTACTTACTTTTACTATTAATTTATTTTTTAGTTCTATTTGTTTGAATTTATGGTCAATTTTGTTAGAAGACGAAAATTTTGATACTCTTCCTAAATTTTTAATTAATTAATTTTTAACTAAATAATAATAATAACATATTTAATTACTTATTGACATATAAACTAACCAAAACATCCATTAGAACATTTTTACAATTTCTTTTGTAAATTATTTGTTGCAAGTTATTTGCCTTTTTTAATACTTTTTATTACTAGTCCATAAATAAACAATTAAAACTCTATACTAAATATTACAAAAAGTTCCACTTTACTAAATACATGAGATCTGTTATTCTTTAAGTTTATTTATCATTAATAAAATTCTAGTGCTGTCTAGTTTCTAAAATGCTTTAGATATTTTTTGGTACCAAAATTTATATTTCAGGTCATAAAAATAAAATTTATTTGTGTCTTTCTATGAAGATAATATAAATTAACTATCGATCGATATCAAATTAAAGGGTTTAAAATTATCTAAGTAATTAAAATTTCTTCATTTTGATCTATTTCTAAACTATTCCTAACACATTATTTGTTTCAGATTTAAGTAAATATGTTAGTAAATACAGCTTTAATAAGGTAAAAGTTTTCTAATAATTAGGTAAGACTGTCTCTTTGTAAGATCAAGTGTAAATCGTTTACATTTGCTTAACATAACAAAAATTTAATTCACTTGTTGAGGTGCCCACCAAAAACTTCAAATTTATTTCAAGTTAAGAATAAATAAAACCAAAGAAGAAATTACAAATTTTGATTTACGACGTAAAATTTATTCCAAATGAAAACAAATACATCAGCTTTGTTAATTTTCCCTCACTTTCAAATTAATTATTTAGAAACTCCCTAAAAATTCCTTGACACTTTCTAATTTGTGTAAATTAATTAATTTGTACTACTAAAAGTTTTTAATTTCTTGATAAACATGTTTATTAATAATTGGCCTATCAATACTTAATGAGATTGATAAAATAAATGTATAATTTCAGTATTTTAATATAAATTAACTATTTTTATACTAGAACACTAAGCAAATCTTCTATAAATTTTAAATCAAAAAGAAATATTTTTCTTTTTTAACATGCAATTTTATATTTTAACAAATTAAAAATTAAAGTATGAATAAGATTTCTATAAAATAATAGTGATTTTTTGAGAATTATTGATTTTTCTTAGCAGTTTAGTAAGATGTTAACTACTCTAAAAGCTTAAACCTTTCTTTAAATGTCATTAAGAGTTTTAGGATAACCTCTAAAAATATCAAAACAAATTCAAATTTACAATAATTGTTAAAATAGAAAATATTATTTTGTTGTTTTGATAAAATTAATTTTTAAGAGAGTGAATAGCTCAAAAAAAGGCTTACAAAAATAAGTTAAAAAATGATAAAACTATTTATTTGTTGAAAATAATTGTTTATTTTCGAATGTAAAATTTAATATTTAAAGAGCTATATAAAAATATATACTATAGTTCAGAAGAGACCTAAAAAAAGTAAATTTATACTGTAAAAGAATTAGATTACATAACCATCAAATGAATCTGTAACAAATAGAACTAAATATAAACAGTTATAGTTAAATAACTTTAAAAATCCTTTAAATTATTAAAATGTAGTATTTTTTTAATTGACACAGAATCAAATAAGTATTTCTTCTTTATTAAAAAATATATAAATCAATGTTCATACTTCCTTTTATCATCAATTATTTTCCAAATTTTTAAACAACTCTCCTTTTGCCCTAATTTGTGTCTAGTTTTACAATTGTAATAAATTTGCGTGTTTCGATAATAATGACTCATCGTAGTCAAATCAAATAAAAGTAACTTAATTTCTTTATTTTTTCTCTTTTTCTATCAAAAAATTAAAATATTGATTTATACAAAGATCAAGAAATAAGTCTTTTATTAATATATCTTTTATAAATGTATTTTATTTGATTAAGTATTTGAATATCTAAATTAAACTATTGAAAATAAGTATAATCATTTATTTCTTTTATATGTTCTTTTTCAATAAAATATAATAATTATACTATAATTCAGAAAAAACAACCTTGAATTTTCATTAAAAAATTTCAAATTAAATCCTTTCTTTTTTAAAATAAAATTTAATATTTAGTAATTATTTATTTTTATAATATCAAAATTAATTCAAACTGAACATGTTAAATTTAATAAATAAATATTTAAGAAAAAGTAAGGATACTTTTTTTCATTTCAAAGCATATTCTTTATCTATAAATTATCTGTAATAGTTATTTGTGATATACCTACCTTCTTGCATTTGATATTTGTAATTTAAAAATTATACAGTAAATCGTTGAATAATTTCATTATAATTATTTAAATAAAAAAAAGTTTATATTTTTATTTAATTTTATAAAACTTTGAAATAATTAGATTTTCTTTAAAATTTTAATTAAAAAATGAAAGTAAATCCTAAAAAGTAAAAAATAAAATAGTAAATTTTTTTCAGAAAAACTTATTGATAAGAGTTATTTTATTTATTTCCATTTAATAAAAATTATTTACTCTAATTTTAGGAAGTGAAATATTAATCTTATTTATTTTTTTAGAACTGAATTATTCTTTTAACAAAATCAAATCTTATAAATAATTTATTTAAATTTACAGATAAATATGATTTCTTTATGAAGTATTCAAGGAAATTATATTATTTAATTATAATTTTTTTAAAAAAAACCTGCTTTTATTGATTATTAAAATTATTAAATAGATAAGAATTAACATATTATAGTATATTTGATTTTAATAAATAGAATTGAATATTTCTTAATTATTAGATTTTCTTTACTAAATAAATATTTAACTATAGTATTTTCACTCTTATCTTGAGTACCTTTTAAAATCTAAAAAGAAATGAAGATTATCTTATATTTAAAAAATTTTGCAAAGACTTTTAAAAAGTATAATAAAATAAATGATACATTAGAATTAGTTTTAGGTTTTTTATTTTATATATTTTGATTGAGAACAAACATTACATGAAAATAATAGAAACTAATTAATTAATTTATTAATTAATTTAATTTTAATCCACAGAATTAAATGAATAATTAGATTTCTTAATTAGAAATAAATATTTATTAAATAAGTAATAGTTCTACAATTACTTAAATTATAAAATAACTTTTTATCCAATAATAACAATAATAATGACTAGCTAGAATAACCAGGGAACTTAAGTTAGTATAGACTTAAATTTGACTAATCATAATTCTACTTAACAACTCCCTAGAATAGGCTCAAAAAAGAACATTTAGGCTTTTGAATCTCCTAAGAGCAGTAGAAGTAGAGTAGGTACTGAATTTTTTATTGGGTATGACTAAAAGTAAAGCAACTTAAGCTTGCTCAAATAATAATAAACGATTGACGATAATAAAATAAAATTCTCTATGATGATGGACCTTCCTTTTGTAATAACAGGTAAAGAATTTCTTTAGAGAGGAAAAACATACAATGCATTTAAGAAAGTAGATTTATTAAATAATTTGTAAGATAATTGCTAAATGAAAGGCATAATAATTAAAAGAACATCACCGATATAAGAAATATAAACAAGTAAAAAACTTGGTGATGCTTATTACAGGAAAAAAAAATCAAGACAAACTGGGACTGTATTTACTTGTGAGCTGTGGTCAAGAAGTTACTATGATCACATTTTGAATAAGACACAGCTAAAATAATTACACTTAAAAATGCAAGAATCATCAAAATGTAAGAACTATGACGAAAGAGTTGAAGATATTCATAGGCTCTTCTCCAAATGGCAGAAATAGCAATCTTCGTTTTAAATTGATTATAAAGATTTTTTAATATAAAACGATTGCAATAATAGTATATATTTGGACACATCATAAAATATTCACTCGACTTTTGAAGAATCACTTAACTTTAGTAAAAAATCTAAATTCTTTTAAGCCGTAAATACAGAGACAGATTAGTTTTAAGAGGATTCTCTTTTAGAAAATTATTCTGACAATAATTATCCAAATGCAAATTCAAAAGAAATATAAAATTTTTCAAATAAAATTAAATAATTTGATAAGTTAAACAACACATCTACATCTTTCCACCATATAAATATTACATAAGATAAATCAAAAACTGATAGCATTCCTTGTTAATAAAATGCAAAAGAAATGAAATAGTAATTTTAAACTTAAATTTTTGGTATTTTTGAATTTAATTTACAATAAAACTAAATAGTTCTTAGAGTTCAAAATCTATGATTGGACAGAAGAGTTTTACAGAATCAAAAACCAATTTCAAGCCGCATAGTATATAGAAAGGTTTTATGACTCAAAGGTCATTTGTGAAAAAAGGAAAAGAATAAAATACTTCTGTGTCTACAAATTATGAAGATCAATCAACTTGCTTTAATGAAGGATATAACTCATTGAGCGATAGTAATCGGCTAACTAGATAGTCAAATATTATCAGCAATAGGTCCTAATAAATAAAAAATATATTTAAAAATTGCTAATTTCTAATTAAAGATTGCCAGAGCTATAAGTAAGAAAGTAAAAGCATCAAAAAGTAAGCCATATTAACTTGTGATTCAATATTTTAACATTATTTAAAAAATAAGAGAGATAGATGGCTACCTAAAAGAACAAATTCTCGATCAAAAAGAAATAAAAAAGAGGGCGTAAGAGAGATAGTTATCAGATTTATTACACACTTCTGTTAAATCCTCATGAGTCATTATATTATAACAATTAAAATTATATATGAAAAGCTATATTAAATATTCATAGTATTTGATTCATTTTAACTTCTCAAAATATTTTTCATTCAATAAAATATTATTATTAATTTATTTATTTTATTATTTATTAATAAACTAATCAATTCTTCATTTTTTTAGTAATAAATTAATATAATAATTATAAATGATGCAATAATAAATAACTTAATTAAAGGATAAAATCCAAATCAGTAAAAAAATAAATTACAAATTTTCTAAAATGTAAATATTATATGTAATTATAATATTAATAATATTTGAGTAATTTGTAAGTTATTTGTTTAAGTATTATATGATTATCTAATTTATTTTTTTTTTTCATTTTATAAAACTAATTAATTAAAAATTTTATTTTCATTCTTTAAAATTTAAACTTTTTCATAAACATTTTATTTTTAATAAAAAATAACTTCTTAATAATTGTAAAAAAATATAATTTAAAAAAATTTTTTTTAATGTATTGGCTATTGTTATATTTGAATTAAAGATATTATTTTAATCATATATTAAAATATATTTAAAAAAAATAAAAAATTAGAAGAAAATATTATTAGAATGATGTATTTTATTTTTTATAATATTTTTTTAATTAGATAAGTGTTGATTATACACAAAAATATAAAAATTTAACAAAATTTATTAAATTTAAATTTAATTGAAAATGAATTAATGAATGAATGATTTTTGGTTTTCACTTTTTTATCTTTGAAAAAACATTTTTTATGCTTCCAAATAAAGGAATTGTTTATTTATTTGATGAAAAATTTGAGTTTTATTTTGTATTTTTCTTTTCTGTTTATTAACCACTACTCATCTCATCCATTTTACTTTAAGAAATGCTTTTTGTAGAATTTGAGTTTAAAGAAATGCTTCTTGCCATATTTTATTCGCTCATTAACTTGTTGAGCTAAGACTCATTGATTTGCTTGCTGACTGTGCATGAAATTTCTTGAATAACTTGTTCCTAAATTTATCTGGCTCTCGGTTTTTTCTTATTTAATTAAATATTTTCATCTTAGAATCCTAGAGGAAATGGAGCTACAGTATTATCAAAAGGTGACTCTTCTGGGTTATTAAAATTATTAACTGGAGTAGAAAAATTGATATCAGAATAAAGTTAATTTAATTTGAAAGTTTGAGATGTGTTAATTTTATTGATATCAATATGAACAAGAGTTGGTTTAGTCTTAAAATTTGGAAATACTCTTGAAGATGTTGTTTCTATATTGTTTAATTCTATTTCCTTTTATCCTATTTGCCCCTTTGAGTTTTGTAAGTGATCATCTATTTTGTTTAAGGTCTTTTCAGTTTTTTTATTTTTGGCACTGTTCATTCCAAAATTTAACAATGATACTGGCATATTTTTATCATTTTATAAGAAGAAATCCAATTATTTCATTTAGAAAGCTACTTTGCAGGATTAATTTTGGTCAAATTGCTAATTTTCTTTTTAAGTTTGTTCAATTTATTAAGTGTTTAAATCATTCAATGTATCCATATTTTTTTTAATTTTTATTGATCTGTACACTTTTCTTTTAAACCTCAACCAATTCACATTCACCCTCATCGTACTATCTTCCAAGTTTATTTTTTTACAACATTCTGGTAAAAAGTTTGGGTATTTAACTTTCCAATTCACAAACTTTTTTAATAAATATTTTTTAAGTTCTTTGATTTTTTGCTTTATCATGTAAAATGCAAGCAAGAGTAAAAAGCCATAAGATATTACAATCTATAAAATGCTTACAATATCTTTAATAACATCGCTAGAAGTATTTTTATATATTATATTAAAGAAAATGCAAGTCAATAAGACCACAACAGTTTTAAAATCAAGAGTATTTAGAAAGTTATTCTGAAAAGGATTCAGTTTTAGAATGTAATAGGCATATACAATTAGGTAGCTTGCCACAAAAATATAGCTCACATTTGGTTATGACTTAAACATATTGATTGTCAAGAAAATGATTAACTTCACATATAATCTGACAAACTCCCAATAATAGCATTTGTCTCTATATTCCATATATAAGAAACCATAATTATACTGAGTAGTAATGAAGTTTAATTTGCTTTTGCAGTTATATAGTCCTTTTAAAATTATCAGAGGAAATAAAGCCCAAATAAAAAGGCTTGGCAAGACTAAATAATATGTATACTAAAGATGCTGCTCGCTATAGCAAATTTAAGTAAGATCTGCGTTAACATAATTTATGTTACCTATCTTTCTGCAAGAAATGACAGATACAAAGTAGTTAACCACATTAGGTTGAAAGAAAATGATCGAGAATATAACTACCATTTGTATTTTCTGTTGCTTAATTTTGATATTCATTAATTTTAGCAATACTTTGATAAACAAGTAGGTTATGCATTTAAAAATAATCGGTATCAGAAGACTAACTATTACTCTAATATAAACTTACGGTATATTTCCATAACTAAAAATGCAATCAATAGCTCCATTCATATTTTGAATAGGTGAACCTAAAGAATTTGGAACCAAAGTAAATGAAATTGGCATTTTATAATCCAGAACCTAAAGAACACTCATAACTTAAAAGTAATGAAGCATTTATTTAGCATAAATAGAGCTTCTGTGATTTAATGAGCTATTTCCTAAGCTCACAATCCCTAACTAACGCAAATAATAGGTCTTTGCTGTTTAGATGTAAATCTACAAAAAAAATACAATCGAGAAAGCCAGATATATCAATATTCCTAATTATTTTTATTAGCAAAAAATTAGTGAAATCATAAAATAATTTTAATTAAAAATTTCAACTTTAAATTTTAAGAGAATTATTTTTATTGTTAAATTTTAAATAGCTTATTTAATTTTATTTATAAACATTAAAATAATTACCTAAATATAAAAATATTTATTTGACTATTGGATTAGAATTGCCTTAGCAAGGAGAGCAAGAGTAATCTCCTTACCTTGTGTATGATTAACCTAAAATTAAAAGATATATTTTATAAATGATATTTATATAATTAAATTTATTTATTTACCCCAATATTCTCCATTAATGTCACATTCTTCACATAGAGGCCCTATATTTCCTTCTATGCAATACTACATATTTTCATTAGCAGCAATGCAATTTTCAGGTTTGTTCTCACAATATGTGATTACATCAGAATTATTTGCTGTTCTCCAGTAATTATCTTTTAAAACTATTTGGTTTCTTTAGCATGATTCTGCAAATTAAGGGCATCGCTAACATTTTATTTCTTACTACATAGCTTACAAATCTGCAAATGTATTAGCTTTTTCATATGTTACCAGCGAATAAGAGTTCTTTTAAATAATTTTATTTTGAATAATTAAATCAAAAGTTTTAAATAATCTTACATCCTCGCATCTGTGACAAGATAAGGTATATTAATTAGACTTTTGTAAGATTTCACCTTATGCACAATTTCTAAAATTAACTTTGAACAAGATTTATTTTTTGCTTTATAAGTTGTTGTTTCCTGTTTCGAGGATAGTATTTTACGAAAAAAAATTATGTATAAATGGTACTTCCATCACCATATAATCATGCTCTAGAGGCTGCCCAATTACAGCAGTATCTTAAATTAAAAAATAAGAATTAATATATGGCTCTTGTTAGCTATTTTAGGATAAAGTAGGCAAGATCAAAGGATAAGTTAGCTTCTTGTCTATTATTAAATTGTAGTTTGATGATGAAAATACAATTTCATATTGCTCCAGTTCTTAGTTTAACTCAATTCCATATTGGTCTAAACTTTAAGGCTTTTTTTAAAAAATATTAGCTTTTTAAAATAGTTTAAAAATTTTACTAATTTAATTAGCTAATCTAATTCATCATAAAGTGTCACGTTCAGTCCTAATAGTGAGCCACTTCTGATACCAAAGATTTCAAAGACTTGAATTATATTTAACTTATTTTTTGCAATATAAGCTTCAATTTCTTTTTTTGATTCTATTTTTTCCTTACCAATCGAACTCAATATGATTTCCTAAAAATTTTAAAAGCTGCTCAATTAATTCACTTAAAAATTAAATTCAATGAATTTTTAAAAGTTATTTCATGAATTAATTTATTAAAAAACTCATTATAAAATATTAAAGTAAATACCTCTATGCTGTAACTCTCATCTTCATTATTGATTCTCTAAATCTTCATTTTATGTGGGTAAGAACAATAATCATTTCCGAATATTGTTGCAGTGTTATTCTAAAATATAACTTGTTAAGCAAAGTTTTTAGGAAATTGAGGTTTCTATTTTGTAAAATACCTAAATGCACCTCCTAAATTTAAAATTTAAAAATTATTTTTTTTTTTAGAAAAATATTAATTTACCTATGGGAGCTGTGTTTGATTAAAAGGTAACATCCTTAACATGCACCAAGTTAAATTATTTAAGGAAAATAGCTCCTCCATATTAGGTGGCACTGTTTGATTAAAATTCTGCTTTGATGAGATAGAATGAAGTCTTTTAAGATGAATCGGGATCTAAAAAAATAGCTCCTCCAATGTAGCCTGTCGATTCTTTAAATTAAGAATTTTAAATAGTCAATAATACATAGTTTAGAACTTATAAAGAGGTTCCAAAGCAAGAGATACAAGTCAAATTTTAAGTATTAAAAGAGTTTATACTTGCGGTATATCCAGATAAAGAGAAAAAAGAATCAGAAATATCAGATTTTAAGTGTTTCATTATAACATTTTAAACGACAATTTTATCATAATAAACCATTTAATCATAATTGTATCCTTAATAGGTGTTCGTGTATTTAAATATACCTAAATTTTCAACTTATGTGGCATGCAAATTATTTACTTAAATATACTTCTTAACTGCTTCTACTTGAATAATGTAATAATTAAAATCCTGTCTATTATATTGTTATAAATATTCTTTTAAGAAATAAACATTTTCAATAAAAATATCCTTTATTGAAGCATCTTTAATCACAGAAAGATAAAATAAACTCCTATCTGTAAAAACACTTTTTATTTAAATTTAATCTATTGTCATAATTTAATTAATATTTAGCATTTAGACAATAGTTGAGTTTTAAGCTATTACGTCCTATATCTTTAAATCATAAATTTCCACTTTTTCACAATTTTAAAAATAAAACAAATTAGAGTTGAGCAGTTTTGTGTGTGTAATGGTTATATTACTCATTAATACTTTTTCCATGTCTTAGAATATAATTTAAAAATTCTTAATTTCATCTCCTCCTAAGATAGTTACATTATAAAATTTTACTTTTTCAATCTATGAATTGAATTTTATAACAAGCTACTCATATTAGTAAGGAATTTCACTTCTATCTATTTTTAAGACAATATTTTGCAAAACAAGAACTTTTTAGGAGTAAGCCATAAAGAAATCAGCATTAAGAAGCAAAATAGATTAATTTGATGAAGATTAATATGTAATTGAACTTTCTTGAGATTGGTTATTAAATTTATTTATGTAACTAAGCTGCTTATTATCATAATTTGGAAAAAATGAGATCAGGAAATTATATTTTAGGTTTTAGGTAGTATCTGACAACTATTTTTGTGAAGATTCTATATTTTCAGTGAAATAAAGCAATTAATAATTATTTGCGAGAGGTGGGAAAGCATATTTGCAAATTTAAGAATTCTCGACTGAAATGGTATAATTAAAAAATGAATTACTGCTCAAGCCTATAAGAAATATAATATTATTTTCATAAGCTCTAGAAATCAATAAAGGTGAGTCTATTTTTAATGCTTTAAAGAATTTGATTTAAGATATTTAATAATTAAACAGGTTAGTTAGATAGAAAATTCTAATACCAAATCTTTCTATTGTAACAAAAATCTCATCGCTTATAATCTTAATAGAGTAGATATACTTACTTTAGCGAGGACTCTTGTAGTAGTCTAAAATTTAAAGAGATTTTCTGTCATACAAATTTATTTAAAATCCATTATAAATAAGAATATGTTTCGAAGTGTTAATCAAAGAGTTTCCTTACAAAGAAGTCAGCTGTACTTTCTAAATTAACATTTCTTCGTATTTTTTTTCATAGTTAATAAGATAGACATTCAAAATTTTTATATTTTTTTACTAAATGAAAAGCCTTTAAAATTCAAAATCAGAGTATACAAGTTATATAGGATATTACTTTTAAATATGATATGTTTAAATCTCATTACTTTTAATATTTACCACCAATATCTCTTTTTACGACTACATAATAATTTAACCATCCTTAAAATTAGCATTCGAATATACTATAGGTTATTTAAGTTAGTGTTGATCAATTATACTTCCTTTTAGAAAGTTATTAGAACTATAATCTATATTATTAATATTTTATTTATAAATGTAAACTAAGCCTGAAATATCGTAAGTAATAATGTAAGGAAAAATAAGCCTTATTTCCATAATTCTCATAGTTGGATGATGGTAGATGATTTATTGTGTAATATTACATAAATTGTCAGAAGTGCATTTGAAGAAATACTAAATAACTTATCTTTCTCTATTAAAACAGACTATGTATTGTAGTAAATTTTAATTAGAAAATGTCTTTTTAGAGATATTTTCTGATCTACAATTAATTATTCTTTGATTATGCAAAAAAGATATGGTTTAAACTTGCTGTTATTCTACTCTCAATAAATATAGATCTTCTTAATCATAGGCAACAAGCATAAAAGAGTTGATTTAAATCAATTTACGATATCTTTAATTAGACCTAACCATAAAATATTATTTATTTTCTTTCATCATAATAATGTTGTTAAAACCATCCAAAAAGATAAATTATTTCATATTTTTATCATAGAAATAGGGTCTATCATATTCTGGATCTCTTTCTAAGTCTTAATTATCGACACTAGTCATCTCTAAATCAGGTACCTATGTATATAATCCTCCTCTACTCCAATAAGCAGATCCTTCAATGCTGTATATGTGCTGTTTGTTGTAGGCAATAATATTGTTATGGATTTTATCAAATACTAAATTCTAAAACGGAATATCACTGCCATCAAACTCACTAGAGAGCCTTAACACTTGATCTTCTCTAATTTCTTTCTTACCATTTTCTTACTCCCAAAATATAATATTGCCAGATTTTTCAATTCCAACTATCCTGCTTGAATCATTATCATACCAGATTTTTTGCAAGTTCTAATAAAATTTTTTTTTATTTAATCAAATAAATAATTAACTAAATTTTAATTACAATTTTTCCATCAAATAGATCTCCCTCTATAGATCTAAGATTGAAGAACTATTCATAATTGAATTTCAAAATATTTCCTTAGTTAGCACTTTCTTATCCTAAAAGAACAGCAATAACTTTTGGTTAATTCAAAACAATTAGTTGGATAATTTAGTCATAAACTTGCTTATCTAAGTATTGAAGAGAAGATCTATCGAAGATTCTGAAATAATTTTTGCTCCACTTGACTATGATTGTGTCCCCAAACTCAAGTCCTTGGTTAGATTCATCTTCGAATTTAGTAATTTCATGAAGGATTGATTCTAATTAGGCTAATATTTATGAACAATTTTAAATAAAATTTTAATGAAATATATTTATTTACCTTAGAAGTTATATGCAACTAAAGCTGTAGGAGATTAAATGAAAACTCTTTGAAAAGTTTAGTCTATGTAGAATTTATTTATAGAAGTTAGATTTTATTCAGTTTCATAAATTTGTAGAACTCTGTATTCGAATGAGTTTTAAGATATTTCCCATGAGATAACTTGGTTTTCAGAGCAAGTGTACAAAATGCCAGTTCCATCAAATTTGAAACTCTGAATTGGCTTTCTATGAAGTAAAAATTTTAAGCATTTCATATTTTAAGAAAGTGTAATATCTATGCAAACTTCAAAATATTTTTAGTCATTGAAGAACACAAATAAATTTTAAAATTATATATAAAAGTCTTTTACAGCTTGTCCAAAATCATGAAAGTGAATTTAATTTATTTTGTAATACCACAAAGCTATTTATGAAAAATTTTTGAATTGAATTGCTATCAGATTAAATTCTTTGTAATAGAGGATATTGTTTATTTCTTCTTTGAAAGTTTTATCAGTTATGATAGAGTTATCGACTAAGCTCCAAACTTCCAATACAAACTTAAAGACAATAAACAATAGCTACTCTATTTCTTCTATTTTGGCAAACGAAATTACCTCATTATGCTTCTAAGAAGAAATTTTATAATAAATATTGTTGTTCATATTTTGGTTTATTTCCACTCCGGAATAAAGCTTGTTCACAATGAAGGTATCAAATTTTTCATTGTAAATTACACTTATTGGATGTGAAGAGTCTAAATTATCTGTGTAGAGTTATTCAACTCTGTAAGGTGATACATTCTGATCTTTAGCTTGAGTCTTCTATATCTTCATTTACTAAATGTAATTGCATCCCCTATTATATATAATACTTCAATATAAAAAGCATATTGCAAATACCATTTTTTTAAAGTGAATTTTAAGTGAAAATTTGTTACAATAATCAATTTTAAACTATCTTAAAGAATTTAACATATTTTATAATTAATAAAATTAAAAATAACATACTCGCAATCATCTATTCCGTAGAGAATTTAGGCATTTTCGGAGTAATATGCTTGCTCCGCCATTCTCGTATTAAAAGATTCAAAGATTTTTATATTTACTTTTCCTTCATTATTTATTTCCAAAACCCAAAATTAGATTTAAGTTCTTACTCTTCTTTGTTAATTAATATTGATGTTCTAATTAAATTAACACAAGGCTAAGACTATGTTTTCCTAAATTTAATTAATAAATTCTTTTTTAAATTAGAACTAAAAATATTAGGAAAAATTAAAAAAAAATAAAATTGATTTACTATAACCTTTTTTAATATTACTAAACTTAATTAATTTAAGAATTAATTACTTCTAAAAACCAAAAGTCTTTTAAGATCGTTTCTTTCTTTGGTATGATTGTTACTTTTTACTATTTTACAGTGTAAATTACAGTTTCACCACTTTAACTAGAAGCCAAGAGTATATTCTCTTGTTTGTTTAACTTAGCATTTTAAACTTAAATATTGATATTTTCTTCTATTATTTTTGAATCCTCAACTAAATTTTCCAAATCAAAAACTTTTGCTGACAAAGATTTTTGGTTGAAAACAATTAATTTGTTACTTTAATTAATTGCTAAAATTAACTAAAAACTAAAAATTTATCTTTCGTCTTAAGATAATTCATACCTCTTTCCTTAAAAAAGAAATTAAATTTAGTTATCAGTCACTTAAAGTTTGTAACTAATAATATTGTTTTCATCATAAAATAATAATGATTTTTTTTCTTAGATTGAAATGGCTTGATTTAATTTTATTTAGTTTTGTTCATAAAAATTAATTTATTGTACTACTTGCATCAAGGAGTTGTCAAAGTTAATGATAACCTAATTACTTAAAACTATTATTGTATTTTATTCTAATTAGAAAACAAACATTATTTTTTATAGCTCATTTGTCTATATCATAAATCTCTTCAGATCTAAAGTTTTGATGTGCGATTTTTAAATGAAATCGTAAATATTGATAAAGGGAAAGGCTGTAAGGTTAGACATGTCATAATTAAATATAAATTAGTTATATTCGTTCAAGCTTATTCCTGTATTTTCTGAAGTAATGTTGTAATTAAAATTTATATTTTAAGATATCTAATTCGTAATTTGCAATTAAGGAGTGTCACCTTACAATTATCTAAATTAAAGTTGAATGACACCTTTTCCTATAATATAAATTTTCGGAGATTCCAAGCAAGCTGAGAGAATTTTGAATATTTTTTAGATTTTAATATCTAAATCTGATACTTTCTAGAAAGTTACTATTGATTACTCTTCTTATATAAATAGTGATAATTTATTAGATTGATCTATGATAAAAATTGTATTAAATAATTTAGCGTGAATTAAAATGACAGGTAGACTCTAGGATAAATCGATTTAACTAAGAAACTCCAGCTTCTAATCTAAAATAAATATTTTATTTTAGTTATCGAGTAAAAATACTCTTTAATTATCTTCAGAAACTGAGAAATTAATAAATTTCTACAGAACTTATTAACTCTTGAATCTTTAATTAATTGGAAAGCTCCGCGTTTGAACTTAAAAAATGTATAATATAGATTCCTCTAAAATCAGAAGATTAGTATTGAGGAAAACTTAAATTTATGTAAGTTTTGATGAGTTTAAAAGAAAGTAATTAGTGTCATCGTCATCTAAAATATTAATAAAATACTCTAAATTTTCATCAGTTTCAATCGTAAAATGAACATTTTAACTCAGTAAATTCTAAAAGTAAAAATTATTGCTTGATTCAAAATTGGCTTCGCTTATTTTAAATGTGTCAAACATGATTATTTCAGTATATCTACCTGTTTTAAATTCTTACTCGATTTTCTATGTCTGGAAATTAAAAAAATATATGTTTCTTTCAACCCCAAACATAAGCAAAAGATTTTTATCTAGAATTATTATGCTTTTCTACTTAATTCTTTCATTTTTTTCATTTTTTCTTTTCAAATACTACTTTTTTAAACTAACCGATTTTATGTCATACAAGTAGACATCTCCATTTTATTTTAAAAGCAAAAGTTCTTTTTCATTTTGGTTGTAAGCTAAGTGACGAATTCCCTATTGTATAGGCAGCTTAGAGATTTAAACGCCAGTAGCTAAATCGAATAAGTTGATGTTATAAAAGTCAGATGAAACCATCAAGTTTAAATCTTCATCTATAATAAAATTATCTTAAATCAGATCAGGATATTCATATCCTATTTGCATAAAGAGAGAGCAGTCCCTAACTTGCTTGCAAACTCTATGCAAATTGTCCTCATATTCATAAAAATTTCTACATTGCGATTAGCATTTTTGAGTATTGTAAATGTCAAAATACATATCCTACAAACACTGAGATACACAAATCTATTTCTCCTCATCAAAAACAAAACCATCTTGGCATTAAATGCAATAGCCTTTATCACATACTAAACAATATTAGCAACCCTCTTATTCTTAGTTCTCCACGATACTTTATAGAGAAAGAACTCTTTGATTATTTTCACTAGCAGTTTTAATTAAAGTAAAGCTAAATTAAAAAATAATCAAAAGTATGAACATGAGTCCTTTTAAAATTATAATAGTTTATCTTGCAATAAAATAAAATCTTTTGTACTTTTAATCTATAAAATTTATAATATTTCTAATTTTTATTATTTCTATTGTAGAATTCAATATTTATTTAGTCTACTAAAAATATTTAAATTATTTAAAAAACCTTATTTAGATTTACCTCTAATTTGCTTTCTTGTATTAATTAAAATAATAATAATTAATTTCCCCAATTTTAAATTACTAGATTTTATACAAAGCAATTACTAATTTCGTAATGATTTTGCTTTAAAGTTTCAAAGAGTGAATTTTCTAAACAAGATTTAAAATTTCCTGGAAAAAAAAAAATAAATAAGTAGCATTACTATCTTGAAAAATACATATCTGGTATATAATAATTGTAAATACTGAAATTTATTTTTTAATGAATAAATAATTTGGTTATTAATTATAGAAAAAATTTTTAAATATTAAGTAAAGCTTATTTAAACATTTTCTAAAAATTAAAACATATTTTGTTTTCATTTGAACTTAAAGTTCTTAACTCAACAAAACTAATTAATTTGTAAAAAAGGGTTAATAAAATTTAAATATTTATTAATCTGACTCATAAAAGAAATATCCAAAGTAAATTTAGCAGAGATATATATTTTTAATTACAAACAAAAAGAAAATCTTTTACAAAAATTTAAAGGAAATATCTTTTTTCTAATCTGGGCTCTTTTATATTATTTACAGTTAATCTGTGGTAAATTAAATACAAAACCCAATCTCATGCTTTTGTAAGATAAAGAAGTAATAAAATTTAGTTTTTTTTAAATGACTTTACATTAATTGTACCAAAAGAAATTTAATTTTTGTATTTTTGTTCTATAATATGTTAATGTAACAAAATTATTTAGAAGTAGTATTTTTAATTTATTTAAAATATATTTATTTGTTAAATTTATATTTTATATTAAAATTTCATTAATGTTGCATTTTGTAATTCTAATGTTATTTAGGTTACAGAATTTTTCTAGCTATTAAAGAGTCTATAAAAAACTGTGTATGAAGTAAGTTTTTATTTTTATTTAATTCAACAAATAAAATTATTGATGAATATTTTCAAAAACGACAAATATCATTGAAAGCTAATAAATATTTTTAAATAGATGATTTTTAACAGAAATTAATCATTTTTCGCTTATAAAATCTATTTCTTTTTGATTTGTTCATCATCAAAAATTATTTATATTATTTTTAGCTTTTTAAATAAATAAATCATTAAGCTTATAAATCTTTTATAAAAAAGCACCAAATAAATCAAAAAAGATAAATATGATTTTTTTATTTTAATTTAAGCTTAATTTTACTTACAATGATTTTTAAGAACTCTTAAAGCAGATATTGCCATCATTTTAAAAATCCATTTGTTTTTATGGTAAAAGTTTTTTAAGAATATTTTTGTTTCAAAGGTTATTTTATAGTAAGAATCATTAAATAAATAAATCAAACCAAAAAGATATTTTTAGTTTATATTTTTATTAGAAGATGCAAAATTTAATTTAGCTTACATTTATTTGAATTAAAATTAGTTTCTCAAAGTGACATCTACATTGATTAAGTACCTTATTAAAACAAAAGTCATTATCATAAATTATATTTAGAAGAATAGCAACAAAAATATGAAAAAATATTTACTTATTATTTCTAAAAAATATGAGCTTTTAATTACAAAAAAAATATTTAATTCTACTTTAAACAAATATTAATAATTAAAAACTTAATAAAAATAAATTAATTGATCAGAAACAAACAAATAAAATTACTATTAAAGCTAATTTTAATTTATAAAATTTTTAAAATTAACTTTTATATCTCATATTATTATCTAAACAAAGAGCAAAGCAATTTTTTAAATTTAATTTAAGAATTCTGCTTACTGAGGATAATATTATAATAATAGAATTAATCTAATAAATTTATTTTTTTAAAAGAGTATGATTTATTTGAGACGAATTACATCCTACACATTTTTAAATATATTAGATTTAAAATAAAATTAATTTTTTAAAGTACAATAAAAAATTATTTTATTTAAACATTCAACTCTATTAAAAATAGATTTAATGGATATAAAACTTATCATTATTAAGTATTAATAGAAGCGATATATCACAGACAATATATGTCGTTAGATATTTGAGTTTTTTAAAAATATTGATAAATTTAAATCTAAAAACCTTTTTAGAAATTTTCTAAAGTGATATTTGTGATATAATTTATGGTTGATTTTTTTAAATATATTTTATTTTTTAAAGAAAGAATTATCTTTTCCAAAGGTGCTAAATGTGTATATGATAATAATAATATTTTTAACCTACAGAATTGATTCTAGAAAAAAAATTAATTATAATTTAAAATAGATTACATGTATAATATGAATCTATATGTCTACATGATTTAACTAAAATTTACTGATAGATTGAATAAATAATTTTTTTCTATTTTTGCATTTTTATCCAATAAAATACGGTTCTATTTATTTTGAATACGGAAAGAAGATTCTGAAATAGCAAATTTTTAATTAGTTTAAAAGATTTGATTTACTTTTTATAATTTTTTTAAATAGAATAATTAATGGATAGCTTTTGCATTTTTTATAAGATTAAAGTTCTTGAATATAAAATAGTAAATGAAGCTTATAGCAATATTATGTGCTTGCAAAAATTCTACTGATAAGTAGGTATATATACCAATTAGAGAATATGAAGATAGTTCAATTAGTGTTTTTTAAAGAGGAAAAGTTAGAAATTTATTTAAATTCATTGTTAGTGAATCTTTTGTGGGCATTCAAAAGGGTACAAGGCACGAAGTAAGACATGAAGATTATCATATTTATATTCTCTCTTCTTTAACTCATGATGTTGTTGCATACGCATTCACATAAGGAGAATATCCTAGAAGAGTCATATACAAAGGCTTAGAAAAAGTTCTTGATGGATTTTTTTCTTAGCTAGCAATTGGTTACTAAGGAATAAAATCAGATGAAAAGATAAAAATACTTGCCATATAGTAAATTCTCAAAGATTATTCAGATCCTGCTAACGTAGATTAGTTAACTAAAGTCCTGAATAAAGTAAATGAAATATAAGTTATACTTCATGAAGATATATAAAAGTTGCTTGAAGCACAAGGCGATTTGGGTATTCTAGTAGAAAAATCCAAGTATCTTGATAATGCAGCAAAATAATTATACAAAAATTCTAAGAAAGTAGATAAAAATTGCTGCAGTATCTTTTGATAATCAAATAAATTTTGAATTTGTCAAATTTATTGAAAATGATTTTATTTATTAATAAATAAAGGAAATTTTAATTATTTTAGATAAATAACTTAATGTATTAATAACATTTAAATAATCTACCTATTTTTGTTGATTTATTTATTCTTAAAACTTTGTAAATTATTTATTTACTTTTATTTTATTTGTTTGTAATTTCATTTAATTTATTCATTGATTTCTAAAAATATTTTAAATTTAAGCTGAAAATAATTTTACTTGGATCATATTTATAAATATAAATTATTTGGAAAACAAATAACTTTTACTTTTATCAAAATTTGTTAAAATGGTTTTTTTAAGAAATAATTCAAAAAAGAAAAAGAATATTTTTCATAATCTAGTTAAATATTTATAAGATATAGATTAAATTTAAATAATCTATTTATTTTTTTGTTAATTTATTTTATTTATTCTTTCTTTTATTTTTTTATTATCCAATTTTTTATTTATTTTTACTATTTAAGTCTTTCATTTGATATAATTTAATTCACAAATATCTTAAAATATTTTAAATTAAAGCTGAAAATAAATTTACTTGATAACTTTTAAAAATATTTATTATAAATTAAATTATTATTTATTATTTCTATTCGTTTTTATTAACAAAAATTCAAAAATCCGTTTTTATTAATGAATTCTATAATCAATTTTATTAATCAAAGCATTCAATTATTCAAACAATAAGTCAATCAATCAATCAATCACCTTTTTAACTTACTAAACAAATACAATATTAATATTATCAAGATTTAATATTAAGAATTTGACTAACAAAAACACTACTTTATTGGTCTAATTTGATTTTCAAACTAGTTTTTGTCTACAAAGAATATGTTAAGATAACACTAAGGTTCTTTTAAAACTAGAACCGGGCACTAAAAGCTAAAATTAATTGAAGAATAATCTCTTCCGCATGAGTCTTCTGAAGGATTACTTGATTATTTTAATTTTTCAAGTATTAAAAAAAAATTATAATCTTGGTGTGATAGTATTGTAGACAATGATACAGTTCATAGATTTTTGAGTAAAATTGGTCAAAAAGATGAAGATAAGGATAGTAATGACAAGAGTTAAAAAAACTAAGATTCTAAAGGAGATGATAAAAAAGATAATTCAGATAATAAAGAATAAGATGATAGTTCAACAAAGACTGATAATTCTAATAAAGAATTAAAAGTTAATAGAGTGACTGATTTCCAAAACGCTTCATATTTTGCAGCAAGTTTTATGTTTATCTTAGCAATTTACTCTTTCAGTTCTGCTAAGACAGCCAGAAGGGGAGTTTTTATTGGTTTAGGAGGTATGATTTTAGCTATTTGGGCTTCATTCTTTTCAAGTACTTGGGATCTAGGAGATTCTTTCAGATGGTTAGTTTCTTTTCTTGTAGGAGGAACTATAGGTTTATTTGCAGGTCTCAATGTAATAATAAATTTTTTACTAAATCACAACAAAAATAACAAGCAAATAAATAATTACGTTTTTTATATCTTACATTAAATCCTTATTTATTATTCTTGTTCTCTCATTTAGAATGGATATTTTATAATTTTAACTAAAATATTTTTATTATAATCTAATTATTAGGCCAAAATGTCACAAATAGGTTAAACTGTATGCTTACTTTAAGCTATGGTTGGGGCTGGTTGTTTTTTACTAGGGTTAGCATAGTATGAACGTTACGAATATTTGAAAGTAGAATTTGAAGGCTTTGGATCTATTTAAACAGTAGTAGTATGCTGGTTGGGATCCACTCTCTTTTCATCTACTTTGACTTCTTTCTATAAACTAGATAAAAAAAATCTGGCTAAAGCACCATTAGAAACAATTGGAAAGAAAAGAGATTTATTTAACACAATCGTGATCATTAGTATTGTAGTTTTATCTATCCTTTACATCTGGTTTAACTTTGGCTGGACTCTTTGGGTAATCATCTTCCTCTCTCTTTACATTGGTTGGGGATTGGTAAAATTATTAGATTTAATTCAAATAAAAAAATAATTTTGAAAAAATAGTTTTAATTTATTAATTGATTATTTTAAAAAAATTATAAATATTTCATTTTAAAATAGACTGTTTCTGCTTAACCCAAAGAAATGAACATTGTTGTCCCTTGTTAAACCTTTTTAACAGGTTTAACTATTGTTTTTGTTGGTTTTATGCTTGACAGACATTATTTATTGCTTGTTGGAGCTCTTTGCATAACTGGTGGTTTATCACTTACTTTATAATCTGCCAAAGGATTGAATGTAAAAGTTCACTAAGTTTTCTTCAAGAGCTGGTCAAAAAGCAATGCCGATTCAGAAGCTTCATGTATAATTTTTTTATTTTTTATTAATTTAAAAAATTAAATTAATAATACAGAAAACCATCACTTTGGATATCATAACTAACTCATCAACGAAAATGATTTAGCTCATGAATTGCTTTATAATGATAAAATTGTTTTTGTCCCAGGAAATGGTATTTATCAAACGAACTCTACTTAGGCATTAAGTGAAATTAGTTTTGCTCTTTAGCATTTAGGAAAGCATGTAACTTTCTGTGTTCACCCTTGTTCTGGCAGAATTCCTGGTAACATATTTATAAATGACCAAGCAGCAATTAATTAAATAAATAAATTATTTTTTTAAAAGGACATATTTAAGCAGTTTTAACTTCATTTGATATCCCTTATTCTAAGATCAAGCAAATGAATGAGGTAGATTTTGCAGAATTTGATCTTGCTGTTGTAATTGGAGCTTATGAAGAAGTTGATCCTGATAATTTGAATGACAGACAGAGCAGTAATTATAAAATGCCCACATGCAAAGTTTGGGAAGCCACTAAGGTTATTTATGTAGAAACTCAGATTGAAAAATATAAAGGAAATGGATTATTTGATAAGCAAAATATCTCCGTTATGAAAGGAGATGCTAACAAACTTTTATCAAATATTGTTAAAGATTTCTAGAGAAAAGGTTTCACTGATATGGATCCTGAAGAGAGAAGTCTTATTTTATAAGGAGTAGCTATTTAAGCTCAATCCAATTTAATTCCTTAATAAACAGCCAATCCTGATGACTTAGAAGATCTTGTAAAGAAGGCAACTAGAAGTAAATAAAATTAAAAAAAAAATAAAAAAAATAATAATAATGTTTACTTAATTAGTTTTAGGTGTTTATAATGAATAATCTGAAAGCAACGAAACCAGAGTGGCCATAACTCCATCTGCTGTTAAACCTTTACTGAAGTACTTAAAATCAATTTTTTTTTAATTCTAATTAATTTTTATTTCTAGAAATGGAGTTCATGTTTGGATTGAGAAAGATTCTGGAAAGTCAAGTGGATTTTCTGATGAATAGTATTACAAAGCTGGTGCAAAAATAGCAACAGCAAATGAAATTTTCTAAAATGCAAATATTTTAGTTTTTATCTCTTAATTGAAAGATAAGTAAATTAACTAAATTGGTAAGGCTGTTGAGTTGCTAGTTGCTCCTCTTGGAAAAGAAAAAAAATAAGTTGTTTCTAAGCTAGCTAAAAACGAAAAACTTACTGTTGTTGATTTGAGTGATATTTCTCCTGAAGTTATACGTGCTTAAAAGCTAAGTACATCAGCTAATTAAGAAACCCTTTCATGTTACCGTTCAGTTTTTGAAGGTTTTTATCACTTAAACAAAATTGCTCGCCCAGTTTATAATAGTACTGGAAGATCACCTGGTGCTCATGTCCTAGTTATAGGTGCTGACCATTTAGGCTTAACAGTAGCTAGCATTGCTAAATAGTATGGTTCAATCGTAAGGGTTTATGATAGAAGAGATGGATTGAAGCATTTAATTAAAAAAAGTGGTTTTATTCCAGTTGAGTTTGTGTAAATAATTTTTTTAATAAAGAAATATTTCTTTAAAAAAATATTTTTTTTAGATATGAAATAGTAAATAATAGCCCAAATCATGTTGAAGAAGTTTAAAAGAATGCTCTTAAAGAAGTTCTCAAAACCACAGATCTTGTGATTACAGCTTGTAAATAATATAATAAAATTTTCCATGAGATTAAATGTTAATTCGTTAATAAAATTAGCTTTCAAGGATGATGGATCTGCTACCAAAGTCTTAAATGAGGAATTATGCAGTTTGTTAAGAAGAGGGTCTGTTATTGTAGACTTAGCAGCTGAAAAGGGGGGCAATACTTCTTTAACTTAGTTAGATAAAGTTAACCACGATGTAAATTTAGGTATTCATGTTATTGGTTACAGCTTTGGTAGCTATTGCTAGAAACTCAATAGATAATCTAGTGAACTCCACTCTCTAAGCATCAACCACCTTTTCAATTAGATTTTCTTAAATAAAAATTTAGAACTTGGCTTGGTTGATTTACAAGATGAAACATTAAGAGAAGTCTGTGTAAGAATTTTATTTTAACAAATATAATTGGTTTTTAATGATTATTACTAATTTATAAAGTACTTACACACCGGAAAAGATGTATCAGATAGATCATTTAAAAAGCACTAACATGATCATGAGAAATTAGCTAACGAAAGTGAAATCCCTGATTAATCTGAGCAAAAATTAGTTGAAAAATAAGATAAAGAAAGCGATAGAAAGAGTATTGACATTCAGCATTCAGAAGCTTCTGTCCATTTAGATGGAAACAATGATAAAATTTCAGAGGAAAATAAGGAAAAAACATTTGGAGAAAAGTTCAAAAATACTCTTAAGAAAACCGGAGAATATTATGAAAATTCCAAAGAGTATGTTCTTAACTTTGTTAGCGACTAATTCAGTGAAAAAAGAGAAGAAGAAATCAACAAGTAATCAAAAAATTATTTAATTTTAAAAATATTTATTTGTTTATTTTAATTGTTAGGAATCCTGGTGTTTTTGCTACTTTATTTACTGTGTTTGTACTTATCTTCTGTCTTTTCTTGGGAGTTTTAACTGACAGTGAATTCATTTTCCAATTAGGACTTTTCATTCTTGCTTTATTTGTTGGTGATACTGTAATTAAATAAGTTGATCCTGGTTTGAATGGACCTTTGCTATTATTTTTGTAAACATTGAGTGGAAGCATTGGAATAGCCTGCATGCTTATCTTCTCATAAGAAGATAATGTTGCTTTCTTTTCAGCCTTTACAATAATTGCTACTGTTGGAAACATGCTAGCTATGGCTTGTGTTGTAGGAGGCTTTGCACTAACAATCAGGGCTGTTACTAACTTTACTCCAAGAGAATACAGATAAATAGATAACTCTGAATGATACATATTTATAGTCTTAAAATTATATTATAAAAAAATATAAAACAGGCCTGTATTATTATACTATATTTGTTTTATGCTTTATAGAAAAAAAATAAATTAATTTTTATTTCTACAATTTAAAAACTAAAATTTATACCTTGAAAAATTTAAATATCATTTGTTTTTATGTTCAAATATTTTGTCATTTAAAGGTTATTAAAAAGTTAAAAAAAGTAAATGAAATTTATTTTTGATGGAAAAATTATAATTTTATCATATCTTTTTATTAGCTAGCTAGTTATTAAAATGATTCACGATTCTAGTGTTATATTTTTACAATTTATTCTACTTATTCTTTTTAAATTTGTATCTTAATTATTTCAGAACACATGGGGGGTTGGGGTTGGGGTTGGGGTTGGGGTTGGGGTTGGGGTTGGGGTTGGGGTTGGGGTTGGGGTTGGGGTTGGGGTTGGGGTTGGGGTTGGGGTTGGGGTTGGGGTTGGGGTTGGGGTTGGGGTTGGGGTTGGGGTTGGGGTTGGGGTTGGGGTTGGGGTTGGGGTTGGGGTTGGGGTTGGGGTTGGGGTTGGGGTTGGGGTTGGGGTTGGGGTTGGGGTTGGGGTTGGGGTTGGGGTTGGGGTTGGGGTTGGGGTTGGGGTTGGGGTTGGGGTTGGGGTTGGGGTTGGGGTTGGGGTTGGGGTTGGGGTTGGGGTTGGGGTTGGGGTTGGGGTTGGGGTTGGGGTTGGGGTTG